CAACATTTCCAATGCAAAATTGAGGTGCACATCTTCCCATGACACACTCCTTGGTTAGTCACATGACACACGCCTAGCTCTCATCCCGAAAAAAAGCACTTGGGCAGGGAGAGATCTCATGCAGTCCTGAGAAAAGCACTTTTTCGGGGCTAGAGCGCAGCCCAAGAGCACATAAGATCGCAGCACCCAAAATGGCCGCCAAGTTCTCGTGAGAAAAAACAGGATGTCCCATTTTTTCTGGGGCTCTTGGAAGGTATGCCACACCCTTTGGGGCTCATTGTGGTATGCCACACCCTTTGAGAACCACCACTCTCATCCTTTGTTTATGAAGACCATTGTTGGTCAGTCAGATGGATTTGCTAAAGGCTGTTGGTCAACCACAAACCATCAAGTTTAGAGATACATTGCTGGTCCTGAGCTGTAATGGTTCTAGGGGTTGCTCGTGCGTAAGCCGGTGCAAACACCTGGCTGGATTGCCTGAGTGAACCTTTTCTGTCCGGACAGCCACTCACCCGTGGCTGTCTCAATCGCTGGCAGAATCCGTCAGTGGGCGTTTCTTAAACTTCTTCCAGCAAAGAAGCTCTTTGACGCCTAGTCTCCTCCTACTCTCTCTGCGTGAAAGCCTTCTGCGCAAGGAGGGTGTAGGCAGCGGAGGACCTCTACTCTCCCCGCTGGTCCCCGGCAAGGAATCATGGGACCGCCTCGCCGCTTCCCCCATCTGCCCCCCTTCTCCACTGGTGCTACACTGATTCTCTTCCCCAGAAGATTGGCTGCCTCTCCCAATCCCAGGACCCTCTCCGGAATCCCTCTGGATTTTGCTCTCTCCCTCCGACACTGATGGCAGTTCCCTGACATGAGCATATTGGACCTCATTATGCTCAATGATTTTTAAAAACCTGATCCATCCGGCTGGTAGAACAAACATAGAAACTGTATATGTAGCGAATTTATCCCTATCCCAGCGTGTAACAGATTCTCTCCCTCCTGTACGAAAAGGAAACTGTCTGAAGCCCCTCCTCCAAAAACCTGTCTCCCAGGGGAATTATATAGGAAACAACACATCGTGGACAATACCTTTTGCTTCTCTCTGGGCCCCCCAAGTGACAATTTACAGGAATTCTGCTGTAGCTCTCCTCTAAATATACTCTGGGCATTTTGGAATCTCAGAGCGGCAAATGCTTTCCTCATTGCACCAACAGATAATTCAAAGCCCACTGGTTGCGCTCCGCCATTGCCCTGTCTGAACGGAGGGTGCAACCACAGCTGCACCCATCATGCTCAACATGGTGGCACATTGCCGCAGAAGGGGAACAGTGTGGGGCTAGCTGCCTTTCACAAAAGCTTGTCCTCTATTCTCGATTTCCTCCTGAAGAACATCCATTAATAACCTTCTAATAATCCTGCAGGATGCAGGTGGCGCTGTGGGTTAAACCACAGAGCCTAGGGCTTGCCGATCAGAAGGTCGGTGGTTCAAATCCCCATGACGGGGTGAGCTCCCGTTGCTCAGTCCCTGCTCCTGCCAACCTAGCAGTTCGAAAGCATGTCAAAGTGCAAGTAGATAAATAGGTACCGCTCCAGCGGGAAGGTAAACGGTGTTTCCGTGCGCTGCTCTGGTTCGCCAGAAGCGGCTTAGTCATGCTGGCCACATGACTCAGAAGCTGTACGCCGGCTCCCTCGGCCAATAAAGCGAGATGAGCGCCGCAACCCCAGAGTCGGCCATGACTGGACCTAATGGTCAGGGGTCCCTTTACCTTTAATAACCCTGCAACTTCACTTCTCGCAGGGAGGGGAAATACTGGGGTTGTCACAAGCTTGCAAACTGGCCAGGCCAGTCATCTTCTGTACAAGGAAAGTGAGGGTCACCATCTTGTCCTTTTCATCTCAGGCAGCAAAATATTTTGGGGCTGGCCGAGCGTTTCCTTCCTCCCTGATGTTCATCACTGTTGAAATAATGTTAACTGGGGACCTGCTGTTGGTGAAGTCTCTCCGTTTTGCTTCCCAGTGGCTTCTGAAGTTGGGAATTTCTTGCTGACATGTGCCTGCAGGGCAGCAGATGGGAAGGGGGCAAAACAGAGGGGAGGGAAGAGAGAAAGTGAGTGCAAGGGAAGGATGGGAAAGGGCCCAATGATGAACGATTAGGGATTAAAATACCCTAGCTCTCGCCTTGGCTGCCATTGAATATGAAGCTCCTGGAATGATACAGCAGATGTTTAAAACAGATTGAAATGTCACAGTCTGCATGGAGGGTGGAACACAGTGTTATCAAAGTCTTCCCTCCTCTCTAACCAGACTGTTCCATTTGCCCGACTCACGGTGCGATGAGGATGGCACTTGCGAACATCCCAAGTTGAGGAGAGCAAAGCTCGCAGGGTCAGCATGTTGGAGAACGGTGATGAAAACAGGGAAGGAATTGGAAATTGCTGCAATCTGCGTGCTTCTCTGTGGTCAGGAATGGAGATCAGCCACCCAGCACAATCCATATTCATTCCCATTGGTGCGTGTGTGTTTCAAGCCTGGAAATAATATGCAGTTGATGACTTTTTAATCGTTACTATGGGATTTCCTTTACATTGACTGGAAGTCAAAGTGTGTAAATAGTTACATAACTTGCACAGCGGCCAGAGAAACAAATAGCATAGTATTTGGCAGAAACCAAACCGCAAGGGAATGCAAGCAGCGCTGATATTGATGAATTGGATGATATTGGAAAGGAAATCACTGCCTTCTTACTGTCAGGCTCCCCTTCCAGAAAACAACAATGGCAACACTTATTTCAGAGTAAGGAAAATATCTGTATTCAGGCCAAAAGCAGTACAGCCTCAGTAGCAAGCACATATTCCCGAGTCAAGGACACATGGGGAAGGCTACATCTGGCCCCCCAGACCTGAGCTTCCCCATCCCAGATGTAGATTGTCACTATTACATTTATAAACTTTTTTTATTAAAAAAAAACCCCTGTGTGTAGAAACATCAGCCATTGTGGAAACTGGAGGCATGTACATGAAACTGAAAACAGAATCTGAAAAGCCTGTTGGTAAGGCTTCAGGTGTGATAATGCACAGGGATTATCTTGTTCATGCTGCTCTCTTTTTTTGTGGGTCATTCGTAACAGGTGAAGTGGGCTAGAGCATGCTGCTGATCCCCAGCAATGATTTCTCATAAGAAAACGGGAAGAAAGTGTTTATCGGAGGATGAGAATTAACTTCAAGGGGCAGATGACTGGGAACAGCTCATGCTGTGAAGCCCTTTCAGATGCTCAAGAATGAGGCATCCATGAAAAACGTTAAGAATATGTCTATATTACTCATGACGGGTGCACGACCCAGCCGAAGTGAAGCAATTTTAAGCCCTGCTGATTGCAGCAGGAGATGAGATTTCAGCACCTGCTTAACTTCATAATAAACTGAACTGAAAAGTGCATTTTTTGCAGCATCGTTTGGACTTGTTTCAAAATGTGGCAAGTGGGTCTTGCAGGGAGGTTTTGCAGAGCAGAATTCTCACATTCAGGGTCCCATTCTTTCTTTCAGGATAGTCCATTCCTCTTCCCTGTGTTATAATCTGCCTCATATAACCAACATGTTTAAGTCTAATTAATGCATGAAGGGGTTAACACCATGCCAGGCATAGCTAGGTCACTCCCCCTTACCTTGGGAGGAAGGTAGTCAGGCCTTTGTTCCCCTCTCAGACTACCGGAGAAGCTCAAGCTCTGCGTGTGAAGAGGTTCTGAGCTGGTTGCTGCAGCTCAGACCTTATGGTTCTTACAAGCCATTCTTGCATTCCTATACCAAATTATTTAGGAACTTTCACCACTGTAACTAAATCAAGTTTTACTGCTTGTGATTTCTGACTGATGTATGGAAAAGCACATGAACCTGACCTTTGGAGAGTTTGTAAGTAAACCATTTTAAACTTACCAAATGTGTGGTTTTTCCTATGATAGGGGAAGAGGGCCATATTTTATAGGACTAACAGCTAGAATGACCAAGTTTAAAAACTGAAAACTGGGAGATCTCATTCTGGAATTCCCATGTCTGCTGTGGCCCTGAGCTGATAACTGAAATAAAGATCACAAGAACTAGTTATACCCTGCCCCGCAAGACCAGTGGAAATTGTGGATTGTATCCAACTAAATCTTACTCATAGTAGACCCACTAAAATTAATGTACTTGAGTTATGATCCACTCATTTCAATGAGAAGGACTAGCATTGGATACAACCCTGTTTTTGCAAGATACCAAAGTGTCACAGATGTGGTCAAATGTAGCACGGCCTAGTTTAGAAAAGATTTCTCTCTTTTTTTCTTTAGCAACCTCTCGACTGATGGAGACGTTCCCTTGGCAGTGGCGCTGAGCTTGGGCTTTCTCAAAGGTAGCTTCCCAGCAAAACATCTGGATGCAATGCTCCATCCAAGAGGCCTGGTATGAAACAGGGTTTCGGATTGCATCCCCAGAGAGGCCATCCGCTGGGGAAAGGCTAGCCTTGATGGGGCGTGTCTGAGATGCTAGATGGGAAAGGGCAACCCAGGAGCAAGAAGCAGATTTGGCAGAGACAAGGCTAGGTCTGTCCTGGCTTCCAAAGGCTGACCACCCTCGCTGCCGTACAAATTTCGCTGCAATCCTAGCAGTTTCTAATCAACGCATGCAGTAGTTCTTATGTATGAACAGCCAGCCCACAACATTTTCTTCCCTAAGGCACAGCAGCAAATGTATCTTCCTCCTTCCAGTGCAAGGAGAGTATAACTCAAGGCCCGTCAAGCTTTCCTGGAACCTGAGCCAGAAAAACCATTCAGGTACCTCTCTCCCATCTTTGCAGTAGTAATAGTAGTAATAGATGTTTCATTACTGAGCCACACCCCTTCTTCAAAACCCACATGCCTGCTGAGATAATTCAGGAAGTGTTAACAAACCCTCTAAGTGCCCCTATTTTCCAGGGACAGTCCCAGATTTACAGAAGCCATCCTAGTCTCTAATTTGATCCTGGAATGTCCCGCTTTTCCTTAGGACGCCCCTATTTTCTTCGGAGAAATGTTGGAGGGTATGGAGTTATTTGACCCCTGAGCCAAGGAGATAAGTAACCATACAGCCTTTAGAAGACATCTGAAGGGAGTCCTGCATAGGGAAGTTTTTTAATGTTTAATGTTTTATAAGGTTTTATAATATGTTGGAAGCCGCTAGGGCAACCCAGTCAGATGGACGGGATATAAATAACAAAATTATTATTACAATCGTACCGTGGAAGTCGAACGGAATCCATTCCGGAAGTTCGTTCTACTTTCAAAACGTTTGGAAACCAAGGCGCGGCTTCCCATTGGCTGTAGAAAGCTCCTGCAGCCAATCGGAAGCCGTGGAAGCCCCATCAGACATTCGGGTTCCAAAGAACGTTTGCAAACCGGAACACTCACTTCCGTGTTTGGGGCGTTCAGGAGCCAAAACGTTCAGCTCGCAAGGCGTTTGGGATCCGAGGTACGACTGTATTCTGGAACAGGACATCCTTATTTTCATTGGAGAAATGTTGGAGGGTATGCCATTGTGGCTCGTGACATCTGAGTCGTATGGCTAGGAGGGGCATATTTTAAAGAAAGTTGAATGGCAGGATTAAGTGCCGTGTTTTGGAATACACTGAAAGCAAATATGGGTCCCTTCAGGAAAACTTCATTTACTAATGGAACCTGCTGAGAAAGGAGCACTCCGTAAGGCTTCCGCCTCCATCATTAGCCTTTGCTTGGCTTGCTGCTTTTTGTACACTTCCCTCAGGCTACTAATATGCGCCACAAGGGATAGCTCATTGTCAGACAAGGAGCAGCTACCAGTGCTGGAGTGAGGGGAAGGCTGTGGGTTTTTAGAAACAAAGACGCCCCCCCCCCTTTCACCAAACAGAATTTGCTAAAAATAGCAGCTCCTCGAGAACAGGCCTGCCTGAAAATAGCTGTTTTCTCAGGGAGCAGAGATTGCTTCTTCTGAAAGGAGTTGCTATTAATGTAGAACTGTCCCTCAGGCCATCTTCTGAAGAAAAAAAACAGAGGTGGGGGGTAAACTTGCTGTGTACACTAAATTCCACGAAAAGCCATGTTCAAATATGGACACCTCTCAGTTGTCAAGCTGTCCAGTAACCTCTCTAGAGATGACTTGTTCATGGTAGCCATTAAAAAAATCCTAGTTTCATCAGGAAGCATTTCCTGCATCTTAAGCAACAGAGGACCAGAATTCTCACGCATACCCTGTGACGTCTGACAGCCCACAACAAATTGGTGATGGCTAAGCCAGTAGCTTTCAAGCTTTTCTGCCTTCAGAGAAACCCTGTTCCACTGAGTATCAACTTGTCTACTAAGAAACCTCCATCTGCAGGTCTTTACTGGGGGATATGATGTTCTAAGGTAGTGGTTCCCAAAATCTGACCTGCCATGGGCTACTAGAAAATTGCTGAGGTTCTTGGCAAACCACAATTTTTTCCTGCCTCTTGCAGCAACTGTAAATCACTGTGTTAGGCACCGTATGATTTTTAATTGTCTTTTCACAGACATACCACAGGCCTTCTTAATGAAGAAATCCCTATTCTAGGGAGCACAAGATCTCCCGTGGGGTCCAGCCCTTTGGATCTCACCATTGGCCTGCTTGAATGGAAGCTTTGGCGTAGAGTGCCCCCAGTGTTTTCTGGAAGTTTCATACTGCAGGGGGGAAATTTTAAAATAGCAGGGAATTTTTCCTTCATGGAATTTTGACCACTATTGCTTGTTTGGAAACAATTGTGTGATGTGAATGTACATTAAGCCAACTGAGAGGTGTTGTTGTCTATTTATTTATTTATTTATTTATTTATTTATTTATTTATTGGGGGGGAACCCCTCAAAAGAATAAAAAATAACATTACATGTAAAACAGTTAAAGACAACTATTGAAAACATTTCAAAAATAAAATATAATTAGTGATAAACTAAACACAGATGAGAACACACATCAGCACTCTACATATTTGGATAGGCTTCTCTAAACAAAAATGTTTTTAGCAGGCACTCAAAACAGTGCAGTAAAGGTACCTGCCTGGTGTCAATAGGCAGGGAGTTCCAAAGGGCGACCACACTAAATGATTGATTTCTTACAAATGTGGAACAAGCATTATATGGCACCTGTAACAGTGCTAGTTCTTGTTGTTTATGTTGTTGTTCCTACTACTCCTATTATTGTCTTATTAACACACCACCCTTTCTTAAACAGATTACAGGGTAGTACACAACATGAAAACTGTGATATAGCCATTATAATTAAAAAACCAGTTAGTTATAACACCTAAACTATCAGCAAGACCCAGAATCTTTAACTGGTTGGTTTATTGTTTCTAATTGCAGGAAATATTGCAATACTTGCCTTCCTCCGCCACGTAGCACAGCCTCCTTCGGATGTAAATTTATTTAGTGGCCTATCCCTTTGCAGCAACCTCTAGCTCATTTTAAGAAATAAGTAAATAGTAAAAAGATCCATATTTCGCAAGCCTTTCCAGAGCCTCTTAGCAGCTGGAGAAACTGAACAGCTTTTTCTGAACAGGCTGTTTTTTCTAAGCAAGGCTGACACCTGCTGGGCTGCTCTGAAATGGCTATTTGTCAAATAGTGCAGATTCACTCACTATTAGGTCCCTGTATGTCCCTAAATTTCTCTATGTGTGAATTATCAAGCATGGCTCTGCGCTCAGAATGGCCAGATCTTGGCCCTGAGGAGGATATACGTGTGCCAAGAGAACAAGATCATGCATTCAGCATGGTTGCATCAGAACGTAAAGGGAGCCTTCTGGATTAAGCCAATGGTCCATTTAGTCCAGCATCCGTTTCTCACAAGGGCCAACTAGATGCCTCAATGAGAAGCCACAATGGGATCTGAGCATATGAGCGCTCTCCTCACCTGTGGTTTCCAGCAACTGGAGTTTAAGAGCATTGCTGCCACCAACTGTGGAGGCAGACCATAATCACCATGGCTAGTAGCCATAAAGAAGGCTGATTGCCGAAGAATTGATGCTTTGAATTATGGTGTTGGAGGAGACTCTTGAGAGTCCCATGGACTGCAAGGAGATCAAACCTATCCATTCTGAAGGAAATCAGCCCTGAGTGCTCACTGGAAGGACAGATCCTGAAGCTGATGTTGGGAAAGATGGAGGGCACAAGGAGAAGGGGATGACAGAGGACGAGATGGTTGGACAGTGTTCTCGAAGCTACCAGCATGAGATGGACCAAACTACGGGAGGCAGTGGAAGACAGGAGTGCCTGGCGTACTCTGGTCCATGGGGGTCACAAAGAGTCGGACACGACTAAACGACTAAACAACAACCACAACAAGTAGTCATCAATAGCCTTGGAGGAAAGGAAACTCAGGAAAGGTGCAGTCAATAGAACCCTCCCCACAATCCCGCATAGACCTCCAGCGAGGCCAAGTTATGAGGGGCGCTCATTAAAGATTTCCCTTGACGTACTTCCTGTGGACTGAGACTTCTCCCATTGCTTTATGCAGGTGTGGAGACCTCGTCTGTAGAAGTCAGCAGGTTGCGTCAGAAGCCACGGCTTGACCCCAGAAATCAGCATTTCATCATCTGGAAAAAGCTTGCCTTTCAGAAAGAACTTCATGGTTGGAAAGAGGTGGGAGTTCGATGGTGCGAGGTTGGGAGAATAAGGGGGGTGAGGAAGGATTTCATAGCCACAGGACCATGCTTCCGTCTGTGCAACATGTGAGTTGTGAACCGGGGCATTATCCTGCAGGAGGCAGACACCTTTGTTCAGCACACCACACCTCTCGATTCTGATGGCCTTCCGCAGCAGTGAAGCGTAGTATGTCCCGGAAACTGTGGTACCCATTGCCAGGAAATCCATCATCACTACTCCGTGCTGGTCCCAGAAGACCGTGAGCAGGACCTTGCCCACTGATGGTTGGACACGTGCCTACTTTGGAGGTGGTAAGGCAGAATGCGTTCCATTGTTTGGATGGACCCATGTTTCTTCCTGAGTAACTAGTCTGGCAAAGAAGTCATCAAGGTTTTTGTGACACTTGGCCAAAAGAGCCAGTGAGCATGTGACTCATTCCTGCTTCTAGAAAGGCGTCAGCAGCCGGGGAACCCACTGTACGGACACTGTTGCAACAGGGTCCTCTCTGTATCCACAGGCAGGCAAAAGAGAGAAAACCCCGAACTGAGATAAGTCCCGAGCTCAAATCCCCTTTCACCAGGGCAGTTCATTAAAAACTTTTTTTTAAAAAATGCCTGCTCCAAAGGTCTTATCTTACTACACTAGGGATTATATAGCTGTACATTGGTACCTTGGGTTAAGTACTTAATTCGTTCTGGAGGTCCGTTCTTAACCTGCAACTATTCTTAACCTGAAGCACCGCTTTAGCTAATGAGGCCTCCTGCTGCTGCCGTGCCGCTGGAGCATGATTTCTGTTCTCAACCTGTAGCAAAATTCTTAACCCGAGGTACTATTTCTGGGTTAGCGGAGTCTGTAACCTGAAGCGTCTGTAACCTGAAGCGTATGTAACCCGAGGTACTACTGTATCTGAAATTTCATGCATATCAGTTAATATCTTGACCCTCCTCCACGAAAATAGATGTTTACTTGGCCGTTGTCCTATGTCGTGAAGGCTGAAATTTCAATTCAGCAGGGTCAAGTTATTAACTGATACGCATGAAATTTCAGATACGTATAGCTATATAATCCCTGGTGTAGTATGATAAGACCTTTGGAGCAGGCATTTTCAAAAAAAAGTTTTTTATGAACTGCCCTACCTTTCATGCTCCCCACTCCCTCATGCCAAACATAGATTAGGTACATGTGAGACAGGTGAGTCATACCTGATTCAGTGATGACATGAGGCAACAAGATCTTTTGCTCATCTTTGGCTTTTACATCCCCCTAGGTGTCGTGAGAGGATGAGACTGGAAACTGATAGCTGGAGACAATGCCTGACGGGGTGATTTACAAAATACAATCACAAACTCACAGAGTAATTTTTACAGGATTCATAAAGACATTAGCAAGAGCGAAAGGATTTAACAAACAAAAGATGGAAACGGTTTGTTGAATATTTACAAACAAACTGTAAATGGATAAGAACATTGGCAGGATTGTTGTAATAACCTGCAGTTTTATAAGAGTACACATTTAAAGTAGATGAATAAATGATTAAGTTAATTTGGAATATGCAGATATTAAAAAAAACAAATTTAAGGAACCGCAGAAAGAGGGGGGAAGGAAGTCGAGTTTCAAAATGTTAAAATGATTGTAAAATTATTGAAAGGTATACAATTGGAAATCATAAATAAAAATTATATATAAAAATTATATAAAAATAATAACAAACAAAAGATGGTTGCATAGATTTCAAGTGTAAACTGCAAACTGTTTTGCAAGCTTTAAGACGATCAGTTGTTACAAAGCACTTAATTTGAAAATGTTGCAAAACAAATTGTTACATGTCTTTATAGTCGCAAGGGGTCTGACTCATGGGGATACGTTTTATATCAAGATGCATTTTATTTCAAGGCCTCACAGTCGAGAGGAAAGAAACATGGCTGCTCCCTTTATTAGTTCAATATAGGTAAAGGTAAAGAGACGCCTGACCATTAGGTCCAGTCGTGGCCGACTCTGGGATTGTGGCGCTCATCTCGCTTTATTGGCCAAGGGAGCCGGCGTACAGCTTCCGGGTCATGTGGCCAGCATGACTAAGCCGCGGGGATTCAAACCACCACCCTTCTGATCGGCAAGTCCTAGGCTCTGTGGTTTAACCCACAGCACCACCCACATCCCTATTAGTTCAATATACCTTTATGTAATTGAAGGAGCATTTATTTTCTTATCACCTCCTTGAATTTGTCTAGTCCTCTTTGAAAACCATTCAAGTTGGTGGCCACCTCCTCATTGCCTCCTGTGGCAGTGAGTTCCATAGTTTAACTGTGTGCTGTATGAAGAAGTGCTTTATCAGTCTCAAATCCAACATTCAGGATGCCCACGAGTTCTAGTGCTATGAGAGGAGAAAAACATGCTGTAGCCTCTTTCTCTATGCCATGCATATTTTTGCATATTCTGTTATCCTCTTACTCGCCTTTTCTCTAAACCGAAAAGCCCTGAATATTGTAACCTTTCCTCGTAAGATCGATTTTTAAATGTTAACATCCTGCCTTTCAATCTGTTCATCAGGGTTGAACAAACAAACCCCAACATCCAAGACTAATAAAAGCAATAAAAATAAAAGCAGAAGCCAGCGTTTATACAGAACAAATCAATCAGCAATAAAATAACGGAACTGTCTAACGATTAGAAGATTATGTTTCAAAATCATTTCTCTTTAAAAGGTATGCCTTTGTATTCTCGTTCTCTTTTTTTGGAGGTGAGGTGCCTTTTTACTGCTTTTATATTTTGGATTAGTGATTGTTTTAGAATGCATCGTGATACGATGTTTGCAGTTTTATGCTACACAACTTGAGCGATTTATATTAAAAGAACTATAGAACAGCAATATTATTTTAATATATTCCTCCATCCTTTGCTGTAATTTGCAGCACTAAGGGTGGCTTTTGAAAGGTTAAAACACAACAAAAGTCAGCAGAAATTAAGCAACCAGTATCGAAAAATAGTTGTTAAAACCTTTTTTTTAAAAAAAGTATTTGTGTGTGGTGTCAGTTTCAAAAGCAAATCTCATTAATTCATTGTGGCTTGGACAAACATTTCGTCTAAGTCATTTATTAAGAGAGTATTTTGTATGCGAGAGCTTATTGTTTCTGGGCTTGTTTTGTTGTCGTTTTGCTTTTGTGTGTGTTTTCTTTGACCGGGGTATTTTTCAGCTGAAAAGCCGTTCTGGCTCCCCTTCAGGAAAGGAAAAAGCGGAATATGAAGCCCTATGCCTGTTTACTCAGGAAGCAAATCCCACTGCCCTCAGTGGATCTCACCAAGGATGGTCGCCAAAGTCACCTGTGAGGAGAACGTCCCGCTCTTATCCAATCCCTTGGCTTCTCTTTCCCGCCCAAACTAGCTCCGTCCAGCCCAGCCCCCCAACTCGCCAGGCCCGCCCATTACACCGCCCAAGGAGAGGGCGACCTTCTTTTCCCACGAGCCTCTGCGCGAGCAACCTTCTCCCGGCATCCCTTGCGAGCGGAGGAGCAGGGAGGCGCTGCAGCGGCTTCAAGATGGCGGACCGACCCGGTAAGCGCTTTTGGAGGGAGGGAGACGCCAAGGTGACCCGGCTCCTGTCAGGGCTAGGGCGGTGCTGGGATTAATTTACTCCCATTTCCCGGAGAAGAAGCGCCCCGCTGTTCTGTGGAAGGAGAAAGAAGCGCCTTCTGAGAAAGAGACGCCCTTCTCAATGTAGCCCTGGGTAGAAGCGCCAGGCCGCTGCTCTTCATTGCTGGGGTTCGCCCTTGAGACCACTGTTTCTCTTTGTTGCCCCCCAACAGCTCTCCTTTGCACTTGTGTGTCAGTGTCAGGCAGAAGTTCGGCAGACAAAGCTTCGAACGCCCCTGCCCCCCACCCCATAAGAATAACCTAGTGCAGGCACGTTCAACTCCCAAGAGACTGCGATCTACTCCCAGTATTTAAAAAGGGGCAGTTTTTTAATACTGGGAGTATACAACCCATTGGAGGGAGGGGGAGCATGCGTGGGGTGGGTGGAAAGAGTTGCTGAGCTTTTTAGGGAGAGGGTTGCCCAGAGATGTCGATTTGGGGGGGGGGGTTGGAGTTGACCTTTTTTTTAAAGGAGGGTTACAAGAAATCGCTGACAATCACACACAGCAATAAAGCCACCTATCGGCCGCCCACCTTCTTCCCCTACCCCACCGGCGGGGAGAAAATAAATGTCAACCCGACGCCCACGGAAATAGGTCCTGTAGATCACGGTCGACCGGTTGGACATATCTGATCTAACGGATCATGGCCCACCTATGCCAGCATCCTGTTCTCACAGTGGCCAACCAGATGCCTCTATTGGGGAACCTGCAAGCAGGACCTGAGCACAGGAACAACTCTCCCTTCCTGCAGTTTCCAGTAACTGGTATTGGGAAGTATTTATAGCCTCCAACTGAAGAGGCTGTGCCATAGCTGTGATGGCTAAAAGCCACCAATAGCTTTCTTCTCCATGAATTTGCCTATTCATCTTTTGAAGATGTCGGAAGTCTGTGGTCGCCTCCGAGGGGAGGTGTGGGGGAGAACCTTATGTTACCACTTGTTCCTCCTCCTTGGCATAGGGGTGGGTAAGTCATAGCAGATACCCACCCTCACATTCTTTTTTTCCTCTTAGTTCCAGTAAAAGATATGAGGCTGCTGGATGTAAAAGTGGGGCAGTTGCCAAACTGGTTAGCAACTCGAGATTACACCCCAGCTGGGTTTGTTACGAGTATCCGAGGAGGTGAGTGTCTGGGAAACATCTGATGTGGAGCATATGTTTGTGGCAGGAATTGTATGCATGTGATTGTCTTGCTGAATATTTAATCTGTTCAACGCCAACATTTTGTGTGCAGATAACCAGGGTTTCAGAAGTCTCCTATTAGGTTTATGCCAATACTGTTATACCTGAGAAACACTGGCAGGATTCAGTGTACAACAGATCACACTTTCCATTGAAATACTCTTAATTTGCCAACATAATAAAGGCTTGATGGGGTTTGAAAATCTAGTTGTGATCCACCTTCAGATTTTTAATCCCACTTGATGCATTCACAGTGTGATCCAAATACATACTTGGGAGTATATTTCTATTGAATTTGGTAGCATAAGAGTAAAAAGACATAGGATTGAGCCACAAGTCTCCTCAGTCTTGCAGCCAGATCCTTTGCATTTCTACTCTTGACTAACTTCCACTGTGCTCATTGGCACACTCAAATAAATGCACACAGAACTACAACCCTGAACAGGCAGTTTCTGGCCTTCGTTCCTACTTATTTAAAGGACTTGTACACCAGCCTTCAGTTTAAAACAAGCATATACTAAAAACTGCAAAATCAACAGGAGCAGCATAAAAACATACAGAGGCAGTGGCTGCTTATGGATAAAAAACCAGAGGGCTGTTACCCCATGTAGAGCGGGCAGTAGTTCTGCAACATCTCAAGCAGGTTTTTATTTCCGAGTCCAGTTACTTGGACAGGAAGGAATTGAACGCAAGGCCTTTTGCAAAACATTTGTTCTTCTAGAGCTGCAGCTTTAACCTGAGTTCCCAGTCCCTTTCCCTTTGTTCTTAAGCTTATGTCTTAATGTAGCCATTTTAAAGTGTTTAGATAAACTAAATGGTACAGCCTTGTTGTAAAATCCTGATTTTTGATAAATTTCCTACTTGGGCTATAAGCCAAAGTACACTAGCTAGAAAGGTAGGTCTCATTGAGGCCACTGAGTTCAATGGAACTAAACAACAGGCTGCAAAAGTAGTGATCTTGGGCTGAAGACTTCATTTCCTTATTCTGTTAGCTTTTTAGTGTAGCTGTCACTTATCACTACTAGGTGTTCCTCTGCTATCTGTATGGCTAAGACTACGCTCCTTTTTCACTAGGCTATGACAGATTTGTCAAAAAGTACATTGATGTGAAGAAACCAGGCATTGGTGGCGTCGCCATGATGCTAACTGCCTATGTGGTTCTCAGCTACATGTGGAGCTTCGACCATATAAGTGAGTAAAACTTTCATTCTGTATACCTAAAAAGCAGCAGTAAATACAGTACAGTTGCATCTTTCGCACATTTATCTTGCACGATTTCAACTTTACATGATAAATGCATACAAAGCAGAGATCTTTTAACCTCCCTCCCTTGCTTACTGGGCAAGCCCTGCTCAGCAGGCAGGCTCTGGGGTGCTCTTGCAAGATACTGTGGGGCCATCCCAGGTTCCCACAAGAACTTGCATGACCACCCTTAGGCTTCCAGAGCCAACATGATGTGATGGCCTTGCTTGGGGGACAAGGCCCACTCAGTGCTCTGGCTCTGGAAATGTAAGGACACTAATGGGTGGTTCAAGTATAGCAGTTTTTGCGTATATGTACCTTCCCTGCGTAAGATGCGATTGTACTGTAAGTCCTCTGAGAGGAGAATTCTTAATGCTTTTAGGGAAAGGCATGTGTGCTGTTGATTTTCTGCTTGTGCTTCATGCCCCGACCTATGGTGGATTGCATCAGTTGCACTCTCTCTCTTCCTTTTGGAACTACTAAAGTTTCTTGGGATACCTAAATTGAACTTACATGGCCAAAGTATAGCTCTTAGTACTTGTCCTGGAGAAATGGGGAGGTTGTGTTCATGGGAAATTTGTAAATTTCCCAGATACATATAGCTGCTTACTGTTGGGAACCTGAATGTTTAATTGGATGCCATGTTGCTGTCAGGCGTTAGGTAAAACCCATTTCCCCCAGGTATTTGGTTAATGATCGTATACAGTATGTCATTGTTTAGCTTTGTCATGGTAATTAGAAGCTGTTTTGAACACACATGGAAATATGGGACAAACCTTTTAAATGAAGATGCACTTCCATATACTAATATCCAAAAGACTGCAACTGTTTGTTTTGGCTATTCAGAGCATGATCGCTGGAGGAAGTATCACTGAAGCTTGATGGACCAGAAGAATACAAGCTGCCATACTGCGACTCGTAGTGAGTTTGCTTCAACTGAATGCAGATTGGCTCTTACCTTCTAGACTCAAAAGTGTATTCTGTGACCAATAATAAAATATCTACTTTCCTTGTGACTGATGGAACTAATTTGATCACTGCAAAGTAACAAACCAACTGATCCCACAGCGGGCACGGGGGGTTTACATTAAGTTGGTGCTTGAAGGGATTGGTAACCACAGCCCATGAGTGAATAATTGCCTGAAGTTGTAAGGAGAAGGAGTAAAGAGCATTAGACATAGTCAGTGCTATTAACAAAATCTAGAGACTATATGACATCCTTGGAACTTACTCAAGTCTGCAGAGTAATTTAGTTCAGGTGACTGAAGCTGTGTGCATTTTAGAGGTAGGCTCAGTCTGGCCCTAGCAACAAAACCAAAGTGAAATAGTATAGCTTCTTTCCTTTGGTTTCTCTAATAAGGGACATTTAATGCTCTTGTTTTGCAGCAGGAAGATTCCTTAGTAACTCCTTAGTAAAATTGAAACCACTGTTCCTGCTATATAACTGCTCAGTCTACAAGATAACCTTATGCACTTGGTAGTTTTTAAAAATCAATTAAATATCCTGATTTATGTTGTGATGCAGGACCTCAGTTAGTTCTTCCCAAGCATGTGCTCCTTTTCTGTTCCCCAAAGTCACACTTCATAAATTAATATCAAAGTATTTCCCTTTAAAATAGGAAATAAATACTTAAAGATAGTTTGGGCAACTCTTGATAATGTGCCAGAATTGTATGACAAATTTCAGAAAGTGCAGATTCTACCATCAAAAATCAAGTATAGTTCTGTTGTAGGATTGTGGAAAGGTGCTTCTGAAAAGGTACATATAATCTTCATGTAACATGAGTTTAAACACACACGTGTCCCTCTACTTCCAACTATGAATGCATAATAAACTTTGCTTTTCAACTCTGACTAATCAGTTAAAGGGACATGAGCTGTGTAGCTTTGTGACTTCATCTTGGCTAGAGAGGCAAGGACATTCTACTGGACTTCAGCATAATGCCAACTCCTTCCCCCTCCCCATGACATACCAATAACCCTTGGACCAAACACTTTACAAGGAAGGCATCAGTGTAGATTTTAAGCATGTGCAGAACACAGCAAAGCTGTGCAACTCATGACATCTCATGAGCTAATTCCCACCTTCCACCCATAGCCAAGGACTGCTGAAAAAATGAAAGACTTCCAAGCCAAGGATACTGGAACAAGGAGTGCCTATTCCAAATATTCTATTTCGGAAGAAGGCTTGTGTATTAAGCTTTTCTTCAGCCTGCTTCCCAGCTGGGCAGTCTGAATAAAGGCAGGCACCACTTATGTTCTAAGACGTAAAACAAATGAAATACAAAAAAAGAGGTTGTGGGTAAGTAGTCCTCAGTAGGCTGTCCTTTTCATTTAGTCACTGGGGGAAAAAGATGGCTCAACAAGTTCAATGTTGTTTCAGGCAAAACTCGGCCCTCATATTTAAAAAGGTGCTGCTGGCTCACTGTCCGCTAAGGAATGCCAAATGTCCTTTGGTGCATCTGTTGGCATAATGTCCTTTTTCACCACACTGGAGAGAAGACCAAAAAAAATGAAGCTATTAAAATGCAGGAAGTTAAAAGCTTTGAATAAAAACATTAGCATGAATGCAAATGATAAGCATGAAACCTATCTTTCTTCCTAAAGTACTCCCAAGGTTGGAAGTCAATAGTTTATATATGACTGAAACTTTGAATTGGTGCCTTTCCCTGTGGTGCTGCTTTTGGAAGTGGTTGGTATCCCTGTTGAAAGCAGTGACAACAGAGTAAGATGCCAAATGTTAAACAGCACTAAATTTAATCTATGGCTGTAAGTAATGTTCATTTGCAACCTCAGCTTGAATTTGGTACTGTTCAAAGCCACATCAGGTGACAAGTGGGCATGCCTTGGTCCAATCAGCCTGGCAGGGCAAATCAGGACCATCAGCCAGAGATTTGTCATTGCTGATATAGATAGAGGGGAATTCTTTACCCATCCTGTCACACACACTTTGGGAGACAGATAATTGTATCTGGGTAAGTTTTTTACTCGAGAACTATGGAATTCAACTTTGTTGCCTTCCATTGCAACAACTTCCAGAGGTGTAGCGATATTAACAGGTGTTTTCACAAAGGTGTAAGCAGGTACCCAAGACAGAGATGAGTTTCCTTATTCGATACCTATCCCTTGCTTTGCTGCTTCATACTCTTACATATTCCTTTTTAGATTATCCCTGCAATTAAAGGACTGTCGTCTTAAAAATTACAGTAGAGTGCTTGGAGGTTTTAGGTGCTTATATGTAATAATGCAAAGTAGTGCAAGTCCCTAAATCCCACTATTTTTCAAAGTTAGCTGAAACAACACTCTCCGCTTGGATGTATGAAAATAAAATGCAACTATGTTTATTTCACTTTCAAAACTCAGGATTTGGGGTGCAGAGTTTTAAGATTTCCTAGACAATCCTTTCCCTTACAACCTGTAGGCTTCAGCTTACCTTATAACAGGTGACCTGTTCCAATGGCCGAGGACCCCTATTCCCCATGCTGTTGTTTTGAGACTGCATAACTCCAATGACCTGTGGGGTCCTCTGTTGGTTGGGAGAAGAGTTCTGACTCGTTAATTGGATGAGGGATGATGACCTCTGTAGTGGTGGATTGTTATTTTGCTGAGAGGGGGAAAAGCAGCCCACACATTGATCAATTCAGAAAAAAGTACCATAGCCCTGAACCTTGACTGAAATGCAACTACCCCCAAGAATGTTACTTTTTGCCAAGGCTTCTACAAATGCAGTACAGTGGTGCCTCGCAAGACGAAATTAATCCGTTCCGCGAGAGTCTTCGTCTAGCGGTTTTTTCGTCTTGCGAAGCAAGCCCATTGACGGATTAGCGCTATTAGCGCTATTAGCGGTTTAGCGGCTATTAAAGGCTTCGGGGATTAGCTGCTAAAAGGCTATTAAAGGCTATTAAAGGCTTAGCAGATTAGATAAAGGGGGGGGGAAGCGAAAAAAAAATCTCAAGACTCGCAAGATATTTTCGTCTTGCGAAGCAAGCCCATAGGGGAATTCGTCCTGCGAAGCAACTTCAAAACGGAAAACCCTTTCGTCTAGCGGTTTTTCCGTCTTGCGAGGCATTCGTCTTGCGGGGCACCACTGTATGTAACATCCAACCTTCAGATGGCAAGAAATTCCCACAGTACCTGACTAGAGAATGGAACACCAATGGTGTGTATAAAAATATATACCCTTCAAATAAAAAAAGTTCCTCACAGTGATTTCACACTGGTGCTTTGTGATTTCTATTCTCTGATGGATATAAACTGTATGTTTGGTGTTCAACTATTTCAACAACCTTAACTCTCTGGCATTCAGAAGATGCTGCAGAAGTCTGTAGATGTAACTGGGGTACTGCATACCTTTTGTTGTGGCTGTGTTGGTGGAGGCAGCGGTGGTTGCTCTGTGGTTCCCATGGGAAGTTCAAATCGAGGGCTAATTTAAAAAGAAAGTGTACATAAGGAAACATACAAAGATCAAATTGACCCTCAAACCACTGACACCTCCCCCTTACAGCTTCAGAGTTCATACCTGTCCTGAGCAACAGAAAATAATTCCTCTCCATGTTACATTTTGCTGCTTGGATACAGAGACTACAGCAATGAGAAAGTATTTTCTACATACAGCACTAGTACAGGAAGGAGAAACAGATTCTCCCCAACCAAACCATTCAGAGGCTAGTAACCAACAACCAGAACAGCTTGAGGAAGAGCCCACCCTCAAGGCTAAAGAAGCATGAGGTACTTTCTCCTCCAGCCAAATTGAGAGATGCTTACAGGGCTAACACCTTGAGACAACTTTTGGGAACAAGCCATACCCCATGCTGCTAGGGAAAGTCAAAACTCTGGGATACTGTCAACCTGACAATATCTTCCCATTTTCAAGTATGATAGCAAAACACCCTGAGCAAAACCTGAACTCTGTGCAAGCCTGCCTTATTGGGAAGCCACAAGCCTCAGTAGGTTAAGAAATATATTTGTGAAATGCAATAATCATTTTCCAATACCATTTCACTTCCATGTGTTTTCTGACAGTGAAGGAGGGCCTCATCCTTCACTGGCTCTCCTCCCAGCTGTTCCAGAAGGCAGGGCCAAGCTTTGAGACCTTCAAGTGTACAAGAGGCCCTTCCCATATGGATCGTATCTTAGCTCCAGAAAGCAGGGCATTGATGGGGCTGTGCAGAACTTTCTTTCCTCAACCTTTCCTAACTTTCTGGCTTCTAAATCTCCCATGTGTTTCTCTCTTACTACTATGGAGCTTATTCAGAAATGGGTTTAAAATGTTTTCTTCAGCCCAAAAAAGAAGAGTCCAGCACTTTCTCATCACTCATTTGAGGAATATTCTGACTATGGAACCAGCCTAAAAGATTTCCAGGATACATTTGAATGGCAGAGGGCATGGTGGATGAGCCTGTGACACTTGTCACTTGCAACTTTCAAAGTTATGATGTGTAAGGTTGAAGGGGAAACATAAAACAGCGGAAATAATCCTGGAGCATACTCACTGCATGAATTTGCAAGTGGGGCCCTCTGGACAGAAGCCTACCAGATAATTCACACATATAACACGTCGGGTATGTCTGTGCCTACAGAGGGGGCCTGCAATGAAAGATTTTTATCATTATATCTGTTATATGCAAACACAGGAAACATTCAGGATACACAAGGCTTGCTGTATGCACACAAAGCTGAGCCAACCAAGGCTACCTGTGATTTCTGACAGTTCAAGCTGCAAGGATTGTGCATTTTCAGAGACTTTTTCACTACCACAAATAGAAATTTCCCAGAAACGAAGACAAATTTGTAAGCAGCAAACTCTTATGCCAGACATCAGGGATGGGACTCTCCCAAGGTGCAAAGTGTTGCAGCTTCACATTATGGTTGCAAAGCAAATATATGTTGGAAGTCAACACAGATGCAGGCTAGCAAGCTACACAGCCATCAGCAGAAATATGAGGTATACATACCGTGTTTACAAAAACCTCTGTCATACCAAGGGCAATCTTTGATCTTAGATTCTGGGTCAATGTGCAAGAATGGGCATTCCTTGTTGCTGCATTCCCCTGCAGTAGACAAACACTCACTTTACTGGACCAACCAAGAGAGAAAGAGCATTGTGCATCAGCATCAGGATCAAACAGTTTTCCCAGAACAATGATACAGCATCAGGAAAAACTTGAATGCATATCTTTTGCTATTCACAAGAATCTTGGCTTTCTAGAATCTTGGCTTTCTTCTGGTAGTGTAAACCTCTAGCCAGATAAATAAAGATTCTAAAAAGTTAAGCATAAAGAGTCATATTCAGGATGAAGACAATTTAAGGTTTTTACTTATGTTATACTAAATCACCTCCTGCCAACCTAGCAGTTCGAAAGCACGTCAAAGTGCAAGTAGATAAATAGGTGGGAAGGTAAACGGCGTTTCCGTGCGCTGCTCTGGTTCGCCAGAAGCGGCTTAGTCATGCTGGCCACATGACCCGGAAGCTGTATGCCGGCTCCCTCGGCCAATAAAGCAAGATGAGCGCTGCAACCCCAGAGTTGGTCACGACTGGACCTAATGGTCAGGGGTCCCTTTACCTTTACTAAATCTCCACGAAGTTGGTGTCACTTAGATCATTTATTCACTTCAAGTGCAACCCAAAACTAACAAGGCATATAAAAATTATGGAATTCACAGTACGTTATGGACAGCACAGAACATCATGAAACAATGATAACAACTAAAAGTGCAAATTTTCAAACAGAACTACTCAATGTATGACCATATGCCCGCGCTCAAGGGTTATACACATATTTGATTATTTTGTCCTATAAACACTTGGGAAGAGAAGGCAGCATAACAAAATACAGAATTTAATGTTCACTGCAAATAAGTTTAGCTCAAAAACCAGCTCCTATTGGCGAGAACTGCAAGGTAACTTATCTCGTTCCCTTGTGTTACTGCCAATCCTAATACACGGCCCCAAAATGTGTGAAGCAGTATGATTTCACGTGACCCAAACTACAACTCAAGGCTGATGTGTCTATGGAGACCTAGGACAGTACAGTATAGCAACCAAAATATGGAATTACAAACGTAGTAAGAATTTACTTCTAAACCACTGGTTCTTGCCCAGGTGAGGGAACTAACCTTTAAATAAAAAACAATAGAAAAGCTATTGACAGGCCCACTAACCATTGGTTAGCAATGAACTGCCAGTTAGAAAGATTGCTCTGATTGAACAGTAGAGCAAAGCTTTTATAGAGTTCTACACACATAGCCATACATCATAAAACATCAAGCAAACATAAAAGGATGTAAAATGTCAGGCTCCACTGTGTTAGCAACTTCCCTTCATTCAGCTTTTGCACTTATTGCACAGTTGCCTTGACAACCAGGCCTTCAGAAAGGAACTATGACATTCCATTCCCATATGTCCTAGGAAAGCTTCAAGGAGATGCTAGTTTAACACTCCAGTGCTAACTTAAAACTGTCCTAGCAAAACATTCTGACTAGCTACAAAAAAATACTCCAGGGTCAGATAAGCATGGAATGCAGTGATTCAGTGGTTTACACAATGTGGGAGATACGCATGAGAGTTATACAATGCAGGAACACCAGAATCGAATTATTCATTGGTACATTCTATATAGAGAATAAGTGCTATTGGATAAATACATGAAACAGCTACAGCAAAATCTGTATCAAGAATCTTATATCAAAATTTATACATCACAAAGTTGCAAATTTCTGTCATCAGTGGGTGGTGTTAGGCAAGCATCTCCTTGTGGAATTGTAATACAGTACCGACCTTAATTTATGAAGCTATTGTAAGGATTGCTGAGACAATATATGTGAAGTACCCTCAACATTTTAAAGTGCTTCATAAATGTCTATTTGTATTGAGTGACTTCCTCTGTACAAGGCAAGCCTTCACAGTACCAGTAAAGCTCACGCAGATACCATATTTCCTCTTACCATATTTTGAGTAAAAATAACACTCTGGCATCTTAGTCATGTCATATTCATGCAAGAATTCACACTGGTCACCCTTCTTGCACAGCCCTCGTAGCCAGTGTTTGCAAACCACTGTCTTTTCGCCACTGATGTGCCGGAAGGGACACATTCCTCCTATTGTGCGGAAAACAAGAGATAAAAGAAATGCTCTTTAACACACACCCCATCTGAATTATGGGTAGAAAGCATCAAGGCAGGTCTTACAATTTTCCTTTAGGTCAAAGAAACATGTTTGGCTCACAGAGCATATTTGTTTATGCAGAACTAACATGGTAGAAACAACTTCTCCCCTCATAGAGTCTTCTAGGCAGATAGGATGACCAAGAGATGTCAAAATGAAAGGAGGGACCATGACTAGAAAATCATGTCTTCTCAAAAAATCATAGGAGCTTGGAAACCACGAGATCCTAATGTATTACTTTTATTCGGACACCTCAGTTTGTAAGTCAATGGGGTCAAAAAAGTGGTTTTGTTGTACCAGGGACTGATAGTCTGCTTGGAGGCCCTTTAGTTCTACAAAGTTTTGTACATCTTATGTCCACATACCTAACAAGACTTCCTTGTTTCTCTGTCAAGTGCTACGTACACTGATGCAGTATATAAACAATAAAGACTAACTACTGATTCACAAGTGGGGCGCGGGTGGCGCTGTGGGTAAAACCTCAGTGCCTAGGACTTGCTGATAGTATGGTCGGCGGTTCGAATCCCCGCGGCGGAGTGAGCTCCCGTCATTCGGTCCCAGCTCCTGCCCACCTAGCAGTTCGAAAGCACCCTTAAGTGCAAGTAGATAAATAGGTACCACTTTATAGCGGGAAGGTAAACGGCGTTTCCGTGTGCTGCGCTGGTGCTGGCTCGCCAGCTGCAGCTTCGTCACGCTGGCCACGTGACCTGGAAGTGTCTTCGGACGGCGCCGGCTCACGGCCTCTTGAGCGAGATGAGCGTGCAACCCTAGAGTCAGACACGACTGGCCCGTACGGGCAGGGGTACCTTTACCTTTACCCTTTTTACTGATTCACAATAAAGGACTGTAGTTTATTAATTGGCTTTGCTTCATCTTTTTCTAGCACAGCAATTTGCAGGTGTGGCTTACCTTTTCCACAGGCCGCTTTTAAAAAAAAGTCACAGACAGCTGCACCCGATTCTGTGGAAAAAGAGATTCACAATGAAGCTCCCTATATCCCACACCTCTGCAGTTTCAACAGCTGCGTTATTACATCATAAAAATGAAGACCACTATACAAATTAATCACTCAAGTCTTCAGATGGAAATTTACCCAGTATCATCTAATAAATTTATGGCTGAGCACACATTTCATATTCTTTTTTAAAAATCCATATTCAGACTGTCACAGCACTGAGAGGAACTGCTGGGGCAACATACACAGCGTTCCTGAGCCTCTCATAGCTATGTAACAAGTAGAAATCCAGAAAAGGTTTTCCTAGCATTTCTTCCCTTAGCCTGAGAATGTTTCAGATAACTTGAAAGCCCACATGCACCATGAAGAGAATTTTGTTCACCCAAAGCTTGCCTGTTTTGAATTCTCTAAAGTGTTATATAAATGCTAGCCGTTATTATTAGGCTTCCTACTGCGGCTTTGGGGGCAAGTAAATAAGTTATTATTTTTGAAGGCATTTTTTGGTGCAGTTTTATGGAAATTTTACAGCTGTTGACTATACTATTTTATGGATCCACTTTTTTCCTTTTAAAAAATATTTCCTTTGCACTTTAGTGATATTCTCAAATATCGTTTTAATCCTACAAAGCTGCATCTTTGCTTTTACTCACTAGTCTACCACCATCATCAATTTATCAGTCAACAGGCCAAAATTAAAACCATACAATGCATCCTTTTATTAAGTACAGAGCAAAACACAAAGTATGACATAAGTGTGATTGATGGAGGGCACTATCAACAGCAACTAGTCATTTATTTATTGATTAAAAGATTTATATACAGCTATAGCATTAAAAATAGCAAAGTGGTTTATATAATTTATATACATAATAACACACAAAAATTAGAATCAGAGACTCATCAACTAATTAAGGAAATATGTATTCTTAATTGCCTACGTAAGCCTGGTGGAACATTCTCACCTGCTGTTTAAAAGTTGAAACAGAAAGCACCTGCTGAAGCTCTACTGGCAGAGTATTGCACAAGACCAGTGACACTAAAGACCATAATTTGTGTCAATGTCAAATGAGCCTCACCAACTCAAGGGTAGGGCAGGCAGCTAACAACACTCCTGCAGATGATCAGAAGGAATGAGCTGGGATATAAGTGCTCAGGCAGGCCTGAAGGCACTCTGGACCTCAGTTCTTCAGGGCTTTGTAAATGTATACAAGGACAATGAACCTGGCTCAGTAGTAAATGGGCAGCCAGCACAGATTTTTTAATAATGATGTTGCATGTTGTTGGCCAGGTAGTCCTGTCAGCTGTCTGGCCATTCTATTCTGCATCAGCTGGAGCTTCTGGACAGACCCATCAAAAATACACTGCAGTAAGCCAGTCTTGAGAGTACCGCCACATAGTTATGATGGCTACATGGAACCTCTGGAATCAAGAGTCAGCGTATCCCAGAGTCCTTTTCTACAGAACAATAGGAAGAGAAAGCTGTTGCCTTCATGCGCTACTGGAGGGTTTTCCAGTGGAATCTGGGTGGCTGCTATGGGAAGCAGGAAACCAGACTACACAGGACCTTTCGCCTGCTCCAACAGGGCTATTGCTACATTAGGGTTATAAGTAGGTTCAATTTCCCCCCTTTTAAATAAATTTGATTCATATTTTAATCCATCCGTCTTCTCTTCAGTGACTCACAGGGCAAACCTACACGGCCTTCCTCAAAAATAAGCCCTGCCAAATTCAACAAGACCTACCCCTTAAAGTAGAAGTTTCTTCTGGGGAGGGGGGTTATTCCAAAATGTGTTTTTGTGGGATTGTCAACCACCGGCTCCCGGCCTCTTGAGCGAAATGAGGTCACGACTGGCGCGTACGGGCAGGGGTACCTTTACCTTTACTTTTTAAACCACACAACTGATACAATTTATTGAGATAACACTTAAATCCCACTGAGACTCTGAAAGAAGCTTAAAAAACAAAACGAAACCCCTCAAAACCTAGGTGCAGCAGCAAAAATTATACGACATCCGAATAGCACGAGGATTGCTCTGTCGCCCTTCCGTGACGTGTCCTGCAAGTTAACACCTCCCTCGAAGGCCCCTATTCAGTATATTGGGAATAATAATAATAATAATAATGTGCCTCTGCTTCCCTCTCCCTCCCATCTTCAATTCCACCGCGAAGAGCAGATGGGGGGTGGGGTCTGGGTCTGCCTCTTCCAGCGCGGCCCTCCCTGACCTCCCTCCCTCCGCCGCCCCCTCGCGTACTGTCCATGCCCGGGAAGGGCAGCGGCTGCGCCCCGAGCTGCTGCTCCACCGCGATCTCCAGGTCGAACTTGATGTGATCCACGCTGGCGATAAGTTCCTGCATGGCGGCGGCGACTGTGCGTTCGAGGAAAGCAAACTGGACAAGGAAGCGAAGTATCTCCGCTCCCCTCGAGGCGCTTCGGCTCTGAGGGAAAACTGAGGTAAAACCAAAGGGCGGGGCGAGCGAAGAACCTAACGCTTGTGTGCGCGCGCGAGTAAGAGGGACACCAGCTCCCTCCAATCCGAACGCGACGGGCCTTCGCGAGGGATGATGGGAGCCCCGCCTCCGCTCTCCGGCTCAGCCAATAAGACTCTTCAGTTGGGTGGGCGAGCTTAAAGTCCCTCGCGCAGCCATGGTGCGTGTCTCTGTCGCTTTCCTCTTTCCGGCCCCGCCTCCCCTCGCTTAAAGAGTCGGAAGCATTGTTATGGGGGGGGGAGAAGAAGGCGGAGGAAGAGCGAACCAATGGGCTCTCGCGCCGAGGTGCGGGTGGTTCCTCGGCCTATTGCCACAGCCCAAGCGAGAAGCTCCGCCTACCACTTTCAGAGGCCGAGGCGTGCGGGGAAGTCGGGAGTCGCGAGCGCGAGTTCTGGCCTCGCGCGTGGAGGGAACGTTGGCGGGTGAGTGGCAGCCCGTGTGCGCGTGCGCGCAATATAGAGGGAGGAGGAGGAGGTGGTCGTGGCGCCTCATGGAGGCTCCTTCTGCCTCGGCCGGGTAAGAGGGTCTCAGAGTCGGCCTCAGCCAGCGCAGCACAGTGGCCAGGGGTGACGGGAATTGGAGTCCAGCAAAACTCATGGAGGGCCTCAGCTTTCCCATCCGAGCCTGATCCTGACACTGCTCTTGAGAAGAGTAGTAGTAATAACAATAATAATAGGTTTATGATTTTTATTTTATTTCTGTACCGCTTTCTAATTTTAAGAAAAATCTCAAAGCGGTTTACCGCATATTAAATCAGTAAAACATAAAAAAATCTGAAGAAAGTCAAATATATACAGTCAAATAAACATAATATAAACCTAAAATTTTATCTTAATATTTATAGTCGGAACATTTGACTGGGTTGCCCCCATATATAACATAATAAAACGTCAAATACTGTGTTTAAAACCTCCCCGATACAGGGCTGCCTTCAGAGGTCTTCTAAAGGCTGTGTCGTTCTTTATTTCCTTGACATCTGATGGAAGACACCACTGCCTAGAAGTATCGAGTGGGGGGCTTCTTCCCTCAGCCCTGAGAAGCTTCGTTCATTTGTTTTGTAAAATTTACGTAGCGCCTGATTGTAAAAAAAAAACCCGACAACACCCTCAGAGTGGTTTACAAAAAGAGAAAACAGTAAAATGGAGGGGGGGGGGAATGCAACCCTACTTTCAAAGTTTAAATGCTAGAACTAGAATTCCTGACACCCGCAAAATTGTTGAGCTTTTTCCATCGTGTTGCCATGCACCCAAGTTTTCCCTGACATTTTGCCCCCGGCGCCATTTTTTACACCCAAAGACAAGGACATGTCAGGAATTTTCCTGACATATGGCAAGCTTATTTCTAAGCACCTGGGTAGGCTTCTCTAAACAGGAATATTCTTTTCAGCAGGCGACGAAAAGAGCACAATGAAGACACCTGCTTGATCTCCAGAGGCAAGGAGTTCCAAAGTGCAGGTGCTGCCACACTAAAATATCAAGTTGTTACAGATATGGAACGGGTATTATGGTGGAACCTGCAGTATTGCCAATTCCACCCGTCAAAACAGTCAAGTGGATGCATTTAAAATAAGAAGCTTTGTTTGAAATGTTTCCACACAACCTTTCACCAAAACAGATTTCAGAGCAGCATATAATAGTATAGGTAAAGTGTTGAATGCAGTTGAGTTTTACTCAGAACAGACCCATTTAAATTAATGGGCCTCAGTTTATTATTATTTTTTACAATCAATATAATGCAAAGTACGGATTGAAAAATCAACTTAAAAGCAGGAGCAAGCTAACATGCAAAGTACAATAAACTCAAAATTATAAATTACTTAAAGTGTCTAACTAAGGCTGCAGTCCTGTACCTATGGCTAACTTACCCGTTGAACTCAAGAGGCCCATCGGGAACCTGTGGTCCTCCAGACGTTACTGGACTGCAAACTCCCAACATTCCTAGCAGTAGGCCTTGCTGGCTGATGGGAGTTTGGAGTCCAACAACATCTAGGGAGCCCCAGGCTCTCCATCCCTGATGTGATACAACAATTTGATCAGTGCTGTGTTTACTTTTTATGATCTTGTTTTAATTTTGATGTATCATTGTTTTAATGTTTAACAGAAGCCACTGCAGGTTTGTTTATTTTTTATTTTTGAAAAAATTAAGGATATAGATATATAAATGTTTTGGATTTGGATTCTAGGAGATGGCCGTCTAATTGGAGAACAAGGTGACGAAAGCGGGTACCACAATGGCTTTGCAGCTGATATACCATTGCTTCCCTGCAGGACTTTTCACTGTGAGAGGTTCTTTCTATCCTTGGCTGTGTTCTACTTCCAGATTGAGGTCCATTTCAAAGAAACATTTGGCAGGGCCTAGAAATGCACATCATCTCAGATTTCTGGCCTTGAGACCTTTTAGTTCATCCCCAGTGGTCTACAAGTTACACAGGAGAGATCCGAAAGAGACACACTCTGCCACCACCCCTGAAGCAGCCAGCAATGAAGAAGAGAAATTTGATGACGACGAAGGCTTTGGGTTGTTGTCTCAAAAATTTTCTTCTAGACAATTTTTTCACAAAGCTTCTGAAGAATTTCACGATTTGCAACTCAAAAGCCAGGTGGAGGAAGAGGAAGAATTGGAACCAAAACCCAGACAAGGTCCCAGGAACACTCCGTATTGGTATTTCTTGAAGTGCAAGGCATTGATAAAAGAAGGCAAGGTCATTATCTCAGCTGTCTTCATTGCAAGAGTATTGAATAGACTAGCATAGCTAGTGAAAAGCCATTGCTCACTGCTAGAATAGAGCACCTGCCAGGGACTCTGGGATGCCACTGCTAGTCAGTGTAGTAGACAATATTGGGCTGGATCAGGGTTAAGGAGCCTTCAGTCCGCAGTCCTAATATTGGCCAAGCCCATACCCAACACCATATCATTGACATCAGCAAAACCCTGTGCACAACGCTTTGCAAAACCCAACGATCAGCTGATCCTTGGGGCCGGCGAAGCAAGGTGTCAAACCATGCTGACAAAAATGGGTCATCCAATGCCACTGTGATGCCCACCTGTCACACGTGGCCCGTAGAGGTGGGTTGGTAGACAAGGCTTCTGCCTGCACCTCCCAATTCCTGAGCCGTCTTCAACCTATTCAGACCTGAAACCCGCCCATGTTTAATCCAAATATACACATTAAAATGCCAATGGGGACTGACATCTGTTCCCATGGAAGGGTTGCCCATAAGGGAGTGGGGCTTTGGGGCTGAGAAAGGTTCCCCAGGCCCTGCAGTAGCAACAGTTCCTGCTGCGTCCTCACAGTTGTCCTCTCTTAACTGTAGCTGGCAGAGGCTTTGAACCTGTTTGAGGTACAGATGCTGAAGGAGGAACGTGTTCGACCAGAAGAGAGCAACTACACTGTCCTGATCGGTGGTTGTGGCAGAGCTGGCTATGTGAAGAAGGCATTCAAGCTCTATAATGATGTAAGTATTCAGGTTTCGTTCACATAAGGAAGAGAGCTGTTGTTAGAAAACCAAGCCAGGGGTAGTTTTTGTATGAAACCACCCAGTGTGGCTGGTTCTGATGGGCGTAGGCATCCAATGCCGTCTGGAGTTCCCCAGATTCCCCATCTCTGAACTAGGGAACTCTTGTTGCCAGAGAAGAATTGAAAGACAAATGTTCCTGCAAAATGCTATTGAGAAGGTTTTGGAACATCTTTCACGCGGAGAAAGGTGCGTCCATCTCTCCTGCTGCTTTTGAGCTGTGTTGTGTCATCCCTCCACCACACCCCCTGTGGCCTTGTGGATGTTGTTGGACTCCAACTCCCATCAATCCCAGCCAGCATGACAAGTATGATAAGGAATGATGGGAGCTGGAGTCCAGCAACAGATGGAGAGCCACAGGTTCCCCAGCCCTGTTCTAGTGAGCTAAGTCAAAAGCAGATCTCGCCTTCCATTTGTTCATTCAACAGGCATCCCATTAGCCGGCATCCTGGTGTGTTTTTGTGCCAAGTTTCTAAACTGACAAGAAAACGCAAATTCATGGCCTACGATGCATCAAATTAAAAAAAAATCAGCAAGTTTGCCTGGGATTTCCCTCTGATTCTTTGCAGTAAGAATCACATAGCCATGTGGAATTTTCATTTTATTTTAATTCTATAGCACGATGAACAGCATATGGCAGAGGAAACACAAGGGCTGTGAAGGTATTGGCAGTGACTCTTGCAGTTAGCTAATATGATGGGTGGACTGACATACCTTGCAGGGTTTATTATTTTATTTTCTTAATTTAAATCCCCATAATCGAATCCCCATTACATCCTCCCATCTTAATAGCAACTCCAGCATCGAGTGCTTGGAAGTATGGCTCTCTGCGCTTCCTGCTAGAAGTCTGTGACACCTGCAATATTTTCTTTAAAAGTTTTCCATTCAATATACAAGTCCTCTCTGTCTAATTGGGATTTGCATAATTGACTCCTGTGCATTACGATACTTTCACCGAGTATCTGTTCTATTCCTGATACCGCATAATTGTTTGAGTATTCTTATAAAGCATATCTATTGCTGTTTTCTTGGGAGGCAGATGAAGAAGCGAGCCTTGACTCCGACTGACGCCACGTACACAGCCCTGTTTAACGCCTGTGCAGAGTCACCCTGGAAGGACTCGGGCCTGCAACATGCGCTTAGGCTACGGCAGCAACTACTGAACAAAAACATTGAGCTCAACATAGTCACGTACCATTCTCTGTTGAAAGTGTGTGCCCACTGTGCAGATCTCCGGGTGTGCTTTGACATATTGAAGGTAAAGAAGCTCCTGGTATAAAATTTGGGTTGTTTTAATCTCTGTGTGTGGTTTTCTATGCAAGGAACTGTGTAGCAGAAAGTGGCATATATTATCCTCAAGGAAATAAACTGCATGAGCTTGTAGTAAATGCCCATCCAACACTCTCAAACAAACAACATGAGTTGGGGAGACTGCAAAATGTAAACAGTGCACAGGATTGTGAAATGTTGCAGGGTGTGGGAATGAAAGTGTTGGCTTCAGACAAAGTTGTTACTTCTGTTTCCAGGTTTTCAGAATGCTTTCCAAATACTTAAAATGATTTGCATAGAATCATAGAATTGTAGAGCTGGAAGGGACCCAAGGGCCATCTATTTCAATTTCTTACAATGCGGGAATCACATCTGAATAATCCCTGGCAGGTGGCCATCTAACCTCTGCTTAAAAACCTCCAATGAAAGGAGTGCAGTCCATTCTGCCATCAAACAGCTGAAATACATTGAGTCAGAATCTCATTTTTTGGCGATTTGAATCCATTGGTCTGGGTCCTACCCTCTGGAGGAGCAGAAAAAGCTCCACCATCCATGTGACAGCCCTTGAAATAGATAGCTGTTTTATCTCCTCTCAGTCTCCTCATTACCATACTAAACATACCCAAGTCCCTCAACCGTTCCTTATGGGGCTTGCTTTCCAGGTCCTTGACAATGTTAGTTACCCTTCTCTGCACATGTTCCAGCGTCAATATACTTCTTAAACTGTGGTGCCCAGAACTGGACACAGTACTCCAGGAGGGGTCTGACCCAAGCAGAATAGCATGATACTGTTATTTCCTGTGTATTAGCTTTTTTTTTTTTTTTTTTGCTGGTGCATCACACTGTTGACTCCTGTTAAACTTGTGGTCTGCTAAAACTCCTAGATCCTTTTCACATGTACAACTGGCAAGCCAGGTGTCTCCCATCTTATATTTGTGCATCTGGTTATTTGTGCCTAAGTGCAGAATCTTACATGTATCTCTGTTGAAATCCATTTTGTTAGTTTTGGGCCAGTTCTCCAATCTATTAGAATCAGGATTCAAGGTGACTATATCGTCTGAGGTATTAGCTAACCCTCCTGGTTTGGTGTCATCTGCAAACCATCATTTTAACCAAGATACGCTATCTGAACATTAGTTTTTGTAACAAATTTCTGATTTCCCATAAAATTCCACCCCCACTCCTCACAAATTGGTAAATCGGCAGAGATTCTGTTGCTTTTAGTGGGTTCCTTTTTTGTAAACAGGTCCATCTCCTGCTGATTTTTGGTCTGGTTTGGAACAGAGAGGCATCTAAATCCAACTAAAAACTCCTGTTTGCCAACAAGTTAGAATGTGGAATAATGAAAGTATTGTTTCTAATCTTAAAGATAATTAGACAGTGCATGACATTTAGTTTCTTGCAGTACAAGGTTGAAATTAGCTTTCTCAGCTGACATCAGCAATAGTATTTGTGAACCCAGTATTGATGGACATTTGTACCTTGGTTAATTTAATTTGAAAGTGTCACTTTTGGCCTTCTTAGACTTTCCTGAATCTTTTTATTATTATTATTATTATCTGAGAGAGAGAGAGAGATGTTTTCCATTTGAGCTACAAAAGAGCAAATGTTTCATTAAAGATTTCTATTGTGGAATAAGTGTGAAATTACTGCATTCATCCCCCCCCCTTTTTTTTTTAATTAAGGAAATCGTCCACAAAGGCCATACGGTCACCACAGAGACTTTCAACTTCCTGCTTATGGGGTGCATAAAAGACAAAGAGAATGGGTTTCGCTATGCCTTGCAGGTCTGTATGTTCCTTTCCTCTTTACAGCCGAACAAACCAACAAAGAGCTTAAAGCTTGCATTCACTCTGACCGGTTTTCTTAAGCGATTGATTCTTCTGGTTGTGATCCTTAAATTTCCATGTATCTTATAGAACTAGGGAGCTATATACATCTTAGATTAATTTTATTGCTAAATTTGTATCCCACCCTTCCTCCCAAAGGAACCCACAGCAGTAGACAGTAAAATGTTAAAACCATATAATTTAAAATCAAATAAAAACCATATTTAAAACAATTAAACACCATCTCGTTTTTTTTGAAAGCATCATGCTAATGATTGTGAAGTTGTGCTGTCAGTTCTGAGTTGCTTTTTAAAAGGACAAGAGAAAATGTCTTCCTCTTTAGTTAATCACCATTATGTCATTTGCAGTTACTTAGCATGATTATGTTAAAACATTTGCCTTCAGAACACAACATGTACCGTGGAGGAGGTGGGCAGGAGATAGGATCCAGCTTGCAGACCTGATTCTGAGCTACCCCCACAGGCTACTTTGTTTATTGCTCACAGTTTGTTTGGAGCTAAACAAACCACGGGCCCCATTTCAGACATAACCCAATGCCAGGAATCATGGTCTATTTCTCTTGCATGCTATGAGGGAGGAGCAACATGGATGAGATTGGTGCTTTCACAGTATACACTGTTTTACGGTGATGTGCAAACTGAGCTACTAAGTGGCTTTGGAGACAACTGCTGTCTTCCAGGCTCCAATCCCAAGAAGCAAATTCCTTTGAATACTGAGGCTTACTGCCGAGTGAACACATTTAGGATCAACTTGTCTGTTTCCCATTAGTGTAAGAACTGTAATTATATGGATCACCTGGGGTACATTTCTTTTTTCTCTGCCCTGACTTTCCTTTCCAAAAACAGGTTTGGCAGCAGATGCTTAAACTGAACTTAAAACCCGACAGTTACAGCTACAACTTGATGCTCGGTGCTGCCAGAGACTGCGGCCTTGGTGACCCCCGTATAGCTTCCAATTTGTTGCTAGGAACTTTCAAGGAAAGCCCAGCTATCCTGAGACTGGAAGCTGGTAAGCAACACCGGAAGGCAAAGGGTTGGCGAGGAAAGGAAATAGATGCTGGAGCTGCAATGCAGTTTGATGTGGAGATGTTGGAAAAATGTGTGTTCCCGGAGGAGGACAGAAAACCTGAGCAGGAAGTCTATAGCCAAAAAAGCAAAAGCAAAAATGACAATTGTGCAAAGGCAGAGACTGGTGATATCTCTACTTTGCCAGATTCTGCTGCACTCAGGGATTTGGGGATCTCTGATAAAAAACAGATGGCTCCAGATGCGGCAGAAACAAACACTCTGTGTTTTTCCAAAGCCTCCTTCAACTTCCCCAACTTGTTGGACTCGCAGCCGCCCAACGAAAATGTGATCTCCTTAGGGACGGTGGCAACCCCCTCCGATAGACTGGCACTCATTGGGGACATGGAGGGTTTCTTAAAGAGAATGAAGGAAGATGGTGCCGCGTCCAGTATCAAAACTTTCACACTGCTAGCTGAGCTGGTGCAGCCCAACAGCCAGTCAGAGTCTTCCTTGTTGACGGTGATGGAGGAGCACAACGTGAAACCAGATATAACTTTTTTTAATACCCTGGTGAGGAAGAAGAGCAAAGGAGGAGATCTGGAAGGAGCAAAGGTAAGATCACGGGCATATGAGTGTGTGTGGGTCAGGGATGGACAGTCTTCAGGCTTGCAGGAACTACTTTTTTTTACCAAAACCTGATACATTTTCTGCCCACCCACGGGTGTAGGCCGTAACCTTTTGGAGAACAGTGATGACTAAGAAGTACAGCTACTTTGCATGCAAAAGGTCCCAGGATCAATCCCTAGCATTTCCAGGTAGGACTGGGACAGAACCTTGTCTGAAATCCGGTCGGTGTAGTAGCCAGTATTGAGCTTAATTGGCCAATGGTCTGACTGAATGTAAGGCAGCTTCCAATGTTCAATTAGCTTCATTCGTACACATTGCACCTCCTCTCAGCATGAACCTGAACAGGTAATCTAGACAGCTGTTCTCACATGCCTTTGTATATTACAGAGCCTGCTGCCCCTAGTGCTGAAGGAGGGACTTTCTCCCAATCTACAGACGTTTTGCAACTTGGCAATAGCCTGCCGCAAAAAAGAGGATGGACTGCAGTTACTCTCAGACATGAAGGTACAGAAAACTCAAGCTTTTGAGGCTGTTTTGCATGCAGCAGACCTGGTGGTTTTGATGGCTACATGTTAGTGAGGAGTTCTGTTAACATAAGGGGATCTTGTCTTTCAGCCGTCCCACTAGCTCCTGTAAGTGGCCATTGCAATCAGTTGTATAGTGTGCAAATCCCCATCTCCCCGGCTTTGGGAGCAGTAATCTTGTTATACTGTGAGACTCCTAGATGTGTGTGTAAGGACTTCAGAATTACCTTTGTCTGACAGTTTGGGGCTGTGTTTTTCAGCGTTCTGGAATAAACCCCAATGTACAGATCTATGGTGCGCTTGTAACTGCAGCTGTGAAGAGACTGGACTACGCCTACCTCACAGAGATCCTTGCAGATATGAGTAGAAACCGTGTTCCTCCAAATGAAGTTGTCCTACGCCAGCTGGAGTTTGCAGCCCAGTATCCTCCTAACTTTGATAGGGTGAGGTAACCTTTTGTTTTCTGCAGAAGCTGATTTATACTCGAGAGAATTAAGACCACATATTATATGCACAGTTCTTTGAACACCCTTGCAGTTCTGTGTCCTCTGCACATTTACCCAGATTGCACCCAGTTAAGTGTGCATCAGCCTTCTCCCAAAATATTCCTTTCCAGATATTTGCAATCAAACTCTCATCAGCCCCAGCCATCATACCGTATTTTTCGCACCATAGGACGCACCGGACAATAGGACGCACCTTGTTTTAGAGGGGGGAGAACAAGAAAAAAAAATTCTCTCCCTCTCTGCCCAGCGCCCAGAGAGGGGGAGAATTTTCCCCCTCTTGTTTTCCCCCTCTAAAACAAGGTGCCGTTTAAGGTGCGTTCAGACGCCTTCAGGCGGCTACCTTGGAAGCCTGGAGAGCGAGAGGGGTCGGTGCGCACCAACCCCTCTCACTCTCCAGGCTTCAGGTTCCTTTCAACCTGCTCTTTGGGGCTGGTGGGGGGAAGCCCACCACCAGCCCCAAAGAGCAGGTCAGGGAGCAGCGCAAAGGCGCGCAGCTATAGAGGCTCCTGCCATAGCCGCGCGTCACCTCTCCAGCCAGCAGAGGGTCGCGGGGCTATGCTGTCTTCGCTCCATAGGACGCACACACATTCCCCCTTCATTTTTGAAGGGGAAAAAGTGCGTCCTATGGTGCGAAAAATACAGTAATTTAGTAGTCAGGGATAATGGTTGGGCACCAGGTTGAGGAAGAAAAATGTATAGGATTGCTAAGTGACCGCAAGTATACTGTATCTAAAGAAAGGCCATTATACCAGCATCTACTTAATTGGATAAAGGTCTTCTCCATACAAGTTCTGAAGTGCGTCTTGCACCAATGGTATTAATTTCAATTGACAGTTGAAAATGTACTATTTACCCAGACCATGGGACAAGGTGAGAGGTTAGATGGTCCAGTGTGGTGTAGTGGTTAAGAGCGGTAGTCTCATAATCTGGGGAACCGGGTTCGCGTCTCCGCTCCTCCACATGCAGCTGCTGGGTGACCTTGGGCTAGTCATACTTCGTTGAAGTCTCTCAGCCCCACTCACCTCACAGAGTGTTTGTTGTGGGGAAGGAAGGGAAAGGAGAATGTTAGCCGCTTTGAGACTCCTTAAAGGGAGTGAAAGGCGGGATATCAAATCCAAACTCTTCTTCTTCTTCTTCTTCATTGCATGTTTTATTTCAACACTGATACTGTGTGTTTTCTGCAGAAATGTTTATACACCATTGGGTTGTATTCAGTGATATTCCTACGCATTGAAATCTATGGACATGACTTGTTCACTAAATTTAATGGGTATGGGCAACATTAGCTACAGCCCTCTAATTTGTTTAATGCTATGAATTACTGCCCTAGGGCTATTTGATGAAACGTGAGAAATCCAATAGTTTCCAGTTTATCTCACCTGTGCTCTTTAAGAGACCACCAAACACAACTGGTAGCAGCCAGACCTGGTAACACTTCTAGATCCCATTGATTCCAGCAGAAGAGAGTTTAAGCACTTACTTCCCTCTACAGAAACTTTTTAATACCAGCACACTCCTCCACAACTTCCAAATAAAAGCAGCAAAAGATTATGTAAGCTCCTGGCAAGTCTAAGAAGCAGTTTCTCACTTCTTAGAGTAGAACTAATCTTCTCTTGCTATTACAGAGTGTTAATTCTCTCCTCCTTTTCCTCTTGCAGTACAAAACAAGGGACTATTACCTGGAGAAAATTAATGGCTTTCGATCCTACTACTTCCGCTGGCTGAAGTGGATGGAGGCAGAAGAAACACCACACCCTTGGGCAAAATACAGAACTCCTAAGCAGCCAGAAAACAAACATAATACAGAAGATGCAGAAAACTACAGCAGCCAGAGGAGGTGGTAGAAAAATAAAACCAATGCTAATACTCCATAGTGGTGTTGGAAAGTTCCTTTTGCCTTCATCTTGTGCCAGCATTCTTGTCCACATTGGCTTTAGAATTTTTTTTACAAGAAAAGGGAGTGAATATTGCTACTCAGACACAAGGCCTGCTATGTTCAGTGGGATTTACTGCCAAGGAGGTTTTTATAGCAGTTATGGGGAACCTTTAGCTCTTCAGATATCGAACTTCAGCTGCCATCATCCCTGGCTAATAGTGGAATATTTGGAATGCCAAAGGTTTTCCCTTCCTGATTTACAGGGTTGCGACAAAAATGAAGACCTCACACATTGCAGTATGAACTGTTGTAATAAAGGGTCCCTCTTGATAAAGTTATTTTTTTGTATTTTCTCTCTTAATGAGACTTAGGGCTTTTTTCCTTTAGTTCCAGAAGGGTGCCCACCCTCCATTTTCATGCAAGTATGGAATTTTATATTGGATGCAAAATTTTGTTTCCTTAAGTTACCTTGGTTTTCATTATTAAAACACAAGCTTATAGGGTGTGAGATTTTAAATATAAGCCTGAAGGCATAGGCAATTCCTATAAAAGTCTTGGTGCACAGGTAAACGGAAAGCTTGAGTTTTTTTGGGTATTTGAGAATGAGGGGGATTGTACCTCCTCTAACAAGCAGCAGTTTAGCAAACTTACACAGGTCCTTTGTCCCACTTTATTGCTAATTGGCAGGCCTCCTGGGGAAGTATAACATATTTAAAGCCACCCTTACTTCCTCTCCCACCCAATGTAAGCAAGGTGATGTAAGTAGTTATTTATATATATATTGCCCTTGTCTCCATGCATAAGAAATAAGCCCTCCATTGTTTCATTTCTTTAATGGATTGATGCATAATCTGAATTAACTCATGTCTACCAATCCAATATTACTAAGCATAATTATTAAACAACTTTATCCCCATGTTTCCAAATTATCCCTGGAAAAAGGAGGGTCCAGTTTCATTTATGTTCTTTATTATGAAAGCAGATTCATAAAGGTAACAGTAGCAGCACAGAATTAAACAAACCACCTTGAGGCAATAGGCAAGACTTTATTTTAAAATAAAGTAGTTATACAAGACATTAATACTACTGCATTTACAATTCAGGTTGTTGGAGATCCACTCACCGCCGGGTCTTACGACAAACAAATTATGGTTCTTATTAACAGTCATTGACGATGAACCAGCCATTTAAGAACTCCTCAAAAGGGAAGGGTAACTTTTAAAAAGGGGAAAGGGGATTTCATCCAGAGCAGCCTCTGCACCCGCAGTGAGTGCACTCAATTATTCTTCCCTGTAGAATGAAATCAGCATGTTAGTCACAGCAGACCCCTGAGCACACAGTAGAGCAAGAAAAAAAGGAAATTTTGCTGGTTAGGAAAACTTACAGGATTGCAACAAATGAGAATAGATACACTGTTTCCTACTGCCTTTCATACTACTGTTGCAGGGTGGAGCATTTATTACAAGAACCAATTTTTTAAAAAGATAGGAGTCTCTCAAAACTGCAAGTACAGTCTTATAACTTGCTTGTTTTTAAAAGACCCTTAAGATGTCAGAGTGCTAGAAAAGCCAGGAAATGAGACTGCAAATCTTTTTACAGCCTTTCTTTGATTTACAGAAGTTTTAGAGTACGAGACACACACTGATACGATGGGTGGTCAGTTTTGAAGCAACGTTTTTGGTGGAACTGCAAGAGATGGTGGTGGTTAATTATTATTATTAGTTGAATTTATATACCGCCCTATACTCAGAGGTCTCAGAACGGTTCACAGAAATGATCAGTGTAAAAAATTAATAATAATTCAATCAATCTGTATACCCATAGATCTCCGAGCGGCTCACAACTTAACAGGATGAGGTTGTTCATCCAGTCCTACTAAGTTGAATGGCAAACTGTCCCCAAGGAGAAAGTTCAGAGACAGACAAGGTCTCTAGCAAGAGGAGTAACAAACACTTGCCTTTCACGTGGTTTGGATTTCCAGGGGTCACACTGCTACTTATTTGCATGAACCAGGTTTGGGGGTGGGGATGCACAAAAAGGCAAAAGAAATGGGACACAGAAAGAATTGTTGTAATGACCCAGGGGGATTATTGAAAACAACATTCTTACCACTTCCAGCTTGCTTTTGGGCACTCTGCAGATGCAGTTGGTTCCAAAGTTGGTATCTCGGGTCTGGATGCAGCGCAAACAGCAGAGGTTTTCGTAACCTTGTTTCTTCCACTTTGCAATTAAGTTTTTGTCTGCGTATCCTTCTTTAATGCAATACTCATACAGCTCTGTGCAGGAGAGAGGATGGGATAATTAGAATGCTCAGTAGCGGCAAACAAAAATGACTGTACCCCTTTGGCAGAATTTGCTCACACCTACATTCTAAAAGGGACGCGGGTGGCGCTGTGGGTTAAATCACAGAGCCTAGGACATGCCGATCAGAAGGTCGGTGGTTCAAATCCCCACAATGGGGTGAGCTCCCGTTGCTCGGTCCCTGCTCCTGCCAACCTAGCAGTTCGAAAGCACGTCAAATTGCAAGTAGATAAATAGGTACCGCTCTGGCGGGAAGGTAAACGGCGTTTCTGTGTGCTGCTCTGGTTCGCCAGAAGCGGCTTAGTCATGCTGGCCACATGACCCGGAAGCTGTCTGCGGACAAACGCCGGCTCCCTCGACCTATAGAGCAAAATGAGCGCGCAACCCCAGAGTCGGTCACGAGTGGACCTAATGGTCAGGGGTCCCTTTACCTTTACCTTACATTCTAAAAAGGTTAGTATTTCTTTTTCCATTTGACAGACCGGCTCAAGCAGATTTCCCAGCCATACTGAACAAAACATACATTTTCCCCTAAAAGATCAAAGACAGCTGTGTTACCTCTACTGATGGCTTTTCTCTTATAGAAGAGATCAAAAATGTAACGTGTTTTCTGGTGGTGAATTCTGAAGATAGGCCAGAGAGATTCTACTTTCCTCTTCCCTTCATGCGGTTCAGTCTCAGCTGAAGAAAAGTGGGGAAAAGGGCAGAAAACATGTTAATTTTGCCAGCTAATTCAAATGTTCATTACGTCTCCATTATTTCATGTTGCTAAAAACAAGGAAGAAATCCTATAATATTCTGATAAATAGGATGTGAGAATTCATTGGAGAATATATGCTATAGTTCTCTATTCTCATGTAGTTTTGCAAGCTGAACCAACAAATGTTTTCAGTCATCACATTTAACCTGCAGTATCTAAAGGTGATTTGTACTTGGATCACTACCCATGCAGTAATTTTCTAAGTTCTTAGCCAAAACTGTTCCCATTCCCGATACCATTTTAATTGATGCAAGATTAACAAAGATGAATCATCTCTGTGAACGTGAGTGCTACCTTTTAAGTCCACAGTCCAATCTAGAACAGAATTCAAGGAATGTAAAGTCTCTGTTTCTGTCTTTTGGTTTTTATTTTCAGTCGTAAGTGTAGGGGGGGAAAAATCTGTTCCTTTCAACTGGTCTTTTTTTTTTCCTTTTAAAAGGGAACTCCCAGAGGTAGGTACAATTCCCAGGGTTTTACAAGCATTTCTGGTAAGCACAATTTCTTTGCCAAATTATATGTACAACTGAGAAGACTAGGTGCTAACTAATAATTAGCATAAAAACTTCCAGCCTTGGCAGGTTTATATTTGACACCTCGAAACTGCTGGCCTGTGAGGCTTTGTAAATTCCACTTCTGACCTTCAATACTCTGGTCTTTCCCATCAAAAGCCTTATCCCCTTTTTCTTCTGTTTACTTAATTATTGGCTGAAGGACACTGAAAAGGCTTCTGATATCCACCATTAAGCCAATATCAGCTGTTAAGTATACCATAATTTAAAGTAAAAAAAAACACAACCAAACGAACTACCTGTCCTCTTTTCAAAGCCATACAAAGAGAGGGGAATATGAAAAAAAAAGGAAAGCAGTAAATATCTCTTGCTTAAACTGCACAGTTCTTACTGCACAGTCAAAACACCATTAATAACTGCAGAGTGCCAAATAAATGCACCTTATCTCAACACTATGTTTCTGAGATCTCTATTTTAACTGGAGATGTCCTGGACTGAACTTGGGATCTGTGTACAAACCACCATGGGCTTCCTATACTGAATGTGCCAAAAAGGCCAGCTCATACACTGTTCTATTACACAATTCATGCTCGCAGCCAAATTAGTACTCTGCTACTCACCTTCTCTCATTTTTTGATCTAGTTCATCTAAGGTTGGTTCAATCAATTCCCAGCCGTCTGGAGGTGGTTTTCTACTCCTCTTCACCTTGGGCATCTTGTCAGCACAGAGGGAGGGAAATCTGGAAAAAATAAGGGAGTAATAAAATGTGTACCACTATAAATTAGAGTACTCTGGATAATATGTTCCTTTTACATATTTTTGAACCAGGTGTCTGAATACCCTAAGTTCTCCCCCATAGCATTAACAACCAAAAGAACCCCCCCCATTTCCCTTGGGTTATCTGAACATATACTCTGTTTCTTTATTAATTTGTTATTATTGATTGTTATTAAATTTATATACGTACTGCCCTTCATCTGAAGATCACAGGGCACTTTATAAGAAAACAAAATGCATAACAACAACAATGCCCCCAGAAACATTTAAAAGGCCATAGATTGGCCTTTTAGCACCAGGGCAGGTCAACCTGGAAGGAGGCACCGCTTAATGTATCGGTGCCCGAATCTATTGTTTCATGCAGCCATGGGGAACCTGTGGCTCTCTGGATGCTGCTGCTGGACGCCAACTCCCAGGGCCGGATTTACGTATAAGCTAAACAAGCTTGGGGGCCCCCAAAAAATTTAAAGGGGGAAAAAACTGGATGTACATTTCCAAAATATAAGATATAAAACAAATAAAATGGCTTTAGATACCTATTAGGTCCATAAATTACCATATAGCTTATATTCAACACAAAAAACAGCGACGATTTGTTGTTGACAAAGCCAGCTGGACATATAAAGGGCCCCATCACCTTCAGGAGCTTAGAGCCTCATCAAACCTAAATCCGGCCCTGCCAACCCCCCTCATCCCTGCTGGCCACGGTGGCCGGGGTTAGTTAGAGTTGGGAATTCAGAAACACCCAGAGAGCAAGAGGTTCCCCAAGCCTGCTTTAATGGCTGCAGAGCAGGCAGAAATCCAACAGGTGAAACCTTTGCCCGGCAGGATGCCCTCATCATAAATTCCTGCCTGCCACACGCCACTGGAGGCCCTTAGCCAAAAAAAGTGCGCCGGCCAGAAAGAGAACTCGTCAAATGAAGGGCCTGCGACCCCCACCCTCCCCTAGAGAGCCCCCAAAGGAAAAGCTCCTACGCTTCTGGAGACTCTTGTTTCTTCCGCTCTCTTCCGCCTCTTCGAAGCTCTCCGTCGCCTCGCGATGACGTTCCCGCGACGAGAAAGGCCCTTCCCTCGCGTCTGCGTCACGATAAGGCGCTTCCCTCTGCGGTTGTCCTCGCTGACGCCTGTCTAGAAGTCAACCCGCGGATGGCGGCCGGAGCCTCGGGGCGAGGCAGGCGGACCGCACGAAGCCTCTCGGCGGACGCGGAGTGCGCTTTGTAATTTCGAGCTTTCCGCCAGGCGGCGCCGAGGACAACCGCCGCTTCCCGACGCCGGCATCCCGCCGGCCAGGCCCCCAAGGCAGCGCGTGTCCGCCCGCTCTCTCGCGCACGAAACGTGTATCGGAGGGGGGGGGAACCATAGACTTGAGGAGCGCAGGGCCGGCTCCACTTCCGCTTCCGGGTCGCGACAAAAGCTCGGGGCGAAGTGAGGAGGGGGAGGAAAGAGTCGCTTGTAGCCGGAGCCGCCGCCATCGTCCTCGCTATGCCCAAAGGAGGTGAGCCCGGCCGGGAGGGGAGGCCCAGGGGTCGGCCGCGGCCTTGTGGCCTGGCCCTCTGGGGTGAAGGAGGAGGCGGGAGCGGGGAGCCCCCTGCCATCTTGGGCTCCCCTCTGGGCCGCCTGGAGGGGGGGAACTTGGGGTCTCTTGTCCTCCCTCCCTGGGGACCCTCTGAGGGGTTTGAGCGTCATGTTGTTAGCCGCCCTGAGCCCGGCTTCGGCTGGGGAGGGCGGGATATAAATAAAAATTATTATTATTATTATTAAGACCTGGAGGGAGGGGGCGCCTCTTCGGGGTGGGGGGGTCGTGAGGGTGATGGCGGGAGGCTTCTCTTCTCCCTCCCTCCAAGCTGCTCCTTTGCCTGCCTTTCCGTGCGCCTTGGAAACCCTTCTTGTTCTGCCTTTGGACAAGGCGCTGGTCCGGGTATTTTTTTAACTAAAAATAAAAAATACGTGTTTTGTTATAGAACGGTCTGCGCTGCTGTTTTCTAATCGTCAGCCTAACGACTCATGGTGCTTTTTTTTGATGATCCACGAGCTGCCTCCCGATGGGGCTTGCGGTGAAAGGCAGCTTAGAAATGCCGGGAAGAAAACGTTGGCGTGGGGTGAATGCATTCAGTGGGCTCTGTCCTGATGATACTCTTTCCCCGCAACTTTTCACCAAATCACGACATCTGGAAACCTTCCCTAACAGTAGCTATAAGGTACCAGGCTGCCTTAGATTCCCCGCTGCGGTTTGAGCATCAGGCAGTTGCATCAGGCAAAGCGGGGGCATGCGTACGAAAAGAAAGGGGGGGAAAAGACTCTGATATGCCTTCCACGTGGGAAGGAGGCTGAGGGCTGATTCAGGCACTTGGCTTGCACAAGTAGAAGGGAAAGGGGGCGTGGAACTGCCCCTGAACTTTTCCCATTAAATCACATAGTCTCCTAAGTCTCAAATGTTGAGAATCCAGGTGGTTCTTTTCTATATGACCTTCTGGAAGGCACCTGCCTGACCAGTGCTGTTAGCAGTAGGGTGCCAGATTAAACGGTAATTTGAGCTTGAAGGGCAAGGACTGTGGCTTGGCAGTAGAGCACCTGCTTTGAAAACAGAAGGTCTCTGATTCATTTCTCAGGTTAGGGCTGGGAATATTGGTGTAGGCAACACTGAGCTCAGTCTGAGTCTGGCTCAGTATATGGCTGCTTTCTTTGTTCATGTCTTATAGAAAGGACCAAACGTCACTGAACCAGCTTTCACTGAGCCTTACCACAGAATGTTCCAGGTTCAATCCCTGCCATTTCCCAAAGTTGTTGTTGTTGTTCTTACTCCCTGCCGTCTCCCAAGGTGGTGGTTGTTTTGTTGTTGTTGTATTTATTAAATCTGTTAGTCTCTTTATCTTGCCCAAGGTAACCCAAAGCAACTTGCAGCCAAACAAACAAAACCCCATATAGATACATTAAAACAGTGTGTGTTTGTGTTACATTAAAAAACATCCCACACACTTCTAAAAGGCCACAGATAGTTTAAGGCCAAAGGCTTAATTATTTAAAAAAAGTTTCTGCCTGGCATCTAAAGATATATAAAGATGGTGCCAGATGAGCTTTCCTGGGGAGAGCATTCTACAAATAGGAAGCCACCTCAGAAAAAGCCCGTTATTGTGTTGCTGCCCTCCAGATCTCTCATGGAAGGGCCTCAGATAGAAGAGCCCCCTGTCTGCAACCCTAGAGACCTGCTGCCAGTCAGTGTAGATAATAGTGAGGTCAATGGTCTGACTTGGTACAGTGGTACCTCAGGTTACATACGCTTCAGGTTACAGACTCCGCTAACCCAGAAATAGTACCTCGGGTTAAGAACTTTGCTTCAGGATGAGAACAGAAATCGCATGGTGGCGGCGCGGTGGCAGCGAGAGGCCCCATTAGCTAAAGTGGTATCTCAGGTTAAGAACAGTTTCAGGTTAATAACAGACATCCAGAACAAATTAAGTTCTTAACCCGAGGTACCACTGTATAAGGTAGCTTCCCGTGTTTGATCCAGTAGTGCTGCTCTTCCGAGTTTTTCTGATCATTTACCTGCAACCTTGTGTAATATACCCCATAAACACTTTCCAAAAGCCTCTGTATGAAATTGCAGGCCAAAAGCTAACAGCAAGACTTTTTAAAAAGGAAACCCTCTGGATAGTCCTCACCTCGAGAGAGGAGTGGAGGTCAAGATAGGAGCCCCTGAGAGGTTGAGGGGGTTGAGTCTAATCAGTATATAATTATAGTCCTTTTGAGAAGAGCTCAAAGCAGGCTGCACATAATAGATTTGTCCTTACAACAGAGCTGGGGAACCTCCATTATTTAGACTACAACTCCCACCATCCCTTTCCATTGACCAAGTTGGCTGGATTGATGAGAGTTCTCCAGTGACATCTGGAGAACCACAGGTCCCCCAACCCAACCTTTTGAGTAAGCCTGTGTTGTTTTCAACATGAGAAGAACAGATTGAACAAGGGAAGCCAGTGGACACTTGGCTAGATTAGGGGCTTGTTTTGTACTGGAGGCTACCAGCTCGTGCCTTTCATTCTTAACCACCAGCAGCAGCAGCAGCTGAGGGAGGAAACAGAAGCAGTCATCTTGCATTGATGAGTGCTGATGCTAATTTGTGTGTGTGTGTCAGTTTCGGTGAATTGATGCAGAGCTTATTGTACGTCATTTCTGAATGAAGGTTATCGTGGCTATTGTGCATTTAGCTAAATTGGTTGGTTAAAAACGACAGCGTCCCTAATTCTTCAGAAGGGAAAGGTGTATATATGAAGTTGAAAATTCTGCCCGTCTGAAGCGGTGGCACAGAGCCAGGAGGAGGAGACTGCAATAGACAGAGAAAAGAAACTGATAGCTTGGCTTTCGCCAGACCTTTTTTAGTGAAGATGGAGGCATGACTGAGCTTGTTGCTGCCTCTCCCCCCCCCCCCCCCAGTGGAGAGGCTGCCTTGCCACTGCATATTCAGCACATGACTGGTTGCATGAACAGGAGAGGAAGAACAAGCAAGTCCCGAAGCTGCACCACACCCAGTTTGAACTATTTCCAAGGGATTCTGCCAGGATGTCTTTCTTGAATGCTAGCTTTTCCATAATCAGGGTTTCCTAGTGGTGGCTCTTGGATTCTCTGCCTCTCTGGATCTCCAAAAGGAGCACGATGAGGTTTGCCACTGAAGCATGATGACATCCTGAAGGAAATGGAAGCTGCAGTACCCGGTGCTCTCTCAGTGCAGCAGATCTGGCCAATAGTACAAGAGCAAAGCATAGTTCAAAAAACGACAAGGCAGGAGATGGCTAGGCTACAAACACTGAGCATTTATGGCTGGGGTGCTGGATATCCATATTTGAAACAACAGAAGTGTTTCAGGAATTGCTCTGTTGGGTCGGAACAAAGGTCCAAATTATCCAGTCTTCTGTTTTTCATAGGGTACTTTCCAGACTCCCCATGGAAGTTTACCACTAGGGCATGAAAGCAACACGCCCCCTTCTTGTTTGTTCCTGGTTCCCTGGTATTCTGTGTTAAATTGCTTCTGAACATGGAGGATCTATTCAGCTAAGAACCGTTGCTTGACCTAAGTTCTTTGCATTTGATCATTTTCAAAGCCACATAGCATCTTGCGGTAGCAACTTCCATGTGCGTTGGAGGATGCAGCTCCCAAATGTGGGTTTGTTTGTTTGGTTTTTTTAAAAGCAACCTAAGTGTCAGGGTTGTGTGACAGACAAACTAGCTTGCGTTAACCAGTTAGCAGTAAGAGGTTTTGTGTGGCCAGTTGGAATTAAATTAATGAAGCTTCACCCAACGCGACAGATGTCTTTCTCTGGGTCAGGAATAGTCAACATGGTTCCAGATGCTGTATAGGACTGCATCTCCCTCCATTCCTGGCCATGCTGGCTGGACAGCTCCACCTCCAGACAAAAAAGATAGTGGCAGAGAGGAGGTGTTTACCGTATTTTTCGTCCTATAGGGCGCACCGGCCCATAGGACGCACCTCATTTTTTGGGGGGAGGAAATGAATAAAAAAAAATTATCCCCCCCCCCACCGCGGCTGCCGCCCCAAGCCTTGCGCACACCTGCCCGAAGCACGGGGCACCCTCCGGAGGGCTCCCCATGCTTCGGGCGACAAGCTGCCACCCCAAGCCTCGCGCGCTCGGCGGGACCTCCTGCCGGGGGCGCAAGGCTTGCGGACACTCGCCCGAAGCACGGGAAGCCCTCCGGAGGGCTCCCCGGGCTTCGGGCGACAAGCTGCCGCCCCAAGCCTCGCGCGCCGGCGGGACCTCCTGCCGGGCGCGCAAGGCTTGCGGACACTCGCCGGAGCTGCAGGCTGCTGCCCGCAAGCCTTGTGAGCCCGCGGTAACTCCCACCAGGCTTGCAAGGCTTGTGGATAGCTTCCTGAAGCCTGGAGAGCGAGAGGGTCGGTGCGCACCGATGCCTCTCGCTCTCCAGGCTTCAGCGAAAGCCTGCATTCGCCCCATAGGACACACACACATTTCCCCTTCATTTTTGGAGGGGAAAAAGTGCATCCTATGGGGCGAAAAATACGGTATTTCCCCTAACCTCACATTTTTAGATTAACCTTGTATTGCTCCCGCCCCTCTCAGCTCTCTTTGCAATTGTTTTAGTTTTGGCTTTGTGTCTTTCTGTCCTGAGACCTTCAAGTGAAGGGGAGCATTGCCTGTAAATGCGGTGAGTAAATTATAGAGCAACACAACTGACACAGCAGCTTTGAGCTACGAGGGAATGAAACAGTGACTGCTCATCCTTGTTCAGTATGTGGCACATAAGCAGCCTGAAATCTTTGTTTTTCCCCATATTTTTTTTTAAATCCAGTTCCCACTGTTTGTCCGTTGTAGGCAGATTTGCTCACATGAGCACAATCTTGAATTCTACCTCGCATTAGAATTCCCAGTTTCATATGGGTCTACTCAGATGTAAGCCCCACTGGGTTTAATGGTATTATTCTCAAATAAGTATTCAGAGGATTCCACCCCCACCCACCTCTCCAACTAACAGAATAGTGCGGCTACTCTTCTGGAAAGCAAATGAAAATAGTTCCTTTCTGACTTTGGTGTGCTACATACATGCACACAGTAGAAGCTGAGCTGGGGAGCTTGCTTATAATCCATTTACTTTTATCAAATTATATACAAATAATACAGATCAGGCACAGGGAACTTGTGTCCATCCAGATGTTGTTGGGATCCAGCCGCTGGCTGGGCTGACAGGAATTGTAGTCTAACAACATCTGGAAGGGACCCCTTATTCCCCTTCCAGAGCTACAGTTCCCAGCATTCCCTGGGAAGAGGGATTGACAGTTAAACTATCCCAGAAGCTGTATTTTGTCTGATGGGAATAGCGGTCTTCTAACATCTCTCAGCAGCTTTAACAAACTACAGTTCCCAGGATTCTTTAGGGGAAGCTTTGACTCTTCCAAGTGGTATGACACAGCTATAAATGTGGCGTTGCACATGCAGCCTGACTGTATGGAACAGCTGTGGGATTTGTAGTTGGCCTGCAGCCCAGGGCATGAGTCAGGCAGTGAGGGGAAGACAGGGATGCTGTGACTCCCGATCCTACAGGAAGGCTGTGGACAAGCCAAGTGGGGGGCCGTCATGGCTTAGAATTCCATGCTGAGCAATGGGTTGAGCGGTGATGTGTCCAGGATGAGATGGAAAGGACCCCTTTGACTCCCTGCTGGGAAGAATGACGAGGTTTGGAGGGATGATAGAAGGTTTTAAAGAACCAGGAATGCTGGGACTCGCCAACTGAAAAGTTCTTCAGCCTTTCTTTGGTTTGAGCTTTCTGTCCCCTCAAGCCAGCCTTCCTCGTACAGTCATACCTCTTGTTACGTTTGCTTCATGATACATTTTTTTCAGGTTGCGTCCCGCGGTGACCTGGCAGTACTGGAAAGGGTTTCTTCCGGGTTTCGCCACTCGCGCACAGACGCGCAAAATGATGTCATGCGCAGAAGTGGCAAATCACGACCCGCACATGCGCAGATGCATGTTGCGTTCCTTTCAGGTTGCGAACAGGGCTCCGGAACGGATCCCGTTCGCAACCAGAGGTACCACTGTATTGCAGGACTTCTGCCAAGTTACCAATCACTATGAATATATATGTAGATACCTCAAACCCTTCATCAGCCCCAGCCAACATGGCCAATAGCGGGGATGATGGGAGTTGCAGTCCAACATCTGGAGGGCACCAGATCGAGGAAGGCTGCCACCTGTGGTTGCATGTGGTTTTTATCCCCTGGATGCTAAATGAAGGAACCACCGGTTCCCTCATCCTTCATGCTCTGCAGGAAGTCATGTTTTTATATATGTTGGAAGCCACCCAGTCAGATGGGCAGGGTATGATGAAGATGATGATGATTGGCTGCTGGGACATTCTAGGGCAACCTTTCCAGCCTAGTGCGTTCCAAACATTGATGGACTTCAACTCCCATCATCCACATCCATTAGTCATGCTGGCTGGTGCTGATGAAGAGTTGGAGTCTACCTGTTTCATTGCACATGGCTGGCAACTGGGCAGAAGGGGCAGAACACTGGACTGCCTAGGCATTTTGGTCTGGTCTTGCTTGGTTGACTGCAACAAGCCAAGAGCGAGAAGACGAGGACAACAGCGGCTGTCTGAAGTCGTATTATTATTATTTATTATTTTATTGTTTGCTATATGTTAAATTTGCATACTGCCCTACACCAGTAGGTCTCAAATCCCTAAACTGGCTCTTTCCTTGCAGGTAGGAAAGGAGGCCACAAAGGCCGGGCACGGCAGTACACAAGCCCCGAGGAGATTGACGCTCAGCTCCAAGCAGAGAAACAAAAGGCCAAGGTAAGTGGGTGTCTGCTGCAGTTTTCACAGGACCGGGGTAACAATAGCAGGCACGAGTTGAACTGTGAGATGGGAAGTTGCCTGGTTCACCCTTTCCTTTGACACAGGCACACGAGTTCTTCTCTCAGCCTCCCATCTGCAAAAACGGGGATTTAGAAAAAGGACTTCTACATTTTTCATATTGAGAGTGTCACGGTCCGGTTCACAGGCGATCAAAGTCCCGGCTGGGGACATCGGGACCGGGGGCAAGATGGCGGGGTGGGAGCAGGTACAGGAGTCCAGGAGTCAGGAAGTCAAGGGTCTGAGGATCAAGAAGTGAAGGAGTCAAGGAGCCAAACGCAGCAAGGCAGGGAACGTGTTGCTATGGCAAAGAGCCTAAGGGAAATGCTGACCTTATATCCCGTCCTGGATCTTGCCACCAGGTGCTGTGAGTTACCAATCGGCCTCACCTGTGCAGCCGTGCCTTGCCTCTTCAGAACAAACTTAGGAAGGCCCCAGGCCTGCAAAGTCCTACTGGTCACAGGGCCTGGCTCCCGCACGCACTCCCGACAGAGAGAAAACCTTAACGTTGGGCAAAGGCTTGCAACATATTTATTAGCATTGACCTTTTACCTTTACTCCAAGGAGATGCTGAGGATAGGTACTTAGTTCATCCTTATAATAACCCCTTGCAGTACAGCACACTAGAATTGAGTGTCTGTCTCCAGGTCACCCTGTGAGCTTTGTGGCTGAGTGGGAATTTGAACTGATGTTTCCTCAGACCAACTTTCTCACTACTACACACTCGCTCTCAAATGCTTAATTATTGCTTACAGAATCCAATGAATTTGGGCTACCTCTGAGAGGACACTTTGCCTGCCCTCCTTTGCACATGTCCATACCTCTGGGACAGAACAAGATGTAAAAAAATAAAAGAGCAGTATTAGATCTATAGTCCACTATCCTTTGTAAGGAGGTCAGGGCAGCATAAATGGTAGGTTAGGTTTAGAGGAGGCGGTTGGTCCAGATCATCCAGTGAGCTTCGTGGATGAAGAGCAGTTCGAGGAGCAGTCCTACTCGCACTGTAACTTCTACTCTGTGGTCGCCCTGCACGGATAATGCTTTTCACTTCCACAGGAGGAGGAGGAAGCAGAGGAAGGCGGCGATGGGGCAACAGGAGAACCCAAAAAGAAGGAGAAATCGCTAGATTCAGACGAGAGCGAAGAGGAGGAGGAGGACGATGAAGACTACCAGGTACTATCAAGATGTTCCGTGGAAGGATGCTCAGTTCGTGTTAATCCTTGAAATTCAGGTCATTTCTCATCCAGCTGATTGCTGCCAAGTTCTTCACCCTGGAGGGCTGTTTTTCTTCCAGAGGAGCTCATACAGGGCTGAAGGTGGTTCTCTAGATGTTTTTGTATGGCCCTGAGGACTCCCCCAAAGCCATGCCCCCTCCCCTTTGCCAACCTGCTCCACCCCATCTTTGTGTACTTCTGACTAGCTGGGAGATGCCCTCAAGCTGCACTAGAGAAAGGGGGAGGTGCATAGAAAACTCGTGAGTTATGTTTTGCTGAAATAGGACCTACTGTACGAAGCTGAGAAACCGCATCCATTTCCCCACCTGCTTTTTTTCTGGCCCTCACCAACTGCTGGGATGTGGCCCCCTGGAAGATTCCCGTAAGAGAGAATTTGGGCTGAAAAAGTTCCCCCACCCCTGTCTCTCTTGGGATGCATTGATAACATAGCAGGAAGCAGGGGCAGCGGAGAGGGAAGGGATGAGCAGTTTTTCCAGAGAGAACCCAGCAACCAAGTGGAGAAGAGCCCACCAACCCAGTTCAGATAACCATCTGCTGCAGTGGGCTAGGGCAATCCTTGAGAAGGTTGTTGTAGGGGAAACATGAGTTGGCTTTTGCAGCCCAACTCCCCAAGGGCCTCTGAATCCCCTAAGTCAGAGGTTTCCAACCTTTTTGAGTCCATGGCTCCCTTGACCAACTGCATTCTTTCTGCGGCTCCCCTGTGGGGCTCAGGAGCCCAGTTATGTCAGCCCTTGCCTGCAGAGTTGGCAGCCTCTCACCCTCAGCCTCCTCTCCTCTCCCTTCTACTTGGGAGTCCTCCAGGCAGCCGATGCTGTTGCCCCTGGTCTCAGCTGCCCCCCAAAGAGAGGCCCCTCCTCACACTGCCCCACAGAGACCTGGGTCTTGTCTGTCCATTCCCAACAGCAAGGGCTGGCAGACTAGCTGGCTGGCCTGCTTGCTTGCTTACTCTGAGGCCACGTCAGCTCCTGGCAACCAGCACCCCCTGACCAGCGCCAGAGGCACCATTCTCCTACGGAGCTTGTGGCTAGGGCTTTTGCAACAAGAGCTGCACAAGCCTTCAGGATGCAGAGGTGTGAGAGAGCTTCAGAGGAAGGAGGGAAGGAAGGACAGACAGAGGCCAATGTTGCCCACAGCACCCCTGACCATCATTCAAGGCACCCCAGGGTACCATGGCACACTGGTTGAAAACCACTGCCCTAAGTCCATGATCAGTCAGAGAAGAATGGATGGAGGCAGGAACTAGTAAAAGGAAAGCAAGGGAGATCTTCATTTTCCTGTTGCAACAGCCCCCCCCAACTTTGCAAGGAGGTGAGGACCCCAAACAAAAGTGTGTAACAGCTTTTAGAGATTTTAGAAATTGTCCAACCCCTCAGGCAAAGCATCTCCACCCCCATCATCCTGCCCAGACACCGAGGTCCAGTGCCGAGGGCCTTCTGGTGGTTCCCTCACTATGAGAAACGAAGTTACAGGGAACCAGGCAAGAGGGCCTTCTCGGTAGTGGCACCCGCCCTGTGGAATGCCCTCCCATCAGATGTCAAAGAGAACAACAACTACCAGACTTTTAGAAGACATCTGAAGGCAGCCCTCTTTAGTGAAGCTTTTAATGTTTGATGCATTATTGTATTTTAATATTTTGTTGGAAGCCACCCAGAGTGGCTGGGGAAACCCAGTCAGATGGGCGGGCTATAAATAAATTATTATTATTATTATTATTATTATTATTATTATTATTATATCACACACCGCCGTAAGCTTTTACATGTTGTTTGTTCCACCCACCTGAAGTTGCCGCTGCTCACGTTCCCCTTCTTTCATTCCAGCCAAAGCACAAAGGCGTGGAAGGCATGATAGATATAGAGAATCCCAACCGCGTTGCACAGACAGCCAAAAAAGTAACTCAGATAGATATGGAGAGCCCCAGGGAATTGTCGCGGAGAGAACGGTAAGGTGTTTTCCTCGCCTCTGGCGTGTGGGATTCTCCGGGAAGTGTTGCTCGGGGTGTGTAGAAGTCTGGGAGCCTGTGGTTCCCTGCTCCCTATTTTGGGAACCTGCAGACTGTCAAGGAGCAATTACTGGCCTGTCCCAGAGCAAAATGAGGATAAATTGTGTTTTAACGCCCTTCTGCATGCCAACGCAGCTGTGCTGAGTGAAGCAGCCCTGAGTAGTCACCTCTTGGCTGACTGATACACTACGGACATGGTGCATTCACCGTCTTAGTAGATCTGTCCATATTCTCGCCTTTCTGCATGTGTGCCTTTATCGGAGGCTGCCAGAGAGGAACTGTGTCGGGAATACAGTGGCCTGCAAAATACAAGACACTGGAGAGATTGGGGAGCAACAGGAAGGCACTAGTTGCTATCCCAATTATTTGACTTGCTCTTCAGGGGGCAAAACCCAGGGGCGCTGGCTTCCCAGGGCAAGCACCTCCCCATGCGGAAAGAAGTCAGCAGAGTCGCTGTATGGCTGCTCTGATAGTTACTTTTCAAGGTCTCAGGCAGTGAGATGGTCTTTTACTAGAACTGCTGCTCCAGAGTGGGGGGGGGGTCCACCAACCCTGTGGACACATCTGGAAACCTGAGAAACCATCATGGGCAGCAATTACCCACCTCCCCAAGTGTCCCGCACCCCCAGATGCAAACTCTACAGCATACTTGGCCCTCCTCCCCCAGCAATTAGGCTTTTAAAAAATCTGGGTTTTTGAAGCTTAAACATCTTCCTGGAAACAGCAGCTGGAGAGAAGCGGCCAGCCCACCTGCCCCAGCCCCACCTTTGGCTTGCAAAAAGGGAGGCAATAGAAGATTTTTCTCAGGTGTGATTGTGTGGCACGAGAAAACATTTGGCAGTGGGGGGATTACTGGTGTCCCCCATTAAATCTCCCCCGCAATGTGCACCACAATTAGGCTTGAAAGATTCTTTACGTTGAAGCTTCTTTCAAACCTCATTGCCGTGGAAGCAGGGTGGCAGCTGGGAAAGGCAGAATTAACCTTTCTCCAGCTGTGGATAGTTCCACATGCCCACCTCCAACTCATTTTGGTTTGGAAAAACAGCAAGGCCAATTGCGGAGGGGCTGGGGGTACCAGAGGTGTCTGTGGCAACCTGCACACAAGAGACGGAAACTGTGATTTCTGCATGCAGAGGAGGAGCTGTACCCTCTATCTAGTGTTGATATCCAGAGAGTAGCCTCTCCTCTGAATGCTGTTCAGGTGGGGAAGCAGGGCAGGTAGAGGGACATAAAAGTGTAACCCATCTGCTGCCATCTGCCTTATTGCAGGGCAGATTTGAGGGTAAACCATACGTGGAATGAGTCTGCTCCTGTGGCTTGATGGAGGTAGAAACTGTCTCTCATACTTTGTTACGCTGCCGTTTCTACGGGGATATATGCTCAGTATTTATTACCCCTGCTATGCAAAAATCTCCAAATGAATCCGAACTTCAGTGTCTAAAATCCCTGAAAGAAGACAAGGATCCTGAGATCATGTTAAGGATAGCCAAATTCTGTGCGATTGCCATAAAACTTAGGGAACAAGCTGCGCTATCATCATGATTAAGGTTTTAAATGATAATTTTAGGTTATATGTTAGTGACTAAGTTTTAATTTATATATTTTTAAACTGTTGCTATATCTGTATTGTCCCTGTTACACCTGATTGCAAATTCAGATGTAGCCCTGTTTGTGTTTTATGACTTCCTTGATATTCTATTTGGGCTGGAACTGGTCTGGGACCGAAATAATAAAATTCAATTCAAAAGTGTAAGAGCCCTGCTGGGTGAGCTTCAAAGGTCCACTTAGTGCAGCATCCTGTATCTCCCAGGGGCCAAGCCAGAAGCTTCCGGGACGACCATCAGCAGGACATAAAGGCAGGTGCCTCCCCCTTGCGGTGGCTCCCTAGCAAATGGCTCCCTAGCAAACGGTGGCCTCTGATAATGGCAGCAGCATAATGCAAACGGATGGGACGTTGTCACATCCTCAAGTTCAATTGTGGTTCTGCTTAGGGATATTCCAGGTGCAGGCAAAAGCCTCCTCGGGCAGATTTCCAGGTCTCCTTTTGGCCCTCCGTTGCCTCCTTTAAGCTGTGCTTGTGTCCGTGTGGGAAGGAGTGCCTTCTGAACTCTGATTAAAACCTCCTTCGCCGGATTGTTCTTTTGCTCAAAACAGAGAAGAGATTGAGAAACAGAAGGCAAAAGAGAGGTACATGAAGATGCACCTCGCCGGGAAGACAGAGCAGGCCAAGGCAGACCTCGCCCGACTAGCCATCATCCGGAAACAGAGGGAAGAGGCGGCCAAAAAGAAAGAGGAAGAAAGGAAAGGTAAGGAAGACTTGGCCTCCTCAAGGCTGTTCCTCCCCCCAAACACACCCACCTGCGAGAGAGGCAGCTGCCAGTACACCACGTGGACCTTAAAATGTACCCCCAATTGTGCACTGGCAAGGGGGAGAAAGCTCAACTCTCCCTCCCCTCAGCCCAAGCCTCTGGCCTCTGTAAGAGGTCACTGCGCACAGAGTTTTGCAAGCCCCGTGTTGTGCTCTGAAGTCCCGCCTTCTGGTGCCATTGTGCCATCAGGTGACTGACAGGTGAGTGGCTCTGCTCATCTAGGATCAGGCCCACAGACCCCAAAAAGTAACCCACCACCTCTTTAATATAGAGCCCCTTCCTGGCAGGAACTTAGGGAGCTGCCTTTTACGTTGACCAGTAGTGGCTCCCTCGCTTCAGGCTTTTTCTAGCCTGCTGCCCAGGTGCAAGGCGGCTGTGAAGTTTACAGAGAAGTGACATTCTTTGCATGTCCCGAAGGAGCTGTTTAAATGTCAAGCATCGTGAACTATTAGCATTTTACACAAAATGATTGCACAGTAACTACTTTTGTGGAGGGGAGAGAGAAATTTTGGGGCTGTTGTTATGTTGGGAGTAAAATGTTAAGACTTGAAGCAGAGGACTGCTGTGTTTGAGCCACTCCCATGTGTGAAGCAACTCTGTGCCCAAATAACTTTATTCATCTCACCTCCTTCAAGAGGGGGCCATAAATTCCTTGCATGCACCCAAGCCTCAACTTTCAGGTTAGTCCCTGCCCTGGAGCCTTGTATAACTGCTGCCTGCCAGAGTGGACAATATTAGGGCCTGATGGGCCATCTCGGCACGAGGCATTTTTCCATATGCTTGTGTATTGAGCAGAAATAAGCTGTGTATTTTGGGGGGAGGGACCAGCTTTGCTGAACAGGATCCCCTGTAATCTAGTTGGCTCCTTGACGAAAAGCAGCGTTTCTCAGCTTGCAGATCAGGGTGTGGGATCAAAAGCCAAGAAAACTGGTCTCAGTGGATCTCCTTACTTCATTACTACTGACCCTTGGATATGACCTGATCGGTAGTTGCAGGAAAAAGTAGTATTTTAATCACCAGTGCTGGCTTGGTATTTTTTTGCCCCAGCTTTCTCAGTCTGGGGCAGCAGAGGGAGGGTGGTCTGTAAAGACTGCTGCCTTACCTCTAGTTCATGAGGTGGTGAGGGTTTCTTCCTATTTTTTCCTGCTCCTCCAGAAATGTGGGCCTGTTCTTTGCAGCCATGGGAGCATCCGTAACCCTCCCCCAAGTTTTATACTTTTTAAAAAGGCCTTGCATCACTCAGCAGCCTCCTGACACTCCCCTGGAATGTCCATCTGGGTAACTGCTGGGCTTTATATCTTCACTAATGGATCTGTTTTCCTCCCCCACTACCCCCCCCCAGCTGCTTTAGTGACCCAATTTCTGTTCTTCCACCCCCCACACCCCATCTTATTTATTTTTTATTGAAGATCATTGGTGCTGCTTCCATATTTTGTTAATTCCACCGCCAGCATTGAGATGGGCGCAACTTTCTCCACAATATCTCACTTATACACAGTACTACGGACAAGCGCAAAGCCTCTATGGTTGTAAAGAGGCTGTGGGTCACGGGGGGGTGGGGGGGGATGCAGCTGCCATTCCACATTTGTTTTCGAAAAACACACATACAGAGAGACCAAAAAAGAAAAGAAATACAGACTGAGGGAAAGATGGGACTAATTCTGGAAAGAGCGTTCTCTGGAGACCCCTGCCTTTAGGTGCCCCTTTTTTGCCTTCCCTCCCACCCCAAATCCAAGCCTTGGCCAGGAGCGGGATCCTGCTTGAGAGAAGTCCCAAAGGGAGGAAACTGATGGCTCCCATAGGGTGAAGGAAGCAACCAAGAAGCGGGGCTTCAAGGAATGCCACCTTAAAGAGTATAGGCTTGGGGGGAGGCGAGAGAGAAGGTTTTTTGGTGGGGGACAAGGAGAAGGAGTTGCAGCCGCTTTGACAAGTTTCAACAGCACCGGATTCCAAGCCAAAGGAGTTGGGGGGGGTTTATGCAGAACTGTAGAAAGGGGACTCAAAGGGGTCACATGGTCCAAGCCCCTGCGAGGCAATTCCTGGTTAGCTTTTATAAACCTGTGTCTCTCTCTCCGTTTTTTTTCACCCACCAGCTAAAGACGAAGCATCCTCAGCAGGCAAAAGACTGCAGTCCCTGTCCCTTAACAAGTAAGCGCCAGCCACAAGAGAGGAGGGAAACTTCCCAGGAACTGTGCCTGGCTGGCGCCTGCTGGGCACTCTTTGAGGCTTCACACACAGAGGAGGCGACGCCGCAGCATGAAGAGCACGGCCATAACCGGCGTCCTCTTCCCTCCTAAGAGACACTTGGCAGCAGCGTGTTCGTCTTCATCTGGGCACAGAATTCCATGGTGGGGAGGGGTGGGCGGGCAGGGTGGGAATCAGTGGGGTGGGTGGGCAAGCTATTATAATCCTTTGAACGCGGGAGTCGCCAGGGCAGCAATTCTCCCACACAGCCGCTTCAGGAGGGGGTGCTATAAACCGAACGATTTTGCTGTCTTTCAAATTCAAGATTACCTAACCAGGGGAGCAGGAAAAAGCTGGAGCGATAATGGAGGGGGCGGGGGAAGATACAGCTTCAGCGAGGCCGCAAGAGAGAGGGGAGTGGGTTTGGTAGTCTTGGCATGCAGGCGCAAATCCAAAATGCTGGCGTGGGTGCGTGTTTGCGATAGGCACTCGTCTGAAAAACGGCCTGCGGGGTTGGAATGTGGAGCAGCAAAGAAATAAAAACACATTTGGATCTGGACCGTGTGGCTGTTTTGGTCTTTTTATTTCCACTTTCTACCCTTCTCTCTCCCCATTTTTATTTTTTTAAAAAGAAGCCATCCTTAATTTCTTCCCTTCTCCTCTGATAGTGACTTTTTAACTGCGAAAACAAAACACATCCCTGCAAAACCAGAGAACTCTTTTCTTGATTGTGCAACATGTTGGAACAGGTGCAAATTGGAAGCAAAACTTGTATATTTGGCTGAATAAAGTTTAAATTATCGTACAACGCCTTCCGTGCCTTGTCTTCTGTAGAAGCGACTTTGGCTGGCCTGCCCTGCTGGCGCTGAGGAATGAGTTCCAAAGCCTTCAGTGAGGCAGGACATGGGCCTGCAGAAACCACTGTGGCTCATGCAAGCTGGGGCTGCTGGGAACAAAGGAGCCAACTGTGTCCCCCACTCTTTGCCTAGTCTATTCAAATTGGGCCTGCGCTGCTTCAAACTGTGGCAGTGGTCCAGTTCTGAGAAACCCTCTCCATAAAAACATATCTGCAGACAGAAAACTACCCCAGGAAAAAGATGGGGTTGTTCTACTTGGGAGTAAACCCACTGAAATTATTGGACCTGTTGAGGCCAATTTCAATGGATCCACTCTTAAGTAGGACTAGTATTGGACATCAAGTCAGCAGCGCCATACTAGCCCTCCTGAAAACACTTAAGACCAACAACAGCAAGTTCTTAACTATATTCGTAACAGGAAGCCATCTAGGGAGGCAGCTGCACCTTTGGGTGACAAGGGAGTCAAAGGCGTGACAAGGGAAGAGGAGACTGCTACAGCGAAGCTGAATGACTTATTGGCATCTGTCTTTACAACAGAAAAGATGAGGCAGATCCCAGTGGCCTGGGGAACAAGGGCAGATTGTGGCAGGGAGAGATAATCTAGGCCCAACGGGGGGCAGGGGATAAGTGATCAGTCACCAGGTTCGGATGGCAGTCACCCAAGAGTTCTTAAAAAATTCAAATGCGAAACTGCTGAGCTAACAAAAATAGGCAGTTTGTCCTTCATCTCAACCTCCATGCATGAGGACTGGAAAGCAGTAAATGTAACACACAATTTTAAAAAGGGGCTCCAGGGACAATCCTGGAAATTACAGGCTGGTTAGTTTAATGTCTGTCCCCAGAAAATGGGTGGAAATCTTTGCTAAAGATAAAATAACCATTCAGTAGGATTGGACATAGTTAAGAGTTGTGCTGATGGTCTCTCCTGGTGGTAGGAGAGGAGGAGATGGAAGTTTTGCTATGTTAATTGTGACCAGCATCTCTTTATTGAACACTGTTAACAGTTATCAACCTGTTTTCCACTGGCGACACAGAAAATCTGCCCAATTTGTAGCTGGTGGGATTGTCATCTTAGGTATGCGGGATTGCAGGAATGAAGCAGGTTGCATCGGGTAGGGAAGCAAAAGCTGGTAGTCGGGGGTCTTCTGCCCTGCCCCCCCCCCCCAGACTCCAGTGAGACGGAAGCGCTGCTGAGATGAATAATTCTTCAGTCCTTTTTTACTTGATCCGCAGGCCCTTCATAGCAGACTCCAAGCTCTGAAATGAAAACGCAGGTTTGTCAGAAGAAAAATGGCATTCTGGGTGAGGAAAACCTAAAAAGTCATTAACAGATTGTCAAAACACCCAGAAATGGGCCAAACAGAGCCACTGAAACACCTGCTCCAGGGCTATTTTCCTTGTGAATGGAAAATATTCACAAAGTATTGCTCAGGACTGCAATACCTCAAGGACCGTCTCTCCATATGAACCGAACCTCTGAGGCCCTTCTTTGTGTGCCCCCTCCATGAGAGATTTGGCAACAAGAAAATGGGCCTTCTCTGCAGTGGCTCCCTGTCTGTGGAATGCTCTCCCCAGGGAAGCTTGCCTGGCGCCTTCATTATAAACCTTTAGGCGTCAGGTGAAAACAACCCTCTTCAATTGGGCCTTTGGCTTGCTGATATCTGATGCCCTTTTTAATGTGTTGTGGGAGGGGGCGATTGGTTTTGTTTTGTTCTTTGCATTTTTTATCTTGTATGTTTATGTCGTGAACCGCCCTGAGATCTACGGATAAAGGGCAATACAACAACAACAACATCCAGAATTCAAAAACTGCAACTGCTGATTTTGGTCCAAATATTATTTTCTCTTAGTTTTAAACATGGGACGTTGGAAGCTGCCTTATCCTAAGGTGTGCCATGTTTTTCACTGTTGTGCTGAAGGATAGCAGCTGTCCAGAGTTTTGGTCAGGGCTCCCGGGGCATGGATGCCCAATGCAATGGGCAAAGGGTCATCGGACAGGAGAGGAATCGTTCCAAGAGCAGGAAGACTGCGTTAAAAGTGGTATGATACTGCTTTATAGTGCAGGTAGGGCCTCAAGAGTAGACCCACTGAAATTAATGGAGCAGCAACAGTCATGTCCGTTTCAATGAGTCTGCTTGAAGCAGGACTAATATTGGGTTATGCGGAGATGGCAAAGTTAACACACAAACTGCGTGAGAAGGATAACCGTGACTTTAAGGAAGAATAGGAACTATTTACAAACTACTTAAAAAGACAACAGAAGGATTTTGATTTCTTGGCAGGTTTTGAATAAACATCCACAAATTTATTAGTAGAACATAGGATAGATAAGATAATGATATGTACAACTTTATAACATGCAGAGAATAATATGTATGAACAAATCAGAGAGGGGTGCTGAGGGAAGTCTTTGGAGGGTGGGAGAGGGAGGGGGTGGGAAATGTAATTGGTTATATTTGATTTATAATTTGATTTGCTAAATTTGCTTAATTTTTTTTTTAAAAAAAAAATACAAAACAAAACATTGGGCGCAACCCAGAGACCCCAGATGTAGAAAATCCCACACACTTGGCAGTACAAATGCCAGCAGTAACAACTGAAACCATTTGGTGCCTTTTCGTGACCCCCCAAACCAGCTGCTTCCCTCTGACTAATGCAAGGCCAGGCCAAAGCCTGAAACCTGACAACCTCAGCAGCTTGCAGTGGAGACAAATCCTACAGGGTGTATTCAAGCCCTGGGGACGTGCTGAAAATAATAGCTTGATCCCAGGCATGATATATCACGTTGCAATGGGAGCATACATTGTGTATGTCTCATGGCTTCAGATTGCAGAAAGTGTATTTCTTAAAGACTTTGCCAAATTAAAAAAGAAGCAATCCCAAAGGAAGTTAAAGAGTTGGGCATGGGTCCATTTAATAAAACCTCTTAAGGGCTGTTTCCAGAGAGCAGGGGTGGGAAACCTCAGGTGCAGGAGCTGAATGTATCCCTTTGTGGACCTTGAGACTTTCTCCCCAAGCCCCAGGGGTCATCTAGTCCAACCCCCTGCAATGCAGGAATTTCAACCCAAGCATCCGTGACAGGTGGCTATCCAACCTCTGCTTAAAAACTCCAGAGTCCACCACCACTTGAGGGAGCCCGTTCCCACTGTCAAGCAGCTCTTACTCTCAGAAAGTTATTCCTGACCACGGGTAAGCAAACTAAGGCCCGGGGGCCAGATCCAGCCCAATCGCCTTCTAAATCCGGCCTGCAGACGGTCTGGGAAACAGCGTGTTTTGACATGAGCAGAATGTGTCCTTTTATTTAAAATGCATCTCTGGGTTATTTTGGGGCACAGGAAATCGTTCATTTTATTTTATTTTTCAAAATATAGTCCAGCCCCCCACAAGGTCTGAGGGACACAAGGTCTGAGCTGCATGTGGCCCTGAGAAGGTTGCCCAGAAGGGAATGTGGCCCCTCAGGCTTAAGAAACAATTTCCCATCCTTGCCATTAGGAGGTGATGCTTTTTGTAGTGACCATCCAAAGTCTTCCTCTGGCGCAACCCCTTAGTGAGCATCTTCACATACTAAATGCAAATGGTGTGACCACTAGTCTATTAGGGCAAAAACTGCATCTTCCCCACCCAGCCTTTTTTTGCTTACTTTGATGTCCCATAGGCTCATTCCTCCGTCCATTCCTGTGGTGCAGAACTTGGAGCAGCTGCCTTTCCCACCAGCAATCACAGATATTTGGCTGAAAGGGAAGACAAGACAACTGTGGGTGTTAATTGCCAAACTAGGACTGCTCAAAGCAGAGGGGAAATTGTACGGGACTACAGAGGATGATTGCCAACCTAGCAATTCAAAAGCACACCCAAAAGTGCAAGTAGATAAATAGGTACCGCTCCGGTGGGAAGGTAAACGGCGTTTCCGTGTGCTGCTCTGGTTTCGGTGTTCGGTTGCACCAGAAGCAGCTTAGTCATGCTGGCCACATGACCCAGAAAAACTGTCTGCGGACAAACGCCAGCACCCTTGGCCTGTAAAGCGAGATGAGCATCGCAACCCCAGAGTCGTCTACAACTGGACTTAACTATCAGGGGTCCTTTACCTTTTTTTTACAGAGGACGAAGGGTTGTCAGACCAAAGGCAGGGGATAGTTCTAAGGGTGGGGCCTTTTCCACCATAGCATGCCCCCATTAGGAAATTCTGCCCCCAAAGAGGTGAACATGAAAACTTGCTTTGAACAGAGTCACATCTTTTGTCTCTCCAGGGACTCAAGACAGGGATTTCCCCCTGCCCTACTTGGGAGATGCCAAGGATTGGGGCCTTCCTTCTGCATGCAAAGAGGATTTTTTACCACTGAACCACAGCCCAGCTCAGCCAAGATAGTGACCTGGATGAGGTAGGGTCTTTTCCCGAGGTACGGGCCTGGCTTACATCAGGAAATTCAGAAATTTGGCTAACAATACAGTCATACCCTGGTTCTTGAACACCTTGTGACTCGAACATTTTGGCCCCCAAATACCGCAAACCAGAAGTGAGTGTTCCGGTTTGCAAACATTTTTTGGAAGCCGAATGTCCAACGCAGCTGACACGGCTTCCAATTGGGGGCAGGAAGCTTCTGCAGCCAATCGGAAGCTGCACCTTGGTTGTCAAACATTTTCGGAAGTCGAACGGACTTCCGGAACGGATTCCGTTCGAGATCCAAGGTACGACTGTATAGTGGGAAGGTGCATTTTTTTATTGCCTACAAAGTTTTCAGCAGGCAGCTGAAAGTTGAAACAGAAAGCACCTGCCAATTCTATTGGCAGAAAGTTCCACAGGACTGGGCCAATGACCCTGAAGGATCTTAGTTTCTTGTTGTCAGATGAGCCTCGCCAACTTGGGGAACCAACCAACGATGCTCCTGAAGGCGTTTTAAGTGATGGAGCTGGGATGTCAGGGTTCAGGTGGTCCCTGGGGTTCCCTGGACCTCAGTTCTTCAGGGCTTTGTAAATTAATACAAGGACCTTGAACCTGGCTTGGTAGTAAATGGGTAGCCAGGTGTCACATGCTGCTGGGCCAGATGTCCCCTCCAGCAGTCTGGCTGACGCATTTGCACCACCTAGAGCTTATGCACCAGGTCCAAGGTCAGCCCCACATTACAGTAATCCAGCCTCAAGTTTGCCAGTGCATGGACTAAGGTGGTCAGGCTATCCCTGTCCAGGAACAGCAGTAGCTGGAGAACCAGACAAAGCTGGTAAAAGGCACTGCTAGCCATAGAGGAATGCCCTCTGGTGTCAAAGATGTATCTTGGAGACCTCCAATACATGCACTTGCTCCTTCTAGACTCCATCTAGAGCAGGTAAATTGCCTGCCTCCCAAACATGCAATCTACCCAACCTCTGTCCTCCCAGGATTCAAGCAGTTTATGTCTAGTGGCGGACCAACATTTTGGGGGCCCTGAAGCTTGAAGAGTTATGGGGCCCCCTTGGCAACCAGCAACAAGGTCTGGGTAGCCACCATTACCTTCTTGAATGGGGTTGTTCCATGACAGATCACCACACCTTTACAACACCTGAGCTACCAACTCCAAAACTTTGGGGTTGTTGAAACGTAGACAACAAAACATGAATCAATTGGAGATGTGCGACTCAAATTTGGTTTAGTTGCCCTAGAATTTTGCAGCCATGTGGCTCCAGGACGAGAGGCCCTGAAGTTTGAGCTTCATTCTTTCATAGCAGATCTGCCCCATTGCCTGGTGAATTCAGAGAGGATCTCAACAAGAACTGGGGAAGGATGACCCTTCCATTGAATGTACGGAGCTGCCTTATACTGAGCCAGTCCATGTATCCCAGTGTCATTTGACTGGTCACGGCTTTCCGAAGTCTCAGCACAGGGGAGCTGGGGCAGTCTTTTCCCTGCAGCTGCTGGCGGGTCTCTTAGATCAGGCTGGATCTGGTCTTGCACGCCTGCAGCTGCGGTTCTGCAATGTTATCTTGTTTAATTTGCAGAGGGGCAGAGCCCACGGAAGAACTTACCTGATGCTGTTCTTGTGGAGGGTGTCCAGAGTGGCATTGCTGGTGGTATCAGAGCTGGCTTTCTTATCCAGGTTCTGGAAGCGCTCGCGAGCCGTGAGGCCACGCTGGGCGCCCTGCTTGGGGATGTCCAGCTTCCCCCCGAAACTCAGCGTGCCCTGCTGCTCGTCATAGGTGAACAGCATTGGACAGCAGTCGTGGCCCTGGGGGGAGGCAAGCAGAGGTCAGGGCCTTTGAGGCTTTTCATCAGCAACGTCCACTCCCAAGGGTCCAAAGCGCTCTCAATATTCCTCCCACAACAGCCCTGTAAGGTAGGCCACTAATAAAAATATATGATAATTATGAGATTACAGCGGTACCTAGGGTTACAGATGCTTCAGGTTACAGACACTTCAGGTTACAGACTCCACTAACCCAGAAATAGTACCTCGGGTTAAGAACTTTGCTTCAGGATGAGAACAGAAATCGTGTGGTGGCGGCGCAGTGGCAGCAGGAGGCCCCATTAACTAAAGTGGTACCTCAGGTTAAGAACAGTTTCAGGTTAAGAACAGATCTCCAGAACGTATTAAGTTCTTAACCCGAGATACCACTGTATCTATACATGCCACTTTGCAAGGAACAGAATAGAGCAAGTCCCTGGCCCCAAGAGGCTTACAATCTGGATAACACCGCAAGGGGGAGCAACAGAAGACAAGGAAGGAAATTGAGCCCGAGGATAAACAGAGGTGAAATCTGCAGAATGAGTATGAAGGGTTCCAAATACACCAGGCATGGCTGACAATATTTTGAAGTTAAGTGAAGGGACAAACATTATTACCATCTAAAGAGGCCAGGGCAGCAGCGTTAAGAGAATTCAAGTTAAGAGTCTAAAATTGCCCAACTGCACCGCTAGAGGTCATAATACTGTCACTACAAAGATTAGTGGATGCGCAGGGGCCATGCTATTCTTCTCTGTATCGTTCCAATAAAAATATGGTTGCCCAATTTCCCCATTGCTTTTTATATCGGTCCTGGAGGTTCTGCTGAATATGATTAGAAGGTTGGTTAAAGGTATACAGGTCGGAGCCAAACAGTACAAATTGAGAGCATTTGCAGATGACTTAGTATTGACGTTACAGGAGCCAGAATCTAGTACCAAAAGAGTTTTAGAAGTGATTCAAGAATCTGGTCAAGTTGCAGGATTTAAATTGAATAAGTTAAAGACCAAGGTTCTAGAGAAAAATTTAACACCAATGGAGAGAGAGAGATTTCAGAATGAGACAGGTTTAACAGTGGTTAAGAAAGTTAAATACTTGGGGATTAACATGACAGCAAAAAATGGGAATTTATTTAAAGACAACTATGAAAAATGCTGGGCTGAAGTGAAAAAAGATTTAGAAATTTGGTCAAATTTGAAGCTTTCACTACTGGGCTGTATTGCTGCGGTAAAAATGAATGTATTGCCTAGAATGTTGTTTTTGTTTCAAACATTGCAAATTGTGGACAAAATGGACTGTTTCAAGAGGTGGCAGAGAGATATTTCTAGATTTGTCTGGCAGCGCAAGAAGCCTAGAATAAAATTTAAAATATTAACAGATGCAAAGGAAAGAGGTGGATTTGCCCTGCCAGACTTTAAACTTTACTATGAATCAGCAGCTTTTTGCTGGTTGAAAGAATGGTTGCTTCTTGAAAACACTGACATTTTGGATATAGAAGGTTTTAACAATGTATTTGGATGGCATGCATATCTGTGGTATGATAAGGTCAAAGCACATAAAGCATTTAAGAACCATATTGTCAGGAAAGCATTGTTTAATGTCTGGATAAGATACAAGGACTTATTGGAAAATAAAACCCCAAGGTGGCTGTCACCGATGGAAGCAAAAGCTCTGAAAAAGCTCAATATGGAGGCCAAATGGCCGAAATATTGGGAAATTCTGGAACAAGATGGAGATAGACTGAAATTGCAGAGTTTTGAGAAATTAAAAACAAAGTGCGAGACTGGCTTCATTATTATCAGATAATGGAGGCATACAATTTGGACAAGAAAATTGGCTTCCAGGTGGAAAAATCAAAATTAGAAACAGAACTGTTAGAACCCAAAACTAAGATTTTGTCAAAAATGTATAACTTGCTGTTGAAATGGAATACTCAGGATGAAACGGTGAAACCTGCTACGATTAAATGGGCACAAGATGTTGGACATAACATAATGATGGCTGACTGGGAACAGTTATGGACCACAGGTATGAAGTTTACGGCATGTAATGCCTTAAGAGAGAATATTATGAAAATGATATACAGGTGGTACATGACCCCAGTCAAGCTTGCAAAAATTTATCATTTGCCCGATAATAAATGCTGGAAATGTAAAGAAACTGAAGGTACATTCTTTCACCTTTGGTGGACGTGCCCAAGGATTAAGGCTTTCTGGGAGATGATATATAATGAATTGAAAAGGTATTTAAATATACCTTTTGAAGAAACCAGAGGCCTTTCTCCTAGGCATAGTCGGCCAATTGGTGCCAAAGAAGGATAGAACCTTTTTTATGTATGCCACAACAGCAGCAAGAATACTCATTGCAAAGTATTGGAAGACACAAGATCTACCCACTCTGGAAGAATGGCAGATGAAGCTGATGGACTATATGGAACTGGCAGAAATGACTGGCAGAATCCGAGACCAGGGAGAAGAGTCGGTGGAAGAAGACTGGAAGAAATTCAAAGACTATCTACAGAAATATTGTAAAATTAATGAATGTTAGAATGATGTTGGATAGAAATTAAGTGGTTTCCAGCTGTAATGCTTTAAGGGAATATGAAAAATGGGTTGTTAATAGGTAAAAATCTAACGTTACTATTTTAAGACCAAAGATTAGGATAAACTAAGAGGGTAAGGATTTGCTGAACCAACAAATTGAACTGGAATACAAAAAAGGGAGGTATGAGGAGGTCCGGGAAACAAGCTAAGGAAAAATAAGTAATGGAAAAATTGAGTGGTTTTTAATCATTTTTATTTTGTATTTTGTATTTTTTCTTTTTTTTCCTTTTCTGTCATTTTTATATTGTAACATTTGGAAAATCTCAATAAATATCTTACAAAGATTAGTGGATGCGCTTGTGTGTTGGCTGTAAGCAGTGCTTTTTTTCTGGGGGTACGCAGAGGTATGCATACCCTTAAACATTTTGTGAATCTAAGTTTGGCCTCATTGAGGGGCAGTATTTCAATAGGAGTTGGAAAATGAAAGTACCCCTAAACATTTTATTAGAAAAAAAGCACTGGTTCGAAGAATGCAATTGCCCACTTGCGGACTGTAATGACACGGTCCAGGCAGGACTATACCACATACCATTGCTCCACATAGGAATGGGGCCCGAATCTTCACTGGGCAAATAAACACTTGGAAAGAGTTATGGTACATGACTTACCGCGGCCACCAGGCTGTTCTCAGTGATGAACGTCACAGCCAGGAGAGGCAGAGTTTCCGTGGACAGGCAGGCCACACTGAAGGGAAGGATGAGGCAAGGGTGGTTAGCACAGATTAGCTGCTTTACAGCCCCTTAGTGGCTGGGCCTACCACAAAATTCAGCCCATGTTCTGGGTTCCCACTCCCTATCGTTGGGAGATGAGGCTGTGGGTTTGGAGGAGGGACAGAAGAGGAAATTGACCTTGGAGCCAGCCCCTGGCATGCCTAGAAGTTCTGGTGTAAGAGGCAATTGTTCTGTCAACACCTCTCCAACCTGAATAGGCCAAGCTGCCCTCCTCTTACTCGGAGGTCAACAACCCAGAAATCCCAGTGGAGCAATGCTTTCCCTCAGTCCATTGGAGTCAACGACTGCTGAAGCAGACTAAGGACCCTCTAACTGAAGAGACTTCTCTCCCTAGAGGAAGAGGGAACCACGCTGATGGACAGTCTGTGGCTGAAGCAACGTTTGAGCTTTTCTCAACCACTGTTTGAGCTCTCAGGCGCTGTCCAGGGTCCTGCCTCCACCCTGAACCTCTGCCTTGTTTGAAGCATCACATTTCCATTGGGGGCAGACGACACCACTAATTTAAGACCCATTCAATGTGCATGACCTCACCCTAGGAGTTTTTCCCCTCCCACAGCTACCATTCCCATTTTGCCCACAATACACTGGACCCAGGAGGTGATTTCTCACTCTACCGCCCATACAGGAAAGATACATCTCCCCAGCAGAGAAGGTAACCATTTCAGTGACTCAATGAAGTCACCATTTTTTTCTCTTTTGGCAGCCAAAAAGATCAGAAAGAAGAAACTGGACAATATAGCACTGAGCTATAAGGGAGACACAGAGATCTAAATAGAGACTTTGTATGTGTTTGTTTTTGGTTCAGATTTGTCAAGGAGCTGACCTTTAAAGCCCTAAAAGGCCTCGGTACAGTATACCTGAAGGAGTGTCTCCACCTCCATCGTTCTGCCCGGACACTGAGGTCCAGCTCCGAGGGCCTTCTGGTGGTTCCCTCACTGTGAGAAGCCAAGTTACAGGGAACCAGGCCTTCTCGGTAGTGGAACCCCCTCCCACCAGATGTCAAAGAGAAAAATAACTACCAGATTTTTAGAAGACATCTGAAGGCAGCTCTGTTTAGGGAAGCTTTTAATGTTTAACAGACTATTTTATTTTAATATTCTGTTGGAAGCCGCCCAGAGTGGCTGGGGAAACCCAGCCAGATGGGCAGGGTACAAATAATAAATTATTATTACCATTCGCAGCACACTTAGTAAGCTACAGAGCCCAGAACTCTTTGAGGGAAGTCGTGTGGGTTTACACAGGGGCTGAACGAGCATGGAGCGGATCTGCTCAGAGTCTCGGGATCAACTCATCCCAAGGAAGCAAAGTCCCTGCAGCCAGCTGGGCCAGGCCAGTTCATGGGAAACTCTGAACCCCCACCCAATAGCCCAACTTACGCCATCTTCTTGTTGGCATCCGCAAGGCAGATGGTGCTGTCGTGGCTCACCCATGCCACGCGGCTGCCACTCCCAGAGAAGCAGATGCTGTGGACCCAGCCGCAGCTGCTGCCCGACTCAAACATGAGCTCTCCAAACGGCATCTTGGATCCCCAGGGGGTTGGCGAGGGCCGCTCCTCAACCTCTTTGATGTAAGCAGAGAAAATCCTACAGGGCAGGAGGGAGAGGAGAGGTGGGAGGGAGGGACGGAGGGGGAAAGCATGTTACTGGAGGGTCTATCAAAGCTAAGCAAGGAGCAGATCCGGTCAAGGCCTGGACGGGAGACTGTCCAACAGGCCTCCCCTCCCCCCACCCCAAACACATCCTGAAGTCACACGTTGGATGCGATCCAGGATATTTGCCTCACCTGCATTTGAAATCACAGGATCCAGCCGCCAAGAGAACGTTGTTAGGGTGCCAGTCAAGGCTAAGGATTGTCGATCGAATGGGCTTCTTGATATGTTTACAAACCCACCTAGGAGAGACAGCAAATATGAGGGACAAGACAGTAATCATAGCAAGCAAGTAAGCAAGCCTTTCTTATGAAAAACAAAAATAAGTGAAGAAGCAGCTGAGGCTTTGAGCAGTTCATGCTCAATGCAGGAAGGGGTCCAACGCAGGCAAAGCTCGATTGGGTCAGGGCCACCAAATTCCATATATAAATCCATTTATAATGGATTGAGATTCCTGCATTGCAGGGGTGCTTGGACTAGGTTACCCTCCCTCCTAACTCTACAATTCTATGATTCTATTCTTCTTCAGATGGGCGGGGTATAAATAATAATTAATTATTATTATTATTATTCCTCCTCCTCCTCTGCTCCTTGGCGAGACTCACCAGTCATTCTCTTGCTCAAAGTAGCAGATGGAGATGAGCCTTGAGCCGCTGCCGACCGCAAACTTGTTCTCTTTGGGAGACCACTTAACGCAGCGAGCAGCGCGGTTGATCCGCAGAATGACCAATGTCGGCTTCCACACGTTGCCCTTCAGGGTCCACACGTAAGCGTTACGGTCTGTCCCGCAGGTCACTATGCGGTTGCTGTCGGGGGCCCAGTCAATGCCTGCAAAGGACACCATAGATCAGAGGACCACAAGGCAGGCCTCGATTACAAGGGCTGCTGAATTTAAGGGTGGATTCATCAACAAATAAACAGTGTTTTGTTTTTTTAAAGAAGGCAACGGAACCGTTAGGTAATGTTAGGCATAATGGCCTTACAGGGGTTATGGCTCTTTAGAAGGTTGTGTGTGTGCCGTTTCGCACACCAGAAGAGGAATCGAAAGGTCCTCACCTGTCACCTGCCCGTTGTGCTCCTTCAGCTCATGGACTTTGCTCCACTTTGTCCCATCTTTCTTGTAGATGTGAACTTCGTGGTTGTTGGGACAGATGGCAAGTTCTGTGGAACAGAAGGCGGGGAAGAGTTTGTGCACATATTGCGTATTTCGAGTTCTGCCAAGCTTTCGGAGGCTGAGGGCACATTTGGGGGTTTTGGGGGTGTGCCCAAGACACCAGTCACAAATGGTCAGGAAGGACTTTTGCCCTGAGCTCTTAGGTCCCTTCCAGCTCTTCCAAAGTTATTTAGCTCCTGACGCTGCTACAAAACATGTGGTTTTGATTTGCAAATGGGCCATGATTTCAAGGGATGCATCTGCTCATGTGAACTAGCCCTAGGAAAAGGTAGAGAGCAACATCTTCACTTGAGTACTCTACAGCCTCTTCCCAAGTACCCGAGAGCCTCTTTTCTCTTCCCACCTCCCCTTCTCTGGAAAGGAGAGGCTGCGTAACACACCACATGTTTAAAGCACATGGCTTCCCCCCATTGTGGGAATTGTGGGAACTGTCATTTGCTAAAGGTGCTGGGAATGGTGTCTCAGGAAAGGTTAAGCTTTGGTTCCCAGGAATGTCTAGGCGGAAGCCATGTGGTTTAAATATGCTTCAAGTGTTGTTATGTTTATATTCCTGGGGACAATCATGCAAATCGCAGCAGTTCTTTCAAAACCCTACAGCTGGGGAGCAGGAAGTCCTGCTGGCCGCAATCCGCCAGGGCATTCTGCTGACCCACAAACAATGGCTGTATTCTCTCCCTCCCCCACCCTCCCACATCTATTCATGCCATAGGCAATCGCTCGCATTCTCTTCTCTTGCAGTTGCTCCCAACCGAGGACCAGATTTGCTGCAAGAACCAGTAATCCAGGTAGCTCCCAGTTAGCAGGTCAATTCAGTGTCCAGGGCAGCTGTCTTCCAGCTCCATCTGATACGCAGGCTGAGACCCCACCTGCCTGCAGACTGTCTCGCCAGAGTGGTGCATGCTCTGGTTATCTCCCACTTGGATTACTGCAATGTGCTCTACATGGGGCTACCTTTGAAGGTGACCCGAAAACTACAACTAATCCAGAATGCTGCAGCTAGACTGGTGACTGGGAGCGGCAGCTGAGAACACATAACACTGGTCCTGAAAGATCTACATTGGCTCCCAGTACATTTCTGAGCACAATTCAAAGTGTTGGTGCTGACCTTTAAAACGGCCTCGGCCCAGTATACCTGAAGGAGCATCTCCACCCCCATCATTCTGCCCGGACACTGAGGTCCAGCTCCGAGGGCCTTCTGAGGGTTCCCTCACTGCAAGAAGTGAGGTTACAGGGAACCAGGCAGAGGGCCTTCTCGGTAGTGGCGCCTGCCCTGTGGAACGCCCTCCCATCAGATGTCAAGGAAATAAACAACTATCTGACTTTTAGAAGACATCTGAAGGCAGCCCTGTTTAGGGAAGTTTTTAATGTTTGATGTTTTATCGTGTTTTTAATATTCTGTTGGGAGATGCCCAGAGTGGCTAGGGAAACCCAGTCAGATGGGCAGGGTATAAATAATAAATTGTTGTTGCTGTTGTTGTTATAATTATTAACACTCACTCCCCCTGCAGCAGGAGGGTGTAGACCCTGTGGTCCTCCACCAGCTGTTGGGACTCGCAACAACCATCAGCCTCAACCAGCATGGTCAGCAGTTAAAAGATGTTTCTGGAAACAACTGGGGACATTTTGTTCTGACTGACTTTTCCAGCTGGATGAATGAGTCTCTGCCATGGGTACCCGTTTCGTGTTGTTTTCAAAATATTTTTCCTGGTTTCAGTGCTTCTGGTTTTTTGCTATTTTTACAACACATTGCCTTGAGATGCTTGTGTGGAAAGTGATTACTAAAATTAAACAATCATAATGCAAAAGAAAAGGGCTTACGGGTTCTGTCCTTGTTCCAGGCATGACAGCTGATTGGCTCCAGCAGGAAACTCTGATAAGCCATGGCTTCTCAACCTGTACAGAAAAAACAGTTAATATTTTCCTAAGGAACATATTTCAAAATAGTTAAGGTTGGCTGCAAGTCTTGTGGCCCCTTACCTGGGACCAAACCCCTTTGAGCTCAAAAGGGCTTAATTCTGCATGTCCTTTTGAGCTCAAAGCTTATAACAGGTATAAGATTGCACTGTAAATGTATTTATCTCTTATCCTGCCCTTCCTCCAAGAACCTAAGGCAACATAAATGGTCTCCTCTCTACCATCCCTATTCTTTACCCCCTAACAACCCTGTGAGGTAGGTCTGCCTGTTTACTAGGAGGAATCTGGACCAAACTGCTGGTGAGTTTTCATGACGATTAAAAAAAATAAAATCGCATCTTGCTGTATATATGTCAAGAACTGAATTTAAGAATGGAAAAATGAGAAATGGAAATTTCCTTTCCTTCCTAGTGACGAGAGGACTTAAGTCCACTTTAATTGCACAGACCTAAATTTCCCACTACTGTATGTTCCTGAATCCTTCCTGCTTAAATCCTGGCAGACTCTTCGTCTTACACCCAGCGGCCTTTGGCTCAGAATGACTATTGAAAGGGAACAAGGCGGTTCTGATAACCTTTCAAAACAGGAAGCTGGCTTGAAAGAAAGAACAGATTTGAAGGGGCTCCCTCGACATCAGCTCTTAACTTTCACTCAGCCAGTTCCCACTGCTTGACCACCAGACTGGCCACCAGGGCAATCAAGGACAGCAATTCATTTCCTTTGGTGATTGTATTAATTAAGCCATATTGGCAGGAGCAGCTACGGTCTAGCATCAGCCTTCCCTAACCTGCTGCTCTCCAGATGTTTTGGACCACAGATTCATCAGACGCAGTCCACCAAGGGCTTGAGCAAGGGAGAAGAAGAGGGTGAAGAAGAGTTTGATATCCCACCTTTCACTCCCCTTAAGGAGTCTCAAAGAGGCTAACAATCTCCTTTCCCTTCCTCCCTCACAACAAACACTCTGTGAGGTGAGTGGGGCTGAGAGACTTCAGAGAAGTGTGACCGGCCCAAGGTCACCCAGCAGCTGCATGTGGAGGGGCGGAGAAGCGAACCCAGTTCACCAGATTACGAGTCCACCGCTCTTAACCACTATACCACACTGGCTCTCAAGGGAGGTGGAAGGTTGTAGAATCATAGAATTGTAGAGCTGGAAGGGACCCCGAGGGTCATCCAGTCCAACCCCCTGCAATGCAGGGATCTCAGCAAAAGCATCCCTGACTGATGGCCATCAACGCCTGCTTAAAAACCTCTAAGGAAGGAGAGTCCACCACCTCCCAAGAGAGACTGTTCCACTGCCGAACAGCTCTTACTACCAGAAAGTTCTTCCTGGTGTTTAGCCGGAATCTCCTTTCTTGTAACTTGAAGCCATGGGTTCGAGTCCTACCCTCCAGTGCACTTGTATGCTTGTTTACTCAGAAGTAAACCCTCGCCATCTTCAGTGGGACTTACGGTCCAGTAAAGTACATGTTGGACTACAGCCCGTGTTGTCCTGCTCAGAATGACTTCCGCCCACGAGAATCCATAGCGTGTGCTTATAATTAGAGAAGGAAGGCGGAAAGAGGAAACAGCTGCATCTTGACGAAGAGCAATTTGACAAACGCCATATAAGGCTAGAAACAGACCCGGCAGGAAGTGGAATCATAAGAGACAATTCTGTGGGTGGTGTAACACCAGGTCTGGGCTCTTCGGCTGGGTTCTGTTCAGTCTTGCTTTGCAAGAGGTTGTCTGACTGTGGCCAGAGGAATGGCGTAAGCTCCAACCAGGTGGTTCACGGAAAGGTTGTGGAAGGGAAAGGAGTCATAAACCTCCTTCATCAGCCCTCATGGGAAGGGATGGGGCAGAATTTGCCTGCAGTTCATATTTATAGACAACCTTCACTAATTCACACTTTCCAAAACAACAGATGAACTGAAACACCGCCCTTCCTTCGAAATTCACACCTCTCCAAATTTTGCAATGCACATCCAAGTAACGTTTACAAAAACGCATACAGTTAATGCACATAATGGTGAACATACAAAAATGCATTGTATTAGGGGAAATTGCTTTGCAAAAATGCAGGTTTTTGGGGGAGGAAATGGACTAAAATGCTGGTGAATTTTCATGAGCACTTTTTTTAAAAGGAAGTAGAAGTAGAAGAAGAAGAAGAACCACAGACTGATATGGAAATGTGGAGAACTGAAGAATGGGAAAGCAAGAAATTGAAATTGGCGTATTTGCCAATACCTGCTTGTGGATGATTCAGGAAGTGCAGGCCGCTTGTGAGTGTGGCAAAAGTCAATGCAGCCAGACACCCCTACCCATCTTTCCTCTGGGCAAGCAAGAGGGATTTTCCCCACAGTTCAAATGACACATTCCAGTCAGGTAAAATCACCAGAGACTGCTGCTGGCAGAGCCAAGTGTGGTTGGTGTCTTTCAGGTGTGCCTTCCTGCCTGTCCTTCCCACATGAGCCCACTAGAGGGCAGCTGGCCAAAGGCCTCCTCACACCTGAACTCAGGTGTGAGCTTAGTTGTTCTGCCTCCACCTGGGCTCAAGCTTGCAGGTTTGTAAATTAAGCAAATATTGCAAATACACTTTAATAAATCGCCAGTGGCGCGAGAGTTTTGCATGAGTTTTTAAAGCTGTTAGAGAATTCAAAGTTTCTTCTTCTTTTCTTTATTTTTGTTTCTATGTTTAAAAAATGCTTAGTATTTGATGGTGACTTCTGTATATTGTTTGATTATTTCTCAGTATTTCATAAAAATCGCTTTTTTAAAAAAAAAAGTCTCAATTGCTCTCCTTCATCTATAGGAGACTCTGCCCTGTAAAACTGTGCCCAGAAGTTCTCCTCTACACAAAACAGTGACAAAAGCAGCAACAACTTCTGGAAAAAGGAGTAATCTTTACACAACTTTATACAAGGCATGGTTTGTCTGTCTCCAGTGGGAATTATGACCAACATCTTCCAGGCAGTGAAGTAATCATAGCTGCCAGACAACAAAACGTATAGGGTACAAAATATGATGAAATCTCTACGCTACCAATCCTGGAGGCTTGTTTGTGTGTAGGTGGAGAGCAGATTTATAGGGAAGGATTCCAACTCCCATCAGCCTCAGCTAGAACATCCAATAAACAGGAAAAGGCTGTGACTCAGCGGTAAAGCAGGTCTCTAGCAGAATGATCCACCCTCAGAGGAGTCTCTCCATTGTATCTCTGCATGAGTTGCTGGAGATTCCGATGGGCTTGGCTGAGTGTTAGTAGCTGTAGGGAGCAGGGAGCTGCAAGCTGGCTGAGTTCCCCCAGTGTCAGCCAAATCCTTGCTGGCTTGGATATGCAAAAAGCATGAGTTGCTGATCTCCTTCCAGCCGGCCTCCACTGGGGGCAAGTAATTCTCTTACCTTCCTTGGAGGTTTCTAAGCAGAGGTTGGGTGGCCATCCGTCATGGATGCTTTAGTTGAGATTCCTGCATTGCAGGGCGTTGAACTAAGGGTCCCTTCCAACTCTACAATTCTATGATCATCTGATTAATTAGACTGACAACATAATTGACTGCCCTCTAGGAGACTCCTACAGCGTCTCTTCATGAGTCACAGTTCTGGTGGACCCATCTCCCTCCAGTTGAGAGAGAAATACCCAGATCAATAACTGACTCAGAAATACACACACACACACACACACTCATACCTCAGGTTACAGATGCTTCAGGTTGCACGTTTTCAGGTTGCACACCGCACCGAACCCGGAAGTACCGGAATGGGTTGCTTCAGTGCTTGCATGCTTCAGCTTGCGCATGTGCAGAAGCACTAAATCGCGCTTTGCACATGCACGCCAAATCGCAACCCGCGTGTGCGCAGACACAGCGCTGCGGGTTGCGAACGTGCCTCCCGCATGGATCGGTTAAGTACTTAATTCGTTCCAGAGGTCCGTTCTTAACCTGAAACTGTTCTTAACCTGAAGCACCACTTTAGCTAACGGGGCCTCCTGCTGCCACCGGAGCATGATTTCTGTTCTCATCCTGAAGCAAAGTTCTTAACCAGAGGTACTATTTCTGGGTTAGCGAGTCTAACCTGAAGCGTATGTAACCCGAGGTACCACTCTGTGTGTGTGTGTGTGTGTGTGTGTGTGTGTGTGTGCGTGTGTGTGTGTGTGTGTGTGTGTGTATATATATATATATATATATATATATATATATATACACAGGCTTCTCTGAAGGCAGGAACTTTCTCCCTTTTGGTTTAATAGAGGCCTGCCAACTTTAATGCTGAAAAAACCAGCATACCTCACCTATCAGAAATTTGTGCAACCTTAGTTCTCTCTGGAAGCAGAACCCAATTGGGCCAGAGTGCCCCCTAGAGGGAAAAATGTCTCCTGTAGCCCCCCCTTTTTTTTTGCCCCGAAGCATGAAAATTAATCACTTTTTGCCTTTTTTATTCCAGCACACATGCTATTTTTTGCCACATCTCTGCTTGTGATAGAGTCGAGTCAGCGTCTAGCTTTCCCCTACAGAGCTTGTTCACTACAAAAGCACTCAAATGTGTTGGCACTGAGAACAGAACTTGCACATGGGCACCCAATGCCATGCATTTCCCCATAACTCATTTTTAAAAGAAAGCATGAAAAGGCTACGCTGGCCACATATTCCAAGTCAAGATGAGCTGGTTGTACATCAAGATAGGAGCAAATAGTTGGGCCTAGGGGAGCCAAGTGCTGCCTTGTATAATGTTGGACTTCCATCTCTCCTAGCCGGCATGGTCAATAGCCAAGGCTGATGGGAGTTGTAGTTCAACGTCTAGAGCAGAGCTTTCCAAACTGTGTGTCATGATACGTTAAGTGTGTTCGGCTGCAGTTTGTAGATACAGTGGTGCCTCGCAAGACAAAATTAATCCGTTCCGCGAGTCTCTTCGTCTTGCGGTTTTTTCGTCTTGCGAAGCACGGCTATTAGTGGCTTAGTGGCTATTAACGGCTTAGCGGCTTTAAGAAAAAGGAAACAAACTCGCAAGAACTCGCAAGACGTTTCGTCTTGCGAAGCAAGCCCATAGGGAAATTCGTCTTGCGGAACGACTCAAAAAACGGAAAACTCTTTCGTCTAGCGAGTTTTTCGTCTTGCAAGGCATTCGTCTTGCGGGGCACCACTGTATGTCGCACAAACGCTCCCCATGCTCCTCCCGGGGCTGGAAAGGGCTCCGTTTAGCCTCCGGTTTGCTAGTAAAACTGAATGACTATGTCGTAAAATGATGTCTAAAAAGTGTGTCACCAACATGAAAAGTATGGAAAGTTCTGGTCTAGAAGACACCACACCCTGACCCCTATGACAGCCCAATCTCCTGCACCCCTCAAGACCGGCACCCCAAAGAGTCAGTTGAGTTGCCTTCCCTTAAAACGAACCTTTCGTAGAGCTTGTGACATCATATTAAATGCTCTAATGTGCAAATCCCAGATCCTTAATCTCCGCTAGGCTGTGCACACACTGGATACTTTTAAAGCACATTCAAAATGCATTCCTTCCTGCAAAGAATTCTGGGCACTGTAGTTTACCCCGCAGAGTTACCATTCCCAGCAACTCCTTAGCAGACTATAGAGCCCAGAATTCTCTGAAGGAAAGAATGTCTTTTGAATACGCTTTTAAAGTTATAGCATGCACCCGGCAAGCAACAGCAAATATTAAAACAAAAGAATCTCATGGCATCTTAAAGGCTTGCCATAGCCAGTAGACCTACCAAAATTAATGGACATGCCTCATTCATTTCAACAGGTCTACTTTGAGTAGGGCGTAGCTGGGTACAACCCTAACTTTCTTTTCTTTTCTTTTTTTGCCGTGGTGGGGGGTACTTCTGTAGACTAAAATCAACTGCAATACATGAATTACATTACATTTGATGGCTTTGATGACGTGGGCCTCTGCTGCCGCTAATGTTTTTTCTTTAAAGTGCCACATAGCTTTCTGCTGAGCTACTCCTTCCTTTTTTTATTTTTTAAACCCACAGTGCTGAACACACACATTATTATTTTTTAAGTACCTTGCATGTTGAGGAAGTGGCCCAGCCGCAGCTGAAACACATCAGTCCTTGCTTAGAAATGTAATAATGCCTCTCAGCGAGAAACTGAGCCTGACTTCTCATCCTAATTCAAAGCAACCTTAAACAGGATTGTTTTAAAACACGGGAAGCTGCCTTATCCTAAGTCAGACCATTGGTTCCTCCCATCATCATCATAATAATTTATTATTTATACCCTGCCTATCTGGCTGGGTTTCCCCAGTATCTGGGTTCCCCAGGTTTCCTAGTGTTGTCTGCACGGACTGGCAACAGCTCTCCAGGATTAAATACAGGAAATATTTCTCAGCCCCACCTGGAGATGATGGGGAAGGGGAAGAAACCTCCTGCATGCAAAGCCGATGCTCTTCTCCAGAATTTTGTAGGGAATAGACGCAAAACATCAAAAGGCATCCAACACACACCAAAAAACCCAGGTCTTGCTCGTGGGCATTCACAAGACTTTTCTTTTTCAGAGGGGAGACTATAAAGTAAAGTAAGTGAGGAGCAGGCTAATTTCTCCCCGTAAAGGAGAGCAGCATTTTGCCGCATATCTCAACTTCTGAAAATATGCTAGAAACTAACTTTTTTAAAAAAAAAACGAAAACTGGAAATGGGGAGATTGGTAGGGGGAGCGCAATTGCTTCCTCTTTGCTGCGCGAAAAGCAGCTTTGATTTCAGGAAGAAGCAAAGGGAGGGAAAAACACCGAGTTTAATAAAAAGTTCTCCCGCTAGGGCGCAGCTCTCTCTCCGAGGGGCGCACCTTTGAGGGGAGCAGTTTTCTTACAGATTCGTCCTCAGGACATTTTGCCCTCGCTTTATATTTTGACTTCTGCAAGGCTTTTGAAAACCGAAGTCGGCCAAACATAACGCTAAAAACTGAGGCGGGGAGAGGGCGGAAGGAGTTTGCCTCGCCCGGGGCGCAAAAATATCCTGGTGGCGCCGAGAGAAGGGAGTCGGGGAAGCGGGGCCGGGGCGGCCTGGAGCCCCGCCAGAAGCAGCAGTAGCAGCAGCAGCTCCCTCCGTCGAAGGAGAAGGAGCCGCCGCCGCCGCCGCCACGTCGTGCGGGCATCTTGAGGGAGCCACTTACCTCGACGGCACCCGGAGGCGAACCGGGCGCAAAGCAGCCTGGCCTCTCCTGGCTCCGGGAAAAGGAGGCCCCGGCCGGCCGGCAGCCTGGTTCACGGACTCTGAGGCGTCGACGCGAACCGGCAGCCGCGCTTTTTTCTCTCCTCCTTCTCTGCTCTCTCCGACTTCCCCTTTTCTCCTCAGCTCGAGAGGGAAGTGGGGGGGGGGGAGAAAATGTGGCCGCCACTTCCTTGCGTGGGTGTGGGGGCCCTGCAGAGAGCGAAGAAAGAGGAGGGAGGGAGGGAGAGAGGAAAATGTGCTTTTTCTTTTCCAGAGACGAGAGGAGAAAAAGCCCGCAGGCCCGAAGCTCCCGCTTTGCGAAAAATAAATCCCAAGTTTTGCCTGAGAGAGGAGGAGAGCAAGGCTTGGGCTCTTCCAGTGCTTCTCAAACTTGGGTTCCTAGCTGTTGTTGGACTACAATTCCCATCATCCCTAAGTAGTAGGACTAGTGGTCAGGGATGGTGGGAGTTGTAGTCCAACGACACCTGAGGACCCAAGTTTGAGAAACACTCACGCAGCGGTCCTCAACCTGTGGTTCCCCCAGATGTTGGACTACAACTCCCATCATCCCTGAGCTCTGGCCTTGCTAGGTAGGGGTGGTGGGAGTTGTAGTTCAACAACACCTGGGGACCCACAGGTTGAGAAAGGCTGGCTTAAGCTCTTTGAAGAGTCCACACGCCTACAGCTGAAAGCACACGGTTTCCGCCAAAGAATTACCAGGAATTGTAGTTGAATGGGTGCTGGGAATTGTTGCTCAGCGCAGGAGGCAAACTAGAGTTCCCGGGATTTGTTGGGCCAGGGGGTGGGGTAGAGAGAGGTTTGCATTTTTTTTATTGATCTCTTACAACAGATGTGCCGCTTGACCATAGAAAACCTCAAAGCAGATTACAAATAAATAAATAAATACGAAGCCGTAAAATGATCACTGCAATCAATAATTGCATAACGCAGAAAGTTAAAACCGCAATAGAATAGAGCAAAATGAATTGAAACGCATACAGACTTTCTAACCATCTGGGTAGGCTTGTCTAAATAAGAACATCTTCCGCAGGCACTGAAAGTATGTGCTTCAAATGTGCAATGTACTGTGTACATTCTGTGTACTTTAAATGTGCACATTTACTCTGCCCTCCCACCCACTGGTTTGGGATGTGGTGTACACATGGCTCAGATATCTAGCCTGTTTCTTCTTAGGGAAATACTGTGCCTGGTTTCTCCGCAAAACCAGGTTCAATCCAAATTGAGAAGAAGGATAACCTTGCTACAGTTAATTTTAAATTATTTTTTACTCTGCTGCATTGTACACAGCCTAAGGCTGCATACACATCTTAGAGTTAAAGCACACACACACACACCCCCCAAGATTACTGAAACTATAGTTTACCTCTCATGGCGCTGCAGATCCCAGCACCTGGAAACTAGAGTCCCCTTTCAATGTATGGTAATGTACACAACCTAAACATCATAAAGGAATTGGCTGGCTGCTTACACATTGCTATGGCAGCCAGGAGGATATTGGTTATTTGGTGGGAGAGGAAAGAGATGGGGAGTCTGTGGAACATGGTCTCCTTCAGTCATGGGCTCCTTCAGTCATGGGCTCAGTGAAACTGGGTTGCGCATCTCCAAATTGAGTTGGCCTCAGATGTGAATCGCAGTTGCTCTGGAATCTGCTCCCTACAGCAACTACTTCGTATTTTTGATAAGGCCAGTGTGATGTTAACATATATGAGAGAGTGCTGGAGGGGAAATAGTTAAATAGGTTGCACAGACAGGACCCAGGGGGGTGGAGTCAGTGGGTCTATAAAACTAGTTCTGGGAGGAGTTCGTTGGGAGTTGTGGGTGGGTGGGTAGTTGGTTGGATTGCGTGGGTTGGCTGGTTGGGAAAGGCAGTTGGTAATAGAGAGACAGTTAGGGCAGTTGGTCCTTGAGTGTGGGGGGGAGGTAGCAGAGATAGAGAGAGGAACATAAGACTAAGAAAGTAAAGAGGAACACCGTTTGGAATGCTGTAAAAGTTTTGTTTTATGTCTGAAATAAAATACAGTCTTCTTTATGAATTGAAAAGCTGACTAAGACTGAAGTGATTTTACCAGGGAGGAGCTGGTTGGTGGCAGCGGATTAGTGGTGTACGGGTCAATAGTCCGTGAAACGACCGGGGGCTCGGTACGAACGCCACAGCCAGTCCTGCCCAGATTCCCCATACAAGTTTTATCTCAGGTGATATACTGCGCAACAACAACCCAACAGAGCCAACGACTAGGCTGACCGCTTACACATCCCCCCGAAAAGGAGGCACAATTTTGTACAAAATGGGCATGTACTAATTTACAGGTGTGTGGATGCAAATTTAGAAATAATTGGTATACTCTGAATGGGGAAAATAATTGCAGCCCATTGCAAGACCAGATAAGCCCTTCAAACAGAGAGGTGGGGAATGTTATATCTGGGGGCCATCTATCTAGCCTTGGGGAGACACCCCGGGACACCCTGTTCATTGAGCCTGCCTCACACCCTCCTTGAGTATATATGCCCAGCTGGAATGTATCTTTTAATTATGACAATAAACTAGCCATCTGTGCACCCACCTTTGCCTCAGGCCCCACCCACCACTGGCACGTTGCCCAGAAGGAGTGCGGGTTTCAGGCTGAGAAAGATTCCCACTTCTGGAAGACACCATCAAAAAGAGAGCTTGTATGCACACATTCTATTCTTTAGATAGAATCATAGGATTGTAGATTTGGAGAAGACCACAGGGCTCATCTAGTCCAAATGTACTACAGTGGTACCTCGGGTTCCATACGCTTCAGGTTACAGACTCTGCTAACCCAGAAATAGTACCTCGGGTTAAGAACTTTGCTTCAGGATGAGAACAGAAATAGTGCAGCAGCGGCGCAGCAGGCCCCATTGGCTAAAGTGGTGCTTCAGGTTAAGAACACTTTCAGGTTAAGAACAGACCTCCAGAACAAATTAGGTTCTTAACCCGAGGTACCACTGTACTGGCAAGCCAGATCCCACCCCCCATCTTATATTTGTGCAGCTCGTTCTTTCTGCCTAAGTGCAGTACATTTGTCCCTATGGACAAATGTTTGGGCCCCATTCTCTGTTTAAGGTCACCTTGAAGCACGGTTCTGTCCTCTGCAGCCTGGGTGACCCCTTCCCAGCTTGGTGTCATCTGCAAATTTGGTGGGGATCCCCTCCAATTCCTTCACCCAAGCCACTGAAAAAGACAACTGAACCACAGAATGTTTTGTGATCAAAACGACAAATGGGGCAACCCCCCTGGCCCTCCAAGACAATGCTCCCCTCCTCCATCACCACAAACATTTTCTCCGCACAAATTCCATTTCTCTCTGCAATTTTACCCAAGACTGCAGCCCCTATAACTACCGTTTACCAGGCAGGAAGTCCAATTCATGCAACACAGTGAGGTCTTCCTTCCAACTGAAAGAAATCACACAGGAAGGCCAAGCTACTTAAAGCATTAATTTGAAAGAAAGCTCTCAGCTATCGGCAGAAGTTACATTCCCTGTTATTGTTTCATGCGAACTCACCTCCCCGTAAACTAGCAAAATAAATGCCAAAGGTCTTCTCGGCAGGGCACTTTCCCTCTCCACCCTGCCAGCTGCTGCTGTTCACTTCCTCCTCTGAGTTGGCCAATAGGCAGGACCTGCCCACCTCCTCCCCCCATCCCAAACCACCACTCCCTAGTCCACAGTAAAACCATTGAACAAGCGGAAACTGCTGCAGTTGCTAAACTTTGATGCAGCTCTAGGCTATGTGACAAGCACACAATATACTCTGATTCGGAGCCTCACGAAAAACTGCAGGGATCTTAGGCAATTAGTGGCGTTGCAGTAATCCCCTTTGCCAGAGTTGGAAAAAAGCTTAAGAAAAGAGCACTCAAAACGATCAAGGGCATGGAGCAATTTTGCTATGATTACAGGATTTAGGACATTTTCATCATGAGAAAACAAAAGAAAGAAGACAGAGTAGAAGTTTATAAAATTGTGCATAGAATTGTAGGTTTGGAGAAGACCACAAGGGTCCTCTAAGTCCAGGCTTCCTCAACCTCGGCCCTCCAGATGTTTTGAGACTACAATTCCCATCATCCCTGACCACTGGTCCTGCTAGCAAGGGATCATGGGAGTTGTAGGCCAAAAGCATCTGGAGGGCTAAGGTTGAGGAAGCCTGCTCTAGTCCAACCCCCTGCAATGCAGGAATCTCAGCTTTAGCATCCATGATAGATGGCTATCCAACCTCTGCTTAAAAACCTCCAAGGAAGGACAGCCCATCACCTCCTGAGGGAGTCCATTCCATTGTTGAACAGCTCTTACCATCAAAAGTTATTCCTGATTGTGGCGTTTGCCTCCTAGGATGGGTCAAGGAAAGGGTTAAAATGGGTGTGATGTGATTGGCCAGTGAGAATGCAAGGGGGGAGTAAAAGATAGAGTGGGAGGTTTTGAAAAGTCAGTTGAGGTTTGGGAGTTGGGAGTTGGGGTTTGTCAGTTGGGAGTTGAGGCTTGGGTGTTGGAGAAGGAAGAGGGTGGAATAGGCAGTGGGTTGGTCGAGTTGTATTGTGAGAGAGTGAGAGGAATTGTTAGGTTGAGGCAGATAGATAGATGGATTAATCAGTTTGGAGTTGTTAGGAACTAAGTGTAAGAAACTGACAAAAGAAAAATAAACCGAAACCATACGCTTATTCCTGCATTTAAAAATAAAATTGATTATTTATGTTAACAACTGTCTGGACTCCGTGTGTCCCCGTGAGAAGCGGGGTGGTGGCAGCGAAGAAAGCAACCGCAGTGGTGGCACAGGGTCAATAGACCGTGAAACGTCCGGGGGCCCTGTGTGATCTCCACACTGATGTTTAGTTGAAATCTCCTTTTTTGTAACTTGAAGCCATTGGTTCGAGTCCAACCCTCCAGAACAGGAGAAAACAAGCTTGCTCCATCTCCCATGTGACCAGTCCTTGAGATATCTGAAGATGGCTATCGTATCTCCTCTCTGCTTCCCTTTTCCAGGCTAAACGAGCCCAACTCCCTCATCCGTTCCTCCTAAGACTTGGTTTCCAGACTAGATCATCTGGGTTGCCCTCCTCTGCACACATTCCAGCTTGTCAATATCCTTCTTAAATTGTGGCAACCACAACTGGACACCGTACTCAAGGTGTGGTCTGCTCCAGGCAGAAGCGTAGTACCATTACTTCTGGACACCTGACTTCTGTTGATGCAGCATGGAATAGCTTTGAGATGTTTTCTACCAGTTTAGGGTTTTTTGTGCCCCTTTTTATATATTTTTTAATTTTACTTTTTGCAAACCTTGGGGTTCCCCCAAGCATATTGATTCCTCCCCCTCTTCTTTCTCAGTAGCTGTGTAGCCATGCAGCCATTATAACTCAGCACCTGAGATCACTATTATATGACTGGCAGTTCACCATGTGGAGATTGCAGCTTTACTTTAAGCTGAATTGGGAAACTTCATGGCGTCTCCAACCTGTTTCCATTCCTCCAGTCTTTTCATGAGCCCTGCTGTGTGAAGAGAGTCAAAAGAGCTGCTTCGTCTCTCATTTTTGTCAGGGCTAGGCACCAGATCCTGCCATCCTTGGGTGCATGACAATGCCCACCAGTGAGAGTGGCCCTGCCTCCCCCCTGCCAGTGTGGTGTAGTGGTTAAGAGTGGTAGTCTCGTAATCTGGGGAACCGGGTTCGCGTCTCCGCTCCTCCACATGCAGCTGCTGGGTGACCTTGGGCCAGTCACACTTCTCTGAAGTCTCTCAGCCCCACTCATCTCACAGAGTGTTTGTTGTGGGGGAGGAAGGGAAAGGAGAATGTTAGCCGCTTTGAGACTCCTGAAGGGGAGTGAAAGGCGGGATATCAAATCCAAACTCCTCCTCCTCTTCTTCTGCTCCTGTCTTTTGAGCTGCAGGGCCCAGCTTCCATTTCAGAATTTCCCCCAATGCCCCAGAACAGTGCTACACTAGGTTTTGTGGGAAATTAAAAGGGCAACCACAATCTACACAATCTACTTGGAGCACTACTGCTCCAAGGCCCACAAGTAGAGGCGGCCCACCAGAAGGCAGTTTGCACACAGCCCCTTCCACTGTAGAGGTGATTAGCTGTGCCATTAAGAATATAGGAAGCTGCCTTCTACAATGTCCGATCAATCTAGCTCAGTAAGGTCAACGCTGACTAGTAGCAGCTCTCCAGAATTTCAAGAGTTTTCTCCCAACCCTTACCTGGAGATGCCAAGGACTGAGCTGGGGCCTTTTGCAATGCAGAGAAGATGCTCTATCACTGAGCAAAGTGAAGGTATCACTGAGCAAATGTAAACCAAAAGTGATGTAACTAACATATGGAGATAAGTAGGTAGAGGTTTCATGGCACAGCACTATCTAAGCCATATTATTGCACCATAAACTAATCGCTCTTTCCCAACATTGGGTCCAGCTCCTTACATCCCTGGCCATCAGCCATGTTAGCTTGGGGTGATGGGAGCTGAATTGGGACAGCAGACTGGGGGAGGATTTTTTAGACCCCCTTTCTCTGTGCTATCTTCCTGCACTCCACCCACCCGTTGACATTTTGAAAGATGGGAAAAACAAGGGACCGTTATGCGTTTCATGTCACATAGTTCATGCCATTCTGAATCTCTTCCACTGGATTATATGTACACAGGAATTTCACAGAGAACATTTGGAGTTTGTTTAAAATTTTATTTTCTAGCAGACATGTTTACACAAAATTCCCCTTTTAAGTTAGTGATTCATACTTCCTGCAATAAACTATTTTAAGGAGCAGCTTTGGCAAAGAATGGAATGAAACAACCAATAATAATAATAAAAACAAAGCCAAATATATACCACAATCACAGCTGATTTTCAAACCAACACATTTCACCAAAATTGGGGGATGAAAAGGAAAAGAAAAAAAAATCCACCAAGTTGCCATTTTCTCAGTGCTTCAAAAAGTGACCTATCTTCACCATCCCTTTTCAAGTCTGTGCAGGTGCCAGAACGAGTTGTCTTGCTAGAGAACAGAGAGCCAGATTTACATGATCCGCAGCCCCTGGATCGAGGACTCTAATGTCTAGAAAAAGAGAGAGAGAGAGAGAGAGAAACCATTAGCCATGGCTGCTGGGGGGAAGCTGCAGTTCCATGGGAGTGCAGAACAGAATCCTGAGCACAAAATTCAGCTGCGACACTCTGCTGTTATTAAAAAGCAAGGAGGTCAGAATTTCCTAGTCCCTATGAGTAAGAAAATGTGCCCAAAGGCATACAGGCAATACCTGCTGAAATTTCAGAACCCATAAAAGGGGGGCAAGAGGGAGAGAATATGAGTAAGATTTTTCTGTGGTTATCAATAGCAAGGGGGCTTCAATGCCTAGCTAGCTCTTTGCCCCTCTACAATTTTGGGGCAAAATGCAAAAAACACAGAATGTGAGAATTCAGCCTTTCGTGGTGCACAAGTTACTGGGAAGTTTTTTTGTGCAGCCCCGACTACAGCTGCAGTCCTAACCCCACTTTCTTGGGTGTAACTCCCACTGCATTCAAAGGGACTTACTTCTGAGTAGACATGGTTAGGATAGCACCTTACTACTGCTATTATGATTATTTTATTATGCTGTCTTTTTAAGACATGTTTTTAATGTTGTACACTGCCCTGGGATCTTTTCATAAAGGGCAGTACATAAACCAAATAAATAAAATAAATTTTAAAATAAAAATTCATATGAATTGATGCAAACAGTTACGTCTAATCATCTAAATGAGTCTGCTCAGAGCAGTTGGAGACAACCCAAAAGTGGCAAATGTCTGCCATTCAACATAGGAGTCAGTATGCAGTTTAACATGGTCATGGCTTGAGGACTATGGCTGTGCAAAGCCATGGCAGGAAATACTAGCCTCCAGTCCCCCAACTTCAAGTCTTCCTGTCTAGATCCTGGAATCTCAGGAAGACACAGAGACAGAGACACCTACTGGGCAGTAAAAGGAAATGACAGGAAGGTTGCACATGCTTTTCAAAATTATTTTAAGCTCCCCCCCCCCCGCTTGAATTCAGCACTCTATTGCAAGAACAGGAAACGAGAGAAGAAAACCATGCGCTGTTTTGTACACTTTCCCCCTGTGCATGCAGCACAGCTTTCAGTGACCTTGTGAACCTCCAGCAGCCTGTATAGAGAAACCAGATGACCTACACGGGAAGCTGTCTTAATACTGTTTGTCCATCCACTCTGACCGGCAAAGACTCTGCAGAGTATTGGGCAAAGGTGTTCCACATCACGTGCTGTAAGAGATGCCAGGGACTGAACCTGGGACCTTCTGCAGGCAAACAATACTGTGGCATGCACAGTTCTTCCAGTTAGAACAGGACATTGGCCTTATCCAGCAGGTTCTTCTATTAAGAACAACTTAAGGAAGTTCATAGTAGGAGTTACATATCCTTTTTTTGCCTCCTCCCCCTGCAGCCAGTTGTGCCCCTGAAAAACCTCTCTTTGGGGTTGGGGGCCTTCTTGAACAATGTGAAACAGGGTGCAGGAGAATCATCCAAAACTGGGTGGATGGGAAACTTTTCTTCTATTCATTTCCTTAAATTGATTTCTTAGGATCCAAGGCTTCGCCTCCAGTCCTAGCCACAGCTGGATTATTGCAAAAAGCCAAGCAGAGAGGAGATGGAGGACAAACAAAGCACTACCAAAATTCCTAAAAGGGACAGAAATGACCCCGTTTAACAAAATTAGTCTTGAGTAGCATCATCTGCCAAATAAGCCATTTGGGGACAATGCCCTCAAAGTTTGACAACAGTATCCCCTAGTCCCTATTGCTAAAACAATTAACCCTAGTGCTGGCCTACAAGATATTAACAGCAGGGTGCTAATTTGGTGTGGGCAGTGTTGTCAAAACAGACCTTGAAGTCCCAGATGGTCATTGCTCCATCAATACCAGTGGTGCAGAACTTGCGGCAATCTCGTTTGTCCACCTCATAAATAGACACTTGGCTGCAAGGAGAAAAGAGACAGCTTTAATCTCTGAAGGAGGAAACAGGCTTATTCCAATACACTTAGCCCTGGACATTTTGTGCTGTATTAAGAAACAGAGCGCAAATCATTTTTCCCCATCCTGTCACGGTGATTGAGTATAACCTTACTGAGCCAGAATGGAGTAGGCAGAATGCATGCAACCTGATAAAAGGATTTCCTCCAGCAATAACTGCAAAATTACCTGCAGCCACATTCATGTTAGAGCTATTGATTCAAATATTTATACCCATTTTCTATATGAAAAAACGGCAGCTAACCAAGCTATATTTATAAATGTCCAAAACACTAAAACACATTAATAAATAAAAGCAACAATACAAAGGAGAAACAGAAGCCAATTATATTTTAAAAGCAGCATCTAGGAAAAAAACTTGCTGGAATAAAAATGGTCTTTGCTACCCATGGCTTGTGGAGCTCCGATTTTATTGTGGGTTTCACACTTTGCTACTTGCAATGACACACTTGTGGAGAAATAAAGTATCACAAGGTAGCATCTTCTGTTGTTCACTAAATGTAAAGAGGCAATATACCTCTGAGAATCAGGTGAGGTAGAGAAGCTACTGGGGAAGGGATGACTTTCAAAGACTATGGAGAATAAAGCTATCAATGGCTACTAGGCTATGTTCTACCTACAGTGCTGGAGGCAGCATGCCTCTGAATACCAGGAGCTGGTTAACACATGTGGGGAGAGTGCTGTTGCTTGTAGGCTTCCCCTAAGGCATCTGGTTGGCCACTGTGAAAACAGGAATGCTGGACTACCATGGGCGTTTCAGCTGATCTAGCAGCGTTCATCACCTTCTGACATGTGCATCTTGACCTGGAACTTAACATTCTCATGGGGGCTCCTTTCCACATCAGGAATGGCCAAGTTATCTGAAGTGGGGAAGAGCACAGTCCAAGGCTCCTCATGCTACCTGGCAGCGCAGGAAGGAGGGGAGCTGCAATGCTTCTTCCTGTGATGCTGGAATAATACAAGTAACAGACACTACAAGTTTCAAGGCTAGGTAGGCTGCAGCTTGAGCCCTGTGCCACCTACGTGATGCTGTTCTGATGCAGCGTCTCCAGAGTAGTGTTGCGATCCTCTGTAGTGGCTCTCTTGTCCATGTTGCGGAAACGTTCCATGGCCGAAATATTGCGTTGTATGCTCTGCTTGGGAATGTCCAGCTTGGAGACAAAAGTGAGGGTACCACGGTCGTCACAGTTGAAGAGCATCGGGCAGCAATCATGACCCTGTAACAAATCAGCAGAATGTGTCTAGCTGGTGCTCCAAACCTACTACCAATTACTTGCTTGGGCTTGGCCACCTTCTTTTAAAAAGCTTAAGTCTTCAAGCTAAGGGCAGCTTCAAAGGTTACAACTTTCCTACACAGAAATGACTTCCATGAGGAACACCCCCACCTCAAACAACAAGAACAACAACAACAACAAACCTTCCTGCAGTTCACCAGTGCGGTGTAGAGGTCAGACTAGGACTAGGGGAGACCCAGTTTCAAATCCTCATTTAGCCATGAAGCTCACTTAGTGTCTCTGTGCGAGTCATTGTCTCTTAGCACAACTTACTCCACAGGGCTGCTGGGAGGATGAAATGGGTGGGGAACAGCAACATACACCACCTCGAGCTCTTTAAAGGAAAGGCAGAATATAAATAAATCTACCATGTGTTCTTGAAAGCTGTTTGCCCATTATGTATTTGGACAACGCTTAAGATGCCATAACCAAATTTTGTATGAAAGTTCTGGTGACCTAGGAGCAGGTTTTTGTCTATGTTTGAATACAAACTGGATACCATTTTCAATCAACATGGTGGGCTGAACGTTTCAAAACTACACTGATTTTAGCCACTGATTCTTTTAGAATGAGAAATGCCACACACAAGGCTGCTAGTGGAATGATAAATAAACCAACACACATGTATACACTTCACTGAGGATGCTGTGAAGCTGTAATTGTTCAAGGTTGCTTAACAAATGGGCTCAACATGTGAATGTGACAAAAATGGAAATGCTTGTTCATTGCACACAAACATATCTACAACACACATAGATAATCTGAAGCTGCTTTAGATTAGGCAATACTGTATCTGTACAATAATCAGTATGCAATCAAGACATCAAGGCTTTTGAACAGGGCGACTAGTAAGAAGCATCAACAAGGTAACATTAAGTCTTTGCAATGATAGTTGTCCCTAAAAAAACTGATGCAAGTCAAAGACAGAAGGCACTTACAGCAGCAACCACACTGTTCTCCGAAACAAACGACACACTCAGCAATGGGAGGAATTCTGTTTTCAATTGCGAGATCCTAAACCCAAGAAGATCACTTGTTAATGATGCATCACACAGAAATCTCATAAAAAGTACCCCTCTTGCCAGCTGGTTAGGACAGAATCTGGCATTATTACCCAGTTTCATGACTGCCTTGGCTCATTTGGCTAGGTAATTTTGATACCGTTTGTTAAAGTATGAACCAGACAATTAGTTCTGATATTAGGCTATACATTCATCCCAGTCCCTACTTGTCGTGAATTACAACCAGGATACCAGCTGCCCATGGCCGGGATGGGGAATCTGTAGCCCACAGTTGTTGCTGGACTCCAACTCCCATCAGCCCCAGCCAGCATGGCCAAACATCATGGATGATGGAGCTACAGCATAGCAAATGTGGAGGGCCAAAAGTTCCCCATCCCTGGCCTATAAATATGCTGAGCAAATATACATCAACACACTACTACATTTAAGTAGGAAGATTATGATCACCATGTCAAGGAAACTCACCCTAAGATTCTGCTACATTACTTACATCATGTTTTTGGAGGCATCTGCAACCGACACAGTGCTATCATGGCTGACCCAGGCCAGGCGGTTGCCACTGGCGGAAAAACTGACGCTGTGGACCCAACCGCCACTTCCTGCGCCACCAAATTCAGCCATCAGCTGCCCAAAGGGCATTTTGGATCCCCAGGGTGTGCTGGCCGGTTTCTCATCCACTTCCTTAATGTAAGCTGAAAACACTCTGCAAACGAAGAGGCAGAAGGGAAAATTAGGAGGGGGGTGGGACTCAAGCCTACCTTTGTGCAGAAATGAAATTGCTAATTTCATAGGCAAGTCAAGTATCAAAGTCAGCAAACTAGCCTCACGTAAAGCTCTCCCAATGTAGTCAACAGCAGTTTCTGTGAACATTTAACATATTGCCGTGTTCAGTTTAATTTATATTTCTTATAAATGAGGTATGTCTACCAAGATAATTAGAGGCCAAGTAGAGAGGCAGAGTGCAAGCTGCGGGCCACAGGAAGCCTGACATTTGACACTAAAACAGGCAGACTTCCGAACCCCAGGGGCTGTGGTACCAAAGAAAAAACCGCAGAAGAGGTGCCAGCTTGTGCATGGGGTGTGGTGCTATGGTTGCAGTTCCACCTCCACAGGTCCCATTGTTCCACTTTGGTATGGGAGGAATCAAGATGTAAACTGATACAATCCCAATCTGGATTATGGACATCAAATACACAAACTCAACATGGCTGACACTCACCAACCCTTTCACATCTGGAAGTGAATTCAGAAAATTCAAAAAAGGGACGTGCGACAGTTCCCACTTTGAGCATGAACTCCTATTGTTTACATCTGCAGCACAGAATTACTCTGGACATCGCAAGTGCAGTACCTGTCAAAGTAGGCTGACTTGATGCCTGCCATGTCGGCGTACTCTTTGCCATATACTGGAATACTTATTATCCAAACCCTTCCCCCAAATTTGATCACCTTTTCACTGCTGCCTCTTGCTGCAGTCTTCCCATCTGCTGCTGACAGAGCCATTGGACATGCAGGGTGTTAAAGAGCTGCTGCTAATCAGTTTGAACAGTCACCCAAATCCACTTCCAAAAGTGCTTTGCATTCTCTCACCTGCATTTGAAGTCACAGGATCCAGCTGCAAGCAAAACATTGTTGGGGTGCCAATCTAGGCTAAGGACAGTGGAGCGAATGGGCTTCTTAATGTGCTTGCTCACCCACCTGGAGGGGAGGAGAAAAATCAGTAAGGAACTTGTAATCGTTGCTTCAGCACTAAAACAGCTGTGCAAAAATTTACCATATTTTCCCGTGTATAACATGCCCCCATGTATAATACGACCCCTATTTTTTGGGACTCCAAATAAAGAAATCCCCCATATGCACTATTCGTGTATAAGATGACCCCCAATTTTAAACTTGAAAAAAATAGGGGAAAATATAGTCTTATACATGGAAATATATGGTTTTTTTCACAAATAATGGGCCTTTTAAAGGAGAGCAGCTGAACTGTTGAAGTAATTAAGCTTATTCAAGACAGATGTTTTACAGGTAACTTGTTAGCTACCAGCTGCAAAAGTAACATTAGCAAGGTATTTGAAACTCTTTGTCATACGGAAAGCAGCAGAACCCATTTATATTCTCAAGTAAAAGCAACAGAATTGTTTCCATTCTCAAGCATGTAATGAAAGGCTTTGAGGACACAGAGCTACCCTGCAATTTTCTGGCTTGTTGCCATAATGAGATAGAGACTCAAAATGGTTTCACACCCTTTAAAATAATGTAGAGGAGAAAAAGATTTAGACACTGAAGCCTCAGAATTTAAGACCTCACTGCCAACCAACCAACTATATTTTAAGCTTGTCACTGCTGAAGCAAGCTGAGGAATGAGAAGAGAAGCAATCTGCATTAGGCAACTCACCAGTCATTTTCAGACTCAAAGTAGCACACAGATATGAGTCGAGCTCCACTTCCAACAGCAAATTTGTTCTCCAAAGGAGACCACTTCACAAAGGTGGCTGCTCGGTTGATCCTCAGAATCACCAGTGTTGGCTTCCACACTCCGTCCTTCTGACTCCAGACGTAAGCGTTACGGTCAGCACCACAAGTGACAATGCGGTCGCTCTTGGGGGCCCAGTCAATGCCTGCAAGTTTGAATGCAGTTTTGTTTCTTTGGTGCCACATCTTATTAATCACACACTGCAGTCCTACCACCTCCTAGTCATTACATTTTTATTCTGCATTTCTTCCATGACAGAACTCCAGGTGGCATCCAGACACTTTCGAGTCATGCTTAGTTTTAGCAAAGTTGCTGAATCAGGTCCCTTTAGGGTGTCCTCAAACCAGGAGCTAATAATCCACTACTTTAAGTCACCATTTTAAGATCAGTACAGCCTCTGTCTTCAAATCCATCCATGGTTAAATTGGTGTTGTTGTTTTACATATTTAAGTTTATAGGATCGCATGCCTGGGTTTATGCGATCCAAGGCTAAATTGGAGGCTGAGTCACATAAAAACAGAATGAACAAAGCGCCATGTTTCTTGCTTTGCCAATATCAAATATTTAACCAGAAGAACACCTTTCATATACTGTAGATTTCAAGTCCATCCTACCTTGGAAGAGTCATGGACAGAAACAATTATGGGAGCATAAAAACCCCACTCAAACTGAACAAAATTACAGTGGTACCTCGGGTTAAGTACTTAATTCGTTCCGGAGGTCCGTTCTTAACCTGAAGCACCACTTTAGCTAATGGGGCCTCCTGCTGCCGCCGCGCCGCCAGAGCCTGGTTTCTGTTCTTATCCTGAAGCAAAGTTCTTAACCTGAAGCACTATTTCTGGGTTAGCGGAGTCTGTAACCTGAAGCATATGTAACCTGAAGCGTATTTAACCTGAGGTATCACTGTAAAGCAAATGCACGGTTAACATACAGCTAAAGTCCTTATTCTTCCACTAGCTGAAATTCAACTTCAAATAGGTCAGCGTCACAGTGTTGCTAAAAGTCACAGTGGCTATGACTTTAGTGAGTCTATAAGGAAAAGGTGTTTTGTAGCCATTAAGTTTGCCACTCAGTAACTTCTCTAAGCACATACTGTATTGCTGTTGAATGGCTGGAACTGTTAAGAGAGCACCCATGATCCATTTTTATCATGACGGAACATTTAAGCGAGAAGTGGGAAAGCTTCAAATTTATGGCAATGACAACTTGCTCCAGAAGACAGGATATGAATAGAACCCTCAAATTCCTGGACAGTATAAACAATCCTGAAATGAACTGGCAACTAACGGGCCTGAAATAACCATCTTACAAACTCCTCTGTTCCTCCTAATCATGTAAGCAAATCCCAATGAAAGGTTTTATTGGGAAATATCTCAGACTGGAGACTTTCTCAGAGTTGAAGGTAGTTTGAAAAAAGGATTCCTGGTTGCAATGTGTACAGTAGACTCACCTCTACAAAACAGCTTTATGTATTCAATACACTGGCCCACTTTGCATGTAACATGAAGTCAAATGAGGGTTTACTGTGCTCCCAGAGATGGGATTGCGAGCACATATTAGTGGCCCAGGCAAGCTGGATGCAAAGGACAAACCTTGGTTACAGCTTGTGGCTTGTCTGGAAAGAGCTAAACCATGAGCCTGAATAGAGACAACATGAAAAGATACACCCTCTCCTCTTTGGCAGCCTGCATGTTTACTCGTTCATGCTAAGCCATGGTTTAGATTAGCATTACACGCTAACAAGGACACTGTTTAAGAAGGGGCAAAAGGAGTCTGTATGGGAAGAGTGATGCCTCTCTCAAACCACTGTCTATAAAGAAATAGCTGGGCCTTTATCAAAGCAGAATTTAGACAACTCCTGCCTCTGGGTTCCAAGAACCATTTATTTGATTCAAAAACGCAAGTTATTGTAGCATCCAGTTCTCCCCCTGCAAATTCAGAGCTCTAGGAGGAGCTTGGTCTCAGCAAAGTACTGTGGTTGCAGTACCTGAACAGTTGCAACTTTATTCATGGGCTTTCAAAAATGTTTTACAATGTTTGGTTTTCAACTACATATGACCAATGCAAACAGGGTGTCAGATGACAATGTAAATATGCATACTCTTGATATGATGGTAGCTAATTCTCAAATTAGTTTCCAATGCTACAGTTTTAAAGAACCAACAATAAATATTGCTAGTGTAAGAGAGTAAGGCATATGAAAATGTTTCTGAGCAGGAATGAAGATGAATTATTTGCAACCCATTGGGGAAAGGGCCAAAGCTCAGGGGAGGAGTAAATCTTTTTCTTGCTGAAGTTCCCAAGCTTAATCCACAGGTACAGCAGAAAAACCCTTGCTTGAGACCATTGAGCCGTTGCTAATCACCACAGATAGACATGGACTGACGGTTTGAATCAGTAAAAGGCCGCTTTCTGGGTTCCTGTTTCCCTGTCTGCACAGTTCACCCAATATACCATTTCTTACTGGATCCTACCTGCCTTTAGGACTCAAACTGCATCCATTTCTAGGGGCATGCCTGCTATTGTTGCTGGAGCCTTCTAACAACAGATTACCGTATATCAAATGAGAGAATTATATTTATATCTTCCTTAAGATACTAATAGTGAATTCATTCTCCAAGTGGGGATCTTTACTATGTAGACAAACTGGCAGCATCCATGCACAAGACAGAGGAATCAACAGGTTCACGGGAACACCAAGGTTTGCAGACATACAAACACACACAAAGAGCCCAATGTGGACCTAGTACGCTCGGTGGGCAAAGAAGTTATGTTTGCAAATGTGGTGTGCATCCCCCCCCCGCCCCCCAGTCACTGTGCTTTAGAACCTGAGCTTTCCAGTAAGCAAAAAGTTTTCCTCATTTTTTATTAGAAAGAGAATCCCAAAATAAAAGTCAGGTATAGCTAGTGCAATAGTGCTCTGGGTGATGGAACAAATCCATCTGCCTCAGCAAGATGCTATTTCAGATCTAAAGATAGCCATTTAAATGTGAGTCCTGTACAGCTCTCCCACATCTTCCTGCAGTATAAACTAATCCAATACTCTCCCTCTGCACACAACATAAAAGCTCCAAAATGGTTCCTTGTGATAAATTATTACAGTGCAGAGCTCCTTCAACAATGCTATATTTCTATCAGCCTCTTTATACCTACTGTGCCAAATCCTTCCCTTCAAGAAGCTCAGGGTTTCTTATGTGGGCACATACCATTTTTGTGTCACAATAATCCTTGGAGGGAGGTTAGGCTGTTACAATATGCAGAATCGTGGCACAACAAAGATGTACAAAAACTGCACGAAATGCATTAACAATGCATGCCAATGAAAGCCAGGTTGTTTTAAAACACAAATTTAAACTCAGATATCACTATTAAGGTTTCATATACAGTAAACAGACATCTTTTAATTGCTTGTTTTGTATTACCTTTTCACTTATGAGTTTTCCTTGAATGCTAAGGAGAGTTAAGGAGGCAGCATAGTGTTGGATTCTCTTGCTGCTAAAATGGCTTCCTAGAGAACAAGAGTTACTATAACCCAATGCTACAGTAGTGCTCATCATTTACTGTCTGATACCACTGCTTCCAGGCAGGTTTGCTGTTATAGGAATCTGCTGGCCAGCAAGAGTGTTTGATGCACCTGAAAGAGCATCAGAGGTAGCATGGAAGCCCAGCCTCCAATTCATATACCTCTCAAGGAGAAGCGAGTGTCTAGATAAACAGGCAGGGATAGAGTCTAATGTGAAAAATGACAGTAGCTGCGGAAGTGCACATCTGCATTCTAGGTATGCAAGGTATTCTTCCATAGCATCTTAAGTATTTACAAAATATACATGCTGCTTTTCAACTTCCATTCACAAAGTGGTGCACACAAGAAATTTAAAATAGTTCATACAAACAACTAAAACAAAATATTACTTTGGAATGGGGCACAAATCCATGAAAACAACTCCCGGTCCCCAGGCAAAACCCTTTTTGACAGCAATTGATACGTGTTTCTAAGAGAATCACCTGGATGGACACAGCTAAAATCACAGCATGGCAACTGTATTGTTTTATTCAAAATGAGAAGAAGCAATTAAACAGGTTGACTTCCTCACTAGATGCGCTTGACTCTTGCAATATTCAAAGGCCCAATAGTCAAAGCTGCAGCTGAAAATTCTCTTACCTGTGATGTGTCCATTGTGCTCTTTGAGCTCATGAGCTTTCACCCACTGGTTCCCACTCTTCTTATAGATGTGAACTTCATGATTATTGGGGCTAATGGCAATCTCTGCCAAGAGGATGAATTGATTAGTATAAGAAATATTTCTATTTTTAAGAAAGAAAGATTCAAAATCATAATCATAGCATATTCATGAAACTTGCGAGGAGTCTTTCCAACAAAAAATGCACTTGGCGTAAAAATGGTAAACTAAAAATACGAAAAATCTAAAGCAATGGCACAGAAGCAGAACCCATAAAATAGCAAAAGCAGAAATATAATCCAGTCACAGGCAAACACATGCCACCAAATGCCTGTGAGAAAAGGAAGAGTACTTTAAGGGCTCAACTACATGGAGGGGGAAATGACTCAGGGGCTGGACGTTGCAGGTGGTGAAAAGATTAAACAACCTTATTCACTGCTTTTATGGGGGGAAAAGCCTGCCATTGTGATGAAATTACAGGGCACTCGTTTTGATTAGCCCCAATATTAGTGGGCCAAATGAAGACAATCCAAAATCTTTGTACTGAACCTCAGATATTGGCAACATGAGTTTTTTTCAGTAAAGAGTCGTCCAGCTATGTGTATTCTGCAGCCAAGCTGGCTTTTCTGCACCAGTTTATTGTCAGATATGAAGTCACATGAATTAAGACAATACTCACGAGTTCGGTCCCTGTTCCAGGCGTGACAGGTTATTGGCTCTAGTAAGAACTGGTGTAGAGACATTCTGAACAAGGAATGATCTTAAAGCGTCAAGAGGGATGAAGCTGAAAGGAATAAGCAGAAATGCTTTAAATTTGATGTTGCCCACTTTTGTATTCATCCAATACTAAATGCTGTTAAGACAGGAATGTAACCCTTCAGATGTTGCTGGACTCCAACCGCCATCAGTCACAGCCAGCATGGCCAACCATCATTTATGATGGGAGACACAGGTCAACAACATCTGGATAGTTCTGACTATTGCACCCTCACTTGTGCACGTGGTCACTGAGTTTCTAAGTGAACTTAATTCCATCCAAGCTTAAGAAGACAGTATAAGAAACTCACAAGACCACACACATTTACAGGACGTGCCAACTTTTAAATGGGAAACATATACTGGCATTATTCATTTAGCAACCTCAGTACAGTATGCAGAAGCTTAAGTTAGGAGACAAAAGACCTGTCATGAGTACGGCAGAAAACTAAGTGTAGCTTCGTAGCCAGCAGATTCCACTGAGCGACTGCATCTTAAAAGGTAAGAAAACTGAATCATCTTAATGTGTATGTCAAATCAATGACTCCTATGGCTTGGAATGTGCACAGAAACCACAGCATAATGGGTGCAACAATTAAGTCATCTAAAATTATCAAAATCTGCAGCTCCCCACCCCAACCAACCTACACTTCTGCACAACTACATCACTATTCTCCCAAGGGTTACCCACACTTTGAGGAACCACTTTTCCATCATATGCGTTGAAGGAAAACACTAATGCTATCATCCACATCCACGCCCACTGGCTGCTAGACAAAGGTGCCAAGCAAAGTAAAAATCCAGGCAAAGACAAAAACAAATGAAAGCAAAGAGAAACTCAATTATAAATCAACTTTAAAAAAGAAAAAAGAAAGGCCCTAACAGTTCATCACCTGCAATGGAATCACAGAAGCACCAAAATACCAAGCCAAAATATACTGCTTTTAAAGCTACAGTAATTATTTCCAGTTAAAGATACAGCTTTTCCAAATCACCTTAGTGTTGGTTGGAAATTGCTGGGTGATTTGGACATTCAGCTGATCCCTCCTTTTTCTTACCTTTGGGGGGGGAGTCACTAGGGCAAACTAACTGCAGTGAAGTAACAAAGGTGAACATAAAGTTCAGTTCACCTGCATTCCCCTTTTTGATGCTAATACCAGATAAATACACCCTGTTTAGTTTGTTAGTCATGGTGCAGCTATAGCAGCAAAACCGGATGCCTTCATCTGCCCCACCAGCAATTAAACATGTACCTCCCATATCAGTCTCTACAGCCACAGCAGGTGCTGTAACTCTCCAGTGGTTTGACTTCACCCCTGAAAGTGCACTCCTCCATTGTCTCTGCAGACAAATGCCACCAACAACACCTAACTGAGGCCAATCTCTAGGCAACTCACAATCAATCAAGCTAGGGGCATAAAAAATATTGAAAGCAAAAAATATTGAAAAGCACCACAATGAAAAGTTAAACAATTGGCTGGATATACAAAGCATAAAACACCAGCTTCCTGGGGTGGAGGCAGAGAAACTTATTTGCAACCCAGAATGGCAGTGACATAAAGCCATGACCCAAGTGGATGAAACTCCAGCAAATGTCTGGGTGAAGAGGAAGGTGTTAATCTGGTGTCAAAAAGATGTCAGTGTCACCACCTGGGGCAGAATTCAAAGGGCAAAAGAATGCAAAAGATGGTGATAACAAAAAAAGTACTCTTCCTTGTTGCCACACAGATGTGTTGCTTTCCACATCTCACAAATCTCACCTCCACCAACATTATGAGAGTTTAAAAATCCTAGCTCATCTCACAATACCAGCTATCCAAATCAGGATTTTTATATTACTTCCTAATGAAGATGGGCTTCAGCTGGGAAGAAATGCCACTGGGGGAGGTGGGAGCTTAGGGGTTTTTATTTGGAGTGGAAATTGACGTGGAAGCTTTTCTGAACATGGTAAACATGCATAACATTGACAACAGTTGAAGTGTAAGGTACAAATCAGCTCACTCAAAATTCTCTCACAGTAAGAATCTATTCTAGATCGCTTTGTTTCATAAATTTATACTCTACTTGATTCTCAAAGTAGATTACAAAAAGAATAGAATAATAAAATTACTGATAAAAACAGCTATGTAAAACATTCAAAAAAATTAAAGTCAGTGATAAACTAAAAAGAGACTAAAACACACATTAACATTCTATGTATCTTTTAGCAAGTGCAGAAAAGAGTACAGTGAAGGTGACTTGCCTGTTCTCAATAGGCAGGGAGTTCCAAAGTGTGGGCGCTTCTACAGATGCGGAACAGGTATTATGTGACACCTGTAACAGTGTCAGTTCCATCGACACTTTGATTTAAAGCTTGGCAAATATTAAGTTGACTCCATTAGCGCCTTTTACTTCTACAAAAATTTGGAAGCCAAAACCCATTCCTCTTAAGACTACCTAGATTTCTTCTCAAACAGGAAATAAAAGGAGAAGTCCTATGTCTTCTTACTAAGACTATTCTGCTCTTCCAATCACAACAATGAACACAATCCCTGCATTAGAAGCACATTGTGATGATGGTGAAACAAAGGCTGCCCTCCACTTTTGGCACCCTCATCGACAGGGCTGCCATAAAGGGGAGATGCAATGTGCCTGTGTTCAGAGATGCCCTGCAGTTCCCCAGGTGACGCCTCCCTCCATGTACGCCCTACCTGTTGCAGAAATGGCCATTTACTAGGAAAAAGAACAATGACAAATCAATACATAGCAAACCTCTCTCTCAGTTGCCTGTAAGGGCAGACTGGCAGAATGAGAACCCAGCCTTATTACCTAGTAGGCAGAGGCCAAACAACACCAGGGATGAGAGCAGGAAATGCTACCTGAATCATTCTGGCACTAGAGGGGCAAAGTGTTATTTCCATTCGTCATACTAGACTTGGATGTGACTTTTTCTGTGAGACAATTTCATAAGCTGCTTTGAGTGTGGCTACGAAGCAAACCCTGTCATATTCAGTGCTGCTTATTCCCAAACATATTTGCACAGGATCGCAAGCTTTATGCTATCACAGCACTGTTTCGATGTGAACGGGGCTCTGGCCTGCTTTGCGCATTTCGAGATAAATATGCTGTGTTTTGCTGCTTAAGATTATTCCGATATTTTGCATTCTGGGTTGCCTTCTGTCTGCTGTCAGCCGCTTCAGGGCAGGGGCTGTAAATGAAATGAATTAAGGGTTTGCTGTGAAGGAGGGGGGAAACAAAGGGGGGGCATAGAACGAATATACACCTTGCAGTGAGGTCAGTGGAAAAAGCAGCAGGAAATGCATAAGAATTCAATGCAATAAAATAATACCTGATAAATAGATACAGGTTCATTTACTAATTAATTATTAATTATTATTATTATTGTTATTGCAGCACTGTTTTAATGGACGTATAATAGCCTGGCAACCCCCTTACCCCCAATTATTGTTCCTATAATGGGGTGGGGAGAAGGGCCTGGGGGTTATCTTCTCCCCCCCACCCCAATTTCCCCACAACCCAGAGGAGGCGCCCCCCCTTTAATTAGGATGGAGGGAAGAGGGAAACCAAAGGAAATTAACCCCTTCTTCCCCTTTCACTCACCGTCCGGGCCTGAGGAAAGCGGCGGGGTGCGGGGGCCGGGGGCGGCTCGCGGACTCTGGCCAGTCAACGCGACTCCGCTCCGAGCGGCGCTCTCTGAGGGAATGCGAGGAAGGCGCGGCCGCCAAGCAAGGGCCCGGCTCCGTCACAGGGCCGGCCCCCGCGCGCCTGCGCAACGCGCTCCCGGAGCGCCTCTCTCGCAAGGCGCATGCGTGACCAACGGTCGACGGAGCGGCCTCGCTCGCTCACGGCGCCTGCGCCGAGTGTTGGGTTCGAACAAGGTTGGAAGCCCGGGCTGCATTCGCTTACTGCGCCTGCGCTGAGGCGCTGCCGTGGGAAAGAGGCAAGCAAGCAAGTCAAGCAAGCAAGCAAGCCGGCTACCTTGAAGAGGCGGGTCTTTCACTGCGCCTGCGCAGATAAGAGTAGGTGGTTTGGAAAGCGCTTCCTCGTAGTGCGCTTGCGCAGGCAGGTGCCATATTACACCCGCTCCGCACGTGGAAGAGCTCGATTGTCTTGCGTGGCAGCATCGACGCTGTGGAACTCCCTGCCTCTTGATATCAGGCGCCTTCACTGTGAGGCTATTTGCACTCCTACACACTGTATTTTTTTTGGCGCCTTTTGAAAACATTCTTGTTTAAATAAGCCTATCTAGAAGTTCGGAAAGTTTGTAGGTGTTTTAATTTGTTTTTACTATTTTTTATTTATACTGTAAACCTCCCAGAGTGGCTGGGGAAACCCAGATGGGCGGGGTAAAAATATTATTATTATTATTATTATTATTATTATTATTATTTATTTACACTTTGTACATTTTGAAATATGGTTGTAAACTTTTTAGTAATAATTTTATACTTCTTTTTCTGTAAAACACTGAGTCCCCCACAACAAATTGTGACATAAATAAAAGAAAAAGGCAGAGGGGAGAGATTTTGCTAAAGTGCAGAAAAGGGATGGGGGGGTTGACAAAGAGGCTGGTTGGCGCAGTCCCAGTTGGGTGCAAAATGGGTGGTGTGGCTGCCTGGAGGAGAGGAATGTATCTCACCTCATTTCTCATACATGTCATGTACAATCTAGTTGAGATTCCTGCATTGCAGAGGTTGGACTAGATGACCCTTGGGTCAATTCCCGATAATCTCATGCCCACTTTTCTGGGGGCCTCATTGAACACGGCAGGACATAGGATGAACCTTTGCATTCAGTTCCGTGGGACTTTGGAATAAACCTGCAAAGGGGCTGCGTTGCAAGGCTGAGATCTTGTTGATCGATCCAGTCTCTTGATCAGTTCAAGGACATCTCAACAGTGTCCTTGACCAGATGGCCACCTGACCCCCTGCTTAAGCACAGGAGGAGCCAAGGCAGACTGTTCTACTGCTGAACTGCTCTGACAGTTCAGAAGTTTCTCCTACTTCCCTGCCATCCATTGGCTCTAGTCGTGTTTCTCATAGAACTCTGGACATTTCGCAGGGAAACCAAAATGCTTGTTTACAAAGCTATTGTACTACCAACCTTATGCTTGTGAAACATGGACCACTTATAAATGCTATCTCCAGCTCCTCAAAAAATTCCATCAACGGTGTCTCCCAAAAAATGTACACATCACTTGGGAAGACAGGCGAACTAATACCAGTGTACTGGAAGAAGCAAAGATCACCAATGTTGAAGCAATGATTCTGCAACATCAACTTCATTGGACTGGTCATGTGCGGATGCCTGATTATCGTCTTCCAAAGCAGCTACTCTATTCCAAACTTAAAAATGGAAAGTGTGATGCTGGTGGTCAACAAAAGAGGTTTAAAGACAAGGCAAATTTTTAAAAATATAGTATAAACACCAACAATTGGGAAACACTTGCCTGCAAGATCAGCCTTTACCAAAGGTGTCATGGGCTTTGAAGACACTCGAACTCAAGATGCAAGGGAGAAACTGTTGGGAATTCCATTCCACCCTTTGCTGCAGACATGGGATTGTTGCGTGTCACATGTCTGTTTACATTCCAGCACAGATTGCTGGCGTGAGCGGAACTTCCGCTCTGTATTGCTTTTGTTTTTAGTCTCACTCCGAGAAGACGGCAAGGAGAGATGACATGTTTCTTTGTTCTGATTTATGTATAATAAATGCATAGTTTAGTATGTGCAGCATCAAGCCTCTTGTGCAGTTTACACTGCTGAGTAAAGCGTGTTCAAGTCTGCAAGCTTGAGTCGCTGATGCATGATGTTTCAGCTGGGGTCGAGCCAGCTGGCCTTTCGACCCCCCCCCCCCGATTCCGACAGAATCGTGCTAAGAGGGAGGCACGCTTGGCAAATCCACACCGTCATCAACTCCCACCCGGAAATCAATGTCCCCACTGTGGACGGATGTGTGGATCCAGAATTAGCCTCCACAGTCACATTGTTAAAACCATGTTTATGGAAGACAACCTTACTCGGCTACAAGCGATTGCTAAAGTAGAAGAGTTTTCAGATTTTATACATGCTTGGGAGCAAGCCCAACTGAATTTCAGAGCTTACTCCTGCATATAGAATTGTGCTGTCTTACATACATTTCATTGGGTGCAAGAACTACTGAATTTAATAAAAGCCTTTGTTTTTAGTGCCCATCCCTGCTTCTAAGCAAGTGCACATAAGGATGGCCATCTTTAATTCTCCTGATAAATCTGCAAAATTGGGCATCAGTAGTACATTTGGTAAGAGCATGAATGACTGCCCTGTTTCTGCATTGATTTGTGGCAGGAGGGTTGTTTTTTTAAGGTTTTTACAGATTAAAAGCTTTGCAACTAGGGCAGCTAAAAAATGCATAAACGGAACACGGCGCCGTGTGAATACAGTATTATTTTCCAAGAGGTCTTTGTTTGCGGGGAAAGTGAAACACTTCGGAGATGTATCTCCTCTACTCACCCCAAGCAGGAATATATAATGCAGCAAATCTTAGCTGGCCAGAAATAATTTATGGCAATCTCTTAACTTTCCCACTTAACTTTGTTTCTCTAAGAACAGGGGAGAGGTTGCTGGAATGAAGTGTGGAAAAGATAAATGGTGACATGGATTGGTTGGATGCAGAGAAATGGTGGAAGGAACCAGCTGGGGAACCCCCAGAGGAAGAAAAATCAGAGCCCTGGGAATGGCAGTGGGACAATGCATGGTTAGAGGGAGAAGGACTGGGAGGAGGAGGTGTAGGAAGCTGAAGAGGTAACAGGGCCTAGTGAGCAGGGAGAATCTGTGATGCTATTGAAATAAAAAAAATAAGGTCATATATATATAAAATGTTCATGGCTGTGCCAGGCAAACACGTACATAAATGTATGGGCCACATGTCTGAGGCAGCACAGGAGGGCTGCCCTGGAGCCATTTTGGCACCCAAACTGACCAAATGTTTTCTCTGCAAGGTCAAAGGAAAATGGAAAAGCCTTCCCATTGTCTTTTCATTCACAAAACCTGTCTTAAGGGTATATCTGTGTATTAATAGGGTGAGCCTGTGACCTGGCTCAGGAACTAAGTATTTGTCACTACAAAAGACTGGCCAGGCTCCCCAGGGTATCCAGTCAAGTAAGCATTAACAGGTAACCTGCCAGACAGGAGATAAACAACGACAGGAGATAAACAACGCACTCAGATTTCTGCTGTAGACCGCCCTTTCTGTGATCTAGGTTTGATGCATCTGGGGGGTGGTCTTGAGCTACACCCCTTCTGTGATGTATCTATGATGTATGGAGGGGTGGTCTTGAGCTCCAGGGTGGGCAATTTAAAATTCTATATAAGGGCAAGCACACTTTTGTTCGGGGTCCTCCTGCGTGTGAAGGGGGCACCCTGTTGCAACAGTTCAACAGTTCAATAAAGATCAGGCTTACTAGCTGCTTTGCTACTCAATATTCTCTGGTTGGCCTCTGTTATTTTCTCTGACCGATGGAGAACCTGCAAAGGAATCTATAAGGGCTCTTGTGTCCTCCATAAGGGAATAAGGGCAGATTTTCATTTTTTACACTATATATAGCATCAGAGGGGCGGAACCCCCAAAACAACTTACCCTCATCAAATCACCCTAATTTGGATAGCATTTCCCCTCCCAGAAAATGTTCTAATGCTCAGAAAACCCGCATAACTGTATTTATCTCACATTGACTTCTTTCTGAATGTGAAGCAGGTACAGTGGTACCTCTGTTTTCAAACACCCCGGAAGCCGAATGTTTTGGTTTTTGAACACCGAAAACCCAGAAGTAAATGCTCCCGTTTTCCGTTTTCGAACGCGCCCTGGAAGTTGAAGGGCTTCCACACGTGTACACGTTATTTTTTTCCTGTTTTCTGCATACCACCCTTTGCGCCTTGGTTTTCGAACGTTCCAGAAGTCAAACGGTCTTCCGGAACGGACTACACTCGAAAAACCAAGGTACCACTGCATGGGGAACCTCTGGCCTTCCAGATCTTTCTGAGCTAGAACTCCCTTCATCCCTGACTTGCTGGGCTGATGGGAATTGTAGTTCCACAGCATCTGGAGGGCCAGAGGTTCCCCTTATCTGTAGTATTTTTAAGTATTTTATTTAAGTATTTGATGCACCCTTTATTTTGTATCATAAGCTGCCCCGGGCGTTTATTTAAAGGGCGGGATACAAATCAAGAAAAGCAAACAGTTCCTCTCTTCAAAATCATTGCTAAACCAGCATATCCATGCACAGCCATGGAAAGAAAGAATAAGAGCTCACCAAGGTTGTTTTCTATGGGATTAAGCTTTATTAAGACTATGCATTCAGGACTATTTTGCAGGAGACAGCTGAGGCCTCGCCTTCGTAACATTTTCCGTCCTTGACATGAAAATGCAAGCAGGGTGCACGGAGAACAGACTTGTTCCAACTCAGAAAACATATCAATATAACCTTCTTGGTAAAGAAAATACGCTCCGGGAGAAGGGATGGGGTTTCAAGCTCCTGTATATGGCGGATGCTTTGATAACCCCCATTTCTCCCCATTTTCTTCACTTGCAACTTCCCCTCTGTCTTTTTCTCTGCGGGTGTCTTTTCCATTGCCTTAAGCTGCTCCAGTCCTCTCTAGGGAAGCCGTCCTGCAAGAGGCAGCTGCATGGAGACGCTTTGTCGATCTGCCTGCAAAGTTAAGCACAGTTGGGACAACGTCAGTTGCAAAAGGATACGGAGGGAGAGCAGAAGGGCAAACAGGGAAGGGGCAAACAAACAAGAGCCAGTGGATTTATCTAGTTAAAGGGGTTTAACTAGATGACCCCTGTGGTCCCTTCCAACTCCACAATTCTTTGGTGATCTATGAATACAGTGGTGCCTCGCAAGACGAAAAGAATCCGTTCCGCGAGTCTCTTCGTCTTGCGGGTTTTTTCGTCTTGCGAAGCAAGCCCATTAGAGGTTTAGCGGCTTAGCGCTACAGTATTAGCGGCTTAGCCGGCTTAAAGATCAGCTGATAAGCGGCTTAACGATCAGCTGATAAGCGGCTTAAAGATCAGCTGATAAGCGGCTTAACGATCAGCTGATAAGCGGCTTAGCATCAGCTGTTAAGCGGCTTAAAGATCAGCTGATAAGCGGCTTAGCATCAGCTGTTAAGCGGCTTAAAGATCAGCTGATAAGCGGCTTAGCCATCAGCTGATAAGCGGTTTAGCGGCTTGGGAAAAGGGGGGGGGAGGAAAAAACCCGCAGGAACTCGCAAGACATTTTCGTCTTGCGAAGCAAGCACATAGGAAATTCGTTTTGCGAAGCACCTCCAAAACGGAAAACCCTTTCGTCTAGCGGGTTTTCCGTCTTGCGAGGCATTCGTCTTGCGGGGCACCACTGTACAGAAAAAGATCCTGATTCATGGACAGTCACATACCCTCCAAGTGTCCCTATTTTCCAGGGATATCCCCGATTTAGGGAAATCAACCCAGTTTCTGATTTGATCCCGGAAAGTCCTGCTTTTGCTTAGAATGCCCCTATGTTCATTGGAGAAACGTTGGTGGGTATGGAGTTATGCGACCCCCCGAGCCATCTGAAGGCAATCCTGAATAGGGAAGTTTTTTAAAAATGTTTAATGTTTTATTGTGTTTTTATATATGTTAGAAGCTGCCCGGAGTGGCTGGGGCAACCCAATAAGATGTGTAGGGTATAAATAGTAAAATTATCCTTATGGAATGGGGCGTCCCTATTTTCATCGGAGAAATGTTGGAGGGTAATGCAGTCGATGCCCTTTCAAAATGTGTTGAGGAGTTTATTGGGCTGTTTCTGTTTTTATGATGTCTTTTGTGTTTTTATATTGTGATTTGATGTTGCAGCTGCCCTGAGACCTGCGGGTATAGGGCGGGATACAAATTTAATAATAATAATAATAATAATAATAATAATAATAATAATAAATAAATCATCATCATCATCCAATTGGCCATGGGGAGAACAGGATGTTGGACTAGATAAGCCTCTTCCTGCTCAGCTGATCTGTGCAGATCATCTGAGAAGGAGTTGAACTGAGCACACAAGCCCATGTAAGACTGTGGGTGAGAGAAGGTGTGTGGGGGGGTCACACCTATTTCTGCCACACCCACCACTTCCACAGAGGGTTAGCCAAGAGGGACCTTGAGCCCCACCCCCAAAAAGTAGCCAGCCCTAGTGTTGTGTACTAAGCTTGGATCCCAGAACAATAGGCAAGTAGGATCCTAGAATGCAACAACTGATTGGCTTGCGGGAAAAGACCAATCAGGCTCCAGGAGGGAAGCAGAATCAGCCTATTAGGCTGGTAGGATCATAGAATGCAACAACTGATTGACCTTCAGGAAAAGACCAATCAGGCTCCAGGAGGGAAGTAGAATCAGCCAATCAGATGGGACTCGTTGTGTAAATAATGTTTATAAAAGCTTGAGGTTTGGGGGGGGCATTCAATCACTGTTTTACAAGCCACAATAAAGAGCGTGAAATCACTACAGGACTCTGAGTATATTTCACCAAGGTTAAAGGGAGCCACTCCAAGATCACTTAAAAACCAGGGCAGAAATAGCACACCTACCAGCTGCAGGTTCAAAGAGACGGGAGCTATTCCTCAGCCGTTGACTTGGAGGAGCTGGAGGACTTGGCCACCTGGATTATTTCTACGGAGGTGAATGCTTTGCCTGCTGAGACTCTGTGCCTCGTGCGTAGTTTGTTCAGGGCCGACTCGGCCATCCCAGCCCTCTCTTCAGCATCATCCAACTCATGCACAGTCTTCCGGTACCTCGCCAGGCTCTGGTTAGCCTGTTCTTCCTATAGAGAGTTGAAGTGGGGGGGAAAGAGTTTGGCTGTTTTGTACTGGGCGCCTTGAGAAACAGTTTTCGGCCTGCGTGCCTGCGTTTAACTGTTTCCCCAAACCTCTCGTAGCAGGAACACATCCGATCCACGCCATATATCTTTGCACATTTCTACCACTTTCACATTCGTAGCTGTTGGGAGTGTTGCGAGTATCGACTCTGTGTTAAGCGGAAATGCTGACTCGCAAGGTGTGAGGTGTGAGTCAGCCTCACAAGCGACGGAGAGATGGCTAATAGGTTTAAAGCAGTGTTTCCCAAACTTGGGTCGCCAGCTGTTTTGGGACTACAACTCCCATCATCCCTAGCTAGCAGGACCAATGGTCAGGGATGATGGGAATTGTAGTGTGAATTATGATGATGTAGACTGCAACTGGAATAAAAGCTTTACATGGAACAAGGGGTGACTCCAGAGTGCTTCACGGGTTGCTATCCATCGGTAACAATATTCCACTGGTTGTACCACTTTTAACAGTCATCCTAGGTGCCAACTCCTTGAGGCCCTGGGTGCCCAAGCACCCACAAAATTCCCCATGAAGGGGCCAGGCACCCACAAATTTCAGTGCCAGGGCCATGCACGCTGCATGGCACCCACGGTCTCTGGCACCCAAAGTTGTGGGGCCAAGCTGGAACTCCTGACAGTTGTGGCTTCCCCCCAAAGAATCCTGGGAACTGTAGTTTACACCCACACAGAGCTGCAGTTCTCAGCACTCTACAGTTCCCAGGATTCTGTGGGGGGAGACTTGTGTTTTAAATGTGCTTTAAAATGTGTGTTGTAGATGTGACCGAAGCCAAAATGCATTGTTCCTAGAGTATGCTGGGATCCCTGAAGTTAAGCAGAGTGAGGTGGAAGATGGCGGCAAGTGGCAGCGACGTCACATCTGCACATCATGCGCCCTTTAAGCAAGCCTGATGGCCCTCTCAAATAAAAGGGCTTTGTTTATTCCTTATGTGTTGTTTTTTTTCACATTCCAATTTGAATTCCATGGAATTTAGACTGCAGTGCAATAGAGCAGAACACAAGAAACGAAAGGAGCAATTAAAAATAAGTGCCAATGTTCAATGCAACAAGATGTGCCACCTCCCACCTGCGGACCACAGTTTGGAAGCCCCAGTTCTATATGCGATTCCCCACCCCCTAGTCAATGTGCCTGTCAAGGGAGGAGGCAGGGGAAGAGAGAAATAATGCTCAAAGCCACTCCTGGTACATACAGCTTCTTCGATCTGCCTCTTGTAGGTCTTCATCTTGCTCTGCAGCTTCTCCACCAGCTCTTGCAAGCGCTGGTTGGTCTTATGGTCCTCCTCCGTTTGGAAGACCAGCTCCTTCAGGCGACGCTCGTTCTTGTGCACGATTTTCATCGTCTCCACGTGGCGCTTCTGCTCCGAGTCCAGCTCTGTTTCCAGCTCCTTGATCTGGAAAAGGGGGTGCGGGAGATTGAGGCCGTGGAAATGTAGAAAGCTACCTTAAACCGAGTCAGATCCTTGGTCCCTCTCGCTCGGGACTGTCTACACCATGGGTAGGCAAACACAGGCCCAGGGGCCGGATCCGGCCCAATCGCCTTCTAAATCTGGCCCGCGGACAGTTCGGGAATCAGCATGTTTTTACAATGCTTTTATTTAAAATTCATCTCTGGGTTATTTGTGGGGCCTGGCTGGTGTTTTTACATGAGTAGAATGTGTGCTTTTATTTAAAAATGCATCTCTGGGTTATTTGTGGGGCCTGGTGTTTTTACATAAGTAGAATGTGTGCTTTTATTTAAATTGCATCTCTGGGTTATTTGTGGGGCATAGGAATTCATTTATTCCCCCCCCCAAAAAAAAAATAGTCCGGCCCCTCACAAGGTCTGAGGGACAGTGGACCAGCCCCCTGCTGAAAAAGTTTGCTGAGCCCTGGTCTACACTGACTGGCAGCAGCTGTCCAGGGTTTTGGGCAAGGGGCTGAACCTGGAACTGCCAGCGTGCAAAAAGGATTTCCTACCACAGGGCTACAGCCCTTTCCAAAGGACCTAAGACAATGTCTTATACTGAATTCACTGGGTGACCATGAGTTCTAGCATTATATGAAAGAGAAAGAAAGAGAGAGAGAAACCTCTCTCTGTCCAATTCCTGCACATCATTCGATGCACCTCTATGATTTCCCTGAGGGGCAGATGGGACTTGTCAGCCTGGGAAGGCAGCCCATCTAGGAGAAGGAAAACTCTGATCCTAAACCCCTGCTGCCTTGCAGGATATATTCAGGAGGAGAAGCAGCTAAGGAGTAACCCCACACAAATTCAAAGTGGAGTCCCTAAGACGGTTGGATGGTGCGTTGTATGGCTCCTTCTGGCAACTCTTGCAGCCAAGCTGTTTCCAAACATCTTGCTCTGCTTTCCTTTGGACCACATCAGCCAGGTCTTGTCATGGAAGAAGCCCAGGACTTCCATACACCTTGCCCTGGCTTGTGCCCCAGGGAAGTCGCTTTGGTGCTGCTAACAGCAGTTTGACTCCACCCCTGGAAGCACACTCCATTGTCTCTTGAGACGGATGCCGATTTAAAAATAAGTAATGATTTCTCCTCTTAACTGCCTTTTCTGCGGCCCTTAGGGTTCTCTGCTCCCGGCAGGTCTGGGGTTAATATGAAGATTCAGCACCTCTCTGTGCATCTTTGGTCTGGAAACATATTTTGGGGACGAGGTCAGAGGCAAAGGGGAAGCATCCTCCTACCTTGGTCTCCAGCTTCATGATGGTTCGCTTCCCTCCTTTCAGGGCCATTTGCTCAGCTTCCTCCATCTTGACTTGCAGGTCTTTTATGGTGACCTCATGGTTCTTCTTAATCCTCTCCAGGTGCATGGAGTGATCTTGCTCCTGGCGCAGCTCCTCTGCCATGCGGGTCGCCTGGAATGGGTGGGGAGGGTAAGAAGTATGTATTAGAATCACCAAGAGCAGCAAGCGTCAGAACTCGGCTCCATCTCATGTATTCAGATCAGCCTAACAGAAGGAAGGGGAATGTTGAGTGATACTCAGGGCTGTGGAACACAAGTAGCTGGCCTCATCCTGTTTATTGAGTGTGCATCCTGATATCTTTGTGGGAAAGTGAGGCAATGCCGTCTATTTGATGGTCTCTGTTTACTTTCCCCATCACTTTCCTAACTGCAAATAACCTGGTGTTTTTTTAAAAAAAATGTTGTGCCAGATCACTTTAATCCAATTTAATTGTGCAAACCTTAATTTTCGGTGCACAGTCCCTTCTGCAAAATAGTGATAGCCTGGAGTTGACTGAGGTGTGATTAAAAAATAAACAAACATGAATGAAGAGCAAGAGATTCCTCATCCTTTAACCTCACAATCCCTTTGTATTTGCCACCATAAAAATAATAGGCTATAATTATCACTGAGCCTTATTCGGCAGGGATGCAACTCACATCAGCCACTGCCTTCTTTGCTTTCTCGTCCGCCGTTCGGAACTCGCTGATGAGCTCCTCATGATCATTAGTGATGCGCTGGAGGTCAGATTCCAGTTTCCTCTTGATCACCAGCAGGCTTTGGTTCTGCAGAGGGAAAAGAAGAGTTTGGGATAAGCAATTGCGTACGTCGTCGCAGAAATGCAGAGCCAGACTGCCTGTTCTGGTGCCTGAATGCTTCTTTTTTATTGCATGCTTTGAGACAGTTGCCTGTAATGATGGCCAGTGCCCACTGGGCCTGATAGGACAGAAAGCAAGGAGAACAACAACAGGCAGCACCAAAACCAGTGACAGGCAGAGCCAGCTTAGTCTAGTTTTGTCCCTGCCTCCCTGCTGAGTTCTGCAAGGGGCTATAATGCGACTAAGGAGGAAAGTCGACAGGGAGTGCCACCATCTGGACTGGCGGCAAGTTAGACGGCAGATGGACAGTATCAAAGAGTAAGCCGGCAGTAAATCACACCATTCAAGCTTGGAGTTAACTCTTTATTTGCCAAAACATTATCTTCACAGACTGGGCGGAGAGTGCGGCCTAACAAGCAAAGCAGCTCCTTCCCGTTAGGTCTTAGACATAAATCAGTTGCCAAGACTGAAAGTCCCCACCTCCCCACAGCTGTCCCCTCATCTCCAGGGTTTTTCCCCAAACAATTTGAGACTGTTCCTGTATGAGGCTAATTTCTCCTCCACCCTCTTCATGCCTCTGCTGGTTCTGGGAGACCAGCAGGGAGGGTAGCTTTGTCACAGCAGGAGGGAGAGACACCCATGACTCTTCACCACCTGGGCTCACCTCTGCCTCTTGACCTCTCTCCTCTCCTGCTTCTGCCTCTGATTTTGGACTTCTATCTGCCACAGACTCTCCCATCTCACTAAGCCCTGTTACTCCTTCAGCTTCCGACACGTCCTCTTCCCAGTCTGACTACTCGGCGGCATCCCACCACCACTGCCCAGGCTCTGAGCCTCCTTCCGTTCTGGGTTCCCCAGCCAGTTCCTCCCATCATTCCTCTGCATCCAGCCAGTCGATGACTTCTAGGGGCTGGCTAAGGGCGGTCAGACTAGTGAAGCAGCGCTGCCTCATTTGCCCTAATGAACCGCTCTCCATTGACTGGTCTAAGCAGGGCATGCGTCTGCTTAGTTTCACCAATGGGTTCAACATGCTGCACATCAAACTGCCCAGCTAGTCAGCCAACCCACACCCAAGACAGGCAGGTGACTATCCTCTCTCCCCACCTGGACATTGAGTTCATTGTGCCTCTCGGAGACCTCCACCAACTCCTGCTCGATCAGTTTGCGGGAGCGCTCGCTGCCCTCCAGGCCGGTGCGAACTTCCTCCAGCTCCGTTTGGAGAAGGCTGAGGCGGCGCTCCTGGAGGTTGTACTGTTCCCGGAGCTCTTCATGCTGGCGGGCATCCTCGTCCATCTGGATCTGGAGGTCCTGCAGGTGGAAAAGTAGCCAGTGGAGTCAGGCTGGGGACCACCCCAGATCCACAAGATGGGTTGCACATACAGCACTGTACCTAATATTAGTCACATTCATTGAGGTCCAGCTCCGAGGGCCTTCTGGTGGTTCCCTCACTGCGAGAAGTGAAATTACAGGCAACCAGGCAGAGGGCCTTCTCAGTAGTGGCACCCGCCCTGTGGAACACCCTCCCATCAGATGTCAAGGAGATGAATAACTATACACCTTTTAGAAGACATCTGAAGGCAGCCCTGTGTCTGAAAGTCTTTAATGTTTGATGTCTTATTGTGTTTTTATGCCCAGAGTGGCTGGGGCAACCTGGTCAGATGGGTGGGTTACAAATAATGAAATCAGCAACATCGTTTGGTGTGGCTAACTCAGTTCCACTCATTTCAATGGGTCTACTCTCAGAACTTGGATAGCTACAACCTGTACCTAGGAAGCTGCCTTAGGCTGAGTCAAGCTGTTGGCCTATCAAACTCCATCTCATCTACACTGGTTGTAGACCAATCTGCCCACACCTCAATCTGAACTCTGCCAAACTGTACATAATCTGCCCTGAAAAGAGCCATTGCTCAGTGTAGGGTGTTGGAAAGAAAGGCATTTCGGTTCACATTTTGACTGAGCAAGAGCCTTGGCTCAGCGGTAGAACAAGCAAGAAGACCACAGAAGGTCTTGAGATCAACCTTGCCAGCTCTGTCTGAGGAAAACAAGCAACCCGGGGGTTTCTCCAACTTGTGTTAAGCTGCAAAGCTTTTCCTCAGAAGACCATCCCCTCCAGGCAACGGTTTCTCTTCCGCCTGGCTTCTCCCTCCCTTCCTCGTGATCTTTTTCTCACCTTGATCTGTTGCTGGAGTTTCTTCAGCGTCTTGACCAGCTCGCTGTTGTTCCTGTTGGCGTGGTCCAGCTGGATCTCCATCTCGTTCAGGTCGGTCTCCATCTTCTTTTTCAGACGGAGCGCCTCAGCCCGGCCTTTCGCCTCCAGTTCCAGGCTGGATTGAAGAGCCTCAATGGCCCGCTGGTGGTTTTTCCTGCCGGGGAGAACAAAGGCATCCATTTGTCTCAGTCCACCCCCCTTAGTTTTTTATTTATACTTTTCAAATTTATACCTTTCATTAGTTTCACAATCAATTTAAAGTTTCAAAATTTGACTTCCTCCCCCCTCTTTCTGTGGTTCCTTAAATTTATTTTTTAATATCTTCTGCATACCCAAATTCATTTAACTTGCTCGTTTAATTATCAACTGTAAATATATACTTTTATAAAACGGCAGTTTATTACAATAATCCTGCTAATGTTTTTATCTGTTTACAATTTATCTGTAAATATTCAATAAACCATTTCCATTCTTTTATTTAAAAAAATGTTTGTTATCTGGATTTATTATTCTTCCAGTAAGTTTCGCCATTTCTGCATGTTCCATAAGTTTCTATATCCATTCTTACTTCTTCTAGTGTCTCAATCCCTCTCAGTCATGAAGCTCATTTGGGGATCTTACACTAGTCTGTCTGTCTGTCTGTCTGTCTCTCTCTCTCCCCGCTTTCTTCCTCTCTCTCTCTCTCTCTGCCTAAGCCTACCTCACTGGACTGCCATGAGGATAACATTTGTGCTGTGCCAAAAAATTATCCTGCATTTCGTCATTGTACATTACTGAATAAAGAAATGCCATCTGAAAATTATCAAAGAGGATTGAAATGGTCAATGAAAATCTCATGGATGGGATACGGGTTTTTGATGCAGTTACCTTGCCAAGTCTCCTTCCTTTCATTTTAAACCTCCTCACCTCGCATTCTGCCCTCTACAGCCTCCCCAGGTGCCTGCACTCCCATAAAAGGCCAGAGGAAGTTGTCGTGGAAACTCCCCATTTGGGCTTTTTCGAATCGGTCGGGGAATGCTGGCAGCGGTGGAGGCTGCAGAAATGTTTACTAGAAAGAAAACCACACACACACACACCCCATCAGCCACTTTTCTAGACCAAGGAAAGCTCAAAATCCCACAACCACTGATATCCCAAATAAGTTAACAAGTGTTCCAAACAGAACAGCTATAAAATGAGAAGTAATGCTCACTGGGTGGCAGTGTGGAGCAGTGGCTAGAGTGCTGGACTAGGGACAGAGAGACCAGGGTTCAAATCCCCACTCAGCACATTGGGTGACTTTGGGCTAGCCACCGTCTCTGCCTAACCTACCTCGCAGGGTGGTTGTGAGGATTAAAACAAAGATTAAAAAGGGGAGAACCTCATCTCTCTCAAATACTTCTTTTTTTGTTGTTCCCAGTTTTAACCTTCCACTTCCTGCCTCTCGCCCACGTTCTGCGCTCCATACCTTGTGGCTTCAAACTCCTCCTCCTTCTCATGAATCCTCCTGTCAATGTCTGCCTTGACTTGCGCCAGTTCAAGCTGGATGCGGATGAGCTTGCTCTCTTCCACCTGTCGGCAGAAACAAGGAGATGTGTGGATGACAGGCTCTTTAAAGGTGAAAACAGCTATTGACTACTTTAGTAGGGACCGATCAGCTATGGGTGTCTGAGCGATGTGGGGCAAAGGACTTGGAACCCCCTTCAAGCTCGGCAAAGGAACATAACTCCCAACACTTTACCTTAGACGCTCAGGTGCCAATCAAGCTTATTCTTATTTTCTTTTTCATGTACCATTATTATTTTCTCTCTACTTCATAGCACGGGCTTCCTCAACCTCAGCCCTCCAGATGTTTTTGGCCTACAACTCCCATGATCCCTAGCTAGTGGGACCAGTGGTCAGGGATGATGGGAATTGTAGTCTCAAAACATCTGGAGGGCCAAGGTTGAGGAAGCCTGTCATAGCATATCCAAATCTTAAAGGTAAAGTTAAAGGGACCCCTGACCATTAGGTCCAGTCGTGGCTGACTCTGGGGTTGCGGCGCTCATCTCGCTTTATTGGCCGAGGGAGCTGGCATACAGCTTCCGGGTCATGTGGCCAGCATGACTAAGCCGCTTCTGGAGAACCAGAGCAGCGCATGGAAACGCCATTTACCTTCCCGCCAGAGCGGTACCTATTTATCTACTTACACTTCGATGTGCTTTCGAACTGCTAGGTTGGCAGGAGCAGGGACCGAGCAACGGGAGCTCACCCCGTCATGGGGATTCGAACCGCCAACCTTCTGATCAGCAAGTCCTAGGCTCTGTGGTTTAACCCACAGCGCCACCCGCGTCCCGAATCTTAGGATCAGTCAAAGGCTACTAGCCCGGCTTATGGCTATTCTCTGCCACCATGGTCAGAGGCAATGATGTTTCTGAATATCAGATGCTGGGAATTGCAGCTGTGTAGAGTATTGTCATGCTCAGATCCTGCTTCCAGGCTTCTCATAGGCACCTGGTGGGCCACCCAAGTGCAACAGCAACTCTCCCTCTTGCAGTTTCCTGCAACTGGCCTTCAGAAGCACCACTTCCTCTGACTGAGCAGGAGACCAATGGAATATGGATGACGATGCTCTTTGCAGGGCTGGAAATGCTGAAAAAATTAGGCTGCTCGTCTTTTTCGTGTTGGCGTTCATCTGTCTCAAGACACAATGGAGTGTGCCTCTGAGGGTGAAGTCAAACCGTTGCATTTGCAGCACCAAAGTGACCTCCCCGGGATGCAAGCCTGGGCGGTGTGCATGGAGGTCCTGGGCTGCCCACATGACAAGCTGCACCCACCCACCCTTGACCTCACTGATGTGGTCCAAAGGAAAGCAGAGTAAGGCGTTTGGCACCAGCTTGGTTGCAGGAGTTGCTGGAAGGAGGTGTACAAGGCGCCATCCAACCGTCTTGGGGACTCCACTCTGGATTTGTGCAGGTTTCACTCCTTAGCCTTTTCTTCTCCTGAAGATATCCCGTAAGGCCATGGAGGTTTAGGATCAGAGTTTTCCTTCTCCTAGACAGGCTGCCTTCCCAGGTTGACAAGCCCCCTGTGCCCCTCAGTTCCCTCCGCAGCACATGCAGAAACTGCCTTCTTGACCACTGGACCCTCTACTGGTCTTGTCTGCTCAATACTCCAGAGCCTGTCTTCACATGCAGGGGAAGTCCTACTAATGCTTAATAAGTAAACAAGGAATCATTACCTCCAGGGTCGATTCCGCTTCTTCCAGGGCCACCTGCAGCTCGTCCTTCTCAAGCTCCAGCTTCTTCTTCATCTTCTGCAGCTCATGGACACTCCTTCCTCCCTCGCCCAGCTGGTCAATCAGATCTTTAATCTCCTCTGAGGGGGGGAAAAGCACACACACAGATCTTTTCAATGCTTCCATTGCAAACGGGGGGGGGGGGGGGATGTACAAATCTCTCCATTTCCGTTCCACCACACTTCTCATTCTTCCGTACCAATTTGTGATTTAAAAACAACTCATGAAAACCCATCAACGTTTGAGTGCGAATCTCTCCTAAGAAGCAATTTTTGCATGTAGTTTTGCCTAACAGGCACACATTTGTATGTGGTTTCCTCCAATGAAATACATTTTGTATGTTTATTTTCACTTATGTGGCGCTGTGGGTTAAACCACAGAGCCTAGGACTTGCCGATCAGAAGGTCGGCGGTTCAAATCTCCGCTACGGGGTGAGCTTCCATTGCTCGGTCCCTGCTCCTGACAACCTAGCAGTTCGAAAGCACGTCAAAGTGCAAGTAGATAAATAGGCACCGCTCCGGCAGGAAGGTAAACAGCGTTTCCGTGCGCTGCTCTGGTTCTCCAGAAGCGGCTTAGTCATGCTGGCCACATGACCCAGAAGCTGTACGCCAGCTCCCTCGGCTAATAATGTGAGATGAGCGCCGCAACCCCAGAGTCGGCCACAACTGGACCTCATGGTCAGGGGTCCCTTTACCTTTACACACTTTATTCTAGGATAGAGGTCAGCAACCTGCGGCCCAACAGCCACAGGCAGCCCATGGGGGTCATTTAAATGCCCCCCGAGCCACCCCCGAAACAAGCCACCTGCTCGGCGAGTCCCTGCACACTGCGCTAAACCGGCACAGTGCGGAGCGGAGACTCGCTTCTGCAGCGCTTCTGTGGGCGCAGACACGATCTGGCCCACGGAGCGATCTCCCGGGAGTGAACCGGCCCAGGCGAGGTACACCTTGCCCGAGGTACACCTTGCCGACCCCTGCTCTAGGATATGCATTTTTGGAGATGAAGAAGAAGAGCTTGGATTTGATATCCCGCTTTATCGCTACCCGAAGGAGTCTCAAAGCGGATAACATTCTCCTTTCCCTTCCTCCCCCACAACAAACACTCTGTGAGGTGAGTGGGGCTGAGAGACTTCAGAGACGTGTGACTGGCCCAAGGTCACCCAGCAGCTGCATGTGGAGGAGCGGAGACGTGAACCCGGTTCACCAGATTACGAGTCCACCGCTCTTAACCACTACACTACACTGGCTCTCATGTGTTACTTTGCTTAAGAAATGCAAGGCAAAATTCATGGAAGCACAAATTTCGAAGAAGGGCTGTATTCTGTCCGTGTCTTGTATTTCAGAAAGTGATAATTAGATCAGTTTGCCTGCCAATTGGAACTGAACCATAGCTTGTCTCCACCCTATTTCCTAACACAGAGAATCCACAGCCCCGGAAACACTTGCCCTGGAGAGTCTTGTTATCCTTCTTCACAGATTCCAAGTGCTCCAAGGATTCCTCATAGGCTGTCTTGAGCTTGAAGTTTTCCGTCATGTACATGCGGCACTCCTTCTGGGAGTTGTCCACCTCCAACTGCAGCTCCTCGCACTTCTGGTGCCACTCCGCAAGCATCTTGTCAAAGGCTCTCTGCTTCTTGTCCAGGGCTGCGCAGGCTGCATTGGCCTGGGGAGAGAAAGTCAAGCAGGGCATTTAATAATACAGTGGTACCTATGGTTGCGAACAGGATCCGTTCCGGAGGCCCATTTGCAACATGAGCAGAACGCAACCCGTGTCTGCACATGCGCGGGTCACGATTCACCACTTCTGCGCATGCGCGTGACATCATTTTGCGCGTCTGCACATGCGCAACTGGCGAAACCTGGAAGTAACCCTTTCTGGTACTTCCGGGTCGTCGCGGGACGCAACCTGAAAACGTTCAACCTGAAGCAAACATAACATGAGGTATGACTATAATAATAATAATAATAATTTATTATTTATACCCCGCCCATCTGGCTGGGTTTCCCCAGCTACTCTGGGCGGCTTCCAACAAAAGATTAAAAAATGCATTAAAACATCAGTCATTAAAAACTTCCCTAAACAGTTTTGGGAATTGCGAATTGGATACCTTCTCAAGATCCAGAGTGAGGTCTTCCACTTCCATCTGCAGCCTCTGCTTGTTCTTCTCCATGCTGGCCACCCGGGCTTGAGCCGTTTCAGCCGTCTCCTCTGCCTCCTGGAGCCGGGCAGTCAACTTTCTCCTGGAAGAAGACACCGTGACACGAGAATGCATGTCAGCGTTGCATCGGTTGCAGATTTAATACCGTAGGTGACACAATCATCCTTCCAAAGCAACATTGTTGCATCCCTTCCTGGCTCTCAGACAGGCCCATAACTGGAGATGTGCTTCTATGCACTTCCCCGGACCCCTCTACAGGGATGAGGATGGAGATATCTGGATCTGACTGTAAAGAAGGCGCCAGGTGAACTAATCTGGGGAGGCCGTTCCACAGCAGAGAAGGCTGCAACACAATTGCATTGGGCGCACTCACTCCAAGCCGATTTCCAGACTAAATTCAAAGTGCCTGTCTTAAAGGCCTCCATGCGGGGATGGGAGACCCTCTGGCACCTCGGATGTTGCTGGACTACAACTCCCATCAGCCCTAACCAGGCTGGCAGGGGCAGACGACTGTTGGGAGTTCCAGCAACATGTGGACGGCACATCGGCTATTCCCCAAGATAGATACTGGACACCATAAAGAGCAGGGGAGGTGTTGTGTTTGTTATGGACCTTTGTCCCAGCACAGGCGACAACAGAATGAAAAGTTATCAAACAAATAAAACTATGAACAACCAGAAAACAAAGAGCAATTGAAAGCACTTCCATTTATAAAAAAAACACACACAAACATTTCAACGCAATTCCACATATAAATAGAGTTTTAAAAATAGTTCCAGTACAAATTCAGACTGGGGGAAATCTCTGCTTAAAAGACTTGTTGAAAGAGGAAAGGAATGGAAAGACGGCAGCGACAGTGTCCAGTGGCTGAGCTTCATGCTCCAGCACCGGGGGGCTGAGAGCAGGCAGGGGCAGGGGCTGGCACGCATCCCGGGGGTGTAGTGCCCAGCACAGGCGGGGGGCAGCCGTGATGGCACCCTAAAGGGATCGTGCTTCCGGGGGTGGTGTGCTCCCCCCGCATTCCTCTTCCTCCGCCACGGACAGCGTCTGTCTCATATTCCAGGGAAGGTGCCAACACACCAAAGGCCCAGTTCCTACATTCCTTCTCTGTCTGGCCCTTGGGACAACTTCAGGCCAGCTCTGCTTTGCACCCTGCTTGAGTATTTTCCTGTGGTTGGAAAGGGTTGTTGATAATCCCCTTCCCTTGCCTGGACAGAGGATAGAAAGAGGCGATGGTTTGTGTGTGCCTACTGTAAAGGTAAAGGTAAAGGGACCCCTGACCATTAGGTCCAGTCGTGGCCGACTCTGGGGTTGCGGTGCTCATCTCGCTTTATTGGCTGAGGGAGCCGGCGTACAGCGAACCAGAGCAGCGCACGGAAACACCGTTTACCTTCCCACCAGAGTGGTACCTATTTATCTACTTGCACTTTGACGTGCTTTCGAACTGCTAGGTTGGCAGGAGCAGGGACCGAACAACGGGAGCTCACCCCCTTGCAGGGATTCGAACCACCTACCTTCTGATCGGCAAGTCCTAGGCTCTGTGGTTTAACCCACAGCGCCGCCCGCTGTGCCTACTGTACAAAAGTATAATTTACATGTATTGTTCCACCCACTTGTCTCTGGCCCTGACCAACACTAGCATATGACCCTCAGAAGGTTGACCAGGAGCCCCCTCCCTCTCCCCAAAATCAGGCTCACTTAGTCTCTTCCAGCTCCTCTGTCCTCTGAATGGCATCCGTTTCATATTTGGTCCTCCACGTGGTGACTTCGGTGTTGAGCTTGGAGACCAAGCGTTGCAGCTCTGCTTTGCCGCCTTGCTCTTCCTCCAGCTGCTCTTTGATCAGGTCCAGGTCGTGTTTGGTGTTGGCCAGACTTACCACGGCGGCGCTCCGGGCCTACAGACACCAAAGCCGTAGCTGCTTAGTACGGTCTCCCGTTTAGTTCCTCTACTTAAAATTTCTACCCTGCCATTCAGCCCTACGTGGCTCGACCCTGGTAAGCCCAGGTGATCACAGTGTGTGGAGAGGTCCATAGATACACTCTTCACACCAGGAGTAGCTCAGCTGTGACCCTTCAGATGTTGGGCTACAATTTACATCAGTGTTTCCCAAACTTGGGCCTCTAGCTGTTTTGGGACTACAATTCCCATCATCCCTGACCACTGGTCCTGCTAGACACCCTCAGAAGGTGGTGGACTCTCATTCATTGCTAGACTCCCTCAGTCCTGCTAGACACCCTCATAAGGTGGTAGACTCTCATTCATTGCTAGACTCCTTCAGTCCTGCTAGACTCCTTCAGAAGGTGGTGGACTCTCATTCATTGCTAGACTCCCTCAGTCCTGCTAGACACCCTCATAAGGTGGTAGACTCTCATTCATTGCTAGACACCCTCAGAAGGTGGTGGACTCTCATTCAATGTTAGACTCTCTCAGAAGGTGGTGGGCTCTCATTCACTGCTAGACACCCTCAGAAGCTGGTGGACTCTCATTCATCCCAAGGGGGCGCTGGTCAGCAGTTCTGGATGAGTCATGCATGTTTTTCAATACAATTATTCACCCATCTTTACCTTGGACTCTTCGTCCAGCTGCCTCTTGAAGTCGTCCACCTGGGAGGTGAGGGATGTCTTGACGCGGAGAATCTGGTTCAGCCTCGTCTGGCTCTCCTCGTGCTCCCGACTCAGCTCGCTGTTCTCAGCTGTAGCAGAGAGTAGGGGGAAAGCCCAGGTTCAAGGGTCTGCGATAGGGGCGGGGAATCTTTATGCCTTACGAGCCAAATTTGACAGGTGGGTTGACATCACATGGTTGTGTGGTGTCACACGACTGGCTGGTGGGTGGTCTGGTCACCTGTCAAACCCCTTTGTTCTGGGGTTCCTAAGTGCATTGCTGGCCCTAAGCACCACGCTTGGAGAGACGTCAATCACAGGGTTGACGAGGGAAGAAAGATGCTACATTTTGCTTGCTTGCTTTGGCTGTGCCAGACGGGAACATGTGTGCACACAACAAAGCCACTTCCAACCTAGGGAGGAGGTGGTGTTGTGGGCTTCACGCCTTCTCCACGCACGCGGGGACTGGCTCTCAGCCTCCACGCGATTAGGGGAATCCTCAGCCACGTCATCGGCTGGCCCAGGGGGTGTGGCCTGCGCTATTTAAGGCAGCCGCAGCCGGGGATCTCCCTCTTTGCCGCCTTCCAGCTGCCCCGGTTTCCCCACCCTCCCGCCCTTTAAGGTTTTCGTTCCTTGACCTTGCTATGGACCTCGGTTGGTCGCCGTTAAGGGGCCTGGTAGGAATTTTTCCACTTGGCAAATTGGCACCAGCCACTTGGTTTTTCGTTTACCTCGTAGCAAATCGTCACAACTTCCTCGGCATTGGCGGTTAGGCATTGGTATGGGTATTGTTATGTAGATGGAAGGGGGGAGGAAGCGCCATCACCTCCCCCGCATATTGAAGGGTAGTCCGATAAAGGGTTCCGGGGGGCGTGGCCCTGTCCAAAGCCTAAGGAGGTGAGGGCCTAAGGCACGCCCCCTATTGGTGACCCCGGGGGAGTTCCTAGTTGATGTGCATCAGCAGGACTCCCTCTACTGGTTGTTAACCCTTCCCGGACTTCAAGCGGACGGGCTGAAGTCGGATATAGTCGGTTAGGACCAATGCCTAAGCCAATACTGCTCATCACCTGTAACCAATAAAGTTGTGGCCATTTTTAGCCCATTAACCTAAAATAACGGTGTTGTGTGTCTTTATTCCTACTGGGGGGAGGCGGGAACTTGCCACGCAAAACAGCAGACCTTAACACCTGCTTGTCAGCGATTGAGCAGGGGTTAAATCCTGCTGCGTCGGCTGTGCCTGCCAGTTCCCTTCTGGGAACAGGTGTGCACAGCCAAAGAAAGCCCGTAAAAAAGAATGAAAGCCAGCAAAAGAGCTTTCAAGCAGCCCTGCACTCCTCTGGAGGTTCCAACAGTGGCTGTGGGCTGCTTGAAAGCCCTTTTGCAAAGGGCTTTAAAGCAGCCTTGTGCTGGTGTTTCAGTCTCTGGTTTTCAGAGGCTGGGAGAGCAGCTCTGGGATGTTTGATAGCCCTTCAATTTTAGCAAGATTCCAATGCCTCCTGATTCAAGAAGGGAGTTGCACTGGAATCCTCGGTTAAAACAAAAGGGGGAAAGCTTTCCTTTATAGCAGAGGTTTCCACACAACCTGGGGACAGCTCAGTCAGTAGAGCATGAGACTCTCAATCTCAGTGTCGTGAGTTCAAACCCCACGTTGGGCAAAATATTTCTGCATTGCAGGGAGTTGGACTAGATGACCCTTGTGTTCCCTTGCAACTATGATCCTATATTAAATCCCTTCCTGAATCAGGAAAGGGATTGCTTGGAATGCTGACAAACTGAGCATGATTTTATTCCAGTTCATCTGCTGATGAGCGAGGGTTAAATCCTGGCATCACTTGAAAAGCATGGTTTGGGGGAAACGGACCAATGGGCCAGCCTTTCCCCACACCTGACATGTAAGAAGCCTGAGAACGAAGGAAAAGGAAGGGAGATAAAGGAGAAAGGTCTGCTGCAGTGCTAAGCAGCATATGAAAACCAAGGACTAACTAACTAGTCCAGGCTTCCTCAAACTCGGCCCTCCAGATGTTTTTGGCCTACAACTCCCATGATCCCTAGCAAGCAGGACCAGTGGTCAGGGATGATGGGAACTGTAGTCTCAAAACATCTGGAGGGCCGAGTTTGAGGAAGCCTGAACTAGTCAGTTAAAATGTAATACAGTGGTACCTCGGGTTAAGTACTTAATTCGTTCCGGAGGTCCGTTCTTAACCTGAAACTGTTCTTAACCTGAAGCACCACTTTAGCTAATGGGGCCTCCCGCTGCTGCCGCGCCGCCGGAGCACAATTTCTGTTCTCATCCTGAAGCAAAGTTCTTATCCCAAGGTAGTATTTCTGGGTTAGCGGAGTCTGTAACCTGAAGCGTATGTAACCTGAAGCGTATGTAACCTGAGGTACTACTGTAAATTCGTTATAAACATGTGACACCAGAGGGTGCTGTAGAGCAATGTAATGTAAAATTGCATTGAGAGCTATATAACAATTTAAAAGCGTTTTTACAATCAGTATAGATCCAGCCCAAGAATGAGTTGGACGCAATGTTGCAGGCAACCGAATCAGTCCAGAAAGATCCTGACCTTGGAGCCTGCTCCTGATCGCATTAATTTCCGCTTGGTTCTTCTCCATCTCGGCCAGCCTTGCGTTGGCTTCAGACAGGTTGTCTTCCAGCTTGCGGACATGAGCGTCAGCATTCATCTGCAGAAGACGTGGAGTGGATGGTATATAAAGCAAAGAGGTTCTCACATCCTTCTTACCTTTTCAAGAGCGCCCAAGTCTTTGCAAACGGGAGAAACTGACCCTACCTTGGACTTCTGGATGGTCTCCATGCTGGCGCTGAGGTCTTCAATCTCGGCCTTCATGACCTGCTTGTCTTTCTCCAGCTTGGACTTCACCCTCTGCAGGTTCTCAAGGTGCTCAGTCATCTCCGCCATGGCGTCCGTGTGCTTCTTGCGGAGGGTGGAAGCCGTGGCCTCACTCTGCAAGGCAGCCTCCTCCAGCTCCCGGCGGAGCTTCAGCAGCTCGGCCTCCCGCTTGCGGTTCTGCTCGATCTGGAGGCAGGAAGGCATAGAGGGAGCGGGTGACCACCCTGACCTTTCATCTGCGTAATGGGTTGAATGGCTCCTCTGTCTTGGCTCCTGCATACCTGAGAGGTTGTCGCCCCGCCAGCCTCTTCCAGCCTGTCACTGAGCTCTTCCAGTTCCCGGGAGATGTCGCTGCGCTGCTTCTCAACCTGAAGGAAGTTTGGGAAAGAACACATCTTAATACTGGTTTGTTCATGTAATTTTGCACTTCCAACATGCCTTGATGATCCCTGGACAGCTCGGTGTAGTTAGGAATAATTAATAATAATAATACAGTCATATCTCTACTTACGTATCCCTCTGGATATAGAATCTTCGGGTTACAGCCACAGCAAACCCAGAAGTGTATACTCCCCGTGCGCATGCACAGAAGCACTCAATTGCGCCGCGTGTGTGTGCAGAAGCGCACCTCTATTTATGTGATTTTCCAGGTTTGAACAGACCCCTGGAACGAATTACGTTCGTATCCGGAGGGTCCACTGTAATAGTAAACATACTAACTAATGCATCAGTTAAAAGGACAAACTAAGCCCCCATCTGGGTGCCACAATTTAAGGATATTGACAAGCTGAAACGTGTGCAGAGGAGGGCAAGCAAGATGATCAAGGGTCTGGAAACTATGAGGAACAGTTGAAGAAGCTTGATAGCTTTGTACGTTTAGCCTGGACAAGATGAGACTGAGAAGAGATATGAGAGCCACCTTCAAATATATGAAGATGGAGCAAGTTTGTTTTTCCCTGCTCTGGACCTAAACCAATGGCTTCAAGTGACAAGAAAGGCGATTTCGACTAAACGTCAGGAATAACTTTCTGAAGTAAGAGCTGTTGAGCAGTGGAACGGTCTCCCTCGGGAGGTGGTGGACTCGCCTTTCTTGGAGGTTTTTAAGCAGAGATTTGGATGGCCATCTGCCATGGATGCTTTAGTTGAGATTCCTGCATTGGACCAGATGATCCTTGGCGTTTCTCTCAACTCTATAGTTCTGAAAATATTGAACTCTACATTACCCCACCTAGGCATCTTTAATGGGCTGATATATCCTGTTTTGTTCTTTAGCTGATTTCAAACAAAACACTTCCAGAGTTGCCCATTTGAAACTTCTTCTTCTTTTTTGTTTTTACAAGTACAGTGGTACCTCGGGTTAAGTACTTAATTAGTTCCAGAGGTCCGTTCTTAACCTGAAACTGTTCTTAGCCTGAAGCACCACTTTAGCTAATGGGGCCTCCTGCTGCTGCCGCACCGCCGGAGCACAATTTCTGTTCTCATCCTGAAGCAAAGTTCTTCACTCGAGGTACCATTTCTGGGTTAGCGGAGTCTGTAACCTGAAGCGTATGTAACCTGAAGCCTGAAGCGTATGTAACCCGAGGTACCACTGTACCTGATTGTAACTACACTAAATGAGACTCAGTGCAATCTGCTGGGTTGAATGTCGGGCTCAGGAGATCTGGGCTCAGGTCCCAATTGGCCCATGAACTCCCTGGGGGCCTTCGGATTACTATCTAGCTTCTGGGTTCAGTTGCCCAGCCTATAAAATGGAGATTGCAACGGCCTACCTTACAGGCTTGTTGTGAGGGCAAGTGTCGAAGCGCTTAACAACAGTGTGCACAACTGATTCATGTCATTTGCTGTTGAAAAGGGAGTTTAAAAAGTTACCTTTGCCCTTATGGAACGTTCTGCTTCAAGTTCTTCCTCCAGCTCTTCAATCCGGGCCTATGAGAAAGACATGTGAGGATCATGAGGCTTGGAGAAGTATTTAGGCAAAGAGTAAAAGCAGAAATGCTACCAAAGAAGGCTGTTCTTTCTGCCTCCCTCAGCCTCTTTCTCTTCTACCTGGTGTTCCTTCAGTTTCCTCTGGAGTGTGGAGTTCAGGGACTGCTCATCTTCCACTTTGCCGGTGATAGAGTTGATTTCCATGTCTCGCCTGCAAGGGAAGATGTGGTATAGTGGTTAAGAGCGGTGGACTCGTAATCTGGTGTACCGGGTTCGCATCTCCGCTCCCCCACATGCAGCTGCTGGGTGACCTTGGGCTAGTCACACTTCTCTGAAGTCTCTCAGCCCCACTCACCTCACAGAGTGTTGGTTGTGGGGGAGGAAGGGAAAAGGAGATTGTTAGCCGCTTTGAGACTCCTTCGGGTAGTGATAAAGAAGGATATCAAATCCAGACTCTTCAATCAGAAGGAATCCTATCACCTTGGCCATGTATACCTGGGACAGGGGACCTGTGGCTCTCCAAATATTGTTTGCCTCCAATTCTCATCAGCCTTGGACACAATCCAAGTAACAATATCTGGAAGGCAACAACTTCCCTATTCCAAATACATGGCAAGGGAGAGGGCCTTCTCTGTTGTGGCTCCCTGTCTGTGGGACACTCTCCCCAGGAAGGTCCGCCTGGCACCTTCACAGATATCTTTTCACTGCCAGGAAAAAGCTTACCTTAGCTCAGACAGTAGAGCATGAGACTGTTAATGTTGGGTTGTAGGTATGAGCCCCACGTTGGGCAGAAGATTCCAGCATTGCAGGGGGTTGGACTAGATGACCGTTGTGGTCCCTTCCAACTCTGCAATTCTATTATTCCTCCAGGACTAAGATGATGCTCTCTTATTTTGCTGTTAGGGTACTTGCCAAAACTTCCTGCCGCTGATACAGTGAGGTGTTCTTTTGTACATCTTGATGTGCATTTAGGTTTGCGTTTCTCAAATTAATATTATAATGTATTTAAACTTATGTTTTCAAATATGTTGTATATCACTAGGAGACATCTGTGTAACAAGCCATTAGCAAGCTGTGGCCCTCCGGGTGTGGTTGGACTCCAATTGCCACAAACCCCAGGGATTATGGGAGTTGGAGTCTAGGAAAACTTAGTATGGCAACAGTTTTTAGTGCCTTCAACTTTTTCTTAGCACATCTTGGTGATATATTGAATGTGTCTTCCCTCCAGATGCTGTCAGGCTCAGATTCCCATCAGCCCCTGCATGACTAATAGTTAAGGGAGATGGGAATTGGAGTTCAACAACACCTGGATGTTACCTTGTTGGCTGCCCCAGATATATGGGTAGCCCTAAACGGCCTCGGCCCAGTATACCTGAAGGAGCGTCTTCACCCCCATCGTCCGGCCCGGACACTGAGGTCCAGCTCCGAGGGCCTTCTGGTGGTTCCCTCCCTGTGAGAAGTGAGGTTACAGGGAACCAGGCAGAGGGCCTTCTTGGTGTGGAACGCCCTCCCACCTGATGTCAAAGAGAAGAACAACTATCTGACTTTTAGAAGACATCACCTGTTTAGGGAAGTTTTTAATGTTTGATGTTTTATCGTGTTTTTAATATTCTGTTGGAAGGCACACAGAGTGTCTGGGGAAACCCAGCCAGATGGGCAGGTATAAATAATAAAATTATTATTATTATTATTAGTTTCTCTGCTGGCCAACCCACAGTTCACTCCTACTTTAATTCCCAAACGCCTTCCTTGCAGTGTCGCATGCCTCATCCACCCCCTCACTCACTTCTTGACCACCTCCTCCAAATCAAGCTTTGCCCTTTCCATCTCGTTGAGGTTCTCAATGGTCATCTTCAAGTCACCCTCAGCCTTGCGGCGGGCCTTCTCCACCTCAGCACGAATCTTCTTCTCCTGCTCCCAGTTGTCCTCCAGCTGGTTGAAGAAATCAACCCAAAGGGAATTACAAAGGGAAGCAAGGCAAAGAGGATGATGGGAAGGAACCACTGAGGCGGAACATACGGCACTCCTTTGGCGCAACGGAAAGGAGACACACCACGGGGAGGCAGTGTGGGGTAGTGGAGTGCCAAACTAGGACCTTGGGAGATGAGGGTCCAAACCTTCACTCAGCCCTGAAGCTCCCAGGGGGACCATGTGGGCCAGTGTCATGGATCAGCTGGATGCAGAGGGATGGTGGGAGGAACCAGCTGGGGAAACCCCAAGGGCTCAGAGCCCGGGGATTGGTGGTGGGACGACAAGGAGTGGCCAGAGGGAGAAGAGAGAGAAGCCTGGGAAGAGGAGGTGTCAGAAGCTGAAGAGGCCACAGGGTTTGGTGAGCAGGGAGATTCTGTGGCAGAGAGCAGTCCAGAAGCAGAGGTAGAAGCAGAGGCTGAAGAGGAGGGGGGGCCAAGAGGCAGAGATTAACCAGGTCGCTAAAGAAGCCAGGAAGTCTCCCCCTCCTGCTGTGACCAGCTCTCTCTGCCCTCACCGGTCTCCCAGAACACGAAGAGGAATGAAGAGGGCGCAACAATCTCTTTTGCTTGCCCCGAATCTACTGTATGTTATTGGGGCTCCTGGAGGTCACAAGCCCCTCCCTCTCCACGTACACACACACACCTGCGCTTTTGCTAATGCCACATGGTTTCCAATTACATATCCACTCCGCATAGGGCGGGACAGTGTAGAATCTCGAGGCGTTATTCGCATGCCGTAGCCCAATGGCAGATCAGGACAGCACCCCAGTCGACCAATCGGTACTGACCTCGTGTATCTGGGTGCTAAGCTTGCTGTTGTTTTTGGTGAGATGATTCACTTTGTCCTCCTCAGCCTGAAGGTCGTCCAGAGTTTTCTAAGGAGAGATGGAGAACAAGGGAAACTTGTCATGGCCAAAGGGAACTAAAGAGAAGCCAGGGGGGTTCCTCTTTGAGACCAGGCCATCTGATCTGATCTGGCCATCCAAGAATTTTTTCTGGCTCTAGAAATTTTGACAGAAGTCACACACACACACAAACACCCACCACCCCCCAATAGACACAGCACAAGTGTTGGCAGCATCCTGATAGGGATTCACACAAATCGGTCCCTTTCATTTCTCTCAGTTGCTCATTTTTCCAGTCTTGAATTTCTGCAGGAATTTGCAGTTTCATTTAAAATAATAATAATAATAATCAGGAAAATTCATCTGCATTTTAAGTGACAATTCTTCCTAATAAACACCTGCAACAAACTACACTTCCCAGAATTCTTTGGAGGAAGCCATGCCTGTCAAAATGGTGTAGCAGTGCTTCAAATGTATAATGCAGATGTGGCACAAGGTCTCCTGAGAGCGATTTCCTCAGGAGACAGCCTATAAATATTTATCTTTTTCTGTTTTGTCCTTATGGTACAGCTTGCGACTGGGCTTTCTTACCTGGTGCAACTCCTCCAGAGCCCGCTTCTCCTTCTGGAGTTTGGTGACAGCGTCTTCCCGTGCCGAAAGGTCCGTGGTCAGGGTCCTGACTCTGTGGTCCAAAGCCTGCAGGGGAGAAGGGAGACCTAATAATGTAGGCCCAACCACAACTCAGTTTGTTTAGCCATTGCAAAATCCAAGACCAGGTGCCAACCGAAAGAGGGAACCTGCCATTTTATCAGGATCCCACAAGATCGAAACTCAAATCTCTGGCACTGAACTTTATCCACTCTCCTCCTTTGGATGTTTTAGGCAGAAATTATTAACTGTTGAAAAGCCACAAGTTCCCCCCAACCCAATAGCAACTGAAGAGTCTGCATCGAGAAAGGATGTCCAAAATAGATTTCCTGTTTGGCGACAGGTTCAAGGAAGACTTACCTGTTTCTCTTTCTCTGTCTTGGCGAGGGTGGTTTCCAGGCCCTCAAGGTCCATCTTGAGATCATTGAGCTCTCCCTCCAGTTTGCGCTTGTTGGCGCCCAGAGACGCAGCTGCACCTTCCTCCTCCTCCAAGCGTTCTTTCATATCTGAGACCTGACTCTCCAGGTCCATCTTGGATTTCATCATTTGGGTCAGGCGTTCCTCAGCATCCATCAGATTCTCTTGCTCCTGAAAGGGGGGACAGGCAAATGGTGACCCAAGGACCATTTCTTCCCGGATGCTACTGCCACATCCCTCCAATGAAGCTGAATGTTGGAAGATTCAGTGTTCAACTCCCACAGGAGGCGGTCATCAATTTGGGTGGCTTTAAAAGAGGGTTTAGATAAATTCATGAAGGAGAGGGCTATCAATGGTTACCAGCCATGATGGCTATGCAGTGCCACCACAGCTGGACCAGAGGCGTAGCAAGGTCAGGTGGTACCCGGGGCGAAAACATTTTTGTCACGATACAATAATCTTTATTGTCATTGTCCCATACAGAACAACAAAATTGAAAATCTACGTCAGGCATTCAGAAACCAACAAGCCTGCTAACCCAGCTATCCCAGCCTTGTTAGCCCCCTAAAAAGTCTGATACCCAATAATTAAATTCAATATACTCCCATAGAGACTACCTTAAAGGTAAAGGGACCCCTGACCATGAGGTCCAGTCGTGACCAACTCTGGGGTTGCGGCGCTCATCTCGCTTTATTGGCCGAGGGAGCCGGCGTACAGCTTCTGGGTCATGTGGCCAGCATGACTAAGCCGCTTCTGGCGAACCAGAGCAGTGCATGGAAACGCCGTTTACCTTCCCGCCGGAGCAGTACCTATTTATCTACTTGCACTTTGATGTGCTTTCGAGCTGCTAGGTTGGCAGGAGTTGGGACCGAGCAACGGGAGCTCACCCCGTCTGTCGCGGGGATTCGAACCGCTGACCTTCTGATTGGCAAGTCCTAGGCTCTGTGGTTTAGACCACAGCGCCACCCGCGTCCCTAGTAATGTCATTACTTGAGTTCAAAAGACATGTTCCAGCCAAGCAAAAACACTAAATGAGGATGTGATGCGAGACGGATTAGAGGCTTGGCCCGGGAAGAGTTCCAAGGGCCAGCTAGAGAGGCTTGGAGGCCGTGTTGGTCCCACAAGCCAGAGCTTTCTCACCCCTGCCCTGCAAAGTGTTTTGTTGACTCACGGCCTGCAGCTGGATGGTCAAGTCATTCTTCTCCTGGCTGAGGGTGTTTGTCTTTTCTTCCAGCTCTTTGACCCGGTCCATCAGCTCCTGCGTCTTGGACATGGCGCTCCTCAGCTCCTCCTCCTTTGCTTTCATCTCCTCCTCTTGCCGGGCCACATTCAGCAGAGGTTTGACCTATGGGGAAGGGGACCCGGGGCCACAAAGTGAGCATCGGGGGGGGGGGCAGGCAGGTTGCCCATCCCTGCCTTGCCATAATAACTCAGCAAATCAAAATTCTTAGATCCAGGCTTGCTCTTCCACAAACGGTAAAGTTCCTTCCCGTTGCAGAAGGATCTTTTATGCAGCAGAGGGTCCTTCTGATGGGGGGGGGGCGTGGAGAGAGAGAGGTGAACTTTGCCAGTTCCCCCCCTAACCAACATCACCCCCTACTTTGTTCCATGGGATCTTCTGGAACAGATGTGAGAGAGATGTAGGCATTGCCAAAGAGGCATTTTTAAAAATGATTTGGAACACAATGAACATTCAGATGAAGGCTAAATATTTTATTAAATAGCCCAAAGAAGCTACAAAGCACTGTTATTCTCTTATACAGGTGTGTAGCCTGAAGATGGTATTGGAGGGGTAACTGGTGCACAGAACTTCCGAGGTCCAGCCTGTGCAGCAGTTCTCCCTAACAAATGTGTTTTGGGGGCTTCTATTGTTAACAGATAAATCTGAGGGCTCCCTTGGACAAAAAACAAAGACACCAGCCAGGAATACCAGAGCAAAACAGCAGCCAGTAGGCTTGGTCTTTATTGAAGACTGTCGCCACAGGACTCCCACCTGCCACCAGGTGGAACAAGATGGAAGCCCCGAACAAAGGAGAACCCAAACTTTTATTAGCTGCTAATCCCCATGTTACACCCCCCCAAACTACACCACTAATACATCACGGTTACATCATGAAAGGGGAGGTCTGGTGGCAGTAATCTGAGCATCCTGGACCCTGCCCCATGGTTCTCCTTGCCCTCCACCAAACACCCATCAAGTGTAACAAAAGAGATATTTACATTTCCCTGTTTCCCAGCCAAGTTAATTACACCCTTTTGTCTTCAACTGGGTTTGTTATTTCTGGAATGGCTACCTGTCTGGCACTCAGGTATCAGGATGCCAGGAATTATCACTCAGGCAGAGGGGCTGATGAGTAGCTGAGCTCACATGTCTATATGAATTTCTGAAGTTTTCCCAGTGAGCCAGTACATAGATACATTTATCAGTGAATTGTCACATTTGTAAGAAACTGTGATGAAGCGTTTTGTGGGGACAAATCACAAAAGTCACAAAAGTGATTGTGCTGATTTTGGTAGTGGGCTGCATGTGCATGATATCTGCTGGAGGGGCAACCCACCCACCCCAACCTATACATAAATTCCTGCAACACTCTACTGTACAGTACATCCATTCCAACCAAAGTAACTGATGCTGTTACATAAGCCATAGCTGGTGTCTGGGTAGCACATCTATTTCCCACCAGAGTGAAAGACTAACCAATATTGGCAGGAAGTTAACAGAAATAACTCCCTTATTCCAGGCGCTTTAGTCCAGCCTTATCTTAAAAGATTAGCATCCTGACACAGTGCCAACTCAATAGAACAAGGCGTAAACAGAGTGAGTCACTTAAAGGCCCAGACATGCAGGATTTCTAAGTATTATGGGGGCATGTGAGCAGCAAACAGTGGGCACCATCCCAAGCTCCTCGAGATAACAAGAATCTTCCTCGATATGACACTACAGCGCAGGGGGGAATTAAGTGGAGGGCGGGGAATAGCCTTCCTTTCAATTCCACCAGCATTTTGCTCACAGGATCTCTGGATCCAAGCCATTCTGGGTTTTTCAGGTTGGATTTTAACTACTAATGGTGAGCTGCTTTGGGGTCTCTCTGCTGAAAAACCACGTACCTGTTCATTTTTAGAATATAGAAACGAACGAAAGGAAACCTCTTATTTTGGTTAATTAATGAAATTTATAAACTGCTTAATAGAAACAAATCTCCAAGGCATTTTCATGACGCCGTGCAAATTTTTTTTAAAAAAATACATTTTGCGCTTCACACGGCTCCCATGTTGTACTGAAAAACCCCAGCTTCTTTTCAGGGTGTTCCTTCATATGGGAAACGGCTCCTTCCCTTTTGCCCTGTCAATAATTAACCAAAACTCACAATGGGACTCCTTAGCATCAAACAAAGGGGCTGATAAATTCTCCTCCTGTTTCCTTGTTTTCCAGAATTGCCCTGGTCACCAAGCCAGCTCCTCCCCTCTTGGACCCACAGTGCTGAACTGGGTTGCTTGGCCTCACCTTGTTATACAGCTTCCACCAGCCCCAGTAGCGCATCTGCAAGAACTTGCGCACATTCCTCTGGATAAGCATCAGGCCCAGCCTGCAATGGAAAGGAAAAATGGGTTGCAGAGTCCATCATCACCTGGAGGGACCTAGGTTCCCTGCCCCTTGATTTAACCCAACCAGAAGATTCTTACCACCCCCCACCTACAATGGGACTACATTATTAGATGGGTGGAGCCACCCACCTGTCCATCACCTGACACCATCACGAGATCCAGAGGCGACCTCAAAGGGACTCCCTCTCAGTGCCCATCAGTGCCCATCAGCTGATTGGTGCCGGCCTATACAGGGGCTGCTCACAGTACCTTTCAGCTGATCGCTACAGAGAGCAGCCCATTAGTGGGGAACTGTTCTTTACCTGCCATCATATATAGCAGTGGTTCTCAACCTGTGGGTCCCCAGATGTTTTTGGACTACAACTCCCATCATCCCTGACCACTGGTCATGCTGGCTAGGAATGATGGGAACTGTAGTCCAACAACATCTGGGGACCCACAGGTTGAGAACCACTGACATATGGGACAGTGCCTGAAGCGGGGGCCAGTTGCAGGTCAGTGATAACTCACATGGCATCAGTGACATTGACTCTTTATTCAAAGAAACAAAGCTCAGGAGACTAGGCCTAGTGAGAACAGCAACTCTTCCCAGTAGGTCTTGCCCCAATGAGGCAACTGCGAGGACTGAAGGTCCCCTCCTTCCCACCGCTCCCTAAGATGCCTACTCCCCTGGGTCTTTCCCAAGCATTCTGAGACTCTGCCACCACGTCTGTCTCTGCTCTGCCCTCTGCATACCTCTTCTGGTCCTGGGAGACCAGGCGGGAGGGCCGTTTGTAACAGCAGAAGGGGGAGACCCATTGCCTTCTTCAGCTGCCATCTCATCTCTGCCTCTTGCCCCTCTCCAGCTTCCGCTTCTGATTCTGGACTGCTCTCTGTCGTAGCCTCTTCCTGCTCACTAAACCCTGTTACCTCTTCAGCTTCTCACACCTCCTGCTCCCTCTTCTGCCTCTGACCGCTCATCAACGTCCCACCATCAATCCCTGGGCTCTGAGCCTTCTTCCCTTGGGGGTTCCCCAGCTGGTGCCCCCCAACATTCCTCTGCATCCAGCCAGAGGCAGGGGTGTGTGTGTTGGAGGGCAACGGCTTTGCCAGACCTAATTAGGACCCTCACTAAACACAATTAGGCCTGCAGGCTGGGGGTTCCCCATCTCCCAGTTTAAACTGGGGGTTCCCCATCCCCTGATTTAAACTGGGGTGGGGTTTCCTGGCTCACAGAGCCCCTTCACTGGCACCACATTGAACTGTGCTAGCCAGGCCCAGCGCCACAAGCTACAAGGGTTTCTCCCAAGGAGCAAAGGGCTGATACAGAGGGCAAGGGAAGCACTACCAGAGTGGTGCATGCTCTAGTTATCTCCCGCTTGGACTACTGCAATGCGCTCTACGTGGGGCTACCTTTGAAGGTGACCCGGAAACTACAACTATTCCAGAATGTGGCAGCTAGACTGGTAACTGGGGGCGGCTGCCGAGACCACATAACACAGGTCCTGAAAGACCTACATTGGCTCCCAGTACATTTCCGAGCACAATTCAAAGTGTTGGTGTTGACCTTTAAAGCCCTAAACGGCCTCGGCCCAGTATACTTGAAGGAGCGTCTCTACTCCCATCATTCTGCCCGGACTTTGAGGTCCAGCACTGAGGGCCTTCTGGCGGTTCCCTCACTGCGAGAAGCAAAGCTACAGGGAACCAGGCAGAGGGCCTTCTCGGTAGTGGTACCCGCCCTGTGGAACACCCTCCCACCAGATGTCAAAGAGATAAACAACTACCTGACATTTAGAAAACATCTGAAGGCAGCCCTCTTCAGAGAAGTTTTTAATGTGTGACATTTTGATGTATTTTTAATCTTTGTTGGAAGCCGCCCAGAGTGGCTGGGGAAACCCAGCCAGATGGGCGGGGTACAAATAATAAATTATTATTATTATTATTATTATTATTATACCTCCTGTCTAGCATCTTCTTGAACTCAATTCTCATCAGGAAGCCCCGGCCCCGGCATTGCAACATGGTCATGATCTTTGCCAAACGCTCGTCTCGCATGTCTTCCAGCTTGGCCAAGATTCCAGCGCGGAAGAAGACCTTTGAAAGCAAGGAGCAGCACGCCCATCAAGACACTGGCAGGAGAATGATTGCACTGCCAGCTCACCCTGCGAAGCTCTGTTTCACATATGATTCTTGAAGGATACAGAGACCACTTCTTCTACAAGAAACCATGGACGGGGGTGAAACCCCTTCCCTCAAAGGGAACAGTAAGACTGCTAGAACAGTGATTGCTGCTAGGAGGAAGTCACAAACTATACCCCCAAAGGAGGACTGGATTTGTAAAATAAATGAATATTTAATTTTGGCAAAATTAACTGCTATAATAAGAAATCAGTCAAATCAAAAATTAAAAAAAGGAGTGGAAATGTTTTGATGAATATACGGCAAAATATTGCTCAAAAAACGATACGCTAATATGCCTAGATTAAAATATGAAGTGCTGGATGGAAGAAAAATTAGTAATGAATGATAAGAAGAATATACAGATGATCTGAGAAGATTTTAGAATGCTACGATTATTGTAAATTGTATAATAATAATAATAATATATCTTTATTGTCAATGGGGAGGAAATCGAGTGGGGGCGGAGGGGAGTGGGAGGAAGGAGAAAAGAATAATATGACGGATTGAGGAAATGTAAATGTAAATTTATGAGGGGATGGAGAGGAAATGGTGTTGGCTTTGGCTTTGGTATATCTGTGTTGTAATGTAATATGTGAAAACCAAGAAAGAAAGAAAGAAAGAAAGAAAGAAAGAAAGAAAGAAAGAAAGAAAAGAGGGACAGTAAGGCCAGACTGAAGCCTGCCGTACCTTCGTGTGCCCAATTTTGTACTCATTCTCTCCCAGGTCCAGAGATCCCAGGAGAAGTTCTGAGGCCTTCTTGTTGTCCACAAATCCCTGAGGGATCACGTTGGGGTTCAGCACCTGGTACCTGACAAGAGAAAGACACAAGCTGCCACTGAGAACTTTCAAGAACCACAATCTGGTGGCTGGTGGGCCACAGAACAGCTAAGCAAAGTGATGGGCGAGAGTAATAGCCAGTAAGGCAACACAGATGGGGACCGGCCTTGCTCTGCCAGCTCCCCAACTCAGCCAATCACGAGAGCTAATCGAGAGAGGAGGGAGAAGGCGTGGAGTGCATCATGGCAGGACATGGGGTGAACTCTGCTGCCATGCATCTCACCACACTGAGTCCCCCCAGCCCCCTCTTCTCTTTCGTGCTAAGTTCTGCTGGGTTCGGATGCTTGGAGAGCCACAACGCCTCTCCTTCTGGCAGGACCAAGCCAGCAGGAAATCACACTGGAGTTTATTAGCAAAAACAGCATCAACACAGGAGCGTCAGGCTGAATGAGCACAGCAGCTCATCTCCGGTAAGACTTGCTCCTATGTAGCAGCTGCAGAGACTGAAGGTCCCCCACAGACGCCTAAGTCCCCATCTTTCCAGGGGTTTTTTCCCCAAGCAGCCAGAGACTGCGCCTGCACATATCACGAATCTCTCCTCCGCCCTCTTCAGGCCTCTTTTGAGGGGAGAGAGACTTTCTGCAGGCAATGTCTTTTCCGCCTGCCTTGCCCCACCCTCCAGCCCCAGACAAATGACTTTGAGAAGCAGCTGGGAAGAGAGTAGCTCAGGGATAGCTTTTAAAGATAATTTTATGGGTTGGGTGCCCTGGTTTCTCAATCTGATCCTTTTGCATGGTTTTGTATGTTTTGTGGTATTTTATGCATTGTGATTTGCTGTTTTTATTGATTATATATTAGTAACTCTTTATTGTAATTGGTAAGTATAAACTGTTTAATTATTATTTCCTGATGCTTAATTTTACTCTTTGCTATTGGATTCTAAAGGATTGTCGAATATTGTTTTATTTGATATAAGTTGCTTATTTTAAAGTTACTGCGACTTTTCATATAGTATCTGATGGTTACTATTAATGCTTGATGTTTATTATTATTATTATTATTATTATTATTATTATTATTTGTTGGAAGCCACCCAGAGTGGCTGCATAGCTGTCAACTTACAGATTTGAAAATAAGGGACCAGCAGCCAAAATAAGGGATTTTCCGGGCACAGGTATGTTCAACTTCTGAGCTCCTCTGAGTCAAAGGCAGAAAGCCCAGCCAGCAGCCAAACGAAGCCTCATCGATAAGGGACAGCAGTGGGACATGGCGCTGGGAAAGGGGACTGTCCCGCCAAATAAGGGACGCTTGACAGCTATGAGTGGCTGGGGCAACCCAGCCAGATGGGAGGTGTATAAATATAAAAGTGTTGTTGTTGTTGTTGTTGATGTTGTTGTTGTTGTTGTTGTTGTTATTCTGGTTCTGGGAGACCAGGACAGAGGGGAGCTTGTTGCAGCAGGAGAACAAGACACCCAGGACTCTTCACCAGCCTGACTCATCTCTGCCACTTGGCCTCCCTCCTCTCCTGCTTTAGCTTCTGCCTCTGTTTTTGGCCTTCTCTCAGGCATTCCATCCCCACCCTAGAAATGGATGGCGTATCGATGACGATATTCACCTTTGCTTGAACTCAGGGTACTGCAACCTGTTGGGGAAACCTTTCCGGCAAATACGGATACCTTCCAAAACGCCGTTACAGGCCAGCTGGTGCAAAATCAGGTGCGCATCCACCACACCTGCAAAAGACAGAGCATGACGTTTCCATTTCACGGCTGCAAGAGCAAAAACTGCTGCGGGACTGTTGCTTGGAACGGGACTGGCTCAGCCAGGGCTGAGTGAATTAGGATGCTACCTTGAAAACTAAAGAAGAGGCGCTCAAGCAAATGGTGGAGCGCTGGACGGAAAGGGTCTAGAATCAGAGCCTCCACGAGCCAGTCTTTTGGATGCTTTGCTTCCCGTGGCAATTCACCAAGCCAAGTGGACGATGCTCCATGGAACAAGATGTTTCAGCCTGAATGTTTCAGCCTGACCCCCCCTCCCAAGTCAACTGGGACAACACTGAGGGAAAAATAATGTCTCCTCTTCTGGCAAACTGGAACGTGTCCAGAGGAGGGCAACCAAAATGGTCAAAGGCCTGGAAACGATGCCTTATGAGGAACGGCTAAGGGAGCTGGGCATGTTCAGCCTGGAGAAGAGGAGGTTAAGGGGTGATATGATAGCCATGTTCAAATATATAAAAGGATGTCACATAGAGGAGGGAGAAAGGTTGTTTTCTGCTGCTCCAGAGAAGCGGACACGGAGCAATGGATCCAAACTACAAGAAAGAAGATTCCACCTAAACATTAGGAAGAACTTCCTGACAGTAAGAGCTGTTCGACAGTGGAATTTGCTGCCAAGGAGTGTGGTGGAGTCTCCTTCTTTGGAGGTCTTTAAGCAGAGGCTTGACAACCATATGTCAGGAGTGCTCTGATGGTGTTTCCTGCTTGGCAGGGGGTTGGACTCGATGGCCCTTGTGGTCTCTTCCAACTCTATGATTCTATGATTCATCTGCCCAAATGGTTGTTTAGAATTTGGGATGCTGCTGATATGTATAAGTCAACTTAACTTATTCATAACAGCAGCATCCCAAATTCTAAACACCCATTATATCTGTGCAAGAAAGGGCCATGTGTCTGATAGGAATGGACAGCTACTGCATCTTTCTGGAAAGAAAAAAATGGAAGAGGATGCATGACCTTATTCATTATTTTAGTAACTGCTTGTTTGTTTTCTCGGGTTTTCCTAGAACATTAGGACTGGACTTCTTCTTGCCCTATTAAGACTGTGGGATTGGTTTAAAATGCATTTTACTTTTGTAAACTGCTTTGTGACATTCCTTTGAATGCACACAGTGCAGAAGTACGATCAAATAAGTGAATTAAAAGAATTATCTGGGCTAAAACTGATGACTTCCCTCCTCCTCTTTCGTTTGTTATTTACGGAGTGCTGAATGGTTATTTAACCAGCCCTCCTTATATACCTATGGGACGCGGTGGCGCTGTGGGTTCAACCACAGAGCCTAGGACTTGCTGATCAGAAGGTCAGCAGTTTGAATCCCCGCAACGGGGTGAGCTCCCGTTGCTCGGTCCCTGCTCCTGCCAACCTAGCAGTTTGAAAGCGCACCAGTGCAAGTAGATGAATAGGTACCGCTCCAGCGGGAAGGTAAATGGTGTTTCCATGCGCTGCTCTGGTTCGCCAGAAGCGGCTTAGTCATGCTGGCCACATGACCCAGAAGCTCTACGCCGGCTCCATCAGCCAGTAAAGCAAGATGAGTGCTGCAACCCCAGAGTTGGTCACGACTGGACCTAATGGTCAGGGGTCCCTTTACCCTTTACCTTATATACCTTTTTTATATTTACAATTTTTAAAAGGGATAGAAGAACAGCAAAGCTCCGTACCGGACTGCTTGAACTCGTTTGGAACGATACAGCGTACGAAATGAGGGGCTGTGCTGTGCAAGGTGGTCATCAGCTTGTTCAGCTGCTCCTGAAACAGGAAGAGGAAATGAAACAGGAGGGTAGTCAGGCAGGGGGAGAATATTGCATTCATTTCATAAAATTTATATACTGCTTGATTGCAAAGAAGAAGAAGAAGACACCTCAAGGTGGTTTACACAAAAATGTAAACTCATTGGTGAAAACTGTTAAAAACAACTATATAAAACATTCAGAAAAACTAAAATCAGATTAAGGCACGCATCAACATTCTACATATCCAGGCAGACTTGTCTAAGAAAAAATGTGTTTAGCAGGTGCAGAAAAGTGTACAGTGAAGGCACCTGCCTGGGATCAATAGGCAGGGAGTTTCGAAGGGCGGATGCTGCCACACGAAACAATCAATTTCTTACAAATGCTGAACAGGTATCCTGTGACATCTGTCACAGTGCTGGCTTTGTGCCAGACAGAAGCAGCCGAGTGGGCATGGTGCCAGGCGATCTCGCAGGTAAACCAGTCCCAAGTTGTTAAGGGCTTGGTTGTTGTGGGCACCTGTCTTTCTCGAGAGACAGTGGAGTGTGCCTCCGGGGGTGAAGTCAAACTGCTGTGTTAGCAGCACCAAAGTAACCTCTCTGGGGCGCAAACCTGGGCAGTGTGCATGGAGGTCCTGGGCTGACCAGATGACAAGATGGGGGGATCTCAGCCTGGCTGATGTGGTCCAAAGGATAGCAGAGCAAGACATTTAGCACCAGCTCAGCTGCAGGAGTTGATGGAAGGAGGCGTACAAGGAGCCATCCAACCGTCTTAGGGTCTCCACTCTGGATTTGTGTAGGGTTGATTCCTTAGCCTTTCCTTCTCCTGAAGATATCTCACAAGGCAGCGGAGGGCTGCCATTGATACACTAATGGTAATACCTTGAACTTGGCCTGGTTCAGGGATGCCTCCATTTTTCCTGCCAGCAATCCTGAAGGCCTGCCAGAGCCAAACATCCCTGCTGCACGACTGTAGGTCACCACATCAGTTGCTGGGTTTCTGGCTGGTTCTCAGACCGCTGCCACCCTCAACACACACACACACACACACACACACACACCACAGGAGCAAAAGAAGTGCCACGTGGCTATCCATTGATGCCGATGACAGAGGTGGAGTTCCCTTACCAGGTGAGAATTTAGTTAATGAATTTTGGAAACAGATTGGTATAGAAATATCAGGAATTGTGGGTAGGAAGGTGGGAATATATAAATTAATGGTTCTTATTAGTCTGAGTAGCACCGAGTTAAAAACAAAAGAGGAATGTAAATGGGTAAAATTGATGGTAACTGCAGACAGACAGGTTATAGCGAGTAACTGGAAAAATGCAGAAGAGTTAGGGGTGAACCAATGGAGGAAAAAACTGAATAATATTATAATTTTAGAATACCTAACTGTGAAGATACACAGAATGAAAGGGTTTAAGGTCAGTGAGAAAGAGGAGGATTGGTTTGAGAAGATATTGAATTATTTGGGTAGGTTTGAACAATTTGGGGCAATTAAAATGTTAAAAGTTAAATAAACCTTGTGGATGGAGGAGTGTTAACGTATCTAAAATTGTACATATGGTTGATTTGAATATGTTATTAATGATTATGTACAGTATACCCAATGTACCAGCCGCCTGGGGGGTTTCACTGTTTGTGTTTTGGTTGTTGGTAAAAAATAAAATTTTAAACATTCTCTTACCAGGTGAGACTTACCCTATAGAAGTTGGAGACAGTCATAAAGGAAGATCCCCTTTTCTGCTTCTTGGTTGTTCCAGCTGAGGAAAACATGGAACTGAAGATGATTCAAGTGTATATGGAAATAAATTCATGTATACACAAAACCTGGGGTGTTTCCCTATTTTCATCTCAGAGGCTGAGGGGTTACTAAGGCGGCCATTTCAGCGCAGCCACACCTTGGAAGTCGAACGGAATCTGTTCCAGATTTTTTTGAAAACCAAATCGTGGCTTCTGTTGGCTGCAGGAAGCTCCTGCAGCCAACCAGAAGCTGCGGAAGCCCCATCAAACGTTCGGGTTCCAAAAGAACGTTCACAAACCAGAACAATCACTTCCGGGTTTCGATCATTTGGGAGCCAAAACGTCCGAGTTCCAGGGCATTCAGGATCCAAGGTACGACTGTACTCACAGAAACAATGTTTGTTGTGGGGTTTTGGTAATGCGACTTTGCAACAACAACAACAACAACAACATTCATAAGCAGACAGATTTCCAAGTTGACAGAATCGTAGAATCAGAGAATTGTAGTGTTGGAAGGGACCACGTGGGTCATTTAGGCCCACCCCCTGCCATGAATGAATCTTTTGCCTAATGTGGTCTTGAACCCACAACCTTAAAATGTGCTCTACTGACTGAACTGTCCATCAAGGAAGGACAGGGGCCACATAGCTCAGCAGCACAACAACCCTGTGAGGGAGGTTAGCTTTAGAGACAGTCAGGCATTAAGCTTCATGGCAGAGTGGGGACTAGAACTCCTTTCTGCCAGGTCTGAATCCAGTACTCTAACCACTTCACCACACTGCCTGATGGACGTGGCAGTCCACAATATCTGAAGTACACCAGGTATAGTAGACGGAACACTGTACCAGGGAGACTTTGGGCAAGTCACGCTGTCTCAGCTTAACCTTACCTGGTGGGGTTGCTGTGAGCAGGAAATAGGACAACCTATCTGGAGTTGTTTGCTGGGTTTGGGATAGGAAATGCAAGCAAAGAGATCCACGCACCTGCGGCCTCCTCTTCTTTGAAGAGAGTGCAGAGCAGGGCCATCCCGGACTTCTGGAACAAGCCCACCACCGTTTCATTCAGGGGGTCCTTGTTCTTCTCCAGCCACCCGGTGATATTGTAACCCACCTGGAGCAAGAAAGTGTTAGAATTCCTGCTCCGTGATTGCAGTCATGGGATTGTTGTCTTTCACATGCCGTGGTATGTTTTGACTCCACAGAGTGGGAAGTGACGGAGACGGGATGTTTGTGTTACTGTGAAGTGGGACTATTGTCCTTTGTTCTTCTTCTCTTTGCTGTCTGATGCTAGGGAGAGAGGGAGCCATGTTGCAGTGCTCCGTGTGTGTTTATATGTAAATAAAGTAGATTAGCCAAAATGCTGAGTTACTGAGGTCTGTCACGCGCATGATGCACAAACTCTGTGGATCCCTAAGTGTGCCAGTGTCGGTTGGCATTGGTCGCTGTGATGTTCGGGCTGAAGAAAGTTTATGAAGCTCCCGAACGATCGACCAGGATGGAGGGAACATGCCAGTCGGGCATGTGTCTCTGCCAGGGTCCTACTCAAGTGTAGGCTCCTGACAACAAGGAGAGGAAAAATTGGGCATGGTGGCACTCGGGCATTACACGACCGCAACACCTAGCTCTGTTTTCCAAAATCTGGTGCCCTCAGGATGTTGCTTGGATACAAGCCTCATTTCAGACATGTGGTTTACATACTTATGTGTTTGCCTTGTACAGTAATGAAAATTTATTCTAGATTTGAGACCTTAGAATTCTTATAACAGTATACAAATTTAATTTAATAATAATAATAATAATAATAATAATAATAATACTCACGGTGCCAGCATAATGCACCAGCTCAAAGTGGGCTTCAGCCCCTTTGCCTTTGCCTCCTTTGGGCTTCAGGAAGTTGGGGGACTTCCCCAGATGATTGTCATAGAGAGCAGCCTTGAAGGTAGCGTCGGTTGCCTTGGGGAACACACACTGCTCTTCAAGGATGGAGAAGATGCCCATGGGCTGGAGAGGAGGAGGACCCAGTAAGAAAACACACACACACACACACACACACACACACACAATAGCCCTGGACTTAAATAAGTCCTCCTTGGTGTTTCCAAAGTCAGCAGTGAAAACAAATACATTTAATAAATATAAATATAAATATAAATATAAATATAAATTATTTATACCCCACCCACCCGGCTGGGTTTCCCCAGCCACTCTGGGTGGCTCCCAACAGAATAAAAACAGAATAAAACATCAAACATTAAAAACTTCCCTAAACAGGGCTGCCTTCAGATGTCTTCTAAAAGTCAGATAGTTCTTTATTTCCTTGACATCTGAGGGGAAGGTGTTCCACAGGGCAGGTGCCACTACCGAGAAGGCCCTCTGCCTGGATCCCCGTAACCTCACATCTCGCAGTGAGGGAACTGCCAGAAGGCCCTCGGAGCTGGACCTCAGTGTCCGGGCAGAGTAGGGATTCATCATGAATGCACAAAAAAATAAGGACATGTGGAGGGAGCGATGAATATTAAGAATCTGTGCAGATAGCACTATCTCAGCAGGCTAAGCCGCAGGGTTGAGGTGAAACAGAAAGAACTGCTTTACCTTGCTGCCATGTGCCTTGCTCCACCTGAATCTGGTGAAGGAGCATCGCCATCAGTGCCCATTTGGGGCAAGATCGTGCCAATTTGGGGTGAGCTCTCATCCAAAATGGCCGCCATCTTGCCTCAAATTGGCGCTGATGGCGGTGGCACTTCTCAGTCGTTGGTGGAGGCAGCGGGGCAGGCAGGGCCTCCACGGGTGTGCTGCCTGAGGGGGCGAGTTCTGCCACCCGAGCCAGCGGCCTCACTTGCCTCACGGCTGGGCCGGCTCTGCCAAGCCACCAGAGGCCGGCCATGCTTCAGGCTGGCGAGAGAGGCTCACCTTTTCCAGGAGCTCAATGCAAGCTTGCAGATCCAGACCAAAGTCGATGAAGACCCAGTCGATCCCTTCTCGCTTGTACTCCTCCTGCTCCAGCACAAACATGTGGTGGTTGAAGAACTGCTGCAGCTTCTCGTTGGTGAAGTTGATGCAGAGCTGCTCAAAGCTATTGAACTGCAAAGGGAATAGAAACGAAGGCCTGCGTCAGGGGCTGCTGGCCAGTGTGTGCCATGGGAAAGGGGGCCGGAGTCTAACATGGCAGAGGGGGGCAATGAATTGCAGGGAACTTCACCAGCCAGGAGGGACGCAGGTGGCGCTGTGGGTTAAACCACAGAGCCTAGGACTTGCCGATCAGAAGGTCGGCGGTTCAAATCCCCATGACGGGGTGAGCCTCTGTTGCTCGGTCCCTGCTCCTGCCAACCTAGCAGTTCGAAAGTACGTCAAAGTGCAAGTAGATAAATAGGTACCACTCTGGTGGGAAGGTACCTGCAACATTTTGTTGCAGACCCCACCTGCAAACCTCCCGCTAGAGCTGTTCCTAGTTTCCCTGTACCTCAAAGATTTCAAAGCCAGCGATATCCAGCACTCCGATAAAGAACTGCCTTTGCATCTTGGTGTCCAGGGTCTTGTTGATCCTGACGACTAGCCACTTGAACATCTTGTCGTAGACGGCTTTGCCCAGGGCACCAACGGAGTTGTGGCACTGGTCCATGTTCTGCCCCTTCTGCACAAACTCGTTGCCCACTTTCACCCGGGGCCGGGTGATGCCCTTCTGGAGTTCCCCGGAGTTGAGAGCCATGAGGTGGGCGACTTTGTCGGCCACTGCCAAAAGACCAAAGGCACAGATTAATCGGAAGGGGAGCAAACTGCTGGCCATGACGAAGGCCCCCGTTTCCTCAGACAAGGAAACCACAACCATTTCTGCAAGTTCTGCTAGGCCACTGTTGCAGAAAGGACAACACAAGCACAGACAGTGCCTGTCTACGCAGGAGTAAGTCCAATGGGGCTAAGGGCTTTTTCATACTTCCGCTTCCCCCACCCCTAGATAGCACGGGTCCAAGTGGTTTTGTCTTTGCCCCACTGCTTTCCCCCAGAAAATTCACTCTTTAGTGCTAAATCGGAGCAAAGAACAATCCACAGAAAACCCAAGTGCTGTTCGTTCAGATTCGGCACTAAACTGTGGGCTTTCCTGGAGGGAGAGGCAGAGGAAACGGAAATGTGAATAGAAGCCATCAACCACATGTTTAATTAAGGTTTTAAACTACATTTTAAAAAAATATATTTTATTAAGTTTCAACATTTTTAACATATACAATCCAACAAACAATTCCCCCCCCCCTCATATTTTATCAACTTCCCACCCCATTTTCCACTTCTTGTTGTTTCTCCACTTCTGCTTCTCCCTATCGTCTGCCTGTTAAAATCATAACCACAGTACTATAATCTACAGTGGTACCTAGGTTTTTGAACATCTCCGTTGACGAACATTTCAGTTTCCGAACGCCGTAAACCCGGAAGTAAACGCTTTGGTTTTTGAACACGCCTCAGAAGTCGAACATGCCACGCGGCTTCCGCTGAATGCAAGATCCTGAGGCCTAGCTGTCGGCGATTGAATTTTCCGTTTTTGAACGTTTCAAAACTCAAACGGTCTTCCAGAATGGATTACGTTCAAAAACAGAGGTACCACTGTAATTACTTATGTGGCTCATAGCTCAAATCCAAAGTAGTCCAAAAAAGGCTTCCATTCTTCCACAAAACACTCATCATCAGATTCTCTTAATTTTGCCAGTTCTGCATAGTCCATTATTTTACATAATGTCAACACTTTGAGTTGCAAAACAGTGAATTCCTTTGAATTTGAGATTTGACCGGCATCCCTTATTTAGTTGGGGAGGGTGTGGCACTTGAGATGTTGTTGAACTCAAATTCCCATCAGCCCCAGGCACTACGGCCAACGGCCAGGGACGATGGGAGTTGTAGTCCTGCAACAACTGGTTCCTCCTGCTCCTCCCCGCTCTGTTACCTTCAGCGGTGTCAACTTCTGCCTGCTCCTCTCTTGGCTTCTGCTTGAATTTCATGTTGCCGAAGTGCATTATGCCTCCAGTCAGCTTATAAACGCTTATCTTCTCTTCTTGAGTGAAGCCTAGGACATCAAAGGCCACCTGGAAGAGAGGAATCATTATCATTTCCAAACCTTGTGTACCGTTTCTCAATAGGTGTCAAAGCACTCCACAACCCCCCGCTCCAATTTAGATATTACAGCCAGAGGTTCAATCACCACCACCATCGAAACTGAAATAATTAAGCTTAAAACCCCTCAACTCCTGGAGGCATGTTGGAAAGAAACATTCTCATTTGCTTCTGGAAAAATAAATAGGTAGAGAACAGTACAAGAGCTGTAGCTTCGTTCTAGAGCAGCGGTTCTCAACCTGTGGGTCCCCAGATGTTGTTGGACTACAACTCCCATCATCCCTGAGCTCTGGCCTTGCTAGCTAGGGGTGATGGGAGCTGTAGTCCAACAACATCTGGGGACCCACAGGTTGAGAAAGGCTGTTCTAGAGCATTTCTTCTATATGCAAAAGATCCCAGGTTTCATCCCTGGCATTCCCGGGTAGGCCTGGCAAAGACTCCTGCCCGAGAACCTGGATCAGTGTAGACCACTGGTCTTTGACTGGTGGCTCAGTCAAGACCCTCAAATGGTGGCATCCTGATCTAAGGTGGGCTGCAGCAGCAACAATAGGAGACAAAGGGAGGAGGAGGGGGGAAATAATAAGGCCCCCCATGCATGCTTGGGTTAAAGGTGGGTTGTGAGTCTAAAAAGGTTGGATACTGTGGGTGTAAGCAATGCCCAGGTATGTGGACCAGTGATTGTTAAGTATAATTGCTTAATTGACACTGAAATGGAGAATGCCCATCTGTATTGCTGAAAGGGTTTAACTGGAAGATTCCATTGAAGCTAAGGAAGAGCAAAAAGGGCTCTCTTAGCTCCTTTGTGGGCTGATAATCAACTGTTGCTGTTCTCTGCTCACTAACACGTGAGTGTTTAACTTTAGATCAGGTGATTAAGGTATTGAATTGCAAATCTCCACTTTGAAAGATAGTTGCTGTTAGTTTTTGTTCCCAGGCTCTGCGGGAGTAAGATGCCTTTCCAGGAGCTCAATAGTCTTGGGGCTGGAATGCAGGCTAACGGAGCCAGTGTGTGTGTGTGTGTGTGTGTGTGTGTGTGTGTGTGAGAGAGAGAGAGAGAGAGAGAGAGAGAGAGAGAGAGATGTTTGTCAAGCCTATGATTGGGTAAGAATATGTTTTATGGAATGCTGAGCCTATGATTGGGTAAGAATATGTTTTATGGAATGATTTGGGTGTAGCTTTGGTGCTTTTGTTCTGTTTTGAAGAAAGTTCCGCAAGGAAAGTTTCTGAATAATATCTAACAGGTCTGGAAAATGCTTCATTCCAAAAAAAGAGAGCCAGTTTTTATCCATCTGGTTGCTACAAGCTGCACAATATTAACATCTGCAATAGTAATCTGATTCAGTACGAGACAGTTTCCTATGTGGACTTGATTACACTCCCCTCCCCTGCCCTCTCATTTCCTTAACGTATCTGAGCGAGGCTAAAGACTGCCAAGCTGTGCTTATAGCCCTTAGGCTGCCATCTTTTGCTGCAGTTTCCCTCCTACACCCAAAATACAACAGGTGCTCATTTGGGAAATGATTTACAACGAGCTTAAGGAAATGTTCAAATGCTCCTTCCCTAAAAAAAAACCTGAAGCCTTCCTGCTAGGAATTATGGGAAATGAAACCCCCCCAAAATACAGGAGAGTCCTTATGTATGTTACAGTCACTGCCAGAATTCTAATCGCAAAAGGTTGGAAGGGAGAGGATACCCCATCTAAAACAGACTAGCAAAATAAAATAAGAGAGTATGCCGAACTGGCGAGATTATCAGCAAGGCTAAGAGATGTTACAGCCATATTTTTTTCCAGAGAGTGGGTTATATACAGAGTTTATGTAAAAGAACATTGTCAAAATGTCAATTCGTTGGCAGGTTTTGACTGAGCTTCGGTGTGTCAATAGGGTAACTGTATAAAATAAAATTTATGGTAAGTCAAATAATATGGAGAAAATAAAGTTTAAGTGCGTATTTAAGGAATTTACCGGTAATTCGGGAATGCAAGGGGAAGATCGGTGGTCTTGAAAAATTTAATCACAAATGGATGTACAAAGCGTGCATTAGTTAAAGAATAAAGAACCGTTTATTTTTTATTTCTCATTTTGTCTATAATATAGTAATAGTAATAGTAATAGTAATAGTAATAGCAATTTATTATTTGTACCCTGCCTATCTGGCTGGGTTTCCCCAGCCACTCTGGGCGGCTTCCAACAAAGATTAAAAATACATTAAAATGTCACACATTAAAAACTTCCCTGAACAAGGCTGCCTTCAGAAGTCTTCTAAATGTCAGGTAGTTGTTTATCTCTTTGACATCAGATGGGAGGGCGTTCCACAGAGCGGGTGCCACTACTGAGAAGGCCCTCTGCCTGGTTCCCTGTAGCTTAGCTTCTTGCAGTGAGGGAACCACCAGAAGGCCCTCGGCACTGGACCTCAGTGTCCAGGCAGAACGATGGGGGTGGAGACGCTCCTTCAGGTATACTGGGCCAAGGCCATTTAGAGCTTTAAAGGTCAGCACCAACACTTTGAATTGTGCTCAGAAACTTACTGGGAGCCAATGTAGGTCTTTCAGGACTGGTGTTATATGGTCTCGGTAGCCACACCCCAGTCACCAGTCTAGCTGCTGCAATAATATCTATTGTACACTTCTGTTATAAAGTTTTCGATCAATAAAACACTCAAAAGTGGGGGGTAGATAAAATGCAACAGCCTTTGCAAACTTACATCTGTGAGAAGCAGTTCCTCTCCGTCGTCCATGTTGTCAACAACCGTGACTCCTTGGCTTGTCCAGTGGTACTCCTTGGGGTCCGGCACACAAAGCAAGGATGCTGTCACATAAAAGAAATGTCAGGATGCAGAAACTGCGGTCCTTTTTTAAGAACTCTGCTGAATCAGCCCCGATAGTTAGTTCAGCATTCTGATCTTGCTAGGGATAGAAGGACCTGCCCATCTCATTTGCCTCGGCTTCTCATTTTCCCCCTTCTCAAATTTGTGCTTTGCTTCATGCTAAAATCCAGTTCTTACAAAGCATCTTCCCATGAAGATTTCATCCAGCCCATCTAGTCTAAAAGCATCCTAATGGTGTAAGCCAGTGCTTTCTCCCCCTAAAAAATGTTTAGGGTTACTCTCATTTTGACTCAAGAAAATCACCATTTTATAGTTCAAATTGTGAAAAATAAATACAGTAAATGTACAAAAGTAAAAAATGTTTAGGGGTATGCGTCCCCCCAGAAAAAAAGCACTGGTGTAATCCATACCAGCAAGTCCCACCATTTAAAAAGGGGCTTGCTCCTAGGTAAGGAAGAAGGGATCTGTCAATTTCACTTCTCTCCATTTCTCATTTTTTCCCACCTTAAATTCAGTTCTCCACATTTCTGCAGCTATAGGCCATTTTATTTTCTTTAAAAATCCTGATTTCTCTTACTAACACATTGATTTTTTTTATGTATGCTTTCTGCTAACCAATGCATTTTTATAAACATTGTTTCGTTGGAGAACTGCGTTACAAAATTCCGAAAAGGGAGAATCTAGAAGGATGGCTGTGTTTCAGTTCACAAATTTGTTTTAGAATGTGCGAATGATAGATTTGGCATTAAATGGAAACTGAATTTGTCCCTCAGCCCCAGTTCTTGCAGCCCCCTCCACCCCGCCAATACACAGGGGAAAGCTTCATACAAACAAGATCTGGCTTCTTATTGGAGAGGAGCTGGTAGAAGATGTGATAGCCCCTTTCAGCGGGTTGCTGAGAGATGACCCGAGATTTCTCTAGGAGATCTGAAAAACAAAGTATACCCAGATTTAAGCTGATACTGTAGACCAGGCATGTCCAAAGTCTGGTTCAGGGGCCTAATCCGGCCCTCTGGTCGGTTTAATCTGGGCCCTGTGGCAGTTTATTTCCTGGGGCAAAATCCAAAGCTCAACAGCTTCAATCCTAGAAAAAGGTCAGTTGGCCCTTTGGTCGGCCCTCACGGTCCTTCACTTCATCAGATCTGGCCCTCTTTGAAAAAAGTTTGGACACTACTATTGTAGACGGTATCCGAACACTTCAGAAGTCAGCTCTGTTGCTCTGATATGACTTAACTGAACTGCAATGCCACGCACAAGCAACATTAAATTCTGACTCCAGGGAATCAAAATCTTGGACCAAGAAAAACTAAATGAAGCAACTATGAGCTGAGCAGACCTGCGTCATTTAATCTGTAACTTCCTGTTAGCACTGTTACCAAGTTTATTTTTAAAAAATCTGGTCAATTACTCAAATTATTTTCCATTAATACATTTAATAATAATAATAATAATAATAATAATAATAATAATAATAATTTTTATTTATACCCCAGCCACTCTGGGCAGCTTCCAACAAAATATTCACATACAATAATTCATCAAATATTAAAAGCTTCCCTAAACAGGGCAATTGATTAAATATGTGTACATTTGCTTATGTCCTATCAACTTTTTATTTTAGACACATACACTGCCTGAGTAAACAGGTTACTGCCAAATTCCACCTAAAATGGATTTCGGGGTTGAGATTAGCCGAACTTGGAAACTTACAACTCTCAATGTCAGCTCCAGCCAGTTTTCCTGTGCTGCCAAAGTGGATTCGGATGAATTTACCCTGGGATGAAGAACAAGAGGCAAGTCAGTTAATAGAGATGGCAATAGCTTTACCCAGGAAAGATTAAACAGCACAAGTGCATGGTCTTTTCAGTGGTGGTGCCTTCCTTGTGGAATGCCTTTCTAATAGAGACCTGCCAAGCCCCAACACTATGTCAGCTTCCTGAACCTGGTGCCCTCTGGACATTTTGGGCTGTAACTGCCATCAGTTCCAGCCAGCAAACAGTGAAATAATTGTTATTGTTATGTACTGAAGTTCTCAACCTGGGCCACCAGGGGGATACTGTAGATAGTTATGCAAATGAAGGATAGAAAGTGACGTTCAGTGATTGGATAGTTTGTATGCAAATGAAGGATCGAAAGTGACGTTCAGTGATTGGCTAGTTACAGAAAATGGTTACTGTCGCATTCTAGTGGAGCTCTATATAAGCAGGCTGACTGAGCTCCTCAGTTCAGTTCTGTTCCAGCTTACAAATAAAGAGCTGCCTTGGAAGAATCACTGTGTCGTCTGATATGTTCGCCCAGTTATCACCTCATAAAGGGATACAATCACCTTCAGTGTAGACAACTGAGAGTCAACAAGTGTTGGTCATTAGTTGAAGACCAAGCAAGTGATGTGTATGCATGTGTGAATCAGTGCATCTTCTTCTTCTTCTTTGGCGATCCCTTGTAGCCGAGTAAGATTGTCTTCCATAAACATGGTTTTAACAGTGAGTCCATAAGTGACTGGAGGCCAATTCTGGATCCACACATCCTTCCACAGTGGGGACATAGGTTTCCGGGCGGGAGTTGATCACGGTGTGAATTTGTCAAGCGTGCCTTCTTCTTGGCACGTTTCTCCCTTGTATCCTGAGTTTGAGTGTCTTCAGAGCCCATGACACCTTTGGTAAAGGCTGTTCCCCAATTGGAGCACTTGCAGGCAAGTGTTTCCCAATTGTTGGTGTTTATACTACTTTTTTTTTTATAGATTTGCCTCAAGACAGTCTTTAAACCTCTTTTGTTGACCACCAGCATTACGCTGTCCATTTTTAAGTTCAGAATAGAGTACAGTGGTGCCTCGCAAGACGAAATTAATCCGTTCCGCGAGTCTCTTCGTCTTGCGGTTTTTTTCGTCTTGCGAAGCACGGCTATTAGCGGCTTAGCGGCTTAGCGGCTATTAATGTCTTAGCGGCTTAGCGGCTATTAACGGCTTAGCAGCTTTAAGAAAAAGGAAACAAACTCGCAAGAACTCGCAAGACGTTTCGTCTTGCGAAGCAAGCCCATAGGGAAATTCGTCTTGCGGAACGACTCAAAAAACGCAAAACCCTTTCGTCTAGCGAGTTTTTCGTCTTGCGAGGCATTCGTCTTGCGGGGCACCACTGTAGTTGCTTTGGAAGACGATCGTCAGGCATCCGCACAACATGACCAGTCCAACAAAGTTGACGTTGAATAATCATTGCTTTGACACTGGTGATCTTGAATCAGTGCATAATAAGGAGGGGCCAAGGGTTCAAAATATTTTAAGATTCTCATACTTACAAAGCGGGAAGAATTGTTGTTCCTCGTTGTTTTGGCATTTCCAAAGGCTTCTAGTACAGGGTTAGCCTGGATGATTTGATCTTCCAGGGACCCCTGACAGAGACAAACAAAAATGTGTAAATCACCTTGAGATGGTGGTTTAAAAGGAGGAATCAATTGTAGTAACAACAGCAACACAGTTTTATCATGGGGGATTTCTCAACAGCTAACGATTAACACATTATTCCAGACAATGCCTGCATTTCAGCTGGTACAAGACAACCGTTACTCTCCAAAATGTATAGACTGTTACTGGATTGGGACAGGCTAGAGGAGGAGGTTAAATCTGTGATGATTCAGATGGCATCTTGGGAAAAGCTTTGGAGAAAGGACATAAAGTTTACGGCTTGCTGAGGGATGCGGGTGGTGCTGTGGGTTAAACCACAGAGCCTAGGACTTGCCGATCAGAAGGTCAGCAGTTCGAATCCCTGTGACGGGGTGAGCTCCCGTTGCTCGGTACCAGCTCCTGCCAACCTAACAGTTCAAAAGCACGTCAAAGTTCAAGTAGATAAATAGGTACCGCTGTGGCGGGAAGGTAAACGGCGTTTCCGTGTGCTGCTCTGGTTCACCAGAAGCGGCTTAGTCATGCTGGCCACATGACCCGGAAGCTGTACGCCGGCTCCCTCGGCCAGTAAAGCGAGATGAGCACCGCAACCCCAGAGTTGGTCACGACTGGACCTGATGGTCAGGGGTCCCTTTACCTTTATACGCTAAAAGAAAACTACATGAAGATGTTCTACTGATGGTACATTACGCCAAGCAAGCTGGCGAAAATGTATAAAAAGGGCTCAAATTTTTGCTGGAGATGTAAAGAATCAGAGGGAACAATGTACCACACGTGGTAGAAATGTAAAAAGACAAAAAGCTTTTGGAAAACTATCTATAATGAGCTTTTAAAAAATGTTCAAATTAACTTTAATCAAAAAGCCAGAAACCTTTTTGTTAGGTATTATTGCTGCAGATATACCGAAAGAATTAAGAAAGATATTTATGTATGCAACTACTGCAGCGAGAATGTTAATAGCTAGATGGTGGAAGGGAGATAAAATACCAACTAAGTTGGAATGGCAGGTGAAGTTTTTGAATATGTAGAATTAGCAAAGATGACAGGGAAAATCAGGAATTAAAGAAACCAAGAGTTTAACAAAGAATAGGATTTATTTAAATCATATTTAAAAGAACATTGTTCTCAGATAAAATCTTTGACATGTTTTGAATAACTTCTGCAACGAAATACTCTACCAAGAATATGGACAATTAACGATAAATTAAAAAATATGCAAATATGCAGTCAACAAGGTAATGATGGACCCATATTGACGGAAGTCACAATTATATGGAAGAATCTTATTTTCTATGTAAAAAAATTCTTTCTATGTGAGGTGATTTGTTTTCTTTTTTGTTGTTTCGCGGTGGAGGGATTTAATGTCTAAAATCAATAAAGATTAAAATTTGAAAAAGAAAGAGAGAAAAAAGACAACAGCCCCCAGTTCATTCTACTAAAAGAAAAACCTCTTACCTTCGAATCGGTAGAGGCCTTGCCAGTACCACCGATGTTGGCAAAGTACTGAATAACTTTCTTTGTATTTTCAGTCTTGCCAGCTCCGGATTCTCCACTACATGTGAAAGAGGAGATAAAGGAGCAGAAATCAGGACCACAAGGTTGAAAAGTATCCATCAATATATATTTTTTAACTCCAACCCCCTGCTGCGAGAGGTCATTCACACATGAGGTAGACCTGGTTTCTGGGTGGGACAGGGCAGAGGCACATGTGGATACCGTATTTTTCGCTCTATAGGACGCACTTTTTCCCCTCAAAAAATGAAGGGGAAATGTGTGTGCGTCCTATGGAGCGAATGAAAGCTTTCGCTGAAGCCTGGAGAGCGAGAGGGGTCGGTGCACACAGCAGCCCGAAGCCCGGGGAGCGTGGTGCTGTGCACCCCGGGCTTAGGACAGCTACCTGCAGTTAGGGCTTAGGACAGTTACCGCCGGGCTCCGAAGGCTTGTGGATAGCAGCCTGCAGCCCGAAGCTGTTCTAGCTTCGGGATGGCTGCGCAAAGCCTTCACCTCGCTGCCCTGCGGAGGCTTGAAAGGCTGCGGAGGCTTGAAAGGCTACAAAGGATGTCCCCGAAGCCTCAAGCCTTTGGAGTGCAGCTGCGCTCCAAAGGCTTCAGGGATCTTTGAGGTTGACGGTGGGGGAAAATAGCACTTCCCCCACCGCCAGCCCCACAAGCTCGGGGGGCAGCGGCAAGGCCTGCTCTTGAACGCACCTTGAACGCACCTTGTTTTTGAGGGGGAGAACAAGAAAAAAAAATTTTTTTTCCTGTTCTCCCCCTCCTATGGTCCAGTGCGTCCTGTGGTCTGGTGCGTCCTATAGAGTGAAAAATACGTACTTCATTTTCACTCCATCTCTCCAGAATAAGTCTCTGAATGTGGCCCTCGGACCAACTGCTAAGAACCTCTATGACAGCCCTGCTTTGTGTGTCCCCACTGTCTGAGGTCTAGTGAAAGGGGCAGGATCTTTTTGGTGCTGGCACCAAAGCTGTAGGACTCCCTCCCTAGGGAAATCTTCCTTGCTCCTTCCTTGCTGTCTTTCAGATGCCAACCTAAGCCAAGCTAAGAAGACTCCCATCCAATAGGTGTCTAAGAAGATGAATTGGCCTTCGGTTGAAATTCTTTTTTTTATTATTATTATTTAACATAATTGTTACAAAATATAAGCAAAATATTGCAAATACATACATACATACATATATATTTCAAATAAGCACATATATATGAAAAAGGAACAAAAGAGAAAAAAAGAAGAAAAAATAAAGAGGGAAAAAAGAAGAAGAAAAGTTGGAAGAATTTCTTCCAAGTTTATTCTACAAATATCTCAATATGAAAATAATAATAAAATTTCATTGATTGACTTCCATTGCTTACACCACACTTCCTATATTTAAGTAAGATTATTTATTTATCTGTTATTCCGTATTTTTCCCATACAATCTCACGCAAATATTCTAATCAATAAGTTTTCTAAATGTTTCATAAATCTATTCTAAACACAACCTATACCTTACATTTAATCCTTGTCTGGTTGAAATTCTAGCTGCATCCTTTTTATTAATTCAGGGTTATTTTAAGATCAAAGAAGCGCTTCAGTTTAAAGCGCTGCAAATTTAAAACAGGGAAAACAGGCTGAAAAAAACGGGACTCCACATCGCCTTCTGGTGGCACAATGTTATATCGCATATACAGTACATATAAATCACTTTTTCTTTACCAGGCTAGCTGAGTCCAGTGCATTAATGTCGCTTCCTTTTTCGTACTTCCTTTTTCGTACTCTGTGTAAGCAGCCTTGCAGATTTTAAACCCAAGGTGGCTTATAAATATTTTAAGCAGCAATAATAAAAAATAAAATAAAATAATTAATAAATGTATACACTTACGTGATCAGCATAGACTGGTTTTCACGCTCTGTGGGAGGAAGAAGAAGAACACATCATGCCAAGTGGGTCTTAAAAGTGCTATGGGGCTGAATTACAGCTCTACAGTCACTCCAGCTTGATTGTTTCCTGTCTTCCCACAAATTTTGACATTTGGATTTTTTGAAGAGGGCAGGAGGACACAATCCCACTTGCCACTATCCTGAAGCAAGATTCATCTGGTGGTTCCATGGAATGAGGGCGAGTACCATCTTTCCCTCAGAAAGCAAATTGTATTGGGTCAACCTCTGCAGCAGACCTTTCCCCAAACTGGTGCCCTCTGGATGTTAGGTAAAGGTAAAGGGACCCCTGACCATTAGGTCCAGTCGTGGCTGACTCTGGAGCTGCGGCGCTCATCTTGCTTTATTGGCCGAGGGAGCTGGCGTACAGCTTCCGGGTCATGTGGCCAGCATGACTAAGCCGCTTCTAGTGAACCAGAGCAGCAGATGGAAACACCATTTACCTTCCCGCCGTAGCGGTACCTATTTATCTACTTGCACTTTGACGTGCTTTCAAACTGCTAGGTTGGCAGGAGCAGGGACCGAGCGACGGGAGCTCACCCCGTTGCGGGGATTCGAACCACCGACCTTCTGATCGTCAAGTCCCAGGCTCTGTGGTTTAACCCACAGCGCCACCCGCGTCCCATCTGGATGTTGCTGGACTACAATTCCCATCATCCCCTACCATTGACCATGCCAACTGTGGCTGATGGAAGTTGAAGTTCAACACATCCGGGCACCCCCATGTTGTGGAAGGTTGACCTACAGTCTCCCTCGTCTACAGGAACACCGGAAGCTGCCCTAGACTGAGTCAAACCATTGTTCCATTGAGCTCAGTATTGTCTACAGTGTCAAGATTTCTCGAACTTGGGTCTCCAGCTGTTGTTGTTGTTTTTGGACTACAGTTCCCATCATCCCCGACCATTGGTCCTGCTAGCTAGGGATGATGGGAGTTGTAGTCCAACAACAACTGGAGACCCAAGTTTGGGAAAGTCTACAATGACCATCTTGGCAATGGCTCTCCAATATTTCAGGCATGAAGCCTTTCCTAGTCCTACCTGGAGATGCCAGGATTTGAGACTGGGACTTCCTGCATGCCATACACATCCTCTACCACTGAGCTTTGTCTGCTTGAGGTCACTGTGTATGCAACTCTGCAGAGATGTGCCATGTGACCACAGTTCCCCAAAGCAATGGAGGGGTGCAAGGAGGTCCTAGTGGTTTCACGGCTGGTCAGCTCAGCTAGGACAATATCTTGGACCAGTGCTGGAACATAGGAAGCTACCTTATGCTGAGTGAGACCATCAGCCTATCTAGTTCAGCGTTGTCTACACTGACTGGCCGCTGCTCTCTAAAGGTCCTTCCCAGCTCTAACAGAAGGAAGAACCCGGGACATTTTGCCTGCAGTGGATGTGATCTGCCTCTGAGCTTGTGAGCAGAGGTACCAGGGAGGCTGGAGGTCCTTCTCTGTACTCACCCATGAGCATGTCATGGTAGGCATTGTCAGAGATGGAGAAGAGGTGAGGTGGCATCTCTGTGCGCTTCCTGCCCTTATACATCTGGGCCACTCGGGATCCGTAGATGGGCAGCCACTTATAAGGGTTGATGGTGACACAGAAGAGGCCAGAGTAGGTCTGGAAAGAACACAAAACAGCGATTGTATTTTAATATTTTGTTGGAAGCCGCCCAGAGTAGATGGGTTGGGTATAAATAAATTATTATTATTATTATTATTGCTGTTTCAACATAAATCAATGACTTCCCTTCTTCTCTTTCCGTGATTTGTTTTGCATACCACACATCCCTGCATATTTTACATGAACTAAACCATTCAGTAATCCATTGTTACATCCATCAAAACTTATTTACACTGTTGAATTTATCTTAATGCTACTAGCGTTTTTTAAACGAACACAATTTTCACCCATATATTCAGTAAACCTTTTCCAGTCTTCTTTAAACGTACGTTCTACTTGATCTCTTCTTCTATATGCTAAATCTGCAAGCTGCGCCTATTCCATCAATTTCAATTTATATCCTGCCCTTTATCAAAAGATCTTAGGGCAGTGCACAACATTAAGAACATAACTTACACAGCAGCATAATAATAATAATAAACATAATACGCAGCATAATAATAAAATAAACATAATAACAGTCCCCACACATTTAACAGGTAATGGATTACGTAATGGCTAAAGGCCTCAGTAAAGAGGAATGTTTTTGCCTGGCGCCTAAAGACATGTAGTGATGGCGCCAGGCGAGCCTCTCTGGGGAGAGTATTCCACAGTCGAGAAGCCACCTCAGAAAAGGCCCATTCTTGTGTTGTCGCTCTCTGTCTTCAATCTTCTATTTGTTTTATCCAAGGTGAGGGCCAACACATCTTTCTTACTGTCACAGGAAACCCGCCCCCCCAATCATTCAGTTTGTACAAACTTGACACACACACTCACACACTACATACGCTCTGCTTCTGTTATAAATTCATAGAAAATCAACCATACATCGGATCTGCACTGTTCCACTTTTATTTTACTCCATGAAGGAAGGACTACAAAATGGGGAAGGTTTGATACAGGGCAGCCATAATCCCTTGAGCATACCAGCATATACACAGGAGGTCCTGCCCAGTTGCTATGCCAACCCTGATGGTCCTAGACAGAAGACCATCAAGGTCACAAAGAACTTGCATATAGGAGTGGATTCAGCATGGACTGGAACAAAGGACAATGATCAGCTCTTCCCTCTGGGGGCAGGAAACTGCAAACTCTCCTTTGTCACCTGGAAAGTACTCATGGGGAAGGGGGAAAGGAGGAACCAGCCAGGTGACAAGATACTCAGGTTACCTCCACAACTCCCTCAACCCCTCCTTTTTGTGATGTAGTTGTGACATTGTTGTGATGTAGTCTTAGGGGTGTAGTTTGGGGGATTAGTAACTAATAAAAGCTGGGGTCTTCTTTTGTTCTGGGCTTCCATTTTGCTTCATCTTGTTGTGGGTGGGGGTGCTGTTGCGACAGTTTCCAATAAAGGCCAAGCCTACAGGCTGCTGTTTTGCTCCAAATTGTCCTGGTTGGTGTTTTTGTTTTTTTGCCCAAGGGAGCCCTCGGATTCCTCCGTTAAAAGTACCTCATGCAGCTTGACTTCCAAATCTTGCCCTAGGACAGGGGTCTGCAACCTTTAAGACAAAAAGAGCCACTTGGACCCGTTTCCGAAGAAAAAAAAACTGGGAGCCGCAAAACTCATCATTATAAAAATAACTTTTTTGTCACTTTTTTATTATTTCTTTGTTTGACCCCTCAGAATTACTCCTCCTCATAGAAATAAACGTTAAATTAACAAGTTACTTTTGTGTGTGTGTGTGTTCTTCACTCCCCTTCAAAACAGAGACCAGCGTACATGCCCCCTTTCAATGCAGTGACCAGCGTACATGCCCCTTACAATGTAGCGGGCGGGCAGGCGGGAAGGTGACGTCGGGACAGTGCGTGACTAACGCACGCACCGCCCCCATGTGACGTCACAGCCAGTACAGCATCCGCCACAGTGGGGAGTGTCGGGGCGCACAATGCGCCTCCTCCCCTCGCTAGTATCCGCCCCGGAGCCGCGGCAAAGGTGTAAAAGAGCCACATGTGGCTCCGGAGCCGCGGGTTGCAGACCCCTGCCCTAGGAGCTACCTGACTCTCTAGTCTACTGCCTGCAGCACCTGCTTGTCTCAGATGCCCTCACCCATCTTCTCACTTACATAGATCCTCATCAGGACATAACGCTGGCGCAGGTTGTCTAAGACACTGGCTTCGTTCAGGAAGGTCATGTTGGCCATGTCATTGACCTGGTAGAATTTGGGTGGGTTCATCTGCTGGACATCATCCTTCTTAACGGTGACCGTCTGTGGGTAGAGAAGTCACGGTTTAGTGAAAATCTTGAGGCACAGCACCCAAAATTTCCGAAACATGGTGATGTATATGTTCCTTTACTTAACGGTATTTACACGCCCTTTCTGCAGGGCCTTAAATCAATGGTGGAAATGTGAATGTACAGTGGTACCTCTGGTTACAAACTTAATTTGTTCTGGAGGTCCGTTCTTAAGTTGAAACCGTTCTCCTACTGAGGCGCACTTTCGCTAATGGGGTTTCCCGCTGCGCATGCGCCTCCGGCGCACGATTTCCGTTCACATCCTGAGGCAAAGTTCACAACCAGGAGCAGCTACTTCCAGGTTAGCGGCGCTCGTAACCAGAAGCATTCGTAACCAGAGGTACCACTGTACAGTGATAGTTAAGCCATCGAGCGAACACAGCAGAAAAATCCACCATCAGGGAATAAAATCAATCAATCAGTTAGAAAAACTCTCTCAAGTAAGACCCAAAATATTGCAAACTGGTTTTGAAGGCATCCTAACAAAATTGGCCCCATAGAAATCAGGAGCTCATAATCTAATCCTTTGCTTTCGACACTCCTGACTGAGTTGCAATTCCAGGCTCATCCATACTGTTGTTTAGCATGGACAATCGGCTTCATGTACCTCCATTCATTTTCTGCTGTCCATATGACATTCTCCTCCAAACCAATGCCTCTCTTTCCACTTCCAGATTTTCACGGGCCAGGGATATAGTACAGTGGTACCTCGGGTTAAGTACTTAATTCGTTCCGGAGGTCCGTACTTAACCTGAAACTGTTCTTAACCTGAAGCACCACTTTAGCTAATGGGGCTTCCTGCTGCTGCCGTGCCGCCGGAGCACGATTTCTGTTCTCATCCTGAGGTAACGTTCTTAACCCAAGGTAATATTTCTAGGTTAGCGGAGTCTGTAACCTGAAGTGTCTGTAACCTGAAGTGTCTGTAACCCGAGGTACCACTGTACTTCGAAACGTCCAGGGGTCCTTTACTTTTACTTCGAAAAGGTGAGGGCATGAGAAAATCCGGACTGAAGGAGAAGGGCAGGCAGCGATTTGGAGGCGAATTAGTGCAGGGACAGGAAGCTTACATTCCACCTTAAACAACAGTATGGATCGGCTACCAGGCTGTGGTCGCACCATACACTTAAAGCACTTGGCTTCCCCCAAAGAATCCTGGGACTCAGCTACATTTTTAAAGATAAAGCGTTTTATACACTGTGGCACCAGATGGCGCTGTGGAGTCCTGTTTTTCACCAACAGGATTTCCCTGTATGACGTTTACAATGCATTTAGCTTAATAGCTTCTTTGATGCATCCAGCCCTGGAAACTGTAGTTTGTCCCTTATAGAGCTCAATTCCTAGCACCTTTCACAAACTACAGGATTCTGGGGGGAGCCATACGCTTTTAATGGATGGCATTCAGAACCCCAAAGTCTTGGTTGTGGTTGTTGTGTGTGTTTTTTTACATAAATAACCAACTTCTTCATGCAAAAAGGGGTTGCATCTCCTTATCTGCCCAGCCACCCCATCACTTCCCTACAGCTGATGTTCCTTCTCCAGTTCCAAAAGCATTGCCAGGTGTTCATTCCGGCTAAGGAGCAGATCAAAGACTTTGCAAGACCCAGAAATCATCCCTCCTGTCCCACCAAGTCACCTGATTGGTCACCGTCTTCACAGTGACTTGGGTATCCGTCTCGGACTGGATCTCTCCAGCGACAAATCCCTCCTTTTCATCCTTGACCCAGACAGACTTCTTGATATCGTATGGTTTGCTTATGGCCTCGATCCTCTCTTTCTCGCTAGGAGCCAGAAATGGCATAGGATCCACATCATCCCCGCATTCTCCTTTGTATCCGCCAGGCATCTTGGCTCAGGGTTAGGCACAAGGCAGAAGAGGGAAGGAAGAAGAAGAGGCTAGGAAGAGTGTTGTGGGCTCCTGGGCAGGGAAAAATAAAAAGCAGCACACCGTCTCAAGGTTAAAATAAATAAATAGGGGATCTATTAAATTTCTTCTATGTTTTCTTTCCAAGCAGCAGAGGGCTGGCCCATTGGTCCATTTGTTGGTTCTACCTCTCACTCTCTCTGGCGCCACCTGCTGTTGGTCTCCCAGCCTTCTGCCCTACCAGTCCCAAAGGGAACCAGCTGCTACTGGCTCTCAACGCTTAAGCGACGGCGTGGTTTATTTATATACCGTTTTGGGGCACAAAGGTCCCAGAAGCGGTAAACAGCATGTTGCCAAACAAGAAATAAGACAGCCGAAGTAGAACAAACACAATTGATTAATCAAAACAAGAGCCAAAAAATAAAATAGCAAAACCACCAAACACCTACCCCAGCGTTACTGGATAATGATAATAATAATAATAATAATAATAATAATAATAATAATGTATTATTTATACCCCGCCCATCTGGCTGGGTTTCCCCAGCCACTCTGGGTGGCTTTCAACAGAATATTAAAATACAATAGTCTATTAAATAATACTAGTTAACGCCAGTGTTAAGAATAATAGTTAACCCTATGGAGAGAGAATTAGAATAAGGCTTCATGCTTTAGTTTCTTGCGTGTACCGCAATCCAGACTGTACCACAATTCCCTCCCGCCTCCTGCCAGGAACGGCCCGGGAGTACCTACCAGAGAACAGGACACAGAGACACCCCTGATTAGCAAGACACTGGCTGGTTTCTTTTATACCCAAACAACGAGAGTCTTGAAGATATCACTTTCTCCCTATGAGTACCGACAACTTTGCTTAAGAGAAGCCGATTGGCCCAGGATCAGATCCCTCAGGAGAGATCAAGTGTTGCCTCAGTTTCTTGGGGATTTCTTCTTCCTTCTCTTCTTCCTTATAGGGTGTCTTATAAACAGGGCCTTGTGGCTCGAGGGACCGGAGGAGAGGCCGAAATAGAAGCCCTGTCTTGCAGATTACTCTCATTAAAGGCACCGTCTGAGCCGAGGCTCCGTTGCGCCAGGTGAAGGGAGAGACTTGGGTCGGCTAGCGGTGAGAAGGAAGCCAGAGTGAAAGCAGATTTAGACAATGGGTGGCTCATGTCAAGTGAAGTGAGGAGAGACCGAAAAGAGAGATCAATGCAGAATATGCATACAGTGGTACCTCGGGTTACAGACGCTTCAGGTTACAGACTCCACTAACTCAGAAATAGTACCTCAGGTTAAGAACCTTGCTTCAGGATGAGAACAGAAATTGTGCTCCGGTGATGCAGTAGCAGCCAGAGGCCCCATTAGCTAAAGTGGTGCTTCAGGTTAAGAACAGTTTCAGGTTAAGAACGGACCTCCGGAATGAATCAAGTACTTAACCTGAGGTACCACTGTATATAGTCCAGTGCTTGGATTGAAATCGTTTGGTTTATCTTTTTATTTCCTAAAATTTATACACCGCTTGATTGGTTTTCTTATAATTATTTTCAAAACAACAGTTAAAATAAACAACATGGAATGAAGATAAAAAATTGAAAATGTAAACAAAGATAGAAATGTATACTATATCATAAGAATTATCTATACATATATATGCATTTGTAACTTAATATATTTTGTATAAATAAAGTTGGAGCCTGTTTATACAAAATATAGTAGGTTAAATAAATATATGTGTATGTGTGTTGAGATAATAATATACAGTGGTACTTCAGGTTACATATGCTTCAGGTTACAGACTCCACTAACCCAGAAATAGTGCTTCAGGTTAAGAACTTTGCTTCAGGATGAGAACAGAAATCGGGCTCCGGCGGCGCGGCAGCAGCAGGAGGCCCCATTAGCTAAAGTGGTGATTCAGGTTAAGAACGGACCTCTGGAACGAATTAAGTACTTAACCTGAGGTACCACTGTATTACATCTCTTGATTGTAAAAAAAACCCAACACCCTCAAAGCGGTTTACAAAAAGATAAAATGATAAAATCAAGAAAAACGTAAACAATAATTTAAAACATACAAAAAGCTGAAACACTAGAATAGATTAAGATTCACATCAACTTTCTAAGCATTTGGATAGGCTCGTCTAAACAGGAATCATTTTAGCAGGTGCCGAAAGGGGATGATTTTAGTGGTTCCGATATAGCCTGCTATGTTTAAAGTCATTCCATTTGCATGAAAAGATTCATACAGCAATATTTTATATTGAACATTTAAAAGTTGAACCCCGGGGAGAGGTGGAGAACCTGTGGCCCTCTGGACGTTGCTGAACTACAACTCCCATCATCTCATATGCACCAGATTTAGGCAGGCAGTTCCCCTGAACAGGGCGCTGAGCTAAGGGGGCCACAAAACCATACAGCTCCATAATTGAGAAGATGCATTTGGGGGCACCAAATTTTGGCCTCACCCAAGGCGCCAAATTACGAAAGACTACCAAAGTCTCGTCATTGGTCTCATCATTGGCTAAGTGAGCTGGGGCTGATGAGAGCCGAAGTCCAAGAACATCTAGAGGACCACAGGTTCCCCATCCTTGGCCTGGAGGGCTTGTCAGTTATCCACTGTCTTTGGGTCCACCACTCAGAAAACACTGGGTAACCTTTGCTCCTCCAGCCGCGTTTTGAACGGCTAAATGCGCTCTACTGTGTTAGGCTGCAGGGACAGGGTCGTTGAGAAGCTACAACGGTGCTGTTGTACCTGGCTCCTTGCCCTCATTACTCTGATGTTACTCTGCCAAGTGCCCTGCACCTTGTTGCTGCTATATAAATAATCATTAGGGCTGTCGACAGGCTGAAAGCATCGTCTTCAATCAATTGTGTGAGTGTTAGTTACATGTGCCTAAATGTGCAAATGAGCAAAAACAACAATTCTGCGCATCCACAAAGCAATGGACTGTGACCAGGATGAGGAAAAAAGGCTCCCTTCTGGGTTTATCTATAGCTCCATTTCCCCCAGAAAAAGCTGAAGTTCAGCACTGAAACAGAACAAATGACAAATGGGATTTCCATGGATTGTCGTTTGTTCCGATTGAGCACTAAAGAGTGGGTTTTTCAAGGCAAAGGCAGAACCACTTAGGTCATGGGTAGGCAAACTAAGGCCCGGGGGCCAGATCCGGCCTAATCGTTTTCTAAATCCAGCCCGCAGACGGTCCAGGAATCAGGGTGTTTTTACATGAGTAGAATGTGTCCTTTTATTTAAAATGCATCTCTGGGTTATTTGTGGGGCATAGAAATTTATTCACTCCCCCCCCAAAAAATATAGTCTGCCCCCCAAGGTCTGAGGGCAGTGGACCGGCCCCTGCTGAAAAGGTTTGCTCACCCCTGACTTAGATCCATGCCTAAAAAGCATGGGGCAAACAGAAAACTGCTTGGGTTGGGACAAACAGAAGGGTGGATTAACTTTCCTTTCACGGAGGCAGCAACTAATTAGTAGCCCAAATTGACAGGAGAAGGTGCTTCTTCCTTTAGCAAAAGACCAGGAGGAAAAGTCTGGAAGCGGGTCTCGTGCAATTCTTTTAAGAGAGAGGGGTGCGTGCGCCTGTTTAGACTCCGAGATTTTATTAGTCACAGCACAAAATGCAGGAGTTGCTGACTCACCCCTTTGGCCGGGCATCTTAATCCCCAGCTGTTGCATGGAACTGGAATACTCCCTTTGGTATCCTCACCGTGGCAGAGGCTGGATATTGGTCCAAACAAGGGCAGAACTTTCTCTTGGGCTTCTATTTACAGAAGCAGCCCGGGGTTTCTCCAGCAGGGAAAAGGCCTGCAATCCTCCCTCCCTCTTCAAAGAATCATAGGTAGCCCCCCTGCAATGCCGAAATTCTGCCCACAGTCGTCCCTGGGTGGGCTCGAACCACCAACCTTCTGGTTGTTAGCCAGACACACTGACCCATTGCGCCACAGGATGCAGAATTTCCTGGGAGTCGCCCCTCAAAAGCCCACCCGTTGGCTTAAGACCAAGTCATCAAGCTTCCCCCTCACTGGAGATCCAAAATACTGCCTGCATGCTTGCAGCTTGAGTGTATACCTGGTAGTTAGGGATCGGGGGATAAATTAGGCTCCATTCAGATTTAAAGGCCACCCAAGCTGGGTCACACTATCCAAACCAATTCGAGGACTGAAAGGCAACTATCCTTTGAAATCCACACTGCTCCGAATTTTCCAGCGTAGTTGTCTTGTGTCCCGGAATGTATGTCGCGGAGCAAAGTGTGCATAAAGGTAAAGGGACCTCTGACCATTAGGTCCAGTCGTGACCAACTCTGGGATTGTGGTGCTTATCTCGCTTTATTGGCCGAGGGAGCCGGTGTACAGCTTCTGGGTCATGTGGCCAGCATGACTAAGCCGCTTCTGGCGAACCAGAGCAGCGCACGGAAACGCTGTTTACCTTCCCGCCAGAGCGGTACCTATTTATCTACTTGCACTTTGACATGCTTTCGAACTGCTAGGTTGGCAGGAGCAGGGACCGAGCAACGGGAGCTCACCCCGTCGCGGGGATTTGAACAGCCGACCTTCTGATCGGCAAGTCCTAGGCTCTGTGGTTTAACCCACAGCGCCACCCGTGTGTGCATAGAAGCACATGAAGTGTGCATAGAAGCACATGAATTGATGAAAACAGTGCAGAAGGTCGCATTATATTATGGAAAGCTGCTTTTGTAGAAATGGGTATGTTAGCTAGAGAAATTCACACTATAATGTGAATGAATTTTCACGAGGATTTTTTCTTTTTCTTTTAATGCAAGCTGATGTGGAAATATAGAAAACAAAACTTAAGGTTAGAAAACTCAGAAACTGAAATTGTCTGATTTGCCCATACCTTTCCCTTTTTTTCACTGCCTGTAGTCACCCCTTCTCCTCAAATCCAGCTCCTGACCCCACCCTGACTCCATGAAAAATAAATAAATCTAGGGTTGCCAGAGGCTCCTTCAAAGGGCTCCTGTGCCTTTAATAGCTGGGCTGAAATGGGGATCTCAGGAGGTCTAGCAAAAAAGAACAAGGCCGTTGCACCTTTAATAGTAGGGCAGAAGAGGGGATCTCAGCTGGTATAGCCAGCCCACTGAACTGCAGTTGCAGAAGACATGCTTGTTGTTGTTTAGTCGTGTCCGACTCTTCGTGCAGGCCAGGCACTCCTGTCTTCCACTGCCTCCCGCAGTTTGGTCAAACTCATGCTGGTAGCTTCAAGAACACTGTCCAACCATCTCGTCCTCTGTCGTCCCCTTCTCCTTGTGCCCTCCATCTTTCCCAACATCAAGGTCTTTTCCAGGGAGTCTTCTCTTCTCATGAGGTGGCCAAAGTATTGGAGCCTCAGCTTCAGGATCTGTCCTTCCAGTGAGCACTCAGGGCTGATTTCCTTCAGAATGGAGAGGTTTGATCTTCTTGCAGTCCATGGGACTCTCAAGAGTCTCCTCCAGCACCATAATTCAAAAGCATCAATTCTTCGGCGATCAGCCTTCTTTATGGTCCAGCTCTCACTTCCATACATCACTAGTGGGAAAACCATAGCTTTAACTATATGGAAGACATGCTACATCTTGCCAAACCAGCTTCCCTGACCTTCCCTCTGCTACACAGCTTTATTAAAGGGACAAAAGCCCCAGCTGGGTCAGTGGCAGAGCTGCATGCTCTGGTGCCCGGAAGCGGAGAGCAGGTGGGGTTGTGGTGTGCCGCCCGTGGGGCGTGGCGCCGGTGCGGTGGGGGGTGGCCGCAATGGTACCCCCCTCCCCGATGGTGCCAGGGGCGGCACGCTCCCCTTGCCCCCCCTTTCCTCTGCCAGTGACCTGGGTTTCCCCCCCACCTGGCCACTCAAACAGGGCTGTTTCAAACACTTTTTAAAAACCATTGTGGAACAAATCTGGGCTGGATGGATGGACCAATGGCCCGTAGTGGTCTCCCTGGTGCCCCCTTGACTTTGGCCTGCCCTTCTCTCCTCTCAGATGCCAGCAGCTCCAACACTGATGGATATTTGCAAGTTTTTCCAATTAAGTTATCTTAACCTATTTAACTACCGTAAATAGTCTTTGAATTTCCTCCAGTCCTCCTTCTTCTGGTAGCGGACTCAGGACGAAAGGGGGAAACGTGCTAAGAGGAAGGCACGCTTGGCAAACCCTCACCGTGATCAACTCCTACCCAGAAACCATCCAGGCTTAGGATTTAAATATGAAATGTTAGAGAATAACATGTTTAAAGTTAAAAGGAAAAGAAAGAAAGATGTTAAGTGATTAAGTTAATTCTATAAGAAAATTGGTTTTGGAAAACTGTTACACTGAAATCCAGCCAGGGGGATTTGAGGAAGTCATTTAACAATGTTACTAAGATCGGATGAAGTACAATTAAGATGTATGTTTGTTTGTTTGTTTAAAATTTTGGAAAATAAATAAAAATAATTGAAGGGGGAAAAAACCACTGATGGCTATTTGAAACCAGGTGGGCCATTAAAGACAGAAGCACCTAACAGACTCCATGGAAACATAGAACGGACGTCTGCTGTGTAAGAATTGGAGCAAGGTGCAGTCTTGCTAGGAATTGTGCCATCCTTTTCGCCGTTGTGGTTATTACTCTGTATTCATATATACAGGGGAAGAGATGGGCAATTGCTGTCACTGTAAGTCTTCACAGAATGGATGGAAATGTCTAAGAAATGGGAGTAGGGACCTGATTAACATGTTAAGGTCAGGTGTGCAATGAATAAGGTTTGGTAATATATAGGCGGTCCTTCTGCATGAGTTCATAGGACGAATTCCTGACTAGTAGGACTCAGAAGTTTACATTAGTAAGTTTTTCTGTATGTGTACAGAGAGATGGTTTTCTGTTATATGATTATATATTGTTTTTAACAGATGATAGCCAATTTTTGTAAGCTTGAGCCAAGTGGAGATAAAGGCTTTTGACACTGGCACAGGCAATGATTTGAGGGGCAGAAGACTGTTTTTAGTTTATGCAACTGGAGAAATTTGGGTGACTTGGTTTTTTTATTTCACTTTTAAAGCAAAATTATTTGTAGGTTTTAGGCTGAACTCATGCAGAAAGGATGTTGCATAATCAAACAAGCCAGTAGAGAAGACTCCTAAGCCAAAATGCATTTGGAATTTCAATTATCCAAATAATGTTTTGTACATCTTATGCTGAGATTTCAGCATCTAAAACATATGACTATAGGGACATTTTGCATGTTGAACAGAAGTTTTCTTTTATTCAGATCATTGTGTGTTGTGGAGGCATTGTCAGGATAGGTGATGATGAGTTTCTGGATTTAACTATTTCAGCTGTTGCATTGCAGAGACTTCATATTTGGCATTTAGTTTTCTGGATTTCTGGATTCTTCTCTCTTCCTGTCATTTTTTTGTTTTGTTATAAGGTTCCTTTTTCCAATCTTGAGTTCTATTTTTTAAAAAGAGTCCTGAAAATTCATCAGCATTTTATTTATTATTTATTTCATAAAATGTATTCACTGCTTGATTGGAAAAACAAAGCGGTTTACAAAATCTAAAACAGTAAATTCAAGAAAAACTTACAAAACTTCTTTAAAACATACGAAAGATAAAATGCTAGAACATATTAAAATCACCTTGACATTCTAAGCATCTGGATAGGTTTGTCTAGACAGGAATTACCATATTTTTCTGTGTATAAGACTAGGTTTCCCCCCTAAAAAATACTGTCAAAAATTTGGAGGCGTCTTATACACAGATACATCTCCCCCCATTTTCTTAAATTGGAGTCCCCCAAAATAGGGGGCGTCTTATACATGGGGGCGTCTTATAGATGGAAAAATACGGTATTTTTGCAGGCGCCAAAAAGGGTATAGTGAAGACGCCTGCATCATCTCAAGAGGCAGGGAGTTCCGAAGGTTAGGTGCTGCTACACTAAATGATCAGGTTCTTACAAATGCCATACGGGTATTATGTAGTACCCGTAGCTGTGCCCTGTCTGACAATTTTAGTGCTATTTTCTCCCAGTGTACACACTTTTGCATGCAATTTTTTCCTCCGCTCTCTTTCCCCGATATTATGTTTTTACTGTGATTTTATTGGTGTTAGCCGCCCTGAGCCCAGCTCTAGCCAGGGAGGGTGGGGTATAAATAATTTTTTTTATTATTATTAATGCAATGGCCAGAGGTCAGGGATCGTGGGATCTGCCCTCCAGCTACTTTTGCAGGACCTGAGTTGAGTCACTAAGGCTGTGTGGAAACAAAAGACTTTTTTTTGGCAAGCATTTCCAGAGAAATCTAATATTATATTTTTTGAGTTGTCGTAAGGCATGGAGGGTAGGTAAGGAATATAACGGTTGGTAATAATAACAGCACAAAATCTTTTTCATAAGATTTTAGGAAAGCTTTTTTCATAATACAGTAAGATAAAAGAAACTAATCTAAATTAAAAGCAAACAAGAGAGAGAAAGTAGGGTTGCAATATTTCAAAAAATGAAAACCAGGACAAACCCTGATAAGGCAAACAACCCCAAACCCACAATTGTTTGATTGACTTGCCTAAGATCCAGGACAAAGTGCCACCTTCTGGCAATTCTTCCCGGACGCCAATTCCGCCTTTGAAATCCTGGTGATGTCTGGGAAAATCCAGATATATGACAGCCCAAAAGAAAGAAAGAAAATACATAGTCCTCTCTCATGGGCAATTCCCTTGTCATGCACAGAAAGTGGTGGACCCTCTCAGCTCTTACCTGAGAGCTTCCCTTTCTCCTCCCAGTCTCTCCCCCTGGGATGAAGATGATGATGATGATGATATTTATACCCCGTCCATCTGGCTAAGTTTCCCCAGCCACTCTGGGCAGATCCCAACAGAATATTAAAAGCACAATAAATCAAACATTAAAAACGTCCCTAAACAGAGCTGCCTTCAGATGTCTTCTAAAAGTCAGATAGTTGTTTATTTCCTTGACATCCGATGAGAGGGCACCACCACCGAGAAGGCCCTCTGCTTGGTTCCCTGTAACCTCACTTCTCACAGGGAGGGAACCGCCAGAAGGCCCTCTGGGCTGGACCTCAGTGTCCGGGCAGAAGGATGAAGGTGGAGATGCTCCTTCAGGTATACTGGGCTGAGGCCATTTAGGGCTTTCAAGGTCAGTGCCAACACTTTGAATTGTGCTCGGAAACGTGCTGGGAGCCAATGTAAGTCTTTCAGGACCGGTGTTATATGGTCTTGGTGGCCACTCCCAGTCTAGCTGCTGCATTCTGGATAAGTTGTAGTTTCCGGGTCACCTTGAAAGGTAGCCCCACATAGAGCGCATTGCAGAAGGTCGTCCCACATAGAGCGCATTGCAGAAGGTCGTCCGTTCCCCGCCTCTCGCCCTGCCTTCCGCCAAACATCCACCACCTTCCTGTGTGATGCTAGCACAAAATCAAATTTAATTCTGCCAGCAACGGTCTGGAACACCCAGGACGAAATCTGTCTCTGGTCCCTTAGGTGCAAGGCAGCCCTGTCGGCCATTTTGTGTCTCCTGAAGACAGCTGTGAAGATGCCAGTCACCAGTGAGCAACAGAAGCGGATGCAGAAATTCAAAAACAGAGGCAAAAACCTTCTAGTAAGTATGGGGAATCTTACCAGGACTGAGAAACGAGTCTCTAGCTAGGCCGGCTGATGGATTAGGAAGCAGCAGGGCATGTGCAGTAAAGGAAGCAGAGCAGAAATGCAAACTTGTGCTTTGCACATGGAATCTGCAGACCGGGAATCTCCATATAATTGAGACAGTAGGAACTGCAACAGAATGTTGCAGCATAGTGTTCAAGTTGGTGCTAGAATTACTGGTAGGGGCTTGATTCCCCCCTCCCTCTTCAAAACAGTTGGAGGCCCCTCCCTAGATTAGACTGCTGAGATGAAGGCCCTACAATGCGTACACCTGAGACTTGGCCCTGTCATCACGGCCACCCCAAGACTGTAACACTTACTTTTGTTTTTTTTAGCAATACTTGACTGTCTCCCTTTCTAGGAAATGCGAAGGCAAAGAGTGGAAACGGAAGTTGAACTTCGCAAGGCGAGGAAGGACCTGCAGATCTTGAAGCGGAGGAACATCAGTGTCAGCACAGAAGATGACCTCACACCAGAGAAGAACCAGGTATGCACACAGAATCATGGAATTGTAGAGTTGGAAGGGACCCTGAGGGTCATCTAGTCCAACCCCTGAAATGCAGGAATCTCAGCTAAAGCATCCATGACAGATGGCCATCCAACCTCTGCTTAAAAACTTCCAAGGAAGGAGAGGCCACCACCTCCCAATAGAATCCATTCCACTCTCAAACAGCTCTTACTGTCAGAAAGTTTTTCTGTATGTTTCATTGGAATCTTGTTTCTTGTCACTTGAAGCCATGGGTTCGAGTCCTACCCTCCAGAGCAGGAGAAAACAAGCTTGCTCCATGTGACAGCCCTTGAGATATCTGAAGATGGCTATCATATCTCCTCTCAACTGAGAGGAAGTATATTCTGAGAGGAGTGGCTAACTTGTGGCACAGCAGATATAGTTGGACTCAAACTCCCATCAGCCTCAGCCAGCATGGCCAAGGATGATGGGAGTCATAGTCCAACACATCTGGACTGGAAGGCCACTGGTTAGCCTACCTGCTCTATAGCAGCAGCCTTCAGAATTTCCAGATGTGACCTCCGACTTTGGTCTAAATAGGTAATAGGAGACCCACTACCGTATATTTGTATGGTGATGGGGCTGCTGCTGCAACCCACTTTAATGATAATAATAATTTTATTATTTATACCCTGCCCATCTGGCTGGGTTTACACAACCACTTTAGATCAGGATGCAACCCAGTTGTTGTTGTCGTTCCTGGCCAGAGCAACCAAAATGATCAAGGGGGTGGAGCTACTTCCCTTAGGAGAAAAGCTTGTAGCAGTTGTGACTGATCCTTCTAGAGAAAAGGCAAGTCAGAAGCACCTCGACAGAAGTTTATGGTAAGGTAAAGGTAAAGGACCTCTGCATGGTTAAGTCCAGTCAAAGGCGACTATGGGGTTGCGGCGCTCATCTCGCTTTCAGGCCAAGGGAGCTGGCGTTTGTCCGCAGACAGCTTTCCGGCTCATGTGGCCAGCAGGACTAAACTGCTTCTGGTGCAACAGGACACCGTGACGGAAGCCAGAAGCACAGAAACGCCGTTTACCTTCCCGTCGCAGCGGTACCTATTTATCTACTTGCACTTTGACGTGCTTTCGAATTGCTAGGTTGGCAGGAGCAGGGACCAAGCAACGGGAGCTCACCCCATCATGGGGATTCAAACCACCAACCTTACGATCAGCAAGCCCAAGAGGCTCAGTGGTTTAGACCACAGCGCCACCCGCGCCTGAACGCGAGATGAGCGCCGCAACCCCAAAGTCTTTAGAAGTTTATGGAACCATGCATGAAATGGAGAAAGTTGACTGAGGAGGTTTTTCTCCCCCTCGTAACTTTAGAATTGGTGAGCCTCCGAAAAAGCTGGAGGGCTGAGAACAGATAAAAGATGGGACTTCTTCATGCAACTCATGATTGAACTATGGAACTCGCTGTCGTAAAGTAGTGATCCTGTGATCAAGTATTGCTGGGTGGGGCCCCTCAGGCAGGGAGCAACTCCCTCGGCCAGTAAAGTGAGATGAGTGCCGCAACCCCAGAGTTGACCACGACTGGACCTAACAGTCAGGGGTCCCTTTACCTTTAGCTGATACCAGAGAAGAAGCCAATAGAGCCTGGTAACCCATTTTGGTGCCTGTGTGTGATTGATTAGTAGCTTGGAGGGAGAACTCTGGAAAGCGACCCCCTCCTTGACACTTAGATGGCTTTATAAGAGGATTGGGCAAATCCCTGGAGGAGAAGGTTGTCCATGACAACTAGTTACAACAGATTCCAACCTACCCAAGTTACCATGGCTAGTGTGGTGTAGTGGTTAAGAGCGGTAGTCTCGTAATCTGGTGAACCGGGTTCGATTCCCCGCTCCTCCACATGCAGCTGCTGGGTGACCTTGGGCCAGTCACACTTCTCTGAAGTCTCTCAGCCTCACTCACCTCACAGAGTGTTTGTTGTGGGGGAGGAAGGGAAAAGGAGAATGTTAGCCGCTTTGAGACTCCTTCGGGTAGTGATAAAGTGGGATATCAAATCCAAGCTCCTCCTCTTCTTCTTCTTCTTCTTCTTCTTCTTCTTCTTCTTCTTCTTCTATGCCCCAAGTGACCATGTCTTGCTTGCTGGCTTTCCATTGAGACATCTGGTTGGCTACTTTGAGAACAAGATGCTGGACCATTGGCCGGATTCAGTAGGCTGGTCTTGTGGTCTTTGTCATGCCTGATTCATAATTCCCTTCTTCCCTAACCCAGGTTGCTCAAATTCCTTTGGAGGAAATAGTCGAGGTGCTGAAATCAGACGATCAACATCTTCTTCTCAAGGCAACCATGTCCATCAGGTACGTGAAGGCAAAGCTGATTCTTCTAACACCGCTTTCCCAATTCCAGTGCCCTTTGGAATATTGTTGGGACTACACCTCCCAGCCAGCAAGGCATGATGGGAGTTGTGGTCCAGCAACATCTGGAGGACCACAGGTGAGCTGCCACTGTTTTAAGCTCTTCCCTAGTACCTCTGCTGGGATTGCTAAGCCTTCTGAAATATCTTGGATGGCAAGGCAGGGCAAAGGTTTTCTTGCCACAGCTGCAGAGTCCCAGTCTGTTCTGCTACCCAGCAGAACCGAACGAAGCTTACAGATGAGCTGAGATGTAATAAGGGAGAGATGGAAGGAAGTCGAAATCGCAAAGGAAGGCTTCAAGATTACCTTAGAAGATTGGAGAACTGAGCCCCAACTAACAAAATGAATTTTGATAGAGACAAATGTCAGGTTCTGCACTTAGGTAGGAAGAATCAGATGCACAAATGTAAGATGGGAGACACCTGACTTGCCAGTAGTACATGTGAAAAGGGTCTAGTGGGTCTTAGTAGACACCAAGCTTAACATGAGTCAACAGGGTGATGCAGCAGCAAAAAAGTTAATACTATTCCAGGTTGCATCACCAGAAGTATATAGTCCAGATCAAAAGAAGTCAAAGGTACAGGTAAGGGAACCCCTGACCACAACAAAGAAGTCATAGTACTGCTCTATTCTGCCTTCATCAAACCACACACCTGGAGTCCTGTGTCCAGTTCTGGGAGCCACAATTTGGGAAGGATGTTGACAAGCTGCAGAGGAGAGTGATTAAGATGATCAAGGGTCTGGAAACTAAGCCTTAGGAGGAGCAGTTGAGATAGTTGGGCATGTTTAGCTTGGATAGGAGGAGACTATATTTAAAGGGTTGTCACATGGAAGACGGAGCAAGCTTGTTTTATCCTGTTCTGGCGGGTAGGACCTGGACCAACAGAATCAAGGGAAATTACCTCACTGCATTTGAAGTCGCCAATGTATATTGTTTCTGCAACAGTGTGCGGCCTCAGCTTGAAATCCTGTATATGTAGACTTTGTATTCCCTGACCTTTGAATCTGTCGTGGTTCTACTGGCATTGCAAAATCAGGAGCAGTAGAAGTTAACTGGGAGTGCCCTGGTAGCTCTCTGGGAGAGCAACAAAGGTTTCTGATGCTGAGTTGTTTACCAATAGCTACAATTGAAAAGCTTTCCTCTCTCCCCCTCCCCAAATTAAATTGCTGCAGAAACAATGAAAGGGAAAACCAGAAGTGGAATTTAGTGTGGACGGATTGATGGACTTCTTTTTGGTGCTGATTACAAAATTACTGGGCTGAGCTTGTGTTGGCCTTACGGAGGCACTCTGTTCAGCCAGCTACTATTTTGCTCATGGTTCTGGTTGCCGGATATTGGGACTTCAGGTTTGTTTGTCTTTAAAAAGTGTGTCCTGCAAGCCTGAAGTCAGCCGACCTGTGCTAAATAGTTGATTAAGGCTCTCATCCATCTCCCCATCCACAGGAAACTACTCTCTCAACATAAGAACCCTCCCATTGACCAAGTCGTTGAAGCTGGAGTCATTCCTAAACTCGTGGACTTTTTGTATCATCACGACGCTCCAAGCTTGCAGCTAGAGGCTGCTTGGGCGCTCACTAACATTGCTTCTGGGACACCTGAGCAGACCAGAGCGGTAGTGGAGGCCAATGCTGTGCAAGGCTTGATAGTCATCTTGTCTTCTCCAAAGATGCATATCTGTGAGCAGGCTGTGTGGGCCTTGGGGAACATAGCAGGTAAGTGGCGGTGCTTTTGGATTTCCAAGATGGCAGCCAGTGAACTGCTGGGTCTTGGTCAGTGAGAGCCAAACCGTCAACATTTGGGGGAGCCAACAAGTAGTAGACCATCAACATGCCAGGCTAGATCAGTCATAAAGGCAGGCAATCCCAGTTCAAGGGGCGCTTGCCCATGCTGGAACCCAGTTCTCTTGTGACTGGTTCCCAACACAGGGTGCCCAGAACATTCTAGGGTCCACACGTAACTTCATGTGGAGACTTCTTGGTCCATCCTGCCTGGGCAGCAGATAACCTTATGGCTTTCCCAGGTGCACAATGAAGTGAACTAGGGGAGGGTTGCAATTCTTGTTATTTATTTGATTTGTATACCGCAGGTTGCCGGGTAGTGGTTCACAACATAAAAATACAAAATGAGAACACAAAATAAATAACACAAACTAATAATGCCCCTTCCACAAACACATTTAAAAGGCCATAGAATGTCCCATATTGGGGGGGGGGAATTGTGTTCATTTAAAAATACTGGTAGCATTATGATAAATTCAACAGTGTAAATAAGTTTTGATCGATGTAATAAGGTGAAAAAGGTAAAGATAAAGGACCCCCGGATGGTTAAGCCCAGTCAAAGGCGACTATGGGATGGTGGCGCTCATCTTGCTTTCAGGCCGAGGGAGCCGGTGTTTGTCCACAGGGACTGAGCAACGGGAGCTCACTCTGTCGCGGGGATTTGAACCGCCGACCTTCCGATCGGCAAGCCCAGGAGGCTCTGTGGTGGATTGTTGAATGGTGTAAAGGGTAAAGGGACCCCTGCCCATTAGGTCCAGTTGTGGCTGACTCTGGGGTTGCGGCGTTCATCTCGCTTTACTGGCCGGGGGAGCCGGAGTACAGCTTCCGGGTCATGTGGCCAGCATGACTAAGCCGCTTCTGGTGAACCAGAGCAGCGCACAGAAACGCCGTTTACCTTCCCGCTGGAGCGGTACCTATTTATCTACTTGCACTTTGACGTGCTTTCAAACTGCTAGGTTGGGAGGAGCAGGGACCAAACAACGGGAGCTCACCCCTTCTTGGGGATTTGAACCACCGACCTTCTGATCGGCAAGCCCAAGAGGCTCAGTGGTTTAACCCACAGCGCCACCCGCGTCTGTTGAATGCTATAGTTCATGTAAAATATCCAGGGATGTATGGTATGCAAAGTGAACCACCGAAAGAGAAGAAGGGAAGTCATTGGTTTAAAATTATTTAAATGAATATTTTGAAATGTCATTTAGAATATATATATATATATATATATATATATATAGCCATAGAATATGTCAATCCACCAGAGGCCTGGTTATAGAGAAACGTTTTCACCCTAAAGGTTTGTAGTGAAGGTACCAGGCGAGCCTCCCTGGGGAGAACATTCGACAAGCGGGGAGCCACCATGGAAAAGGTGCATTGACTCTGGCGCCACCTGCTGTTGGTCTTCCTCCTCTCTGTCCCATCAGTGCCAAAGGAAACCAGCCGCCACGGATGGTTCAGGGAGAGATGACCGTGTTTCGCTATTTTCACCCACCCGGAGAGTAACTACCATTTCCAATGCTTTATCCTACGTAGGTGACGGCCCACAGTATAGAGATGTGCTGATCAGCTTCAATGTAATCCCTCCCCTCCTGTCCTTGGTGACACCTTGCACTCCGGTATGTTTCTGCTTCCGTCTGGATAGATAGATAGATAGATAGATAGATAGATAGATAGATAGATAGATAGATATGGCTCTCTGGAGCTGAGAAGACCGGTTAATCCATGGGTAGGCAAACTAAGGCCCGGTGGCCAGATCCAGCTCAATCGCCTTCTAAATCAAGCTTGCGGACTGTCCGGGAATCAGTGTGTTTTTACATGAGTAGAATGTGTGCTTTTATTTAAAATGCATCTCTGGGTTATTTGTGGGGCATAGGAATTTGTTCTCCTCTCCCCCCAAAAATATAGTCCGGCCCCCCACAAGGTCTGAGGGACAGTGGACTGGCCCCCTGCTGAAAAAGTTTGCTGACTTCTGGGTTAATCCCTTGAGATAACCAGTTAATCCCTTGACCTATGCAGCTGATGAATAGAAGAGGATAGGCTTGAATTAGTGGGAGAGACCTGAATGAAATCAACCCACTGCACCCTTGACTTGGCAAATCATGATCTCCCTCTGGAACAGAGTTCGTCTGCTAAGTCTGTCATTCAAGAACTGGCTGGATACAGCCATTGGTAGCTAATGGGAATACAAGAGCTCAAGAGCTGGGTGCAAGACATTGCAGTTTCTAGAACTATTGCTCAGTAGGCCAGGGATGGGAAGCCTTTAACCCTCCAGATCCTGCTGTATTCCCACTCCCAACATCCCCAGCTAGCTTGACCAGCAGTCAGGGATGATGTAATCTGTAGTCTAACAACCTCTGGAAGACCAGAGTTGAACCAATTCTTGTTCTAAGGCTTGTTCTATTCCTTGAGCTTATCCATGGCCCTGGAGTTCTGTTTCCCCACTCTGGTTTCAGCCAATGGTTTCCTTGGACATGATTCTGATTTTCCAGGTTGGGTTCCTGCGCAACATCACATGGACGCTGTCCAACCTCTGCAGAGGCAAAAACCCGTATCCTCCCATGGGAGCTGTGCAGCAGATGCTCCCCATGCTCATGAACCTTCTGCAGTACGACGACGAGGGCATCCTTGCAGACGCCAGCTGGGCTTTCTCTTACCTGACGGACGGCTCCAATGACCGCATCCATGTGGTGGTGGAGGTTGGGGTGCTGCCGCGGCTGGTGCAGCTCTTGGCCTACGCAGACCTGCCAATCCTGGTAAGTAAAGGTAAAAAAAGGTAAGGTAAAGGACCCCTGGAGGGATGCGGGTGGCGCTGTGGTCTAAACCACAGAGCCTAGGACTTTCCGATCAGAAGGTCGGCTTTTCGAATCCCCGGAACGGGGTGAGCTCCCGTTGCTCGGTCCCTGCTCCTGCCAACCTAGCAGTTCGAAAGCACGCCAGTGCAAGTAGATAAATAGGTACCGCTCCAGCGGGAAGGTAAATGGTGTTTCCGTGCGCTGCTCTGGTTCGCCAGAAGCGTCTTAGTCATGCTGGCCACATGACCCAGAAGCTCTCTCGGCCAACAAAGTGAGATGAGCACCGCAACCCCAGAGTCGTCCACGACTGGACCTAATGGTCAGGGGTCCCTTTACCTTTTTAAAGGGCCCCTGGACGGTTAAGTCCAGTCAAAGGCGACTATGGGGTTGCAGCGCTCATCTTGCTTTACAGGCCAAAGGAGCCAGCGTTTGTCCACAGACAGCTTTCCGGGTCACGTGGCCAGCAGGACTAAACCGCTACTGGCGCACCGTGATGGAAACCAGAGTGCACAGAAATGCTGTTTACCTTCCTGCTGCAGTAGTAACTGTTTATCTACTTGCACTGGCGTGCTTTCGAACTGCTAGGTTGGCAGGAGCTGGGATAAAGCAATGGGAGCTCACCCTGTTGTGAGGATTCGAACCACCGACCTTCTAATTGGCAAGCACTAGATGCTCAGTGGTTTAGACCACAGCGCCACCTGCGTAAGAGGCGTTTAGGAAAAGCAGTGCCACATAGTCTTGCTGGCTACTGCTAAATATATTTCTCCCTTTCCCTCGATGGCACAGGTCATCTGTTGGGATGGGCCAGAAATTCAGTTCAGCTCACATCCCAACAACACGAGAACAGAAACACAGCCTTGCTTTGAAACCTGCACTTCTCTGAATTTTACAATGCAGGTCTCCGGCCAAATAACGAGTACAATAATGCAAATATTGGGGTATTAAGATGCAAATATTTCTTACGATAATGCATCACAGTGTTTCTGAAGCTTGGGTCGCCAGCTGTTGCTATGCTACAACTCCCATCATCCCTAGCTAGCAGGACCCAGTGATCAGGGATGATGGGAGTTGTAGTCCAACAACACCTGGTGACACAAGTTGAGAAACACTGTATTGTTTTGTATGCGTAACACACAAAATATATTGCACTGGGGGAAATAGCCTGCAAAAGCATGTCAATCGAGAGAACTTAGCACTAAGATGTGGGTGAATTTTTTATTTTTTTATTTTTATATACATTTTTATTGGTTTTTTAACATATCATTTTCAACAATCCTTTAACATAGCTTCTTATCTTATACAATATTTTAGACTTCCATCAACAACCTCTGATGATTTCCCATTCTTTATCACTTATTCTTCATTTCTTAACTTCTCTATTACTCTTAATTATCATTAACTGATAATTCTCTTCATAGTCTTTCTTGCAATATTTCAAATAGTCCTCCTTACAGAACTTCCTACTAGCGTAATCTGTTCATTACAATTGCTTTTCAAATAATTCATATATTTGTGGGTGAATTTTTTAAGGAAAAATAATTCACAAATAGGGACGCGGGTGGCGCTGTGGGTAAAACCTCAGTGCCTAGGACTTGCCAATCGTATGGTCGGCGGTTCGAATCCCCGCGGCGGAGTGAGCTCCCGTCTTTCGGTCCCAGCTCCTGCCCACCTAGCAGTTCAAAAGCACCCTTAAGTGCAAGTAGATAAATAGGTACCGCTTTATAGCGGGAAGGTAAACGGTGTTTCCGTGCGCTGCGCTGGTGCTGGCTCGCCAGAACAGCTTCGTCACGCTAGCCACGTGACCCGGAAGTGTCTCTGGACAGCGCTGGCCCCCGGCCTCTTAAGTGAGATGGGCGCACAACCCTAGAGTCGGACACGACTGGCCCGCACGGGCAGGGGTACCTTTACCTTTACCTAATTCACAAATGCATGTGGAGAAGATTGGAAAAATGAGAGCTTGAGAGGAACTTGCATGCACAAATCCATCCAACCATCCCTGTATTTGTGAGTTATGCTCAGAATACTGGTGGCGTCTCCAGCACTCCTGGTTAATCTATACTTTTTCTGCATTTTGTTTTTTGTTTCAGACTCCAGCTCTCCGCACTCTGGGCAACATCGTCACTGGCACAGACGAGCAGACGCAGATGGCCATCGACGCTGGTGTGCTGTCTGTCTTGCCACACCTCCTGCACCACCCTAAGCCATCCATACAGAAGGAGGCCGCCTGGGCTTTGAGCAACATTGCAGCAGGGCCCAGCAGCCAGATACAGCAGCTCATCACTTGCGGCCTCCTGCCTCCCCTGGTGGAGCTGCTGGAGAAGGTAACGTTTCGCATTGTCCTGGGTTCCCTTGCTCAGGCTGGGGAACGCTGCCGGTAATTGCTAAATGTTGGTGGAAGGGTGTGTTAAGACAAGAGGCAAGACACAGCGATAACAGCAAGAACCTTTATTGAACTACAAAACTGGGAAATGGGCAAAACAACTGCTTATACAGTGGTACCTCCGCTTTGGGTTACAAACACTTCAGGTTACAAACTCCGCTAACCCAGAAGTAGTAGCCAGGGTTGTGAACTTTGCCGCAGGATGAGAACGGAAATCGTGCGCCGGCGGCACAACGACAGCGGGTGGCCCCATTAGCAAAAGCACACCTCAAGTTAAGAACTGTTTTGGGTTAAGAACGGACCCCCAGAATGAATTGCCGTATCCATAAGACGGACCTGACCATAAGACGCACCTAGTTTTTAGAGGAGGAAAGGGGGAAAGCCCCTTTTTTTGAGGATCAGCTCAAAGTTGTGCAGCTTCTTTTGCAAAGGGGAAAAGCCCCTTTTTTGAGGATCAGCTCAAAGTTGTTGAGCTTACTTTGCAAAGGGAAAAAATCCTGTTTTTAAGGGGTTCAACTCACAGTTCTGCAGCTTCTTTAGGAAAGGAAAGGGAGCCGTTTCTACAGTTTCCAGACAGATAATCTAATCAGCCAGTCACATGTCGCTGGGGAAACAAACAGCCTCCGTCTGCAGAACATTCAACAATGGAGGCCTGGGAAAGGGGCCGGGGCCGGAAAGGGAGCCAGCGATTGACCACACATTCGCTCCATAAGACGCACAGACATTTCCCCTTACTTTTTAGGAGGAAAAAGTGTGTCTTATGGAGCAAAAAATACGGTAAGTTCGTAACCCCAGGTACCACTGTATACATTCCTGAAAGCCTGGGACACTCCCACTCCCCCCGTGATTGGCTGTCTAAACTTCCAAGCTGCGAATCACAACTCAGAGTTCAAGGGCCAATGGCAGAGGCCCCAGTCTTGAAATGTTCTGTGATTGGACATCATGTATCGAATCGGAACACAGGAGCTCAGAATCCTTAGTCCAGACTCAAGCTCAGGCAAGCACAGACCACTGAATACATAACACCGAGTACACACAGAAAAGGGTTGCCCTTCCTGAGAATCTGCATTCCCCTCCACCTTAAATGAAAGAAGAATGTCCTTATGGTATCATATCTGTTTAGGGGAATGTGAAAATCTCTGGAACTGGAGGGTACTTCTGCATGACTCTTACCCCTGCCCATGACGTGACTGCCAAACCCATGCAAGTTCTTAAATATTACACAGGTGACATCTATTGCACTGTTTTCGATGGCAGCTCTGCTAAAAGCTTTTCTGATTAGGCAAGGCTATCCAGGCATGTTGTTTAATTATGTACAGATCTTGCTTTTAAAAAGCAACAGTCGACTCTATGTATTTTGATACTTTAACAAGCAAATGTAATAAATTATGTTGACTTTATTTGAATTTTTATGAATATTATACATTTTATGAAAACTGCTTAGTGCAAAAGTGGGGAACTTTTGGCCTTCCAGGTGTTGCTGAACTACAAATCGAAAAAAAGCCTAGCCCAGTGACCAGGGATGATGGGAATTGTAGTCCAACAAACAGCTGGAGACCCAAGTTTGGGAAACACTGATCTAGAGGGCCAAAGGTTTCCAAATCTGATTAGGCAGTATAGAAGTCTTGCTAAACGAAAATAAATGCATGTTTTGTATAAATGCCTTATTTATAGTAAGTGGTTTCTGCTTTCGTTGGGGTGGGATAGGTGAGAGTCCTGCTATCAGCTGCTGCATGCTGAGTGCTGTTCACTGTTAAATTACAGTGTTACCCCGGATTAAGAACTTAATTCGTTCCGGAGGTCCGTTCTTAACCTGAAACTGTTCTTAACCTGAAGCACCACTTTAGCTAATGGGGCCTCCCGCTGCCGCCGCGCTGCCGCCGCCACACGATTTCTGTTCTCATCCTGAAGCAAAGTTCTTAACCCAAGGTACTATTTCTGGGTTAGCGGGGTCTGTAACCTGAAGTGCCTGTAACCTGAAGCATCTGTAACCTGAGGTACCACTGTACTAGAACAGGCTGATCTGCAGCCGTCTTGTATTCACTTGCCTGCCCATCCTTCCCCACCTTCAACAGGGAGACATCAGGGCCCAAAGAGAGGCTGTGTGGGCGGTTGCCAACTTCACCACTGGAGGGACGGAGCAGCAGGTGGAGGAAATGGTCCAGGCGGGGGTCCTTAAACCTCTGCTGAACTTGCTGGCTATCAAAGATGCCAAAATTATCCTCGTCGTCTTGGACAGCATCTCTAGTTTCTTCCTGGTAAGTGTGTGTGTTTTATCGCTGCTTCTTTGGTAAGCTTCCTGGGAGAACTGATATTGGCGGGGCGGGGGGGTGGAGAGACAGGCAGATGTCTGGAGCAGGTCAGCAATAACTCACCAGGTGTCCGTGAAGTTAACTCTTTATTCAAAGAAACCAAACAGCTCAGGCCTAGTGAGCACAGCAACTCTTCCCAGTAGTACATCTTGCCCCAGTGAAGCAGGTCAGAAGGTCTCCACGTTCCCACACCTCTCTAAATCTACTTCTCTGGTTTTCCCTCAAGCAATCTGTTGCTTCTTCATCTTGCCTGTCTTTGCTCGGCTGTCGTCTTACCTCTTCAGGTTCTTGGAGACCGGGGGCCGGGGAGCGGAGCTTGTTGTAGCAGGAGGGAAAGTCACCCACGACTCTTCCCCAACCTGACTCATCTCTTTCTCCCGGCCTCCTTCCTCTCCTGCTTCTGCCTCTGATTCTGGACTGCTCTCTGCCACAGAGTCTCCCTGCTCACAAAGCCCTGTTACTTCTTCAGCTTCCGACACCTCCTCTTCCCAGGCTTCTCCCTCTGACCGCTCCTCATTGTCCCACCACCTCTCCTCTGGCTCTGAGCCTTCTTCCCTTGAAGGTTCACCAGTTGGTTCCTCCCACCCTTCCTCCGCATCCAACCAGTCCAGAACAACTGAGCAGCGTTCTAACCTGGAATCGATGCTGTTGCAGGAAGTACACAGTTTTTCCTCTTTGGCACAGGGTTGCAGGCAGCTCAGTAGTAGAGAATCTGCCTTGCATCCAAGTTCATCCCCTCGCATCTCCTGGCAGGGCTTTCCACCTGGAAAAATAGGGGGTCTGCTGCCAATCAGTGTAGACAATACTGAACTAGATGGACCCTGCATTGTATCCCAATATTAGGCTGCTGAGAAGCTGGGTGCAACGCAGAAGCTGTGCCTTTTGGTGGAAGAGCTTGGGGGCCTGGAGAAGATCGAAGCCCTCCAGACTCACGAGAACACTTTTGTCTACCGAGCTGCCCTGGGCCTCATTGAGAAATATTTTCCTGACAACGTAAGTAGCTGCTGGCATTGGTCTCCCTGCACATTTTGGAAGGTCCAGCATCTGAGCAGAGAGAGTTGAGGGCACTGCAGCTGGGTAATTCCTGCCTTCGCCCTAAAGATTTTATTTACTTAATGGAAACATAGCAAAGCCCAAAAATAACCTTACACAAAAGGAAGGGGAGAAATTAGTGAAAACTAGAAATATCAGAAGGGACGCGGGTGGCGCTGTGGGTTAAACCACAGAACCTAGGACTTGCTGATCAGAAGGTTGGCGGTTCAAATTCCCGCAATGGGGTGAGCTCCCGTTGCTCGGTCCCTGCTCCTGCCAACCTAGCAGTTTGAAAGCACCTCAAAGTGCAAGTAGATAAATAGGTACCACTCCGGCGTTTCCGTGTGCTGCTCTGGTTCGCCAGAAGCGGCTTAGTCATGCTGGCCGCATGACCCGGAAGCTGTACGCTGGCTCCCTCGGCCAATAAAGTGAGATGAGTGCCGCAACCCCAGAGTCGGCCACGACTGGACCTAATGGTCAGGGGCCCCTTTACATTTACCTAGAGATATCAGAATTCCGTAATCGTATTCCCTTCTATCCTAGGCATGTCATAATGGAGTGAATCGGGAACAGTTGGGCAATGGGCATTTTTATGCTGCTTTTCCCCAATAAAATGCAACAACAACAACAATAATAATAAATTTTTATTTGTACCCCACCCTCCCTGGCCAGAGCTGGGCTCAGGGCAGCTAACATAATATAGCCTTGTCTTTACATGCCAATCTAGCTGGGGTAGTACAAGAGGTTGCCAGTGCAGAGAAAAAAGTGAGCCTTGCTTTTCATAATGCAACCGTGACATTTTCTCTCCCTCCTCTTGTTAGAGTCTGTCACCAAGAACTTAGCACGAAACGGGCTTGCAGTTCCACAGCAGAACTTGGTCACAGAACTTCTTTTCGTTCCAAACGCAAACATGCACACATTTTCCCATAGGTAAAGGTAAAGGGACCCCTGACCGTTAGGTCCAGTCGTGGCTGACTCTGGGGTTGCGGCGCTCATCTCACTTTACTGGCTGAGGGAGCCGGCGTACAGCTTCTGGGTCATGTGGCCAGCATGACTAAGCTGCTTCTGGCGAACCAGAGCAGCGCACGGAAACGTCGTTTACCTTCCCGCCGGAGCGGTAGCTATTTATCTACTTGCACTTTGATGTGCTTTCGAACTGCTAGGTTGGCAGGAGCAGGGACCGAGCAACGGGAGCTCACCCCTTCACAGGGATTCGAACTGCCGACTTTCTGATCGGCAAGTCCTAGGCTCTGTGGTTTAGCCCACAGCGCCACCCGCGTCCCCACACATTTTCCCATAGGCTCTATTAAAAAGTTCCCCAGTTAACAGGACAGCAGGATTTAAAGGAGCCCCCTTGAAGCTGACGTATCTAAGTTTGAATAATAGTTCCCACCCATGAGAGAAGGCGTTGGCCTCCTCACCGCCCTGCCCTGACGAAATACAGATATCGCAAACCAAAGTCCACCTCTTGCTTCGAAACAATTGTTTAAATGTGTACACTCGAGACAGCCAGCCAGTGACAAGCGGCACAATTCATTGGCTAAGATTTCTTCAGTTGGGTGACGTCAGGGAAAGGGAGTGCAGGACAACAGGAGAGCATCTGCTTGGCCTGTAGAAGGTTTTTCTGGGTTCAGTTCCAAATGGCATCTCCAGGTAGGACTAGGAAAGATTCCTTGCCTGCAGTCTTGGATAAATGCTGCCAGCCAGTGTTGACAGAACTAAAGTACCGTATTTTTCGCTCTATAGGACGCACTTTTCCCCCTCCAAAAATTAAGGGGAAATGTGTGTGCGTCCTATGGAGCGAATGCAGGCTCCTTGGCTTCAGCGATAGCAGTGCGAAGCCTCCAAAGCGCAAAGGGAGCGCTCCCTCTGCCCTCCGGCGGCTTCGCGTTGCTTTCGCTGAAGCCTGGAGAGCGAGAGGGGTTGGTGCACACTGACCCCTCTCACTCTCCAGGCTTCAGGGATAGCCGCCTGAAGCCTTTGGAGCGCAGCGGGAACTCGTGCTGCGCTCCGAAGGCTTCGGGTTCCTTTTGCTGAAGCCGGGAGAGCAAGACTCTCCCGGCTTCAGCAGAGAGGGAGAGCTACTCAGTGCCCCTTCAGCGAAGCGGGAGGAGAAATGGAAGGGGCTCCGTTTCTCCTGCTGCTTCGCTGAAGGGGCGCTGAGCAGAGAAGGGGAGAATTTTTTTTTCTTGTTCTCCCCCTCTAAAACAAGATGCATCCTATGGTCAGGTGCGTCCTATAGAGCGAAAAATACGGTAGGTGGATCAGAGTTTTGACTATCTGAGGCAGCGTAAGACAGCATTCCTGCAAACTACAGAATAGTTCTCTCTTCTCCCAGATTCCTGGGCAGTGTATTTCTGTGAAGACTGCTAGAGAGTTATTGGGTAGCATAACAAACTGGGATTTTTGGAATGGGGGACTTGGCAGTTGCAGAATCTATTGCAGGTTTGAGGAGGCCATGCAGTTCAATGATTGTCCCCTCTTCTCTTTCTCCTCCACCTTGACCTCTTCATAATCAGCAAGCTGAAAACTCGGTTTCAGAAACAGGAGAAGGAACAGCCCCTTCACCTTTCTTGACTGACATGCAAGACTGCTTTAAATTCTGACTGGGAGACCCAGCCCACAACACACTTTCTTGACTTGGTGAAAGGCACCACGTTTGACTCGGCTATTTAAAAGCACCACCAGGGGAACGGGGTTCATTTGTAATGAATAAATACTGCTTTTGTAATGAATGAATAATGTAAAAATAAATCCTGCATTTGTACAAATCTGCATCTCAAGCCAGCTCTTTCAGGGAGAATTACCTGCTCCATTTTTAATTGCAAAAAAAAAAGTCAAAACAAAAACCGGAATTGTTGTACCAGGTTAGCAGAGCACTCTAATTTACTTTAATTGTGCAAAACTAAATTTCTGGTCTGCGCTTGAACCTCTCCTGCAAAATGCTGACATTCTCCAGGTTGCACATCTTTCCCCTGTGCAATAAGCAGAAAACAGATCTCCACATCCCATCTCTCAACCTCTTCCTCAAAGCTTGTTGGTTTCCTGCAAAACACCTACTTATGCAAGTGACGAGTGGCCAAACCACTTGTGAAAGATGTGTCACTTGTTCAACAGTTCTCATTTCTGCTGTAGCAAGAATCCCAAAACAACAAGTAGCAGGCTTCTGTCGAATGTTTGTTCCACATGCGCAATATGTTTTCACAATATTCAGTATACAGAAAAATGGGGGGGGAACAATGTGGAATGAGAACGCAACACAGAGCAGAGATGCTGAAGCTAACAAAATACAGGACAGTCATTATGCTATCATTGTAGCCTGATATTCTGAGGGAACTGGGCGATTATGTTGTGATTTATCCATAGAAGAAATAGGAACGCACCAAACTGCAAAAAAAAGTTAGTGTGCTTGCTTTGTCTTCTGGCTACCTTTAATTTAGGTGAATGTGTTTCTAACAGGGCTGCCTGCCAAACCTTTGCATATCAAAATTCTATTATTAATAGTGATAATAATTTGTTAGCTGCTTTATTTTGCAAACAAAAAACAAATAAGGGTGCTTAAATGAAATGCATTCCAAAATTTCGCAACCTTATTTTAAAAGTAACTTCAGTGAACCGGTTAGCCCGACCCACTGAATGAAATTTGTGCTTTAAAAAGAGGCAGACCCAAAGGAGCAGAAATAGATTCCCAGCTCACCCTGGTTGTTTACTATCATTAGTAACAAACCAGACCCTGCAGGGAATAGCTGAGTTTCGCTTTACAACATCACGGGACAGGCTGCTCTTTGAGGGTGTTTCCCAGGCCTGAGGATGCAACTGAAGCTACCTGTGGCCGTCTTACCAGTGTCCTGGCAATCCCTCCTGCAAGAAGTATTTGTGGCTGTTTTGTGGGGAAGATCATGTCTTATTTGTAGGCTTCCCGTAATGGGAATCTGGCTGATGTCTATGAGAACAGGATAATAATAATATAATAATAATAAATTTTATTTATATCCCACCCTCATCGACCAGAACCGGGCTCAGGGCAGCTAACATCAAAGTATATAATACATTAAGACATAAAATTCAGCAATCATCTGAAATACAGCTTAAAATTGGATTACAGTGGTACCTTGGGTTACAGACGCTTCAGGTTACAGACTCCGCTAACCCAGAAATAGTACCTCGGGTTAAGAACTTTGCTTCAGGATGAGAACCGAAATAACAGCGCAGCGGCAGCGGGAGGCCCCATTAGCTAAAGTGGTACCTCAGGTTCAGAATAGTTTTAGGTTAAGAACGAACCCTCAGAACGAATTCAGTTCTTAACCCGAGGTACCACTGTAAAATCAAAATCAAATCAGATGGCTACCCGCAAATTATATCTAACTATAGGGGCTGGGACAAGGGACGTGGGTGGCGCTGTCGGTTAAACCACAGAGCCTAGGACTTGCCGATCAGAAGGTTGGCAGTTCGAATCCCCGTGATGGGGTGAGCTCCCGCTGCTTGGTCCCTGCTCCTGCCCACCTAGCAGTACGAAAGCACGTCAAAGTGCAAGTAGATAAATAGGTACCGCTCAGGCGGGAAGGTAAACGGTGCTTCCGTGTGCTGTTCTGGTTCGACCAGAAGTGGCTTAGTCATGCTGGCCACATGACCTGGAAGCTGTACGCTGGCTCCCTGTGCCGCAACCCTAGAGTCGGTCACGACTGGACCCAATGGTCAGGAGTCCCTTTACCTTTACCTTTATAGGGGTTGGGAACCTTAAGTATTCACCAGCATAGTGGACTAGATGGGCCATGGGCCTGATCCAGAAGGCCTTGTCTTATATTCTTATTGGCCTCTTTGGGCTTTGCCCACAACCACCTCAAAAAAAAAATTTAAAAAATTCACAAGCACTTGAGGGGTTGTATGCCAAGGTGTGCCCTACAGGTGGTGGCAAAATCTGATTTGGGCCAAATGTTAATGGAAACCAATCCAAGTCACACATTCCAAAACAATATATGAACCAAAACGCAACTATCCTTCGAAATCTGGACTTACCCCAAGGTTGCGATGCAATTCTCTGGCCAAATGATGTGTGCACAAAGGTGTGCTTTAGAGGAAAATGTGCGTGTAAATGTGTATATTAGTGAATGTTACATACAAAATTGCATTATATTAGGGTTATGCTTTACAAAAACATGCCTCTTGGACAAAATTGCAGACCAAAAATGTGTATATTAGGATAAATTCACTCTAAAATGCTGGCAAATGTTCAAGAGCACTTTTTTAAAAATTACAATCTGGTGGGGAAATATGCAGAACTGAATTTATGATTGGAAAAATGAGAAAGAGATTGACAGGCTGACTCATCCCTTGTCATCCTGACCATATTCCTGGTTCCGGGTTTACTATTCCAACCCATGGCTAACAGCCAAGTAGGGTGAAGGGAGCCAGTAGAGAAAATCAGCTGAGTGTGGCAAGCAAGCTTCTTCCCAGACCAGATGATGTGTAATGCCTCTCCTTTGTGAAACGGGAAGTTTGAGGAAACTCTGGTCTTGCAATTGTGGTTGGCGCACGGAAATCTGAATTCTCACCTCCTGTGCAAAGAAGAACTTGCAGAAACTCCACTCCTAGTCTGCATTGTGAAATCATTTAGCCACTTTACGTTCACATCCACATCATGCATTTAAAGTATTCTAATGCTCCTGCCAACCTAGCAGTTTGAAAGCACATCCAAGTGCAAGTAGATAAATAGGTACCATTCCGGCGGGAAGGTGAATGGCGTTTCCGTGCGCTGCTCTGGTTCGCCAGAAGTGGCTTAGACCTGCTGGCCACATGACCCGGAAGCTGTACGCCAGCTCCCTCGGCCAGTAAAGCGAGATGGGCGCTGCAACCCCAGAGTCGGCCATGACTGGACCTAATGGTCAGGGGTCCCTTTACCTTTACCTTAATACCAAATGAACAGTCATGGCTTCCACTCAAAATTCTGGGAATTATAGCTTGTTCAGGGTGCTGGGAATTGTAGCTCTACGAAGGAGTCTCAGCACCCTACACTAGGATTCGCAGGATTCTTTGGAGGAACTCATTACTGTTGAATGATTTAAGAGGGCTTCACATGTGTGATGTGGATGTGATAGTGGGATAGGGAAGAAATTCCATTCAGTTTGCATTTGAAGGCAAACCCACCAAATTTGCTCCACCTGTAATGCAAAAACTGAAACACAGCAATCCTTCAAAATTCACCCTAATATGAATTTTGCAAAACGGTTTTCCAGCCAATAAGTATGTACAGAAATGCATGTGCTAGAGCAGCGGTTCTCAACCTGTGGGTCCCCAGATGTTGTTGGACTACAACTCCCATCATCCTTGAGCTCTGGCCTTGCTAGCTATTGGTGATGGGAGTTGTAGTCCAACATCTGGGGACCCACAGGTTGAGAAAGGCTGCTCTAGAGAATGGGTAGGCAAACTAAGGCCCAAGGGTCGGATCCGACCCAATCGCCTTCTAAATCCGGCCTGTGGACAGTCCGGGAATCAGCGTGTTTTTACATGAGTAGAATGTGTCCTTTTATTTAAAATGCATCTCTGGGTTATTTGTGGGGCATAGGAATTCGTTCATTTTCTCTCCCCCCCCCCCCCCAAATATAGCCAGTCCCCCACAAGGTCTGAGGGACAATGGACTGGCTCCATGCTGAAAAAGTTTGCTGACCCCTGTGCTAGAGGAATGCATGGTTCATATATGAGTAAAAGTAACATACAAAAATATGTTGTGTTAGTGGGTATCACTTTGGGGAAATGTGTGTATCAGGCAAAATTGCGTACAGTGGTACCTCTGGTTAAGAACTTAATTAATTCTGGAGGTCCATTCTTAACCTGAAACTGTTCTTAACCTGAGATACCACTTTAGCTAATGGGGCCTCCCGCTGCCACCGTACTGCTGCTGCGCGATTTCTGTTCTCATCCTGAAGCAAAGTTCTTAACACGAGGTACTATTTCTGGGTTAGCGGAGTCTGTAACCTGAAGCGTCTGTAACCCGAGGAACCACTGTACAAAGATATGTCCATTACCAGAAATTTGCACTGAAACGCTGGCGAATTTTCACGAGGACATTGAAAATAAACAAAATTGCAAACTGATGTGGAAATATGGAGAACTAAATTTAAGATTGGGAAAATGAGAAACGGAGAGAACCTGAGATTGGCATGTTTTCTTCTCCCGTTAATGGTGTATAGGTGGGGCACACTGCAAAGCACAGTGGTCGTGTGAGGGGTCATAGCCCCTGCCTGCCTAAATTAGCCCAAATGATGCACCACAGAGGTGAAGCATCACAACCACCCCTCAAAGCTGCTTTTCAGGTTACGCTGAGATTCCTCCCTGCCTTCCACTCATCCTCTTGTCATCTCACTGGCTAATTATATTTTAATCACCTTGTTCCCAAAAAAACACCCGGAGGGCATTTGACTCCAACGTAGTCACCATGATGAACTGCACACAAGTTTGCCAGGTTTCCCAATTGGGTTGCTGAACGCCATCAATATTGCTGGCGCGATCCTTGGACCAGCCATCCCTGGTGGGATGTTTTGTACTCCGACTCCCATCAGCCCTGTCCATTGGCCATGCTAGCAGAGGCTGATGGGAGTTGGAGTCCCAAATATTGGGAAGGCACAAGGCTGGGTAAAGCTGCCCTATTAGGTTGATTCAGGGTATATATGGATATGATGATGTGTGTATTTGTGAGTGGGGGAGAGGCGGGAGTCAAGAAGTATGTCTGCATCTTAGTGCATTAGTGAGGTAGCTAAAAGTCTCTCTCTGAGCTCTTGTGAAAGCAAAAATTCAACAGGTGAAGCTGCCAGCCTTGATTCTTCATCAGAAAGGCTTCAGATGGAACAGTGGAAATGTATGTGGCCTAAAGGGTTAAAATTTACATTGTGTTATGACCTAATTTTCTCTTTTCTTTTTGTTTCTCTCTCTCCCCCCCCCCCCTTTGCTCCTGTTTCTTTTTAGGTTAGATTTTTATTTTTTAAATTCATTTTTCTTTTTCATTCATTACATACATCTCATATTCCTAACATTTACTATGCATTCCTCCCTCCCTCCCCTCCTAGGCTCCCCCCAACTTCCGCTTCTGGTTTGTTTCTCCTTTCACCCACTTTGCTACCTTCCAAAAGAAAAAAAACTACTAATAACATATTTATACAATAACACCAAACCTAGAAACATAAAAAAAATGGATACATCATATTATTTCTCTATCTCCCACACATTTTCTAATACTAATAATGTGAATTTATTTAAATCCTGCCATCAAGTCTATAGACTTTATTTGTTTCTGCAAGTATAATATAAATGGTTCCCATTCTTTTTCAAAGTCACTGTTATCTTTTTCTCTTAGTCTGTCTGTCATTTTTGCCAGTTCTGCATAGTTCATCAGCTTCACTTGCCATTGTTCTTTTAGGTTAGATTTTTAAAGCATTTTAAAATGCTGGGGAACCCAGCCTGATGGGTGGAGTATTATTATTAATAATAATAATGATAATAATAATAATAATAATAATAATAATAATAATAATGGTCTATCTATTGTAAAAAGAGACTTGGTCTTGGGTATAAACTTTTCCATATATTTTGATGTTATAAATAAAAATTTAAATGTCTTGTCCTCAGAAAAGCTTCACCTGTTGGATTTATAACTCGTGACCCGTTGTTGAATACAGAGGGCTAGGGGAGGCGGCTATCATAAATGCAATCTCTGTGGTTTTGGCGAATGGACGGATCCCACCCTGACACCTTGTTAGCCTGGAGAAGAGGAGGTTAAGGGGTGATATGATAGCCATGTTCAAATATATAAAAGGATGTCACATAGAGGAGGGAGAAAGGTTGTTTTCTGCTGCTCCAGAGAAGCGGACACGGAGCAATGGATCCAAACTACAAGAAAGAAGATTCCACCTAAACATTAGGAAGAACTTCCTGACAGTAAGAGCTGTTTGACAGTGGAATTTGCTGCCAAGGAGTGTGGTGGAGTCTCCTTCTTTGGAGGTCTTTAAGCAGAGGCTTGACAACCATATGTCAGGAGTGCTCTGATGGTGTTTCCTGCTTGGCAGGGGTTGGACTCGATGGCCCTTGTGGTCTCTTCCAACTCTATGATTCTATGATTCTTTATTTGCCATCCCAGGTTATGCAATGCACTTGCTTCTCCCAAGGCGGAGTCTGTAAGGCTTGTGTTTTTATAAAATGTAGGCTCAGAAAATGCTTATTAATGTGTCTCTGCCCCGCCCAGCCCAGGGATGGGAACTTGCTGCATTTTGTGTAAAGAAACTGCAGCGAGGTGACAGATGTTGCGCCAGGGAGATGGGTGGGGACTGTCTTTCATTTCCATAAAACTTGGTGAGGAACCAAAAGTTGTGGGAGATTTTGCATCAGGACCGCACGGGGCGTCAGTGACTGGAGAGGCTCTGGGAACACCTCCAAACCATTTTTCCACTGCCTGTGGAACACACGGTAGGGGCTAGTTCATTTTATTTTTTTAAAAACTATTTGATTTTATTGTGGGGTTTTTCTGGGGGGACTTTTTTTGGAGGGGCTTTTTCTTCCTCTATCCTAATATTAGAACCTGGGATCACCCAGTGAGAGAGATTTCCTGGCAGATCAGGGGCAGATCAGAACAAGTCCTTCTGGGCACAGGGCGTGAGAAACTGGTGGAACTCCCTGCCACAAGATAGGTGGTGCTTAGGGAGGAGAAGAAATCCAATTTGATTAGGATTTTAACGTGTGCCTACCTAATTCGCTCTTTCCGAAACTATGCAGGAACGCCAAAACACAGCAGGTAGCTCAAATTTTTTATATTTTGATTTTATGTTGTAACCGCCCTGAGAACTGTGGTTATAGGGGTGGTATACAAATTTAATGGATAAAAATAAAAAGCCCACTTCCCCAAAATTTTGCAATGCAGTTTCCCAACCAAAGGATGTTTACAAAAATGCATACATTAGGGAGAAATGTGCTTAAAAAGGAATGTATTAGTGGAACAAAAAGACGAAGATGCATTATATTTGGAGAACTTGCTTGGGAAAAAAAACCCCATGTACGTTAGTCAAAACCGCAAACAAGAATGTGTTTATTAGGAGAGGTTCTCCCTAAAATGCTGCTGAATTTTCATTACGGTTTTTTTTTTTAAAAAATAACAATAGTCAAAAATCACTATAGAAATGTGGAGAAGATGTTTCAAGACTGGGAAAACGAGAAATAGCGAAGGCCAAAATAGACAGATTCTTTCATCCCCTACCCACCTCGCAGGGTGGTTGTGAGATAACACAGAGGAGGAGACATCCTGTAGAGCCTGCCTAGAATAAAGGCAGGAGCAAAACAAGGTAGCAATTATAGCCCAGGTGATAAAATGAAACCTCCAGGGTTAAGAGCAGTGTACCTCGAAATACCAGCTGCTGAGGAAAATAACAGGTGGAGAGGGCTAGAGCCTGCCTGCCTTGGTCGCAGGCTTCCTGGAGGCCTGATCTGACTGATCACTGTAAGTAATCAGGATGTTGGAGTAGATGGGTTTTTTGGTCTGCTCCAGCAGCAATCTTCATGGGATCTTTATAATCCCCAAGGTAGTCCAGTGGTTTTTTTTTTTTTAAATGATACTCTATTTACAACTAGCAAAACTGACGGGAAGAGTTAGAGGAGTATTGAACCAGAAAATGTTTGGAGAATGGAGAATATTTAAGGATTATATAAGATAATATTGTACCAACCGCACCACATGAGCAGAATTTGAGTGATACTTGTAAACACAACAAATCCCATTTGTGGAATAGACAGGAACAATATTAAATAATATAAAACTGTGTGGAAAAAACGACAGTATAAACAGTACAATGAGAATGATTGGAAGACTCGTTTTGTCAGAAGTCTTTTTTATTTAAGTGTTTATTTAAGTATTAATTAGGAAGATTAAGTTTTTTTATGCACATAAATCTGATTTTTCTTTCTTTTTTCTATATTTTCTTCTCTTTTTTCTTAATTGTTTTTTCTTTAATTTTCTTTTTGTAGAATGAGATTGTAAATTCTTTGTGTATGTGTGTAATTTAAATTAATAAAGATTTTTTTTTTAAAAAAAGTTTGCTATTCTAATGCTTATTTCTGGGAATGAAGGGGTAAAGTCCCACAGTACCTGCCTGGACCAAAATAAACTTGCAATCTCCACCCACATAGTGGTGGTTGTTGTTTTTTTACTAAACAAACATTTGGCAGGAGAATCTCCTGCCAGCAGAGCGATACCAGGATGATCTTGCTGAACCACTGCCTGCAATCCACCTGCCAGGTGGGAAGAGACAAGACACCTTCCTCTGACACAGAGAACAGAGCAAGACGGAGCCTGCAAGGCTTCAGAGCAGCAGGGAGAGGAGTTGGCGACAGAATTCGGAGTCAGGCATTGGTCCATCTAGCTCAGTATTGTCTAAACTAACCGGCAACACATCTCCAGGCTGCCAGGCAGGGATTTTCCCCTGCCTTACCTGGAGAAGCCAGGGATTGAACCTTCTGCACGCAAAGCAGATGCACTGTCCGTGAGCTGCAGCTCTTCTTAATCAAATACCCTTTTTGGAGAGGTACAACCCTTGGGATGCAGGTGGCGCTGTGGGATGCAGGTGGCGCTGTGGGTTAAACCACAGAGCCTAGGACTTGCCGATCAGAAGGTCGGCAGTTCGAATCCCCGCGATGGGGTGAGCTCCCGTTGCTCGGTCCCTGCTCCTGCCAACCTAGCAGTTCGAAAGCACATCCAAGTGCAAGTAGATAAATAGGTACCACTCTGGCGGGAAGGTAAACGGTGTTTCCGTATGCTGCTCTGGTTCTCCAGAAGCGGCTTAGTCATGCTGGCCACATGACCCGGAAGCTGTACGCCGGCTCCCTCGGCCAGTAAAGCGAGATGAGCGCCGCAACCCCAGAGTCGTCCGCGACTGGACCTAATGGTCAGGGGTCCCTTTACCTAACCCTTGGTTTGTGGAAGAGAGAGGTGGGAGCGCAGCTCTAATCGCGCCCTCTTTGAAGAAGCATAATTCCACCTTGCAAGGTGAAAGATTTGGCAGTGCTTGCGAGAGATACCTAAGCCACTCCCGGAGGGTGCCAATCATCTCAGCGAACTGAGCGACGCCGATGATAAGAAAGTGAGCAACCACTGCCCGGGGGCTGGGTGTCGGCCTTGGGAGTCTGGCTGAGAGCTGCTCCCTCCAGAGACCTTGGGGGAAGCAAACTCCTGCCAAGCTCTCAGCCTGGGAAGATACTGCGACTGGGCGAGGTTCCAAAGCCCCGCAACCTTGAGAAGCTGAGGGAGCATCTCTGCTGACGGGGCAACACCTTCACGCCTGCCGTAGCCAGAGGCCTGGATGCAGAGACCAAGATGCAGCTGCGAGTCACTGGCTCATAGCTCATAGATAGCCAGTGTGGTGTAGTGGTTAAGAGCGGTAGTCTCCTAATCTGGTGAACTGGGTTCGCTTCCCCGCTCCTCCACATGCAGCTGTTGGGTGACCTTGGGCCAGTCACACTTCTTTGAAGTCTCTCAGCCCCACTCACCTCACAGAGTGTTTGTTGTGGGGGAGGAAGGGAAAGGAGAATGTTAGCCGCTTTGAGACTCCTTAAAGGGAGTGAAAGGCGGGATATCAAATCCAAACTCTTCATCCAAGCCACTGGGATCCTTTTCCCCCCCAAAAAAGTTTTTTTATTCTTTTTATAATACAACTAAACAACACAAACAGAAAAACAAAAAATACAAACAGATTCTTGTCTTATCCTTATTTTTTCTTAAAATTGTTAGGTGAGCTTCCCCAAGTCCCCCCCTATCTGATTTTCATTTTACCTCATCATTTTACCTTAGCAGTTTACATATATCATAATTTTTAACCATTTTTTTTTAATCACGCTTACTTTTACAATAAAAATCTTCACATTTTATCACTTACAAATAATAAGTGATAAAAAAGGTTCCTTTTTTGCACTTAATTTATTTATTATTAATGTTGCAATACATATATGAAATATTTACATATTGATACATATACATTATATTCGTAAATTCACATTTTCACATTTCATTATGCACCAACATTTATCCATTTCTTATTTCTTGCCCTGTGTCTTCCGTCCACCTGTGCGTGACTTCCTTGTTATTATTATGTAACTATTATTGAGATTGTAATTTTGTGTCTTAATAATTAAACATTCAATCTTATATATCTGCTTAGATTAGTTTAGCTTAACTTAACTTAACTTTGTGAAATCAGTCTATACATATCAATAAATTATTGTTGGAGCATCTTTTGGTCATGTATTCTTCTACACATATCCATTCCTGTTTGAGATTTTGATTTGATTGCATTCTAATTGTTGCCGTCATTTTTGAATGAATTAGCAAAACCGAGGTTGTTGGGTTCCTTATGCCTTTGAAGACCAGTTGCCCAGGGCTTCTCTCTGGCATCTGGTCGGCCACTGTGACAACAGGATGCAGGACTCGATGGGCCATTGGCCTGATCCAGAACCCTCTTCTTATGCTATCATAGGAATGGCATATTTCAAGAAGTCAAAATGTGGACACAAAAAGTTGTTGAGTTTTTTTTTAGGGCAATTGCCCAGTCGCCCCTCTGCCATGCCAGAGCCAGTGAGCCCAAATCACCCGAGCTTGAACCAGAACCACCAGCACACTTTAAAAAAAAAACAACAACCCCAAAATCCAGGACATTTGCTTTAAAATGTAAAATTGCCCCCAGATGGGCATGAAGGACTCCCAAGAGAGGACATGTCCAGGAATTCCCAGACCTATGGCAACCCTATGAGCTATCATTTAGAGCTGGAAGCGGCAGCTGATGTCCATAGAGACTTGTGGGGCAGAATATAATAATAATAATTTATTATTTATACCCTGCCCACCTGGCTGGGTTTCCCCAGGGAGCCCAAACCAGAGGTAGAGACAGAGCCCATGACAGGCAGAGGCAACTATTTCTAGTTTCGCCTCCATCCTCTTCCCTGCTGAGCTCAACAAGGACAACATTGAGACTGAAGATGCAGATATTGTTATCCTGCCATCTTCCTGCTTTTAGGCTTGTTTATATGGAAACATTTGGAATGATTAAGGATGGATTTTTGCAATTTTGCATTAACCTGCTTTTGAATTTTTTGCTTTGATTGTTTCCTTCTTGCATTATCAACAAGTTATTGTGCACTGGATATTCTTGGCGCTTCCAGATAGATGTGTTTCTTTTGTGAGATGAGCTCTCCTCAAGCAAGCAATTTCTTTTGCAGTCCCCATAGTTTATCAGCTGCAAATCCACAGTGTGTATTTCACTCACCCACACATTTAATCCGGATTTACCTTCCCATGGGAAATCCAATAAGTGTGGTTCCATCTGAGGGCTTAATTTTGCAAATGGGTCACCGAGATATCACGAATGGCTCACTGGTAGCAGGTTTTCTTTCATTTATTGTAGTTTCCCTGGAAAAGATAAATCTGGGTTAAGTGGATGGCAGATACAGGGCAGCATTTTGAAGATGATAATCTGTGGCTGGCAGGGAGGGACAAATCTGTCAATTACGGACCCTCGTTTTTCCAAACTTAATTCAGTTCTCCCCCTTTCGGCATCAGTTTGCGATTAATATTATTATAATTTCTCATACAAGTGTATCACCATGTCAGGGTGCATTTCTCTCTTGAATCTATTTTCAACTGCATATGAATACTTCTCCAGTTTTTCATCTTCCTGAATCATCTGTACTTTCTACTACAAGTGTGTTTAAAATCCTGCTAATGTTTTGACCTGTTTACAATGACTTTCTATATACATTATAAACATTTCCCATTTTTTAAAAAAAATTCTTGTCTTCTTGGTTCCTAAGCTTCCCGGTTAATTTTGCCATTTTGGCAGAGTCCATCAATTTGATTTGCCCTTCTTCTCTGGTTGGGGTTGTCTCTTCCTTCCATCTCTGGACTAGCAGCATCCGTTGTAGCATACATGAACCGTTTTCTTTCGTAGTATCACCCCACTTTCAACAGCCTTGGCTTTCCCCAAGAAATCCTGGGAACTGTGGCTTGTTAAGGGTGCTGACGGATGTTAGGAGACCCCTATTCCCCTCATGGAACTACAATTCCCAGAGTAGTTTAACAACCAGCCCGTCTTCCCAGGAAACTTTGGGAATTGCTGCTCTCATGAAGGGAACAGGAGTCTCATAACCCCCTGCTGGTGAGGCTTACTGACCTCCCAGTAAAGCAAAAATTCAATCTTCTCGTTAGGCAAAGACCACAAGACGACTAGGATCGTCGCCAGATTCTGTGCACAGATGTGTAGGTGCAGACCATCCCGATTCAATGTATTTTGTTAAGAAAATTCCCAAACCCGGATCCACGGGCGACTTTGGGTCATTTCTCTAAGGTAGTCTATTTTAAAGTTTTTATGTGTTTATATGCCTATCACACTTTCAAACTTAAAATCTATTGTTGTATATTGTTTTAAATGTTTGTTTTGCTATTGGGATTGTGGTTCCATTTGTGTTTCTCAAGCTGGTCTCTCACCGTAATAAATTTCATGCTCATAGGGTCTCATAACAACTTTCAGCACCCTTAACAAATGACACTTCCCAGGATTGCTTGTGGGAAGCCAGGGCTGTTTAAACTGGTGCGATGCTAGAACTCAGCAGGGAGAAGGAGGATGGAGACAAAGCTAGAACAGGTTGGCCCTGCCCACCATGCACTCTAGCGCCACCTGCTGATGGGCTCCTTGAAGTCTGCCCAACCAGTCTCAGTGGGAACCAGCTACAACTGGTGCCACCCCAATGGGCCCTCTCATGACCCAGTAGCTGGTGCTTATAGCCCACAACTAAAATATTCTCCTCCCGTCTCTCCCATTTAGGGGAATTATCATGAAGCTGTTGTTGGGCATTTCCGCCCTGGCTTTCCTGATGCAGGCAGCCACTCCTCTGAAGATCTGCGCGTTCAACATCCAGAGCTTTGGAGACAGCAAACTGTCTAATGAGGGGATCTCGGAAATTATTGTGAAGGTGAGAACGGGGCTTTGCAAGGATAGAATCCCCAACATGAGAGACCCAATACCAGCCCGACTGCAGCAGACAGGTTTGGGAAGAAGGAAAATCTGGGTCCTCTGGCGGAGCTCTGAGTGATGGGCAGGTAGATGGGCAGGGATTCCTGACTCTCACTTGTACAAGAATAGCAGCAACAAAATGGCTTCCTCCCCATCGTCCAAAAACAGACTGCTGAAATGAAGGAAGGATGGGGTAACCAGGAATGGATTTTCCTGAAGAAGGACTGTGAGCTCAAAACAAATAATGGTATCAAATTGTAGAATCATGCAGGAATCTCCACGATAGATGGTTATCCAACCTCTGCTTAATAACCTCCACAACCTCCCTAGGGAGTCCGTTCCACTGTCCACCAGCTCTCATGTTTAGGGAAGCTTTTAATGTTTGATGTATTACAGTATTTTAATATTTTTTTGGAAGCTGCCCAGAATGGCTGGGGAAGCCCAGCCAGATAGGCGGGGTATGAATAATAAATTATTATTATTATTATTATTATTATTATTATTATTATTATTATCATTATCATCATCATCATCATCATTATTATACTCAGAGTAAGTAAAGGGACCCCTGACCATTAGGTCCAGTCGTGGCCGACTCTGGGGTTGCGGCGCTCATCTCGCTTTATTGGCCGAGGGAGCTGGCATACAACTTCCGAGTCATGTGGCCAGCATGACTAAGCCACTTCTGGCGAACCAGAGCAGCGCACGGAAACGCCGTTTACCTTCCCGCTGGAGCGGTACCTATTTATCTACTTGCACTTTGAGGTGCTTTTGAACTGCTAGGTTGGCAGGAGCAGGGACCGAGCAACGGGAGCTCACCCCATCACGGGGATTCAAACCGCCGACCTTCTGATCGGCAAGTCCTAGGCTCTGTGGTTTAACCCACAGCGCCACCTGCGTCCCCATACTCAGAGTAGAATCACTGAAATCAATGAACACAACTTGAGGACTCCTCCAGACAACATATTTATTGCTCGTTCCCCTGTTCCAGCAGAGCTTTTCTAATGAAATTCTTCTTTACACAACTGATCTGGGGAACTTGCTGCGACAAGAAGTGGTGATGGCTGCTGTCTCAGGTGGCTTTAAAAGGGTCCCATAAGGGAAAGATGAGAAGAGGCCAGCCACTGGGTATTAGTCATGACATTAGTGGGGCTTCCATGTTTAGAGGCAGTCTACCTCTGCAGGGATGTGGGTGGCACTGTGGGTTAAACCACAGAGCCTAGGACTTGCTGATCAGAAGGTCGGTGGTTCGAATCCCCGCGACGGGGTGAGCTCCTGTTGCTCGGTCCCTGCTCCTGCCAACCTAGCAGTTCGAAAGCACGTCAAAGTGCAAGTAGATAAATAGGTACCACTCTGGCGGGAAGGTAAACGGCGTTTCCGTGCGCTGCTCTGGTTCGCCAGAAGCGGCTTAGTCATGCTGGCCACATGACCCGGAAGCTGTATGCCGGCTCCCTTGGCCAATAAAGTGAGATGAGCGCCGCAACCCCAGAATCGGCCACGACTGGGCCTAATGGTCAGGGGTCCCTTTACCTTTACCTCACCTCTGAACAGCAGTTGGTGGGGAGCAGCAGCAGAAGAGATGGGTTGTGTTGACCACTGTGGGAAGCCAGAAGTTGGACAAGATGGACCTTCCATCAGATCCAACGGGGCCCTTCTGGCATAGCTGTCAACTTTCCCCTTTTCTTGCGAGGAATCCTATACGGAATAAGGGAATTTCCCTTAAAGAAAGGGAGACGTTGACAGCTATGCCTTCTGGTCTTCTTACGCATGCATGCTTCTTCCAGATCCTGTCGCGGTACGACATCGCCTTGGTGCAAGAAGTGCGGGATGCCGACCTAAGTGCCGTTAGTGAATTGCTGGAGCGGCTCAACAGGTAACACCGCCCTAAGTCTTTGCAGGCAAGTTGGCAGAGCATGGGAGCTCTTCATCTCATGGCTGTGGGTTCGAGTCACGCCTTGGGCAAGATTCCTGCGTTGCAGGGGGTTGGATTCCATGAAGACTTTGGGCAGGATGGGAGAGAGAGAAGGCACCGATGGATTGTTTCTCAACGGGAGGAGAAGGCAAAGCGAATTAGGGAGAGTGAGCCCGGGGACCAGTTTCCTTTCTCAGGAAATATATGCAGAACAGCCAAGCCATGCAATGTCGGTGCTGTTAGGCTTTAAAAAAATAAGCAGCAGGCAAGAGGATAGAACCTCCAGGGTCAGATGTAGAGGGACACTGAAAGTCAGTGTCTGGAGAACAGCAGCAGGAGAGCCCTGCAGCCTCCTTCCCTTCCGATGGGCTTCCTGGAGGTGCTTGGTTGGCCACTGTGGGGTTCATAGAGTCATCTAGTCCAACCCCCTTTGATGCAGGAATCTCAGTTAAAGCATCCATGACAGGTGGCCATCCAAGCTCTGCTTAAAAAGGAAGGAGAATCTACCACCTCCCGAGAGTGTTAGGATATAGTTCTGTTCTACCTTAAAAGGGAACAGGCATAACTATTGTGTGTCACGTGCCTGTTTACTTCCAGCGCAGGCTTGCTGGGAACTTCAATTTGTATATTGCTTTTGCATTACTCCTGTTTGCTGGACACGAAGGGAAGCAGACATGTTTTTTCCTTTGTTCCTGATCTATGCTGAATAAACGCTTGTAAATAATGCTTACACATGTCTCTGTCCACCACTTCTGTTGTGAGAAGATTTATTCACTCTGCTGATAGAGCGTGCCAAGTCTCTAAAGGTATCTGAGGCTTGTGTTGCTGTTTGATGCTTTTCCAAGGGAGACCGGTGATCACTCGGCTGCCGGCCGGTGGCTGGAGCCAGCTGGGGGCCTGCCTGATGCCCCCGTCTCCTGGGCAGTATCCCAACAGAGAGAACCCGTTCCACTGTCAAACAACTCTTACCATCAGAAACTTCTTCCTGATGTTTAGTCGGGAACAGGAGGTTGGATGAGGCGGGCCCCTGACCCGATCCAGGAAGTGCTCTTGCTACGAGATTCACGCAGTGTGCAGGCCAGCTATTCTTCAAGAGGCCTACAGGTGTTCCTACCTGGGCTGCCATTGCTTAGGATGTGACAGCTGGATGGGAAAGGGTTTGGCAGGTGATGTGGGGAGGGGCGTCTGCCTTGTTTTACAAGCCAACTCTGTTGAACTAATTCAGAGTCCTTAAACTGCTGCTCTGCACACGTCTTTCTCTGCCTTTCCTTGATTTTCCCTCTCCCTCTTCTTGCTCCACAGTGCCTCTAAGCACAACTACGCCTACGAAATCAGCGAGTCGCTGGGACGGGAGAACTACAGGGAAATGTACCTCTTCCTCTACAGGTACCGGATCAAATCAGTGCTTTGTGGACAAGTACATTCCTACATTTCAAATTGTACTCTCCCACTCACATTTTCTCATCCGGGTACATCCATCTTCAGAACTGCAAAAAAAGCAACATTATTATTATTTTTATTGACTGATTGATTGATTGATTGATTGAATGAATGAATGAATTTATATACCGCCCTATACCCAGGGGTCTCAGGCCAGTTCACAGAATAAAATCAAAACATAAAACCACAAAATACAGTGGCACCTCGGCCTATGAACTTAATTTGTTCTGGAAGTCCATTCTTAAACCAAAGCATTCTTAAACCGAGGTGCGCTTTCCCTACTGAGGCCTCCCGCCACCGGTGCCCTTCCACCTACTTCTGGTTTTGCAGTTGGTTGCCCGAATCGTTTATTAACATGACTGTTCGTTGACCAAGGTACCACTGTACATAATAAGAATAAAAACAACTCAATAGCTGCCCCGCCCCCCAAAGAAACACATTTTAAAAGGGCATAGGATGTAAATCAGATCAACCAAAGGCCCAGCTAAAAAAACGTTTTTGCCTGGAGCGTAAAGATGCATAATGAAGGCGCCAGGCAGACTTCCCGGGGAGAGCATTCCACAGACGGGGAGCCACTGCAGAGAAGGCCCCGTTCTCATGTTGCCACCCTCCGGACCTCTCGAGGAGGAGGCACACGAAGAAGGGCCTCAGAAGATTATCTCAGGGGCCAGGTAGGTTCATATGGAAGGAGTCGGTCCTTGAGGTATTGGGGTCCTGAGCTGTTTAGGCACTCAGAGCATAAAGAAACAGCAGTTACAAACACAAGCATGGGGTAGACAATCCCTGGATAATCTCCTCCTCTATACATCAGGCATATAGAGGACCACAGTTCCATTTGCAGATTGTGTTTGCTGGATAGGGTTCACAATAGGGGGCTTTATCGACAATGGGATGCAGTCCCTTTCCCAGCTTACCTGGTAATCCGACTGGAGTGTGTCTGCATTGTTCCTTTGCTGACTCCGTCCCCCTCTGCTTTCTATCCAGGACAAAGAGCGTCTCTGTTGTGGACAAGTACCAGTACTCAGATAAAAACAATGCCTTCAGCAGACCGCCTTTTATTGTCAAGTTCTCGGCTCTCAACGCCAGTGAGTAAAACAGAAGGGATCCCCCAAACACAGACACACCCATTTACTTCATAGGCCCATAGCCCAAACTCCATGTGAGGCTAAGGCTGGACATTTGTAGCTTGGGAGCTCAAGGGGCTGGAGGTTGGCTTACAACTCAGGTGGGCAAACGAGATCGGGAACAGAAGGTCCGAATGGATGCTCCAGGCAGGCAGAATGGGAAAGGAGCAAAGTGAGGTTCATCACCAGTACAAAAAAGAGTAGCGTCTCCACCCCCATAGCTCAGCCCAGACCCTGAGGTCCAGCTCCAAGGGTCTTCTGGCAGTTCCCTCACTGTGAGGTTACAGGGAACCAGGCAGAGGGCCTTCTCGGTAGTGGCGCCCTCCCTGTGGAACGCCCTCCCATCAGATGTCAAGGAAATAAACATCTGTCTGACTTTTAGAAGACATCTGAAGTCAGCCCTGTTTAGGGGCGTTTCTAGCGTGTGGTGTTTTATTGTGTTTTTAATATTTTGTTGCAAGCTGACCAGAGCAGCTGCGGCAACTCAGTCAGACAGGCAGCATACAAATAATAAATGATGATGATGGGATAGCAAGGGGTTCCAGACTGGCAAATCCTGCCCCTCTAGAAAAGCCTTGGAAGTCAGTGGTCTTGCCTATGTGCCCTTGGAGCAGTGGCGTACAGTGATGGGGGAGGGGGCTACATCATGCGCATGACATCACAAGTCACACATGCATCACACCTCCCTCCCTAAGCTGGGCAGAAGCTTCCTGGGCTTTGGGAAGAGGGTGACAAGGGAAAATTTAGGGGACTAGTCTAGTTCCCCTAGTCCACTGACCACATGCCACTGCTCTGGGGAACATTCCTGGCACCTAAGTCCCGCAAGGGAATGAAAGGGCTCCCTGTGCTAATCCTGCTTCTTTTGCAGAAGACGACGAGCTGGTCCTGATTCCCCTCCACACAGCTCCAAATGACGCCGTGGCAGAGATTGATGCCCTCTACGACGTCTACTTGAAGATCATTGACAAGTGGGGGACGGATGTACGTGCTTTTGTTAACAGTTAAGATGCTTTTTGTTGAATGCTTTCTGAAAAGAAGGACTTGTGGCCACAGGTTGAACCACCCTGGTCTGGGGTTTCAGATGGGATACATTCCCAGCTCTGTTTTGGAGATGCGGCCTCAGTCCAGTATACCTGAAGGAGCGTCTCCACCCCCATCGTTCTGCCTGGACACTGAGGTCCAGCTCCGAGGGCCTTCTGGCGGTTCCCTCACTGCGAGAAGCCAAGTTACAGGGAACCAGGCAGAGGGCCTTCTCGGTAGTGGCACTCGCCCTGTGGAACACCCTCCCACCAGATGTCAAAGAGAAAAACAACTACCAGACTTTTAGAAGACTTCTGAAGGCAGCCCTCTTTAGGGAAGCTTTTAATGTTTAATATGTTATTGCATTTTAATATTCTGTTGGAAGCCGCCCAGAGTGGCTGGGGGTACCCAGCCAGATGGGCGGGGTATAAATAATAATAATAATAATAATAATAATAATAATAATAATGCCAGGGATTGAATCAAGGACCTCTGCAAAGCAGATGCTCTACCCCTGAGCCAAGCCCCTTGAGCAGGATGTTCTGTTCCACCCATCCCACAATTTGCTGACCACTGTTGGAGACAGGACATTAGACCCGCCTTCAGAATATAAGAAGGCCCCTGCTGGATCAGGCCAATGGCCCACCTAGCCAGAGCTCTGTTCCCACAGTTGCCCACCAGATGCTTGTGGGGAAGCCTACGGTCAGGATCCGAGTGCAACCGTGCTCTCTCCCCACCTGCAATTCCCATCAGCAAATCTTCTTCCCTTTGTAGAACATGATGTTCCTGGGAGACTTCAACGCTGACTGCAGTTACGTGGGAAAGAACGCCTGGTCCTCCATCCGCCTGCGCACCAGCGAGGTTTTCAAGTGGCTCATCCCAGACTCTGTAGACACCACCGTGGGCAACTCCAACTGCGCCTATGACAGGTGAGGTTGGCGAAGCTGCCAAGTAGTGATAGATCTTTAGACCCCAGTAGGGCTCCTGACCATCAGGGACGCGGGTGGCGCTGTGGGTTAAACCACAGAGCCTAGAGCTTGCCAATCAGAAGGTCGGTGGTTCGAATCCCTGCGACGGGGGGAGCCCCCGTTGTTTGGTCCCTGCTCCTGCCAACCTAGCAGTTTGAAAGCACGAAGTGCAAGTAGTTAAATAGGTACCACTCCGGGGAGAAGGTAAACGGCGTTTCCATGCACTGCTCTGGTTCGCCAGAAGCGGCTTAGTCATGCTGGCCACATGACCCGGAACCTGTACCCCGGCTCCCTCGGCCAATAAAGCGAGATGAACGCCGCAACCCCAGAGTCATCTGTGACTGGACCTAATGGTCATGGGTCCCTTTACTTTTACAGCTCTTGACCAAGAGCCACAACTGGCCCACTGAGGCTTCTCAGCTGCCACAACAAGCCACCTCTCCTCTTTCTGCTCCTCCTCCTCCTCCTTTCCCACTCTTGGAAGGACACTCAGCATCAAAAGTCGTCAGATGATCTCAGAGCAAGGGATCCAGGGCAGCCTCAGCTCCCCCCCCAAAAAAACAGGAGAGGACCACTCCATTTCTTTCCTTTTTGCGTCTAGGATTGTCGTGAGCGGTTCAAAGCTGAGGAAGTGGATCGATCCCAAGTCGGCCCAAGTGTTTGACTTCCAGAGCGCCTTCAAGCTGAGCCAAGAGGAGGTAAATCACATTCAGTGTTTAAGCCCTTGGTTCAAACAGGGTTTCCTGGGGCTTGCAGTGCATGGTGGGAAAACAATGTGTTCTGGCTTTGGCGACAAGAGATGCTCTGAGCTTCCCTGTTGTTCTCTCCTCCCGTCCAGGCTCTGGCCATTAGCGACCATTTCCCGGTGGAAGTGACACTGAAATCTCGCTGAAGCTCCGTGCGACCTCGCAGCCTTGCTTTGACACCCCGTGCCGGAAAAGGGGTTTCGGCCACCCTTGGGTCTTCTCACCCCAGTTACATGTTCACTCGCAGACGTACAAAGCTGTCTTGATGGACCTGTGGTCTTTCCAGACCAGTATTGCCTCTTCTGCTTGGTAGTGTCAGCCAGCAGAGGAAACAACCCCTAAGGCAGGTTGCCAGGAACGGATCAGACAAGGAAAAGTGCTTACCATCTGCTTTCATTCAATATTTACAGAGAGAGGCTTGGAACACAGCCTCTCAGAATAATGGCGTTGTCCTGAGTGACTCTCCACCCCCTTTTCCCTCCCACTTCCTCATTCATCATCTCTTCCATGGGTTGTGCTGAGGGCCATTTGCTTCCGAGCCCTTTGCTCTCCTACTTTCAAGGCTGTTCTGGGAGAAGGGGGTTCTGGAATGCTTTCTTAAGACACTGCGTCCGTCAGCTGTTGCCCTCCTGGTGGTTCCTCTTCCTCCTCCTCCTCCTCCTCTCCCATTATTTCCCAGCTTTCCCCCTCATCTGCCTCTGAGCTGTAACCTCCCTCAAACCCCAGTCTTCTTCTCTAGAAGGGTCAGGCTGGTCATTTCTCCTCTGCCCAGTCCCTGACAGGTACTCTAGCTGCTTCCTGAGCTTAGGCAAAGGAGAGCCTCTTCCCTTGAGATCTTTGTGGCTCACAGGTGGGAGAACCTGTGGCTCTCCTGATGTTGCTAGACTCCCAGTGCCCACCAGCTCTTAGCCAGCAGATTTGGAAGATGATAACTGGAGTCCAACATTATCTGCAGGTCCTCCAGGTCTTGTTTTTGCTAGAGTTGTTGCTGCCAGGGATGGAACCTGGAACCTTCTGTTCTTCTGCAGACCAATTGACTTATGTGACATTGTCCACCTGTGTTGTATTCCACCTGAGCTGAGCTGGAGGGCACCAAAAGGCCTTCGAGAGATTCAGTGGGTTGCAGTGAGAGGGAGAGGAAACCTGTGGGTCTCCAGACGTTGCTTAGGGGGACAGGGCTGTAGCTCATCTGCTTTGCATACAGAAGGTCTCAGGTTTGATCCCTGGTGTCTCCAGGTCGGGCTGGGAGAACCTTCTTAGCTGAAATCACAGAGAACTCCTAACAGCTGATGCAGACCATTCTGACCTAGAGAAGTACCTGCCTTAGTAGAAGGCAGATTATCGGTCGATGTCCCTTGCTGGACTATAGCTCCCCATCACCTCTGACCACTGGCTAAGCAACATTTGGCAGGCCACAGGCTACTCCCACTTAGCACACTGGATTGGCGAGGCCATTGAGCTCTGGATGACTTTGGGACTAACCTACCTCATGTGCTGGTTGTGATAAAAGAGAGGAGGGAACCGTAAGTACACAAGGAGAGTCTGCTGGATCAGACCAATGGCCCCTCTCATCTAGCATCTTCTCCTCACTTTGGCCAACCAGATGCCCCAAGCACGACCCGGGCACAAGAGCACTCTCCCCTCTTGTGGTTTCCAGCAACTGGTATTCAGATGTACTGCTGCCTCCAGCTGTGGAAGCAGAGAATATTCATCATGGCTACTAGCCACTGATCATCTCCTCCATTAATCTGTCCAATTCTCTTTTAAAGCCGCCCAAGTTGATGTCCATCACTGCCTTCTGTGGGAGTTCCATAGTTTAACTATGTATTATGTGAAGAAGTACTTTGTTTTAACCACGCTGACCATGGATGCATGATAATAAATAAAATAAACGATGCCCAGTCTCCTGTTTTTAAGGCATAATAACCACTTTTGACTCCACAGACCCTGTTAAGTAAATTTAAAATAGTTTACTTACTAAATACAAAGGTATGGTATGTGTGTTATTCCATGCACCAGCAAGAAGATCCAGAGGTGTTGCACAAGTCAGGGCTGGGGCACCTAGTAGCCTTCCAGCTGCTTCTGGACTACAACTCCCATCATCCCCATCCAGAATAGCCAACAGGATGGTTTGATGGGATCTGTAGTTCAGCGGCATCTGCAAGGCCAAAGGGTACTCAGCCCTGGCCCTAAGCCTATGGCTGCAGTTAGGAAGAGACCAACCACAGCCTCTCTTTTAGTGATTTATTGACCATTCACATTTTGCGCAAAACTGATTCTTCCTACGTGCCCAAAGAGCGAGCCTGTGGCCTAATGTGCCCCTCGCAGAACGGGCCTCAGCCCCACTTGCCCACAACCTGAGATCCAGCGTCCAAAGGAAAAAACCTCGAGAGCAAAACTCTGTGCAAAAGGCACCAGCTGGGAAACAAAGGCGCTTGAGATAAACAGTGATGAGGTCACGGGACCAGGAATCAAGGCTGCTCCGCTCCCAGGTCAGGCTTTCTTCTGCTTCAGCATCTGCATGTACATCTGGAGGGATTTCTGGATAGAGTCCCTGGAGATGAAGCGCACAAAGTTCTGGATGTCAGCTTCACGGTGCGCCAGGAGGTGGTCCACTGTGGGCTTCCTCATCGAGGATTTGGAAAGTTGGCGGGCATGGTCTGGGTAGCAAGAAGAGAAAGAGAAAGAGAGAGCGCATGTTGAATTGCGGCCCAGTGTCATGGACGCATAGGACTGCTGGGAACAGGACCGTCTTTACCCGAGGGTGCAAGGGGTGCGGGGCACTTGGGCGCAGATGTCTGGGAGGCACCAGGTGCCTGCCGCTGAAGCCGCCTAAGCTCTTAATTATCTACCTGTTATGAAATAATAAATAATTTTGATCAAGCTAGAAAAACAAAATACAGTCATACCTCAGGTTGAAGTAGCTTCAGGATAATTATTTTCAGGTTGCGCACTGCGGCGACCCGGAAGTAACGGAGCACGTTACTTCCGGGTTTTGCCGGTCGCGCATGCGCAGATGGTCAAAATGACATCACGCATATGCGCAGAAGTGGCGAATCGCGACCCATGTTCGCTTCTGGATGTGAACGGGGCTCCGGAACGGATCCCGTTTGCATCCAGAAGTACCACTGCACATATAGGTAATACCGAAATGTATACCTACTGTTTCACTAAAGGGCTTTCGACTTTGTGCGCTCATCTACCAAAGACGCGCCGCACCAGCGGTGGCGCTTGTCATTCGCAATGGCGCCGCTTGTCAGACTTGGGGGCGCTGGGTGGATCTTTGCACCCCGGCAGCGCATATGCTAAAGACTCCCCTGGGTGGGAGGCACCAGCTGGGGAACCCCCAAAAGGAACCCATAAGGGAAGAAGACTTAGAGCCTGGGCAGTGCTGGTGGGACGATGATGGGGGGGGGGAGACTGGAAGGAGGAGTGTCAGAAGCTGAAAAGGTAACAAGGTTTAGTGAGCAGGAAGAGACTGCGGCAGAGAGAGGCCCAGAAGCAGAGGCTAGAGAGGAGCAGGGCCAAGAGGCAGAGATCAGGCAGGCTGTTGAAGATGCCAGGGGGTCTTCCCCTCCTGCTGCGACCAGCTCCCCTCCCCCCTGGTCTCCCAGAACCTGCAGAGGTATGAAGAGGGAGGAGCAAAGACAGACAAGGTGTTTGAGCCTCAGATAGCTTGGGAAGGAGAAGACTTGGAGACCAGGGACTTTTCAGTTCCCACAACTGCCTGCTTAGGGAAAGCCCTACTGGGAAGCGGGTTTTTTGTTCATTTGAATAAAGAATTAAGTTTATTGATATCTTGCAAGTTATTGATGACCTTCTCCTGACCCATGTGATCGGAAGCCTTTCTTCCTGGAGCCTGCTTTAAGCCAACCCTCCCACCTTGCTGCCAATTCCCTCTGCCAACAGACCTTTCTTTCACCACTAGGGTATGAGGCAGTATGGTATAGTAGTTAAAGCAGGGTTGGTCTGGTACCAAGGAAACCTTCCCCACTATAGGACATTATTTGTTTTGGAACGTGTATTTGTGGTGCAGGATTCTGGGGGCAGGTGTGGGCTGCCTCACCTGGAACGGCCAGCCACTGGGCCATCACCTCTGCAGCCACCTTCTGGATATTCTCTTCGGGCGCCAACTCATCCACGATGCCAATTTTGAGGGCATCAGCGGCAGGGTATAGGAGTCCCAGCTGGATGGACCGGTCCGTGGCTCTGTGGCCAATGGCATTGACCATTGTGTCTTTAAACCTGGCAGAGAGAGAGAGAGAGAGAGAGAGAGAGAGAGAGAGAGAGAGAGAGATAACTGAGACCTATCAGCACATGTGGTGGAGCTGCTCCAAGAGAAAAACGTTCTTGGACAAAAGCAGTTTCTGAGATCTCATCGATAATTATTTTTATTAAAATTTACATACTGCCCTTCATCTGATCACAGCGTGGCACATAACAACAATAACCTGCTGCCTAAATACACATTAAAAAGGCCATAGGTTTTTTTTAATCAGCAAAAGGCTGATTAAAATGGCACCTAAAGATATGTAGTAAAGGCACCAGAGGCATGGGAGAAGAGGAATATTTTTGCAAGGCACCTAAAAATGTATTATGAAGGCACCAGGAAAGCCTCCCTGGGAAGAGCATTCCAGAAACGGGGAGCCACTACAGAAAAGGCCCTCTCTTGTGTTGAACACCCTCCAAATCTCTCTTGGAGTGGGCACACAAAGAAGGGATTCAGATGATGATCTCAGGGGCTGTGTTGGTTCCTATGGGGAGAGGCCGTCCTTGAGGTGTAACAAATGAGCCACCCCTCTCTTTGCCTGATTCTTTAGATTTGGATTGAGATCTGAATAACAAGGAGCTAATCTTGTGTTCTTTGGTAGCAGCTTGGGCCACTGTCACCAAGTTTTGAAAGACCTTTGATCTGAATAATCTCTACTATTGGTATTCCAAGACTTGGAAAATCGCCAGTCTGGAGGGAAAAAACAACCCTTATGTACTTTGGCCTTTGCACACTTTTGGTTTATGTGAGGGTTGTTTTTTTCCTCCAGACTGTATTCTAATTTTATTTTATATACAAACACAGTTAGCTCAGGAGCCTCGGCCCCACAGGTCTATGTGAGTTTTGGGATTTAGTACCGTTGAAGGTTACTTTTTATCTTCTTTTTCTTCTGGGGGGAAAAATGGCAATTTAGACCATTGGATTCTTTCAGTATTTATAGATTACACAGCCTTTTCTTCTCTGTAGGTTTTATTATTGACTCACAGTGCCTGTATTTTCCATATCTATTGGCAATTTTGACAACGAATCTTTTTCTCCTCTCATTTTGTCCTCTCTACCTGCCTGTCACCATCATCGTTATTATTAATTAAATTTGCATACTGCCCTTCATCTGTAGATCTCTGGGCGGTCCACAACGTAAAATACAGTATATAAAAAAAAACAGAAAATGTGTAATAAAAATAAGAGCAAAAACAAGCGAATAATCCCCCAATCATTATTGAAGTGCAGTAAAATGGAGGGAGGCAGGAGAGACATTCAAGCAGGAACGAACGAACGACAGGCTAGGTAGCGTAGCCAGGAATTTAAGCTGTGCTTAACATTATTATTATTATTATTATTATTATTATTAATACCCCACCCATCTGGCCGGATTTCCCCCAGCCACTCTGGGCGGCTCCCAACAGAATTAATGAAGATAATAACAATAATAATAATAATAATAATAATAATAATAGATAAAACATCAGACATTAAAAGCTTCCCTAAACAGGACTGCCTTCAGATGTCTTCTAAAAGTCAGATAGTTGTTTATTTCCTTGACATCTGATGGGAGGGCGTTCCACAGGGCGGGTGCCACTACCGAGAAGGCCCTCTGCCATGTGGTTGGCTGTGCCGAGGTTCAGAGAAACCCTAGAGAAGTTGCAGCGAATTGCACCCCACACCCCCATTCTTCTTCTTCTTCCTCCTCCGCCACCTCACCAGAAAGGGGCAACGATTCCCAGCTTCGTCTCATTCAGCCCAATGCTGTACTTGGGATTGTCGGCCATGATCCTGTAGTCACAAGACATTGCCATCAGGCAGCCGCCTGCGGGACTGGAACCCTGGGAGGAAGCAGAGAACAGGAAATCTAGGTCAAGGGTGGAGAGCCTTAGGCCTAGGAGCAAAGGTGGCCCTCTGGGTCTCTCTATATGGCCCTTGGAACTCTTCCCAGGTCGCACCCCTCACTGGCCCTGCGTCACACCCAGAGTGTTTCTGCTCCGTTTATTGTAAACATTTGGTTAGACCACAAGATGTAATGCTGTAATATAATAAGGAATGTATGTCTAAAGTATAATACAAAAATTTATTAAGGAATTATAGACTGTATATATAGGAAAGGTAAAGGGACCCCTGACCATTAGGTCCTGTCATGGCCGACTCTGGGGTTGCGCTCATCTCGCTTTATTGGCCGAGGGAGCCGGCGTACAGCTTCCGGGTCATGGCCAGCATGACTAAGCCGCTTCTGGCGAACCAGAGCAGCGCACGGAAACGTTGTTTACCTTCCCGCCAGAGTGGTACCTATTTATCTACTTGCACTTTGACGTGCTTTCGAACTGCTAGGTTGGCAGGATGATGGGAATTGTAGTCTCAAAACATCTGGAGGGCTGAGGTTGATGAAGCCTGAGCTAGGGTATTTTAAATTGTTTGGATACTTAGATCAGGTATAGGCAAACTCTGACCCTCCAGATGTTTGGGACTACAATTCCCATCATCCCTGACCACTGGTCCTGTTAGCTAGGGATGATGGGAATTGTAGTTCCAAACATCTGGAGGGCAGGAGTTTGCCTATGCCTGACTTAGATCGTTGAAACAGGGAAACAACCAGCTCTTTCTTGAACTCATCATTTCCTTGTTTTATTCCTGGGTAAACCTGCCTGGTGACATAACCATTCTCAGGTGATGTTATCAGTGTGTATTTTTGCCATTTAAAATGGGGCATTATTTAGATGGTGGTGGGGCAGTACCTGAATTTATGCAGACCGCTGCATGGGAAATGCATCCAGAAGACCAAATGTATCGAGAAGCGAGTGACCTGACAGGGTTACCCTTCCTGCCTCTGTTCCTTCCCCGCTCTTGTTAAGTTTCTGATGGTGTGGGAACAGTCTTTAATGTTCTGAAAACGTTGGGAAGAGCCCACCCCCCCAGCTGCCTTAATCACTTGTGGATCAGTTGTGCTGGGTACCTTCTTAGATGTTGGACATTGTTTTGAGAAAGTGAGGCATTGGGAGGGAGTGGCGAATGGATGATCTGCACGTAGTCTTGGAAGCCACACAGGCTACCTATAAAATGGGATGGTTTGGGCAGAGTTTCTTGGAAGCTGGTGCACAGACTGACCGGCCGTGGGGCTTCAGCAAAAGCAACGCAAAGCCTCCGGAGCGCGGGGGGAGCTCTCCCTTTGTGCTTCAGAGGCTTCGTGTTGCTATAGCTGAAGCCAAGGCACCTGCATTCGCTCCATAGGACGCACACACATTTCCCCTTCATTTTTGGAGGGGGGAAAAGTGCGTCCTATAGAGCGAAAAATACGGTATTTTGTATTGCTTCTGAATCTCATTTTAAAAGACCCACCTTGCCTTTGGCAAGACAACCGCTGCTTGAATTGCACTAATTCCTAAACCCACCCCAGGTCCAAGCCTGCAGCGTTACAATAGCTATACATTCATGTCTGAACTGCACTGGGGTGTGCTTCGAATAGCCCATTGAGCAAAGAGCTAAAAACAGTAGCGGCTTATCCGTTAGGGCAAATGGGGCACTGCCCCACCGACCGCACTCTGCTCTCACCTGCCTGCCTTCTTGCTTACCGCTGGTCGGTGGCTGGCTCTGCCTGGCTCTGGCGCCCCCTACTGTCGGCCTCCCTGCCTTCCACCCTACCAACCACCAGCGGCCACTGGCTTAAGGTGATTCTGCTGGAGGGATAGGGAGTAAATAAATGGAACTTGCATTGACAGCTGCAATGGTCACCAGGCTGGAATTGTACAGAGTAATCCACATCTGCTGCACGGCTTTCCAGAACTCGGCGTAGTGCTCCTCGCTCTTCCCACACATCTCCGTGATGTCCAGGCCCCCAGAGAAGATTTTGGGGACAACCTGGGAAAAGGAAAAGGATCTGTCATAGCTGGCAACGTGCCTCCCTGATTCACGCCACGCTGCTTCACTCTGAAAAGTCCTACGGGCCGTTTTTGCCCAGCTCCCAGAAAGAGGAGAGATCTTACGATACAATACGATAATCTTTATTGTCATTGTCCTATACAGAACAACAAAATTGAAAAATCTAACCTGGTTAGCCCCCTAAAAACTCTGATACCCCATTTTTAAATACAATATACTCCCATAGAGACTCCTTAAAGGTAAAGGTAAAGGGACCCCTGACCATTAGGTCCAGTCGTGACTGACTCTGGGGTTGCAGCGCTCATCTCGCTTTATTGGCCGAGGGAGCCGGCGTACAGCTTCCAGGTCATGTGGCCAGCATGACTAAGCCGCTTCTGGCGAACCAGAGCAGTGCACGGAAACGCCGTTTACCTTCCCACTGGAGCGGTGCCTATTTATCTACTTGCACTTTGACGTGTTTTCAAACTGCTAGGTTGGCAGGAGCAGGGACCGAGCAACGGGAGCTCACCCCATCGCGGGGATTCAAACCGCCAACCTTCTGTTCGGCAAGTCCTAGGCTCTGTGGTTTAACCCACAGCGCCACCCGCGTCCCCTTATAGAGACTCCTTACACTGTGTTTAAAACCAAAATGGCATTTGGGTAGAAACTGTTTCTCTAGTCCTAGTCTTTATAACCCTGTACCTTCTTCCAGAAGGCAGAAGCTGAAAGAGATCATTTCCGGGGTGCGCACTATCCTGCAGCTTTCTTATGGCACTTGGAAGCATAGATTTGATCCAAGGTGGGAAGAGTGCATCCAATTATTCTCTCCGAAGTCTTTACAACTCTGGACAGCATTGTTTTTCCCCTGACAGTGCAGCTCCCAAACCACACACACAGACCATAAGTTAATACACTCTCCACAGTGCAATGGTAAAATGCCATCAACGGGTCCTTTGAGAGGTCTTGTATCCAGGGTTGGCTGGTGCTAAGGGTTGGCAGGGTTAGGCACCTGTCAATCATCATCATCATCCCTGCCTGTGCCATGGACGCTCCCACCCAGCATAGCTTGCCCCCCACCAGCCAGCAAAGATGGACCCAGAACCAAATGGACGATTGCTATTTTTTTCTATTTGTCACCCGTACCGAGGTCAGGATGACACCGCGGCACGCTTTGTTGTTCTCCAGCTTTTCCAGGCTTATGGAAAGCTCCGTCAGAAACTCCAAGCTAAAGCTGTTAACCGGTGGGCTCTTCATCTTCATCACTGCTACCCCTGAACGAGAAACACAAGGAAACAAGAGTTGCTGCCAGAGATTAGGAAGTCCACCTACCTCAGTGTTGTCTACCCTGACCAACAGCTGCTCTCCCGGGTTTTTGGACCAATTCACAAAGGATGGATCTATTATTGCTTCCCAGCCGTGACAGCTAAAGAGAACCTGCATGTACAGAAGCAGTATACCTATGAAATGCTGTGTGCTGGGAGCCAACACACTCTCCCAAAGAATCCTGGGAACTGTAGTTTGCGAAGGGTGCTGGGGCTTGCGGCTCCATGAGGGGTAAAACTGCAGTTCCCAGGATTCTTTGCAGGAAGCCATGTGCTTAAAATGTATGGTGTGTACGCCACCACTCCTTCAAAGAACCACACAAAAGGATGTGGATAGCTCAGTTGGTTAGTGTGTGGTGTTGATAACGCCATGGTTGCAGGTTTGATCCCCATAAGGGACAGCTGCATACTCCTGCCTTGCAGAGGGTTGGACTAGATGATCCTCAGGGACCCTGCCAACTCCACATTTCTATGAAATGCAAGCCTGAGGGGGTTTACCTGTGCCCTCATCCAGTTCCACCAGGATCTTGTTGTTGCTGAACGACCTCCTCTGGACAGCAGGGCATCTGAGTCTCTGGGCGGCAGCTCGGCTATGTTGAAACTGAAGTAAAGAACCTGGGGGGGGAATCCAGATATTACCAGCTTGTCGTTGCCCAGGAGAGTGGCAGCTCAGCAGCTGAGAGCCCACTGCCTTGGGGTGAAAAGAACCAACATTTTAGGAAAGGAATCCTTGCCTTTTTTATTCTTTCTGTTGCTCCTCCTCTCATAAGCAGCTTTTCAAACTTCCTTTCAGAAGTGGCTTTCTACATAGTTCAGGCTGCTGCTGAAGAAACGAGGGCACGCTTTAATTTTAAAGCACATCCGAATAACGTTCTTTCCCTCAAAGAATTCTGGGCACTCCTCAGAGTTCCAATTCCCAGCAACCGTTAACAAACTACAGTGCCCAGAATTCTCTGAAAGGAGGAATGTGTTTCGAATGTGCTTTAAATGTATCTTGTGTACCTGGTCTTTTGCTCTAGATGGGTTTTCCTTTTGTAATACTGAATTTATTCTGTATTGTTTATTTTTTGTTATTCAGAATTTACTGACATGTTCTGTATTTTGTAGACATGCAGATCACAATTTCCAACAACAATGCGTTGACAGGAAGTTGTTTTATAAACAAGTGTTTACATAATGAACTGACAATTTCCATGGATTCCTGCTGAACATTGAATTGTGACCCCAACATGGCAAAAGAAACCAGGAAAACCCTCTGAAACAATGAAAAATGCCCTCGTCTCTCCCTTCTTCCAACCATGGTTTCTGGTGAATCGGCTGCTGCAGACCAGCAAAACACAAACAGCAAGGCTTGTTTAAGGCTGCTTATTTGTTACAGAACTACACACAGGTTTGGCTGCTTGGATATTAGAGGTCTCTGAACAACTCTGAACCTGTTCCGGTACTTCCGGGTTTCAGCGGTCCGCAACCCGAAAAAACACAGCCTGAAGTATGACTGTACATGGAAGGGGTAGTACTCTGGTGGAGGACATGTCATGATCCTTCTGGGGTTGTTTGTCCATCTTTGGCCCCCACCCTGCACTCAGCTCTCAGCTGTGGCTCCTAGAAGCTGTCAGCATGCGACAGCGGCCACAATCCCAGGAACGGCTTTGACTGACCAGCTAAACCAGGTGAGGTGAGCCCAAACCCTCGGTGAGTGTGGCGTGAACATATGAGAGTGCTGGAGGTGAAATAGTTAAACAAGTTACCCAATCAGAATCCAGGGGGGTGGAGTCAGAGGGACTATAAAACCAGCTCTGGGAGCGCAATTGTTGGGAGTTGGGTGGTTGGAGTGGAAGACTCTGTGAGGAGGTTGAGATAGTGTAGCGAAATAAGCTGAGTCAGGAACAGTTAGGGGCTAGGAAGACAAGTAAATATCTGAGAGGTGGTTTAGTGAGTGAGAGCAGGTAGCAGAAGTTATAGGTCTGGATAGGTACCCCATGAATGTAATTGATCTATACCGTTTATGAAACCACACGCTTGTTAAACTGCAATAAATAAACAGAAGTTTATGTTCCAATTTAACCGTGACTGGACTCAGTATTGTACCAGGTAGGGCCTTGGTGGTGGCAGCAAGAAATAAAGTGGTGGCACAGGGATCAATAGACGGTGAAACGTCCGGGGACCCTGTGTGATTGCCACAGTGAGTTCGCCACTTCCCCTGTGTGTGAAGACAAACTCCAGCAGTTTGAGAAGACCAAAAGTGGGTCCAACGGTCAAGAAGGCCGTTCCTGCACATGCCACAGAAGGAAGTGAGTGGCAGATGGGGCTCACCCACCTAGGAAAACTCTAGAAGGAAAACTCTGATCCTAAACCTCCGCTGCCTTGTGGGGTATCTTCGGGGGGAAGAAAAGGCTAAGGAGTAAACCCTACACAAATCTGGAGTCCCTATGGTGGTTGCAGGGCTCCTTCCAGCAATTCCTGCAGCCAAGTTGGTGCCAAACGTCTTGCTCTGCTTTCCTTTGGACCACATCAGCGATGCTGAGAGGGGGGTCTTGTCATCTGGTCAGCCCAGAACCCCCCCCTACACACTCCCCAGGCGTAAACACCCGCTCCCAGTCACACTCCATTGTCTCTAGAGACAGGCAGATGCCAAAATCAAAGTACCATACAGATGAGGCCTTACTTCCAAAGTGAGAACACACGGAGGAGGCTGTGCCTCAGATTAGATGTCCCTGATCCCAGGCAAAACACCCCTTCCCTTAAAATCTGCTTTAAGTTGTTTTCTCGCTGGTCCCCTTGCTGTGAGAAGCCAAGTCACAGGGAATCAGGCAGAGGCACCCACCCTGTGGAACACCCTCCCACCAAATGTCAAAGATAAAAACAACTACCAGACTTTTAGAAGACATCTGAAGGCAGCCCTGTTTAGGGAAGCTTTTCATGTTTAACAGACCACTGTATTTTAATATTCTCTTGGAAGCCGCCCAGAGTGGCTGGGGTACAAATAAATTATTATTATTATTATTATTATTATTATTATTTCTCGGATGCCGATGCTGCCTTGCACAGGTTTTGAAAAAAGCTTTTAATGGGGTTGTCCTGCTGATTTCAGAGCAGACTTTGATGTTAAACATTTAGGAAGGAAACAGAGAAAATACATTGCAATCCTTTGAGACGCTCCCCTAAGTTTCGCTGAACTAAGGGGGACTTGCTCCCGAGTAGACGAGGCTGCCTGCTGGCCTTCCAAGCAGGCCTGAGGCCCAGCAATGGTCTCAAAGTCACCCTTGCCAAGGTGGGCTGGAAGGGGAGCAGAACGGGGAGCCCCCCCCCGCAACCCGCCCACTTCACGCCCCTCGATGCAGCGGATGCAGCCGCAAAGCCGGCGCTTTGCATTCCCCGGAGCGCTCCTTGCAACGCCCCGACGGCGCGGACCGAAGCGCGCAGGAGCGTACCTGAATAGCGGAGCTGCTGCCAAGCCCGGGACACCGTCGCTGCAGCCGCCATGTTGCACGGGAGGCAGGAGCAAGAGGCGGAGGAGGAGGAGGAGGGTTGGCCCAGCGTGTCGAGGCCGAGATCCGCCCCGGTCGCGCCCCTCCGACGGCTTCTCTTCCTGCCCACCCGGAGGAGCTAGCAGAATCCCTCCACGAGGACTAGCCTCTGGCCCGGGGCACGACTGCGCGGTATCCTTGGTTGCGCGTTTACTCGCGAGTAAGGCCGCGCCGAGTCGCACCCGAGGATGTTGCCTGACCGTGCTCGTCGTCGGGCTGCAAGATCGCCCGTGTGGCAGGGAGTTCCGTAGACAGAAGTGCCTTTTGGGGATGGAAGGATGGCATCCGCCTGGCCTTGCCTCGCTCCACGCTTGTGGCAGCCCAGGAAGGAACTGGCCGCGGGATGCCCGGACCTAGTCTTTTTACTTATTTTACCATTTAGTATTTATTTCAAGCACGCGCCTGAAATCATACCCCGATTCTCGCCTGTGTCTCAAGGTGGCTTGCAAAAATTATAAAAAATAAAACACCCAATGCACAGAATTTAAAACGTCGGAAAACCAAGACCGTTCGTGGTATGTTTTTCATTACATTTTTGAAACCTCTCTTGTAAACTTTGCTGTACGCCGCCCTGTTCTTTTACACAAGGGGAGGTCTATAGATATACAGTATAGATCTAAGAAGAGCACTCGTGGGGCAAAGACCTCCTGAAATAAAACTGGTTTTGACCTCGACGCCGGAAACTTTGCAAAGGACAGCGACATGCCTGTTCTCTCCCCATAGGATCGGGCCCCCTTTCCACTGGAGGCGCCTCGGCCCCCGAGTCCTGCTTCTAACCCACTAACACTGGAGCATCGGGGAATTTCTAATTTATTTTTTAACCCTGAATCCGCTCGTGCACACGCGCAGCGCGTACATTAACTTTCCCGTGCACGTGTCGGACCAGGCGGTGCACAAAAACCTGGGGCGCCTTCACCTCTCGGGATGCCAAGATTCTCTTGCAAACCCATCAAATCAGGGCAGAAAGGGGAAGGGCGGCGGAGAGGCTTCAGGGGACTCCGCTGGGCATGCGCGAGGCGGTTTTGCGCACGCGCCTGGGGAAGCAGCCTTCGAACGGCCCGCTTCTCCCCGGGAGGGGGGTGTGTGGTCACGTGGGCCGCGTCACGCTCTCGGGCCAGAGGGGAGGGAGGGGGGGTCGGCGGAGTGGGGGTTTGTTTCCGGAAGTGCCCGCGCTTCTGCTGGGCCTGAGCCGAGGCCTGACCCGGCCCGCGGCTCTCGCTGCTGCTGCTGCTGCTGTCGCTGAAGCCGGAGCCGGCCAGCCAGCCGCAGGGATGGAGATAACCAGGAACAGTGAGTCCGGCTGGGGTCGGGGAGAGGGTCAGCCACGAGAGCGCCTCTGAGCATATGCAGAGTGGCCTCCCGCCGCCCCTCCTCTTGGCTGCCCCTCAAGGCAGGCTGAACTTCCTCCCTTGGGGTGGGGGTTGGGGGGAGGCCGAGAAGGAAACCTGACCCCCCCCCAGAACAGGTGGGGGGTGGGCAGAGGCCCAGATCCTGCCCCTTCCTCCTGCTGCTCAGGCTGCCCCTGATCCCTCCAGGCTGATATTTCCCCCCTCCCTCCCCACACATCCTTTATAATGCCCCCACCCCAAAAAACCCACAACACCCCCCATTCATACCCTTTGCCATTTGCTTTCCCACATTGCCCCCATTTAGTAGTGCACTTAATGTATTATATTGTGTTTTAGGTGGTCTGTTTCCTTCCTTCTCTACTGATTATTTGATTGATATATATATATATATATATATATATATATTGCATTCCCCCCCCCATTTTATTTTATTTTTTAAAAACACGACCAGCTACAATACAAGAGGAAATTGATAGAACTGTGACGCTGAGCACCGTGTGCGTATCTGCAAAAAGCCTCTTCTCTGTGTCATGGATGGGAGGGAAAGACCCCTCTGTTGTTTTCATCAGCTTAAAAAAAAGAAGAAGATTATGCTGGAAGGAGAGAGTCCGCGTAGATCTTTTCCCAACAGGCTTGTTTTGCGTGGTGGCCATCCATGTGCATCATGCTGGCTTCCGGTCTGTCGCTGCAGTTATGCGTTGTAGTATGCCGGCTAGGATATGATTTATAAGAAGCAGAGGAAAACAGGGAGGTGGAAGCAGGAGAAGATCAGTTTCGTTTTCTGCCTGATCTGTAATGCATCGGGCTGGCCACTGTGAAAACAGGATGCTAGACTTGATGGGCCTTTGGCCTGTTTCCACAAGGTCTCTTCTTCTGTGTGTAGGTTTAGTTGTACAGTTGGGGACAATCTGCTCTTATGTATTGCTGTCTCAACACTCACACACACCCCAATTTTGGGGGCATGCTGCTTGGAGCTTTCCCCTCTGGCCGCACATGTTGCAGCCCATAGCATGTGACAGAAAAAAATACTGAACTACTGAAATGCAGTTTAAATACAGGGTTTTTTAAAAAAACAAAATAAAAAATAAATCAGTTAACTGTCATGCAAGAAGCTGGGTTTACAATTTTATTGCAACCTTGCTTTTTAATGACACCCATTAACAGATACGCTGTGGCCAGTAACTGAAATAAAACCATCCATTAATGGATACATTTCTAGTCTTCCAACGACCATTTTTGCCAGACAGTTCTATCCATTTACAAAGATTATAATAAAAAAATGAATAAATTCTCCTTCCTGTATAGAAGCATCTTTCATACAGGGACAGAAGCCTTGGGTATGTCTGGCATTCCCATTTACTTCATCTTCTCTGGTAAAATTTACATGGCCATAGGGCAGTCGTCTCAGCTTCACCCGTGTGTCTCCTCCCCCTTCCATAGGGTATCTATGTGCAGCACAGGTGCACTTTGTAATTCTTAATTAAAACAAACAAACGGAGGTGGCATTGGTAAATGGACAACATTTCCAACTTCCACCCTCAGACCTGCCCCATCAGAGTCCTACTAGGGAGTGTCTGGGCTGTGTGAATATAAAAATAGAAGAAGAGGCTACCCCAGATGTTGTTGGACTACAACTCCCATCATCCCTGGCCACTGGTCATGCTGGCTAGGAATGATGGGAGTTGTAGTCCAACAACATCTGGGGACCCACAGGTTGAGAAACACTGAGCTACTGGATCAGGCAAGTGGCCCATTTAGTCCAGCATCCTTGCTTTGTCTGACGGTAGAGATAGAACATAGCCATCAGGATTAGTAGCCATTGAAGTAGGCTTCAAATGTGAAGGAAATAAGCAGCTATCGTATCTTTAAAAGGCATCTGAAGGCAGCCCTGTTTAGGGAAGTTTTTAATATTTAATGCTGTATTGTTTTTAACACTCAGTTGGGAGCCACACAGAGTGGCTGGGGAAACACAGCCAGATGGGCCAGGTATAAATAATAAATTATTATTATTATTATTATTATTATTATTGAATTGCTAAGGATTTATTTTCATCCTGTCGGCATCACCTAGATCCATTTCTTTGTGAAATGGAAAGGGTTTTGTCATTTTCGCTATGGAGCAGAAATGTCTTTTTTAAAATATATGTTTGGAGGAAAGGATGGTGGGGCAGATAAGAAGCTAATGCAGGAGGTGGGGCATTGCACACTGTCAAATTCTTCCCAGTCATATCACGATGGACTCTGGTCCTGGAACATCTGGTGTAGGCAAAGATGGTCCCTGCGTTGTCTGTCCCACACTAGCTGGAATGGGAGTGCTGATACTTAAAGCAACTAGAACATAATTGGACAATGGTAGTACTACATATTAACTGCAACCCATGAAAATGCCTAGGTCAGCCTTTCTCAACCTGTGGGTCCCCAGATGTTGTTGAACTACAACTCCCATCACCCCTAGCTAGCAAGGCCAGAGCTCAGGGATGATGGGAGTTGTAGACCAACAACATCTGGGGACCCACAGGGTGAGAAGTTCTGGCTAGGTGATCCTTAATGTGCTTGGTGAATGTGTTATTTCAATTAGAGAGCTGCGAATGATTCTTCAGAGGTAGAGGGGCAACCATATGTGCTTTGCCCACTTTCATTTCTTGACATGGTCTGTTTCTCTCTCTCTCTTGCCTACAGATTTTAAGGACAATCTCAGCAAAGTTTATGAAGCTATCGAAGATGCAGACTTTTTGGCTATCGATGGAGAGTTTTCAGGTATGGTGTATTTCATGGAATTCTCTCTTATAAATGTAAAGATCTGAATTTGCAGCTCCTTGCGGATCGCTGCTCTGGAACACTGTTGCTTACTGATTATGGGGAGGCTGAAGGGATATTGGTAAAAGCCGATCATAGGATGCTCCTACACTTTCTGTGTTCTGTCTCTTGGGTGTAACAGAGAAATGGTACAATGTGGTACATTTTTAGAGAGGGTGGGAAAAGATTGAGGGACATGAGGATTTCTTTTTTTAAAAAAAGAAGTGTTTATTGATTTATAGGCCTTTGTAGCCCACCCTTCACCATGTGGTCCCAGAGTGGGTTACATAATTCAACTGTTGGAAGCTGTGTGCTTCTGAATACCAATAGCCTGAAATCACAGTAGGGGAGCGTGCTGTTGCACTCAGCTACTGCTTGCATGCTTCCCAATAGACATCTGGTTGGCCACTATGAGAACAGGATTCTGGACTAGTTGGACCATTGGCCTGATCCAGCAGGCTCTCCATATGTTCTTATAATAATAATTTATTATTTATACCCCGCCCATCTGGCTGAGTTTCCCCAGCCAGTCTGGGTGGCTCCCAATCAAGTGTTAAAAACAGTACAGCGTTAAATATTAAAAACTTCCCTGAACAGGGCTGCCTTCAGATGTCTTTTAAAGATAGGATAGCTGCTTATTTCCTTCACATCTGAAGGGAGGGTGTTCCACAGGATGGGCGGCACTACCGAGAAGGCCCTCTGTCTGGTTCCCTGTAACCTCACTTCTCGCAATGAGGGAACCGCCAGAAGGCCCTCGGCGCTGGATCTCAGTGTCCGGGCTGAACGATGGGGGTGGAGATGCTCCTTCAGGTATACTGGACTGAGGCCGTTTAGGGCTTTAAAGGTCAGCACCAACACTTTGAATTGTGCTCGGAAACGTACTGGAAGCCAGTGCAGATCTCTCAGGACCGGTGTTATGTGGTCCCGGCGGCGACTCCCAGTCACCAGTCTAGCTGCTGCATTTTGGATTAATTGCAGTTTCCGGGTCACCTTCAAAGGTAGCCCCACGTTGAGCGCATTGCAGTAGTCCAAGCGGGAGATAACTAGAGCATGCACCACTCTGGCGAGACATCTTCCAACCCCCAAAACCCTCTGCAGAAAGGCCTGACATCGAAACGTACACAGTGATGAGGCCAAACGTACTTGTGGGTGGGCATCCTATAATCCGGGGCCACCACAGAAAAGGTCCTGTCATGTAATGCTGCCCTGTGAGCTTCACAGGACAGGAAAACTACCAGCAGCGTCTTCCCTGCAAATCTCAACACTTGGGTGGATCTATATGGTATGTGGTGTTCCTTGAGATACTTGGGGCCCAAATAATAATTTAGGGTGTGATTTAAGCATGTGCTGCAATCATTACGGATTAAATTTGTAATCCCATAGCTGCTCTAATGCATCCCTAAGAGGCTTGTTCAAACAACCTTTTTATACTTATTAGGAATTAGTGATGGACCATCTGTTAGTGCATTAACGAATGGCTTCGACACACCTGAAGAAAGGTATCAAAAACTTAAAAAGGTAAAAATCTTAAATCATTGCATTACAGTGCTTCGTCGATGAAATATTTTGGACACGGGGTTGTGACATCTGTGTGCCGGACAGACTTCTGTTGCCAAGTACAGCGCTGCAGGGAAACATTTTCAATAAATAGAAATTCAGTGTTGCAAACCAGGCACAGAATGGAAGACTTTCTTCTGTGAATAATAGTCCTCTTTGGGCCACAAGCTTTTATTGGGTCAGGTAGATGGGTTGGTCTTGCTACAATCCTGTGCACATTTACTTGGGAGTAAGCTCCCTTGAACACAGTGGGACTTGCACAGAAGTGAGTAAACGTGTAAACTTGTAAGGGGGTCTCCACATCCTCAGATATTTTATTGGAGGGCCCAAAGGAACCTGGGCCCCTAGGTGTCGGTCCCTGTGGTCATGCTATTGCAATCAGGCCCTGCTTGCAGACTTCTGATTGATCACTGAGAACAGCAGGCTCCTCTTGCATTCTAATGTGTGCATTTATTCGGTTCTCCCGTGGTTTCTTTAACTGGAAAATAAATGTCCTAAACTTCTTTTTCTCTTTCTCTACATCTTTCAAGAGCTTGAGATATTTTTGCTGTGCATTGTTTATATTCTGTTTAGAAACATCCTGGGGTTCTAGTGACCCACAATACGGTCCTCCAGGTTTTGTTGGTCAGCATCTCTGACCAGTGGCCTTGCTGGCTGAGACTCAAGAGACCTGAAGTCCAACAGCATCTGGAGGGCGTTGCATTGAATACTCTGGAGAAATTCTTGATTACTTCACACTTTCATGTACAGTGGTACCTCTGGATGCGAATGGGATCCATTCTGGAGCCCCATTCGCATCCTGAAGCAAACACAACCTGTGTCTGCGCATGCGCAGGTCGCAATTCACTGCTTCTGCGCATGCGTGTGACGTCATTTTAATCGTCTGCACATACGCGAGCGGCGAAACCCGGAAGTAACGTGCTCCGTTACTTCCAGGTCGCTGCAGAGCATAACCTGAAAACGCTCAACCTGAAGCACATTTAACCTGAGATATGACTGTACAAAGTGCCTGAATTCAGTGGGAAATGTAGTTTAGTGACCCTTTAAGTTTCGCTCTGCTTTGGGATTCCTGCGGCTCCTCTGAATGAATAACCGGACTGTTTAGATCTTATTTTTGTCTTGTCCCCTCCAGCATTCCATGGATTTCTTGCTGTTCCAGTTTGGCCTTTGCACTTTTAAATACGATCTCACAGAATCTAAGTACGTCGCTTTCTTGACTTGTTGATTCTTTTAAAGCTTAGCATGTTGATAGCGACAGCCCCATCAACTGACCTCGCAAATCCTTTGCCTTTCCTAGGTACGTTATAAAATCGTTTAATTTCTACATCTTCCCCAAACCTTTCAATAGAACGTCGCCAGATGTGAAGTTTGTCTGTCAGGTTAGTGAGAAGCTTGCTTCATACGTTTTTCCGTTTCCCCCTTCCTTCTGATGCTGTAACGGGGTTGGGTGCAGTTCAGAGCAAAACCTTGTTCTGGGGCCCATGTTTTGTGTTCTTCACCACTTAAAAAAAATATCAACTTTCACTGGATTCAAGTAATGCGTTCGCCTTAAATCTTTTCTTGTTTTCTCTTCCAGAGTTCAAGTATAGACTTTTTAGCTAACCAGGGATTTGATTTTAATAAAGTTTTTCGCAATGGTAAGCTTCGTTTTTCAACTTGCCATAAAGTGTATACTCTCATAATACTGATGTTTCCATAGCTATAACTTCTACTGCCATCTCCCCATTGATGCGTCATCTCAGTTGCAGTGAGCTTCTTCAGGATATTTGCCCAGCAAATGAACTGCTTCTAAAGCACCTGTAGAATTGCTGCTTCCAACTTCTTTATGCATCTGTAACAAGGGCCGTATACTGAAACAATGATTTGGCTTATGTGTTAACACAAAGCCATTGTTTACAGTGCTATATGCATGAATAGGAAGGATCCTGAACAAAGCTCTCTGCCTCCCACGTGGCCAGGAAGACTTTGCTAGTGTTTACTTCATTTTCCCTAATCGGAGTTTGTTGTTAGAATCATAGATTGTGGTTTAGAACTACCTCTGGTCAATTTCTCACCAAGTCAGCTTTAAACCATGAAGCTGGCTTGTTGAGAAACTGACCTGATTATTATTATTTTTTAACCCAGTCTCTGGTTCCTATAAAATGACACAAACCAGGATTAGGAGAAACTGGAAGTAAGTCGTTCTGACCATGTGGAAAGAAGTGGTGTGTGTGTGTGTGTGTGTGTGTGTGTGTGTGTATAAGTATAAGTGCAAGTTTTCATTCAGGATCTTTCCTGCTTGTGTGTGTGTAACACTAAACAATGGTTTAGCATTGCCTTTCCCAAGCTGATGCCCTCCAGATGTTTGCTTGTTTAATATTACATATATACTCCCACCTTTCCTCCGTGGAGCTCCAGGTGGCACAAATGGCTCCCCTCCTCTCCATTTTATCCTGACAACAGCCCTGTAAGGTAGACCAGGTTGGGAGATGCTGGCTGGCCCAAGGTCACCCGGTGGGGATTTAAACCCTGGTCTCCCAGGTCTACAGTCTAACCACTACATAATATAATAATAATAATAACCTTTTATTTATATCCCACCCTCCCCAGCCGAAATCAGGCTCAGGGCGGCTAACATCAAATCTCTAACGTTAGTATAAAATCAGACAATAATCTGGAAGGTGTCAGGTTGGGGAAGGTTGGTTTACCGATGCATGAGAACTGGCCTTGTCCGTTCCCAAGCTGCAGTCTTCACCCGATTTCTCCCTCCCTCTCTCTCTCTCTCTCTCTCTCACACACACACACACACACACACACACACACACACACACACGCTTTGGGCCACAAAAAGCATCACCATTTCTCTCTCCTTTAAAGGAATCCCTTATTTAAATCAAGAGGAGGAAAGGCAGCTACGGGAGCAATATGACGAAAGGCGATCCCAAGCCAACGGAGTGGGGGCCTTGTCGTATGTGTCCCCCAATGCTTCGAAGTGCCCTGTGACCATTCCAGAGGACCAGAAGAAGTTCATTGAGAAAGTAGTGTAAGTGGAAAAAGCGATGCTCAAAAGTTTTGATGTCCTCAGTTACTTCTGTATTTTGAAACCGATTCAGAGCAGCGATTTTCTGAACTAAGCTGTGTTTCTTTTTAGGGGCTGAATTAATTTATACCAGAATATATATGTGTGTGTGGTATGTTGGTTTGTGTGTGTGTGTGTGTTTTCGCATGTGTTCCCTCCCTCTCTCTCTCTCCACTTGCAAGTCAAGTTTTACTGACTGGTTCTCTGATGTTCTGAAACCTGGAGAGCCGTGGTTCCCAACGTAGGGCACACGACCCACAGGGGTGCAATTTGATTTTTAAAGGGGGCAATTCGAGAATGAGTTAGACCAAGTTAAGGGCCTTTTAGCTTCCTCCACGTGAATAGGAGTTCACTTTTTGAATAGTAAGAAATAATTATATGTCACGGCGGGGGGGGGGGAGCATCAGGATTTTAGAGATGCTTAGGTGGGACATGGCCAAAAACAGGCTGGGAACCACTGCTGTAGAGAGAGGAGCCAAGCTTCGTGTTTTGGAGGTCCCCAGCTCAGTCCTCAGTCTCTCCACTTAAATGGCTTTTGGGAATGCATCATTGGACAATCGTCGCTTGAGATCTCGGAGGGCTGTTGCTAGAGTTGACTAGGGAGCTGCACTTGGGACAGAGCAGCTAACTGAATACTTTCAAACAAGTCTAATGTGTCTCCACCCCCATCGTTCTGCCCGGACACTGAGGCCTTCTGGCAGTTCCCTCACTGCGAGAAGCCAAGTTACAGGGAACCAGGCAGAGGGCCTTCTCGGTAGTGGCACCCACCCTGTGGAATGCCCTCCCACCAGATGTCAAAGAGAACAACAACTACCAGAGTTTTAGAAGACATCTGAAGGCAGTCCTATTTAGGGAAGCTTTTAATGTTTGATGCATTACTGTATTTTAATATTTTGTTGGAAGCCGCCCAGAGTGACTGGGGAAGCCCAGCCAGATGGGCGGGGTATACATAAAAATTTCTTATTGTTGTTGTTGTTATTATTATTATTAGTAGTAGTAGTATTCCACCAGGTGGCTTGGGACCTGGGTACCTCTCACTGCTGGACTCAAAACTCCCATCCGCCTCAGCCATCATGGCCAGTTGTCTGGGATGATGGGAGCCGGAGTCAACCGTCACCTGATGAATGCAAATGAACCTTGCATATTTCTCTCCTCTTTTCAGAGAAAGGATAGAAGACCTCCTGCAGAAGGAAGAGAGCACAAATTTGGAGCTGGAACCATGCACAGGGTCAGTTCCTCTAAAAACATAGTTGGGGTCTTGGACAGAGTTTATGGCAGGGGTGAGGAACAGCTTCCCCTCAAGACTTTGCCAGGCTGTGGCCCCCAGCATCCCCAGCTGTTGGTCCCGTTGGCTGGGTTTGATGAGAGTTGTTGTACAACAATATTTGGAGTTCCCCGCCCCTGGTGCAGGGTGGGTGGAGAGAAGATAAAATAGGGAGCCATTCCTTCCTCTGGAAAGCTTAATCTCTCTCTCTTTCTCTCTCTAGATTCCAGAGGAAACTAATTTATCAGACGCTGAGCTGGAAGTAGGTTTTGTGTTGCATTGCTGCTAACTGTTGCGAAAAGAGAAGGGGTTAGGATAGTGGGGAGGAACTAGATTGAATAAAAAGTTAATTTTATTAGAAAGATGATTTTGGAAAACTGTTACAAGGTGATACAATGAAATTCTGTTAGGGGGGATTTGAGGAAGTCAGTTACCAATGTAAAGTGATATTGGTAGTTGAAGTAATAATTTTCTTTTGTGTTTAGTTTAGTTTATTGTAGTGTAATGTGTTTTTCTTTGTTGTATGTTTTGTTATGTTTTCTTTATGATAAATGTGGAAAATCAACAAAAAAAAATTGAAAGAATAAAAAGATTGAATAAAAAGCTGTACAGTCATACCTTGGTTTTCAAATTTAATCCATTCAAGGAGTCCGTTTGATTCCTGGAACAGTTCGAAAACCAAGGCGTGGCTTTTGATTGGAAGCTACAAAAGCCGTGCGAGATGTTTGGCTTCCGAAAATCGTTTGAAAACTGGAACAGTCACTTCCGTGTTTCGATTGTTTGGGAGCCAAAACATTTGAGTTCAAAGGCGTTAGGCTTCCGAGGTTGCACTATATTTGCCACCACTTTTGAAGGGTGGCACAAAGTGGTCATTTTGTGTTCGATAATCAGTGAACTCAGGAGGACTAGCACCCTGCTCAGTTCAAATGGTAAGCCCTGGTGGCCTTTTCTTTCCCACCGGACTGCCTTTATATAGTCCTTGCCTTTGCAGGGACCCCTGATCCAGCACATTCCCTGAATTCTATCAGCTTATGCAAAACCGACACCCCCCCCCACCGCCCAAAAAAATTACTCGGACGTTAACTCTTGTCTTTCACGGTAGGTTTCCGAAAGGCATCCATGTCGAAACTCAGGAAACAGAGAAGGTGGGTAGAAACGTATTTTGAAAGCTCTCCGTTTCTTGGTGAGATTCAGCGGCGCCTGGCGCTCAGTGAGACTCGCAGGGCGGAAGGCAGGGAGAGACAGCAGGATAGGAGCCCATCTGCCCCGGGAGGAGGAAGGCGAGGGCAAGGAGGGCAGGGACCGCTCCAGCTGGACTCTCCCCTCCTTCCTCCCCCACTGCCCACCATTTTGCATGTTACATCATTTGCCCTAGTCCTTTGAAATTGTGAGCCGCCTTGGCAGAAAGGCAGTGCGCAATGCAATAGATAATTGGACCAAGCCAACCATCAGCATCCTTTTCCCTGCTGAGTTCCACAAGGGTAACATGGACACCGAGGAGGAGGAAACTGACTGACAGGGCCACCTCTAGGGTTGATGTAGGTAAGAAGGCAAGGGTGTGTTGTGACAGACCAACAACAGATGGAAGCAAAGCCGAAATCATATTAGCTATTTCTCCCCAAGGATTTGTGAGGCTAGAGCAGGGATGGCCAGCATGGCACCTGGGGGTGCAACTACACCTTTGAGATCTTCACTTGGTGCTCACAAAGCCTCTGATCCCCAAACTCGAAGAATCATAGAATTGTAGTGCTGCAAGGACCCCACAGTCCTTGGGACGCGGGTGGCGCTGTGGGTAAAACCTCAGTGCCTAGGACTTGCTGATCGCAAGGTCGGCGGTTCGAATCCCCGCGGCGGGGTGAGCTCCCGTCGTTCGGTCCCAGCTCCTGCCCACCTAGCAGTTCGAAAGCACTCTTAAGTGCAAGTAGATAAATAGGTACCGCTTTATAGCGGGAAGGTAAACGGCGTTTCCGTGTGCTGCTCTGGTTCGCCAGATGCCGCTTAGTCACGCTGGCCACGTGACCCCGGAAGTGTCTCCAGACAGCGCTGGCTCCCGGCCTCTTGAGCGAGATGAGCGCGCAACCCTAGAGTCGGACACAACTGGCCCGTATGGGCAGGGGTACCTTTACCTTTACCTTAAAGGACCCCAAGGGTAATCTAGTCCCACCCCCTGCAGTGCAGGAAACTCAACTTATGCATCCATGACAGATGGCCATCCAACCTCTGCTTAAACACCTCCAAGGAAGGAGAATCCACCACCTCCTGAGGGAGACCATTCCCCTGTCAAACAGCTCCTTCTGTCACAAAGTTCTTCCAGGTGTTGAGTTGGAATCTCCTTCCTTGTAACGTGAAGCCATTGGTTCGAGTCCTACCCCCTAGAGCAGGAGAAAAGAAGCTTGCTCCATGTTCCATGTGGCAGCCCTTTAGATATTTGGTGGCTATCCTATCTCCTCTCAGTCTCCTCTTTTCCAGGCTAAACATACCCAGCTCCTTCAACCGTTCCTCATCAGGCTTGGTTTCCAGACCCTCGTAGCCTCCTTGGTTCTGAGGTGGGGAGGGTAGTTACCTTTCCCCCCACCCTTGACATGTGCATAGAGGTGAGGTAGGAAGCCAGAAGAGTGATGTTCTTTCCCACTTCCTCTTTCACCTCTATGGGCTTTTCTAGGCTCAGATTAATTCTGCTGGGTCTGAGTTTTACCTAGATGCTTTGGAAGAGCCAAGTGTGTACATGTGCACACTCATGTCTGTGTGGGGGACTGATTCTCGGGGGACAGAGTGACCAGAGAAGTTGGTAGCCATGGCAGTCACTCGCGTGTGCCCACCGATGCCTCAAAGGTGACTTGATAGCCCTAAAGCCTGTGTAGGTTTTCTGCTCCATCTTACATCTTCCTGCAGTAATGCCCCTTTCTCCCCAACTAGAAGGAAAGATACATTATCATTAGCAAAGTGGATGAAGAGGAGCGAAAAAGGAGAGAGCAGCAGAAGCGAGTGAAGGAGCAGGTTTGTGGCTGCATCTCCTTTTCGTTTCAGAAGGGACGGGGGATCTGGGTGGTTGTGGGTGCTGCTGATTGAGAATCACAAGGCCTTGTGGCTCATTGGGCCTTCGCCCTCTTTTTCTCACGCTGGGATGTCTTGCTTGCAGGAAGAACTCAAAGACGCGGTGGGGTTTTCCCGAGTCGTTCACGCTCTTGCAAATTCCGTGAGTTTTGCTGCCTTTTTGGGGGGTTTTGCCCCTATGGTGGGGGTTGCAATTTCCCAACTTGCAGTTGAGAACTTGAGAATCAGTTTCCCTTCTTTAGATAGTGTCCATCGGAGGTGAGATGTGTTGCAACAAGGCAAGGAGTTTCTTTGGTAGTGACACTCCAGCTATAGCAGGGGTGGGGGACCTCAAGGGCCACATTCTGCTACAAGCAAACTTTTGGGGGCCGCGTGCCAGGGGCAGGTCCTGGTGCAGGAGTGGGTTGAGAAACTGATGCCCCTCTTACTGTTGGCTACTTTCCAGCCACACAAAAACTTGCAAACACACACACATCTCATTCCCATCCAAGCACGTAAGATGAATGAATGATCAAGGACCCTTTCCAGCTAGGCAAAAATCACTTGAGGACGGCTACGGAAGGATGTGGCCTGGGAAGATGAAGCAATGCCTATTTAGAGTCCCATGGGCCAAACAGGAAGGCCTGGGGGCCCCTGGTCCTGAGATCCCTCACCTCTGAGCTATGGAAAGCGCTTCTTAGGAAGATATTCCTAGCAGACACACTTTATCTTTTAGGCATGGGATGTAGGTGGCGCTGTGGTCTAAACCACTGAGCCTCTTGGGCTTCCTGATCAGAAGGTTGGCGGTTTGAATTTTTGTGATGGGGTGAGCTCCCGTTGCTCTGTCCCAATCTAGCAGTTCGAAAGCACACCAGTGCAAGTAGATAAATAGGTACCGCTCCTGCGGGAAGGTAAACGGCGTTTCCATGCGCTCTGGTTTCTGTCACGGTGTTCCGTTGCGCCAGAAGCGGTTTAGTCATGCTGGCCACATGACACAGAAAGCTGTCTGTGTACAAACACCAGCTCCCTCGGCCTGAAAGCGAGATGAGTGCCACAAGCCCACAGTCGCCTTTGACTGGACTTAACCGCCCAGCAGTCCTTTACCTTTACCTTTTTCACCTTTGTCTCTTAGGCACCAGATATATATTTTTTTATTCACCCTTAAATTTTTAGATTGTTTTACTTTTATCTGCAGGATGGGTGGGTTGATAAAAAGAGATGGATAGAAGCGTTTTTAACAAGTAAAATAAAGTCTCTGTTGTTTCTTAAAAGTCCTGCTGTAGTATAGTACAGTACCACTGTAGTGGTATCTTTCTCCGATGGGTCTGTGTGTCTGTGTGACCATGTGGGCGGTCCCTTAACTCATGCCTTTGGGCTTGTGAATGGTTCTTCACAGGGCAAGCTTGTGGTTGGACACAACATGTTGCTGGACGTCATGCATACCATCCACCAGTTTTACTGCCCGCTTCCTGAGGTGAGTCGTCCTTGCAGTGTGGCCAACATTTCAAAGGCTGTTCTCCACTTGAACTTGTGCTGCTGTCCTTGCAAGAGAAGCCAAAGGTCTTCTTTCAGGGGTAGCCGATGTGGCCCTCTCAAGATGTTCTTGGACTATAATTCCCATCAGCCCTAGTCATGCATGGCCAATGGCCAAAGATTATGGGAGTTGTAGTCCGAGAACACCTGGAGGAGACCACACTGGCTTTCCCTTCTCTGTTTAGTCTAGCATCATGCCTTCCATCCTGAGCAGCCAGAAAGCCCATCAGCAGCGAATTACAGCCTCCCTAACCTTTGCTCCCAGTTTAACTGATCTTCAAAAGTGGACTGGTTCTGAATTTAGTTTCCCGTTTTGCTATCCCAGCTAATTGTCGTTTATAGATCTATCCTCCCCAGGAACTTGTCTAATGCTCTGTTAAAGCCATCTGAGCTTGGAGCCATCACTACATCTTGAGGCAGAAGGTTCCACAAGTTAACGTCGTGTTGTATGAAAAAGTTATTTTTTGAATCAGAGTTTTAGCTTCATAAGGAAAGGAGAAAAATTTCTCTCCTCACTTTTGGCACACCATGTTGTAACTCCCCTCCCCAAATAGTCACCCTTTCCCCCCTTCTTCAAAACTAAAAGGCCCCAAATCTTGTAAATTTCCCTCACATGTGAGCTGCTCCACCTCCCTTATAATTTTTGTTGTCTTTATCTGACTTTTTTCCACCTCCGCTATATCTTTTTTTGAAATACAGTGAGCAGAACTGTACCCAAGTATTGTTGTACACAGGTTTGTACATAGACATTACATAGTATGGGTACATTTATTTTTGATAAGCCTGTTGCGTGGAATTCACCATAAATAAGCATTGACGCATTTGTACATCCCTTTATTCCTTGTGTGGTGATCATCTTGCTCTGTTTAATTTTTAGGATCTCAACGAGTTTAAAGAACTGGCGACATGTGTCTTTCCAAGGTAGGCTTATTTTGCCCTGAATTCATAAGTTCATTCCTAGAGGGAAACCTTTGCAAGCAAAAATTTGGCCCAGGGAAATACTTTCTTCCCAAGAAAATGAGGCTTTATAGTTTAGCTTCCTGGTTTCAGGAGGGTCAGCTTACACTCTTGGGGCGTTCACACCCATGCATACATCAAGATGAACTGAATTTTGTGATTGGGGGCAGGGGAGTGGAATTGAGTCGCGATGATACATGGCTCATTCTGCTTTTGCTGCTCGGGATCCAGGTTGGGGAACTGAAGAGCTCTCCTGGGTATGGAAGCTCAGTCCCACGGCCAGTGGGAGTCCTGCTCTGCCTAACCTCTGGCTTCTCAGCCGTTACCCTTGATTTCCAAGCCCCAATTTGCATCCCTGAAGACTTGGAACTTTGCAATAAATATAAGCTATGGGTTCTGACCAGCTCCCAGAACCAAAAACTCATGCCTGTGTGACATAATCACAGGTCCAAAGTTCTGGCAATTGTTGGTAAGGGACGCAGGTGGCGCTGTGGTCTAAACTACTGAGCCTCTTGGGTTTGCTGATCAGAAGGTCAGTGGTTTGAATCTGCGATGGAGTGAGCTCCCATTGCCCTGTCCCAGCTCCTGCCAACCTAGCAGTTCAAAAGCATGCCAGTTCAAGTAGATAAATAGGTACCACTGTGGCGGGAAGGTAAACTGCATTTCCATGTGCTCTGGTTTCCATCATGGTGTTCTGTTGCGCCAGAAGCAGTTTAGTCCTGCTGGCCACATGACCCGGAAAGCTGCCTGTGGACAAATGCCGGCTCCCTCGGCCTGAAAGTGAGATGAGCACCGCAACCCCATAGTTGCCTTTGACTGAACTTAACCGTCCATGGGTCCTTTGCCTTTTAAAAAAATTGTTGGTAATTATGGTGAAGCCTTATCCTTGCTGTTTCATTTCATTTCTAGGTTACTGGACACTAAGTTGATGGCCAGCACTCAGCCGTTCAAGGTAACCAGCACCTGCTAATGGCACTTGTAAAATTAAATATAGCTTTAGTTCAGCCTTCCCCAAGCTGCTCCCTCCTCAATGATTTGGGCTCCCAGTTCTGTACTACTCTGATGAAGCAAACTGTTAAAGCAACATACTGCTTTCACAGCAAAATCACCGCCAGGATGTTTCCTGCTCAGCATCAGCTAGGGAAAGATTCCTTGTCGTGCTATAGCGAGCTCATTTCTTCAGTACAGATCCCTGCATAGCGAAAAGGACCCCATCAACTTGCAAGGGGGGCAGTATCTGCTAGGCTGCGCTTACAGCTAGCAATCCCCAACAAAAATCTAGCTATGCAGGCAAAATAGCTTCTGTTCGCAGGTAATACACATGAATGACTTGGATACATTATCCCTCTTCCCAAGGATGCTCAATTAAGTTGATGGGATTGAAAAAAGACTCATAAGTTATAACGGAATTTCAAACACTCTTCCATCTTCTGATATATATATTGCACTTTTTTGCTTAATTGCATCATTGTTAATTTTTGGGGTATCCAGTCGTACCTTGATTTTCGAACAGCTTAGTTCTTGAACATTCTGGCTCCCAAACGCTGCAAACCCGGAAGTGAGTGTTTCAGTTTGCGAACTATTTTTCAAAGCCGAACGTCCGACAGGTCTTCCGATTGGCTGCAGGAGCTTCCTGCAGCCAATCAGAAGCCGTGCTTTGGTTTCTGAACGTTTTGGAAGTCGAACGGACTTCTGGAACGGATTCCGTTCGACTTCCAAGATACCACTGTACAGTGATACCTCAGGTTAAGGACTTAATTCATTCCGGAGGTCCGTACTTAACCTGAAACTGTTCTTAACCTGAAGCACCACTTTAGCTAATGGGGCCTCCTGCTGCCGCCGGAGCCCGATTTCTGTTCTTATCCTGAAGCAAAGTTCTTAACCTGAAGCACTATTTCTGGCTTAGTGGAGTGTGTAACCTGAAGCATATGTAACCTGAAGCGTATGTAACCCAAGGTACCACTGGATATGTTCTTGGAGTATGATACAGTGCTGTTTTCATACTTTGGTTGTCTTGTGGTTTAGGCACCCTCTCAAAAATAGGGTTGAAGTGTGGAAATCTCACACCTTTTTCAATTTGGGAGGTTACCGCTATCTTTTGCCTGGTCCCATGGAATTAATGCTGCCGCTCAGATGTTTTGAACTACAGCTTCCATCAGCCCCAGCCAGCATGGCCGCCTGAAACATCGGGGGAGGGGGGCACTAGGTTGGGGGAAGGCTGCAGTGTTGAGTGCTTGCTCTGAACTCACTTGGATCGTGCCTTGTGGGTCGAAGGAACCAACAACTGGTGGCTCACATTGAGCTTTGTTTTTTGTATTTTTGGTTGTTTTTTTAATTTGCATTTTATTTATTTGTTAACATTCTTATATTACATTGTTAAACGTTGTCATATTACATTACAGGACTTACTATAATATAATTTCCAACATATATACAAAAACTATATACAAATTTTATATACCTAGAAAGAAAATGAAAGCAAAAAACAACAACAAAGAGAAAAAACAAAAACAAGTCCCCCCCATCAATCTTATACATACCAACACACTAGACTTCCTGTCTATCCCATTATATACTCCTTTTTTTACAAACGAACGTACGCTTATTATTGTATATTTCTTTACATTTTATCTAATACATTTCTATATCAATATGTGCTCTTAGTCTTATTTCTCAACTCAACCTCACTCCAGCGTCAATCAAATGTTAGCATAGATAGCGAACCTTTACTGTATTTTTGAACATATGTTTTACAGTATATCTATTCCACTTTTCCATAAATTTTTGTTTTGAATTGCCTCTCAGGGTATTTGTTAACAGCGCCATTTCAGCAAATTCTTGGAGCTTGTAATGCCAGTCCATTATTGTCAGGGCTTCTTGATCTTTGCTTTTCAGGAAATCATTAACAACACATCCCTTGCAGAGCTGGAGAAGCGTGTAAAGGAGACTCCTTTCAGCCCTCCAAAAGTCGGTAAGGCGACAGAGGGCGTTTTGCACAGCCAGTTCTGGACCAACAGATTGATTGAAATCTAAGGATTCCCCTCGAAGCTGGAAAATTCTTGGGGAGGAATTTAAGCTGTACAGAACTGGAGATCTTACTGGTCCAGTATCTGTGGGCTAAAGACACTGCAAGCTTGTCTCCAGTTGCACCAGGTGCAATTATTTCTGTAGCTCTGTTTGGTCTACATTTATGTGTCTGTTGTTCTGGAACCAGCAAAACAATGAGGCTGTTTGAATGGAGACTTGTTGCTCTTTCAAACAGGGCTCCACCTCCCAGTGTGGCTAAAATACCCCTACTCCCGCTAGGATAACCTGCAGTGAGAGCCAGGTTCAAGGTTCTTGTGTTAATTTACAAGCCCCTTAACAACTTGCGTTCAGAATAACTCAAGGGCCGCCTAATCTATCCTGGCCTGATCGCTCAGGTCTTCCATCGTTTCGATACTTGCCCTTTCTGTATTGCATTTCTTGTCTACCACTTAAGAGACGACTGTATTCGAGTCCTTCATAAATTGTTTAAATAAAGTAAAAGCAAACCGTTTTTCCTTTCCCAGAAAGCGCAGAGGGATTCCCGAGTTACGACACAGCTTCAGAGCAGCTTCACGAAGCAGGTTATGACGCTTACATCACAGGCCTGTGCTTCATCTCAATGGCCAATTTCCTAGGTACTTTTTGTCGTTTGTTCCATCTTGCGCAGTCTGTTCATCCCTGCCTTTTGCCAGCTGTGTCTGATTCTTCTGTGGTGGGGGCATCTTCTCTTTGCTAGGTTCCTTTCTCAGCCCCCCGAAAAGTCACGTGTCTGCCAAATCAAAGCTCATCGAACCTTTTTTCAACAAGTGAGTAACCACTTTTAATTTTCTAAAAACCACACAAAGGAGAACCCCAGCTTTTGAGTTGAACTTTAACCTGTTGTTCTTTAACGCTCCTCTGGTTAAAACAATAAAGATCAGAAGATTGGGAAACGTTTATTGAATATAGGGAGGAAAATGGTGTTTATTTGAAAATGTGGGCAGCGTTAAGATAAATTCAACAGTGCAAATAAGTTTTGATGGATGTGATAATGGAATACTGAATGGTTTAGTTTATATAAAATATGCAGGAATTTATGTTTTGCAAAATGAACCAATGGAAAGAGAAGAAGGGAAGTCATTGACATTTTAAGGTTGTTTGAATGAATATTCTAAAATGTGAAACAGAAAATTTAATAAAAATTATGGGGGGGGGGACCAAAACCAATAACAATTTATCATTTATATGCCACTCATCTGATGGATTGCCCCAGCCACTCTGAGTGGCTCTCCCCGCAAATAGTAAAAGCACAAGAGAGCATCACACATCAAAAACTTCCCTAAACAGGGCTGCCTTCAGATGTCTTCTAAAAGTCAGGTAGTTGTTTATTTCCTTGACATCTGACTGAAGGGCGTTCCACAGGGCGGGCGCCACCACCGAGAAGGCCCTCTGCCTGGTTCCCTGTCACTTGGCATCTCACAGTGAGGAAACCACCAGAAGGCCCTCAGAGCCGGACTTCAGTGTCCGGGCTGAACAATGGGGGTGGAGATGCTCCTTCAGGTATACAGGACCGAGGCTGTTTAGTGCTTTAAAGGTCAGCACCAACACTTTGAATTGCACTTTGAAACACGCTGGGAGCCAATGCAGTTCTTTTAGGACTGCCCTGTTCTTGTTTTGCAAACCTCCAGACCTTCCTTGGAGGAGGCACACAGAGAAGGGCCTCAGATGATTATCTCAGGGTCCAGGTCAGTACATATGGGGAGAGGCAGTCCTTGAAGTATTGGAGTCCAGAGCAGCATACGGCATTATAGGTCAAAACTAGGACTTTGAATTGAGCTTGGAAACTGGATCATGCAAGTGACACTCTATCTCTTTCTTTCACTCCAGACTGTTTCTGATGCGGGTGATGGACATCCCATATCTCAACTTGGAAGGACCAGACTGTAAGTGCTCTTTTCACCTTTCACGTTCCCTCTTCAGAGAATTGAACCTGTGCAAAACTTCCTCTTGCCCAGTAGTAGGCTGAGGCAGAATTTATTTCAGTGGTGGGAACCTCCAGTCTGGAGGCCTATAGTTAAGCCTGCCCGGCCATTTTCAACAAGCCACGCCCCCTTTCCACCCCAAATGCCATAGATGATGTCCAGTGTGAGAAAGTCCAAGCCCTGGCTGCTGCAGGGGAAAGACTTTGAGAGTAGTCCAAGCCCTCTCCCAATTCTCCCTTTGCAAGCACAATTTGTCACTATCTGAATTTGGTGTCTTTTTCTGTCACCCTGTGACAAAAATTGAGAACTCCGTTTCGTGTTGGAGAATCAGTAAGGTAAAGGGACCCCTGACCATTAGGTCCAGTTGTGGCCGACTCTGGGGTTGCGGCACTCATCTTGTTTTAGTGGCCGAGGGAACCGGCGTACAGCTTCCAGGTCATGTGGCCAGCATGACTAAGCCGCTTCTGGCGAACCAGAGCAGTGCATGGAAACGCCATTTACCTGCCCGCCGGAGCGGTACCTATTTATCTACTTGCACTTGGACGTGCTTTCAAACTGCTAGGTGGGCAGGAGCTGGGACCGAGCAACGGGAGCTCACCCCGTTGCGGGGATTTGAACCGCCGACCTTCTGATCGGGAAGCCCTAGGCTCTGTGGTTTATTTATTTATTTTTAAATAATTTTTATTAAAGTTTTGAACAACAAAGAAAGAAAAGAAAAACATACACAATACATATAACAAAAACACACACAAAAAAGCAAGATTCAACAATAAAAGAACAAAAAACATAACAATTAAAAACAATATCTCTTTTCCATTTCCGTTTTTTAATTTACTTATTTTCTGGACTTCCTCATACCTCCCTCTTTTGTATTCCAATCCAAATTGTTTGTTCAGCAATTTCTTTTCCACTTTTTTAATCCCAATCTTTAGCTTTAATAAGATATTGAAATATATAACTTCAACTTCTTTAAACCTGATCTTTAGTCTTAGTATCATATAACGTTAAAATTTTTCCTCTTAATGTCAAATTTCCATTTCTTTAAACATCTTTAATCCTAATCTTTAATCTTAGTCTATCATTAACTTTAACCTGTACAGCTGGAAACCGCTTATTTTCAGTCCAACATCACTCTAACATTCTTTAATTTTGCAATGTTTCTGAAGATAGTCTTTAAATTTCTTCCAATCTTCCTCCATCGACTCTTCTCCCTGGTCACGGATTCTACCAGTCATTTCCGCCAATTCCATATAGTCCATAAGTTTCATCTGCCATTCCTCCAGCGTGGGAAGTTCTTGTGTCTTCCAATACTTTGCGATGAGTATTCTTGCTCTTGCTGCTGTTGTTGCATACATAAAGAAAGTTCTATCCTTTTTTAACACCATTTGGCCGACTATGCCCAGGAGAAAGGCCTCTGGTTTCTTAGCCTAGGCTCTGTGGTTTAACCCACAGCACCACCCACGTCCCTGGAGAATCAGTAGGTTGTATTAAAAAATAATAATTAATAAATCACAAGCTGAAAACTTCTTTTCCCCCCTTCACTTTCAGTGCAGCCAAAACGTGACCACGTTCTTTACGTTACATTTCCCAAAGAGTGGAAGACAAGCGACCTTTACCAGCTTTTCAGTGCTTTTGGTAAGTAACAAATGAGAAGGTAGGGATGTGACTCCACTGGGGGGGTCAGGGTTTCCCAAACATCAGTCTCCAGCTGTTGTTGGGACTACAACTCCCATCATCCCTAGCTAGCAGGGCCAGGGGTCAGGGATGTTGGGAATTGTAGTCTAAAAACAGTTGGGAGACCCAAGTTCGGGAAACCCTGGTCTACGTGCAACAGGGTGTAAGATCCCTGCGGCAGGGATGGTGTCCTTCCAGTGTTCTGTTCTGCGCTTGGCCCTGGTGGAACCAAATATTCGGTGAAAGGTTTGGTGGCTGGCAGACTAGACGTGGGAGAGAGGGCAACAGGCAAAGAACAGGCATATAGCTGAAGGCTCTCCATATGATGCTAGACTCCCAACTCCCAAGAAAAAAGCACACCAAGAACTCAGGCCAATATAAGTTTCAGTAGTAGGAGTGGTCCCTACTCGCAAATCAATAGTCAATTGTAACAAAACTAATCCATTCAAAAGTATGTACAGTGGTACCTCAGGTTAAGTACTTAATTTGTTCCGGAGGTCCGTTCTCATCCTGAAGCAAAGTTCTTAACCTGAAGTACCACTTTAGCTAACGGGGCCTCCTGCTGCCGCCGTGCCGCTGGAGCACGATTTCTGTTCTCATCCTGAAGCAAAGTTCTTAACCTGAAGCACTATTTCTGGGTTAGCAGAGTCTGTAACCTGAAGCGTATGTAACCTGAGGTACCACTGTATTCTGACAAGGATTACAAATAGAGATTACAAACTCAGACAGAGATTACAAACTCAAACTCATGAGGATATGTATAACACAATAATTAGTTACAGAATTAGAGATAAGAGTTTAAGAGGAGAGATAAGTTCATGTTAGTCCATAGTCTCCCATGGTACTGTGATATTTTCAGTATGTCCAATGAATGTTTTCGTATCCAAAATGTAGGAAGGAGTGTCGATAGCAAGTGGATGCAGAAAGTGCTCCATGTATTGACATAAAGGTTCCAAGAGAGAGTCATTGCCTGAGACAATAGGTCTACCAGGTGGAGCACTAAGTAATTTTTGGAAGTACAGTATATAAAATATCAACCCGAGGTACCACTGTATATAAAATATTGGAGTGTGTGGGTATTTCTTTAAGAGAAACAAAGACTCCCAACTCCCATCATCCCTGACTTTTGGCGGTGCTGTCTGGGGCTGATGGGAGTCCAAAGACCCTTGGAGAGGGCCACAGGTTAGCCAGCCCTGATAAAGGCAGGATTATACCCTCGGCTATCAGTGGTGGCTCCATCCTTTCTGCTGGGTAGGCTAAAGACACTGAGTACAATCTTAACAGATGGGACATTTTTGGGAGGGATTTGCATACACCCAGAGGAGGGGCCACGCCACCTGTTTCTGTGGAAAAGGAGCTAGCTTTTCTTGACCACGTTTGCCCCATGATTGCGTCTCATTGCTCCTCCCATCTGCCAGGTGTCAAGACACACCTGCTCTGATTTCAGAAGCGAAGGCTTTCTCCCAGTACCATCAGACCTCATGCCCTCCTGCCCCAGCCTGCCTTTTCCCATAGGGCACTGCTTCATAGCACTCTTGACAGTCTTGATGATGCCTGAATGTAAGATGGGCTATACTAGTGTTTCTAAGACTTTAATCCCACTCTGTTGTTGGACTACAACTCCCATCATTCCTGACCCCTGGCCCTGCTAGCTAGGGGTGATGGGAGGTGTAGTCCCAACAATAGCTGGCGACCCTGGTCTGTGCCCTTCCACTTCACACTTTTCTTTTCTTTGCAGGCAACATTCAGGTTTCCTGGATCGATGATACGTCAGCCTTTGTGTCGCTTAGCCAGCCTGAACAAGTACAGATTGGTAAGTTACACGGAGCCTCTCTGTCGAGCCAACACACTGAGGCCGCCGTTACTTCTGCAGAATCACAACCGACAGAAGGTTACATGAGAGGGGTTCTTGTATCTATAGCCCCTTTTAGACCAGTTTTTACTCGCCAATTGCCACCTGCTATTGAGTTCTTTGTGACCTCGGTTGGTTTTCTTGTTTCCTGCTAGTTCCTCTGAGGGATTGATCTCAGAGACTTGTATAGCGAGGAGGGGGGGACTGTGAGCCCCCAGATGTGGTTGAACAACATCAGCCTTCGCCATTGCGGCCCCGTGAGTTGGGAGTCACAACACCTGGAAGGCTGCAGTTTCTCCATGCCTGTTGTATAGTTGCCTAAAGATTGTGGACTTGTGGTGAAATGGACACATAACCAAAGGAAGGGCTCCCTGCTCACTTGCTGTTAATATTTATTTACTTACTTACTTAAAGGTAAAGGGACCCCTGACCGTTAGGTCCAGTCGTGACCGACTCTGGGGTTGCGCACTCATCTCGCTCTATAGGCCGAGGGAGCCGGCGTTTGTCCGCAGACAGCTTACGGGTCATGTGGCGAGCATGACTAAGCCGCTTCTGGCGAACCAGAGCCGCACACGGAAACGCCGTTTACCTCCCCGCTGGGGCAGTACCTATTTATCTACTTGCACTTTGACGTGCTTTCGAACTGCTAGGTGGGCAGGAGCAGGGACGAACAACTGGAGCTCACCCCGCCGCGGGGATTCAAACCGCCGACCTTCTGATCGGCAAGTCCTAGGCTCTGTGGTTTAACCCACAGCGTCACCCACGTCCCTCACTTACTTACTTACTTGCAAAAATATTGGTGGTATTATTATTATTATTACCCTGCTTTTTCCCTGACAGGACTCAAGGCGGCTTACAGATAAAAATAAGAACAGCTAAAAAAACAACTAAGCATTGATAAAGTGATAGCTATATACATATCTAAAAATCTATTAAAACCATACCAGTAATTCCAATAAAAACAGCACAGCAGCAGCCCTCTCCTTAAAAAGCAGCCCATTCCCAAAAAATCCTGTTGGAACAGGAATCTGCACCGCCTTTATTGCAGGAAAAAATATCAGCATAAAATCCAATGGTAAAATTACATTTATAAAAACGAATGCAAAAGGCGTCGCAAATCGGTCGATCAGCTTAATTTGCTAACACAGCTGGATCATCAGGTAACATCTGGGAGAACAGATGGTGTTTAAGCAGACATATAAATGCTAATACTGCCTGGAAGTGCATTCCAGGGGGCAGGGGCCGCCATGCTAAAGGCCCTGCTTTTTGTGGACATAAAAGTTTGGACTACTGTCTCTCCTGAGGTTTCAAGTGACTGGGAAGAGGTATAGAAGTTCAGGCATTCCCAGAGGTAACCTGGTCCCAGATTGTTCATCATTTTACGAAGCTAATAGCAAGACCTTAAAACGGGGCCTGGTAGCATAATAGCAGCCAGTGATTAGCCCTGATGAAAGATGACAAGTGAACTGCTTAATATTACTGTTCTGTTTAATAAGCAGTTGCGTCTGATTTTCTCAGTCGCTGGTAGGTTTATAAGTGCCAGGTTGCAGCAGTTGCCAGATGGTGGCTGAGGAAGAGAGAGGAGGCTGGTGACTTTGGGAAGAAGCACCAGCCGAGTGGAAGGAAAAAAGGAGTTGAATTGTGATGGAGAAGGTTTCTCTTCTCTGCCTGGGTGGTCCTACTGTCCCTGATCATTGTCTGTGCTGGTTGGGACTGATGGGAGTCCCTCTAGGGAGGGAGTAGGGCACCAGGTTGGGTACGACTTTGCACTAAGAGTAGGGTCACATGGAAGATGAGCAAGCTTGTTTTCTGCTGCTCCAAATTAAAAGGAGATTCTGACTAAACCTTGGGAAGAACTTCCTGATTGTTGTTGTTGTTTAGTCATTTAGTCGTGTCCGACTCTTCATGACCCCATGGACCAGAGCACGCCAGGCACTCCTGTCTTCCACTGCCTCCCGCAGTTTGGTCAGACTCATGTTTGTAGCTTTGAGAACACTGTCCAACCATCTTGTCCTCTGTCGTCCCCTTCTTCTTTCCCAACATCAGGGTCTTTTCCAGGGAGTCTTCTCTTCTCATGAGGTGGCCAAAGTATTGGAGCCTCAGCTTCTGGATCTGTCCTTCCAGTGAGCACTCAGGGCTGATTCCCTTAAGAATGGATACGTTTGATCTTCTTGCAGTCCATGGGACTCTCAAGAGTCTCCTCCAGCACCATAATTCAAAAGCATCAATTCTTCGGCGATCAGTCTTCTTTATGGTCCAGCTCTCACTTCCATACATCACTACTGGGAAAACCATGGCTTTAACTATACGGACCTTTGTTGGCAAGGTGATGTCTCTGCTTTGCTTTTTAAGATGCTGATAGCTAGAGCCATTTAACAGTGGAGCGGACTATCTCAGAAGGCGGTGGAGGTTTTTAAAGCAGACGTTGGATGGCCATCTCTCATAGATTATTTAATTGTGATTCCTGTATTGGACTAGATCAGCCTTGGGGTCCCTCCCACCTCTACGATTCTATGATTTTATGGGTTCGCTCAGTCATGAAGCTGCCTCCCTCTCAGCAAAGTTGCGTTGCATGGTAGTGGATGGGGAGGAGTCACGCGTGCTGCCCTGAGCTCCTCTAGAGGAGGGCAGGGAAAAAAGGCGATCAACGAGCACACGTGGAACTGCGTCTGGAATCCTGAGGCTTGAGGTGTTGTCCGCAAAGGCCCACAGCTCAGTGACAGAGCATCTGCCTTGCATGCTTCAGAAGGAACCAGGTTCAACCCCTGCAGGGGAAAGCTGCTGCCTGAACCCCTGGAGAACCACTGAAAGTCAGGAGTCGACAATACTGAGCTGAGCTGGATAAGCTGGTGTGACTCAGTGTAAGTCAGCTCCCTCTGTGCTGTTGATACCCAGCTCTCTTCTATATGGGTGCCTAGGGGGCAGTGGAGGACAGCCTAGAGATGGACAAAGGGAAGTTCAATCCAGACAACACAGCAGAGTTTTATTATTACTACTGTATTACTATTGAAAGCATTTCAGTTGGAGCAAAATGAAATAAAGATAAAAAGTGCACGGAAAGAAAAAGAAAAGAAAGGTATAATATACGCAAACCACTACAATTTCATATATGCTTGTCTAGTATATGGGTGTTTAAGTGTTGTTGTTGTTGTCCAAATACATATGTAGTTATTTATAACACAGAGAAGTTGAAGGTAGGAGGGCCGCTCAACCTGGACTTGATGGTCTCCCTGTTCTGGATGGGGCCACATTTCCTTTTTGACAGTTTGGAGGGTATATAAAGGTAAAGGGACCCCTGACCATTAGGTCCAGTCCTGACCGACTCTGGGGTTGTGGCACTCATCTCGCTTTATTGGCTGAGGGAGCCGGCGTACAGCTTCCGGGTCATGTGGCCAGCAGGACTAAGCCGCTTCTGGCGAACCAGAGCAGCACACGGAAACACCGTTTACCTTCCCGCTGGAGCGGTACCTATTTATCTACTTGCACTTTGACATGCTTTCGAACTGCTAGGTTGGCAGGAGCAGGGACTGAGCAATGGGAGCTCAACCCGTCGCAGGGATTCGAACCGCCGACCTTCTAATTGGCAAGTCCTTGGCTCTGTGGTTTAACCCACAGTGCCACCCGCGTCCCAAATACATATGTAGTTATTTATAACACAGAGAAGTTGAAGGTAGGAGGGCCGCTCAACCTGGACTTGATGGTCTCCCTGTTCTGGATGGGGCCACATTTCCTTTTTGACAGTTCAGAGGGCATAGCTTGTGGGTAATGTTGGGTCAGGCACTGCTTTGCTGGCTAAGGTGCCTTGCTCATGCTCATTTCTACAGGGCCTGCACAACACAAATGTCCAATCCACTGCTCCCTGCCTTAGTGGCACCATAGAATCCGTGGCCTTTGGGGTGGCTGGCTGCCTCTCTGGGTGCCCACGTTCTTTTCTCTAGCCCCACCTGCACTGTACATGTAAAGCAGGATCATACCACTTTAAAAGCTTTCCCCCAAAGGATCCTGGGAAATGTAGTTGGTTTAGGGCACAGAGAGTTGTTAGGAGACCCTTATTCTTCTTGCTGAACTACAATTCCCAGAGTTCCCTGGGATTGACTATTAAACCCCCTTCAGTTTTGATGAGGGTGAGCTTTTTAGCTGAGAAACTGCCAGCCAGGTGTGTATTATGGCCAATTGACCAATGTGGGGAATACAAAATATAAAATGCAGAATCGCAACCCCAGTCCAGCTAATTATTCTTTAAAAACAACAAGCCAAGGCAGGCTTCCTCAACCTCGGCCCTCCAGATGTTTTTGGCCTACAACTACCATGATCCCTAGCTAGCAGGACCAGTGGTCAGGGATGATGGGAATTGTAGTCTCAAAACATCTGGAGGACCGAGGTTGAGGAAGCCTGAGCTAAGGTCTAGCAATCATAGCAGGACTCAGGGACACAATGGCTGATTCAGGTATTCCCCCACCTGCTCAGTAAAAAAATGATTTGGTCTCCTCAGTGAAGCCACTCAGAACAGCCTCTGAAGATCGACCAGGAAATTATCTCAGGTTATAGAAGGTTATAGTATGCATTCTCATAACCCCCTGATGAAAACAAAAGTGAAAAGATCGTGTGAACGAACACTTCAGCCTCTGAGTGGTTGAACTGACAGCATCTAAATTTAGAAGGAATTCTAGTAAATCTGCTGCCTGAAATATTTGAAGGTGTAAATGCTTTACGGTGGTACCTTGGTTTTAGAACAGCTTGGTTTATGAACAACTTGGAAATAGAACGCTGCAAACCCAGAAGTAGGTGTTCCGGTTTGTGAACTTTGCCTTGGAAGCGGAACATGTTCCGCTTCCTATTGAGTGTGTTCCGTTTGTAAATTGAGTCCCCCGCTGCTAATCAGAGGCTTCCTGTTGAGTCTGTTGGCTGTCGAGTCCCGAGCACATACGCAACAGAGAGGTGATATTTGGAGCTCTTGTTTTTGCTATTTTTTGCATTTTCGTTCGTGTGGCTTTTTTGTTTTTTTGACTGTGACTTGTTCTTCGTTTTATGGGACTGACATGTGACTGTGGCTTGTGACTTTGTTTTGTGACTGTGACTTGTGATTTCATTTTTGTGGCTTGTTTTTGTGACTGTGTGCTGTGTGGAACCCAGCTCAGCTACTGATTGATTATGTAACTGCAGAAATGGATAAAAGCCCCCCATCCAAACAATGACTATCATCAGTGCATGTAAGAAAAAAAAAATATTTTAATATTTATCATCTACAATACTGTCTTATTTATTTTATAGCACAATACATTGATCATTGCTTTCATTTTGTGGACCAATGGTTTCGTTAGATAGTAAAATTCATGTTAAATTGCTGTTTGAGGGGTTGTTTTTAATTTTAGAAGTCTGGAACAGATTAATCCATTTTGCATTACTTGCTATGGGAAAGCACGCCTTGGTTTTAGAACGCTTTGGTTCTGGAACAGACTTACGGAATGGATTAAGTTTGGGAACCAAGGTACCACTGTACAGTCGTACCTTGGAAGCCGAACACCTTGGCACTTGTACGTTTTAGCTCCCAAACGCCGCAAAGCCAGAAGTGAGTGCTCCGGTTTGCAAACATTCTTTCGGAACCTGGACTTCTGGCACAGCTTCCGATTGGCTGCAGGAGCTTTGGAACAGATTCCGTTCGACTTCCGAAGTACGGCTGTAATGGGTCAATATACTAGCAGGCTAGAAGTCTGGTGGTAGCTGGGTGTAGCCAGTTTCCCCCATTTCCATGGGCCCCTTGCGCTCAAGTGCAGACTATCACGTTCAGTCAGAAGCCTGTTACAAGATAATCGCCGCAGACCAGTCAGACAAGTGCAGCGACAAACATGGAATGGCATCAAGTCTCCCACCTCTCTCTGTAGATTCCATTCATCATTTTTTTTTTGTAGCAGTGCATTCTAGTCTACTTCCAGTAAAGGGGGTGGGGGGAATCTGTTAAAAGATTCTTATCAAGGTAATTATTCGCCATATAAAGTGCTCTTCCAGGTAATTCCCATGAGTTATGAGAGGAGGGTTGCAGCGACTCCGCTGCCAGCTGATCTTCATCTCCCTTTCATGGTGAAATAAATAGCTCCATAATCGACACTTCCCTGCGAGGCTCCGAGCGGCAGGAACCCGCTTTGAAGTGCTCCTTCATAATTCGTGTCGGGGCACGAGAGGCTGTGCCGTCATCCCAGGTAGCGAAATCTTCCTAGTTTGAAAGGCGGCGCCTGTTGCTTCAGCGGGTGGCGGGGGTTTGTGCCCCGGGGGCCATGCCAAAAGTCTGAGGGTGGCTGGTTTCGTAAAGAGCTGGTTCAGGAGAGCCAGATGCCTAGAGACCTGCCAATTTCGCTCCTCGTGGGGCAGCGTCCCTATCTCCCCTTCGACGCCACCCTGGTCCCCTCCCAGATGATTTGGACGCCAAGTCCCATCAGCACAGAAAGAGGAGGAAGCGGTGCTTGAAAGCAAGATTTGAAGGAAGGGGTGGCAAGGAGCAGAGGCATAGAACATGTGCTTTGCCTCTGGAAGGTCTCATTCATTCGGTATTTCCAGTTAAAAAAGAAAATGAAGGATAGGTTCTTAGGAAAGGTCTTTGTCTGTGCTCGGAATTCTGGCAAAGCATTCAGTAAACAATACTGGACTCGGTGGGTAAATAGTCCGATTTTGTGTAAGGCAGGGTGTATGGGGTGATAGGGGAGGGGTAGTACCTCTGGGAGGGACGCGAGCGGCGCTGTGGGTTAAACCACAGAGCCTAGGGCTTGCCGTTCAGAAGGTCGGCGGTTTGAATCCCCGCAACAGGGTGAGCTCCCGTTGCTCGGTCCCTGCTCCTGCCAACCTAGCAGTTTGAAAGCACCTCAAAATGCAAGTAGATAAATAGGTACCGCTCCAGTGGGAAGGTAAATGGCGTTTCCGTGTGCTGCTCTGGTTCGCCAGAAGCGGCTTAGTCATGCTGGCCACATGACCCGGAAGCTGTACGCCGGCTCCCTCGGCCAATAAAGGAAGATGAGCGCCGCAACCCCCGAGTTGTCCGCGACTGGACCTAATGGTCAGGGGTCCCTTTACCTCTACCTTTAGTATCTCTGGTGGGGACACATCATGCTCCTTCTGGAGTGGTTTGTCCACCTTTGGTCCCCATCCTGCTCTCAGCTCTCACCTGTGGCTCCTAGAAGCTGCCAGCATGAGACAGTGGCTACACTCAGGGAAATGGCTTTGACTGGCTGGCTAAACCAGGTGAGGGGAGCTGATGGGTCTCGAACCCTCAGTGTGTTCGGGACTTCCCCTGCAAGCGAAGACAGGCTCCAGCAGATTGAGCGGACAAGACCCATAGTGGGTCCAATGGTCAAGGAAGCAGTTTCTGCATGTGCCGTAGAGGGAAGTGAGGGGCAGATGGGGTTCATCCACCCATTAGCTGCCTGGGAGTTTTCGTCAGTTGGGAAAACGCTGTGGGAAACTTGGTGATAAGCAGAGCTTTGCAATGGACAGAGTAGTTCTTTGAAAAGTGCTAAACGCTATGCAAGAGAGATGCATGCTCTCTCACACACACACCCCAAATGGGAGGCCAAATGGTGTTGGTTTTCTGTTAATTGCAGTGTAATGGGTGGGAAAGAGCTGGTCTTTCATGTTGGACAACCATTGCAATGCAAGCTGTTCCGTGGAATACCGGGAATCAATTTTTTAGGCTTGCCTTGACAAGACAAGCCGCCATCCCAGATCTGCGCTACATTGCACTACTGTACTGGCAAGCCCTGAATGTGTGTGTGTGTGTTAAGTGGTTCCATGCGCTACCGTCATGACACACAATGCCCTGCCAAATGGGCTGCATTGCAGGCCTGTTCCTCTCTAGGGAGGCAGATCCTGGAAGGCCGGCATGCTTGCCGAGAGCGCCTCAGGGGCAGGAGCAGGTGCAGCGTATCGAGTTTTGGTTTATTTTTTGCAAGGAGCGCTCGCTCGCTCGCTTCTGCTAATCCTCCCCGTCAGCTTACAGAGCGGCAGGAGAGGGAAGGGGATCAGGCGCCTTAACTGGGCATTAAGGCTGTATCATCTTGTTAATGAGCTTGAATGGTGCTGATCACTGCCACTTGAATGCTGCCCAATTAATTTCATCCCCCTCCCCGGGGCATGCCCTCCAGGAAGTTCTCCTGCGTAGGCCCCAGTTAAAATGAACGGAAGCTGGCAAGGGGCAAGGCTTGCTGGCATGGTGGCCAGGTTCTGTCGCAGCCAGTGTGCCTCTGAGTATCTGTTACTGGGAGTCATGGGTGAATAGAGGGCTGGTTCGCTCATGTCCATCTTTTGGGCTTCCCACAGGTGTCTAGTCGGCCGCTGTGAGAACAGGATGCTGGCCTAGAGGGTCCCTTGGCCTAATCCAGCATTCTTATGCTCTTACTGGCAGGACATAAACCGACCGAGACTCTGCATTCATCATCGGAGGCCCTTCTTTGTGTGCCTCCTCCACGTGAAATTAATACAGTCGTACCTTGGAAGTCGAACGGAATCCGTTCCGGACGTCCGGACGACTTCCAAAACATTCGTAAGCCAAAGCACGGCTTCCGATTGGCTGCAGGAAGCTCGTGCGGCCAATTGGAAGCCGGCTTCCAAAAAGGTTCACAAATTGGAACACTCACTTCTGGGTTTGCGGCGTTCAGGAGCCAAAACGTTCGGGAACTAAGCTGTTCGAAAACCAAGGTACGACTGTACAAGTACCTTGATCCTGGCCTCATAGCCTGAGAGACCCAGGCCCCGTCTGCGCGACACCTTTAAAGCAGTGTCACACGGCTTTGAACAGTCCTCCCCAAACGATCCTGGGAGCTGTAGTCTGTTAAGGGTGTTGAGAGTTCTTAGGAGAGCCGCCTTCATCTCCCAGAGTTACGTTTTCCATGGTGGTTTTAACAAATCAGCCCTTCTTCCCAGGGAATTCTGGGAACCGTAGCTCTCCTGACAACTTTTAGCACCTTAAAACTACAGTGCCCAGGATTCTCTGGTGGGAAATCATGGTGGTTTGAAGTGGTATGACGCTGCTGTAAGCATGTAAAGGTAAAGGACCCCTGGACAGTTAAGTCCAGTCAAAGGCGACTATGTGGTTGTGGCGCTCAACTAGCTTTCAGGCCAAGGGAGCCGGTGCTTGTCCGCAGACAGCTTTCTAGGTCTTGTGGCCAGCATGGCTAAACCATTTCTGGCACAACAGAACACTGTGACGGAAACCAGAGCACATGGAAACGCTGTTTACCTTCCCACCAGGGCGGTACCTGTTTATCTACTTGCACTGGCGTGCTTTCAGATTTCTAGGTTGGCAGGAGCTGGGACAGAGCAACAGGAGCTCACTCTCTAATGGGGATTCAAATTGCTGACCTTCTGATCGGCAAGCCCAAGAGGCTCAGTGGTTTAGACCACAGCGCCGCCTGCATCCCCTTTACGCATGTAGTGCTGGTGGCACCCTGCTATGGAACCTGCCTCTTTTTGCGCTGCACGATTTCTTGTAGAGGCAAATGTGGAATGGAGCTGTGTTATTTCCCGCCCCCCTTACGTGGTTCTTTCAGCATAGCCCGTCAGATTTCTTTCGCAGCAGGGTCCCCGTTCGGGCTCCCATCCTGACCACCTTCGCGGTAGCCCAGTTTACCGAGTGCTGAGTTAAACCTTCGTAGGATTCGGCTGCGAAAGAAATGAGCCCTTGAGCAGATTTCTCTCTCCAGCTGGCTCAAGCTATCTGTTTCACTGCAGGGATTTCATCTCCCCTCTCTGCTCCTCCCCACCGCAAAACACACCAAGCTTCTATTTCCATCACTAGCAGCGTACAAAGGTCGTGCTCTGAATTCTTTTGCAACGGGCTGGAGAAACCTTCAAGAATATAAAACCCCAGGCAGGCAGGGTGCCCTTCCAGTTCTTGCCTAGAAGGCCACGTATGAATCCTTTGCGCCGTGATATTTGACATGAGCTCCCCCCTCCCCCCCGCTTCCAATACACAGCCTCAAGTGATATCAAACGCCACATGAATAATCTTTAAGAGTATTAGTCTTCCGCATCATCCCAACGACACCATCAGAGTTCAGATGCAGGGATTCAGTTTTCCAGAATCTACATTTCCCCCTTGCCTTCTGGTGCTGGAACTACATAAAAACTAAAAGCACTGCCCTATACCGAGTCCATCTAGGTCAGTATTGCCTACACTGACTGGCAGCCCCTCTCTAGGATTTCAGAGAGGGAATCTGTCCCAGCCAAGCCTAGAAATGCTGAGGATTAAACCTGTGACCTTCTGCATGCAAGGCTGATAGATATGGGGAACCTCTGGCTCTTCAGGTGCTGCTGAACTATGACTCCCATAATCCCTGGCCTTTGGGCATGCTTGGTGGGGCTGATGGGAGTTGTAGTTTAGCAACATCTGGTATATAATGTGGGATATACCGTATTGGCCTGAATATAAGCCGCACTTTTCCCCCAAATTCCAACCGTGAAAAGTTAAAGTACAGCTTAAATTCGCGACCTTCCAAAAATTGGTTTTTACAATAGCAGTGCTGAAACAGACATACGGTAAAACGGAAAAAAAAGTTTTGTTGCCGATTTGCGAGCTTGAGACTGTTCATTTGCCATTTGCGGGTGTGAGTACCTGCGGAATTGTAGCAATTGAATAGCGATTTTAGCGATTGTACGGTAACTTTTATGGGCTTGCAAGAACAAAGGCTTAAATTGGCTCGGAGTTACAGTTGTACCAACCACAGCGATTTTCAGCCCGTAACCCAATTTTAAGGGAGCGGCTTATATTCGGATATCGTCTCCCCCCCCCCTTGAATTTTAAAGGTGCGGCTTATATTTGGGCCAGTACGGTATACTGTCAGGTTTATTTGTTCAGGATATTGACATAACACTTTTCAGGTGAAACTCACGAAGGTTTTTTTTTTTAAAAAAAATACATTAAAATGGTAAGGATCGACCAAAACTATGTAATGAAAGAATAGGGTCTAGCTACCAAAAACAGCAGCCTTTTAAAAGCTTAGATCTCTCATCCCCTCAGGACAAAGATGGACTTTAGATAGACCTGTGACAAAAACTAATGGAGGGGGAAGATAACCTCAGCTAGAGGCTAGAATTTGGTTGTGACTCTTTTGACGTCCAACCTGGGAACAGCATAAAGTTGTATAGCGTTGTCGGGATATGGCTAACAATACAGATTTTATCAATATTTTGATCATTTTATTTTCTGATTTTTAAGGTTGGCGGTTATTGCTGTTTTAATGAATGTTTCACATCATTGCATGTAAGCCGCTTAGAGGTGTGTGGTTGTTTTTTTAATGAAGTGGCCTATCAATTTTGCTAGCTAGCTAAATAAATAAGGAGATATAGGCAAGAGTAATTGTGCTCCAAGCTGCAGTACGGTTGTCTACAGAATCGGAGCTGATGCGGAGAGCCTGTTTTAACCACCTGCCTGACTTGCCCACTCCAGCCAGCCCAATATTGGAATGCAAGGCTTGCCGGGTGGCTAAAAATGGCAACTTTTCATTATGACATCTGTGGCTTAGCTGCTATCTTTTAAGGAACTTCCAGAATGCCCTCTGCAGTGATTTAATGTCTCCCGTGGGATACTGCTGAGCATTTGTCTAAAGGCGAAGACGAGATAGTGTGAAAAGGAATAGCTTTTGGTGGGAGCAAAATCCTTCGAGCAGGTTGGGAAAAGGGAGAAAACATGCTTATTTCCCATAAATTGATTTTTGATTTTTATTGTTATTCATATTTTTCATACTGTATTTTATGCTGCTTTTACAATTAAGTGTTTTAAATTTGTTGTTAGCCGCCCTGAGCCTGGTTTTTGAACCAGGAAGGGCAGGGTATAAATAAAATTTATTATTATTATTATTATTATTATTATTATTCAGGTGATTTGAGGAAGGGAGGGGAACAGCCCTTGGGCTTGTGTAGTTCACAAATACCCTGCACTGAGACTTTTGCTCATCTGCTGTTTTCCTGTGCTCCGGTTATCTGTCTGCATCTTGGGTTTTGATGTGTTTCAGTTAATAATTCAGAGCGGTTTGTTTTTATTTTTGTTAGTCCCACGGGCACCGTAGGGAACGAGGTGCATTTTCTGCCGCCGCTGTAGCTTGGAAGTGATGCACAACATATCGTAAAAGCTAATCTCCAAAGTGTCATCTGGAAAAACAGGACGGTAAAAGGCCTGTTTGAGAGTGTCAGCCGTGAATGTCCGCCGGCTTAGATTTTTGCCTTGTCCCATCTCCAGAGCATCGCAGGGGAGGCGTAATTTAAAAGGCAATGATCGCATTTTAAAACATGCAGTGCACTTAAAAAAAGGGGTAGGGCACCCTTCTCAGCCTGAGGACCGCAGCATTCTGCTGCTTCTTCTCCTTCTTCTTCTTCTTATATGTATACCTCTTATGTTTTTATATGTGTAAGAAACCGCCCAGAGTGGCTGGAGCAAGCCAGCCAGATTGGTGGGGGATTCTTCTTCTTCTTCTTCTTCTTCTTCCTCCTCCTCTTCTTCTTCTTCTTCTTCATTTCATTTCAGTGGGCCTGCTCTTGAGTAGGCCTAGTGTTGGATACAGCTCTTAAGCGTTGGCTGCATGGAGCTGAACATCTTGGTGCGTGGAAGTCACTCTCCAGCAGCAGCTCATCCACCTACAACACTTTGGGGTGGCAGGGGGGACGGGACAGCCGTGCAACACTTTCCTCTAAGCAGTCGGACTGGAAACAGCCAAGGGGCATCAGCTGGCAGCCAAGGGGTTTTGCTGACTCACCCCTAAGAGGTGGCTGGCTTTGCGCCCGAGCTTGGCAGGGAGATGAAAGGCAGCGGGTTTGCAAAGCTGCTGGGACTTGAAGGGAAGCTGCAGGATTGCGAGGGCGAAACCTCCGGGAGTGCGTGTGTGCGTGCGTGAGAGAGGGAACACCCACAGAAAGGTTTTCTTCTTTGGGATGTTGCAAGAAACCAGCAAGGCAAAAGAAGGAACCGCCACATTTCAGGAGCCACCAGTCTGTAAGGAAAAGCCCCCCAACACACACACACACACACACACACACACACACACACACAACAGAAACAAAACATTGATGAGTTGTGTTTTTCCTATTTTTCCAGAAACTTTGGAAAATGCGTCCCAACTTGTTCCGTCAGACCTCCTGCTAACCTAGGGAGGGAGGGAGGAAGTTGCTAGCCAAAATGTTACTAGAATTTTAAAATTTTGGATGCACACACACAGGTTGAATCAGGAGTGGGGAGTGGAGCCCCAGTCGGCACAGCCAGTCCTCAGAATATTAGGGTCGCATCCGCCAGGGCCGGCCCACCTGTGAGGCAAGGCGAGGTGACCACTTCGGGCGGCAGGATCCACGGGGCAGCAGATCCAAGGTGCGCATCACCCGCTATTTCTGCCACGGTGGTGGCAGCAGCTGCAGCGCACTCCTTGGAGCCTAGATCTGCCGCCTCCATGCCTCTTCTACAGCCACCTTTTCATGGACAGGAGGTGCTGCTGGTCTCCTCCCACCCCTAGGGAAGAAATGGAGGGAGCTGCCATCTTCGGTCTCCCGGGCTTTGTGCCCACCCAGCGTGATTCAGAGCAGGCCTTAGATTCCCACTTCAACCGTGTTCTGCCAAGGGCAAGGTTCTCCGGATTTGGAGCCAATAAGCACACCAGTGGATGAAGAAGAAGTAAGGCTTTATTTGTATAAGGTTAACAGATAGCAGCAGGCATACAAAACACAAATTATAGCAGGGGTCAGCAAACTTTTTCAGCAGGGGGTCCACTGCCTCTCAGACCTTGTGGGGGGCCGTACTATATTTTGAAGAAGAAAAATGAACAAATTCCTATGCCCCATAAGTAACCCAGAGATGCATTTTAAATAAAAGCACACATTCTACTCCTGTAAAAACATGCTGATTCCCAGACGGTCCGTGGTCCGGATTTAGAAGGCGATTGGGATAGCTCGGTCAGTTAGAGCACGAGACTCTTAATCTCAGGTCTGTGGGTTCGAGTCCTGTGTTGGACAAAAGATTCCTGCACTGCAGGGGGTGGACTGGATGTTCCCTGGGGTCCCTCACAACTCTACAATTCAATAATTCTAAAGCACTCGGATTCCACTTAAAGAGTCACAGCTCCCCTGCGCCAAAGATTTATAGGGATTTTAAACTGGGGGGGGGTATTGTTTTTGTTTGTTATTATGTTACATATTTTTGCTTTTCTATCGTAAGCCACCCAGTGGTCCTCAGATGAAGAGCATTATAACAACAAAAACAACAATATAAATATAAATATAGTAATAGATGGCAGTTCCCAGGATTCTAGGCTGGGGAAGAAGAAGAAGCCATGAATCCACAAAGTGGAATAAATGTGCTTTAATCATACGGCGTGGGATGTGGTATAAGTCTTAAGACATTAGCACAGCTGTTAAGAAATCATAGATTTATTGTGGAAAGGGGTGGAAAACTGTGTGCAAACTGAAAATGTGTCGTCATTAGCCAAAGATTCAAAACGCAGGAATCGATGAGGGCAACTGTTTCCAGGTAATACATTGGGTTGCACAAGACCTGGAGGAAAATCAAGGAAAAGGTTGGCTACAAAGAAATATTTTTAAAGGGTGTGGGTTTAGAGGGTGTTTCTCACAAACGCTCCCTGCAGATTGAGAAAAAGACTCATAGTCTTTAGGCTACAGGGCTGGGGGTTGTTCCATCTGAGCAGAACTGAATAAACCAGAGCTTTCCAAGTTGGTGACACACTTTTTAGACACACATCATTTCGCGACATAGTAATTCAGTTTTGCACCATTTCGTGACACAGCAATTCAGTTTTGCTAGCAAGGTTAAACTAACCCCCTTCCAGACCTGGGAGCGTTCACACAACTACACACTTTAGCCAAAACACTAATATGTCACAACACAAAGCTTGGTAAGCTCTGCAGTAGACTATATAGCACGATTTGCATTGCTTTTTTGTAGTTAAGGAAAAGTAAATTCGCTTAAATAAGACCTTTCAGCCTGGCGGACCTCAGTGCTAGAAACAGCAATGAGCGATCCAGGGTTGGTTATGGAATGCTGGGGGTTTGTTAGGAGACACCCTCACTGAGCTACAGTTCCCAGCACCCTGGAGGGATGCATTTGGCCCCAGATCCTGAGGTTCCCCATCCCTGCAAAATTTTGTACCTGATTTTTTACTTCGTAATGCTCCCGGCATTTAAAAGGCTGCTTTGTTTTGCTGCTCATTTTGCTTCTTTGAATGTTGGATTTATTTATTATTTGATGCGCCTTTGCAATATCCTGTTCCGACTTCCTTCTTTCGGTGCTTATATTTGGGAGAAGGGGCCTCTGTAGTCAGATATTATGCAGTGTTGCCTTTCTAATGTTTCCAGAGGTGCTGTAAACCTCTTAAGAGATTTCCTCCTTTGCCCTCCCCCCCCATGCCTGTAAAATGGTATAGAAACAATCTAAATACAGTTGTACCTTGGTTGTTGAACGCCCTGGAACTCAGACGTTTTGGCTCCCGAATGCCACAAACCCGGAAGTGATTGTTCCAGTTTGCGAACGTTCTTTTGGACCCTGAATGTCCGACGGGGCTTACATGGCTTCTGATTGGCTGCTGGAGCTTCCTGCAGCCAATCAGAAGCCGCGATTTGGTTTTGGAAGTCGAACGGACTTCTAGAACGGATTCCGTTCGACTTCCAAGGTACGGCTGTAAATAGAATGTGGCTGGCGAATAGAGATTTCTCCTGGCTCCAGTTTGCTTCGGTGTTAACTAGCTGTCCCGTTGCATCCTGCAGCCGTAAACACCAGCAAGTACGCCGAAAGCTACAGAATCCAGACCTACGCAGAATACGTGGAGAAGAAGCACGAGGAGAAGAGGCAGGGCAAGAGGAAATGGACGGAAGATGGTTGGAAGGAGATGGAGGAAAAGCGGCTGAAAACACAGGCCGCTCCGTATGTGCTTCAAAACCGGTACTACAACCCGAACAGGTGAGAGGCACTTTTTTCTCTCAATATATATATATATATATATATATTGATTTTAACATATAAATTATAAAATGTACCACAAAACTTATCACTTATACAATCTTTTTAGACTTCCATCAGCACCTCTGATGATCCACCATTTTAACCACTTCTTATGCATTTCTTAAGTTTATATTGCCTTTACATCTCTTAACAAATCATCCTTCCCCTTATCCATTTTTGCAATACTTCCAATAATACTCCTCAGAAAACTTCTTGCAAACCTACAAACGTCGTCTGATCTTCACAAATACTTTTTAAATAATCCGTAAATTTACTCCAGTCTTCCGTGAATTTCTGGTTGCGCCGGTTTCGAATCCTTCCTGTTAGTTTATCTAGTTCTGCATAGTCCATTAACTTCATCCTCCATTCTTCAATCATCAAGAGGCACTTTTTTCACTGCCTGCGCCCTTAAAAGACAGGTGAGAGTGAATCACTTTTCCATGCATTTCGAAGATACCTAGGTATTCCCATTTGTAAGATTCACACCCGCCCTTTGGCATGGAGGGTAGGACTCGAACCCGTGGCTTTCAAGTTACAAGAAAGGAGATTCCGACTAAGCAGCAGGGAGAGCTTTCTGGCAGTAAGAGCTGTTTGATTCCTCCCGGAGGTGGCGAGTTCTCCTTCCTTGGAGGATTTTGGAGGATAGATGGCCATCTGTCATGGGCTCTTTAGCTGAGATTCTCCTGCGGTTTCACTTAGATGAGCCATTCTATGATAAGGTCCCAGGGCAGATTACAACAATGTTATAAAAACAGATACAGCCGTTGCAGTTATAAAACGGGTCAAACCGTTTCATGTGGAACAAGAGAGGCGGGTTCCCCGAAGCAAAATGCCTAAGCTGATGTCCGGCGCTGAGGGCCTTCTGGCGGTTCCCTCCCTGCGAGAAATGAGGTTACCGGGAACCAGGCAGAGGGCCTTCTCGGTGGTGGTGCCCTCCCATCAGATGTCAAGGAAATAAACAACTATCTGACTTTTATAAGACATCTGAAGGCAGCCCTGTTTAGGGAAGTTTTTAATGTTTGAAGTTTTATTCTGTTTTTAAGGGTTGGTAGTTTTAAATACCTGGGCACTTATATCTCTGAGGACCTCTCATGGACTGTAAATATTAATATGGTTGTGAGGAAGGTGCAGGGGAGGTTGTATTTCCTGAGAATGCTCAGGGGACTGAATCTATCTCAGCACCTACTTCTGTCCTATTATCACAGTACCATCGAGAGTGTCTTAACATATAGTATATTATCGTGGTATGGGAGCAGCTCTGAAACGGATAAAAAGCTTTACAGAGAATAATTAAAATTGCCCAGAATGTTATTGGGCTCCAACTACCAACCCTGGATGAGATCTTCACGTCTCGCACTTTGAAGAAGTCACACAATATCCTGAGAGATCCCACCCATCCTGCTCACAACTTCTTTGAACTGTTGCCTTCGGGCAGAAGATATAGGACAATGAAAACACGAACCACACGCCTTCTGAATAGTTTCTATCCAAGAGCTCTGATTGTACTAAATAATGATCTCAGGGCCAGTTGCAAGGAAGCAAGCAGGGAGTAGGAAGGAATGAGACAGGTTTTTAGGTTATGTTATGCTTTTAATAGGTTATGTTACATTCTGGAGTATGATATGTTTTTATAGATTATGTCTGAATAGGATGAGAGTGTTGGAGATACGTGCAAATGTGTATGTGAACCCGGTCTTCGAGTGGGTGTTTGATTTTCGTTGTTGTGTATACTGTGTATATACGGACAATGACAATAAATTTATCTATCTATCTAATGTTCTGTTGATAGCTGCCCAGAGTGGCTGGGGAAACCCAGCCAGATGGGCAGGGTAGAAATTTATTATTATTATTATTATTATTATTATTATTACAGTGGTACCTCGGGTTACATACGCTTCAGGGTACATACGCTTCAGGTTACAGACTCCGCTAACCCAGAAATATTACCTCGGGTTAAGAACTTTGCTTCAGGATGAGAACAGAAATTGTGTGGTGGCAGTTGGAGGCCCCATTAGCTAAAGTGGTGCTTCAGGTTAAGAACAGTTTCAGGTTAAGAACAGACCTCCGGAACGAATTAAATTCTTTTTTTTTTTTTAATGATATTTATTGAGAATTTTAAGATTACAAAGAAACAAAGAAAAAAAAGAAGGAAAAAACAAGTAACAATTAAACAATACAAATCGATAAAAATCAAAGTCAAAAAGCAAAACACATAATACATCAAAAGCAAAAAGCAAAAATAAACAAAAAAGTTTAAAAACAGGTCCAGTATTCCCAAATCCTTAACTGTCATTACCTTATTTCATCGACCTCCTCACACCTCCCTTTTTTGTATTCTAGTTGTTAATTATCTCAGCAAATCCTTTCCATCTTTCATAATATTCTGTCATTAAATTACCTTAATCTATTTTAACCTTATCTTACCATAAGAAACCCTAAAACTTAAAACTTAAATCTTATTTATACCAATTTCTCATAACCATTACATATTCTTACATAATTCTTTTTAACATTTCTGCTAAAGCCAAATAATTTCGTTCCAACATTTTTCTAATACTCATTAATTTTACAAAACTTTCCTAAATAAGTTTTTAAAACTTTCTTCCAATCTTCATCCAACGTCTCTTCCTCCTGGTCTCTGGTTTTGTCAGTCCTTTCTATCCCATCCATCTAGTTCATCAACCTGGCAACCTTATGTCCGAGGCCCTTAAATCTCTTCCATGTCCCTTCCGCAGGTCTTCTTCATATTTATACCTGTACTTTACTTTGTCTTCTGCTCCTTTCACTCGTGGAGACTCCAGCTTGTCAATATTTTTGTCCCTTCTCGACAGATCAGCCCCTTTTCCATAGTCAACACTGAACTCCATATGGTATTTAAAAGCATGTTTCAAGGTCCCTCCAAAGTTAAGGGCCCCCACAACTCCGAACTCCTCCCGGCCCAAAGCCAGACTTGAAAGGTCAAAACATCTCTGCATAGGGGGGTCTATCCAGCCCCCCATCTCCAAGCCAAACAAAACTCTATCTCTCCAAATCTGGCTTTTTCCAGGTTCATTCGTCAAATCCAACAACTCATGTTCCTGCTGGGCCACAGCGGAACGAATTAAATTCTTAACACGAGGTACCACTGTATAGCTGTAAGGATGAAGGGGTGTGTCTTCAGCACTCAGTGGAAGCTGTCCAATGAAGAGGCTTGACACGCCTCTGCAGGGGCGGGGTTTCTGCAGATTCCCCGCAGAGGAATGTTCTATCCTGAGCTGCCACCTCCCAAAATTCCAGGGGTGTCGGAACTACCAAGAGGTCCCCCTCTGCCAGTCTTGATACCCAAGACGGCCTGTAGGGAAGGATGCAACCTTTCAGATATCTGAGACCTGAGCCATTTAAGGCTTTAAACACTTAATGTGAGCACCTTGAACTAAGCCTTTGAATGAACCAGCAACCAGCGTGGCTGTTTTGGAACAAAGGTCATGTGAACATTCTCCTGTTTTATTTATTTCACAAAGCTTGATTGTAGGGAGAAAAAAATCCTCGGAGCCAGTGCATTGACTTCATCCCATCTTGTTCAATTGGTAATTCTGTGCAAGAATCACTGATTTTATTTTAAACATTTTAATCCCATTCTTCAGCTGAAAGGGCTCCCAGAATGGCTTAGAAATATGTCCTTACAGGACATGTAAGGAAAAAGGATTTGGGGAGAAATATAAAAATCTGCTGGAAAGGAAAACTGCTATCTCCTGTCAAGGCTATTACACTTAAGAGAGTTAATATGGATAGACAGTGGGCACCTAAAAGGGAATTGGTGTACTTTACGGGGGCGGGGGGACCACCCAAACTGAAATCAATGGAAAATATAAGGAACCATGTTACAGTTTTAAACATACGTTTAAAGAAGACTGGAAAACATCTATTGAATATATGGGAAATAATTGTGTATAGCTGTTGAAGAAACCAGAGACCTTTCTCCTGGGCATAGTCGGCCAATCGGTGTTAAAAAAGGATAGAACTTTCTTTATGTATGCCACAACAGCAGCAAGAATACTTATCGTAAAGTATTGGAAGACACAAGAGCTACCCACACTGGAGGAATGGCAGATGAAATTGATGGACTATATGGAATTGGCGGAAATGACTGGTAGAATCCGTGACCAAGGAGAAGAGTCGGTGGAAGAAGATTGGAAGAAATTTAAAGACTATTTACAGAAATATTGCAAAATTAAAGAATGTTAGAGTGATGTTGGATTGAAATTAAGTGGCTTCTAGCTGTACAGGCTTCAAAGTTATATATAGATTAAGATTAAGGATTAGGACTAAAAAAAAGTCAAAAGAAATGGAAAATTGGTTTTTAATAGATTAAAATTTAATGTTATATTATATTAAGATTAAGGATGGGATTAAAAAGGAGGGAAAGGAATTGCTGGACAAACAAATTGAATTGGAATACAAAAGAGGGAGGTATGAGGAGGTCCGGGAAATAAGTAAATGTAAAAGTTGTGATGAAAAGATGGAATTGTTTTTAACTGTTTTTTCTTTTTTCTTTTTGTATTTTGTACTTAGTATGGTGTTTTCTCTTTCTATTTTTAAATTTCTTTTTTTTTTATTAAGATGTTTTTTTCATGTGAAACTCCAATAAATATCATTTAAAAAAATAATAATAATAATTGTGTATAGCTGAAAACGCTGGCAGCATTCAGATAAATTCAACAGTGTAAATAACTTTTGATACAATGGAAAACTGAATGGTATCGTTTTTGTAAAATATGCAGGGATTTATGGTATGTAAAATGCAAAATGGAAAGAGAAGAAGGGAAATAAGTCGGTATTTTAAGGATGTAAAATGAGTATTTTAAATTGTAAAACAGAAAATTTAATTATATATATATATATAACAAAACAGAAGGAAAAGGGATTTGGGTGTTGGGGGAGGAGGCGGCAAAAGCAGACTTCTGCATGAGAACCTGAGAATGTCCTCTTTTCTCTCTTTCCCTCCCCAGTTTTTCAGCTACCAGCACCGTGGGGAAGAGAAGCATGAGCCCCATTCAAGAGGAGAGTGGCTGTGACGACGTGGAAGAGAGCGAAATGCAGGAGGATGTCCCAGACTCCTTTGCGGAGCCCTTGGAAGAGGGGAAGAAAAAAGCCAAGAAGTTCAAGAAAGCCAAAAGGGAACATGCCCCAGCAGGTAAGTGGAATACGTAGGTGTGTTGATAAATCAGCACGTCTGGTGCCGCAGAGAGCTGGATTGAGCTCTGCATGGATTTAGGTTTAGTGGGTGGTGCTTGTGGGGTGAGTTTGGCTCTGCCGGTTTGGTAGGGCTGGATGGGGGGGAAGAAAAACACACTGGTGCTAGAGCTGCTTCTTAGTCTGCCGCAGCATTTGACAGCTCTGCATTTGTGGCCGGCCGCTACAATAAGCCAGCAGCAGTAATTTCACTTTAGCAAAGGAACAAGTTTGTTGTTGTCGTTGAGTCGTGTCCAACTCTTTGTGACCCCATGGACCAGAGCACACCAGGCACTCCTGTCTTCCACTGCCTCCCGCAGTTTGGTCAAACTCATGTTCGTAGCTTCGAGAACACTGTCCAACCATCTCTTTTTTTTTTAAATAATTTTTATTAATTTTCCAACACAAATAAACAATCATATCAAAATTTCCACAAATTTAACTCTGTTTGGACTTCCTTCAGCTTCTCTGACAATCATCCATATTTACCTCTCAGTTATGCATTTCTTCTGTTTATATTGCCATTAACCTTCCCTCCCACTTCTATTTCTTTCTAACAATATATCTCAACTTTCACAGTGCTTCTTGAAACCCCACTAGCGTTGTTTGCACATCACACGTTCTTTTCAGATAATCAACAAATTTCCCCCAGTCCTCGATGAACTTTTGATCTTGAAGATATCTAATTTTCCCAGTTGATCTGTCCAGTTCTGCATAGTCTGTCAGCTTCAGTCTCCATTCTTCTACCGTCGGTATTTCTTCTTGTTTCCATTTCTGGGCCAGTAGGATTCTTGCTGCTGTAACTGCATATTGGAAAAGTTTAAAGTCCTTTCTTCTTATTTCCTTTCCTGTAATCCCTAAAAGAAAAATCTCTGGTTTCTTTACAAATGTACATTTTAACATCTTTTTCATTTCATTGTATATCATCTCCCAAAATCCCTTCACTTTCTTACATTCCCACCACATGTGATAAAACGTTCCTTCTGTTTCCTTACATTTCCAACACTTATTACACGTCTTATACATTTTTGCTAATTTACCGGTGTGATATACCATCTGTAGAACATTTTCATAACATTTTATTTTAGTGCCATACAAGCAGTGAATCTTAAGTTCTCCTTCCACAATTTTTCCCAATCCTCAAACTGTATATTGTAACCAAAATCTTTGGCCCATTGTACCATTACTGATTTAACTTCCTCACCTTTCATATTCCATTCCAACAGTATTTTATACATTTTTGACAAAATTTTACAATCATTATTTATCACTTCTGTCTGGAACTTTGAATCTTTTTCTACATAACCCCTTTCTTTAATATCTTTTTTAAACATTTCATTAACCTGAAAATAATGCAACCAGTCATAAACATGAGAACACTGTCCAGCCATCTCGTCCTCTGCCGTCCCCTTCTCCTTGTGCCCTCCATCTTTCCCAACACCAGGGTCTTTTCCAGGGAGTCTTCTCTTCTCATGAGGTGGCCAAAGTATTGGCGCCTCAGCTTCAGGATCTGTCCTTCCAGTGAGCACTCAGGGCTGATTTCCTTAAGAATGGATCGGTTTGATCTTCTTGCAGTCCATGGGACTCTCAAGAGTCTCCTCCAGCACCATCATTCAAAAGCATCAATTCTTTGGTGATCAGCCTTCTTTATGGTCCAGCTTTATTGTTAAAGTAAAGGCACAAGTTACCTTTACTTAATTCTAGTGTCAGACTAGGCCAGTGTTAGTTAACACAAAACAGGGTTAGGGTACAGCAGGATTCTACTTGACAAAGGTTTGATTTGTGGCAGCTGGGTAGCTCAGTTAGTAGAGCACGAGGGTCGTGGGTTCGAGCCCCAGGTTAGGCGAAAGATTCCTGCATTGCAGGGGGTTGGACTAAATGACCCTCGTGGTCACTTCCAGCTCTCCGATTCTATGATTTTTTGAGCAGTGATGCTGGTATCTTGTGTCAGCCCTCCAACACTTCTGCTCACAACTCAGCACTGCCAAGCTGCTTCTCTCTTTTTTTTTAACTGCATCTTAATTTATCTTAGGTCTCACATCATTCTTGAAGCTACTACTGAAGTTAATCAAATGCTGCGACAGAATTTAAGCTACTATAATTCTTTGTCAAATATATTTTAAAGACTTTCCATTTAGATACAAACACCTGTTTTGGTTTGTTCTTTATTCTTTCAGAAAAACTGTCTAGTTCCGCATATTCAATCAATCTTTGAATCCATTCCTGCATAGATGGAAGTTTATCAGATTTCCAAATTGCAGCAATTAGGACTCTTGCTGCCACTGTAGCATATAAAAAGATGTCCTTTATTTTTTAAGGGAAGTTCAAATCCGTAATTCCCAGAAGGTAAGCTTCTGGTTTTTTATTGAAAAAGATTTTTAACAGTTTTTGTAATTCTAAATGGATGTCCTCCCAAAACACCTCAATTTTCTTGCATTGCCACCACATATGGTAGAAAGTGCCTGATTTTTCTCCACATCTCCAGCAGTCACCTAGGACACCTTTGTGCTTCTCATTATGCACAAGCAAACTGCAACTAAATGGGAGAATAATTCAAGCTGTCCACATGTGACTGAATAGCAGGCCTCTTTGTCCCGAAGGGCTTGTAAACGTCTCGATTATTGCACTCTGCTCCATGTGAGGCTACCGTTGCACCACATCCAGAAGCTCCAGCTGCTACAAAATGCTGGAACTAGACTATTGATGGGAACAGGATATTGCCAGCACATAACCCAGGAGTTTACAAGCTTGGTGGCCAGCTATTACGAGGCCAGGTTCAGGTTCCTGTATTTATTGACAAGGCCCTTAGCAAGTTGGAGCCAGCTGATCCCTTATATCCCTGCCTGGTCACTAAGATATTGGGACAGTCTCCCATGGCTCAGATGTGCAGCTCATATTGACTAGAAGCCATGCATTCACCATAGTGACCCTTGCCTGACCGAGATTAGATGGGCTCTGAGCTTCAGGCACATGGTAATGACTTCCTTACTCCAGGTAGTGTTTGGAATAACTGTTTTATGATGAGTTTTAACGGTTTTATTTTCCGTGTGGTTTATTTCTATGTACACCGCTTTAAAAACGCTAATGACCAAGTGGTTGTATTAGTGCTTGAAACTACAGCTCCTCAGTTATTTGAGCAGTCATCCCCACACACTAAGTTCTTGAATGCTGTCGCAGGCTGAGAAGCAATTCCGACACTGGTGTGTTTTCCTTCCCTCCAGGCCTGTCAAACTGGCAAAGCCAAGCCTGCCTTCTTACTACTTACAACCACCCTCCTCCTCCTTAGTCTCAGGGTTGCCTCCTGTATGACTCTGCAGGGAGGATGACGGAGACCAAACTAGGATTCGGTGGTTCTGCCTATTGTTGGCTCTAGCGCCACCTCCTGTTGGCCTCCCTGTCTTCTGCTCTACCAGTCCCACTCAGCCATTTGCTGGGAGTTGTAGCCCAAATACCAGGAGGGCAGCAGGTTTGGAAAGGCTGCTTTTAGTTACGGAAGCTCTGCATAGCTGCCCTGCGGGCCCCAAGTCGCCCTTGACTAGAAGACTCATTTTTACACCCAAAGGGCAGCGGCCATGACAGCCACAGCCAACCTCGGTCCGTAACGTCACTGTGCCGCTTTGTGGCTAAATGAGACCCTGACACCCTTCCAAATTACGTTGTTTGAGACCCAGCTTTATTGATTGATTGATTGATTGAAAGATTGATTGATTGATTGATTGATTGATTGGGTCTATATATCACCTGCTCGCCAAGGATCCCAAAGCAGCTTGCAATGTAAGCACTAAAACAAATACAGTGGCACCTTGGTTTTCAAACGTCTCCGTTGACAAACGTTTCGGAACCCGGACGCCGTAAACCCGGAAGTAAATGCTTCCGTTTTCGAACGGCTTCCCCTGAGTTTTTCTCAATTTTCCCCGTTAAATTTGCAAACCACCCTTTGCACCTTGGTTTTCAAACGTTTCAGAAGTCGAACGGTCTTCCGGAACGGATTACGTTCAAAAACCGAGGTGCCACTTGTTATCGTATAACACGAAGACTTGGCAGAGCCTTCTGAGGGTCCATGAGCTCCCTGGCCTTGGTCCTTACTCGGGATCCCTGCACAGGCATGAGCAGAGTCTGCTCTTCCGCTTTGACACACGAGACCATAGAATTGCCATTGGAAGGGACTATGAGGATCATCTAGACCAGCGGTTCTCAACCTGTGGGTCCCCAGATGTTGTTGGACTACAACTCCCATCATCCCTGAGCCAGCGTGGTGTAGTGGTTAAGAGCGGTGGACTCGTAATCTGGTGAACCAGGTTCGCTTTCCCGCTCCTCCACATGCAGCTGCTAGGTGACCTTGGGCTAGTCACACTTCTCTGAAGTCTCTCAGCCCCACTCACTTTACAGAATGTTTGTTGTGGGGGAGGAAGGGAAAAGGAGAATGTTAGCCGCTTTGAGACTCCTTCGGGTAGTGATAAAGCGGGATATCAAATCCAAACTCTTCTCTTCTTCTTCTTCTCTGGTCTTGCTATCTAGGGGTGCTGGGAGTTGTAGTTCAACAACATCTGGGGACCCACAGGTTGAGAAAGGCTGATCTAGTCCAACTCCCTGCAGTACAGGAATCTTTTGCCCAACTCAGGACTCGAACTTGACAACCATGAGATTAAGAATCTCGTGCTCTTGCCAACTCAGCTATCCCAGCTGTTAGGATGCTCTCCATAACCACTGCGTCATGTGCTTTCCTCCAGAAGACCTCCAGGCCCAGCCCACCCAACTTTTCGACGTTCCAGACACGTGGTAGCATCTGGCTACGACACCAGCGCGAAGCAGACGAATCTGCAGCCCCTTGCACCTCGGCCGGGCTGCCCTTTATTTTAAAACGAAGTGGGGGGGGGCGTTTATATAATATACACGAATAAAAAGCAAGATGTCTCTCAGCAATCAGTTTAAATTTTTTTAATTAAAGAAAACCCTACGGAACAATCGTCGCTGCCGCCACTCCCCCACCTTCGTACATGTGTGCGTGTAACACGTCGGTTTTGTTGCTTAACCTGAAATCTTACTTTTTGCTCGTCGTAAATGTTAGAAGACTGAGTGTTTGGTATTGATCACCTTTAAACGGCATGTACCCTGTGAAATTCGCAAAAAGAAGAACCTGTGTGTGTTGTAACTTTGCTCCGCTGCTCCATCAAAGGGGGGGCGGGGGGCGGTTTATACGCAAGTTGTCTTTAGTCCAGATTTTCACCTGTTGTTGCAACTTGGCCAGTAACAAAATGCTTTCAGCCACTTGACTCCCTTTCATTCCTCTCTTTCTAGGATCTGTACCCCCACCCACCCCTTTTCCTCCCCCAGCCCCTTAAATTAACATCCTTTGTCTTGTCTTTTTTTTTAGGGGGGGGCCCACTATTTCCCTCAACCTCACCTTTCATTCGGGAAGTATTTGAGTGTTATATAGAGGTGGGAGGGGGGGTCATCCTTTTCCTGCTCCCTTTTCCCCTTAACTTTGTGGGTTGTACAAATGGAAACCTGCGACATTAACCAGCCTTAGTTTAAAATACGAAACAACAGATCTGCTTTGGTAGGTTTCATAAACTTGGTTTGATATTTAACATTTTTGTATCATGGAAATGAGAATATGGGGGGCGGGGAATGTATTTCCATAAAGTGAAAATTAAAGATTTTTTTTTTCTTAGGACTTTGGTCTCTCTCTGTGTGCTTTTAAAAAACCATTTTGAATCAGAATCAGAGGAACCTTTTATTTGCATCAGCCACTAGCCATAGCAATAAAATAAGAATACAATGTACTGAATCATAGAATCATAGAGTTGGAAGAGACCACAAGGGCCATCGAGTCCAACCCCCTGCCAAGCAGGAAACACCATCAGAGCACTCCTGACATATGGTTGTCAAGCCTCTGCTTAAAGACCTCCAAAGAAGGAGACTCCACCACACTCCTTGGCAGCAAATTCCACTGTCGAACAGCTCTTACTGTCAGGAAGTTCTTCCTAATGTTTAGGTGGAATCTTCTTTCTTGTAGTTTGGATCCATTGCTCCGTGTCCGCTTCTCTGGAGCAGCAGAAAACAACCTTTCTCCCTCCTCTATGTGACATCCTTTTATATATTTGAACATGGCTATCATATCACCCCTTAACCTCCTCTTCTCCAGGCTAAACATGCCCAGCTCCCTTAGCCGTTCCTAAGGGAGATAGAAGTACAAACCTAACTATACAAAATACATTCTGCAGGTTTACAAAAAACAATGTTCTTGTTCCCCCCCACCTTGCACAAAAAAAACCAAACCATTTTAGAGTTAATAAGGATTGTAGCACAAGCTGTAGAGGAGGGAACAGGTTTTCCCAGCCAGATTTTTTTAAAAAAGTTCCAGTTGCTTGTTGATCAATGAGAGCAACCTCAGATGAAGACTGTGCTGAATCTTTTCTATCATCCATTTGCCTTGTTCAAATCATGGGTTTGAGAAAGAGCCCTGCGACATAGGCTCACACTATTCATGGCCACTTGGAAGGGGACTGAGCTGCCTGGAGTGACAGCAGAAGGCTGGGGAACCCTGAGCTTCCAGAGGTTGTTGGACTCCCATCAGCCCCAACCAACATGGCCTATGGTATGATGGGAAATCGTAGCCAATGAAGGGCCAAACATCCCCAGCCCTACACTTATGCCTCTCCACAGTCTCTGCAACATGGAGCCCACCAACTGTTACTGGACTCCATGGTGATGGGCTGGGCTGCTGGGAGCTGGAATCTGGCAGCATCCAGAGAGGCATTAGGTGGGATCCCCCCACTCTTCCAAAACGTGCTGCCATCGAGCTTCTTGTGCTTGCCGATCAGAAGGTTGGCAGTTCGAATCCCCATGACGGGGTGAGCTCCCATTGTTCTGTCCCAGCTCCTGCCAACCTAGCAGTTCTAAAGCACGCAAGTGCAAGTAGATAAATCGGTAGCGCTGCGGCGGGAAGCTAAACAGCGTTTCCGTGCGCTCTGGTTTCCGTCGCAGTGTCCCGTTGCGCCAGAAGCGGTTTAGTCCTGCTGGCCAAATGACCTGGAAAGCTGTCTGCAGACAAGCGCCGGCTCCCTCGGCCTGAAAGCGAGTTGAGTGCCGCACCCCATAGCCACCTTTGACTGGACTTGACCATCCAGGGGTCCTTTACCTTTTCCTTTACATGCTTACAGCAGCGTCATACCACTTCAAACCACCATGATTTCCCACCAGAGAATCCTGGGCACTGTAGTTTTAAGGTGCTAAGAGTTGTTAGGAGTGCTACGGTTCCCAGAGTTCCCTGGGAAGAAGGGCTGATTTGTTAAAACCACCATGGAAAACGTAACTCTGGGAGATGAAGGCGGCTCTCCTAAGAACTCTCAACACCCTTAACAGACTACAGCTCCCAGGATCATTTGGGGAGGACTGTTCAAAGCCGTGTGACACTGCTTTAAAGGTGTTGCGCAGACGGGGCCTAGGTCTCTCAATAGCAAGCCCATAGTCACCTTTAACTGGACTTAACCGTCCAGGGATCCTTTACCTTTTTTCTTTTTTTCTTTTGTTGCCATATAATGACCAGATCCATCTTGCAAACCTTTTATACCCAGCAAGCTGGGAAAGGAGCGAAGTTCAGCAGCAGAGGTTTCAGGTTCAATCTGTCGCCAGGTAGGATTGAGAAGCTCCTTCCTGAACCCCTGGACAGCTGCTACTTGTCATAGAATTGTAGAGTTGGAAGGGGGGGGGTCCCCAGGATCATCTGTTTATTAATAATATTATGAGGATTGCATTTATAAAAAGATAAGAGCAAAGGGGGGAAGTGAGTGAGAATGAACAAAAATACAGTGGTGCCTCGCAAGACAAAATTAATTCGTTCCGCGAGTTTTTTCGTCTAGCGAATTTTTCGTCTTGCGAAGCACGGTGTCGGAAAAGTTTTGGAAAAGCTTCAAAAATCACCAAAAACCTCAAAAAAGGCTACCACACCGCGTTCTATGAGTTGCTCCTCGAAGTCAAGTCGCAACTGTATTAACGGTGTTAAGAAAAGGAAACAAACTTGCAAAAAACGCAAGACATTTTCGTCTTGCGAAGCAAGCCCATAGGGAAATTCGTCTTGCGAAGCAGCTCAAAAATCGCAAAACCCTTTCGTCTAGCGAGTTTTCCATCTTGCGAGGCATTCGTCTTGCGGGGCACCTCTGTAATAATACTGTTCTATTGCCCTACATTTATACAGATGTGTATATTCTTGTCCTAATACACAATTGTCAATAAGCTAATATAGTCTGTGGAGACCCATTCCAAATACCATTGAAGTAGCTTCATATGTTACCAATGGTAGCTTACAGCTTGAACTTGAATCCATTCCATTTACCTGTTGACGGTATCGTAATCTGTTGAAGGTCTTCCTAATATTTCGGTGGAATCTCTTTCCTCAATGCAGACACAACTGGAAGGACTAAGAGACACAACACCGCAATAATAAGTCAAACAGTGGGTCATTGCTTGTGGCCTTTGTCGTGGTTTTCAGGAAATCCTTGCTTACCGCCGCCGAACGCTGCGCTCTCTTCGTGAGCCGTAACAAAGGCAAATTGCTCGGCTCCCCTGCTCTCCCCGCCCCTGGGCAGCGAGAGAATAAATATGGAATTTGCTTGCATATTTGTTCTACAAAGCTTCTGGCCTCGGCTGGCTCTCGACGTCTGCCAGATGAGCAGATGTTTTGGCTGTAGAGGATCCCACCACAAACTGCGCGGCTCCTTGCTGCAAAGGCGGTTTTGTTTAAGCGAAGACAGAAGTGTCCTTGTGTAGGCCGACAGCTCTGGCTCCAGGCTATAACCAAAGTGATGTTCCGTTCCCCGCACACACACCCCAAAACAGAAGCATTGCTCTCCAGCTGCAGCACTGGCCCAGGCACTTGGGCATCCGGGACACAGTTTTCCATACCCTAAAAAAAGTAGCGAGTCTGGCCGCACAGCCCAAAAGTACTGCAAGACGTTAGGGGGCTTTTGGAGCCCGCCAGAACAGCCAGACATCAAGTTAAAAAAAGGTAAAGGGACCCCTGACCATTAGGTCCAGTCGTGGCCGACTCTGGGGTTGCAGCTCATCTCGCTTTATTGGCCAAGGGAGCCGGCGTACAGCTTCCGAGTCATGTGGCCAGCATGACTAAGCCACTTCTGGCGAACCAGAGCAGCGCACAGAAACGCCGTTTACCTTCCCGCCAGAGCGGTACCTATTTATCTACTTGCACTTTGACGTGCTTTTGAACTGCTAGGTTGGCAGGAGCAGGGACCGAGCAACGGGAGCTCACCCCGTTGTGGGGATTCGGACAACCACCTTCTGATCGGCAAGTCCTAGGCTCTGTAGTTTAACCCACAGCGCCACCCGCGTCCCTAGACATCAAGTACATCATGGCAATGTTGAGAATCTTTTTCCAGGCCAGGGGCTGGCATAGACTGATTGGGTACAGAGGAATAGTGGGAGGAACCAGCTGAGGAACCCCTAAGGCAGCGATTCTCAACCTGTGGGTCCCCAGATGTTGTTGAACTACAACTCCCATCACCCCTAGCTAGCAAGGCCAGAGCTCAGGGATGATGGGAGTTGTAGTCCAACAACATCTGGGGACCCACAGGTTGAGAACCACTGCCCTAAGAAGGCTCAGAGCCCAGGGATTGGAAGTGGGATGACAATGAGTGGTCAGAGGGAGAAAAGAGAGAGAACCCAGGGAAGAGCGAGGTGTCAGAAGCTGAAGGGGGAATGGGGCTCAGTGAGCGGGGAGAGCCTGTGGCAGAGAGCAGTCCAGAATCCGAGGCAGAAGCGGAGGCTGGAGAGGAGCAGGGCCAAGAGGCAGAGATTAGGCAGGCTGCTAAAGAAGTCAATGGGTCTCCCCCTTCTGCGGCAACCAGTTTCCCTCCCTGCCAGTCTTCCAGAACCAGAAGAGGTAAAGAAGGCGGAGCAAAGACAGTCAAGGCCGGGGGCGGAGCCTGAGAACACCGCTGGCATCCATCTCTCGACCAAGTCAAACTGCTGCCAATACTTATCTTTTAGGTATTGCATGTGCACAGATCTAGCCCATGCTTAAGGCAACCATTTGGCATGCGGCAAGAATGGTTTATTAAGCAGCGGCCCGAATTGGAAGCGTTTATCCGCCGCCGCCCGCATTCCGCACAGCGGAGGAGCTAATTTACGTTAGTAATTACGAGTGCTGAACAAAACAGGACAGTTAATTAGAAGATGACCGGGCGATGCTGAAACCAGGCAAGAGGCAGAACAAGCTGAAGTAGATGGCATTTATTTTATTTTATTTTTGGAAGAACGTGAGAAGAGCCTGCTGGATCAGGCCAAACAGGGGGGCCTCATCCTGTTCTTAACAGTGGCCAACAAGATTGCCCCCTAGGGAAGCCCACAAGCAGGGCCTGAGTCCTCCAAGTGGATTCAGAACAGGCATCGACTGAGCTATCCAGAAAGATGGCCTGTCTTATCACGTGTGTTTACTACTCTGGGCTCCGTTGGGAAGGCGGCTGGGATATGAATGTAATTAATATTGTTACTGTTATCATTTTATTTTAGTATTATCATTTAATAGAATAGTATCCTATGCTTCTAAGCTGCGCCAGGGATGCGAATGTGGAACTGAAGCGGTGCGGTGCAAAGTTTAGAAGCAAACAAGCAAGGCCGCTGGGCCCTTCCAAACTGTGCCCAAATCCTCAGTGTGCACCAGTTTCTTATCACTCTTGTTTACTGCTGATTAGGGTGAAAATATTTCCCTTTTCAACAATGCCATTAGCGGTGAATGAAATGGGAGTGGGGGAGAGAGGGAGGCTCGGGAAAGCCAGCCAAAGCAAAGTCTGAAGTCTGCCTTGTTATTTGTGCTATGTAGCCACTATAAAATGCAGCTGCTAAAATGGGAGCAAGGCAACCTCCAGAAGTCACTGGACTCCAACTCCCATCAGCACTCTCTGTTGGCCATGCTGGGCTGGGATGGATGGGAGCTGGGGTTCACCAAGATGTGGATGCACACGGTTGAAGAACACGACCCTGGACTCCCTAGATCAGGCATAGGCAAACTCGGCCTATCCAGATGTTTTCGGACTACAACTCCCATGATCCCAAGCTAACAGGACTAGTGGTCAGGGATGATGGGAATTGTACTCCCAAAACATCTGGAGGGCCGAGTTTGCCTATGCCTGCCCTAGATGGTGGGCAAGGCTGATCTACAAGTCTGAAGGTCCCTCCAGACTAGGGCAGGGCGATATAATGTTAAATCGTCCCAAACCAGTTTGAAGTCCACAGCATGATATTGGTTTCAAAATTTTTGACTTGGCGATATATCCTAACTCATGATATGTTTCCATGTGTGTGCTATGCAAAAACCAGAATGGGGGGGAAACCGTTAAGCCAACTACTGTCTCTACATAGCTCCATCCTTATTTCGACATCATGATATATCGGTATATAAGGATGTTTAGCTGGTGATATATCACAATATTGAAAACCAGTTCTCACCCAGCCCTATCTACTCCAGACTGGTGTGTGCATGTGTCCTGCAACATGTCAAAGATGCAATAATAGTGTATTAATGGTAATTTTTGGGACACGGGTGGTGCTGTGGGTTAAACCACTGAGCCTAGGACTTGCTGATCAGAAGATTGGCGGTTCGAATCCCCGCGACAGGGTGAGCTCCCGTTGCTCGGTCCCTGCTCCTGCCAACCTAGCAGTTTGAAAGCTTGTCAAAGTGCAAGTAGATAAATAGGTACCGCTCCGGCGGGAAGGTAAACGGCGTTTCCGTGCGCTGCTCTGGTTGGCCGAAGCGGCTTAGTCCTGCTGGCCACATGACCCGGAAGCTGTATGCCGGCTCCCTTGGCCAATAAAGCGAGATGAGCGCCGCAACCCCAGAGTTGGCCACGACTGGACCTAATGGTCAGGGGTCCCTTTACCTTTAATGGTAAATTTATTCTGGGCTGTCCATGCATCTTCTAGGCATTATTGCTTCTTCTTCAATGTTCCCCCCAACATTTCTGTTCTTCTGCTGTCGGGGGCAGCTTTGCACTACAGCACAACAAAAAAAGACACAAGCAGTTTCTCCTAATGCAAATGCTATTTTCACTGACGCATGCATGTCTATTTACACTTTCCCCAAAATATTTGCATCCTCGTAAACATTCACTGGCTGTAGAGGTGCACTGCAGAACTTGTGTGACTTTCAAAGGATGGCTCGCCTTTAAATCAGAACAGAATTGAATTCCTTGCCCCACCATCCTTTCAAAGCTTTGCATGGCTTCAGTGCAGATTCCCGTGCCAAGGTAAAGGCAGTGCCAGATTTACGTATAAGCTAAACAAGCTATAGCTTAGGGCCCCTCTCCCTTAAAAAGGTAAAGGTACCCCTGCCCGTACGGGCCAGTCGTGACCGACTCTAGGGTTGCGCGCTCATCTCGCTCAAGAGGCCGGGAGCCAGCGCTGTCCGCAGACACTTCCGGGTCACGTGGCCAGCGTGACGAAGCTGCAGCTGGCGAGCCAGCACCAGCGCAGCACACGGAAACGCCGTTTACCTTCCCGCTATAAAGCGGTCCCTATTTATCTACTTGCACTTAGGGGTGCTTTCGAACTGCTAGGTGGGCAGGAGCTGGGACCGAACGACGGGAGCTCACCCCGCCGCAGGGATTTGAACCGCCAACCTTACCATCAGCAAGTCCTAGGCACTGAGGTTTTACGCACAGCGCCACCCGCGTCCCCCCCCTCTCCCTTGGAGGCCCCCAAAAAATTTAAAGGGGGAAAAACTGGATGTACATTCCCAAAATAGAAGATAAAAAGGAAATAAAATAAAACCTACATACAGTAACAGTGTTTTGTGTTGTGTAGGCTCCTATGATGCAAGTCATGGGCCCTGCCAGCTAGCCTGCTCCCTAAAATATCACTGGTTTGCTCTTTTCTATATATAGGGTGCCTACATTCTGCACGGACTGGTTGTATGACAAACCATGCAAATGGCCTTAGATACCTATTAGGTCCATAAATTACCATATAGCATATATTCAACACAAAAAACATTTGTTGTTGACAAAGGACAGCTGGACATATAAAGGGCCCCATTACTTTCAGTAGCTTAGGGCCTCATCAGACCTAAATCCAGCCCTGGGTCAGGGTCAAAGCCATCGCTCTGCCACTTTAACTTCTAGCTCTGCAAACCAGGGCCATTATGCCCCCAGTAGACTGCCCACTAGGCAATGCAGCCTTCAGGCTGGGAAAGCTTCCTTAGCCCTGCTGTACATATTACCGTATTGGCCTGAATATAAGCTGCAATATTTTCCCAAATTCTGACCGTGAAAAGTTAAAGTATGGCTTAAATTCGCGACCTTAAAAAAACTGGCTTTTACGATATCGCTACTGAAACAGACATATGGTAAAATGGAACAAAAAATGTTTTATTGCCGATTTGCAAGCTTGAGACTGTTTAATCCACTTGCGGGTCCTCTCTGGTACCTGTAGGATTTTCTTATACATTTGCCATTTAAAGGTGTGAGTGCCTGCGGAATTGTAGCAACTGAATAGCAATTTGCAATTTTAGCAATTGTAACATTTTGGGTAGTCTTCCCCCCCCCCCCAATAGTTTTGAAAGGTGCGGCTTATTTGTGGGTGTGGCTTATATTCGGGCCAATACGGTACTTACTACAAAGAATGGAGGTAGATGGAGGTAGAAACTGTCTCTCATGCCTTGTTACGCTGCCATTTCTACGGGGATATAAGCTCAGTATTTATTACACCTGCTATGCAAAAATCTCCAAATGAATCCAAACTTCAATGTCTAAAATCCCTGGTAGAGGACAAGGATCACGTTAGGGGTAGCCAAATTCTGTGCGATTGCCATAAAACTTAGGGAACAAGCTGCGCTATCATAATGATTAAGGCCTTAAATGATAATTTTAGGTAGTGACTAAGTTTTAATTTATATTTTTTTTAACTGTTGCTATATCTGTTTTGTCCCTGTTACACCTAATTGCAAATTCAAATGTATCCCTATCGTGTTTTATGACTTCCTTGATATTGTATGTGAGCTGGAACTGGTCTGGGACCGAAATAATAAACTCATTCATACGGTACTCACTACAAAGAAAGTCCCGGCTTGTTCGATGGCGTTTATTCCCAGCCTGGTATGTCCAGGCCTGCCGTCAGGTTCGGAGCAAAACGCATCAGGTATTTTGGCCTGCAGTCAGCTCAGCTCTCGGCTATGGCAAGGCTCCCAGACCGCTTGGGCTGTTGCCCTGTGTTTGCTTCCTAATGGGTTTCAAAGATCAAGAGCGCTTGGAGCATTTGCTAAGCCATTTACCTGCTTTTCCCCAAGGGTGCCATCACCCAGAAACTCCCAGGGCAGGGCGTTCCTGAATGCGCCAAACAGCCGCAAAGATGAATGCGCCAGGCATTTAGACAATGCCTGCATTCCACAGGACCTTCCCCGAGCATTTGGCATTTCAGACTATGCTCAGTTTCCTTCACGGCTGGGTCACAACACACGCCGCTGCGGGAAACAGTGCATGCGGCTGCCACTTTTGTGAAGTGATGTAAACAAAAATCTGCCCTTTTCCACTTATGGGGTATCCAAGAGCCCATATAGAGTCCTTACATAGGTTCCCTATTGGTAGGAGAAAATAACAGGCCAACCAGAGAATATTGAGAAGCAAAGCAGCTAGTAAGCCTGATCTTTATTGATCTGTTGCAACAGGATCCTCACTCACCACACGCAGGAGGGGGGGAGGAACCCAGAACAATGGTGTGCAAGCCCTTATATAGAAATTTTAAATTCCCTGTCCTGGAGCTGAAGACCACCCCTCCATACATCATACATACATCACAGAAAAGGCGGTCTACAGCAGAAATCTGAGTGTGTTGTTTATCTCCTCTGACAGGTTACCTGTTAATGCTCACTTGATTGGATACCCTGGGGAGCCTGGCCAGTCTTTTGTAGCAACCAGCAGATACAGCACATGGTTGATTTAAGCACTGATCACAGCAAAAGGAGCCACTGGCAACTGGTTGCTCTGGCAAGTGGTCAGAATCCTGCTCAGATTCTAACATAAGCTGGCGATGTTCAGGGTATTTATTCCAAAGAGATGAATCACTGAGCTGCAAGAAAGAAGACGAAAACACAAGTCATTGGCGCTTTTATCTAGATTTTTTAAAAAAGAAGAAGAAGAAAGAACACATTTTTTAAAAGAGATTATTTTCAGCCCTTCACTGGATATTCAGGAAATTGCTGCACCTTCCAGAGTATTAATCACACACTGGTGGGGTGCCAAAGATGTGAGGCAGGAATGCTGAGCAAACCAACCCAAGCTGAGGAATTCTGGAATGGGTTTGTAGGGGAAAGGGAAGAGGAAGGTCTGGGAGGATTAAACTCTCCTGCTCCTTCCAGCTGGGATCAGTTCCCCTCTCCAGAGAGAACCAACCTACTGAAGGCCATTAATCATTATGGCCTGACATCTCCCAGTCCTCAAGTCTAGAGCGAGGGAGATAAGACTTGTCTTCCACCTCCCCAGATGTCTTCAGGGCCATTCAGTTGCCCGTCACAATCTGCAGGCTGCCAGCGTCCTTCTGAGCTATCTCCAATGGGGAGATAGATAGATAGATAGATAGATAGAGATAGATAGATAGATAGATAGATAGATAGATAGATATAGATCGATAGATAGATAATTTTTTAATTTTTTTTACTCAAGAAAATCACCATTTTATAGTTCAAATCAGGGAAAATAAATACAGTAAATGGACAAAAGTACAAAGAACATGCATTACACGGGGAAAGGAAAGGAAGCCACGATCGGAGGTGGTAACAACGAAACTGACCAATCACCGTGCTAAATTCCAACTCCTACTTCACACATTAAACGCTCACTTCTGTCCAAGACTCAGGAAACACCGTGACAGGAAATGAGGCCGCCATTGGGGTGGCAACAGAACTGACAATTCACCATGCTAGAGAAGAAACTATTAAAAAAAAAGTTTCTTCTCCCGTTAAGATTCACAACACTGGAGCCTTGTTCTCTGGCTTCCAAAGGCTAAACTACAGGTAACATTGCTGTTTTGCTATTAGCATCCAATCAGAATTGGGACATCTGTGAAAGACAGAGAAGGCTGCTGCTGCTGTTTTTAAACCCTCTCCTCCTAGAATCATAGAATCATAGAGTTGGAAGAGACCACAAGGGCCATCGAGTCCAACCCCCTGCCAAGCAGGAAACACCATCAGAGCACTCCTGACATATGGTTGTCAAGCCTCTGCTTAAAGACCTCCAAAGAAGGAGACTCCACCACACTCCTTGGCAGCAAATTCCACTGTCAAACAGCTCTTACTGTCAGGAAGTTCTTCCTAATGTTTAGGTGGAATCTTCTTTCTTGTAGTTTGGATCCATTGCTCCGTGTCCGCTTCTCTGGAGCAGCAGAAAACAACCTTTCTCCCTCCTCTATGTGACATCCTTTTATATATTTGAACATGGCTATCATATCACCCCTTAACCTCCTCTTCTCCAGGCTAAACATGCCCAGCTCCCTTAGCCGTTCCTCATAAGGCATCGTTTCCAGGCCTTTGACCATTTTGGTTGCCCTCCTCTGGACACGTTCCAGTTTGTCAGTGTCCTTCTTGAACTGTGGTGCCCAGAACTGGACACAGTACTCCAGGTGAGGTCTGACCAGAGCAGAATACAGTGGCACTATTACTTCCCTTGATCTAGATGCTATACTCCTATTGATGCAGCCCAGAATTGCATTGGCTTTTTTAGCTGCCGCGTCACACTGTTGGCTCATGTCAAGTTTGTGGTCAACCAAGACTCCTAGATCCTTTTCACATGTACTGCTCTCAAGCCAGGTGTCACCCATCTTGTATTTGTGCCTCTCATTTTTTTTGCCCAAGTGCAATACTTTACATTTCTCCCTGTTAAAATTCATCTTGTTTGTTTTGGCCCAGTTCTCTAATCTGTCAAGGTCATTTTGAAGTGTCTGAGGCACCCCAGAAACTTCTATTTAACAAAGAATGCTGCGGCATGATTGCTGACAGGAATGAGGTCTTGTCACCATATAACACTTGTGCTCAGAGAGAGGTCAAGAAGAATCCTGAGAACTAGTCTCTTAAGGGCAGTGTTTTTTCTGGGGGTACGCAGGGGTACACATATCCCTAAACAACGGACATATATTTAAAATCTCAGCAGCATCGCCCTCCAGCTAGATGCGGACAGAGGCCCCATGGGTGGAAATACAGAACAAACTGCACCCTGTATTGAATCAATACAGGACGTAGGATTTTACACTGAAATACTGGACGGTTCTGTATTACTTAGGATGTGTGGCAACGCTATGTAACTGTTGCCCTCTCTTAACTCTGTGGACTTCGTCTGCACACCTCTGCTTGCTTGATCACTGGATAAGGAGGGCAGTCAGCAATGTAAGAATGGGTCCAAAACCTATGGAATATGCAGGAAAGGCGAAACTTACCAGAAGAATAAGAAATTAAGATAACAAACCTTTTTTTAAATAAAAGAATGGAAATGGTTTGTTGAATATTTACAAAGCAAATATTTACAGATAAATTGCAGACAGATAAAAACATTAGCAGGATTATTGTAATAACCTGCAGTTTCGTAAGTGTGTATCCAATCAGAATAGGGACGTCCTAAGGAAAAGTGAGATGCTGTTTTGCAGGGATTAGCCAAGTCTACAAAGCATTTTTACAGGGGAGTAATAAATTTACACACATTCACTTAAAACACACCCTTGCCACGCGCATGCACACAACACAAGCACAGCATATTCAAGTACTATCTTTCTTTCTAAAGACAGATAAAGTAGACTCACTTAGAGTCAGTTCCAGCAGGGTAATGCAAGAAAGCATCCGATTTTGATTATTTATACATCTTTCTTAAAGGCACCGCCAGCAGAAACAAGAATGAAAGTCAGAGGAAAACAATATTAAAATGCAAGGAACAGAATCAGCACAATAGCCTAAGCTGGCCTTCCCGACCCAAGATTGTCCAGTAGTTTTGGACTACAACTCCCATCAGCCCCCTACCATCCTGGCCATGTTGCCTGAGGCTGATGGGAGTTGTAGTCCAAAGCATCTGGAGGGCCTCAGTTAAAGGAGATTGGCTTGAGCAAATCAAAAGGCCTGTGCCTTTGAGTGGAAATGGCATCTGAGTTGGCACCAGGCAATCTTCCCTGGGAAAAGCATTCCCAAGTCAGGGTGCTACAACATATAAGGCCCCGTCACAAGTAGGGATGGGGGGAGAAATTCAATTCAGTTCACATTTAAAGGCAAACTTAGCAAACACACATTTTTCCAAAATAAGTAGCAAACGAAAACACCGCCATCCTTCAAAACTGGCACTTCTCCAAATTTTGCAATTCAGTTCTCCTGCCAAGTAAGTAATGTGTATTTAAAAAGCCTTGGCTAGAGTAAAGCCTGCATATTAATGCATATACAGTGGTACCTCGGGTTAAGTACTTAATTCGTTCTGGAGGTCCGTTCTTAACTTCAAACTGTTCTTAACCTGAAGCACCACTTTAGCTAATGGGGCCTCCTGCTGCTGCCGCGCCGCCGGAGCACGATTTCTGTTCTTATCCTGAAGCAAAATACTTAACCCGAGGCACTACTTCTGGGTTAGCGGAGTCTGTAACCTGAAGCATATGTAACCTGAAGCGTATGTAACCCGAGGTACCACTGTACTAATGAAAACAGCATACAAAAGTTATATGTGGTGGGAAAATATGTACATTAGGCAAAACTACATACAAAAATGTGTATAATGGATAGATTTGCATTAAAATGCCGATGCAGAACAAACTGATGCAGGAATGTGTAGAACTGAGCTCGAGATTGAAAAAATAAGAAAGTGAAAGCAAATTTGTGTAGATTTACTCATCCGTAAACCACACACCATATGCATCCCTCCTCATCCCAAACTATTGTGGGGAGGGGGGCTGCAGAAAGGTCTTGAAGTCAGGTCTCTACCTGCAGGACTGATGCCTCCTCTACAGGTCAAATCCATCTGTTCCCAACTCTTTAATGGTGCCCCAAATCCACCACCTTGGGGGTCTGCCTCACCTTACCTCATGGTCGAGAGCATGCAGTTAGGAAGAGTCATAACCATGCAGTGATCTTCCATCACGGCTGAAAAATGGCTCCATAAATAACACGGTCAAATATTTTAACAGCCCTTCACTAGATTAATGTACTATTGCCTTGAAATGACAACTTGAGTTTAAAATAATAGAGTGCGTGGGGGGGGGGGGGAGAACGCAGTTTACTTTGGGCCAAGTCAAATACCATCTGGCTCAACAACTCCCTAAATATTTGAAGCCACACCCCGGACTAGAAAAATGGGGTGGAGGGTAGGAGGAGGAGGAGAGCAAAAGCTGGTTTTCAGCCACAATATATAGAGCTCCTGATTAATTCTGAGTCACGGAGGAATTTTGGAATCCTGGTCTCCCTCTTTCTCGTGAAACACAATCCTCAATGAGGGCCTTCTCAGTAGTGGCACCTGCCCTGTGGAACGTCCTCCCATCAGATGTCAAGGAAATAAGCAACTACCATGGTACCTCAGGTTAAGTACTTCAATTCGTTCTGGAGGTCCGTTCTTAACCTGAAACTGTTCTTAACCTGAAGCACCACTTTAGCTAATGGGGCCTCCTGCTGCTGCCACGCCGCCGGAACATGATTTCTGTTCTCATCCTGAAGCAAAGTTCTTAACCTGAGGAACTATTTCTGGGTTAGCGGAGTCTGTAACCTGAAGCGTATGTAACCCGAGGTACCACTGTATCTTACTTTTAAAAGACATCTGAAGGCAGCCCCGTTTAGGGAAGTTTAGGGAATGTTTAGTGTTGTATTGTGTCTTTAACATTCGGTTGAGAGTCACCCAGAGTGGCTGGGGAAACCCAGCCAGATGGGCAGGGTATAAATAAATTATAATTATTAATTATTATTATTATTATTATTATTATATCTTACTACATATGAGAGATTACAGAAGGGACAGAAAGAGCCACCAGCCATTACAGAAGGGAAACTGAGGATCTTCTAGTCCAAACTCTTGAATGCAGGATTAAGCAGCTGTCCCACACAGGGATCGAACCTGCAGCCTTGGCATTATGAGTACCACGCTCTAACCAACTGAGCTATGCCAGAGCTAGCCCTAAGAGCTTCTGCATTCCCAGTGGGATTTTGGATTTAGAAGACCTTGCCCTGAGGACTAAACTCAAAAGTTGCTCCTTAGCTCTTGAAAGGTGGGGTACGGAGGGAGGAGGAAAGGCAGGCAAAACTAAATTTTTCTTCACATGGCACATACAGTGGTACCTCGGGTTAAGTACTTAATTCGTTCCGGAGGTCTGTACTTAACCTGAAACTGTTGTTAACCTGAAGCACCACTTTAGCAAATGGGGCCTCCTGCTGCTGCCGCGCCGCCGGAGCACGATTTCTATTCTCATCCTGAAGCAAAGTTCTTAACCTGAAGCGCTATTTCTGGGTTAGTGGAGTCTGTAACCTGAAGCGTCTGTAACCCGAGGTACCACTGTATAATGAAGGCGTCAGGCAAACTTCCCTAGGATTCTGGATGAGCCATTGGTCTGATCCTGCAAGCCTCTTCTGATGTTCCTGTGACAGCAAGGACCCTGCCTTGGAAGATACAATCCCAGATCTCAGTGTGTGTCCTGCTCATAGCTGTCAACTTTCAGATTTGAAAATAAGGAATCAGCAGCCTCACCTGTCCCGGGGACAGTCTACAGGATATCTAACAATCCGGGATAGCAGCAGGATGCAGTGGGAAACGGCGCTGGAATAAGGGAATTTCTCACCAAAAAAAGGGAAGGTTGACAGCTATGATCCTGCCACCCACAGCCCCAACAACCAGGTCCAAATTCCCTGCCGTATCTGTTTTTTTTCCCCAAAGTCACCAATCAGCCCAAGATGGAGAGTGGTTATCAGGCCCCTTCCACACAGCCGCGCCTGTCAACTTAGCACACCAAAATATTTATCTGCTCACTACAGTCAAAGCACGAGGCGTTGGCATTGGGCTCGACGAGCAAGCGGTCATCGAAAGAGATCCCGGCAACTTGCCCACAACGTTGCTTTTATTTTATTATTTTATAAAATTGTTATTCATTTTTCTTTTTCATTCATTACATACATCTCAAATCCTTAACATTTACTATGCATTCCTTCCTCCCCTCCCCTCCAAGGCTTCTCTCAACTTCCGCTTCTGGTTTGTTTCTCCTTTCACCCACTTTGCTACCTCCTGACAGAAAAAGTTACTAATAACATAACATCAAACCTAAAAACATAAAAGTAAAAGTAAGCACACCATAATCTTTATCTTCTACACATTTTCTAATACAGATAGTGTGAATGTTTATTTAAATCCACACAACGTTGCTTTTAATTACGCTTTCCTTTCTGGGAAGGAAACCTTGCCAGCAGGTATCAACGCTTCCTAAGCTCAGGACGGGACTAACCGCCCAGGAACTCCCAGCAAAAGTCCCAGAAGCAGTCCTGTTTTGCCAAAGAAACAAATACTATGGACAAAACCCTTGTCAAACTGGGGAGGGCCATGGCCTAGCGGTCATAGAATCATAGGATTGTAGAGTTAGGAGGGATCATTCAAGTCTAACCCCCTGCAAGGCAGGAATATTCAGCTGTCCCATCGAACCCGCAACCTTGGCGTTATCAGCACCATACTCTAACCAACTGAGCTATCCAGGCAGAGCATCCGTCTTGCAGGCAGAAGGTCCCCTAAGCTAAGTTATACGAAAATCCAGCACTGCTCAAGCGGTTCCCCCAAATTCAGCTGAAAACCCAACTTTGATTTGCTCCTGGCAAACAGCTGAAAGCCTGCAAATTTTGATAATGAACCTGATTTGCAATGGTGGTTGAATAATTTTGATGGCAACTGTATCTAAGTTTCTAGCACTGCTTGCAGGGCTCTATTGAATGGCCTTCTGGTGTGTGGAAAGGCGACGCAAGCAGCCCTGGATGAGGCAGGTGACTCAGGTGCTGTGGGACATGTAGGGGCAGCCCGACTGCGCCCTCGGATTCACTCTGAGACCCGTCCAACGAGAAGCACACGTTCCCAAGGCTCTCCCGCTCCCGTCTCTAGCGAAACGCAACCCCATCCCTGCCAAGCCGCTCCCGGGAGGCCCCCAGTGGTGCTCGAGACGTCTTCCCGGGATTTACGACTGACTAAACCCGTTGATCAACAGGTGGTCCTCCTCGGCGGGGTTTAGGCAGGGCTAAAAATAAGGCAAAGGTAAACGCAGCTCCGTGGTCCCGCAGGTGTTTTCCTCCACACCAAGCCGTCGCAGGCTCCAGCCTTGGAGAAAAGTCGGCCGACCTGAGTCCAGCCAACCGGAAGGATACTGCAAGAGCAATAAGGATTTTTAGGGGCATTATGGTGGTGCAAAAGAAACACATCTGCCCCCAAAAGTCCCTCATTTTCCCTGCGTTGAAGAGCAATGATGGTGCTGGGTAAATAAGTTTATGTTTCACACTCGTACAAAGAGCTCCGAGTGCCAGGCGAGGTTACGATACAGTACGATAATCTTTATTGTCGTTGTCCCATAGAGAACAACGAAATTGAAAAAATCTACATCAGACATTCAAAAAGCAACAAGCCAGCTATCCCAGCCTGGTTAACCCCCTAACAACTCTGATACCCCATAATTAAATACATAATAAAAAATTCTCTGTCCTCCCACCTTTTCTCTGCACAACCACCTTGTGAGGTAGGCTGAAAGAGAGAGAGTAACGGGCCTATGATGACGCAATGAACTTCATGGCTGAAAGGGGGTTTGCGCCTGGGTCTCCCAAGCTCTCGTCCGACCTCCTGACCAACCGCTACACCACAAAGTGAATCTTGGCATATATACTAACCATGTATATATTCTTAAGTTGTGGGTTTTCGGCAAGGTCCCTAATAAATAAATCGTTGAGATCCAGTGCTAGAAGACCCATTTAAGAGCCAGTGTGGTGGTTAAGAGCAGTAGTCTCGTAATCTGGGGAACCGGGTTCGCGTTTCCGCTCCTCCACATGCAGCTGCTGGGTGACCTTGGGCCAGTCACACTTCTCTGAAGTCTCTCAGCCCCACTCACCTCACAGAGTGTTTGTTGTGGGGGAGGAAGGGAAAGGAGAATGTTAGCTGCTTTGAGACTCCTTAAAGGGAGTGAAAGGCGGGATATCAAATCCAAACTCTTCTTCTTCCTCTTCTTAAATTAATGGACATAACTAACTAAGGATGTGAACAAGCCAGATGTTTAAAGCACACCCCCTTCTCAAAAACACCCCCAGAAACTGTAGTTTAAGGGTGCTGGGAGTTGTAGCACAGTGAGGGGGTAAACTACAGTTCCCAAAAATGGGACAGGGGGGTGTCATGGTATGTAAACAGCCTTAGGTCCATTCATTTCGCTGCATCTAACTGAGTGGGGATATGCAACCCTACGTCACACAGCGGAAAGTCAGGCAGACCACGACAATTTGAACATAATAGGCAAGCATTGAGAAAGAGCCCATTCACATGTTGCTGTCATAAACCCGGGTTTTCATACCAAGGCAATGTTGGCTCCCAAGTTTCTGGGCGGCCTTGGGTGAGAGAGTAAGTGCTCTCTTACTTCCATCGTTGCCAACTGCTGAGGCTCCTCTGCCTCGATACCAGACAAAGCCAATGAGCAAGCAGGCAATGGCAGTCGCTCCTCTGCCTTTCTCACCGCTGGAATTGGCTCAATTATCCCCTCCAGGGGCAGGTAAACAAGCAAGCCGCAATGGTTGTCCGGGAGGAGGGGGCTATTGGGGTGCGAGGCCTCAGGACATGCCCCAGCATGCCATCTATGACCCTGACCCTGTGCACCAAACACACATTGAACAGAGAGCCAAAGCAAATGTCAATTCTTGGGGCAGGTCCACTATGCCACACAGAATTATTTGGATACAATTCTGTACGCACTGCAGGTCCCTATTTAACATATACAACCAGCATTAAGAGAGGAGGGACGGGCAAATTCGCCAGTTTTCGTTTCCCTCAGTTTTTCGTTTTTCCAGTCTTCAGTTTTCCACATTTTCACATTGGTTTGTGATTTATTTTTTTAAGTCCTCGTGAAAATTTGACAGCATCAGAGTGCAAATTTCTCCTAATAGACACGTTTGCAAGCATTTTGCCTAATATGCTTTTCTCTTTTTTGGCAAAGTGGTTTCCCCAAATATAATGCATTTTTTTGCAGGGTATTTTCACTAATGTATGCATATTTATGCACAGTTTACCCTGGTGTATGTATTTCTGCAGCCCTTCCTCGGCTGGAGGACTGCATTGCAGAGAACTGTGGATTTTGAAGGAATGTTCTGTGTTTTGGTTCTCACGTTGATTCAGAAAGTACCAGTTAGGAGAGTCTGCCTCCATAAGGGAACTGATTCTAATTTCTCCTACATCCAATATGGCAACATACTTGTAATGTACTTCAAAGAACAAACACATTGGTTCATGTGTTACAAGCAATTTAACACATAGAGGTGACCCTTATTGCTGGTTGTGTATGTACAATTCCTTGCTACATTCATCACACACGTTTTTAGATGTACACGCTGACAGAATCTGGGGTGCAGAGAAGCCCATCGCCCCCTACAGAGTCAGGTTTCATCAGTCCAGCCTCCCACCTTCCCACAAGATGATTATGGCTCTCTCTCAAAACATGAAATCCTCGTCCAAAATCCGTATTGGGTCCGTACCTTTCTTAGGCCAATCACACAGTCACAAAACAGCATGCAAGCTTCTGAGTACCTCAGGACACTTCCTCAGGCTTGATGGTAAAGAAAACGAAGAGTTCTGGGGAACTCAGATGCCTTGGGGGCTATTTTTGAAGGCAACTCAGAAACTACAACTAAGCAGAATGCGGCAGCTAGACTGGTGACAGGGAGTGGCCGCTGGGACCCTACAACACCGGTCTGAAAGGATCTTCACTGGCTCCCAGTATGTTTCCGAGTACAATTCAAAGTGTTGGTGCTGACCTTTAAAGCCCTAAATGGCCTCGGTCCAGTATATCTGAAGGAGCATCTCCACCCCCATCGTTCTGCCCAGACACTGAGGTTCAACATCGAGGGCCTTCTGGCGGTTCCCTCATTGCGAGAAGCCAAGTTACAGGGAACCAGGCAGAGGGCCTTCTTGGTAGTGGCACCCGCCCTGTGGAACACCCTCCCACCAGATGTCAAAGGGAAAAACAACTACCAGACTTTTAGAAGACATCTGAAGGTAGCCCTGTTTAGGGAAGCTTTTAATATTTGATGAATTATTATGTTTTAATATTTTGCTGGAAGCCGCCCAGAGTGGCTGGGGAAACCCAGCCATAATGGCATGGTATAAATAATAAATTATTATTATTATAACAAATGAGAAGGTAGGGTACCAGGCCGAGGGCCTTCTCGGTAGTGGCGCCCGCCCTGTGGAACGCCCTCCCATCAGATGTCAAGGAGACTAATAACTACACAACTTTTAGAAGACATCTGAAGGCAGCTCTGTATAAGGACATTTTTAATGTTTGATGCTTTATTTTGTTTTTGTATGTGCTGGAAGCCGCGAAGAGTGGCTGGGGAAACCCAGTCAGAAGGGCAGGTTGTTGTTGTTGTTGTTGTTTTGTAATATTCTGGTTTGCCTAAGAAAGGTAAGGCCCCGATATGGATATGGGATTTTCCTTCTTTTTATAAAGAAGAACATCATGAGCTAATTGGGTACTCTACCCATAGACAGAGGCATAAATAGACAAAGGAACAGGCCTGAGGAAGGGGACCACAGGACCCTTGGCCCCCTCCTACTCCATGCTCTTTGGTTGGGGAGAGAAAATGGAGGTCTTGCTTGCCAAAACAGACCACAATCCAGCTGTCTGGAGCAACAGCAGGATGATAATACAGTGGTACCTCGGGTTAAGAACTTAATTCGTTCTGGAGGTCTGTTCTTAACCTGAAACTGTTCTTAACCTTTAGCTAATGGGGCCTCCCACTGCCGCTGTGCTCATCCTGAAGCAAAGTTCTTAACCCGAGGTACTATTTCTGGATTAGCGGAGCCTGTAACTTGAAGCGTCTGTAACCTGAAGCGTCTGTAACTCGAGGTACCAGTGTATATGGAAACTGTGACATGGCTATCCTGTGAAATTGGCCCTCCTCCAAATTTTGCAAGGCAGTTCTCAAACCTAATGTATGTAGAATGTAGATATTACGGCAAAGTGTGCATCGAAGTACAGTCATACCTCATGTTACGGACGTCTCAGGTTACGTGTACTGTCCTCATAGCAGAGCGTTAAACAATTTTGTGGTCATGGCTCGGGGGTGTGCGCACAGGGTACATCATGCCCCTGCCTGGGGTCAAAAAGAGGGTCCTCGTAGCCAAAGGAGGGGAGCCAGAAAATTCCTGTTACCTCAGAAAACATTTGCCTTTTATGCACGAAGACGAGCATTGACATTTTCAGTAAGCCTACATAAAACGCCAAGACACTTATTCTTCTGCCAACGTGCCCCACCCTCCTAGCAACTTCTCTCAGGCAACGCAGAAGAGGCAGCCCTGAAGCCCTGGCAAAAGATAGCATGAGCAGGTAAGGCGAGAAGGAAGGTTTGCCTTGCCCCTCCCGCAGGAGATGTGCTCCGCCTACTGACAAGACTGCCCTCTGCCACTGAGGCCGAATAACCGCTAAGAAGGGAAGCTGACGGGCAGGCTCTGGGAGAGTGAAAGGGGGGATGAAAGAAGAAAGGCAGACAAAATTAATGGACAATGTAGAATTGGACAAAATGACAGGAAGGAATCGAAACCTGCAGGACCAGAGATTCACAGAAGACTGGAAGAAGTATATGAACTACCTGAAGAGCAATTGTAATCAACAAATTACGCTACAAGACGCTACAAGGACTACAAGAAGTTTTGTAAGGAGAAATATATGAAACGTTACAAAGTAGAAAGAATAGAGATATTAGTTATGAGATTTAAATGTAATAGGGAAAGTAAGAAATGTATATTAAGAGATTAGATGGGAAAATTTTCAGATGAGATTGATGGAATTAAAAAAAAATTGTATAAGATGTAAAAGTATGTTTAATTACTGTTGAAAATGATACGTTAAAAAACTAATAATAATTTATATAAAAAAACAAAAACAAAAGGGGAGGACACAAAGAATGGCTGCTCCAGGGTCAAAAACGCCTTCAAAGGATGACCCAGAGTTCAGTGGACCTGCCTGCTCATTTTCCATAACTCCTTTGCCTTACATTCTGTTGCAAGCAGAGGCGTTCTTTTCTTCCCATCAGCTCTCCACCCCCACAAAAGAAAAAGCTCATCCAACACGCTTTGGACACTTCAGACACTTTTTCAGCTTGCTTCTAACAGATTCAGCAAAGCCACCGTTGCACAACCACACGGTTCCTTCACAAACCGTAATATACTTTAAAAGATTCCAGATGTCAAAAAGGCACACAGGGACTGGAAGTGGGGCATCTATGCAACGCTCGCAAAAACGTTTTGCAATGAGAACGCGTCAATCTTTTGGCAAGATCTACCTAATAAACACCATCCAAGGTCAGGGCCGGCCCACCTGTCTGTAAGACAAGGTAAGGCGACCGCAACAGGCGGCAGGATCCACAGGGGCAGCAGATCCTGATGTAGATCTTTATTCCCACCCGCCAATCCATGTTCCTGATGCAGATATTAACTCACCCCTTCTTCCCTGCTGGGGAGGGGGTGCCATTTTGTGGTTTGCCTCAGGTGTCAAAATGTCTTGAGCAGACCCTGACCAAGGTAATACCTAGCTCAATTCTGAGTGAGGCACAGTTGAATATATTACAGTATTCCGTTTTAGGTTGGTTTCATTTTTCGTTTGAATCTATGTTGCATCTTTGTTTTCGTAATTCACTCCAAGTTCATTTTCTGTAGAAAAGCAACTAATACAGTAAATCTAAAAAAAATGCGTAATGAATTAAATTCCTGTATCGTTAATGGGGAAAGGCCTGCTAGAAGCGTGTGGTTTTTTTAATCTGCTTTTCCTGTCACATGTTAATCTCGCAGCTGATTTCCTGTCCATGAGGACTGCTGGAGTTCTCAAGGAATTTCCCCTGGACAAATGGAGGGACAGTTCTCACATCACACGACCAGGGTTAGCCAAAAACATTTTGGCACCTGAGGCGAACCACAAAACACCACGCTCCCTTCCTGCAAGAGAACGAGGGGTGACTGATTATTTACATCAGGAATTTAGGTTGCTCGACTTGTGGATGATTTGGTGCTTTTGCACAACAATACTGTTTCCACTCACCCCCCAAAAAGGAAAAACACTCCTGGATATATATGTTTTACAGTAAGGAAATTGGCAGGGAAATGCACTGAAAATGTGTGGGGTAACAGGGACTTGGCGCAACATTGTATAAACGCCCCATAAATACGTAAATTAGAATGAATACCCAATAAACAGCAGAAGGCACAAAGTGGAAGTTGTGCAAATCAATCAAGAGGAGAACTCAAGAAACAGGCTGCCTGCAGGTAACCCAAGGCTGATTTGCTACGCCAGTTAAGATGCAGGTATTTTGTTAAGATACAGGTATTTTGTAGAAACTCCATGCAAACCCTCCGCTCTCTCAGCCACCGCAAAACAGGGTTCCTTTGCAGACCAACGTGAGCTCCAGAAGAGGGACTTTGTGGGCCAGTTGGATAAAACGTAAGCTCATCTCGCCCCCAAAACCCCGACTCTGGAACCACCACATCCAAAAGTTCACTTTTATTTCACAGATCGCTCCACTGGATTTTTCCCCTGCCTAGATTTCTCCCTTCGAGAGTTTCCCAACCCTGCTGACAAGCTGAGACGAGACGGCAAAATTTCCTGCCCTGTGCAGAAAGACACACACACACCCATCTCCCCACCAACCAAGCGCAGATCTTACTCAGAGTCTGCTGACTCTCATTCACAGCCAGATAGCAAAGTCTTTGAAGGATCAGATTTACGCTTGTTATCAAGGGTGGGGTTAAGCTCTGGTAGGAATGAGCTGCGAGAGCCACAATCTGATGGGAACTTTGAACATCCAGATCACCCCAGTCTCTGCAGAATTCACTAGACCACAGTCCTGTGGCAGACCATGGAAGCAGCTTCGCAGCGGTGGCTGCAGAGTAGCCCTCTGAATTTGGCTCCCCTGAAATCCCTCAAAGACCAGAACAACCCGCCTCTTCTTACCCCAGAGGCAAATCTGCGCACCATGTGCTTTCCGACAGGCCCCATCCCAACCTCTGCTGTTTTCCTTCCAATTTACCATCACCTCCCCAATACGCTCTGTGCCATGGGTGTAGCCCAGGTAGGGGGGCAGGGAGGGGCACCTGCCCCCCCCCAAATCAGTAGAAGTCCAATAAAAATACAGAGCAAACTGAGGTTCTGCTGCCCCTAACAAAAGGCCTGCCCGCCCCCCGCAACAAAAATCCTGGCTATACCCATGCTCTGTGCCCGCAACTTTCTTCAAGAACACAGATTTGTAAGAAGTGCTTCACTGGATCAGATCAAGGACTCATCCAGCCCAGTGGAATTCTCCCTCGGGGGGTATACTGTGCCTATCCATGGAGGTTCCATGCATTATTTTAATTTACTGCTTTGCAGCAGCAGCCACTGACACCTCAACTGCCCTGTTTCTGTGCAATACTATTCATTATTATTTAAACCATATATTTCCCCCGTCTTCCCTGCACAGGTCACAAGGCAGTACCATTTCGCACAAAAAAAGACAAAGCATGCAAAAAAACCAACAACCCTAAAAACCCACGGATTACACCCAGAAGTCAAAACTGACAGCAGGAGTCTTGGCGAAAGCCAAGGTTCTCTGGAATAAAAAGCCAGGCGTGCCTGTTTGTTTTCCAGATGTGGCACCTGAGATTTCAGTGATGCACCCACCCACCTCAAAGCCTGCAAGTGAGATAGCTCAGTTTGTAGAGCATGAGACTCTTAACCTCAAGACCACGGGTTCGAGGCCCACGTGGGGCAAAAGATTCCTGCGTTGCAGGGGGTTGGACTGGATGACCCTCGTGGTCCCTTCCAACTCTACAATTCTATGATTCTACGGGCTTCTAAAATTATACACCACGTGGAGAAAGCAGAGAGAAGTTTTTCCGCCTCTCTCCTAAAACTAGAGCTCAGCACCACCCAGTCCAGCTGATGGTCAGGCAAGAGTAAGTTTTTATTGTTGTTATTAATGCAAAGCTGTCAACGTTTCCCTTTTCTTGCGAGGAATCCTATTCGGAATAAGGGGATTTCCCTTAATAAAATGGGAAACGTTGACAGCTATGTATTAATGTGCGAAACTCATTGACACAAGACGCGAGGGTTTTAGGAGGGGCTGAGGCCCATTCATGCATCAACGGCTCCTCTTTGTGTTGGATAAGCGGAACCTCCATACCTAAGTGCAGTCTACCTCTGAATCCCAGGTAGTCAGGGCTGTCAGCTTCAGGCATCCCATGGGGAGAAGGGCCTCATCCAGCCGGCCAGCCAGCAAGCGCCCTGGCTTAGGGACCCTCCAGCAACCCCCGATCCAGCAGGGTCTCCTTCCGAGATGTCCTTACGAAGCCCCCAAAGGGAACTGTCTGAGCACGTACAAAGCAGGCTGTGTCTGGCACCATCGCTGTCCTCCAGGAGGTTGGACGCGCTATATTTTGCAAAGCAAAGCAGCCACGTGGAGACAGTCAAGCCATTGCGGGTGGGGGAGTCAGGCCAGAGGAGCCTGGGCTCCACGTGGGTCTTTTTGGGGGGGGGGGCTTGGTTTCTGCATCCCCGTCCTTTAAAAATAAAATAATAAAATGCTCTCGAGTCCAAACCCCGCCAAGCCACCTGCTTCCTGAGTTCCACATCTCGGGCAGAGCAAGGAGCCCAGGGGGTGGGACGGGAGGGGGTGGGACGGGAGCGCGCCCCCCCCCACTCCTCTCTCTCTCTCCAGCCGAGCAGGCGGGCGCCAGTGTCTGCTGCGCGCTCCCGGGGGAACCCCGGTGCTCCGTCTGGCTGGCTGGCGGCTTCCGCCTCCCCCCGCCTGCCCCCCCATCTGACAAAAGCCCACCGGGGTGGGAGGGGGGAAAGGGGGCGGGGAGCTGCCAGGGGGGTCTCTCCCCCCCCCCGCACTTCTGATTGCATAACACCAAGAGACAGGCAAGGGAGAGAGGGAAGGAAGGAGGGGGTCCGCCCGCCCCCCCTCTTTCCCCCCTCCCCAAATACACCTGCCGGCGTCCGGAGCCCAGGCGAGGATCCCCGCGCGGAGGAGAGCGGGGGAGGGACTCGGGGGAATCCCCAGAGGGGCTCCCCCGAGAGGACTCACCCGGCGGCGTTGCACAGGCGGGGGTGTCAGAAGAGGTTCCGCCAGCGGGGGGGGGGGGCACGGGGAATTTCCCGGCTGCCTGCCTGCCTGGGGCCGAGGCCGGGGAGGGGGAAGAGGCGACCGGGCGCCTCCTGGCGTGGCCGCCGCCCCTCCCTCCCTCCTTGGCTGCCTGGCTGCTTCTCCTCCCCGGCGAAAGCGTGACTCAGGCGGGTGGCGGTGGGGAGGGGGGGTGTTTTGGCCGGGACCCCCCCCCAAAAAAATCTTACCGCGGCCGATCGCCCAAGAGGGAGTCTCCCCGAGTTGCCTGCCTGCCTGCCTGCCCCGCGGGGCAGCGACTCCTCTGCCCGCCCCGTCGGCGGAGACAGGGGGGTGTGGCCCGCCAGCCAAGGGAAGGCTGGCCCAGGCAGGGAGAAGAGCTCTGGCTGTGGGGTGGAGTGGGGTGGTGGCATATAGGAAAATAAAGCCGATTGGGGGGGGGGTCTTTGGAACTGGGGAAGCAGCTGTCTGCTTTCTCCCCCCCCCAAAAGCGCTCCGGGCCACATCTGGCCAGAGGTGTCTCTGTCCCCCCTTTCTCTCTCTGCAGTTGGAGTCTTGGTGGGCACCCCGCGACCTCGCGCAACGGGGGCCCTTCCTCGCCTGTGCAAAGGCCTGGAGCTCAGGCATTAAAGGAAAAAGAACGAGGAGGGGAGAAGAAAAGCTGCTCCCCGCAACACTCCGTCTCCGCTTTGCAATATTCCCCTGCCGCTTTAAGAAGCAACAAGCAACCGCGCGCCCGGAGCGTAGGAACAGGCTCCCAGGCTTCGCCAAGCCGGCGCCCCTTGCAGACGTTGCCGACTGCAACTGAGCTGCCAAGGGGGACACAGGGAGGCGACAGGCAAGCAGGTAAGGTCCCTGCCCCGACCAGCTTGCTTGCAGTCCAACATGCTCCGGAAGGGGATCGGGGTGCAGTATAGGCGCTGGGAGAAAGAGGAGACTTTGCCGCCCAGCCAGGGCTCTTGCGTTATCAGGCAGCTGCAGCAGGGAGAGAAGCAAGCGAGCGGATGCAATTTTGAAATTGCCACCACGCCCACCCGCAGCTACACGGGGCTCCGGAGCTGGAGGAGAAAGGCCTCGCGGACGGTTCTGTAGGAACAGCAGCTGGAACCAGCGACCGCAGGCGCAACTTGGATGTTTCCACACTTTATTCCTGCCTGGGGGAAAGGGGAAAAATGGCTGTTTGCCTCTTCTCCACCACCACCTCCTGATCTCGAAACATATTACTTCTGAAGGGCTGCTGCTGTTACCAGGAGTCCTTCACGCATATCTGTGCCTGTCTTAGGGACTAGAATCTTAACTTTTAAAGTGCATGCCCAGGATGCATCTAGTTTCTGCACTTGCGTGGTGTGGCTGCAGAATCGCTGCATAGGAAGACAATCCCGCCTGTCATTGCGGGGGGTTGGACTAGATGACCCTCAGGGTCCCTTCCAACTCTACAATTCTACTATCTTCTTACACACCTGAGTTCAATTACATATTATATTATATTTTGTATTAATTGTATTGCATTGTATCTAACAAAAATACTTCATTTCAGAGTATACATTATGTGTTGTGTATTGCCTTATGTTACGAAAGTCATAGCTGTCAACGTTTCCCTTTTTTAAAGGGAAATTCCCTTATTCCGAATAGGATTCCTCGCAAGAAAAGGGAAAAGTTGACAGCTATGACAAAAGTACTTCATTATATATATATATATATATATATATATATATATATATGGTTTTGCAGCCTCCAGCAGCTTGCCTGGAAGCTGCGTAGCATAGGCTGAAATTCCACCCCTATTATTATTATTCATTATTATACATTTATTAAATGTATCATATGCCTACGTTTCTCAGCGACTCACAATAAAATCCTAGGCATTTCAGGACCAGGTACGATTGCACGGAACAGGCTCACTGTACATGTTCAGAAGTGCTCTCCTCTTTTTAAATATTGCATCGGGTGGCATGACAAACACCAGTTCTGAGCCCCAGTGAGCCTTTTGCATAAATTAGGCACGGCCTCCACACCCATTGGCTGAAATTCTGTGATGTCACAGTGGCTTGTGCAATCTGTACGGTCATAGAATGTGCCTGAACATTCCAACTGCTAGGGAGGAAAATCATCAGTGCAAAGGGACAAGGAACATCAGATAACATGCGCTGTTGTGGGTGGAAAATATTATGAAGCTGCCTTGTCCCAGCTCAGACCATTCGTCTATCTAGCTCAGTACTGTCCAAACTGACTGGCAGCTGCTCTCCAGGGTTTCAGATGGCATCTCTCCCTGCAGTGTGGAGATGCGAGCGACCACTGAGTATGATCTTTCCTTTGAAATAAGGCAAGTTGAATGTGAAAATAGAAAAAAAAACCAAGACATTAACTAATGCTTTCTACTTTGGGGGGATGGGGGGGGCAAAGAACTGCAATTTTGTTCTGAATATTCCCCAATTTCCAAGTTGAGCCACTGTGTACAAACAAGAAGCCATGTGGAAAGCCTCTGTCGTTCCCCAAATTTAAACTGTCTCAGCATGTTTTAATGTTTTACGAAAGCTAGCATTTAATAACATTTAGGTAACAAAGTAGCATTTAGTAACATTTAAGCAGCTCATCAGTGGGATATGCTAAAATACACAATTTAAAAACAAAACTTCCCATAAACACAGTTTCTTCCTCTGTTATTTTCTGAGCCAAACAGTTCTTTCCCATCAGCATTCAGGTCATTCGAAAGAACCATTCTGCCAGTTGAATTAGCAATAACTGCTTGTTTATCATCCGAGGTCACACTCCGAACAATCCCTGGGAATCGAAACCAAGGCGGAAACTTCTCGGTGGCTCGCATTACTTGGTTCAGTATTATTGCTGCCGCTCACTTTTAATTTCCTTCGCAGAATGCGCCCTGGGAATCGTTTATTGAAATGAATAAATAAACAGCAGGATGGATTTGCTGCCCTCCAATGGTCACACATGAGGTCTGATTTGCAAAAGCAAAAAGTTCTGTTGCAAAAGAGGGTGCTACCTGAATTTCAACAGGTGCGGTTATTGTGGCCTTTGAGACAGACATGAAAAGTCACCTGCTGAACTTCTGCCTGACCAGAACAAAAAGTATCAACCTTCACTGTCAGAAAACAATGCAAATCATTATAGCATCTTATGCACTAAGGAATTGGAATTTGCACCATAGGGCTTGCAACCAGTCTGAAACTGGTTGGCTTATTTACATTTGCGCCTTGCTGTTCCCTAATTGTAATCAAGGCAGCTGCCAGTTGCTGCTTTCCCCCACAACATCTCACTTTTTTTTTGCTCTGCAAATTCGGTTTCCTTTCCGACAACCTGCAAGCACAGTTAAGTCTGGTGCTGCAAGAACGCCCTCTAGTGGCTCCGCGTGTGGTTTCCCCCCTGGATGCTGCTCACCGCTGTTGTGAATTGCGCCGTGATGCGCCCTTCATGAAGACTAGAACCTTATCTTTCCATAATGCAAGGCGTTTAAAAAGTATCGCCATTCCCAGCCCAGCAAAAACACTTAAGTGGAGGTGTTGAGCGTGCAATGATTACAACATGCCGGAATAAATAAATAAAAGCAAAGTTCACTGTGAGATTTTTGACTCCTGCTTACTCCCAAGAGCAAGTCAGCAGCTTTTAAAAATAAATATATACCTTGCCTTTCCTCCCCCTCGCTTTGCTTCCTGGGGGAAAGCTTGGTGCGCAGTGGGTTGCTCTTAAAAGGCGCAGGAGCTAGGAAAAGAAATCGGTAACCTCAGCAGTGCAAGGCAAATGCCAGGCTGATCGATCGCCCTTTAACGTGGGGAAAACCCCTTAAATCAAAAGCCGACCTCGTACAATTAAGCTGCAGGACCCTGGCGAGTGAATGCTCTCCCCGTGTTTGCTTTCACGTGGGAAACAAACGGGAGTCGAGCTTAGATCGCTAGATTCCCCTCCGGTGTGGCTCCTCGCTCCCTTTCCCCCCTTTTTTTCTTCTTCTTTAAACTTTCGCTTTCGGGTCTGAAATTGCCCTAAAAATGAGCCCCTCCCTCTCATTCTCTCTGGCGCGCCCACCGGGGCGAGGGGAAGAGGCATTCGGCCCGCACGAGGTTTTAGCGAGGCACGGACGGGGTTCGAACCCGTGATCTTCGGTTTACGAGACCGACGCCTTACCACTTGGCCACCGCGCCTGCGTTGAAAGCCTCGCCTCACTCCCATCTAGGCTGGCGCCGCTCCCGAGGCGGCGGCGACGCCGGCGCGCGCCCCCGACGCTCACTGCGCTGTCTTGCTTTTTTTTCTCTTGTCCGCCGCCAAGCGGCAGCCCTGGGAAGTGCACGCCTTGGAACTTCACCCCCCCAACACACACCCCAGTGCGCGTGCGCATGCGCCTGGGTGTTCTCTTGGGTCTGTTGCAAAAAGACGGTCCGATCCCGTTCTTGCGGCTCCACACCGAGCAAACGCAGAGGAGCCCCGGGGAGAGACAGGACACCTGCGGAGAGGCGAGCATATGACCCCCCCAAATCCCCGATTGCGAGCTGCTCTTTCCTTTTCAATTAATTTTTGATCCTCTAAGGCAGATCGATGGACAAACACAGTATTGAAAGTTGCACAAGGCTGTCATTGAACTTATTATTCCAAAGCATTGCAAAAAATATACAGTATAAAAACACCACCCATTTTTCCATGAACCTATCAAGCTTGTTTTATATGTAATACTGTAAGCTAATTTAATCACTGATTTACGTATAAGCTAAACAAGCTATAGCTTAGGGCCCCCCCCCCAAAACTCCACTATTAATATACTTCTTCTTAATTGAATTTCAGTTCAACAATTACTTTGATAAAATACATATTTTGATATGTGCAAATGGCTTGAGATACCTATTAGGTCCATAAATTACCGTATGGCATATACTCAACACAAAAAACAGTGATAATTTGTTGTTGACAAAGACAGCTGGACATATAAAGGACCCCATTACCTTCAGTAGCTTAGGGCCTCATCGAACCTAAATCCAGCCCTGATTGTAACTATAGACCAGATTTTCTTCAAACTATTCAAGTTACAAGAAAGGAGATTCTGACTCAACATCCGGAAGAAAATGTTGACAATAACAGTTTAGCAATGGAGTAGACTCTCTCGGGACTCTGGAGATTGTGGACTCTCCTTCCTTGGACGGTTGGACGGGCACCTGTCATGGATGCTTGAGTTGAGATTCCTACATAAAAGACTTTTTATGTATGCAATGACGGCAGCGAGATTGCTACTAGCCTAGAAATGGAAGGAGGAGTACCAACAAAAGAAGAATGGCAGATGAAACTCATGGACTATGCAGAGATGGCGAAACTGACGGGAAAGATCCGGAACCAGGAAGATCAAGTATTTTCTAAAGACTGCAGTAAATTTGTAATTTATTTAAAAGATCACTGCAAACGGTTAAAATCTTCGGCAGGGATGTAATGACACTTGTAATGTGGCAATTACTTACGATAATTATGGTTATTTAAAATAGATGGATAATGGTAAAAGATGCAGTAAATTTAATAATAATAATAATAATAATAATAATAATAATAATAATAATTTATACCCCGTCCATCTGGCTGGGTTTCCCCAGCCACTCTGGGCAGCTTCCAACAGAATATTAAAATACAATAGTCTATCAAACATTAAAAGCTTCCCTAAACAGGGCTGCCTTCATATGTCTTCTAAAAGTCTGGTGGTAGTTCTTCTCTTTGACATCTGGTGGGAGGGTGTTCCACAGGGCGGGAGCCACTACCGAGAAAGCTCTCTGCCTAGTTCCCTGTAACTAGGCTTCTCGCCAGAAGGCCCTCAGAGCTGGATCTCAGTGTCCAGGCAGAACGATGGGAGTGGAGATGCTCCTTCAGGTATACTGGACCGAGGCCATTTAGGGCTTTAAAGGTCAGCACCAACACTTTGAATTGTGCTCGGAAACGTACTGGGAGCCAGTGTAGGTCTTTCAATCTTAAACATGGAACCCATGGAGGGAGGGAAGGAGGCCTGAAAGTTCAAAAGAACCTTGTACTTTAATGTTTGAAATGGTTATGTTAAAATGCATAAAATTATGAAAAAAAATATTTAAAAATAAAAAAGATATTCCTGCATTGCAGGGGGTAGGACTAGATGACCCTCGGGTCCCTTCCAACAATTCTATGCTTCTGTGGGCCAACAATAATGCCTTGACTTTGGCCCAGGAGCAAATGGACAACCAGTGCAGAAACTCTGAGCAGGCTTCCTAGCTGCAGTTTAGTTACTCTGCTAACAGGGTTGTGGTTAGTGGGGTGGGCAAATCTGCTCAGTTCAGTTTCTCAGTTTCTTATTTCCCCCATCTTTAAATTCTCCGCACATTTCCACATCCGTTATTTTATTATTATTTTTAAAGTCCTCATGAAACTCCACCAGAATTTTAGTGCAAATGTCTAATGAAGGCAACAACTGCTTTGCATGTGTTCAAAGAACAAGCAACCATGCATGCGCGCATCGCCACAACCCAGATGGGGCCAGAAAAGGGGGTGGGGTCGTACAAAAGAGGGCATAACGGGGCAGGGTGGACTTCCATGCACTCCACTGATGCGCGCAGGGGTCAGGAACGCAACCCCCCTGCAAAACGGTCATTGCCCGTATACATCTTTTGTATGAAACTCCGCCCAATATACACATTTTTGCAATGCATTTCCCTAATGTTTATGTTTCTGCCGATAAAATAAACCTCTAGACGTTATTTTCACTTGTACATGCATCTATTTGCACACTTTACCCCAGCATATCATTTTTTTATTGTTATTTTTGCACACATTACTTGTCAGGAGAGCTGCGCTGCAGAATTAAACCGGAATGCAAATTTCAAAGGCTATCGCTGTGTTTTGCTTTGCAGAGTGCTTCACAAAGTGTGGGGTTTTGTAACAAACAGAACCAAATTTTTCCTGCATCAATCCCTAGGAGGGAGAATTTCCCCACGACATTAACATACGCAGATGTGGAGCAAACTCATAAAACAGCACAAGATGGTCAGCAGCTGGGGTCGCTTTTAGGCAAATATCTTTAATAGTTTCTTCCTCCCCACCCCAATATCCCTTCTGCTTCTAAAGAAATCCCCTTCTCCCTCTAAGATGGCTGGATTGTCACAGCAGGTTTTTTTGGCACCCCTTTTGCCTCCTTTGCCAAGCCGGAAGGAGCAGAGCTAGTTGGAGCAGTTTTGGATTTGCTCTCCAATCGTACCACCTGGGGAACCCTGTTCCCGTTCATTTTCAAAATCCGCTTTGGAAGGACCCAGCAAACAGGTTTGACTGCCACCCCACTTTTATCCAGGGACATGCAGACGTAACAGAAGGGCCGGCTCGGCTTCGGCTGAGGGTCAGCGGAATGGCTCGGCTGTGCCGATTTCTTTGTTTTCCTTCCTCTCGCCTCTTTGTCGAAGCCAACGTGGACCTGCAGCTCTGCTCCCTGGGACGGAAGCAGCCGGGCTTCCATTTTTTTCTTCAAGTGCAGATTCAGTTTCTCTTTCACCAGGTCCAGCTCGAGGAAGAGGCTTGCCCTTATAATGGAGGCCTCCTTTTTCCGGATCCTGGCCTTTTCCATCTCCGGCCTGCTTCCACCGGCCACTGCTGCCCCTTTCTCCATTTCTGCCTCCTTTCCACCAGTGGAAGGAGAAGGAAGCAGGGAGTCAGTCGCTGGTTCCTTTTGCCCACTCCTTGCTTTCTCAGCTGGGCCAGCCTCTTTCGCCTTCTCTTCAAAGAAAGGCAAGAGAACCCTGCGGTGCACCCCTTCCGACTCCTTTTGCTGCTGCTTTGTAGTTCCAGTGCTTCCACTGACCTCTGTTCCTTCCTTATCCAGGGAAACTGGGAGAACCTTTTGGACTGGCCCTCCATCCTCCTCCTTTGGCTTGTCCTTTGTTTCTGCAGTCCCAGGACTTCCACCAACCTCTGTGTCTTTCTTATCAAGGGGAACTGGGAGAACATTCTGGGCTGGCACTTCCTGCTGGTCCTTTGGCTGCTCCTTTGATTCCACAGTTCCAGTAGTTCTACCAACCATCGTTCCTTTCTCATCAAAGGTAACCTTGTGAACCTTCTGGGCTGTCCCTGCCTCCTGCTCCTTTGGCTGCTCCTTTGTTTCTGCAGTCCCAGGACTTCCACCGGCCTCTGTGTCTTTCTTATCAAGGGGAACAAGAAGAACCTTCTCGCCTGGCCCTCCACCCTGCTCCTTTGGCTGCTCCTTTGGTTCTGCTGCCCCAGGACTTCCACCGGCCTCTGTGCCTTTCTTATCAAGGGGAACTGGGAGAACCTTCTGGCCTGGAGCTCCCTCCTGCTGGTCCTTTGGCTGCTCCTTTGTTTCTGCAGCCCCAGGACTTCCACCAACCTCTGTGCCTTTCTTATCAAGGGGAACCGGGAGAACCTTTTGGGCTGGCATTTCCTTCTGGTCCTTTGGCTGCTCCTTTGTTTCTGCAGCCCCAGGACTTCCACTGACCTCTGTGTCTTTCTTATCAAGGAGAACTGGGAGAACCTTCTGATCTGGCCCTCCCTCCTGCTCCTTTGGCTTGTCCTTTGTTTCTGCAGTCCCAGGACTTCCACCGACCTCTGTGTCTTTCTTATCAAGGAGAACTGGGGGAACCTTCTGGCCTGGCCCTCCATCCTCCTCCTTTGGCTTGTCCTTTGTTTCTGCTGCCCCAGGACTTCCACCGACCTCTGTGCCTTTCTTATCAAGGGGAACCGGGAGAACCGTCTGGACTGGACCTGTCTCCTGCTCCTTTGACTGGTCCTTTGATACCGTAGTTCCACTGACCATTGCTCCCTTCTCAACAAAGGTAACCTTGTGAACTGGCGCTCCTTCCACCTGCATTTTTTGGTCCTTTGATTTTGCAGTTGCAGTTCTTTCACCAATATCTTTTTCTTTCACATCAAGGGAAATATTGTGGTGTATCCCTCCCACCACCTCCTTCTGGAGGTCCCTTGATTCCACAGTTACAGTTCTCCCAGTGATCACTATTCCTTTCTCATCAAAGGAGATTGGAAGAACCTTGTGGTCTGGCCCTTCCTTCACCTCCTTTTGGTGGTCCTTTGATTCCACCATTACAGTGCTTCCACTCATCTTTGTTACTTTTTCATCAATGGAAATGGCAAGAACCTTGTGGCATGGTTCTCCCTCTACCTCTTTTGGTTTGTCCCTTGATTCTACCATAAGAGTGCTTCCACTTATCTCTGTTATTTTCTCATCAATGGAAATTGCAATAACCTTGTGGCATGGTCCTCCCTCTACCTTCTTTGGTTGGTCCCTTGATTCCACAATTCCAGTTCTTTCAGTGATCACTGTTCCTTTTTCATCAAGGGAAATTGGGACAGCCTTGTAGTGTGGACTTCCCTCCACTGCCACCTCCTTTTGATGTTCCCTTAATTCCACAATTCCAGTTCTCCCAGTGATCACTATTCCTTTCTCATCAAAGGAGATTGGAAGAACCTTGTGGTCTGGCCCTTCCTTCACCTCCTTTTGGTGGTCCTTTGATTCCACCATAACAGTGCTTCCACTCATCTCTGTTACTTTCTCATCAATGGAAATGGCAAGAACCTTGTGGCATGGTTCTCCCTCTACCTCTTTTGGTTTGTCCCTTGATTCTACCATAAGAGTGCTTCCACTTATCTCTGTTATTTTCTCATCAATGGAAATTGCAATAACCTTGTGGCATGGTCCTCCCTCTACCTTCTTTGGTTGGTCCCTTGATTCCACAATTCCAGTTCTTTCAATGATCACTGTTCCTTTTTCATCAAGGGAAATTGGGACAGCCTTGTAGTGTGGACTTCCCTCCACTGCCACCTCTTTTTGATGTTCCCTTAATTCCACAATTCCAGTTCTCCCAGTGATCACTATTCCTTTCTCATCAAAGGAGATTGGAAGAACCTTGTGGCCTGGCCCTTCTTCCAGCTCCTTTTGAAGTTCCTTTGTTTCTACAGGTCTGGTTCTTCCTCCGACCTCTGTTGCTTTCTCATCAAATAAGATTGGGAGAACCTTGTAGTGTGGACCTCCCTCCACCTCCACCTCCTTTTGGTGTTCCCTTAATTCCACAATTCCAATTCTTCCAGTGATCGCTTTTTCTTTTTCATCAAGCAAAACTGAGAGAACTTTGTAGTGTGGACCTCCCTCTACCTCCTTTTGTTGGTCCCTTGATTCTACCATAACAGTGCTTCCACTCATCTCTGTTAGTTTTTCATCAATGGAAATTGCAAGAACCTTGTGGCATGGCCCTTCCTCTACCTCCTTTTGTTGGTCCCTTGATTCCACAGTTACAGTTCTTCCAGTGATCACTGCTCCTTTCTCATCAAAGGAGAATGGAAGAACCTTGTGACCTGGCTCTCCTTCCAGCTCCTTTTGAAGTTCCTTTGTTTCTACAGTTCTGGTTCTTCCTCCTACCTCTGTTGCTTTCTTATCCAATAAGATTGAGAGAACCTTGGGACATGGTCCTCCCTCTACCTCCTTTGGTTGGTACCTTAATTCCACCATTCCAGTTCTTCCAGTGATCAATGCTCCTTTCTCATCAAAGGAGATTGGAAGACCCTTGTGGCCTGGCTCTCCTTCCAGATCCTTTTGATGTTCCTTTGTTTCTGCAGTTCTGGTTCTTCTTCTGACCTCTGTTCCTTTATCAGTAATGAAAATTGGGAGAACCTCATGGCATGGTCCTCTCCCTACCTCCTTTTGGTGGTCCCTTGATTCCACCATCCCAGTTCTTCCAGTGATTTCTGTTCCTTTCTCATCAAAGGAAATTGCGAGAACCTTGTGATGTGACACTCTCTCCAGCTCCTTTTGGCGGTCCTTTGATTCTGCAGTTCTGGTTCTTCCTCCAACCTCTGTCCCTTTCTCATCAAAGAAAATTGGGAGAACTTCACGGCATGGTCCTCTCTCTACCTCCTTTTGTTGGTCCTTTGATTCCACCATTCCAGTTCTTCCACCGACTTCTATCTTTTCCTCATCAAAAGCAATTGCGAGAACCTCATGGCTTGGCCTTGCCTCCAGCTCCGTTTGGTGGTCCTTTAATTTCAACGTTGCAGTTCTTCCACTGACCACTGTTCCTCTCTCATCAATGAAAATCGGGAGAATCACGCAGGATGATCTTCCCGCTAGCTCCTCCTGGAAGTGCCTTAATTCACGGCCTCTGATCCCTTGTCTGCCCTCAGCCTCCACTCCCTTTTCCGCTCCTTCTCTTTCAGCTGACGCTCCATCGGTACTCAAGGAAAACCGGAGAACCTTGCTGGAGGATGCTGTCTCTGCCTGCATCCCCATTTTGTGTGGCTTTGGGGGCTCTGGGACTATCAGCATTTGATCCAAGCCAAGAGGTGTTTCCTCCTTCGGATGCCTCCTCAAAATGATGCTGGGTGTGTGAGGCTCAGGGGGCGCCCTTTTCATGATACTTGTTTCAGTCCCGCTCAGCTGTGAAGAACTGTAGGTCAGCTCTGCCACCGACTTTGAATAGGGCGTTGGAAGTTTCGACTTGTAGGCCAAGTATTTGTGTCCAATGTTCAGGTCAATGATGCAAGGAGCCTCTCCAGTGGCGAAGGGCAGGCAGATGTGTTTGGGCCTTGGGGTTTTGTTGCCAAAACGGATCGGCTTGGGCAGAGGATTTGCAGAAAGGACCTTGTAGAGTCGGAAGGATTTTTCCACCATTTCTGGAAAGGCGCCCGTCTGCATTTCTAACATCTTCACCGTCATGTGGAAAGTGAGCTTCTTCACGTCTTCTGGCTCCATCGAGAGGAGAATATACTTCCCAGGGGAAGTCCCAGTTTTATGGCCTGGCCTCTTCGTGAGGAAACAAGGCTTCCCGCTCTCTTTCGGCTGGTCCTCCAAATGGAGAAGGTAATACTTCTTGGTTCCTGGAGATTCTCGTAAAGGTTTCGCATAGAGCACCGTGGCGTTTCTGTGTGGAGACTCAAGAGGCAGGGGGCTTCGGGCACAAATTGGCACTGGTGTTTTCTTTCTCTTTGGCCTCTGGGGGCTGCTTTCGAGCTCCCCGGAAAATTCGTCCGCACAGGGTCGAAACCACGATTCAGACTTGGAGACGAGGGTGGGGACGCCACACCGCCTCTGAACCATTTTCTTTTTGACGTGAAATTCAAGGGAGCCTCTGGTTTCCCTGTCCATCTCTTCCAGGACTAAAGGGGCCAGCTCAGAGTCACGCAGAGGGGAGCTGGTGCGGGAGATTGCCTTTGTCGCAGGCCGCTGACCGGTGGGAGAACACGGCTTTGGCAAGCTTTCCTCCGAGGCGCTAGAATGGTCCTGTGCACACGTCACATCCATATCTATACACGGAAGTGGCATTTGGTCCGAGCAGGACAATTCTGGAGGTTTCTCCTCCCTCTCCTCTTGATCCGTGCAACTTTCAACACTGTCTTTGTCCATCAGTTTGGGAGGAGAGGGTGGCTTGGCCTTATGTGATGGTGCAGGGCCCATACGAATTGCGACGCATTTTTCCACCAAGATGACCTGGTCTTCTTTTTTATAAGTCGCGCTCTGGAGAATATTTATCTGTGTAAATGGAGCCATAGGCGGGAAGGAAGGGATTCTTATGACTTCTATATGTTTTTCAGGCAGCAATGGGACCTCCAACGGTTCACGCTTCGGCACTATCAAGCAGGGCTCCTCCGAATTGGAGCAGGAATCGGAGCTTTTGCTCTCTGTCACATCCGAGGAATCTAATACGGTCCACGAAGTATCTCTAGCATCCTGGAAGTTTTCGGAACTCGAATGCAGGTCCAGACATTTTAAATGAGGTAGGCAGGAGGAGGAGGAGGAAGATGAGGAGGAGGAGGAGGAGGAGGAGCAGGAAGCATGGCTTAAAATGGCCTCATACTTCAGTGGAGGAAATCCATCATATTTTGGACATAAACACTCCTCTTGATGCCAATTTCCCATATCTTCACATGGAACAAGAGAACAGTGGTGAATTTCACAAGACTGCTCACAACTGCAAGAAATAAGACAAAACAGAGTTGTTTTGTACATTTGGTGAGTTAATAAGGGTCAGGTCCAACTGAATTTTAATTTTGTGTGTGTGTATGTGTGTGCATATATATATAGTGGTTTACAAATGCTTTAAAATAATAGATCCATTGAAATTAGTGGGCCTGGGTATTGCATGCCCATTAATTTCCCAGAGGGCTATTCTGAGTAATGCTAACATTGGACACCACCCAAATTCCTACCATTTCCAAAAGTTCACATTTTTAAAAACTACATGTCTATGCAATTTCTAAGATCGGGCTGGGCAATCACATGAGGACGAGAAAAGAAAAGGCAGTGTGGAAAAGAATGTACCAAGTTAGCATAAAGCAAGATAAAACTTTGTTTTTGTGTTGAGGGGAGTGGGGACCGAGTTGTGTCCTACAAAACATTTTAGGAACCGCCTTAGGATGGAATTCAACGCCAGGGAGATACAGAGCAGGCACACTGAACTTAGTGGGCAGGTCTAACTTCTATGTCATTGTGTCCACTCTGGAGGAAAACAACAGAGGGAAAAGAGGGACAGGGATGGCAGAACATCTGATTTGCATGCAGAAAGTCCCAGGTTCAGTCCCCAGCATCTCTTAAGTACAGCCTGGAAAGACCTGAAAGCCTGGAAAGCTGCTGCCTGATACGAGCCTGATTCTTGTTTAAATTCATCCCTGGTTAGCATGTCTGGTTTGCATTCATTCCTTGTTAGTGTTTCTTGTTAGCATTCATCCCTTGTTAGTGTTTCTTGTTTGCATTTATCCCTTGTTAGTGTTTGTTTTTTTCACTCATCCCTTGTTAGCTTTTGCGCCAGCTGGGACGTAAGGGGCTGCCTTTTACTCCCCAGGGCCCTTACCAGTCTTCTCCCAGAAGACTCCCCACCTGGGCGCCCCCTAGATCACAGCCCAAATAACATCCCTTTAGTCTAGAGTTACTGAGGGCGTACCTACCTTTCGAAATAAGAAGTTAACGGTGTCCCACAAACGCAAAGACATTCTACGACAAAATAATAATAATAATATTTGTTTTGAAGATTTATTATAGCTCTGTAATGTTTAATCAATGAATGACATTGACTCGGGGGTACAAAAACCTGTTTGGCCTGAGGGCCACATGGCAGTAGTGGGTGGGGCCGAATTAAAAGTAGGCGGAGCAGCACATGTTAATTTTACCTTTAGTTTCCACACAAACACTCCTCTCTATCTATCCTCCATTCACTTCTGAGGGAGGGTTTTTTATTTTATTGTCATTCCCACATCAACAACTGCCCCGCCGGCACTGCCATGACGAAGCATGTTTTATTTTATTTTATTTATAGAGGTATTTATAAAACTGCCAGCTTGCAATAAGAAGTGGTGTACACCACGTTAAACCAAGAACAGACGTCCCACACCGATGGCAGTGTAGATCTCCACAGAGACAATGCAATTATTACAGGAGTTGGAAAAGAACAAGTTAAGGGCAGCGTTAGAAACTGAGATATGGAAGCTAGGAGCTAAATGGCGCAACAGCAGAATGTCTAGGCTTGCTTTTTATAACAAGAATACAAAGCTGGAAATGAATGAACTGCAGCTAAAATATTACGTTCATTTTTCACATGGTCTAGTTCTTTCCTGCCCGCCCACCCCCCTAATATTCTTTAGAGGACTCTTCTCCAGTCTTCTTCCAGTTACTCTCTGAACTGGAAGTGGAGAGGCAGAAAAAGGTCCTCCTTTCCTTCCACTCGGGGACGCGGGTGGCGCTGGGGTCTAAACCACTGAGCCTCTTGGGCTTGCCAATCAGAAGGTCGGTGGTTCAAATCCCCATGACGGGGTGAGCTCCTGTTGCTCAGTCCCTGCTCCTGCCAACCTAGCAGTTCGAAAGCACGCCAAAAAGTGCAAGTAGATAAATAGGTACCACTCCGGCAGGAAGGTAAATGGCATTTCTATGCGCTGCTCTGGTTTCGCCAGAAGTGGCTTAGTCATGCTGGCCACATGTCCCGGAAAAACTGTCTGTGGACAAACATCCGCTCCCTCGGCCTGTAAAGCAAGATGAGTGCTGCAACCACAGAGTTGTCTGCGACTGGACTTAACTGTCAGGGGTCCTTTACCTATACCTTTCCCCCCTTCCACTCTGCAGCTTTAATCTGAAATCTTAGGCGCAGTACTATGCCCAGAGCTCAGAAACTGCTTGCACTAATGAAATTCCCTGTCGCAAAATGCACCTAGAACAATGGGAGTTTCGAACACTGTTTAAGGGAGAAAGTCAGGTTGCAAAAACATACCATTTTCCCCTGGTGCTTCCTGCTCTGCTTTTCTCTCTGGTTCGGGAACCGTTTCCGCCTGTGTGAAGGCAGATGAGTAAAGTGAAAAACGGATTACCTGCTTTCCAGTTCTCTTAGATAGCCGTCCTCCTACGTTGGCCTTCACCACAGAATCACAGGGGTTGGAAGGGACCCCTAAGGTCATCTTAGAATCATAGAATCATAGAGTTGGAAGAGACCACAAGGGCCATCGAGTCCAACCCCCTGCCAAGCAGGAAACACCATCAGAGCACTCCTGACATATGGTTGTCAAGCCTCTGCTTAAAGACCTCCAAAGAAGGAGGTCTTGCCCAACCCCTTGCAATGCCGTGATCACAACTAAACAATTCATGACAGAAGGCCACCCAACTTCTGCCTAAAAACCTTCAATGAAGGAGAGTCCACTACCTCCCGAGGGAGACCGATCCACCATTGAATAGTTCTCACCATCAGAAAGTTCTTCCTAATATTTAGTCAGAATCTCCTTTATTGTACTTTGAATCTGTTGATCCTGGTCCTACCTTCTGGAACTGCTGAGATATTTGATGATAGCTATCCTATCTCCTCTCACTCGTTAGGTAGTAAAATCCATGTTAAATTGCTGTTTTAAGGGTTGTTTTTAAAAGTCTGGAACGGATTACAGTGGTACCTCGGGTTAAGTACTTAATTCGTTCCGGAGGTCCATTCTTAACCTGAAACTGTTCTTAACCTGAAGCACCACTTTAGCTAATGGGGCCTCCTGCTGCTGCCGTGCCGCCAGAGCACGATTTCTGTTCTCATCCTGAAGCAAAGTTCTTAACCCGAGGTACTATTTCTGGGTTACCGGAGTCTGTAACCTGAAGCGTCTGTAACCTGAAGCGTATGTAACCCAAGGTACCACTGTAATCCGTTTTGCATTACTTTCTATGGGAGAGTGCGCCTCGGTTTTGGAACAGACTTCTGGAACGGGTTAAGTTTGAGAACCAAGGTACCACTGTAATTTTCTCGGCCATAACTACTGAATACGCTTTAAGGAGAAACATCTCTTTACCGAGCTCACAGTCGCCTCGCGAGGCTTCGATTGCGAAGAAGCCGGGCCCGATGAAGTCCAGATGTTTAGCACCAGCCACAGAAGCAGCACGGCCGATCCCACCAGGAGGAACCCCCAGGGAGAGTCCGAAAGCCAGCAGAAGCCATGCTGAAAGCAGAAAGACTTGCGGAATTTCAGCAGCTTGTTCCCCTCCTGGTAGGGGGTGCCTGGGTCTTCCCGCACTACTACCCTGCCGCTGTGGGGGGAAGGATCTCTGTTTGGCTTCTTCCCCAACAGCAGGGAACTCAGTACCAAAGCTGCATATGCGTGTCTCATGCTAGGTCCACGCCGCTGCGTCAAGGGCACATTCCAAGCGGGTGTTTGTGTGTGTTTTACATCCGCCCCATCGCGCCAGGAAGCCAAGCTGGGACCTTTGCGACAGCCAGGTTGCTGGTCCGAGAAAAGATGGGGCAGGTCTCCGTACAAAATGTTGGCCTCTCATCTCAGTTATGTCACAATAAGATCTCACTGCAGGGCCTGGTTGCTAAGGGACTCATTTGTGGCTCAAAGCTGGTGGAGAGGGATGCTTTCGGGGTGAACACAGTTTATCAAACTTGTTCCCCTTAACGCCGCTATCTGTCAGCAGCCCAGGTTCCCAGCTTGATAACACAGTAAAGGTAAAGGTAAAGGTAAAGGGACCCCTGACCATTAGGTCCAGTCATGGCCGGCTCTGGGGTTGTGGCGCTCATCTCACTTTATTGGCCGAGGGAGCCGGCGTACAGCTTCCGGGTCATGTGGCCAGCATGACTAAGCCGCTTCTGGTGAACCAGAGCAGCGCACGGAAACGTCGTTTACCTTTCCGCCGGAGCGGTACCTATTTATCTACTTACACTTTGACGTACTTTCAAACTGCTAGGTTGGCAGGAGCAAGGACCGAGCAACGGGAGCTCACCTCGTCGCAGGGATGCGAACCGCCAACCTTCTGATCAGCAAGTCCTAGGCTCTGTGGTTTAATCCACAGTGCCACCCGTGTCCCGCTAACACCGTAAGCGTAGGTAATTAAAAAGGAGAATTTATGGCAAAAACAAACAGATAGCTCCGGATGGCTCTAACACGGCCGCCGGCATTATCACTCAAGATGACCCTTCTGAAGACTCCTTCCGGTATCTACAGAATATATGGAACCGTCACCCTTTGCATCTCGTTTTCCTTCTGATCTAGCAGCCCTCCCATTCGCCGACTCTTCAGACTTATTGGATTAGCTCCAGCCTCTTCCTTTTCTGACCAACTATCTCTGTGCGTATTCACTCCTGTTTGTGCTTCTTGAGAGATTTGACTGCGTTCCAGCCCGCTCTCCGCTACAGCCTTATCATCCTGCCGTTCGAGGTCAGAAGGAAGCGAAGCCTGCAGCTGTCGGCTCTCCTCTGCCTGAGTGAAATCCCAGCCTCTCTGTTCCTGGCTGCTTTTTGCAGCCGGCTGCAAAACTTCGCTCGAAGCTAGCGCATTCATGACACGATCCTTTATAGTTTTAAGAGTTCAAAGATGTGGTCAGCCTTTATAACCAAGCTCCTTCCTAACAGGGGGCTAAGGAATCGTCCTCCAACACAGATCGTTGTAGGCTTGGAACCTCAGATCTCTTGCGTCCTCAAGAAACAGCGTACCCTCCAACTGTCCCCATTTTCCAGGGAACGCCCCAGAATTACTAAAGCCATCCCACCTTGATTTGATCCCAGAATGTCCCTGTTTTCCCTGCCACTGCAGCTGCCACTGAGCTTGATGAGCATGAGTTGGTGCTAATCCCATGTGGCGGCAGTGGCTGACATCCCATGGTGTCTCCCTGGCCACCGCTGCCAGCCTTGTCCCTTGGACAGCTTATAAGCAGCTGATGAGGAACATGGGAGGAAGTGGAGAGATTGCCTCTGCCATATTATGTGGGCCACCTTTCTGCAAAGATTTGTTTTGATTGCAACACCTTTTGCGTGTGTGTGTGATTGGTTTGTTGTGGTTTTGTTCTTGTTTTTTATTATTACAGGGAGGTTTTTTGTTTCGTTTTAAAGTTTTGTTGGAAGCTGCCCAGAGTGGCTGGGGCAACCCAGTCAGATGGGCAGCCTATAAATATTATTATAATTATTATTATCTTTATTGAAAGTTAAAAAATACATAATTACATGTGCACTAAATATGGTGGGACGTAAATAAAAGACAGAAAAAGAAAAAAAGAAACAGAACCCGTGTAGAAGGGAAAATAAAATTGGGGGGAACCCAAAACTGTATACATTATTGTACTTCACCAGATCTTAACCTATTACAGTATTTTTAAGAACAGATTCCAAATATCATTGAATTTGTCCATGGCAAGTCTGTGTTTAACAGGCAAGTTGTTCGTATGTTGCGAGTTTGTATAAGGCTTCAATCCAATCGTAGAAGGGATATATATTATATTATTATGTATCTTGTGTTTTATTTTGCATTTTTAAGTCGTGAACCGCCCCAAGATCTGCGGATGAACCATGGCATACAAATTCAATGAATAGAATAAAAAAAACCACACAGCCGAACAGTTGCTTGGTTTTAATGAAACCTTCGCTATACCTTCCAAACTTTCGCTATACCTTCCAAACTTCCCCACCCTAGACACCCTTTCTAGTTCCATCCCCAAACCACGTATGTTTATTAAGGACCTTTTCTACTTGACCTGCCCCCCCCCACGCCCAAAGAACCTCTTCAATACCAGAGATATTGCAGCAACAGGAATCAGAAGTGGGGGGGCGGGGGGAATGCTGTTGCCCTCTTGTGTTAATGGGCATCTGGTTGGCAGCTGTTGAGAGCAGGATGCTAAACTAGATGGGCCACTGGCCTGATCCAGCTACCCATACGTCCTTTAGGATAAGGAAGTAAACACAACAAAGGAGAGAGAGAGCGAGAGAGCAAAAGTATAAATAGTTTCCTTTTTAATTTCAGCACAAAAAAGAGAACTCTTCCACCAGGTGTTCCACGTGATAGAAAACAGCAGAGGAGACAGGTGTCTGCCAGATGTGGGGAAGGACCAGGAGTCAGGAAATGGGCTTGCTGGCTGCCAACACCCCTCACACCAAGCCTGTAAAGCAGGCATAGGCAAACTCCGGCCCTCCAGATGTTTTGAGACTACAATTCCCATCATCCCTGACACTGGTCCTGTTAGCTGGGGTGATGGGGATTGTAGTTCCAAAACATCTGGAGGGCCGGAGTTTGCCTATGCCTGCTGTAAAGCCAGGGTTTCTCCAGCTGGTTTTGGACTACAATTCCCATCATCCTCGACCACTGGTCCTGCTAGCTAGGGATGATGGGAGTTGTAGTCCAAAACAGAGAAAACCTTGCTGTAAGCTTAGGGAGGCCCATTTGCCCTTTGCTAAATCCTCCCTGCATTCCTTTCCTCCCTCCCTAGGCTATTAGAAGCTCTGGGCAAGCATGCCCAGATGTACACAGATGCTGAAAAGATGAGGCCCCAGTCCTTGGGGGCGAGACAGGCTGCTTCAGGTTGAAGTGGGCACATTGGTTTGGTCCGGCACCTTGTTAAACTGGGTGCTTCTTGCCAAAACGCCACCTGCCCAGCTCACCTGCCCTTCCTGCCCATAAGCTGCTTGGGCTCTACTTCTCTTCTGCAGTGGAGCCCAATGGGCAAAAGGCAGGGAGCCCAACAGTAGGTGGCGCCAAGGCCAGAGCCAGGTAGAGCCAGCTATTTCTAGCTAAGTCTTCCAGCTGAGCATAGAGGAGGAAGCTAACACAGACAGGATTGCTTGTAAGAAGGCAGGCAGGGTTTTGTTTTTCCCCAGGGGGGTTGCAGGCTGATATTGGCGGGGCGGCGCCCAATTTGCCCTACCGGACTGGCTTCCACTATAATCTTCCCTACCGCCAGCTAAAAATGCAAACAGGCACAAGGCAGTGTGAGAATTAGGGAGTGGGGTGGGGGAGAGAAAATGGATCCAAACAACCATGAACGAAGGCAGGCTGCTGTTTGTAAAGGGCGGGGGGAGAGAGAAAGAACCTCTGAACCTATCAGGAAGACTCTCCGCCTGGGAGTGGCAGGTGAGGACAAGGGGCTGTACACAAGCCCAGCGGCGCAAGCTCTTCACAGCTGCGCCACGAGGGCTCCCCACAATCTCAGCCTGGAGCTGGGGAAGCTAGAGGGGGTGTGAAGGATTTGGGAGGAAGAGAGATCTAAGGGTAAGGGAGCAGGGCTGGGACACTGTTGAGTGTTGAACCAGTTGCCAGAGTTTCACTGCTGGGTGATGAGCTCTTGGCGCAGTGGCTGGATTGGGAAAATGCCACCCTCGCGCTGCCCAATTCTGGTAACGTTAAATCAGGGGCGGCTAAGCAGATTCTTGTTGAGTCCACCAGCCCTGATTACTGGCCACAGAGATGGGGGTGTCCAGCAGCAATCTGGAGGAGGACCACAGTTCAGTCCCCGCTCCCTTGCTTTACACACAAGTTAAAAACGGCAACGTTGAGCTATATGGGAGGTGCGTTGCGACTGTTCCCAGGAAATGCCAGCCAGGGTCTCCAGTCCAGCATTGCTCAGAGCATTTTTTGCACAGCAGGATTGACAAAAGGGGTGGGGGGGGTAGCGAGTCTTGGAAGGCACATTTGGCAAGAGCTAGGCCAGAGGAAAAAAGCTTGGTCAGAAATGGACACACACACACACCCCTCCCAGCCCAGGTCTGTAACAGAGACAGGGACTCCCAGGCAGCTGCCTCTCTCCAATTGTGGGGGACGCCCCTCCTGAAGCCCCGGGGGACCCCAAAGCAGTTGTACAGAGCCTATCTGCAGTCCCGTGCGGAGAACCTAAGGTCAGGATGGTGAGAGAAGCACAAGGCTGAAGAAAGAGGAGAATGGCGAGGAGGAGAGGCCGGGGACACAGAGAAGTGCGGGACTCCACACGCCGGGCGTTTCGGGGTTTGGCTTCACGTCCGCGGTCTCCCAAGGGCAACGGCGCCAGGAGGCTGGCGAGAGCCTGGTGCACAGCAAGGTCCGCAGCACCCAGCGGCAAAGTCACGTCTGCGCCAGGGGCAGCTCCTCCAAGCCTTCCTTCCCCAGGCGGTATCGGGCCAGATCCTTCCGTGTGACCAGACCAACCACCTGCAGGGAGAGAAAGGCAGAAGATCAGGTCACTCTGGAGCGGCAGAACCAGGCCCTGGGCAGAGGTGCTTCTAGGTAAAAGGGTAAGGGACCCCTGGACGATTAAGTCCAGTCAAAGGCGACTATGGGGTTGCGGCGCTCATCTCGCTTTCAGGCCGAGGGAGCCGGCGTTTGTCCACAGACAGTTTTTTCCAGGTCATGTGGCCAGCAGGACTAAGCCGCTTCTGGGACACTGTGATCAAAACCAGAGCACACGGAAACACCGTTTACCTTCCCGCCACAGCGGTGCCTATTTATCTACTTGCACTGGTGTGCTTTCGAACTGCTAGGTTGGCAGGAGCTGGGACAGAGCAAAGTGAGCTCACCAGAGTCACACGGATTCGAACTACCGACATTCTGATTGGCAAGCCCAAGAGGCTCAGTGGTTTAGACCACAGCGCCACCTAAGTGGTGCTTCTAGCCCAGAGGTACCCAAACGTGGAGGTGCTTCAGAAGCTGCTGGACTCACATTCTCCCTGACAGGTGATTGTGCTTGCTGAGGCTGATGGGAGTCTGCTCCCAGACTTTGGAACTCCCTCCCTAGAGAAGCTAGACCAGGCGTCAGCAAACTTTTTCAGAAGGGCCGGTCCACTGTCCCTCAGATCTTTGGGGGGGGGGAGAGCAGACTATATTTGGGGGGGAGAGGAATGAATGAATTCCTATGCGCTACAAATAACCCAGAGATGCATTTTAAATAAAAGGACACATTCTACTCATGTAAAAACACGCTGATTCCAGGACTGTCCGCAGGCCGGATTTAGAAGGCGGCTGGGCCGGATCTGGCCCCCGGGCCTTAGTTTGCCTACCCATGAGCTAGACTGTCTCCCTCCTTGCTGTCTTTCCCCTGGCAGGTGAAGACTGTTATTCCAACAGGCTTTTGGGAACTGACTGCCTTTTAGGAAAGGGCTTTTCATTTGTCTGTCTGTTTCTGCTATCAGTGTTTTAATAGATTTGCATTTACATTCCATTACAGTTTACCCTTTAGCCATTATCTTTTCTATGTTTATATGTGTTTTATGTGCTTAGCTAGCTGCCCAGATCACTTGGTTAGAGCGTGGCGATGATCATGCCAAGGTCGTGGGTTCGATCCTCATACTGGTCCTCCTGCACTGCACGGGGGCTGGACTAGAGGGCCTGTATGGGGCTCCCTTCCAACTCTACGTTGCTAAGATTCTATTTGTGTTTGTTTTAAACTTCTGTGAATTGCCTCAAATTCTGGTTCTGATAAAAGGTGGGGGAAAATGAAACAAATAATTCATTAGGAAATAATAATAATAATAATAATAAAGTAAAAAACGTAAAGAAGACAAAAAGCTACATTAAAACCTGGGTCAGACTACTGGCCTATCTAGCCCAGCTGTCCAGGATCCCCAGCGGAGAGGGTATTCCCCAACCCTACCTGGAGATAAAAAGGTAAAGGGACTCCTGACCGTTAGGTCCAGTCGTGGCTGACTCTGGGGTTGCGGCGCTCATCTCGCTTTATTGGCCGACTTTATTTAGAAGCATGATTAAGCCGCTTCTGGCGAACCAGAGCAGCGCACGGAAACGCCGTTTACCTTGCCGCCGGAGTGGTACCTATTTACCTACTTGCACTCTGACGTGCTTTCGAGCTGCTAGGTTGGCAGGAGCAGGGACCGAGAGCAACGGGAGCTCACCCCGTCGTGGGGATTCGAACCACCGACCTTCTGACTGGCAAGTCCTAGGCTCTGTGGTTTAACCCACAGCGCCACCCGCGTCCCTGGAGATACAGGGACTCAAACCTGGGACCCTCCCCATGCAAAAGGTGAGCTCTGCCACTGGGTGTCAGGCTTCAGGGAATCTGATTCCCCCCCCCCCCGGTGGCAGCCAGCAAGGAGATAAACAAGAGGAGTTCTTACCAAGTAATTTATTCCACAGTTCACAGAGAGATACAAAGGAATGCAGCCTCCCAAAATAACGGCGTTGCTCCGAACAAAGTCCCACCCCCTCCATCTCTCCTATTCTACGTCATCCCTGTGACGGCTAATCTGAGCTTTCTGCCTCTGAGCCTTCTGTTCTCCTACCCTCAATGCCCGCCTGGTCCTGGGGGGGGGGTCAGGAATGCTCTCCAAGGACAATGAGTCTGTCAGCTTCCTCTCCCCTGCTGTTTCTTCTTCTTCCTGCTGTTCCCCTCCCAGTATTTCCCAGCTTCTCCCCTCTGCAGCCTCTGAACTATGCCCTTCTGCAAACCACTGTTCTAAATCTACACTGTCCTCCTGTTCTTGGGAAGGTTCAGGAGAAGAGGCGGGCGGCCCCCACCATTCCTCCTCTGTCCAGCCATGGACATTGGGCTGCAAGACCACTTCCTTGAGAGATCCTGCCATCTTGAGCAAGATGTTTCTTCCAGCCTTGACTCACCTGGTTATGATTATCCACCACCACGAGGTGGCGCAAGCCCAAGGCCCGGAACAACTTGTAAACCCTCGTTAGGGTGGCTTCCTGCAAACCAGGGAAATTATATTAGACAAGAGAAAGGCAATGAGTTTCCCCCCTCCACCCCAGTAAAACGAAAACAACCCAGGATGCTGTTAAGGGACGAGGAAGCCCTCGTCACCAGAAGCATCCCTCGTTCGAAATGCCTTCAAAGCAACAGACGTTGCCGCCCCCAACCCGGTCCTACCAAGGGCACAGTGTAAGGCGAGGGGTTCATGAATTCGGTCAGGTCCATCATGCACTCGCGCTCGTCCTGGGAGACGTGGATCGACTGGATGGGGGGGAAGCGGGGGTAAGCGTCCCGGAAGTCCTTCAGCTTCAGCCGCCGCTGCACCAGGGACAGGTTGGCTCTCTCCACAAAGACCTAAAAGGGGTCAGGCATGGTGGTGGTGGGGCACGGGGCAAACGGATGGGGATGCCCGCTAGTCCCTGCTTGCTGCCCTCTTCCCTGGGGTTCCCCCAAGTCCTCCTGCTGCCTGGGGGACCCTCCCATCCCGCAGAGAGGGTTGACTCCAACTGCACCGTGACTTGAAACCAAATGCTGGATTGGACGAAAACGTTCCTCTTCAACCAGGCCTCGGGCTGATTTAAAAAGGGGCATCGGATGTCAATGTGTTGCGGGAGGGGAGGGGGGCTTATCTGTTTGTTTTTGGTCTTTTTTATTATGCATTTTGTGTTTTTGTATATTGCGATTTTATGTTGTGAACTGCCCCGAGATCTACGGATAATGGGTGGTATACAATTTTAATAAATTTGTTGTTGTTTGTTGTTGTTACAGCTACGGGACTCTCTCCCGCAGGGAGACAGTGATGGCCACCAAGCTGGATGGGTTTATTATTATTATTATTATTATTATTTAAACTTGCATACCGTCCTTCATCCATAGATCTTGGGGCTGTGAACTCCAGAAAAAGGAAGGATAAAAACACCCAAAACACAGTGGTGCCTCGCAAGACGAAATTAATCTGTTCCGCGAGTCTCTTCGTCTTGCGGTTTTTTCGTCTTGCGAAGCACGGCTATTAACGGCTTAGCGGCTTTAAGAAAAAGGAAACAAACGTTTCGTCTTGCGAAGCAAGCCCATAGGGAAATTCGTCTTGCGGAACGACTCAAAAAACGCAAAACCCTTTCGTCTAGCGAGTTTTTCGTCTTGCGGGGGCACCACTGTACATAAGAACAAGAACAAACTGGGCAAATCCACGGAAGTCTTCTGCCCATCATTGCTATGCTCTGTTTCCATAATCAGAGGCGGCAATTCTTCTAAATATTGCTTGCTGGGAACCGCAGGAGGAGAGAGGGCTCTTGTGCCTGGGGGTTTCCCACAGGCATCTCGTCGACCACAGCAAGAACAGGATGCTGGACTAGGTGAGCTCTTGGGCCAGATCCACAGGGCTCCCCATATGTCAGCGGTTCTCAACCTGTGGGCCCCCAGATGTTGTTGGACTACAACTCCCATCATCCCTGAGCTCTGGCCTTGCTAGCTAGGGGAGATGGGAGTTGTAGTTCAACAACATCTGGGGACCCACAGGTTGAGAAAGACTGCCTTATGTTCTTGTGACTTCTGTTTGCACACTGGATACTCCCTTCTGCCTTCTCACATCACCCCCCCAATCTGTTCTGGAGGGTTGGGGGAACCCCAAGAGTAGATGGGTTCAGGGGTGTGCAGAGGAAAAGGAGGGGCAGCTCCACCGCCACAAGCAGAAGTCGTTTTACTGGCACAGTGACTTTAAGTTGCATACAACCCAGAGAATCCGACCGGTCTGGCAGCAGAGAAGGAGGGGGGAACCTGTGCCCCAATCCAGATGTTGCTGGACTACAACGCCCATTATCCTGACCACGCTGGCTGGGGCTGATGGGAATTGTAGTCCAACAACATCTGGATTGGGACGCAGGTTCCCCATTCCCTGCGGTGCTTTCTTTGTTTTTATTTAACCAAATTTATATACCCCTTGATTATAGGGAAGAACTCCAAGCGGCTTCCGAGATATATTCAAATTATCGGTAATAGTCATTAAAAACATTAAAATTAACAGCAAAAGAAACTGAAATGTGCCAGAGGAGATGCTCTGTGACTGAGCTGTGGCCCTCACCTTGTGCTTCAGGAGGACAATCAGCTGGGAGCGCAGGATCAGGCCTCGCAGTCCCGCTGCCTGCAAGGAGAGAGGCTGTCATTGGGGTGCCTCTTGTGTAGAACTCTCTTGGCCCCAACAATTCCCCACCCATCCTTTCCCCATGATTTTAGACACCAGGAAGGACAGACAGGCATTTAAACATCTGGGCTGCTGCTATTGTTTCCCCTGGAGCTTATTTCAGAATTAGTTTGTTGTCATTTTGCGGTTTTCTTCGCTCAAAATTATAAACCTGCAAGTACGCTGTACAAGTGATGGGCAAGTGGTAAGGCATCAATCTGGTAAATCGAAGATCACGGGTTCAAACCCCGCCTGTGCCTCAAAAAATTGAAGAGTCATTACCTTGCCCTGGTGGGCGCGCAAGACAGATACTAAAAGAAGGGGCTTGTTTTCGCAAGGCAGTGTAGTGCAGAGGTTAGAGTAATACACTACGACCTGGGAGACCAGGGTTCGAAACCAGCCATGAAGCTCACTGCGTGTGTGACCTTGGGCCAGTCACTATCTCTCAGCCTAACCTACCACACAGGACTGCTGGGAGATTAAAACGCGGAACTGAGCTCCTTGGGAGACAATAAAAGGTAAAGGTAAAGGGACCCCTGACCATTAGGTCCAGTCATGACCGTCTCTGGGGTTGCGGCGCTCATCTCGCTTTACTGGCCGAGGGAGCCGGTGTACAGCTTCTGGGTCATGTGGCCAGCATGACTAAGCTGCTTCTGGCGAACCAGAGCAGTGCACGGAAACGCCATTCACCTTCCCTACTTGCACACTGACGTGCTTTCGAACTGCTAGGTTGGCAGGAGCAGGGACCGAGCAACGGGAGCTCACACCGTCACGGGGATTCGAACCGCCGACCTTCTGATCGGCAAGTCCTAGGCTCTGCGGTTTAACCCACAGCGCCAATGGCAGTGCATATATGTAATAAATAAGACAATGCCTAATATATCTTATGAACACACGTACGCATTTTACTCAAGTTCTACAAATGGGCCTTAAAAAAAGCAGGAGGCTGCCTTAGCAGGACCTTTGCTCCATCTAGCCCAATACTGTCAACACTGGCAGGCAGCAATGGCCTTCCAAAGGTGTCAAAGTGGGTTTTTTTTCCAGCCCTACCTGGAGATTGGACCTGGGACGATCTACGTGAGAATCAGGTGCCCTCTGCTGAGGAATGGCCCTTTCCTAACTTTTTCTCCAAGAAACAGGGTTCCGAGCATCAAGGCATCCAAGTCAGTTCCCGCCGTCCTACCTGATCGCTGCCTGGAATGCTCTCCACCACAGGGAACCCGTTGTGGTTGGACGACGTATCGCTGAGGATGTCCACAATGACGCCCACTTTCTCAATCCTTCGGAGGGAGGTCACCGGGGTGCTCATCACTTCTCTGCAGAGGGGGAAAAAATGAAACAACACACAGAGATCACATTAAAAGCCCACAGAGGGGAGGAGTGTGGACTGCGGGGCCTTCTCTGTGGTGGCCCCCTTCGTTGTGGAATTTCCTTCCACACACAAAGAGGAGCACCTGGCTTCTCCGGTACACAGCTTTTGGATAATGCTGAAGACACAGATCTGTTACCCTGGCCTTTTGACTCGGCCCCCTACACTCCCTCTTTAAACAAGCCCCTTTGTTCATTGTCATGGGGACTAGCATCTTGCTTTGCTGTTGCAGGAAGGTCTTAGAGCTCATGCCTTGCACTCATAAGGTCCTAGGTTCAGTTCCCAGCATCCCCAGGCAGGGATGGGAAAACACCCCCCACCTGTAAGCTCAGTGAGTTTAATGCTCCAATGTTCTCACTTGGTATAAGGCAACTTCCCAGATTAAAACATACAAAGAATGAGGTCTCCCTGAATTTGTCAGGGTCAGATTTGGGTTGTGTGCTTTCGGGACTTGATTTGTTATTTGTTTCAACGCTGGATTTTAAAACGCTGCAACCCCGCTGCTGGTGTAGGGTGGGATGATATATTTAAGAACAGTAATACCACCAGCAGCACTTTCGGGTTTTTCGATACACTGAGAACCCGTACAAACCCTGCTGCGGCCTGATCCTGTCAGCTTACCTGGCGGTAAACGAGTGGGATGTGACAGGGGCTTCCCAGTGCAGGAAGGGAACACTCTGAAGCTGGATGTGCATATCATACAAACCCTAGAAAGAGAAGAAATTGTGAGCTGGGGCACATCTGGTGGGCAGGCCAGATATAGGTTTGGTGAGGCCCTAAGCTACTGAAGGTAATGGGGCCCTTTATATGCCTAGCTGTCTTTTGTCAACAACAAATCCTACAGGTACCAGAGAGGACCCGAAAGTGGGATAAACAGTCTTAAACTCGCAAATCGACAATAAAACGTTTTTTTGGGTTCCATTTTACCGTATGTCTGTTTCAGCAGCGATATTGTAAAAGCCAATTTTTGTAAGTTTGCAAATTTAAGCTGCACTTTTAACTTTTCACGGTCGGAATTTGCGAAAATAGTGTGGCTTATATTCAGGCCAATACAGTAATATTTACAGAAGGCTGAGGAAACTTTCCCAGCCTGAAGGCTGCATTGCCTAGTGGGCAGTCTACTGGGGGCATAATGCCCCTGGTTTGCGGAGCTAGAGGTTAAAGTGGCAGAATGATGGCTGTGGCCCTTACCCAGGGCTGGATTTAGGTTTGATGAGGCCCTAAGCTACTGAAGGTAATGGGGCCCTTTGTATGTCCAGCTGTCCTTTGCCAACAACAAATTGTCGCTGTTTTTTGTGTTGAATATATGCTATATGGTAATTTATTTTTTTAAATCTGAGTCCTCCAAAACAGGGGGTGTCTTATACACGGGAGCTTGTTATACACAAGAAAATACGGTAGCTGGTTCACAGAGTTTGGCCTTTCCTGGGGCACAATGTATTTGTTAAGAATTATATCTGGCCTTTCCCCCCAGGCTAACCAACCATCCGCTGAACCAAGCAGTGCCATGCAGAATGAAACGTGGAATATATAAAACCTCCAGGCCTGTCCTGTCCTCTGGGTCACAAGAACAGCCCTGTTGGGTCGGACCAAGGCAGGGGAATCTAGCCCAGAAACCCTCTTTTCACTGCAGCCAGTCACAGGCCTCCACGAAGCCCCCTGCAGGACACGGAGGCAATTCTGCCCCGTCGAATGCTGCTCCCCAGCAACTGGCATCCCGTGGTAGAGTCCCCCTAGAGAGAGAGGTTCTAGGTGGCTGGTACAACCAGCGGCCGCAGGCAGACCCTCACCTCGACAAAATAATCCCCCACAATCTTGGCTGTCATCAGCACCAGCATGATTGGGAAGCCGTAGGTAACGTTGCCTGTCGCCTCCATCATGATAACCGTCAGGCTGAGTGTCATCCTCACAATGCCCCCTAGGAAGAAAATGCTGTGTTGAACGTCAAGGACTGCCTTCTCCCCATATGAACCAACCCGGACCCTGAGATCATCCTCTGAGACCCTTCTTTGTGTGCCTCCTCCTCGAGAGGTCCAGAGGGTGGCAAAATGAGAATGGGCCCAGGACCTCCATAGGCACTGTCCAGGATTGCACCGCTAACACAGCGGTTTGACTTCACCCCAGGAAGCACACTCCATTGTCTCTCGAGGCAGGTAAAGGTAAAGGGACCCCTGACGTGGACGACTCTGGGGTTGCAGCGCTCATCTCACTTTATTGGCCGTGGGAGCCGGCGTACAGCTTCTGGGTCATGTGGCTAGCAAGACTAAGCCACTTCTGGCGAACCAGAGCAGCGCACGGAAACGCCATTTACCTTCCCGCCAGAGCGGTACCTATTTATCTACTTGCACTTTGACGTGCTTTCGAACTGCTAGGTTGGCAGGAGCAGGGACTGAGCAACGGGAGCTCACCCCGTCGCGGGGATTCGAACCGCTGACCTTCTGATCGGCAAGTCCTAGGCTCTGTGGTTTAACCCACAGCGCCACCCGCGTCCCCTCGAGGCAGGTAGATGCCCACAAATCAGTAAGTAATGTGTGCTATTTTAAGAACATGCCTTAATGAGTTTTATGTTTCAACAGGAATATGTTTTGATTTTAAGAATCCAATTATTATTTAATTTTATTGATTTCTAATTTCAAACAGTGAGGAGTGGTTCCTGTAATCTGCTTTAAATTTCATTAGCTCCCCTCGTGCTGCTGTGGCCTTCGAAATAATGCAATATGTGGTTTTTTTGTTCATACTGAGCTACTGTCCTTCCTCAGAGCGAACCTGTAATTAGTGCCATAGCCGTTTTAAAAGAGCAGGACAAAGCTGAACCCCTTTCTGAAAAGGTTCTAAAAAAAAAAGAAAAGACTGAACGGCTAAACCAGCAGTGAGAAAGCTGGTTGGACTCCAGCTCCCATCGGCCCCAGCCAGTGTGGCCAATGGTCAAGGATGATGGGTGTTGTAGTCCGATAGCTGGAAGGCCAGAGGTTTCTCATCCTTGTGCTAAATAGACACAAAGCAGATATAGTTTATTATAATCTAATCTAATCTACTGTATTTTTCCATGTATAAGACTGTTTCCCCCCAATTTTTTTAAATTTAAAATTGGGGGTCAATTTATACACGGAATGTTGCAATTAAATATATAAATAAATTTATTTCTTAATTTGGGGCTCAAAAAATAGGGGTCATCTTATACTTGGGGACGTCTTATACACGAAAAAATACAGTAATATAATATAATTTCATTATTAACATGCCTTGGTTGCCCCAGCCACTCTGGGTGGCTCCCAACAAAATATTTAAAACACATCAAACATTAAAAGCTTCCCTATACAGGGCTGCCTTCAGATGTCTCAGAGTTCCCTGGGAAGAGGAACTGAGTGTTAAATCAATCTTGGGAATCACAGCTCTGTGAGGATTCTTCTAACAAAGTATCCCTTTATAAGCCATAACTCCCAGGGTTGTTGTTGTGGTTGTTGTTTGCAGAAGGAGCCATGATTGTTTAAAGCAAGATGAGGATGCTTAAATGCATGGTGAAGATGAGGCCTAGGAAAGTAAGTTTGGTTAAAGGGTTGAAGCATAACCTGCACCGTCCCACTGGGGCAAGACCCACCTTCCCACTTCCCAATAAGCTGAGCCCCTTTCTCCTCCCTGCCCCAGACGTGTATCACTCACCCAGCTGTGCCGCAGCTCCCATCAAGGCATACTTCCCTGGGTCGGCCCAGATCTGAAAGCCCCAAGAGAGAGGAACAGTCAACGCTCAGGATAGCGGGACTAAGCAGGAGGTCGGAGGGTCTCCGATCCAGGCCCCCTCCCTCCCCATTCACTGGAGAAATGGACCTTTCACACCGTGAACAGCAGTAACAAACTGGGGCGTGGCATCTGCCCCCTACTCGCCTAGACCGGTGGTGGTGGATCTCTAGGCCAAGGGGACGATTGGGTGTCGTGGACAGACTGGATGCAGGGGACAGGGAGGGGGGCACCAGCTGGGGAACCCCCAGGGGAAGAAGGCTGGCTTGCCACCCATCTGACTGGCTTGCCCCAGCCACTCTGGGCGGCTCCCAACAAAATATTAAAAACACAACAAAGCTTCAAGAATTAAAAAAAAACCTCTCTGAACAGGGCTGCCTTCAGAATGTCTTCTGGAAGTCAGATAGTTGTTTATCTGACGGGAGGGCGTTTCACGGGGCGGGCACCACTGCTGAAACTGCTCTATTCTGAACTTAAAAACGGAAAGCATAATGCTGGTGGCCAAAAAAAGGGGTTGAAAGACTCTCTCAAAAAATGTAGTGTAAACACCGGCAACAGGGAAACACTGGCCTGCGAACGCTCCAATTGGAGAACAGCCTTTACCAAAGGCGTTCTGGGCTTTGAAAGCGCTCGAACTCAGGATGAAAGGGAGAAATGCGCTAAGGGGAAGGCACGCTTGGCAAACCCTCACCGTGATCAACTCCCGCCCGGAAACCTATGTCCCCACTGTGGAAGGACGTGTGGATCCAGAATCAGCCTCCACAGTCACTTACGGACTCACTTTTAAAACTGTGTTCATGGAAGACAATCTTATTTGGCTACGAGGGATCGCCAGATAAGAAGAAGAAGACCACTACTGAGAAGACCCTCTGCCTGGTTCCCTGTAACCTCATTTCTCGCAGTGAGGGAACTGCCAGGAGGCCCTTGGAGCTGAAAAGCTTCCACTTCTTCTTCCTGGCGAAGATCAAACGCCCTCCATCTTCCCAGCTCCCCTCCCACCCGCGACAACAAGGGGATGGTTTTCTGCAAAGGTTCTTCGGACCGTAAGGGAGTGGGAGGGTGGGGAGAGAGGATCGAAACCACAAGGTGAGGGCAACTCACCCAGCCGCTGGTCATGTAGGAGAGAGAGATGCCAAACAGGCGGCCCCAGGCGGCCCCGATCAGCAGGGAGGGGATGAAGACGCCTGCCGAAACTGTTAGCCCGTAGGTCCAACAAGCCAGGAAGAAGTACATCAAGGTGAACAGCCCCAAAGTCATGGGGTCATACGTGCCTAAGAGGGAGAGCAAAGAGCATCACTCCCCACAACCTGGAACCAGCAGCAAGATTCGCTCAGCAAATCGTCAGGGTGCTCCCACCTTATTACAGGGGGCATGCATTTTAGCCCCTCAAAAAAGCAGGTCTCAAGAGCCATCTTTGGGTTTTTCCTGGCTCCAAAAATTAGGTTAAAGTCGTGTTTACCAAACTTGGGTCTCTAGCTGGTTTTGGACTACAACTCCTATCAGTGAGTTGTAGGACCAGTGGTCAGGTGTTATGGGAACTGTAGTCCAAAAACAGGTTGAGACCCAAGTTTGGGAAACACAATGACATAAACTCTCAAAACATCGACAAATAATACTTAAACAGAAATCCACTCTTAACAATTACAATAATTACTGAACTACGATCAATAAAAATAATTGCAAGTCACAATGCATAAAATACAGGTGGAGCTTGAACGCCTTGGCTCCTGAACGATCGAAACCCGGAAGTGAGTGTTCCGGTTTTCGAATGATTTTCGCAAGCTGAACGTCCGCCGTGGCTTCCGATTGGCTGCAGGAGCTTCCTGCAGCCAATCAGAAGCCGCACTTTGGTTTCTGAACGATTTGGAAGTCGAACGGACTTCCGGAACGGATTCCGTTCGACTTGCAAGGTACGACTGTATCACAATACATCTAAAACATGTCCAAATCACCCTAACCTTCCCTGTGATAATACCATAGCTGTCAACTTTATCTTTTCTTGCGAGGAATCCTATTTGGAATAAGGGAATTTCCCTTTAAAAAGGGGAAACGTTGACAGCTATGGATAATACCCGCTAGGGCAGCTCTATGTGCCTTTCCTAATTAAAACATTGTGTGCAGCAAAACAAATCATGGACTTGGGAACAAATCCCAAGCTGGGCTCTAGGGTACTGTGAAAAGAAAATTCAATTCCTTCATCCGGCTCCTCTGCCACAGGAACATCAGGTAAAGCCTTTATAGAGGAGGAAAGCCAAGGACTGTAGCAAGCCCCCTGCCGTCCCGTTTTAGATTTCAGGAATGCACATTTAGGCTAAACATTTGGAGGGGGCGGGAGGAAGGAGAAGAGACTCATGAACTGTGGGAGCAGATTAAGCGATGGAACAAGTTGCATCTCCCACAGAGCTGGAGAGAGCTCTCCTTCTTCGGAGGCATGCAAGGAAGGGCCAGGCAGGTTGGGAAATAATACAATTTAAAAGCAAATGAAACCTACCTCGAATACAAAACCCTCCCCCACAACAATTCACAGTAATTCAGGTAGATCACATAAATTTCCAGGCCCAATTCAAAGTGCTGGTTTTGACCTATAAAGACTATAAAAGGGGTGGCTATAGGAATGGACAACATGAAGTGAAGGATGAAATGGATATTAATGAAGAGTTGATGTGGCTACAAGAGAAAAAGATGGACATATGTTTGCAACTGGAGCCGGAAACCTGATTTTTTAAAAAAAGAAACTGTATTAAATTAGGTAATTTGGTTTGATTTGTAAAAAATTGGAAAACCAATAAAAATAATTTGGGGGAAAAGACTGTGCTCAGAAGATATATAGATAGATGATAGATAATTATTGTTTGTCTGTGTATCCATCTAAACATGCTGTCACCAAAATCAGTGGGGTCTTGTTGGGAGGGGGGAATAACATTTGCTGGTCGTGGAGCTGGATTTAGGCCGAGAGACAGGAACTAGCCAACCCTGCTATAGAATATTAGGAAGAATACATCCCCCCATCGATTGGCGATGGTTGGACGCTGCTAGTTGGGGAGCAACCGACCTGGGGGGTCATGAAAAAGGCGGACGACACTCTTCTCTGGTGTGTTGAAGAAGGCGGCAGCCATAGAGTTGTATTCGCCATCAGGACAGAAGAGCTGGCGGGGAGAGGAGAAGTCGTGTTATTGCAGGCACAGTAAAAAGTAAAAAAGGAAAGGAAAGGAAAAGAAAAAAGAAGCGGGGGTCCAACACCACAGGCTGCTGTGCCTTATGAGCACTGGATTCAATATTATTATTATTATTATCATTATTATTATTATCATCATTATTATCATTATTATTATTATACCAGCCTATACCTGGAGGTCTCAGGGTAGTTCACAGAAAAGATCACAACATATATAATCAGAATGAAAACAACAACCCAATAAGAGCCACATTTTAAAAGGGTGTAGGATGTCAAACAGAACAACCAAAGGCCTGGTTGAAAAGGAACGTTTTTGTCTGGTGGGCACCAGGTGAACATCCCTGGGGAAAGCATTCCACGGATGGGGAGCCACTGCAGAGAAGGCCCCGTTCTCGTGTTGCCACCCCCCGGACCTCCTGAGGAAGAGGCACACTAAGAATGGCCTCAGAAGATGATCTCAGGGTCCGGGTAGGTTCATATGGAAAGAGGTGGTCCTTGAGGTATTGCAGTCCTGAGCCGTTTAACATCTGGGGCAGGGAACGGCTCAGAGATTTGGCTTGAGAAGGGCTTGCAAATAAACCCAGGGGTGTTATCAAATCGCAAATGTGTGTACCAGCCTGCTGTCCTCTTGTAAAAGCGCTGCTCACTTATGAAAGCAAGAGCCGTCCCCCCACACCCCAAACAAACACACACACATTTTCAAAAGCTTCTCTGCATGATGCCAGAGAGGTAAAGTTTTGCTTGCCAAAGCTATATACAAACTTGGGCTCACTGCCAGGGGCAGCGGCTGCGCAACTTTGCCAGCTGAATGCGCCCAGCATCTCAACAACAGCGGCTAGCTCCCATTGGGCTGAAAGCAGGGTGACGGACAGCAGGGGGAGCCACAGCAAACAACAGCAGCAGATGACTAATTCTGGTACTGTCCGCCATCTTCCTCCCTGCCGAGCTCTACAAGGGCAAGGCTGAAGTCGTGTGTACACATTGCGCCTTGAAAACACATCCGGAAGACATTTTTGCCTTCAGGGAATTCTGGGCACTGTAGTTTGCCCCTCACGGAGTTACAGCTCTCAGAGACCCTGAACTAGGGCCAGGGCCTTTTCAGTACTGGCCCAGACTTGGTGGAACGCTCTGTCACAAGAGACCAGGGCCCTGCGGGACTTGACATCTTTCCACAGGGCCTGCAAGACAGAGCTGTTCCGCCTGGCCTTTGCTTTGGACTCAGTCTGACCCTTATGTTTCCATCCCTTTATGGTTTTGATCTATGGGCTACTTTTAAAACGAGGCTGCATTTTAAATTGCATTTTAACCTGTATTTTAAATTGGTTCCCCCCCCGCCCCATTATGTTTTTACTGTCATTTTATTGGTGTTAGCCACCCTGAGCCCAGCTCTGGCCGGGGAGGGCAGGGTATAAATAAAATAATATTAGAAGAAGAAGAAGAGTTTGGATTTGATATCCCGCCTTTCACTCCCTTTAAGGAGTCTCAAAGCGGCTAACATTCTCCTTTCCCTTCCTCCCCCACAACAAACACTCTGTGGGGCTGAGAGACTTCAGAGAAGTGTGACTGGCCCAAGGTCACCCAGCAGCTGCATGTGGAGGAGCGGGGACGCGAACCCGGTTCCCCAGATTACAAGACTACTGCTCTTAACCACTACACCACACTGGCTATTATTATTATTATTATTATTATTATTAAAAAAACTCACAATACCCAAAATTGTGCCCTTAAAGAAAGTGCTTTAAGGGCACAGTGTTGAGACAAAGCTGAAGGAAACTCATTTCCTTTTTGTGAGCGAAGAGAGAGGCATGTGGGGTTTGGTCGACGGGAAGACTGAACTTGGTGAGAAGGTGCCTAATGGACCTGCCTCCACTTCTCTCCTGCCTCAAGCCCCCGTTGCCCAACAGCATCCATTCTGGGAGGCAGCCGGCACCCACAGTCCCCCTCTGCCGCTCGTTTCCCACCTGGAGCGAGTAGGCCATGCCGCTGCCTTGCAGGGGCTGGCAGTCTGCCGAGGTGTAGATCATGACAAATGCCACAGCCGCTGTCACAGCGCCCACCAGCATGGCCTCGATGACCTGCAGGCACGGCCGGTGGATATACCTGGGGAGTTTGAAGAAAAGAAAAAACACAAGGGGTTAGGGAGCAGGGCCGGCCCAACGCATTTTGCCACCTGAAGCAACGGACAAGATGGCAGCCCCTTCTCCCATCTCCCACTGAGATCCAGCACTGATGGCCTTCTGGCTGTTCCCTCGCTGCGAGAAGTGTGGTTACAGGGAACCAGGGAGAGGGCCTTCTTGGTGGTGGCGCCTGCCCTGTGGAACGCCCTCCCAGCAGATGTCAAGGTAATAAACAACTATTTTACTTTTAAAAGACACCTGAAGGCGGCCCTGTTTAGGGAAGTTTTTAATGTCTGATGCTGTATTGTTTTTGATATTTGGTTGGAAGCTGCCCAGAGTGGCTGGGGAGACCCAGTCAGATGGGTGGGGTATAAATATTAAATTATTATTATTATTATATTCCGATTCCAAATATGGAAGCCAACTGGATCTTGCTTCGAGACTGGAGAGACAGGAGCATCCTCCATCAGTCACTGGGCGACCTTGGGGGCCAGTCACTGACGCTCAGCCTAACCAACCTCACAGGGTTGTTCTGAGGATTAAATAAGGAATGAGAGGTGTGTGCATCTCACCTTGAGCTCCTTGGAGGAGAGGTGAGAGGCAAATGTAATAATAAAAAACTGAGTTAAAGAGATGAGTGGCAGCCTGTGATTCATTCCATCTGTTTCCAACAGGTACACACACACACACACAAACACACCCCACACAGTCCCAGAACTGTAAGTCCTAAAAAGGAGTTCCTGCCCAGGCACTTCGGTTATTTCCTTTAGCTAAAAACTAAGATGGCCTTTCTCCAGACCTGGCTGCTTTCCAGCAAGGTGGGCGGCTGCAGAGCTGAGCTCATTTGCTCCCGTAAAAGCAACCCTCGCCCCAAAAGGGAAGCCATCTGGGGAAATAAGCAGAGGCCTGACAAAGGCAGAAATGTGCCAGACTTTATATAAAAAAAGAAGAACGCAAACAAAAGTACTATCGCAGGTTTCCGGCTCAAACAAACATCCAGGCAGGAATGTGAAGCAGCCTCTGAAATGCTGGTTCAGCCAAATTCTGGGTGGCTCAGCTCAGCGACGCCTGTGAATGGAGCTAAGCTCCGAACCCTGTGTCAAAAGAAAGGGCCCGGCGGTGTAAAAAGCTGAAATGCAAAGCCTTTTAAAGAGGCATCCATGGTTGGATGTACAGCAGTTGGCTCGAGCCATCCTGCAATGGGTTTTACTCCAGTCCTTGCCCTGGGTCTGAAGTTTGCTGCTTGTTATATTCCGGGTTACCTTCTGCCAGGGCTTTTACCTGATTCGGAACATCGTCAGCCAGTAGTTCAAGGCGTTGAACATGGCTCCGAGAACTCCACCTGCAGCCAGGAGGAAGAAAAACACCTGACAATAGGCCTTGACGGAGTCAGAGCAAAGAACCAGCCGCTCAAAACCACACAAATCAGAATGCAGGAAGTTAGCAGTATAGGTTGCAGAAATCCCATAACTCTCTCTTTGGGGCAGCTGTGGAAATGATGCATCTGACTGGGATGAAGCAAGGTGGAGAACAGTTTTGCAAAGGATATCCTCTACATTTCCACCCTGCTGTTAGATCAGGAAAATCCTACGCCCACCCCAGACATAGGGTCATGTCTTCCCCCTCCATCTCCCCTTCTTCTGGGGCTCACAGTAAGCCAGGAAATCCCCCCAGTTCCACAGAGGAAAATTCTGTATTGTGTGCAGGGGCCAAGGTATTAAGGAATTAAGTTCTTTGCCAGATGCTGGAATCTCTGCAGAAATGCAGAGGATTGTGGAGTCAACAGAGCACAGAGGAGTTTTGCCCTGTGAAAAGGCAGGCACAGAGAAAGGACCGCATGCCCCAAAATGGCTTTGGGGCTGATAACAGACACAGCTCCTTTCTAGCTGTTGACCATGACAGATTTGCTGCTGCATGTCAGGCATGCATTACTGGTGGAACTTACAGTGGTGCCCCGCAAGACGAATGCCTCGCAAGACGAAAAACTTGCTAGACGAAAGAGTTTTCAGTTTTTTGAGTCGTTCCACAAGACGAATTTCCCTATGGGCTTGCTTCGCAAGACGAAACGTCTTGCGAGTTCTTGCGAGTTTGTTTCCTTTTTCTTAAAGCCACTAAGCCGTTAATAGCCGCTAAGCCGTTAATAGCTGTGCTTCACAAGACAAAAAAAACGCAAGACGAAGAGACTCGCGGAACGGATTAATTTCGTCTTGCGAGGCACCACTGTATTTCTTTTTTTAAAAAACGGGGGAGGATGAGACCCACATGCACACTCCCCCAGCCTCAGAGTAACATCTGCAGAAGGGATTGATGCACAAACAGGGAAGTCACATTATCGTGTTGCTTAAATAGGGGCGCTTACCCACCACTCCCATGAATATGAAGATTGGGATTTCTTGAAAAGTGTACCCCATCTTCTGCAAAGGAAGAAAGAAAGCAGGTGTGAGCTCTGGAAACTGTGACAGCGGTAACGCAGCTCAAGGACAGGACTGCCTTCTACTGCGCTATCATTTTTTCACAATATCATAGAACTGTAGAGCTGGAAGGGACCCCCGAGGGTCATCTAGACCAACCCCCTGCAATGCAGGAATCTTTTTGCCGGAGGATGGGACTCAAACCCACGACCCTGAGGTTAAGAGCCTCGTCCTCTACCCAATGAGCTATTGGGAACATAGGAAGCTGCCTTACGCTGACGCAAGCCCATTGGTGCCACTTAGCCTACACTGACTGGCAGCAGCTCTCCAGAGTTTCGGGAAGGGGACAATACCATATGTGTGTGTGTGTGTGTGTGTGTGTGTGCTTATATATATATATTCAGTTTTCAATTTAACAACAATAATCTTCCTTTACATTTGTATCCCTTATTTCGACTTCTTACAGGGAACCAGGCAGAGGGCCTTCTCGGTAGTGGCACCCACCCTGTGGAATGCCCTCCCACCAGACGTCAAAGAGAAAAACAACTACCAGACTTTTAGAAGACATCTGAAGGCAGCCCTGTTTAGGGAAGCTTTTAATGTTTAATAGATTATTGTATTTTAATATTCTGTTGAAAGCCACTCAGAGTGGCTGGGGAAACCCAGCCAGATGGGCGAGGTATAAATAATAATAATAATAATAATAATAATACATTATTATTATTATTATTATTATTATTATTCTCTCCACTCCTTCTCTGGTTACGTAGAGAATTTGTGTGTGGAGGCCAGAGGAGGAGGAGTTGGCAGCGAAGCTTCAAAAGGATGTTGCCTTTTACCTCGGAGTCAAACCGGCCAAAGTTGATGAGTCCGGGACTGGACAGGTCCCAGGGATTCCCTTTGTAAATGCTGAGGATGGAGTTCAGGGTGAAGGTGGAGATCATGGAGGCAAAGAACTGCAGAGAGAGGGGGGGGAGCGGTGAGGAGCATGGCCAGATTCCGCCTGTCTGCCGAGGACTCACCTTGCAGTCCCCATCCCCCACCCCCGGCTCGGAAAGCTCCCCCAGCCCCCCAGACTCACAATCCTCCAGGTCAGGAACTGGTTCCAAAAGGAAGCGCCTTCCTCCAAGCTGAACAGGACACCACCTGGTGGGAGGGAAAGGCAGAGCCAGTGAGACTTGGCTTGTCCGCCCGGAGGCAGGAGCTGAGCGGCTCAAGGTAGGAACACCAGGCGCGGATTCAGAACGGGCCTTTTCTGCGATGGCTCCCCGTCTGAGGAATGCTCTCCCCCAGGGAGGTCTGTCTGGCGCCTTCATTGTATACCTTTAGGCGCCCCGCAAAAACATTGCTCTTTAACTAGGCCTTTGGCTGATCGACATCTGATACCCTTTTAAATGGATTACAGTCATACCTCATGTTATGTTTGCTTCAGGTTGAGTGTCTCCAGGTTGTGTCCTGCGGCGACCCAGAAGTACTGGAACGGGTTACTTCCGGGTTTCGCTGCTCATGCATGCGCAGACGCGCAAAATGACATCACGCGCATGCGCAGAAGCGGCAAATCGCAACCCACGCGTGTGCAGACACGGGTTGTGTTCTTTTCAGATTCCAGAACGGATCCCGTTCACAACCAGAGGTACCACTGTATTGGTTGTTTCTATTATTATATTTATTGTGTATTTTGTGGTTTTTATCTTGTAATTTTATTTTGTGTACCACCCCGAGATCTGCAGGTATAGGGCAGCATACAATTAACAACAACAACAGTTTATGGCTGTGCAATCGGAGGGGGGTGCTTTCTTAACCTAGATAACGAGGCGCTGGGCTTTGGGAAGGAGGCATGAGGCTCTGGCAGGGTGCTAGAGTTTCCCTGGCTCTCCATTTATTTATTAATTTTCCCCGCCCACATAAGGTTGCAGTCGCACAAGTAAAGCAAGAGAAAGCTGCATGCCTACTGTATTAATATTATGACCATCCCTAGTATTAGCACCATTATCACCACGGTTATCACTATGGCTCATAATGGATTGCAGTACAGTGGTACCTCGGGTTACATACGCTTCAGGTTACAGACTCCGCTAACCCAGAAATAGTGCTTCAGGTTAAGAACTTTGCTTCAGGATGAGAACAGAAACCGTGCTCCGGCGGCGCGGCGGCAGCAGGAGGCCCCATTAGCTAAAGTGGTGCTTCAGGTTAAGAACAGTTTCAGGTTAAGAACAGACCTCCGGAACGAATTAAGTACTTAACCCGAGGTACCACTGTAAATGGTTTTGCCAGAAGACACAGATGTTCTGAGACGCTTGGATAAAGCAACCAGTAACAGGAATAACAACGGTGCTTATCGTCATCAATAATACTAATGAAGTGCAGCAAACACCTCTCTAGTGTTTCCGTGGGAAAGAAAAGGAGCTTTACCGACAGGAGCCCCAAAGGCAGCCGAGACACCAGCAGCAGCTCCGGCGGAGACGAAATCCCGCTTCTCCGTGTCCCTCCGGAAATATTCAAAGATCTAAAAGCAAACACAGCCCGGAGTGGATTAGAACTTGGGAATGGGTCTCTTAACACACACAAGCGCAAAAAGCTCTGGATGCTCTGCAACCCCTAAGTAACTCAAGCAATGCCCCCCCCCCCAAATGAATGAGCCCACCACAAAGACCAGCAGCAGCTTCCTTTGTGTACTGTGAAGAATGCTAGTTTGCCAAGATGGCCCAGGACTACGAAGCAACTTTGGTGAGGGAGGAGGACAACTGCCTCAAACCCCTTCCTTCAATGGTTCCAACGGCCATTAGGTCAGCTGTCCAAGGAAATGAGTGTGTAAACAAACCAACCCCTGTGTTGCTAAATATAAGTCAGCGATATCAAAAGCAACACGATGGCCAGAAACAGTAAGAATGTGAAAAACTTTATGGAATAATTCAAAACATCAAAACTAACAAAATGAAGTCTCTGAAAGTCCTGAAATGAATTACGGTGCCAGACATTACCCGGCATAGAGAGCAAGCTGTGAAGCTTTGTATAATCAGCAAATGTCCAATTCTGATGTCCAACTCTGAACTCTGCTGAACAGTGTTTCCAGATAACAACTACTGTTTCACTGAATTCTTCATCAGCCAATTAGTTCAACACTTGTAAGTAGAAAGATACGTAATTTCTTCATTAACCAATCTGTTTTCGAATAGATATAATGAAAAATACTCTGGAACAGTGCTCATGCGATTATGTAGTCAACTGTAGTCACATAATTGAATGAGCACTGTTCCAGAGTATTTTTCATTATATCTATTCATAAACTTTCAGAGACTTCAGTTTGTTAGTTTTGATGTTTTGAATTACTGTATTCCATAGAGTTTTTTCACATTGTTTCTGGCCATGAGTGTGGCAGCGACCAACTGCCTTCCTCTTGGTCCAGACAATGTCACTTGCTCTGCTCACAGATCTGATGGGAGGCCTGTGCTGGTCTGGTTGCTCTCCCAGGCAGTCAGCATCTGCACAGGCAGAACTAGGCAACTCTGCCGAAAGTCCTATAATGTTAAAATCGGGTGTCTGAACTTGCTACTCCCCTCTTCCCTCCCCATCCCTTTTTTCTCGCATGCTATGTCTGTTTATACAGTTTCGTACTAGAGGGCAAAGTCTCTTTTGCGACGCAGGTTGTGCAACCTGGGTATGCCCGTTTGGTTAACGGGTGGGGTGCAAATGCTTTAAGCTTGAGAAGTGGGAGAGAGGCAGGCCTCATACCTGCCCCCTGGCATCTCCAACATCTGCTACCAGGATCGGGGCTATGATAGACAGCGGAAGCCGCCACTCAGTGAGGAGGTCCTGGCCTGCGGGGGCTGGAAACCCAGCGCAAGCAACCCACTTGTAGGAAACGAACCTTGAAGTCTCTCTTCAGAGAAGTTGACCGTCCTTGAGATATGCCAGCTGCGATGACAGCTCCAGAGTGAATCATTGGCCCTTCCTGAAACCAAGAGAAGCAGAACTTAGACGGAGGTAGAAGCTGGCTTGCAAGACTATGCTCCAAGCAGGGCCAGATTTAGGTTTGATGAGGCCCTAAGCTACTGAAGGTAATGGGGCCCTTTATATGTCCAGCTGTCCTTTGACAACAACAAATTGTCGGTTTTTTAGTGTTGAATATATGCTATATGGTAATTTGTGGACCTAATAGGTATCTAAAGCCATTTGCACATGTTGCCATGAAACCAGTCCATGCAGAATGTAGTCACCCTATATATAGAAAGGAGCAAACCAGTGATATTTTAGTGAGTAAGCTAGCAGGCGGGGGCCATTACTTACATCATAGGAGCCTACACAACACAAAACACTGTTGCTGTATGTATGTTTTATTTTATTTTATTTATCTTATATTAAATTGAATTTTGAATTTATTGTTATTCATGTTTTATACTGTATTTTATGCTGTTTTTGTTGCATCAATTAAGTGTTTTAAATTTGTTGTTAACCCGGTTTTCTGAACCAGGAAGGGTGGGGTATAAATAAAAATATATTATTATTATTATACCAGATGAGCTATTGGCCTGACTTGGCAGGTTCTTATTTTGGCGCAACATCTCCCTAAACAATTATTCTGATCGCAGCAAAACAAGCTGCCTGAGGCACAGTTTTCTTTTCTTTTCTTCCCATTGTCAAAGCCACGAAGCACGTCTCGTTCGCCATGATCCTAAGGCGGCAGTTGGGTACAGGCCAATACAAATGGCAAGGGCAAAGGCTAACGAAGAAGCGCCATTGAGAGCAATGGCTGCCAAGCAGAAACCTTCCCAGAATGCAATGTAAAATAGCCGGGAAGGTGGCATTGTTAAATAGGAAAGACAGGAGTAGCTGCCTTTTGGGGTGAAGTTTCTGCTTCCTCTCCTCAGTTACCTTTCCGACCGCCAGGCCTCCGACCACAGAGAAAATCACACCACAGACTTTAACCACCAGTGTCTACAAAGAAAGGAGATACATCATCGTCATCATTATCATTATTATTTTAAAGTTCCCATTCTGGGCTGAACTCTGGGCTCCTATGCTCAGTTCCCTCAGACACAAAGCGCTGAGCTGACGCAAGAGAGGAGTCCACGTTTAACCTTCAAAGATCTTGCCAGAAAAGAAACAGGCGCCGAACCAAAACACAAGACTCTCGTTCCAATGGAAGTGAGGCGAGAGAACTACTCTGATCTTTGTCACCAAAGACAAGTGAGCTAGTTCGCTGATCCTTATTTCCCTCACGGAGCTACAATTCCCAGAGCTCCCTGGCAAGAGGGACTGACTCTTAAAACCGCTCGGGAACTGTAGTTCCGTGAGGGAGAAAAGGGCTCTCCTAGCAACTCTCGGCTTCCCAGAATCCTTTGGGGGAAGCCATAGTTGTTTAAAGCAGCATGATTCTGGCTTCAAATGCATAGTGCAAATAGGGCGATAGGTGAAAAGCAGCAGATCACACAACGGCGGCAGACACGTCTAGCAACGTGTTTGGATGTGTGGCAGAGAAATGGGCCATTTTTCATGTCCAGTTTTACACACACACACACACACACACACACACACAAAATGTTCTCACTAAGGAAGCGGAGGGGCAACTTTCCCTCATAAAAGTCTCAGGTGGATCAGGGGAAAGGAGGGACACGCTAAAAATTGCCAGGCACAACCTGTCCTCCCTCTCTCACCTTCAGCCGGACCACGTGGGGGATCTTAACTCCATTGAGGTAGCACTTGATCTGAGGTATTCCACTACCAGCTGCCACAGGCTACAAGAAAAACAACAACAGAGAAAATAAGTTTGCTTGGGTGTATTTCTGTCATTCAAACAGCTCCGAGACTGGGCAGTTGCTACATATTACCATCCACACGCAAATCGTAAGAGGCAGTGTGGCATCACGGTTTGGATGCCAAACTAGGACCTAGGAGACGGGGGTTCGAATCCTCCCCTCAGCTGCAAAGCTCCCTGGGTGACCTTGGGCCTGTCACCGCCTCTTGCAGTATTAGCTACCTCACAAGGTGGTTGCGAGAGTTAAAATGGAGTGTGTAAAGCGCATATGGCTCCTTGGACGAAAGGCAAGGCAGAAACGGGATCATGAAACTCATTGGGAGCATCACCCTTTGCCAAGGCACGAATTGCAAAATGGCGGCGCGGGCGAGAGACCCGGGCGGAGGCCTTACCTCAATAAAAGCAACGATAACGGACCCGACCATCACAATGCTCGCGTTCAGCGTGGCCCAGAGCAGCAGAGAGAAGGACAAGCCGCCTGTCTTGGTGAATTTGTCAATATCTGAGGAAAGCAGGTTAAAAGGGGAAAACAATATCTGGCCATAGATTTGGGGAGAGGGCAGGATGTGTGTAAAACAGGCATGGGCGATATATCGACATATTGCCCAGGACCAGTATGAGAAGCAGACGGCGATGTTGGTTTCACTCAGCAGTATATCGAAGATGAAACCATTGCGCTCCCGAGTCCCTCTGCCAGCAGCGCAGCTTCATTCAGAGGGTGCTGCTAGCATGGGGATTCGGAAACACGGCGGTTTCACCAGCGATATACTGCTGAGTGAAATACGTATCACGGTCTCCTCCTCATACGGAGCAGAGGGAGAAACCAGCTGCATCGGTTCCTCCCTCCTAATTGGGGACTTCCCTGGCTTTTTTCTGGCCCACGTAGGACCAGTCTGGATAGTTGGCCTTGGTGAAGATTTGACGTTTTCATCCCCAAAAAAGTTTTTGATTTGAGTTTACTGAAAGGAGGCTGCATTTTAATGTTGTATTTTAATCCTGTTTTTAAGTTGTATTTTAATCAATTGTTTTTATACCTGGTGTTAGCTGCCCTGAACCCGATCTTGGCTGGGGAGGGGTATAAATAAATAAATTATATTATTATGGTGATTATTATTATTATCATCTTCGAACTGCTCGGCTGATAGGCGCCCGATTGCTGCTCCCTTCTGCCAAGCGTTTAGCGGAGCTCCCAGTCTGGCACTGGCTTGCCCAAGCCGGCAGTGGGGTGGGGGCTCCATGAAACTGTCCCCTCCCCATCTGAGCGACCCCGATCGCTCAGCAGGGGTGGGTGGGAGGCTTCTTCTATGCCCCAGCTGCACAAAGCCCGATGCTGCTGTGGTGTCAGATCGCTCAGATTGGGGGCCGGAAGAAGTCTCCCCCCACCGCATCTGAGGCTGCAGATGGAGTGGGGGGAACTTCTTCTAGGCTACAACTGACCAAACCCCGATGTTGCTGAGGTTTCAGGGCTCACTCAGCTGAAGTGGGGGGAGCCCCCCACCCCCCACTGAGCAGCAGCCTACATTGGCCCTAGCCTGCGAGGCGCTGAGGTGGAAGGGCCCCAGGTGAGAACAGCGGCCGCTTCACCCTGTGTCTAGCCCAGGCTTCCTCAGCCTTGGCCCTCCGGATGTTTTGAGACTACAATTCCCATCATCCCTGACCACTGGGCCTGCTAGCTAGGGATCATGGGAGTTGTAGGCCAAAAAAACATCTGGAGGGCCGAGTTTGAGGAAGCCTGGGCTAGCCGGCTGGGGCCAATGCAGCTTGTTTCAACATCACGGTATATTGCCAAACCACGACGTCTGGCTGTCTTTGGTGAAAAATGCTGAAAAATCTAACGTCACCCAGCCCTGGTGTAAAAGAAGGCAGGCCTCGGCTTGATACATTACAGTCATGTTAGTACTGGAATATGTTTTATACCTTTTCACCTACGTCCACCTGGTGCACTGCAGATATTCTGAACTCCAACTCCCATCAGCCCCATGCTTGCCATCCAAGCTATTCTGCCGCCATCAGGGATGGCGGAGGACACCATTTTTTCAAATTCCATTGCCTTTCTGGTTGGCTTTCATTCGCAGCACATGGCGAAGGAGCCCTCCTGTCCTTCGCCCGCAGGCAGCAAAACACCTCATGCCGGCCCTGCGCCAGGGGCGTAGGAAGGGGGGCGGTGGGGGCAGACCGCCCTGGGTGCCCTCACTGAGGGGGGTGGCATTCGGCACGCTGCCCGCCACTCCCAAGCCTACCCCAAGCCGTTGGGGTAAAGGTGGTGAGCTGCGCCGCTTTGCCGGCAGCATTCCCCACTTCCTCCTTCGTTCTGACAGCTCGGGGGAGGCTTGGGAGTTGTGGGCGGGCGGTGCCGAATGTCCGCCGTGGGGGCCTCGCTCCACCCCCACGAACGGCTCGCTCTGCCCCCGGCTGCAGGGTGCACGGGCCGCTCCGGGCACCCGAGCGGCTATCCCGTGCCTGGGTGGGCACCCTCCGTGCCATGCCCCCCTCGGGAGTGTGCCCACCTCTGCGACTGCCCTGCACTCAAAGGATACTGCCCTTTACCACTTTGTATTTCAGCCCAGCAATGTATTCCACCACAATGTCGATGAAGCAAGCAACGAGGCCGGTGAGGATCCCGATCATGGCGCAGATGACCCACCGCCGAATCTCCACCGTCCGGAACGCCTGCGTTCGAAGAAGTCGCAATCAGAGGGGTCTGCCTTATTATGCTGCTTCTTATTGACACGGTTCAATTTAAGAGCGGCCTAATATAAATCACCTCTCTATTAGGGGCATAATATTCAACTTTCATCTTAGGAAAGGCTATGGGAAACAGATTTGAAATTTTTGGTGCGCTGTGCATTGGAAAGAAAATTATATGAAAATGATAAATACCGTTGGTGTTTAACTCCCAGTAAGCTAACAAAAATGTATAAGACAGGTACAAATATCTGCTGGAAATGTAAACAAAAAGAAGGCACCTTTTATCATGTGGTGGTCTCGTAAGGTAATAAAAAGCATTCTGGGAAATGATCTATAATGAATTGAAAAAATGCTTAAAATAACTTTTATAAAAGTTATTATGTAGCTGGATGATGGCTTCCAATACTGACATTTTCTGTGGATTTTTGCATGGTTTTTATTGCAATGGATTGCTCTTTCTTCCCGATTTTACGTGATGCTTTAAAAAGTTTTGTAAGTCACTTAGAGGCTCTCTGTGTAGCAAGCGACTAATAAGCTGACTAAATAATACTGGGCTGTGTCAAACATGAGTCATAAGGAGTAGAAATCAAGGGATATTACATTATTTTCAGTGTGTCTACTCTGAGTAGAATGCAGTTGGATATCGCACAGCAACAAGAACAGATTAGGTTCCACTGTATTTTTAAAATGAGGACTTTTGGATGTGGGGAGGGAGGCGTACATATAACCAGATCTGAGATTTTGCAGGAGGAACCCCACAGCAATCCTTCGGCCCTGGAGATGGACTGACCGTATGTTTGATCCTCTTCTCTTCATCCAAGAACAGCTGGTTCTCACAGTTGTCATAGTCCAAGCTCTTAAGCAGCAAAAAAAGAGAGAGAAGGGAAGTGAGAAAATAGAAACAGGAAGCCGGGGAATGCAGCTTGCTCGGGAAAGGCTCACTTTGCCTCAAAACTTACTAAAAGCAGCACTTTCCAAGATTGCACCATCCCACCAATGCCCTCATGCAGCCTTGTATTCAAGTAGTAGTCACCTGATCGCCATAGGCGAACAGGAATTCCATGGAGGGCGAATCAGTGGAGGAAGGACAGAATATTCTTTACCTCCCTTGCGCCCTGCACTCAGAAGAATTGAAGCCTCTTCCTCCTTGCCCAGCACAGAAAAACAACCAAATGCTACAGCTTTTTATTAGTTTAACCAGTTGAATTATTAGTTAACAAGATTCATATAGATCCAGAGGGTCACAGGCTCCCCACCTCTGTGCAAAATAAGCAAACAAGGAGGAGCAGACCTCTCCATAACCTTTGTGGGTTTATTGTTTACAAAATCTGCTGGATAGCTCTCCTGGGTGGTGGGTAGATCTCTTGGGTTATAACAAACGTTCCCACCACCACACACATCAGTTCCTTTTCAGCTGGAACCTTAAGTTGGGTGCCCACCTCGTACTTGAGAGAGAGGACTTTCTCGCTGTGAGGGATCTCGTTAGGGTGCGCCCGAGGCGGATCCATTTCCTGCAAGACACAATCGCCACGATTCTTAACGCCGCCTGTCAAAAGCTGGGTTCGTTTTATTCTTTTATTTCACGAAATCAACACGCCACCTAGAAAACCTCAAAGTGGCTTGCAAAAATAATAAGAGCAGTGAGATCATTCATAAAAGCAATTAAAACATTCGAAAAATGGAAATCAGCAACAAGACCGCAAAACACCTCAGTGTTCTAAATACCTGGCTAGGGCTGAAGTGCAGCCTTCTCAAACTTGGTGAGCTCCAGATGGGAACCGTAATGCAGAACATCTGAAGGGCACCAGGGTGGGGGTTGTCTTATCAGCCCTCAACTTGGAAGCACAACCTCAGGGCCAGGGGCCAAATCTGGCCCTCCAGGCCTCTCCATGTGAACCTTGGGAGGGGTTGGTGTGAGAGAAGAGAAACTATCCTAGTGCATAAATAGGAAAAATTGCACGGGTTGCCCCGCCTATTTTTGCTTCTGGCCCCGCCCACCAGTGGCATGCGGTCCTCAGGAGGTTGTCCAGGAAGAAATGTGGACCTCGGGCTCGACAAAAAGTTTCTCCCTTCTCTAGAGCAGGCGTCAGCAAACTTTTTCAGCAGGGGGCCGGTCCACTGTCCCTCCTTGTGGGGGGCTGGACTATATTTTGGGAAAAAATAATGAACGAATTCCAATGCCCCACAAATAACCCAGAGATGCATTTTGAATAAAAGGACACATTCTACTCATGTAAAAACATGCTGATTCCCGGACCGTCTGCGGGCCGGATTTAGAAGGCGATTGGGCCGGATCTGGCCCCCAGGCCTTAGTTTGCCTACCCATGCTCTAGAGCAGTGTTTCTCAACCTGTGGGTCCCCAGATGTTGTTGGACTACAACTCCCATCATCCCTGAGCTCTGGCCTTGCTAGCTAGGGGTGATGGGAGTTGTAGTTCAACAACATCTGGGGACCCACAGGTTGAGAAAGGCTGCTCTAGAGGGTGCCCAAAATGTCCCCTCCGAGGCAGTTTCTGAGTGCTAGCCAGCGGCCTCTTGGCTCCCCCTCTGCAATTCTCACTTACTGGTTCATGTTCATCGTCGAGGTCCACGTAGCTCATGCGCCCGAGTCGCAAGGAAGAAGAGGACGGGGTGAGCTGAGGGGGCAAACAAACAGGCATGTCAGTGTACTAGTCAGAGGAATCAGCTACCAGGCCTCAGGTAAAGCCTCGTCCCTAGATGAAAAGGCAAGGTATTTTCATGGTCCTGTCCTTCCACAGTTGGTTACCAAATCCTTGCCATTTGGATTGCTGTGTCTGTAAATGGCTGGGTTAGCTGCATATGTGGATAGGAATGCAACATGAATACAGTGGTACCTCGGGTTACAGACGCTTCAGGTTACAGACTCCGCTAACCCAGAAATAGTACCTTGGTTTAAGAACTTTGCTTCAGGATGAGAACAGAAATTGTGCGGCTGCAGCGCAGCGGCAGAGGGAGGCCCCATTAGCTAAAGTTGTACCTCAGCTTAAGAACAGTTTCAGGTTAAGAACGGACCTCCAGAATGAATGAAGTTCTTAACCCGAGGTACCACTGTATGTATATATTTAAAATAAATGTTACTATGATTAATTTTATTTCTCACGAACCGTTCCCCCAAGGGGAAGGTCACAAAAGTTTTAAAAATCAATATTAAAAAGAATCTAAATGAACTGCAAGGACAAGAAAATTGTTGATAGGTTTATTATCTTTTTCGTAAACCACTCTGAGGTTTTTGTTTACAGTTAAGCAGTGTATAAATTGCATTAAATAAATATGAAGAGGGTTGGTCCTGTGAATATATGTTTGTGTGTGTACATACATACATGTGTGTGTGTGTTCAGTTAAACATCTGGCTAGTTCAGATGACAACCTTGAGCTAGGGTAAGAACACTGAGAACTTAAAGAATAAAAGTCACTTTATCCAGGGGCAGTGCACATATATATTGGCCCATTCTAGCCTATTTTTCTTAATGGTGACTGCTTCTGCTCAGAAAAAGCATTTTGGTTCCAGAAATGTATTCTGATTGTACAGATAAAATTCTACAGGATGTGCTGCTAGTGTGTGAAAACAGTCCAGATCCAACGATCCCAAGGCATGCACCTCTAGATTACAGAGATGTCAGGTGCCATACTTGCGCCCAGGCATCTTCACTTGGTTGCAACTGGCTGATTAAAAGGTAAAGGGACGCCTGACAGTTAAGTCCAGTCACAAGCGACTCTGGGGTTGCGGCGCTCATCTCGCTTTACAGGCTGAGGGAGCCAGCATTTGTCTGCAGACAGCTTCCAGGTCATGTGTCCAGCATGACTAAGCCACTTCTGGCGAACCAGAGCAGCGCATGGAAACGCCGTTTACCTTCCCGCCGGAGTGGTACCTATTTATCTACTAGCACTTTGACATGCTTTCAAACTGCTAGGTTGGCAGGAGCAGGGACCAATCAAAGGGAGCTTACCCCGTCGCAGGGATTCGAACCGCCAACCTTCTGATTGGCAAGCCCTAGGCCCTGTTGTTTAGACCACAGCGCCACCTGTGTCCAAGTGGCCAATAGCTAAGTGCAAAATGTGCCTAGCGCCTGGCTTATTTAGAACACTGATTTTCAACCCCTCCCTCAGTCTGTGGCTTCTATCCAATGTTAGAACCCTTGAAATTAACAGACATGACTCATTTATTCTATCCATTCCAATGGGTCTACTCAGAGTAGGACTGCACCACTTTGTGCTGTTGTCCTTTTATATATTAACTGTGCGTCAACCTGGATGTTATGAAACTCAAGGGAGGGGCATTGAAATAATTTTAGAAGGAAAAAAAACAGAAGGAAAAAACAAAACATGTAATGCTGAAGGAATTTAAGACATCATAATTCAGATAATCCTTCTCCTTATGCAACGAAAACAAAGCCCACGGAAGTCTTTTTGTCAACCGCTTTGAGGTTTTATTACAATCAAGCAGTATATAATTTTTAAGAAATAAAATGAAAAAGCAACGATCTATGTCAACTGGAAAGGAGTCAACATCAGCAAGTCACAGCTTGCTAGTCTGAAAGGCAAGAACTTGAATGAGAGGCGCTGAATTTCCAGTTCTTGGTCATGGGTCACTCAGTTCACTTCAAGCTTAAAAAGGGGGTTAAAGAAATTTTAAAATGCTGGCTGATAACTGCTCTGCACAGCATCAGAGCGCTTGGGAAACAAAAGAATTCAAGGGAGCACAAACCATCACAATTCCCAGCATCTGCTTATATAGACACACAGAGAGAAAGCATTTCACCTTTCCAAGTCAAACGCGGCATCCTAAAATGGATGGACTTGGCTCCCAGTTCCCTAGAGCAGTGTTCCCCAACCTTGGGCCTCCAGCTGTTTTTGGACTACAACTCCCATCATCCTTGACCACTGGTCTTGCTAGCGAGGGATGATGGGAGTTGTAGTCCAAAAACAGCTGGAGGCCCAAGGTTGGGGAACACTGCCTAGAGAACTTCCTGAGCAGCCAGGAAGAAACTCAAACAATAGCAAAGCTTTGGGGCAGAGGGGCACATCTGGAACAAGACAATCTCCTGGTCTTGGAGCTGTACGATTGGGGTGGAGGGGCAGAGGCCCCAAAGCTCAATTTGGGATGCAGAGATGTGCAACCATAATCCCCATATTTAGGCCGTGCGACAGTCTGTTCCGAGAGCGATTCCTCCTCAATTCTTAATTTATTAAGTGGGCTGGCAAACTGCCAAGCAAGCAAAATGATGTGCAAACTGTTCACAATCAAGGAGTTCTAAGGCAGTGTTCTTCATCCAGGCCTTTTATGATAGATTCCCTGATGCTGGAGCTTTTAGTTCTGATCATTCAAGATCTCAGAGGTAGAAGTAAGCACTCTGTCAAGCTCACTTAGGGGGAAAAGGGAATTCCTGAGCAGCAGGAATAATACTAACATATGTACGTGCTGCTTTTTTCCTGCCATAGTCTTCCAAAAGCAGCTGACAACAATTTTGTTGTTGTAAATATTTCAGAAAAAAACAGATTTGCAGAGATAAAAACAGTCTCAGAAGGCCAAAGAAACAACACATTTATTGTGGGAAATTTCCTCTTTCGAGGTAAGGCACGTGAAGCCTGACTGCCAACATGTGACATTCCAAAATATAATGCAACACTTTGACTTGGTTAAGAAGGGAATGTATTTTAGCTAGGGGGGTAAATCACAGTGTTTCATATATTTAACCACACCGCTGCCAGCTTGACCTCATGAGACTCCAAAAGGACCGAGACAACTGCTTTGCACTCATAGCAAGACTGGGAACGATCAAATCAATTGTTGAGTGTAAAGTCTCCATGTTTATAATGTCAACACTCAGGGGAAGCTGGGAGCTGCTCCTTCAAAACTCTGAATGGGTTGAAACAAGAGGGTGGTTATTACAACTTGCAGAGACACAACTCCCTAGCTGGGAGCCTGAAATGGGGAAATGCCCGACTTTTGCAAAACTGTCCATCAGCTAATTGCTAGGGCTTTGGGCGCTTTGAGACCAGAACTATTCAGTCCCCAGGACCCAGCTGATGATTGGTGCTGAGAAAAGGTCACTATCTATCAGTGTTAGAAACTGAGATATGAAAGCTAGGAGCTAAATGACACCTTAAACCTAGGTTACGGGCACAACAACAGAATGTCTAGGCACACTATTTTAATAACAAGAATACAGTGGTGCCTCGCAGGACGAAATTAATTCGTTCCACGAGTTTTTTCATCTTGCGGTTTTTTTCGTCTTGCGAAGCACGGTGTTGGAAAAGTTTTGGAAAAGCTTCAAAAATCACCAAAGTCTTCAAAAACCTCAAAAAAGGCTACCACACCGCATGCTATGAGTTGCTCCTCGAAGTCAAGTCGCAACTGTATTAACGGTTTTAAGAAAAAGGAAACAAACTTGCAAGACGTTTCCGTCTTGCGAAGCAAGCCCATAGGGAAAATCGTCTTGCGAAGCAACTCAAAAAACCAAAAACCCTTTCATTTTGCGAGTTTTTCGTCTTGCGAGGCATTCGTCTTGCGAGGTACCACTGTACTGTACAAAGCTGAAAATGAATGAACTGCAGCTAAAATATTATGTTCATTTTTCACATGGTCTAGTCCTTCCTTCCCCTGCTCACTCCCCTAATATTCTTCTCCGGTTTTCAGAGAGTAGCTAGAAGTGGAGAGGCAGAAAAAGGTCCTCCTTTCCTTCCAGTCTGCAGTTTTAATCTGAAATCTTAGGAGCAGTATTGTGTCCAGAGCTCCCTGGGTCAACCTAATGTAGCTCACAGGATAGGTGTAGTCAGGGGGGACAGGGGAGGGCTGCCCCCCCAAATCAAGTAAATAAATAAAAATACTCAAAGAGAAACTGCAGAAAGATTTTGACAGATTTTTCTGAACAATCGGAGTCAAAAGAAAATAATTTGAAACCACTGCTGTCGAGACATTTCCTTCTGATTTTGCTAGACACAGCCAGGAATAGGGTGATTTGGGTGTCCTGCCCCAACCCCAAACTTAAATCCTGGCTACACCCCTGGCTCACAGGATTGTATAAATGAGGAGGTGGGGAAAGTAAAGTATGCTGTCTTGAGCTGGTTGTTAAATGCAATAAACAAACGAACACAAGAAGCAGGCAAAATTGTGGCCAGACCAATAGCCCATCCAGTTTCAGACAAGTGATGGTCACTGCCATAACTTTAACGTAACAGTCCAGTCTTCATGCTTCGGAATAATGGTCTAAATTAAGTAAGCACATAGGTCATTGTTTTATACTGAATCTGAGCATGGGTCTGCCTATCTGCACCAACTGGAACTCTGGGTTTTTCGACAGGCAAAACCCAGCCCTACCTGGATGCCAGACGTTGAACGTGAGACCTTCTGCATGCAAAGCAGATGCTCTAACCACTGAGCTTAGAGCCCCTTCCCTATAGACCAGCAAACAGTACACTTATAACTCACCTCTGAAACCACCTGGGGAATCTGTAACTGGGGAAAAGGATGCTCGTCTAGGTCAGGCTAGAGCCAAGCTGGGCCAGGACGAAAGAAAGCGCAAATCCAGGAACCAGACTCACCAGCCTCGGATGCACCTGAATGTGGAGGCTGCAGACCCCGCTCAAATTCATTACCAAACCCCACACATGCGCTGGTTGCCTTTTATCAGGGAGCCCTGCACACAAGACCTGCAAAGTGGCCACCCGTTTCCCCTGACGTGTGAGGGGGAAGCACTTTGCACATGCTCAGAGCACGCGTTATACTTGCTTTTACTTATTTGTGTATTCAGAATGTTTATATGCTGCCCCCTCACCCGAGATGACAAGGCACCCGAGATGTCATGCGTGTCACAGCTGTGCCATGGAACTGAGAATGCACCCTGGGTCCAAGCAAAGGTGACAACGAAGCCACGAAAGAGCAGGTGACACGGGCTGCCCCTTTGCTCGTGTCGTAGGATTTTACGGTTGGAAGGGACCCCAAGGGTCATCTAGTCCAACCCCCTGCAATGCAGGAATAATACAGACAGACTCCATCCCCACCCCACCCCTCAGCAGTGTTCGGGTCCAGATGGATCAGGCCAGAGGCCCCTTTCAACCAAGCAGCCTGCCTCTAGTAGAGGCAGCGGCCAGTCACACACACACAAGCAGGCAGACACAGGCAGGCAGCACACACACACACACCCCTGGCCAGTCCAGAGGCAGCCACAGAGGGGGATGACTGCCCTGCAGAAGGGGCTCCTGGACTCAACAGCTACTGAAACAACTCCCCGGCCTGGAGGCGAGCCTTTCAATTCTTCATTCCGGAAAGGCACTCTGGACATGCTCAGGAACACCGCCCCTCCCACCCCCACCAATCGAGCCCTTGGGGAGGCCGACTCCAGTCTTCCTTTCACATCTGTCAGGCGGACGAGCAGAGTTTTACAACAATAACGTCCCGGGGCAGCAGGAAAGTAGACTTCGCCTGCTGCTGGAGGCTCCCCGGCTCGGCGCTCACCTGGCGGGGCGGGGCGGCGGCCCCTCCGCCCGTGCCGTTGAGCAGCGGCGTGGCCTCGCCTTGGCCCTCCGCCTCGCCCTCCCGGCCGGACCACGACACCATCTTGGCCACGTTCGCCATCGCCCGTCCGGCCAGCGGAGACAGGAGGCCGGGGATGCCCCGCGCAGAAAGCACGAGCCAGCGGTCATGTGACCCGTCCCCGCAGCCGGCGGAGGAGCACGTGACTCGCCTCCAAAGCCCCGCCCCGACTCCCCTTCCCGCGGCATCATGGGAGTTGTAGTCCTCAGATTCCCCCCCAACCCCTGCACTTTTTGTGTGCTTTCATTCCTGGGCAGTATTAGTATAGACTTTCACTTTTAGTGCTTATCATTTTTATAACGTTTTAAATTTTTAATCTGACCAGTCTTTGATCATGTTTATTTTTTTGATTTTATCCTGAGCATGTGCAGAGCGCATTCCCCGGGAATCGTTGCAGCAGTTCCTGAGCCCCTGCGTCTTTTCTCTCTGTTTTCGGTACGAAAATAAATAAAAGCACCCTGTGAGAGACATTGACTCCCAACAAAAAAATTATGGCAGTTTGTTTCATTTTTTTTAATGCTGTGAACTGCCCTCGGATCTTCGGAGGAAAGGAGGCATACAAAGCTAATAAATAAATAGCGGACCCACCAAGTCCCTATTTTCCAGGGACATCCCTGATTTATAGCAGTCTTCCCGGAATGGCCCACTTTTCCTTAGGATGTCCCTATTTTCATTGGAGAAATGTTGGAGGGTATCAAGTTATCCAACCCCCCAAGCTGTCTGAAGGCAATCTTGTATAGGGAAGGTTTTTTTATGTTTTATTATGTTTTTGTATATGTTGGAAGCTGCCCAGAGTGGCTGGGGCAACCTAGGAAGAGATGTGGTATATAAATAGTAAAATTATCATTATGGAATGGGACATCCCTATTTTCACTGGAGAAATGTTGGAGGGTATGAAATAGACAATTTCAATGCAGAAAACCAGCCAGGCAACAACTTTGCATGATTTATTCCTGAATTATGTCCAATCCCATTATAGATGTGATTAGTTGTGGCTGATACCTTGACAACCTTCACCAACCGGATGCCCCCAGACATCTGGAGGGCACTAGGTTGCCAAAATCTGTCTCATAGGAGCACCCAAAATAATCTCGGCTTGGAGCATCTGAAACTTTGATATACTTTGGAGGGTTTTGTGAGATTCTGGGTGTCTCCCGCTCCAGCCAGCCAGGGGTAAGCCCCAGAGCATTTTATTTTACAAATCATAAATGAATTAGGAAGCGCTGAAAAGACACTCCTAGGTTTTAAAGCACATTTGAAGCACATTCCCAACTCCCTCAATGAATTCTGGGCACTGTAGTTTACCCCTCAGTTAAAACTCCTGGCAGCCCTCCACAAACTACAGTGCCCAGAATTCTTTGAGGTAAATAATGTGCTTTGAATGTGCTTTAAATGTATGCACCCACAATCTGAGAGTCTTCACTGTTGCTCAGATCTGCCAGCCATTCTCCTGTCCTGCTGCTGCAGAAGGATGGGTCAATCTATGGGTTTCTCTCCATTTCTTATCCCACCCCCCATCTCAAATTTAGTTCTCCACATTTGCAATTACTATTTTTCAAAGTCCTCGTGCGTAGATTTCTCCCAACTAACACATTTTTGTATGCACTTTTCACTAATCGCATATCTTTGCAAAGCCGTTTGCCATAATACAGCACACTTTTGCATGTTATTTTCGCTAATTTAGGCATGCTTTATCCTTGTCTTATGTGTTTTCTGTACTTTACTTTGTGTTTGAGTACCCGTACTGCTTTGGAAAGTATGAATTATGTAGATTTGAATGTGAACTGAATCAATTCCCCCCACCAACCACCTTGTTCCTGTTCAGAAGCGAGAGGCCTCCCTGCTCCCCAGCAACTCCTTTGAACCGGCCCATCTGTCTGGGAAAAACCTGGTGAGGGTGGAAAGTCCAGTGACTGGACATGAACCAGCAGGATGAATGATCTTGAGTCACCAAAACACCAACCTGACCTTCTTGCCTCTTGCTTCCATTTTTCTCCTTCCAATCACTTGCTTTCTACAGACCTGGCACCGTTCTCAAAGGCGAGGGAAAGAGCACGAGAAGCGGCTTTGAAAACAAGGCTAAGGAAGGAACCTCTGCCTCTCTTGATCTAGTCGTACTCCACCTCCCATCAGCCTTAGCCAACACGGCCATTGGTTGGGGTTGATGGGAGTTGTAGTCCAGCAACATCTGGAGAGTAGCAGGTTCCCCACTCCTGACCCAAGTGGATGGATCTGTCTTGGCAGCTGTTAATTCATATTTACTTAGAAAATGGATGGGAAACCTATTGTCTCACTGTGGCGGCAAAGCACGGCCTTCATGGCTAGTAGCCATCAATAGCCTTATTTTCCATGAATTTACCTAATTCCTTTTGAAAGCCATCTAGGTTGGTGGCCCTCATTGCCTCCTGCAGGAGTGAGAGCCATAAAAACAGAATTGTAGAGTTGGAAGGGACCCCATGGGATCATCTAGACCAACCCCCTGCAATGTAGGAATCTTTCTCCCCAGTGTGGGGCTCAAACCCACAACCCTGAGATTAAGAGTCCTTCCTTTTATCTGTCCCAAATCTTGCAACGTTTGGCGTCATTGGACACCCCTTGAGTATTAGGAGAGATGGCCTTTGGTTTGGACTCAGTCTGACCCTTAAGTTTCCCTCCCCTTAAGGTCTTGATTTATCGGCTACTTTTAAAATGAGGCTGCATTTTAAATTGCATTTTAACCTGTATTTTAAATTGGTTTTTTCTCCCCTTTTCTTTCCCCCCCATTATGTTTTTACTGTGATTTTATTGGTGCTAGCTGCCCTGAGCCCACCTCTGGCTGGGGAGGGCGGGGTATAAATAAAAATCTATTATTATTATTATTATTATTATTATTATTATTATTTACACCTCTGTCATGTCCCCTCTTCAACACCTTTTCTCTAAGCTAAAAAGTCCCAGACGCTGCAATTTTTCTCCATATAGAAGTCTCTCCATTCCTACTCTGAACCTTTTCGGATTCTACAGCATCCTTCTTGAGGTGAGGAGACAAGAACGGTACACGGTATTCCAAACGCAGCTAGATAAAAACAGATAGATAGAAGCCAGAGCAACAATAATGAGAGGAGAATATAGTGGGTCTCTCCAATATGTATTTCACTTTATACAATACAGCAAAATTAAACATGGCTTGGGGCTGTGGAAGCAGAGAGCAGCGGGGCTGCAACCGGACAGGAGAAGTACAAAATGGGTGGGAAACCTGGGAGAAGATCATAATTGTCCAGCTGGAAGGAGCTTATTGCTATATTTCTTTCAGGATTATCTTTGCCAGTTATGAAGCCTAACTTTCCAGTAGACATGGCAGGACTTTACATTAAATTTGCAGCGGATGCTTCTGCTTAGTCGTCCTCTCCAGTACAGCTGTGTTTGGAGCAATAAGCAAGAATGTTATCTATTTTTAAAAGAAGGAATGGGGATGAACGCTGGAAGGAAGAGTCAAATTACATGTGATGGGCAGTTCCCTGATTCCTTCCACTATTTTTTTTAAAATGAAAAGCAGTCAATGGGAGGCTGTGTCTGGAGGGCTGGCTTAACCCTTTTATTTACTTACTATCTCCTCCCTGCTCAAACCTGCCTCACCCCAGCTGCTTTTCTGCTCATAAGGGGAGAGAGAGACGGATCCTGTATATTTTCCCCTGCAGCAAAAGGGGAGAGGGGGGAATTTGGAGTCAGGAGGCGGGTTAAGCAGCCACTTGCTGCACAAGTCCTCTGTTTCCAACTTGGCCTGCTTTTTTCACAGCTGCTTTTCATTTAACAATAATAGTTTTTTAAACCCTAACTGTATCCATGCACTGCACACCATGTGTTGTTTAGTCGTGTCCGACTCTTCGTGACCCCATGGACCAGAGCACGCCAGGCACTCCTGTCTCCCACAGCCTCCTGCAGTTTGGTCAAAATCATGCTGGTAGCTTCGAGAACACTGTCCAACCATCTCATCCTCTGTCGTCCCCTTCTCCTTGTGCCCTCCATCTTTCCCAACATCAGGGTCTTTTCCAGGGAGTCTTCTCTTCTCATGAGGTGGCCAAAGTCTTGGAGCCTCAGCTTCAGGATCTGTCCTTCCAGTGAGCACTCAGGGCTGATTTCCTTCAGAATGGAGAGGTTTGATCTTCTTACAGTCCATGGGACTCTCAAGAGTCTCCTCTAGCACCATAATTCAAAAGCATCAATTCTTCGGCGATCAGCCTTCTTTATGGTCCAGCTCTCACTTCCATACATCACCACTGGGAAAACCATAACTTTAACTATTCGGACCTTTGTCAGCAAGGTGGTGTTTCTGCTTTTTAAGATGCTGTCTAGGTTTGTCATTGCTTTTCTCCCAAGAAGCAGACGTCTTCTAATTTCGTGACTGCTGTCACTATCTGCAGTGATCATGGACCCCGAGAAAGTAAAATCTCTCACTGCCTCCATTTCTTCCCCTTATATTTGCCAGGAGGTGATGGGACCAGTGGCCATGATCTTCATTTTTTTTATGTTGAGCTTCAGACCATATTTTGCGCTCTCCTCTTTCACCCTCATTAAGAGGTTCTTTAATTCCTCCTCACTTTCTGCCATCAAGGTTGTGTCATCTGCAGATCTGAGGTTGTTGATATTTCTTTACACCATGTGTACTTTGAGCCAAATATTCAGCCTTTCTGAGTCATGGGCTGGATGTTTCTGAGCAGAATACGGCCCTGGAAGGCCATGTCCCCCCACCCTCCACCCCTATGAAACTGCAGAGTGGCATGACTGCCAAATGTATTTTTTACATAGGGAAAGAAAAGTGCCAACATCACTACACTGTGGCACTGGGAGAGAAATATTGTGGGGTCTTCAGGTCATCCATCTTGCAGTACTGATACCTGGATAAGAGGAGGCAGAAAACAGGGGCAGGCGTTGAGGTACAGAGGGATGAACGTGTCCTTTTCAGTTTCCCATTTTTTCAATCTTAAATTCAGTTCTCCACGTTTCCACAACAATGTGCAGGTTTTTGCTGCTGAATCCATGAAAATCCACCAGTTTTGCATGCAGTTCTTCTAATTACTATGCCCATTTTGGCAAGCATTCACCCGCCCCTCAAAGCAATGCAACGTCATATGCTATTTTCACTTACGTATACATCTCCACGCACTCTTTAAGTATATGCATTTTCGGACACGTCGTTTGGTTAAAGAATCACATCGCAAAATTCGGACGACCGTGGATTTCAAAGGATTGCTGTTTCAGTTCATGTATTGGTTCGAGAAGTTGGAATCGGGCCATTTCTCATCGAAATGCAAGCAAAATCAAATTCCATCCCTGCCCTAGGCCGAGGTGGGGAATCCAAGCACACTGCTCAGTTCATTGATAAGATGATACACAGGCAGAACACTGTAGCTGCTGTATAAGGGATTGCGATGAATATTGAAATGTAATTGGATTAAATAAGTCTTTGGAAGCAGAATTAAATGAAATTATCTTACCTTGAAATCTAGCACGCGGGGGGCTATCTAAAACGTGTAATTGGCATTTTAAGTGATTGATATTTGAATTGGAATGGCAATTTGGTATTGATATAATGTGGCATATATTGGATTTTTGTAATTGAAAATAAATTTAATTTTTTTTAAAAAAAGAAAAGAAAGATAAGATGATGTACAAGCTACCAGGAAGTCCTCCTGCACAAGCCCCATTGACTAAATTGTTGTCGTGTTTGCTACGTCTTGACTTCTCCTGCTTCCCACTATTCTGCAGTGGTGCTGTTAAGAGGTGTGTTGTTGCTGCCACTGCAGCTTCAGCAACTGGACAAAAAATGCATTGGCAGTACATAGCCAAAAACCAGACAGGATCTACCCAGCTTTCACTCTCAACATGTCAGTTTGGTTCTTGAAACTCGCTTGCCCATTTTTTACAATCAATCCAGAATGAGACTGAAGCGGCAGGAGGCTGAGGGGGAGAAACGGCAAGTCTGTCTTCAGAGGTGAGGCCCAGAGGGCTGGAGGCGCTTCCAGAATCCGGACTGCTGCTATTTTCTGGTGGGATTCAATCACATACCAGCAATTAACATGGATCTGGTGCTCTTACAAACCCACTTTAAAAAATAAATCAGACTTTTTTAGTAGCAAGGACAGTCAAATGCACTGGGAAACTGTGGAATATCGAGTACTTGATGCAACGTGATAAAACAGTTAGAAAGGATGCTGAAAAACTAGCTGACGTTGTCTAACCTGCTGCCAGATTGAGTTTGTTATCCGGACGGACAATGCTTTGTCAAACTAAATGCACCAGGTGTTTGCTTTCAAACCAGGTCAGCTGGAAGTAACCAGAGACTATCAAAGGGGCTGGAGGGATGAAATTGCAAGGGCAGAAGGAGGGCAGGTACCGGAGAGCTAAACGCCAGGGAAGGGAACGATCGCCAACACTTTGTGGTGTAAACTGCGTTCTGAATAGACAGTGCTGAGTTGAGCTCCAATCCATTGTGCTGTTTGCTGAGAGCTCATTTATCTGTTTCTTGCTGGCTTCTGAACCTGCTGGTGGCGGCGGCGGGAGCTATCTGCCTCCGAGGCGGCCACAGCATCCTTCAACAATATCTTTGCCACATTATACTTCAGGAGAAGCGGCGCCCCAACCCCACCCTGCTCCCAAGCTCATCCTAGCTGCCTGGGTTGCAGGTTGCCCTGTGTGGGTATGAAATGGGGAGAATTACAGGCAGTGTTCGAGGCAAGTGCAGTTCACCTTCTGCAGCGCTCCGTGGAGGGCAGAGATGTTTGCCAGGGTGAAGATTGTGCCACGGGGCAGGCCTCTCCCGATGGCGATGCCTGAGACCTCTCCGGGGGAGAGCGCGCGATCCCATATGGCAAGGCCGGCCAGGTAGCCCACAAAAGACTCCGAGGGTTCGAACCCCCCACCCATTGTGTCTTGCTCCTGACCCAATACAAGAGACCCTTTGGGGGGAATCTCGTAGCCCTTCTGGAACTTGGAGCCCATGGAAGCCAACCTCCTGTCCACATAGAACCAGTATCGCCCCTGGATGGAGGACCAGATGACACAGATGTGGTGCCACTTGCCATCCAGGATCCGTCCCACCGGCAGCTCCCGAAAAGCAGGGTCGCCAATGACAAAGTGGATGGAGTTCCGGGGTGCAGCATCGCGACCGTGGAGTACCAGCTTATTGTCATTATCCTCAGTGGCATAAGACAGGATGGTGCCCAGGTAGTTGGCACTGGTGCTCACCCAGCTACAGAGGCTCAGTTCAAGCAGGCCAGCCTGGAAACCTGGCGCGAACGTGGCAAAGTTCTCTGTGGAAGCGTTAGGGAAAAACAGCATGGAATCCACGTTGCAGACTGTGGGGAAAGAGAGAGAAAGAGGCGATCAAGCCTACAAGTTTAACATATGCCAAATCTGGGAACTGCCCCTGCCCGAGACCAATAGCACTGCTCATCTGAGATATAAAGTTAAGGACCAACATTTCAATTATTTGTGAAATTTTATCAATATGTTGAAAAATTAGGCTTTGCAAAAGGCAGAAGAATGGCTGAGAGCGTAAGTAAATTCATAAAAGTTACTTAAAGGTAAAGGTAAAGGGACCCCTGACCATTAGGCCCAGTCGTGACCGACTCTGGGGTTGCGGCGCTCATCTCGCTTTATTGGCCGAGGGAGCCAGCGTACAGCTTCCAGGTCATGTGGCCAGCAAGACTAAGCCGCTTCTGGCGAACCAGAGCGGCGCACGGAAACGCCGTTTACCTTCCCGCCAGAGTGGTACCTATTTATCTACTTGCACTTTGACGTGCTTTCGAACTGCTGGGTTGGCAGGAGCAGGGACTGAGCAACGGGAGCTCACCCCGTCACGGGGATTCGAACCGCCGACCTTCTGATCAGCAAGTCCTAGGCTCTGTGGTTTAACCCACAGCACCATCCGCATCCCTAAAAGTTATTTACATGGTTTAAAAATCAAAAGAATGGGAGCATTTCTTTTTTATGGACGCTGAAAAAGCATTTGACCACATTAAATGGCCATTTTTAAAGCAATATTGGAACTATGGGGATGTAGTCCAATAGTTAGACAAAGGATAAGTATAGATTCTGCATACTCTCTCAGCTAATAACTCGGCCAATGGATGCTCATAAGAAAAATTTACTCTCTCTAGAGCTACATGTCATGGATGCCCTTTGTTGCCAGTATTATTTATATTATCTGTGGAGCATTGGTCTAAACCACTGAGCTTAGGGCTTGCCGATCGGAAGGTTGGCAGTTCGAATCCCCGTGATAGGGTGAGCTCCCATTCCTCGGTCCCGGCTCCTGCCAACCTAGCAGTTCGAAAGCACCTCAAAGTGCAAATAGATAAATAGGTACCACTCCGGTGGGAAGGTAAACAGCGTTTCCGTGCGCTGCTCTGGTTTTGCCAGAAGCGGCTTAGTCATGTTGGCCACATGACCTGGAAAAACTGTCTGTGGACAAACATCGGCTCCCTCAGCCAGTAAAGCGAGATGAGTGCCGCAACCCCAGAGTCGTTCGCGACTGGACTTAACTGTCAGGGGTCCTTTACCTTTTTTTTTTAAGCCGTTAGCTATAGCTTTAATAACGGCACTTTAATAAAGTGGGCAGATGCCTGGATATGTCCGAAGGAATGCTTTAAATGTATGGTGTGGATGGGACCCGAATTGTTCCCTCTCAGGGTAGATACTCCAGAAGAGAGGTTCCAAAGACCAAAGGTGGTAAGGGAATAATCGAACTGTTGAGTTGGAAGAGACCATGAGGGTCATCTAATCCAACCCCCTGAAACACAGGAATCTTTCGCCCAGTGTGGGGCTCAAACCCACGGCACTGAGGTTAAGAATCTCATGCTCTACTGACTGAGCCATCTCCCTGGTCACAAAGTCTCCTTCAAGCTACCAATGGCTATCGACTATACAGCACTGCTGCTATTACCACCTCTGGGTAGCTTAGCAGGGCCATTCTGGCAGGATAAACCTGGTTCAGCTCATCTACACATACTTGTCCCTGGTTTCTGAGGCGCCTCTGACTGCGACTGCTCTTCAGGGGCCTTGTCTACGACCGCTTGCTGTTGCCTGAGCCCTTGTGGCTCCTGCAGATGAGGCTGTTCCGCTTCTGCCTCCTGCTGCTGCGGAGCTTCCTGACCCGGAGGCGATCCGCTCTGCAGCCCTCTGCCCTGAGACTGGGCTGCAAGCCGCGTGCTCGCCTGGAGCAGTTTCTTCCTCTGGCGATGCTTCCCATGGAGCTTTTTCACGGTAGGGTTCTGCCCGCCGGCTGCCTCTGGTTCCTGCTCTTGGGGGACCCGGTTCAGCAGCTGAGCCGCAGTTAGGGGGTTCGGCAGAAGGACCTCATTGTGCACGGGGTTCTTCAGCTGCTGCTCCAACTCATCCAGCTTGCTCCCCTGGCTTTTGAGGGCATCCTGAAGACTCTCCAGGGCTTTCTGGAGGATCTGTTGGCCAGCGTGCACGGCCTGGGTGTCCTCTCGATGGCTCTCGACTTCTTGGGTTAAGTTGGCCAGGAGCGCTCTCTCCTGCTGCCTCTCTGCCGCCTTCTCGCGGTCCCTCTCGCGCAAGGCTTCTTCCAGGGCTTCCAACTTTGAGTCTTGCTTCTTGCCCTTGTTCTGCAGCTTCTTCACCAGAGCTTTCAAGTGGCTCAGCTCCTCCTGCGTGGCTGCGTGGCTCTCATTGGCAGCGGACTCCAGGCCCTGGTGCTTGCTCAGCAGCTGCTCAAACTTGGCGTCAATGTTGTAGGAGACGTTGTAATTCCCAGCAATCTCCTGAAGGCGCATCAGGGTGACCTCCTGGAACCGCCGGAACTGGAAAACAGTTAGGGTGAGGGGGGAATGGAGAAAAACCCAGTGTCATGTACTGAGTTGAATAGGATCCAAAATGCAGCAGTCTGATTGGTCCTAGAACAATAGGATTCAGAATGCAGCAGTCTGATTGGTCCTAGAACAATAGGGTCCAGAATGCAGCAGTCTGATTGGTCCTAGAACAATAGGATTCAGAATGCAGCAGTCTGATTGGTCCTAGAACAATAGGATTCAGAATGCAGCAGTTACTGATTGGTCCTAGAACAATAGGACCCAGAATGCAGCAGTCTGATTGGTCCACAGGAGCCACCCAATCCAGCTCTAGGTAGAAGTGAATCCGCAACCTGACTGGCCTACAGGAGAATCCCAGAATTAGCCAATCACGTGGGGCCCATTGTGTAAATAATGTATATAAAGCAGACATTCTGGGGAAACTTCCATTCCTCCTCACCACTATGAGCTGAATAAAGAGCATGAAATCCATTCTCGACTCTGAGTATATTTCACCCAGTTAGGTTTCTGGAGGGCTCCTAGAGAGGCTGAGGAATGTGAGGCACACTGCAGATCCAGACTTGCATCAGCAAAGGGTTGAGGGAAGGGGCAGAGAATGAAAGGTGGCCCTTAAGTACTTTCTATCTGGCCCCCAGCACTATCTCCAGATAGGAACAGGGGAGAAATTTGATGCAGCTTGCATTGAAAGGCAAGCCGACTTAATTTGCAATTTTGGAAGCAAGCTGCAAGCCAAAACGCAGCCCTCCTTCAAAATTCTCCCTATTTTGCAGTGCGGTTGTCCAGCCAAGTACAGTGGTACCTCGGGTTACAAACGCTTCAGGTTAGAGACTCCGCTAACCCAGAAATAATGCTTCAGGTTAAGAACTTTGCTTCAGGATGAGAACAGAAATTGTGCTCCGCCGGCACGCCGGCAGCGGGAGGCCCCATTAGCTAAAGTGGTGCTTCAGGTTAAGAACAGTTTCAGGTTAAGAATGGACCTCTGGAACAAATTAAGTACTTAACCCGAGGTACCACTGTACAGGCCGCTCCCGGTTTAGGCGCGTCTGAACGATGCACAATTGCACACATGTGCATGGCGCCAAACATAGAAGTAGCTCCAAAATGTCATGAAAAGAGATGGAGCTGGACGGAGCAGACTTATTGAGGTCACTCCCAGGAGCATGGCAGTCTGATGCGCGCTTGTGAAATGGGTTGAGTGAGATCTTAGGATCTGGAGGCAGGGTTACATTTTTCCACTGGACTCCTTGGAGCCCATGAATTCACTCAACTCTATTTATATCTCTACAGTAAGGGCTGCCGTTATTTATAGTGTTAACTGGAAACCATTCACGAGTGACTTATACTCATAAACGGGTTTATTTTGCTATTTCTGATCCAAAACGCTTCACGTCATTATTTCCTAGCTGACAAGCTCCCTTGGGGAACCTTCAAAAGTTCCTCAAAGGTTGTGAGTTCCTGATAGGCCAGGAATTGGAATCCTGGTGCCCTGGAGGTGCGGCTGAGCTCTGGCTCGCCATCAGCCTCTGGCCAGCATGACCAATGGTCAGGGACGATGGGAGTTGTAGTCCAGCAACATCTGGAGGGCCAAAGGTCCCCCAACCCTCTGGAAATCAATAGGTAAATGGTTATGGAGACTGTAATCGTCACAAGCTTGTGACACCCTTGGGTTAGGTCAATAACTCGGGCTAATGGTCTCCAGTGAGATGAACTTAAAATCATAGAATCGGGAGAGACCACGAGAGTCATCTAGTCCAACAACCTTGCATTGCAGGAATATTTTGCCTGACGTGGGGCTCAAATTCAAAACAGCACCTCAGAACAGGGCTTTCTGGGGAAAGCAAGATGGTGGCCGCACACCTTCCAAGTATCCTGGATTTTCCAGGGACAGTCTGGGAATTTCGAAAGCCTTCTTGGCTTCTGATTTGATCCCAGAATGTCCCGATTTCCCCCGCCACTGCTGCCGCCACTGAGCTCAGGAAGGAGGATGAGACGGCGTTTGTCCCAGGCGGCAGTGGCAGCGGCGGCTGCAGTGGCAGCGGCTGTGAGGTCTTATCCCATTGCCTCTCCATGGCCTCTGCTACTGGCCTCCTCCCTTGGGCAGCTCATAATGGCAACTCGAGAGCAGGCAAGGAGGAGAGGTTGATGCACCAGCTCTGGGGGGCAGGCAGAGGGCAGGGCCCTGGGCCGGAGGAAACACGGAGAGGAATGGAACATAAGGAATCTTGATTTATTTTTTTTAATGCTTTGTGCATCTGTGCAGGGCCAGCTTTAGGTTTGACTGTTGGCGGGGATGTGGCTGGCCACTGCAATAATCCCCTGCCTGCCCCCAAGAATTTCACCTTATCCATGAAATATTGCTGTGGGGAAAACGAAGGGGGTGAAAAGGCAGCTCTTGTTCATTTGCTCCCATTCTAGTAAAAACAATAACAATAGAAATATAATTCTATTTGTACCCCACCTATCTGACTGGGTTACCCAGCCACTCTAGGCACCTTCCAACACATATAAAAACATAATAAAACATTGCACATTAAAAGGCTTCCCTGTGAAATGCAGACAGGCTGCCATAATCACCATCATCACCATGTGCTTTTTTTCTGGGGGTATGCACAACATTTTGTGAATCTTTGTACTTTTGTCCATTTACTTTATTTCCCCCAATTTGAACTATAAAATGGTGGTTTTCTTGAGTCAAATGAGAGTACCCCTAAACATTTCTTAAGAAAAAAAGCACTGATAATGATGATGATGATGATGATGATGATAATAACAATAATTTGTAACCCACCCATCTGACTGAGTTGCCCCAGCTACTCTAGGCCATCCACTTAAGCACTTAGCTTCCCCCCAGAAAATGCCGGGAACTGCAGTTTACTCCCTCACAAAGCTACAATTCCCAGCACTGCTGACAAACTAAGGTTCCCCCAGATTCTTTATGGGAAACTGTGTGCGTCAATGAATGGCGTGTACGCTGCCTCAGTTTATTATGAATAATGATAAAGCACAATCTAACACACGCTTGTGGTTGCTGGCAAGAGGTTATTGGCTAATCCTAGCAGGGCTGCCAAGGGCTGAATAGATATCACAACAGCAGCTACTCCCACTAACTTTTAAAGGGAAACATGACCCCAAGCCTAATGAATCACGGCGACTGGAGCAGCACCCAGACTTCTTTGCCGCCAGCTGCCGATTCCACTATTTTTGGCGGGTGCATTCTCTTGAGCATCACAGAGGATTGCAAACAGATGTCTCCTGCTTCGACCACAGCAGCGAGTTATCGCTATTATCTCAGTAGCGCCAGAGGGCCTGCAAGGATGGGTGTTTGCCCCATCTGAAGATAGAACAGCACCTCCCTCCCAACAACCCACGACGCTCCCTTTCATTTCTCTAAATCGGGACTCTTCTCTGCTAGTCCTGGAAAGGGTGCCTCTCAAGAATCAATTGCTTTATTTATCAGTGCCTGTTATAGCTGGTTGCTGGGCAGACAACTCACGCCACAACACCCACTGCCTCTCCCCATTTGGACTCCTGGCCTTGGTTTTACTTGTACAGTGGACGCTCGGGTTACGAATGTGATCCATGCGGGATGCACGTTCGCAACCCACAGCGTTCGCAACCCGCGTCTGCGTGCCTGTGGCTTGCGATTTGGCGTTTCTGCACATGCACAAAGCGTGATTTAGCGTTTTTGCACATGCGCAACCGCGGAAACCCGGAAGTAACCCAACCTGAAGTGTCTGTAACCCGAGGTATGACTGCTATTCAGCAAGCTCTCTTTCCCCCGTGAACCATAACGGTTTTCATTTCATCTCGGTTCAAATGGATCCATTGGTTTTGTGATACAGTGGTACCTTAGTTCTAGAACTTAATCCATTCCGGGAATCCATTCGGCTCCTGAAACCGTTCAAAAGGCAAGGTGCGGCTTCCGATTGGCTGCAGGAGCTTCCTGCACTCAATTGGAAGCAACGTCGGACGTTCGGCTTTCGAAAAACATTCGCAAACTGGAACACTTACTTCTGGGTTTGTGGCGTCTGGGAGCTGATTTGTTTGACAACTAAGGCATTCGGAAACCAAGGTATCACTGTACAGTCATACCTCAGGTTACAGACACTTCAGGTTGTGTTTTTTTAGGTTACTGATGCGCCGAAACCTGGAAGTACCGGAACGGGTTACTTCTGGGTTTCGGAGGGAGTTCGTTCCTGATATTGAGTCGGAATCTCCTTTCTTGTAACTTGAAGCCACTGGTTCAAGTCCTACCTGCCAGGGCAGGAGAAAACAAGCTTGCTCCATCTTCCACGTGATGGCCCCTGAGATATTTGAAGACGGTTGTCATATCTCCTCTCAGTCTCCTCTTTTCCAGGCTAAACATATCCTTTTCTCGTTTGAGGCAGATCCACACCATACTTTTAAAGCATATCCAACACACTTTTAAAGCATATCCAACACACTTTTAAAGCACATAGCTCCCCACCCCCAGGATCTTGGGAACTGTAGTTTGTTAATAGTGCTGGGACTTATAGCTCTGTGACAGGGATACTATAGCTCCCGGGATTGTTGAAAGGGAGGTCATGTGCATTAAATGTATTTGGTATGGTTCTTTAGTAGCTTGCAAGGAGCATTCTGAGCAGGGATGAGTGAATCTGCCAAGTTCTGGTTTCTCATCTTCCCAGTTTGAAGTAAAGCTCTTCACATATAACAAAGATTGCAAGTCCTAATGAAAATTCATCCGGATTTTATTCCTAATAGACACATTTTTGCCTGCAGCTTTGTCCAATATGCACATCTTTGCAAAGCAATAATGTATCTTTAATGCATTTAATTTTCACTAACAAGTGTCTTTAGTATACATTATACAGTAGCATATGCATTTTTGGACACATTAATTGGCTGGAGAAGTAAAATGCCAAATTTGAAGAATTTCAAAGTATGGCTGTGTGATTTCAGGGAATTAGGTAAGGTCACATTTAATTAATGCAAGCTGAATTGAATTCTCCCTCAAGGACTACTACTTTTTCTTATCAGCATGGGCAGGTACATAATAGTGCAGTTGTTCTGTTAACTCCAGTAGGTCAGTTGGACATAACAGGTTTTGTTATTTATTTATGTAATACATCATATTGCAAATGAAACAAAATGGCAGTTGGACAAAGGGGGGTGTCAATGGCAGAGTTCATATAATAAGCTCATATAGTGCATTCATATCTCAGAAGCGACACCTTATGCTTTGCGTAAATCCTGCACTGTTATTTTCTTAGGTGGTTATTGTTTTAGATCTTCTTTTAAATACAAACTGCCTGGTGTTGCCTGCTGAAGGGCACTGGAGAAACCCAAACAAATATTAGCTAGAAATCTAACTACAAAGTCCTGTGTATGATCAGCTCTCTTGAGAAATTAACAGGTAAAAAGGCTGAGCCCAACAAGAAGTCATTCTGGGAATATCAAGGCAGAACAAAAGAGCACCTCAAAGATAACCTGGATATTTTATTAGAGCAATATCTACCAGCGCCAGGAATAATGCTAAGTTCAAATCAAAGGTATAAAATGGGAAAAAAATAATTTCCAGCCTTTGATGAAGAACAAAGACCCTGGTAGCTTGTTTTTATTCTGTGCAACCCGCACAGAACTTACTGTTCTGTTCTGGCTGGAATGATTTCACTAGTTGTTGTTTTTTATAACTGTAATTGTTTTATCTGTTTTCATAACTGTATATTATATTGTTGTCTCCTGCTCTGGGAACTTACTGTGAAGGGCTGGTAAGAAACCTAGCATCTTAATTTTGAAAAGCAAACAAACTTTGTATGGAAAAATACTCGCTACACAACCTACATGTCCAAAAGGCATGAATACCAATAATTAAGAAGCTGGTTTTTCGAAACATTGTGGAATTCAACCATTTTAGTTTTACTGAGCTAAAATAAATGTTATGGCGAGATGGGAATATGGGTAACAAAACCTTGTACATAAAAAAGGGGCAAACTCTCGTGGTTTAATTTGAAGTCTGGAACAAATTAAATATTTGTGGAATTTTGAATGATCAGATTTGGATTTTAGTTTGCGAATGAGTTTAACAGGTTGCGTCCACCCCAGGTTAGACTGTCAGCAAATTGCAGAGTCCACAATAATAGATACAGATCTACATTGGTCAGACGGCAGGATCCACTATCAAGAACATTATTTGGTGAACTTACGATAATGACAATCCATGCAAGGCTCACCTGCTCTTCCAATCGTCTAAACCTTTCGAAGAATAGCTTCCTTCGCTCCGCTGTCCCAGGCTGCTGGACCAAGGTGCCCTGAAGACAGACAGCGGCAAGGATCATGAAGACGGACAACATTTTCCGTGTTCCCAGCATCCCAAGAGCCGCACACATCTTTGGGGTGATGCTCTAGGTGGGAACACAGAAGACAGGGTTCAGCGTCTGTAGAAGAGCCCCCCTCTTAACACTACACTATTCAGAAAGCGGCTGCTGCGATCCCTTCCTTTGCTTCAAAAGCCCAAGGTCCTCCCACCAAGCTAAAAAGAGACCCTAGTTTGTTCTCAGAATAGATGAGTTCCACAGACTTCTCTGGCATTCTCAAGAAGCCAAGTTTAGTTTCAGAGCTTGGCAGCCGCGTGGAGACATTGCCTGGGGGAGGGAGAACCTGGCTTGGTTTTTGGAGTTCCTTCCAGGACCTGGAAATCAGGAGAAGCCTGGTTACTAAATTGGCTGCTTATTTCATTCATATGTGGTTTAGTTGTGTCCGACTCTTCGTGACCCCCTGGACCAGAGCACGCCAGGCACTCCTGTCTTCCACTGCCGCCTGCAGTTTGGTCAAACTCATGTTAGTAGATTTGAGAACACTGTCCAACCATCTCGTCCTTTGTCATCCCCTTCTCCTTGTGCCCTCAGTCTTTATATTCTCTCTCTCTCTCTCTCTCTCTCTCACACACACACACACACACAGACACAGTCATACCTCGGGTTACAGATGCTTCAGGTTGCGTTTTTTTGGGTTACAGAACGCCGAAACCCGGAAGTACTGGAACGGGTTACTTCTGGGTTTCGGCGGTTGCACATGTGCAGAAGCACTAAATTGCGCTTTGCGCATGTGCAGAAGCGCCAAATCACAACCCACACGTGCACAGACACACCACTGCAGGTTGTGGACGCTGTGGGTTGTGAACGTGCATCCCGCACAGATCATGTTCGCAACCCGAGCGTCCACTGTATATATATTACCAACTTTTTCTGAAGTAAAACAAGGACGTGTGTCTTCCGGGATGGGCTCCTGGGTGAGTTATGTGACCTGCACCTTGCTCTCCCCTTTTCTCGGGGAAAGATCTCACACAGCACCCAGAAACATACGCTTGGGGGGGGCTGTGTGATATCGCAACCCCCCCCGGGAGTTTTTTCAGGGCGATTGCACCGTGTGAGAGCACAGCGCCCAAAATGGCCACCGAGATCTTGTGCAGGAGGAAATGGGATGTCCTGTTTGTTCCTGGGCACTTGGAAGGTATGCATTTACAGTGGTACCTTGGTTCCTGAAAGGCTTGGCTCCTGAACAAATCGGCTCCCAAACGCTGCAAACCCGGAAGTAAGTGTTCTGGTTTCCAAACTTTTTCGGAAGCTGAACATCCGACATGGCTTCCGCTTGAGTGCAGGAAGCTCTTGCAGCCAATCAGAAGCTGTGCCTTGGTTTTCAAATGGTTCCGGGAGTCATAAGTTTGACAACCAAGGTACCACTGTATTCAGGAAATTCAGAGTGTGCCAATAAGGCTGATTCGGAGCTCCTGCAAAACTAACTCCTCTCACCCCCCTGAAGTGGATTTTCCCCACTCAGGAAAGTTGACAGGACAATTCGCGGGAAAGTGTGGGATAACAGCTGCTTGATGCAGCATCATCTAATCTCCCCACAAACAAATCAGGCTGAATACTCATTTAACAGGTCATCCGGAAGAGACGCTTGTCTTTCCAAAGAGGCAAATGCCACCGTCTAATCCAGGGGAGGGGACCTCAAGTCTGGGGGCTAAATGTGGCTCTTTAAGCCTCCCCATACAGCCTTTGGGACTCTCCACAGGCCCCACCCCACAGCTTCCTCCAGCTTGCCTTTTTTGGCCTTGCTGGAATGTGTCCTTGAACTGAATGAAAAGGTGGAGGTGAAGAAACCTCCTATTTTTGTGTGTTTGGACTCTACGGCTGAAGGGCAGTATACAAATTTAATAAGTGCTGATGATGTAGCCTTCTGTACAAAGATAAGAGTCACCTCTGTTGTGTTCCCGCACCAGTGGAATGTGGCCCCCAGAAGTCTGCCTACTCTGGAACATGGCCCTTGGATGGAAAATGGGAATGCATGGCTTTGAGCACAAGGAATGAGGACCACCTTTCAGCAACTTGCTCACCTGGTCCACAGGTGGCAGAGTTGGCATTTTTGCACGGTTCAGAATGTTGCAATCCTTTGCTGTCTGAAACTTGGTTCAATACCTTGCGTTTATCCATGGGCTACAAAGAGAACAAAAGGTGCTCTGAGGCCATAGACATGTCAACTTGCCTGGACCTCTTCACTTCACGACTGCTGGTGCTGCAGAAATATATGCCCAATAATACCCTGTGGGTTAAGCCGGGATGGCCAATAGAATCCACACAGCAATGGTCTGTGAAACAGGATATTTATTTAGGCACTGCAAGGTCACTGTGACACAATCTCAATCAGCAAATAATGAGCAGTGGCAACCCAAATATGAAAAAGACACAAGCATTCATTCACTTTCTGTGGCTTCAGGCACCAGGCCTGTTGGCAGACCAACTGTGCATTACAAAGATGTCTGCAAACGTTACCTGAAAGCTGGCAACATCAAACCCCACCAGGTGGGAATCCCTTGTTTTTTTACTGCGTCATATTTGTTTTCATAGAATCATAGAATTGCAGAGTTGGAAGGGACCACGAGGGTCATCTAGTCCAACCCCCTGCAATGCAGGAAACTTTGTTTTGGTGTGTTTTTCCTGTGCTTGCACATCACCGGTTTTTCTTCTGTAAAATGGGCATTTTGTGGTACCTGCAGCAGATTGTTAGATTTCCACATGTGCCCCCAGTTCTGAAAAGGTTAGGGACTCCATGACTAACACAATGCCTGCTACTTTCCTCTTGTGTTTAATTTACACTGTCCTCTTCACACTGCTATAGAGGAAATGTAGCCTTTCTAGGCCTTTTGACCACGGGTAGGAAAAAAGTTGCACCTGAGCAGGGACGAAAAGAGTCAAAACAACACCAAGGGGTTAAATCCAGAGAAAGAGCTTTTATTCTGCCTGGGGGGGGGGGGCGCAGAGGAGCAAGTGTGATAGATTCACAAAACAAGCACGAGTTCACAGCCATTTGCACAGAGTATATATTCCCCTTCCAGTTCCCTCCCCTTTCTCCTCCTTCTGAAAAAGTTCTGCCCCATGTGTCTCCTGAGCATGAACAGAAAGCTCCTGTCTTGGGACTATTGTGGACTCTTGGCACCCTTCCCAGGAAAGGGGGGGTGAGAGCGGTTCAGCATGTCCAAGATGTGGTACAACCAAACGAGAGAAAAGTCAGTTCTCAGGCTTGCTTTGAACAGAGCCTATTCATTAGCGTTTTTGAAGCCTTCTCGTACTGATAAAAGTAATGGTTTGCCTTTGCAACAGAAAGCAGAGGAAAACTTTAGCTGTGGATTTTTTAGAAGACAGAAAAGGAATTTTGGACAGTTTTGAGGCCTGGTTGCGGGGGGGGGATTCACAAACAGTTTTAGGGTAACCTAACTGACTGTCTTTCTTCAGTAAAAGCACAAGGTGTCTGCATGAAAAAAGAGGACAGCAAAAGCATTCATTCAGCTGCATCAACTTCAGCGTAGAGTTTGAGGAGACAACCATTTAATTGGATTTATTTTTGCTGGAGCCAGAGGCAAGACACTGGTTTGTGAGCCTCAGCCCATGCGTGATGCCTGGGGATCACTGGGCTTGATCTAACCCTTGTCCCAGCTGGTGACCTGGAGATCAATAAGACTGCACTGCAGGGCTGTCATAATTCTCTCTCTCTCTCTCACCCTCTGCTCACCACCTGCATACCAGGGATGATAATGTGGGTAATAGTAGGTTGCACTGCAGGGTTATTGTAGTCCACAGTCTTAGCCTCATCCCGTCATTTCCTTGCAACGTGAGGAAAGCAACACTGGACTACACTGCAAGGTTGTCAGAAGCAGCTCTGAGCTTGAGGCCCCATCAATATAGTGGTAATATGCCTTGCCAGTATGGTGGTAGTAGTTAAAGCATCAAACTAGGACCAGGGAGACCTGGGTTCGAATCTCCCCTCAGCCTCCATGTCCCCTGCAGGGTCAATCTTTCAAGCTAAACCACCTCAAAGGATTGTTGTGGGGATGAGACGGAAAGGTGAGAGGTAACTTCCCCTGGGTTTCTTGTGTTCTAAACAAAATCTGCGCTTTTTCCCTTATGGGTATCCAAGAGCCTGTATAGAGTCCTATTGGTGTAGCCTTTTTAGCCTCGTGTGAGAAGAGCTTTGCGCCCAGGACTGGGAAATGGGAGTCAACAGACACTCAAGGAATAGTTTCAGAGAAAAAGCTTTATTTCTACCATCCGGCTGGTAGAAGGAGCAAGTGTGATAACTCACAAACAAGCACGAGTTCACAGCCATTTGCACAGAGCATATATTCCCCTTCAGTTCCCTCCCCTTTCTCTTCCTCCTCAAGAGTCCTGCCCCATGAGTTCCCCTGAGCATGAACAGAAAGCTCCTGTCTTGGGACTCTTGTGGACTCCTGGCGCCCTTCCCAGAAAAGGGGGTGAGAAGCCAAGGGGTTTCAGAGTGTTCAAGATATGTTTCTTTCTCTTGCTCTATTGGCACAGTTCCCGGAAAGAAAAGTTGCAAGTTGAATGTATTGTTTGGCAAGGTCATCTAGCCTGAGAAGCAAAAAGGCATTGTTCTTATTCAGCTACCTTTGTTACAGCAGAGCGAAATGCTTCTAACTACTGAGAAAATGATTTTGAAAAGCTTTAAGAAGCTTTGAGCCTGCTTTGGGGGGGGGTGACTTCGGGCCTAGGTGGGGTCACCTGTCCTCACCTCCTTCATTGGTAGGAGAAAATAACAGAGGCCAACCAGAGAATATTGAGAAGCAAAGCAGCTAGTAAGCCTGATCTTTATTGATTTGTTGCAACAGGGTGTTCCCCTCACACGCAGGAAAGGAGGAGGACCCAGAACCAAGGTGTGCCTCCCCTTATATAGACATTTTAAATTCCCTGCCCTGGAGCTCAAGACCACTCCTCTATACATCATACCTACATCACAGAAAAGGTGGTCTACAACAGAAATTTGAATGTTGTTGTTTTTCCTGTCTGCCAGGTTATCTGATAATGCCTTATCTGATTGCCTTTCCTGATAGTCTGGCCATTCCTTTGAACTGGTGATTACCCAATTCCTGCCCTCCCTCTTTGCAGAGTGTTACCGGAAAAATCTGAGGGCTCCCTTGGACAAAAAGTAAAGACACCAACCAGAGTAAATTGGAGCAAATCAGCAGCCTGTAGGCTTGGCCTTTATTGAACTGTTGCAACAGGGTGTTCCCCTCACTTGCAGGAGAGAGGAAAAGACACAGAAAATGGTGTGCAAGACCTTATGAAAACTTTTGAAATTCCCACCCTGTAGATCAAGCCCACCCCCAGAAACATCATGCATACATTACAGAAAGGAGGGGTTGAGGGAGGAGTTGTGGTGGTAACCTGAGTGTCCTGTCACCTGGCTGGTTCCCTTCTACCCCTCCCCATGAGTCATTTTCTGAAGACAAAAGGTAGTCGCAGTTTCCTGCCCCCTGAGGGAAGATCTGATCATTATCCTTTGTTCCAGTCCATGCTTGTTTCCTGCTTGGCAGGGGGTTGGACTCGATGGCCCTTGTGGTCTCTTCCAACTCTATGATTCTATGATTCTATGCTGAATCCACTCCCATATGCAAGTTCTTTGTGATCTTGATTGTCTTCTGTCTAGGACCATCAGGGTTGGCATAGCAACTGGGCAGGACCTCCTGTGGATGTGCTGGGATGTTCAAGGGATTATGGCTGGCCTGTATCAAACCTTCCCCATTTTGTAGTCCTTCCTTCATGGAGTAAAATAAAAGTGGAACAGTGCAAATCCGATGTATGGTTGATTTTCTATGAATTTATAACAGAAGCGTAGCGTATGTAGTGTGTGAGTGTGAGTGTGTGTGAAGTTTGTACAAACTGAATGATGGGGGGGGTTTCCTGCTACAAGAGAAAACATTTGGTCAGCTTGGGAAAATGGTTTCAGGTCGGTCTTCCTGTGCTGATCTATGTGCGTGCTTGGTTGGTACATTTATGAACATTTATTATATATATAAGACCTTAAATTTTATTATTACACTTGAAAGAAGCAGAAGATGTAAATGGGATAAATAAGTAATACCAGACTACACTGCAGGGCTGTCGTAAACCATTACGCTCCCCCGCCCCCCGAGAAAATGAGCAACAGCGGATGCCTATGGCGCTGCGTTGCGTAAGAGACACGTCCGCCCAGCTGCTGTCCAATTGCAAGCTACGCGGAAGTTAGGGCGCCCTCCGTTTGGGGAGCATTCGCCCACTTCAATCATGGCGCGAGGGCAAACCGGAAATCCCGGACAAAGGAAGGTGCCTCTCTAGGACTTCCTCCTATCTATGCTCAAGACGCAGGTGAGGACTTTTAGTATGCCGCGTCGGTCAAAGATGGCCGCCGAGGTGAACCGGAAGTCCCTCCCGTTGGTTCCGGGATTTCGACCACGCCCCTCCAGTTTGTGTACAGGTCGGCGCGGCGCTCTCGGCGACAAAGAGGCGCCCGTGCGTAAGTGATACGTCAGCCAAAGAGGGGGCATCGGGCGTCACCACGCATGCGCGCCCAGAAGCGGATCCCATCGGAGCTCAGCTGAGGAGACTGAGATGCCGCCGCTGTCAAGCTGGGTGAGGAAGAGGAGGAGGAGGTGGGAGTCGGAGGGGCCCGGACCCCCTTCCCCCCAAAGGGGTCAGGGGGCGGGGGAGGGAAAGGCCGAAGCGGCGTCGCGGCTGCTGCTGCCGCTGTTGTCAGTAGAGGTTGTTTTACTCGGAGTAGACCCGTTGAAAGTAATGGGCAGGGGGAACTAAGGTTCGTTCATTTCGACGGGCCTGCGGTGTGTAAGGCCTACATGAGCAGAACCCACAAATGATGATGATGATATTATAATACTGTATAACACGTTTCTGGGTTGTGTAGGAGTAAGCTATACTCGGAGTAGACCCGTTGAAATCAAATCAGCCTGAACTCTACGATTCTACATGGAGATTCCCTTCCAACTCCATAATTCGATGTTGGAGATAACCTAATAATAATGATAATGATGATGATGATAATAAAATAATAATAATAATATGTGTGGTGGTGGTGGTGAGAGATGACATGGGAGGTTTGCCAGCAAGCAGCCCATCCTTAGGTAGAGTGTGGGGAGGAAGTGCACTTTCCTGTTTCCCTCAGTTCTTCCCCCCCTCTCTCTGGGCGACCCCTTCAGGCAGGGTGAGAGTTCAGAGGCAGGGAGGAGGAGGAGGAGGAAGAGGATGGTGACACAGAGATTTAAAGGTTCCTGCGCAGGTGGAGAGATTCCTCTCAGGCTAAGGGCACGTTGAGGCACAACACGCACGCACAAAATAAGTGGCAACTTTAAAAACAATTAAAACAGTAACCGAGCTCTTTAAAAAGAGGCAGTTTTAAAAATCAGCAAAGCAGGGTGCAAACCAAATTTTTAAAGCGTTTAAACGAAGCAAACAAATAGGTTTGAAGGGTGCCAGAACGACAGCAGTGTTGGTGCCAGACAAGTTTGTAAAGGGCATACGCACAATAAGTTTAAGGCAACCCCCGAACAAGAAACTTCCCCTCACAAAACTACAGTTCCCTTAAACTGCAGGTCCCAGGTTTCATGAGGCAGGATGTGTATGGAAACTGTGAAATTTGCTGGGCCAGTCCAAAGAGTGCCTAACCTACCCAGCAAACCGCCTCCAAGAATTGTTGGCAGATTCTTCTGGGATGTTCATGAGGCATGGAAGGCGGCAACCTTCCACTGTTTTTTGTTCCCAGCATTTGGTACTTTTGACTCCTTGTGCATGGAGGCTTCATTTGCTATCTTAACTTAATTCAGGATTAGGCTATCTTAATCCAGAGGAAGGGAAGGTTCTGGATGTTGTCGGACTTTTGAAATCTCATCAGCCACATCCAGAGTGGTCAGGGATGATGGGAGTTGCAGTCCAACAGCAGCTGGATTGCTACAGGTTCCCCACCTGTGGCCTAGAAGAGCAAAAAGACTGCTTTGCTAGCTCATAATAAGGTAGGCCTGTGTACAGTAGTTGCGCATTTCATTTCCAAAAGCTGCCTTTCAAGTACCCACAGCCTGAAGGCAACAGCCCCCCTCTGCTGTCCCCCCCCCCCAGCAAGTGATATCCAGAGGTAGATTGCATTTGTTGTGCAGTAGCCATTGGCAAACAGTTTGTGTGGATTGTGTAACCCTTCTACATGTAAGCAGCATATTTGCTCTCTGCCACGCCCCCATGTGTTACAAGCATGGCATTAAAATATACCGTACTTTCCCAATTCTACATAAAGCCCATGGGAGGAAGAAACCAGATTTGTAGTAAACACAACAAACGTTCTGGGGCTTCTGACTTCATTTTCTAAAGGGGATATTAGAGTCTGTTCCTGCAGGAGAATATAGACATAGGCAACTTTTCTCGGCATGCAGTTGTATTAACTTTTTAATTTGATTTCCCTTGCATGTTCCAAAGTGTATGAGAGAGACTTTTTGCCAGTTTGTTGATCAATATTCTTTACAGCAGCTGAAGAGAGGTTTTTTTGTTTGCTGAAGTGAACAACCTGCTTTATCTCTTCCTTTAGAACCAACGAAATTTTCCTTAGTAGGAATAGAGTTGTGTGAGATGTGGATTCAACCACAGGTACGTAGAGTGATTCTGTATTTCATTAGGAGGAAAGCATGTAGACTTGATGGTAACATTGGCATAACTGGGAATTTATATTGGCCTGCCTTGTTGGCAGATGAGAAACCTAAGCAGTCCTGTTCAGACATCTTATTGTTGGGTAATCTTGATAATCTGATAATGCTTTGGATAGAAATGTTTTTAAATGCATATAATTAAATGGTTAGAAACTGCTGTACTATTGGCTATTGGTAGGAGTTTCTTCTAATTTTTGATCCCAGAAAGCCCTCTAAGTCAACATATCTTCCTTTCTTGCCTCTTTCTCCCCACCTCGGTATAGAGATTATAATTTAATAAAGGATCTAGTCATTATTAACTCCTTCCATTGCATTATTAAGAGCCTGTGTGCACTCTTAATTGCTTTGTTGTTGTGACAACAACATTCCTTTCCAGAGTTACCTAGTACTGGAAGACATCGCCTCTCCCATTACAGCTGTGCTCTTTGGCCCTGTGGAGCCTTCAGTGTGGGGTTCCTCAGTGTTCAATTTTATCCCCTATGCTGTTTAACATCTACATGAAACCACTAAGTGGGGTCATCCAGAGCTTTGGAGTACGTGGTCAGCAATATGCTGATGACACACTGCTCCACATCTCCTTTACATCTGCAGGTGAGGCAGCGGAAGTGCTGGACCAGTGTCTTGCCTCCATAATGGACTGGATGAGAGCTAGCAAATTGAAGCTCAATCCAGAGAAGACGGGGGCACTGTTAGTGGGTGGTTCCTTAGACCAGATGGATGGGAGGTTGCCTGCCATTGATGAGGTTGCCCTCCCTCTGAAGGAGCGAGTATGTAGCTTGGGAGTACTTCTGGATTCTTTGCTGTTGCTTGATGCTCAGGTGGCCTCAGTGGTCCAGAGTCCAACAGCTTTGGCTGGTGACCCAGCTGTTCCTCTATCTGGACAGGGATAGCCTAACTTCTGTTGTCTGCACTCTGGTAACCTCTAGGTTAGATTACCACAACATGTTATACGTGGCACTGCCTCTGAAGCCGTTTTGGAAGCTTCAGCTGGTGCAGAATTCAGCGGCCAAGTTGCTCAAGAGGATTTGAGCATATTACACCGATTCTGGCCTGACTGCACTGGCTGGACCCAATTCAAAGTGCTGTTTTTGACCTATAATGCTTTAAACAGCTCAATACCACAGTACCTCAAGAAATGCCTCTCCCCTAATGAACTGACCTGGACCCTGCAATTATCATCTGAGGCCCTTTTTTGTGTGCCTCTCCCACTAGAAGTCCAGAGGGTGGCAACATGATGACCGGCCTTTTCTGTAGTGGCTCCTCATTTTGGGGAACACTCTCCCCAGGGAGGCTCACCCACCACCTTTACTATGCATCTTTAGGTGCCAGGCGAAAACGTTCCTCTTCAGCCCGGTGTTTGGCTGATTAATAGTCTATGGCTTTTTAAATGAGCTTGTGAGGATGGGGTTATTGGTTTCTTTTTGTTTTATTATGTGCTGTGTTCTTGTTTTGTATTTTTATGCTGTGAACCACCCTTTGATCTTTGGATGATGGGCAATACACAGATTTAATCAACAACAACAACAAGTTATCTCATTGCATTAACAATGCATTTTTCTTTACACATTGGATTGTGTTCATGGAGAAACATAACGGGCTCACTCTCTTCCCATAGCTTGTGGCGTGCTTCAAGATCTAGGGACGCGCGGGCGTTGTGCTGGCTGCTGCAGGTACAAAGAGGACATGGAGGAGGGTTTGACGTGGCCGTCGGAGAGGCTGGAAGTTCAGACAGCTGCTTCTCCCGGGGTCAGCCGGCGGATATCAGTCAGCGAATTCTCTTGCCATTGCTGTTATGATATTCTCGTCAATCCCACCACCTTGAACTGTGGGCACAGCTTCTGTAGGCATTGCTTGGCGTTATGGTGGACGTCTTCCAAGAAGAACGAGTGTCCAGAATGCAGGGGGAAATGGGAAGGATTCCCCAAAGTCAACATTCTTCTCAGGTGATTCTAGCAATTGAGGACTGTGATGTGTGGTTTTCATACAATGGTTGAGATATGTTAGTCTGCCCTCTTTGCTTAGTAAGATCCGTTGGTCCTACGATTTTCATACTTTTAATTTCATTTTTCATTTCACTTTTCATGTATATATTACTATACGCAAGGCAGTCTGCAAGCTGAAGAAATAATAAAGATTATACACCTTATATCAATCTGATCCAATGTGAAAAAAGCCATGATAAAAACATGACTTTAAAATAAACAAAGCAATACTCAATAATCTATCAGAATATCATAGTACACGATGAAATTAAATGTCAGCAAAAAATCATTGGGTAGAAATTCACTCCTAACAATTACAATAAATATTTGCTAAACTATAATTAGTAAAAACAGCAAGTCACAGTGCATAAATACCACAATACATACAAAACCATGTAAAAGGATCAAATTGAGAAACAAAGACACACAACTTGTAAAAATATATATTAAAAAAAGAAATCCTGGACTCATTTCCCCCTCTTCTCTACTTTTGCTGTTCTTAATGCCATGGTTTGGGAAAGGCTTACTTACTTCTTAGATCCTCTAAATGCCCTCCACTGTCAGTCTCAGCGTTTGAGGATTGCATGAGTCTTCCCTGGGGTAGAAAGACCACTGTAGAGCTCGCTTGGTGCTCTCCATGGCTGTTTCAGTTCAAACCACTGGAGGAGGAGTTCCAGGCTAATAGCCAGATGTTCTCCTCCAGGCCTCTCCCCACATCACACCCTCTACCCTCTTTGAGACATTTTTGTGTGGCTAGAATGTGTCCTTGAAAGGTGATGGTACCTCTTGCTTCCCTGAACAGAGGGGTGTGTGTGTTTTGCGTAGCTGAAATGCAGTCTCCCGTCTGCAGGTGAGATTGACATCAGTTGCACCTCCCCCTTCTGCTTCTAGCTCCGCCCACCACAGGCACCCTGGGAATCCTGTCCATGAGATAATGTGGTTATAAAAGATCCCCCCCCCCCCGGTTAAAAGGGTTTAGCCAGCAGAATGACTTACCGTTATCACCTGTTTGTACCCAACTCATCCTCCTACAGAGCTCATGGTAGCTCATTTATCAGTCCTGTAAGGTAGGCCAGGCTGAGAGGAGAGTACAGTTGGCCTGAGGACAGCTATCAAACTTCACGACCAGTGAGCTGGACTCAGGTCTCCCCAGTCCAGCATTCTAGCCATGTCCCCCCTCCTCAGTGCAAAGGAGAAGGCCCCTTCTCCAGATACAGCCTGGCCGCAAACTGCAGGAAGAAGTCTTGCAAAGTAACACTCTCTTTTTCTAGGGATGCAATCGAAAAACTGTTTCCAGATGCGATTGAGCAGCGGAAGGACGACATCCAGCAGAACAGCGACGCGTCCCTCAGCCTTGCCGCCTTTCAGAAATACGGGAGCGATCAGACCTCTGCAGCTCCAACGGCGGGGCGAATTAATCCTCGAGGAGGGGGGTTTTTCTCTGGTGTGCTGACAGCGCTAACTTGTGTGGCTGTAAGTCTCCCCCTTTAAAAAGCCCTGTGCTGGTGGGACATAAAGCTGAGGATGGGTTTTTGAAGATCTGATTGTATAGTTGCAGAAAACTTAGCAAGTCTCCTGACTTAATGGGCCCCTTCAGAGAAATTTCAAAGGACATCCTGTTGCCCTCCATCTTAGTTCCCTTGAGCAGGAAAGGTGAAGGGAAGCCTATAGAGCAGCCTTTCTCAACCTGTGGGTCCCCAGATGTTGTTGAACTACAACTCCCATCACACCTAGCTAGCAAGGCCAGAGCTCAGGGATGATGGGAGTTGTAGTCCAACAACATCTGGGGACCCACAGGTTGAGAACCGCTGCTATAGAGGTTCGCAGCTACTAGATTTGGTTTTTGTCTGCCCTTGGAAGTTGCCTTATATTGAGTCAGACCATTGATCCATGCAGCTCGGTTTGTCTACACTGATTGGCCATGAATCTCCAGGGTTTCAGACTGGGGACATTCCCAGCTGTATTTGGAGACCCCGGGAATTGGATCTGGGACCTTCTAGATAAAACGCAGATGCCCTAGCACTGAGCTTTGGCCCTTCCTTCTTCAGTAGCTGGGATGCCTGGCATTTGGCTGCGGCCACCAGGTAGGTTTCCACCTCTTTCCCCCTCCTACAGGCTGATGTCCCCAAAGAAAATGCTGGAGACTAGAATGTGGAAAGGAACCCAGAGGGAAGAGTAATGTTTGACATGGTGCATGAAGCTTAGTTCTCGCTTCAGCTGCAGGGCTCCCATAATATATTCCCTAGCGCTTCCACCGTGCTGTTATGGGAGGGTGTTCTTGTCCCAGAGTCACCCAATGAGTCCTTGGCTATCAGGCTTTCCAGCTGTATGTCATCTCCCCCTCCAAGCTGTATTTAAGCCAGGCTCCTTGGAGTGCCAGACCAGAAACTTTACAGTTGGTGAATGTTCATTTTTGCTTTGTATTTATGTACAGTTGTACCTTGGTTCTCGAACTTAATCCATTCCAGGAGTCCGTTCGACTCCCGAAACCTTTCGAATACCAAGGCGTGGCTTCCAATTGGCTGCAGGAGCTTCCTGCATTCGAGCAGAAACTGCGTTGGATATTCAGCTTCCAAAAAACGTTTGCAAACCGAAACACTTACTTCCTGGTTTGTGGCATTTGGGAGCCAAAACGTACAACTACCAAGGCGTTCGAGAACCAAAATACGACTGTACTTAAGCCTACATTGGGTGGTGTGGGGTGTTTTTTTTTTTTTAATATTGAAATTATTCTGTGTTTGCTAAATTGTTGATTTTTTGTAATTTTGAATTCACTGGCATGTTCCGTATTTAGAATATTTGTATTTCCAGTGCTCTCTATATTGATGCTTTTGAATGTTTGCTGCAAGCTGTTTTGGGCACATCTCGTCGTGGAAAAGCGGCATATAATTAAAATCAATTGATCAATCAAGTCCAGCGCAATCCTTTGGGCCACGCTGGGTGCTTTGCTCTTGTATTAAACATCTGAAACATGTTTAATATGTTTTATAGTCACCCCAGTCACCGCTGTGCATTACCCATCATGGACCCTCTTCACTGCTTTCTAGGTAGTTTTGCTCGGCTATCACTGGAGCAGCCGGGAGTCGGAAGATGACCTCCTCGTCCACAAACCCGTTGCGAAATGGACTGCTGGGGAGGTGGTACACTGGCTGGGGCAGCTGGGACCCTGGACTTCCCTCTACAAGGAGAGGTTTTTACTTGAGCGCGTTAATGGGAGGTGAGGAAGATCCCTTTGGTGATGCTCTGAGATTATTGAGAGAGAAACTTCATTGTACCTGGTGCCTTGCTTATAAAAGATTTTGTGCTCCTCAGGTGATGTGAACACAGGGGCAAAGCAAAACAAAAGTCTTGTTGTGTTCAAAGTAAGTTTTTAATCTGTAGCGTGGCTGTTAGCAATAGTTCCCTGTTAGTCATCTTGCTAGGACCATGTCTAAATTCTAGAGTAGGCAGATGCGCTTTGCTCTCAGTGCAAATATCCACAGACCCGTCTTGTCTTGATGGTGATATTCGACTTGGTAGTTCAGCGTGATTTGGAGCAGGGCAGAGGGCGTTTCCTTCGTGTCACAGTATCTCCTGGTCTTGCAGGCTCCTGCTGACGCTCACGGACGAGGACTTCTCAAAGGCTCCTTACAATGTAGAGAACAGTAGCCACAGGAAGGCCATTATGACGGAACTGGAACGTGTGAAGATGCTGGGCGTCAAACCACCGCAGAACCTTTGGGAGTACAAGGTGAGAGGGTGTTACAGGAAGTCCCGCCTCCATCGGCCTAGACCTTTAGCCCCTGCACCAAATTACCGTATTTTTCGCTCCATAAGACGCACCTGACCATAAGGCGCACCTAGTTTTTAGCGGGGGAATGCAAGGAAAAAAATTCTTTAAAGAGAGCGCTGCACAGAGTCTGTATGCATCCCAGGCTCTGCTTAGCGCTCCCTTTCACGAGCCGCATGGAGCGTGTGTGCGGTGCTTGCAGGCTTTTCCCCAGGAGGGAGAAGGGCAGCCCCGTCACTGACGGGCTGCCCTTCTCCCTCCTCAGGGGACAAGCCCCCAAGATGCTCCACACATGCTCCACGCGGCTCGTGAAAGGGAGTGTGGCTCTTGGGGGCTTTTCTGGGAGGTGGGGGAAGGGACTGCCCTCTGTCCCTTTCCCCACCTCCCACAAAAGCCAGCAAGTGCCGCACGCTCTTTAAAGGGTGCGCGGCTCCTGCGGGCTTTTCCCCGAGGGAAAAAGCGGCCAGTCAGTCCCTTCTCCCTCCTTGGGGAAAAGCCCGCAAGAGCCGCACGGAGCGTGTGTGCGGCTCTTGGGGGCTTTTCTCGCCTGCCTCCCGCTTGCATTCGCTCCATAAGATGCGCACACACTTCCCCTTACTTTTTTTTGGGGGGGGGTGCGTCTTATGGAGCGAAAAATATGGTACTCTTCTGTCCTTGTGGTGTTTTGATCCTCGGCATCCCTGCTGCGACCCAGCCCTGCTCTTGAGTCTGGTCCCCATCCTATCTTCAGCCTGTGTCGCCCAAGTGCGGTGTAATGGTTTGAGTGTTGGACTAGGACCTGGGAGTCCAGGGTTCAAAGCCCCGCTCAGCCATGAAGCTCATTGGGTGACCTTGGGCCAGTCGCCATCTCTTAGCCTAACCTACCTCACAGAGTTATTGTGAAGATGAAATGGGGAGGAGGAGAACCATGAACACCAACTTGAGCTCCTTGGAAGATAAAAGTGCTATAGAAATGTAATAAATACATAAATAAAATAAAAGTATCATATCCTGGCTTGAAGCCATTTTACGAAGGAGCAGGGAGTCTCCCCAATTTCCGTGGAATTTCCTGTATCTGAGAGCAAATGCCACAGTGTGCACCCCATTGTGCAATTTAATGCTGGCAAGTTCCCTCCCCACTGCCTACTCTAATGATTTCTTACACAATTACACTCTGGTCTGCTTGATGCAGGGCTGGCCTGAAGGGAGAAATCCACAGAGCAAATCCCCTCCTGCTGATTAATTACGGGGAACTAATTTATAATAGGGATCTGGGGAATGAAAGGCCGGTTAGCTTAACGTCAGTAGTGGGGAAACCCACTAAACAGGTAAAATTGCCAAGCAAGAGGAACAAGCCTTGCTGAAGTAGAATCAGCATGGCTTTTGCCAGGGTAGGTCCTGTCTCAACATCTAGAGGGTTTTTTCCCTCCCCAAGCATGCCAGCAGAGATGAATCAGTTGACAATGGTCTCTTATGTTTTCAAAAGGTTTTTGAAAATTTATCCCTGAAAATTTACCCCTGAGTAAGCTGAGTAGTCGTGACATAACCACAGAGATCCTCTTATGGATCAGGACTTACTTAGGAATAGAAACAGAGTACAGTCGTACCTTGGATCTCGAATGCCTTGGTACTCGGACGTTTTGGCTCCTGAACGCTGCAAACCCCCAAGTGATTGTTCCGGTTTGCAAACGTTCTTTGGAACCCGAACGTCTGACGGGGCTTCCGATTGGCCGCAGGAGCTTCCTGCAGCCAATTGGAAGCCGCGCTTTGGTTTCCAAACGTTCTGGAAGTCGAATGGACTTCCAGAACAGATTCCGTTCAACTTCCGAGGTACGACTGTATTAATAAATGGACAGTTTTCTCCGTGGTGGGATGTGGAAAATGGAGGGTTGGTGTTGGAACCTGTTCTTTTTAACTGGTTTATTGGTGATCTAGAATTAGGGCTGAGCAGTGAGGGAGCAGGATTGCCCTGAGGTGTCAGGTGGGGCCAGTGATCTCTCATTCTGCTATCTATAACGATGCCTCTGATCTCTGAAGCACCAGAACAGAAGAAGATAGAGCCTCTCCCCCAGTTAGGCAGGCTTCATGTGACCCTTACTTAATATGACTAGGATCTTATGTTACACGCCTGGAGGGTGAAGAGGTTGGTGAGACAAAGCTGCATTTCACAGAAGACCCCTTGCACTCTCCCTTGCTTCCGTTTGCTCTTCCTCGTGTATTCATGTGTTCCGGCTAACGGCTGACTCTCCCCCATTTCTCTCCGTTTCCTCGCATTCCAGGCGGTGCATCCTGGGAAGTCGCTGTTCCTGTTGTACGCCTTGAAGAGCTCCCCTCGGCTCACCATGCTCTACTTGTACCTCTTTGATTACACGGACGTCTTCCTCCCCTTCCTCCACACCATCTGTCCCGTGCAGGAGGAGGAGCTGGAGGACATTCTCGCAAAGCTGCTAGTAAGTAAGAGCGGGAGACGTCCGCCTTGGGAACATGCCCCCCTCCCGAACACCAAAAAAGTGGGAAGGGGTTTTGTGGGGGTGGCAGTACAGAATGCTTTGAGGTTGCAGATCAGCGACCCTCGCCAAAAGCCCTGTGAGCAATGGCCCCAGGAGCGAAAATGGGGGCAAACTTCATGGGGGCAGCAAGCCAAGGGCTTTTGTATTTCAATTTTTCGAAGGTTTTTAACACATTGGGCTCTAGAATCCAACACATGTATAAAAAGATAATAAAAAGAAATATCTCAAAAATAATATAAAGAAAATATAAAATAGAATACTCATGATTCTTACAAAACACTATTACATTCGTACCTTGGATCTCAAATGCTTTGGTTCCTGAACAAATTGTCTCCTGAATGATCGAAACCCATAAATGAGTGTTCCAGTTTTTGAATGATTTTCAGAAGCCAAACGTCTGGTTCGGCTTCCCTGGCTACCGATTGGCTGCAGGAGCTTTCTGCAGCCAATCAGAAACTGCTTTGGTTCCTGAACGTTTTGGAAGTCGAACAAACTTCCGGAATGGATTCCGTTCGACTTCCAAGGTACGACTGTATAGAGAATAGAAAAAACTAACTAAAAATATTGTTTATCACTGGTAGAAAATGTTGGATATCTACACACATCGGGATTGATTGCTGAATCGTTCTTTAGAACCAGACTAGACTTCCCAGGATCCTTTGGGGGAAGCCAAGACTGTGTAAAGTGGCATGATACTGCTTTGAATGTATGGTGCAGGCGGGGCCTTAGTGTGAAGCAGATTTCTGTGTTCCTCTGCAGGTTTGGCAGACGGCAAATACAATAATTGCCACCACATAAAGATATGAGGGACGCAGGTGGCGCTGTGGTCTAAACCACTGAGCCTCTTGGGCTTGCTGATCAGAAGGTCGGCGGTTCGAATCCCCACGACGGGGTGAGGTCCCGTTGCTCTGTCCCAGCTCCTGCCAACCTAGCAGTTTGAAAGCACACCAAAAAGTACAAGTAGATAAATAGGTACCACTCCAGCGGGAAGGTAAACGGCGTTTTCGTGTGCTGCTCTGGTCTCGGTGTTCTGTTGTGCCAGAAGCGGCTTAGTTATGCTGGCCACATGACCCGGAAAAACTGTCTGCGGACAAACGCTGACTCCCTCGGCCTTTAAAGTGAGATGAGCGCTGCAACCCTGGAGTTGTCTGCGACTGGACTTAACTGTCAGGGGTCCTTTACCTTTACCTTTAAATATATTTGCAGCGATACAGGGTGCCTTTCCTTCATGTTATGCTTCCTTAGAGATACTCGCTTCTCCTTAGCAAAAAAAAGTTTTCCAAAGGTGGCATATACTTAATATGGACAAAATGCGCTCACTCCAGGGATCGCACTACCAGAAATCTTCCTGGGAAATCCTAGTACAGTGGTACCTCGGGTTAAGTATTTAATTTGTTCTGGAGGTCCGTTCTTAACCTGAAACTGTTCTTAACCTGAAGCACCACTTTAGCTAATGGGGCCTCCTGCAGCTGCCATGCCGCCAGAGCACGATTTCTGTTCTCAACCTGAAGCAAAGGTCTTAACCCGAGGTACTATTTCTGGGTTAGCGGAGTCTGTAACCTGAAGCGTATGTAACCCGAGGTACCACTGTACAGCCCCACTGTAGCATTAAATGCGGAGATAATAAAATGCTTCCTGCCAAGATTACCAGCATCGTCATGTTTAAGAGCAGGGGTCAGCAAACTTTTTCAGCAGGGGGCCGGTCCACTGTCCCTCAGACCTTGTGGGGGAGCCGGACTATATTTTGGGGGAAGAAATGAACGAATTCCTATGCCCCACAAATAACCCAGAGATGCATTTTAAATAAAAGCACACATTTGGCTCATGTAAAAACACCAGGCAGGCCCCACAAATAACCCAGAGATGCATTTTAAATAAAAGGACACATTCTACTCATGTCAAAGCATGCTGATTCCCGGACCGTCCGCGGGCTGGATTTAGAAGGCAATTGGGCCGCATCCGGCCCCGGGCCTTAGTTTGCCTACCCATGTATAAGAGCCATGCCAGTATCCCCAGTGTTGACGGGCGTGTTTTTATAGCCTGCCGTCCATCTGAAATGGCTTTGCTTTGGGCTAAATTGAACACACACACACACAGAGATGCTAAGCCACTTATGGGCAGAAATATTTTTATTTGCTTTCAAGGAAAAGCGGTCAATAAATTTTGAGCATGCCAGTAGCAAGAACCAAATTCTGATGGCCACATTTGAACCAGAGATATTTTATTGTGGTGCCCAGCCTGCTTTTCCTGAACACTTTCTGTCTCTTTCAGGACCTGAAGGAGCCTGCTTGGAAGCAGTGGCGAGAATTCTTTGTGAAATACTCTTTCCTGCCCTACCAGCTAATAGCTGAGTTTGCTTGGGACTGGTTAGAGGTGCACTACTGGACGTCCCGCTTCATCATCGTCAACGCCATGCTGCTTTCTGTGCTGGAGCTCTTCTCCTTCTGGAGGCTGTGGTCAAGAAGGGAGCTGAAGTAAGTCCCTCTCGGACCCTCCTACCTTCCAGAATTAGCAACCCTGTTTTTGTACTTGTAAAATCCCTTTAATGTTTCCCTCTCTCTCTTTATCACCGTCTTTTTGCGGAAATCAAAGAGAGAACTTGCACTGAATAGAGAGATTCCTACTTTTCCATCTCCCAGCTGTGACTCAGCTTCTTCCTGCTCAGGGGAGGAAAAGCTAGTTGTGCAATGGTGTGCCAGGGATCTTTTATTTTTGGATATCAAAAAGTCCCCAAGGTTAACTTGACATGTCTCGTTTATGAGCAAATTGCTTTCCAGTGAAAAGCATGTGACTTAGAGTGCTCCAGATAAGCAACCTTCATTTGAAACGAAAAGGAGCGTCGTGAACCACACATTTCCTGTACATGTTGGAGGCCCACCCCCCGTTTTTGGTACTCTCCTCCCTCCTTTCTCTTAGTTTCCCTTTTGAGCTTGTTTAAAACTCCTTAAAACTATTACGGTGGTCTTTTCCTGTAAATGATTGAACACGTTTGCTTTCCCTGAACGGTTGTGTGTGCGCAAGGATGTTTTTAGTGCAGCTTCTGCAAGAGTTCCAAAGGTTCATTGGAAATGAGATCTAGGGCTCTAATCTGCTCTTTTCCCTCCCCATCTAGGACAATTCCTCACCGGATGTGGGGCCATTTCTGGAAAGTGTCCACCCAGGGACTCCTCATGGCTATTTTCTGGCCAGTTATTCCTCAGTTTGTTTGCAACTGCCTGTTCTACTGGGCTTTGTACTTTAACCCAATTATAAACATTGATCTTGTGGTGAAAGAAATCCGTCGCTTGGAAACTCAAGTGCTATGATGGCGTGTTCTGGGATCGGCACTGTGCTGTTCAGTCCTGAACCATCTGGTGCCAGGGAGCTGCCAATTTAATTTTCTTTCCACAGTGACAAAACTTGTGATTTTTTTTTTTAATGGCACACCTACTTTTGCAGCAAGTCTTCCTTTTCAAAGCTGTGACGGCGGAAACAAGTGAAGGGAGGTGCTTTTCTGCTTTTCCTCGAGAAGGAACAATTAATTTCCCTATAATCAGAACGTTTGCTTTTGGACTAATCGAAGCGCCAACCTTTGTGTGCCACTCTCTGTATCTGGCCGTGCCGCACAAGAAGCCTGATGAGAAATCGAAGCAGTCAGGCTCCTTTTTCGTGCAAAACGAGTCCTGCATTTACACGTTAAGCAGCTGTATACCCTTAAGAGACACCTGACCCTTCTAAAAATGGCTCAGATCCTGACCCGGACCCCTTTTCCTTATACACACAGCTCTGGTCATGTTTGTGAATTTGAAGTAATTTCTGTTGCTGTATTGATTTACTAGATCTACTTGCCAACTGCTACCACTTTTTCTTTTAGAAAAAAAGGGGAAAGATGTTCTGCACGTAAATACCAATTGATTGTGAGACGGTGGGCTTTTTCCCTGTACGTAGATGAACGCCTCCTGTTGTCACTCGTTAAATGTATGCCAAAACCAAGATTAGCTTTATTTTAAATGATGTGCCCCTATAAATTAAACTTGACTCTGCGTTTGTAATGATATGATCTTCAGATTTGCATATGAACATTTTTAAGAATTAAAACGGAAGATTTTTTTTCTAATATTTATTATTAGTATTACATTTTTACCAAAAAACCTTCTTCTTCTCCCTCTCCCCCTTCTTCCCTTCACAACAGCCCTGTGAGATAGACTGGTCTGAGGTTTCATGGTCAAGCAAACTTTTGCCTGGGGTATACAAGATAAGGAAATGGTTACTCTGGGGGCTGAGTCCTTTCTGGACGACACTTCAGACTTATAACCCAGAGGAGAATATCACATACTGAATTGAAATGAGATGTACCGAGGTTAGGTAGGCAGCTTTGCGTCACCTGGGCCAAGGAGCTGTCTTGGAGCATGTTATCCCCTTCTGTTTGGGGAAATGTTTCTTGTTTGAAGAATGGCTGAAATTATTTGGAAGTTGGTCTAGACAACACCCATCCAAAGCTGGGTGAAATCTAGAGCCGCTTTGATTTGTTTTTGAGAAGTGACTCGAGGAGGGGAACGTCCCATGTCTGTGAAGCCTGGCCCAAGTGACGCCCTTTCTTAATCATCTTCACATTGAGGGTTGAACGACCCACATAAAGTATCCGGCCAGAACAAATACTGGGAATTGTAGGGGGCACTCGCCAGACACTTGGCTGCTTCGCGGTCGCATTCGCAAGCCATTTTTTGGCACTTGTCTTCTATATCCTCTGTGGAAAGAAAAAGGGAGACCAGGAATCAAGCCCGTCATTCGAGGCATTGCAAAATGGGTACCAGAGTGCGCAGATTTTTCTGGCCTTCAGTAGAACGAGAGGGAATGAAATACTTACTTAGATACTAAATATTTTGAATAAAACTGGATGCCCAGGGTCTTGGAAGGGCCAGTGTCTTTAGGAATGACAGAAACACTAATGGGATGAAGCACATCCTATGTGTGGTTACTCAGAAGTAAGTCCCACTGTAAGTGGGTAGGGCAGCCTCCCTTAACCTAGTGCCCTAGATTCCCAGTTCCCATCTAGCAGCCATAAACAGCCCTCTGCTCCATGAATTTGGCTAATCTTTTTAAGTCATTAAATTGGTGGGTATCACTGCCTCCTGTGGGAGCGGGTTCCACAATTTAACCATGCAGTGAGTGAAGAAATCCTTTCTTTTTATCTATCCCAAATCTTCCAACATTCAGCTTTGATAGATGTCCGCAAGTTCCAGTGTTACGAAAGAGGGAGAAAAGTTTGTCTCCACTTTCTTCATGCGATGCGTAATCCTAAAAATTTCTATCATGTCGCCTCTTACTTGCCTTTCCTCTAAGCTGCCATCTTTCCTCCATCCCATTGGAACATTTCAGTTGCCCTTTTCTGAACCTTTTCCATATCCTTTTTGAGGCGAGGCAACCAGAACTGTACTCCAAATGCTGTCGCCCCCTAGATTTGTATAACAGCACGGTGATAAATTCCTTTCCTAATGAACCCTAGCGTGGAATTTGCCCTTTTTTCACAGCGGTCACACACAAAACCTGCATATTTACTGAACTATCCCACGACATCCCCAACGTCCCAATTTGTAGTTCAGCAGCATCTGGAGGGCCAAAGCTTCCCCACACCTGCTTAATCTGACATGGACACCTCTCTGAAATTCCTTGCCATAGCTGTCAACTTACAGATTTGAAAATAAGGGACCAGCAGCCTCGAAAATAAGGGATCAGCAGCCAAAATAAGGGATTTTAGACAACCAGCTGAAACACGAAGTTAAAAGGGACCAGATAATTTTGGAGAGCAGCGCCGGTTTTTAGCCCTTCATTTCCAGAGGTTGCTACTCAAGACACCGGCTGGTGAAACACTGCAATTAAATAACTACAAGCAGCAACCGCTTTTTGCGCAAAACGAAGTCCAAGCTACGAAGATGCTGCTGCAATTCTGTATCTTTTCTCTCGTGCTCCATCTGCAGCTCTCAGTTCCATCAGGCAGGGTGGGAGGAAGGGAGCGGGAATAGCGCCCGAAGTAAACCCGCAGATCAGACCATCTATGCTAGTCCACCACTACAAATCTATGGGAGAAACGCTTGCGGTCCTTCCTCCGCTTTCCCCCTCTGTGGTTAGCCCTTGGAACACCTGCCCGCGCCTCTGCCTCCGCCTCCTCTCTCTGAACTGCTTTCTCTATGGTTGCCCTCGCTCTCCTCTCAAGGCTCCTCAGCAATTCATAGGCTGTGCCAGGCTGCCCATCTCATCTGGGTCCTTCGGCGGCGCAGCCGCAGTACGGCCTAGCGGGAGCAGCGGTGACGGGCAGAGGGGAGGCCCCAGGCAGAGACGTTCAGTTCGGCGGCTGCGAGGAGGATGGTGGCGGAAGGGCTTGAGGCTCCAGCCAGTCCCGGCGGGGAGGGGCTCCCTGGGGCCGAGGCTGGTGAGAGGAGGCCGGAGGGGGCGGGCCGGGCAGCCAAGCAACACATTTGGAGCCTCCCTCCTCCCTGGCTGGCAGGGAGGGAGGGAGAGGAGCTGTTTCCTTTGAAACCCGGGAAGTTTAAGGGACATCATCAATAAGGGACAGCAGCGGGACATGGCGTTGGTATAAGGGAGTTTCCCGCCAAATAAGGGACGGTCGACAGCTATGCTCCTTGCTTACAGCTAGACTATCTCTTGGGCCTTAGAATCACAGAATTGTAGCATCAGAAGGGGCCACAAGGGGCATCTAGTCCAACCCCATGCAATGCAGGAATAGCAGCTAAAGAATCCAAGCCGGATCAGGGCCGTGTTGTTTTCCCTGCGGTGTCAGGATGCTGAGCATTGCATTCAGGTCCTAGGCAAAGAGGGCTGCTGATGCTACTAGCAGATATGGCCACCAGGGTGAATGAAGGGGGCAATTGGGAGCTGCAATGCTGCCAAACTCCATGCCAGTGGGACCAGCTGCTGGGGTCGGCTCCAGCGATCCAGCTGCTGCATGGATGCCCTGCCAACTCTACCCAGCTCTGAAGCCATGCCTGCTTGGAGTAGCTTACTGGGCAGTTTCAAGCGGGCAATCTTTGCCCTTGGTTCTGAGAAGAAATGGAAAATGCAAAAGGAGTCTCTTAAAAGTGCATCCCTAAGAGAGGGCAGGGACGCGGGTGGCGCTGTGGGTTAAACCACAGAGCCTAGGACTTGCCAATCAGAAGGTTGGTGGTTTGAATCCCCGCGAGGGGGTGAGCTCCCGTTGCTCGGTGCCTTCTCCTGCCAACCTAGGAGTTCGAAAGCACGTCAAAGTGCAAGTAGATAAATAGGTACCGCTCTGGCGGGAAGGTAAAGGGTGTTTCCGTGCGCTGCTCTGGTTTGCCAGAAGTGGCTTAGTCATGCTGGCCACATGACCCGGAAGCTGTACGCCGGCTCCCTCGGCCAATAAAGTGAGATGAGCGCCGCAACCCCAGAGTCGGCCACGACTGGACCTAATGGTCAGGGGTCCCTTTACCTTTAAGAGAGGGCAGGAGGGGAGGTTGTCAGATACAGCTGCCGTTATGGCAGCAAAGCTCCTCCCCGCCAGGGGAATATCCACTCACCACACTTGGCCGAGTTGTTCTCGCACTCCCAGGTGTACTTCTGCAACTTGGGGGAGCAGCCCTCCTTCTCGGCTTCTCCGTAGCAGCAGTCATGCTGGAAGCAGCACCTGCCGGCCCAGAAGAGAGGATGATGGCTTTGTTTTTAGAGCACTTGCACAATGCCCTACGGCCAGAGCGGCTCTCAGGGCGACTTGCATGTGTAGATGCACACACAGTTAAAGCAAGGCAAGGCATTCCCTGCCTGCGTGTATCGACAACTGAAGAGACACAACACAGTCATATCTGAAGGAGCGTCTCCGCCCCCATCGTTCTACTTGGACACTGAGGTCCATCTCTGAGGGCCTTCTGGCGGTTCCCTCACTGCGAGAAGCCAAGTTACAGGGAACCAGGCAGAGGGCCTTCTCAGTGGTGGCACCTGCCTTGTGGAACACCCTCCCACCAGATGTCAAAGAGAAGAACAATTACCAGACTTTTAGAAGACATTTGAAGGCAGCCCTCTTTAGGGAAGCTTTTAATGTTTGATGCATTACTGTATTTTAATACAGTGGTACCTCGGGTTACATACGCTTCAGGTTACAGACGCCACTAACCCAGAAATAATACCTCGGGTTAAGAACTTTGCCGCAGGATGAGAACAGAAATCGTGCTCCGGCGGTGCGGCAGCAGCAGGAGGCCCCATTAGCTAAAGTGGTGCTTCAGGTTAAGAACAGTTTTAGGTTAAGAACAGACCGCCGGAATGAATTAAGTACTTAACCTGAGGTACCACTGTATTTTGTTGGAAGCCACCCAGAATGGCTGGGGATTATTATGATGATGATGATGATTATTATTATTTATGATTATTATTATTATTATTATTCCTGAATTGCAACATTCAGAGGAGTGTGACTTCTGCAGTACGGCCACATTTCAGTTCCCATAAAGTGCAAACTGGACAGGTTCGTCTTTAAAAGCAAACTGAACCCAATGTATTCCCCGCCCTTAGTTACGCATAAGCTCTCTGGGAGCCAGCCAGCTGCTGCCACGAAGCTCTAGGCAAAGGGAGAGCTTCCAAGTCTATGAAAAGGTCACCTTCCTCTCAACTCCTGGCCCTACAAGTTGCGTAGGAGGGCCTTCTTTTGGGGCGGATCAAAGTACCAGCTTGCCATCTCCATGCCTTCGAAACAACAGCAACCGGAAGCTGACCTGCTAGCCTACATTTTAGTCTGGATTTGGGGCTGGGAGAAGTTCTGGGAGAAGTGGAAACAGCTGGTGACATGTGCCCCAAAATCTTCCCGCTGTGCCACGAGCATAGCAATTAAAGTCACATCTTCTCATTTTGCAAGATTGTGGGAAGCAATGGAGGTCTTGTTTTTCAAAAATTTCATTGCAGTAGCCAGATGGTCATAAAATATATCCCGTATAGATGGCTATATTTTGGGCGGTGGTTTTTATTTTCGAACTGCCCAAGGATGTGGGTTATTTCCCCCAAACACAGGAAAAGTGGTTTGGCCTTAGCCAGAGAATCTGGTGCAGTTTCCAAGTTTGCACATTCTGATGTGGCAGTGGCTTTCTCTCTCTGGAATAGGGGTGGCCGAATCCATCAATTTCCGTGTCTCATTCTTCCAACTTTAAGTTCGTTTCACCACCTTTCTTTTACAAAGTCCTCACAATTCCCCCCCCCCCCCGTATGCAGGGTTTTTTTGTATGCAGTTTTTTGTATGCAGTTTTCCAGGCAGTATACGTTTTTGCAGGCAATTTTCCTAAACTCTCTGCATTTTTGTCTGTTATTTTCACTAATATACTGTATGTACAGTGGAACCTCGGGTTGTGGACGTAATCCATGATGGAGGCACGACTGCAACCCGCAGCGTTCGCATCCTGAAGCGCCGCGTCTGCGCAGGCGTGATTTGGCTTCTGCGCATGCACAAAGCGCCATTTAGCGCTTCTGCGCACATGCGTGAGCGGCAAAACCCGGAAGTAACTTGTTCTGGTACTTCCGGGTTTCCCACGGTCCGCAACCCGAAAACACATAACCTGAAGCGTCCATAACATGAGGTATAACTGTACTTCGATGCACACTTTGCCATAATATCTACATTCTACATACATTAGGCTTGAGAACTGCCTTACAACATTTGGAGAAGGGCCCATTTCACAGGATAGCCGTGTTACAATTTCCATATAGTTTTGCAAAGTGTGAATTAGGTACAGCATTTCCCCCCCCCCATCCTTACTCTTGAAGGTCTAATCTCACTCCTCCCCCGTCATCCTGGTCTCTTGTTTAAAATTATTCCCTACCCCACAGGCTTATAATTTAAAAGACATGTCACACAAGGAAAATTACGGGGAGGGTAGAGGAAAAAAGCAAACTCAGGCACCAATACTTACAGCTAAATATAATGTCTTGTGGGTGGGGCCACAGCAAAGCTAGGCAGCTCCAAACCTTTGGCTAGGAGTGCTCTCTTTCTTTTCAACCGGTTCCTGTTTGCTTATTTAGATTTCTAAATGAGCCTTCCCATCCAGAAGTTTGAAGCTACTTAGCTTTGCTCTGGCCCAAGACATTCTATTTAACTTTAAAGCTCGGCATCTGAGTTTGCTTTTTTCCTCTACCCTCACATCCTTTTTTCCTCATGTGTCATGTCTTTTAAGTTGTAAGCTTGTGGGATGGGCTCTGTCCCCAGAAACGTAAACAGGAGAGAGGCTAGAGGCCTTCCTGTTAGGAATAATGAGATCTGAGGTACCAAGTAAACAAACAAATTTGTTTATGTATGCCCACTACAGCAGCGAGAATCCTATATGAACAAAGATGGAGAGAGGAGATAGTCCCTACCAAGGAGTGGCAGACGAAATTAACGGAATATGCAAAATTAGCAAGCTTAACCGGCAAAATTAGAGACCAAGAAGAGAAAGGTTTTTAAGAGGAATGGAAGCCATTTGTAGACTACTTAGAAAACCATTGTAAAAGTGTTAGAACTTTAATCGGTTCGGAGTAAGTTCAGCAGTTATAGTTTAGAAGGAGAATAATTTGAATGTTTAAATAGTTAGAAAAAACAGAATATGCAGTGGGAATGGGAAACTTTAGGAAGCCATGGAAGTCGATGGAATAGAATTATGGATTGATGTAATGCAGTGCTTTTTTTCTGGGGGTATGCATACCCCTAAACATTTTTGTGTATCTTTGTACTTTTGTCCATTTACTGTATTTATTTCCCCCGATTTGAACTCTAAAATGGTGGTTTTCTTGATTCAAAATGAGAGTACCCCTAAACATTTTTAAAGAAAAAAAGTACTGATGTAATGCATCTGTTTTCTCTTTTTTCCTTCTGTTTCTTTCACTTATTCTTCAGTTCTGTATTTTGCACTTTTATAAATTCATAAATAAAAATTAAATATAAAACAAAAAACTCGAACAGGAAAGGCTTTCTAGACTCAAGACTGTGTGTTCCTCCCCACTTAACTTTGGGATGTGGAGTTCCAAGGTGTCCTGAAAAATGACTTTCAGGAGAGAAAAAAGGACACCTCCCTCAAAATTAAGTGTATCAGAAACCCAGAACCTTCGCCTATGGAGATTTCGCCCCTTTGATCATTTTCAAGTGCAATTTCTTCAACAGACGCACGTCACATTTCATGTTGTTTATCTGCACCCAAGTACAGTGGTACCTCAGAAGCTGAACGGAATCCGTTCCTGAAGTCTGTTCAACTTCCAAAACGTTCGGAAACCAAGGCGCGGCTTCCAGTTGGCTGCAGGAAGTTCCTGCAGCCAATCGGAAGCCGCGTCGGATGTTCGGGTTCCAAAGAACATTCGCAAACCGGAACACTCACTTCCGGGTTTGCGGCGTCCGGGAGCCAAAACGTTCGACTCGCAAGGCATTCGCCAACCAAGGTACAACTGTAGTGTTAGACAGAGATAGGGGAAGAAATAATGCATTTCTGGAACAGAACATTTCAGATATTTTGACCTGACGGATCTCATACTCACCAGTCTGCCTTGTCCCTGGGATAGCCGGTCCCTCCCAAACCGCAGTAGCACCCGTAGCGCATGTAGGCAAACGGCGAGCGCTGTGTGGTGCACAAGATCGCCCCGGCGAGCTGGAGGAGACCCCGGCGGGTCCGCGGCGCAGCATGTCCCAATGGGCTTCCTGTAGCTAGGGAAAGGAAAGCAGATGGGTTAGGATCTGTAGAGCCCTTTCTACGCAAGAAGTACTTGACAGCGGGCTGCCTCTTGTGGCCAGGTGTGGCGTTTGCCCTCTTAGGTGTGTGACATCATACTGGGTTCATAAGGAAAGGGTTAACGAATTGTAAAATGACTAACCCAAGGGGAGGAATTTGAGTTAGAGTTAGGGGGGTTGAGAAGTTAGTCTGGAGTTAGAGACAAAGAGAGGATAAGTCTGTGGGTTGAGCTAGTCTGATGCGGGAGAGTGAGAGAATCTGTGAAGAGGAGTCAGTCAAACAGTTGATATAATCAGTCAGAAGGTATTAGGAAGGCAAGGTAAAGGTAAAGGGACCCCTGACCATTAGGTCCAGTCGTGACTGACTCTGGGGTTGCAGCACTCATCTCGCTTTATTGGCCGAGGGAGCCGGCGTACAGCTTCCGGGTCATGTGGCCAGCATGACTAAGCCGCTTCTGGCGAACCAGAGCTGGAGCGGTACCTATTTATCTACTTGCACTTTGACGTGCTTTCAGACTGCTTGGTTGGCAGGAACAGGGACCGAAGAACGGGAGCTCACCCCGTCGTAGGGATTCGAACCGCCAACCTTCTGATCGGCAAGTCCTAGGCTCTGTGGTTTAACCCACAGCGCCACCCGTGTCCTTATAGGAAACCCGTATAGGCCGGTAAAGAAACTAAAGTGAAGAAACTGACAGGAAATTTTATCTGAGAAACCATAAACTTGTTAATGCTTATAAAATAAACTTGTTTATTTGGTTCAATTTTAACAACGGTCTGGACTCAGTGTTTTATCCAAGAGTAACGGGTTGGTGGCAGCGGGGAAGCGAGCACAGTGATGGCACAGCGATCAATAGACCGTTAAACGTCCGGGGACCCTGTGTGATCGCTATACCAGGGGACCACTGGCGGACGAAGGTGGGGGCAGAGTGAGTAGCCCACACCGGGTGTCATGGAGGGGGGGTTGACATCGCGGCTGCCACCCCTCCCGGGATGCTCAGCACTTGCCGCACACCCCAGGATGCTCGCCGCGCACGCCCCAGGACGCATGTCGCTTGCCGCGCAGCCCCCCAATGCGTGTAACACCACCTGTGGGCGGTGTGCCACGCCCCCTGGGACACACGCCAGCCACGCCCCTGGATGTTCACCGCTCCAGGTGATGGAGCAGGTAGTGGGGGTGGTACAAGGAGGAGTATTCAGAGGGAGAAGAAGGAGCAGACTGAGAAGAGGAGGTGTGGGAAGCTGGAGAGGCCACAGGGTTTAGTGAGCAGGGAGAGTCTGTGCCAGAAAACAGTCCAGACTCGGATGCAGAAGCGGAGGCTGGAGAGGAGGGGAGGCCAGGAGACAGAGATGAGCCAGGCTGCTGATGAAGCCAGGCAATCTCCCTGTCCTGCTGCAAGAAGCTGCCCTGGTCTCCCAGAACATGCAGAGAAATGAAGAGGGCAGAGCAATGAGAGACAAGCAATGGAGCCTCAGATCACTGGGGAAGGAAGACGACTAGGGGAGCTGGGGGAAGGTGGGAACCTTCAGTCTTCACAGCGGCCTCACTGGGGCAAGACCTCCTGGAAAGAATTGCCATGACCACTAGGCCTGAGCTATGGTTTGTTTCCTTTGATAAAGAGTTAACTTCACTGGCCTTGGGCGATTTATTGTTTCAGCGCTGACCTACGCCTGATTGCAGTCCTGACATCACGATCGCCTTTCCCAAGCTGCACCCACTGCCAGATGTCACACGTGTTGGCACACACGGTTTGTCGACAAAGCATAAAAGACGCTGAAGGGCACAGGGACAGAGGGTGCTGAGGGAGAACACCGGTCCGTCGAGCTGAGTGGCAGAGGCTCTCCAGGGGTCAGGCAGGGGGAAATGCCAGCCCTATTTGGAGATCCCAGATCTTGAACCTGGGATGTTCTGCACGCAAAGCATATCCTTCCCCAAGGAGCCATAGACCGTCCACAGGCTATAAGTGCTTTGCCCCTGGGAAAGAGAGAGAGAATGACTATTTCCCTTGGCTGGGGCAAATGTAGAGGCGGCCCCTTCTGCAATGCCAAAAAGAGTGTTGTGGGTCTGCACAAAATGCACATATTTTGTGTTCTGTTCAGAGGCACATTTAGAAATAATTACTATGATTTAAAGAGAAGAGTACCTCCCTAAAGGGACGCGGGTGGTGCTGTGGGTTAAACCACAGAACCTAGGACTTGCCGATCAGAAGGTCAGCAGTTCGAATCCCTACGACGGGGTGAGCTCCCGTTGCTCGGTCCCTGCTCCTGCCCACCTAGCAGTTCGAAAGCACGTCAAAGTGCAAGGAGATAAATAGGTACCACTCCAGCGGGAAGGTAAATGGCGTTTCCGTGCGCTTCTCTGGTTCGCCAGAAGCGGCTTAGTCATGCTGGCCACATTACCCGGAAGCTGTACGCCAGCTCCCTCGGCCAATAAAGCGAGATGAGCGCCGCAACCCCGGAGTGGACCTAATGGTCAGGGGTCCCTTTACCTTTACCTCCCTAAAGTCGGGGGGAGGCAGGCGCTCTGTGACCTGTGAGGGGAACTGCTCAGTCTGGAATTTGAGACTTCACCCTGTCTAGATGGAAGCTGGAACTTGTGGCCTCGTAGGAGAAAGTGGAGGCTCCGTCCAGTCCCTCTGCTTTCGGCAGGGCGTGGGAACCTAACTTGAGGAATGTACCTTTTATTTGCTTACTGTAGGCAAGGTCTACTTTCTGAAACCTGACTTACTCAAAAGGAGGTAAGTGTGCTGGCTGCAAGCAGCTGGAACAAACTCAAAAGTTGTGTGAGTCAGCACAGCTCTCCAGTGCTAAAAGAACGAGTCAAAGGGCCCCCGATTCTGAACTCTCTCTCATTCCCACTTACTGCCTTGAGGGACAACTTCAGGAGAAGAAAAGGCTAAGGAGTAAACCCTGTACAAATCCAGAGTGGATTTGTCCCTAAGGTGGTTGGATGGAACCTTGTATGCCTAATTCCAGCAACTCCTGCAGCCAAACATCTTGCTCTGCTTTCCTTCGGATCACCTCAGTGAGGCTGAGAGAGGGGGCTTGCCATCTGGGCAGCCCAGGTCCTCCATGCACACTCCCATCAGCCCCCAGAAAGCATGGACAATGGCCAGGGATGACAGGAGACAACAGCAGCAGCAGCAGCAGCAGCAGCAACAACAACAACAACTTATTATTTATACCCTGCCCATCTGGCTGGATTTCCCCAGCCACTCTAAGCAGCTCCCAACACCATCATCATAGCGATAAAACTTCAAACATTAAAAACTTCCCTAAACAGGGCTGCCTTCAGATGTCTTCTGAAAGCCAGATAGTTGTTTATTTCCTTGACATCTGATGGGACGGCGTTCCATATGGCGGATGCTACTATCATTGTCTCTAGCCATATGTCAAGCTGTTTGAAGCTGATAGGACTTCTAATGACAGCAGGAAGGTCACGGGTTGCCAGCCTCTGGCTTATTGTGTTGGACATTTTGATTCAAATCTCCACTCAGCCACAGAGTTGGCTGGCCTATTCTACTTCACAAGGTTGTTGCAAGGATACTAATAATAATTTATTATTTATACCCTCCCCATCTGACTGGGTTTCCCCAGCCACTCTGGGCGGTTCCCAACAGAATATTAAAAACACAATAAAACATCAAACATTAAAATCTTCCCTAAACAGGGTTGCCTTCAGATGTCTTCTAAAAGTCAGAGAGTTCTTTATTTCCTTGACATCTGATGGGAGGGTGTTCCACAGGGAGGTGCCACTACCGAGAAGGCCCTCTGCCTGGTTCCCTGTAGCTTTGCTTCTCACAATGAGGGAACCACCAGAAGGCCCTCGGTGCTGGACCTCAGTGTCCGGGCAGAACAATGGGGGTGGAGATGCTCCTTCAGGTCGACTGGTCCAAGGCCGTAGTTCAGCAACACCTGGAGGGCCAAAGCTTCCCCCTCCCTGCTTGAAATGCATAATGTGTGGGTGGCCTTACTTAATTTCCGCCCCACCCTTCCTCCCCAAGGAGCCCAGGGTGGCATAAGCAAGAAAGCAAACCAGCAAATAACATGCAAAAACTTTTATAAACATCCACCTATGGCACATGTTTCATTTCAAGTTTGCCAGGAAAAGCATCTTTGGGCCGTCCAGTGCCAAAGGGATTTTTTTGGACTCAGTCTGATCCTTATGTTCCCCTCCCCTTATGGTTTTGATCTATAAAGTAAAGGGTAAAGGGACCCCTGACCATTAGGTCCAGTCGCGGATGACTCTGGGGTTGCAGCGCTCATCTCGCTTTACTGGCTGAGGGAGCCGGCATACAGCTTCCGGGTCATGTGGCCAGCGTGACTAAGCTGCTTCTGGCGAACCAGAGCTGCGCACGGAAATGCCGTTTACCTTCCTGCCGGAGTGGTACCTATTTATCTACTTGCACTTTGGCGTGCTTTCGAACTGCTAGGTTGGCAGGAGCAGGGACCGAGCAACGGGAGCTCACCCCGTCGCGGGGATTCGAACCGCCAACCTTCTGATCGGCGAGTCCTAGGCTCTCTGGTTTAACCCACACCACCAAACGAGGCTGTATTTTAAATTGCATTCTAACCTGTATTTTAAATTGGGTCCCCCCACCCCGTTATGTTTTTCCTGTAATTTTACTGGTGTTAGCCGCCCTGAACCCGGCTCTGGCCGGGGAGGGTGGGGTGGGGTATAAATAAAATTTATTATTATCATCATCATCATCATCATCATCATCATCATCTCTAGCGCCACCTACTGTTGGACTCCCTGAATTCCACCCCACCCCCAGTCCCAATGGTCACAAGTCACCGCACTGCAAGGTATTTGTCATGTGGCGCAGGGAGGATGACATTGCGCTTCACAGAAAGAGAGTCCAAAAACTACTGGGTGCATGTAGGACCTCTTGGAAGCTCCTCAGGGAAGGCAGCGTGGTGTAGTGGTTAGATTGTCAGGCTAGGTCCTGGGAGGCCAGGATTCAGGTCCCCACTCAGCCATGAAGTTCACTGTCTCTCAGCTGGACCTACCTCACAGGGCTGTTGTGAGGGCAAAATAACCTGCCTCAAATAAAATAAAATGGAGGGGGGGGGAGGAATAACTGTGTGTGACACCTTGAGCTCCAAGGAAGAAAAGTGAGATGCAAATATAATAAGTAAATAAATAAGCAAGCAAGCTTTTGGGAGCCCAGTCAGTAAGATTGCCATTGGGCCAGGTACCTAGAGAATTTGCACCCTCTGTCAGGAGTCTTGGGAGACCCTGATTCCATTTCTGGCTGCTGAATTGCTTCATTTCCTTCTCGCTTTTCCTATCTGCATTTGTTTGCTAGGCATAGACTGTTGGGTCAACAAGAGGCGAAGCACCACCCTGTGTACACTGCTGGCGAAGGCAACAGGGTGAAAGGCAAACAGGGGAAAAGAGCAAAGCTCTCTGTCAAGATCCTGGCTCCCGTCTTTCCATGACGACATCAAAGCTGGTCTGCGAAGCAGCCGGATCCCGGACCGTCTGCCACGAACGACACCCTAACCCACAGGGTAGCTAGACCACCTTGCCAGCCCAGCTGCCGGGCGACAGGACAGAGGGGCAGACCGGGCGAGGGGTGTTGTAGCTCAGCAATTGCCTTGCATACAGAAGGGCCCAGATTCCATCACCGACAGCATCCCTGTACCCCATGTCCACCCGCAAACTGTCCGTTTATTTCATCCCTCCTCCTCCCTGCTCCTTTTATAGCCATCCCTTTTTTATCCTTACACGCAGAGGCAGCCTTACCTAGAATCAATGTTGGCCCACCTAGCCCAGTACTGTCAACTCTGACTGGCAGCAGCTCTCCAGGGCCTCAGTTTTTCCCATGACTTGCTACTCATCCTTTTAACCAGAGATGCTGGGGATTGAAACCAGAACCTTCTGCATGAAGGCAGGTGCTCAGCACCAGCGAAGGGCCCCACTGGTATCTGCTGCTTTTCCCAAGTCAAAGTACTTGCCCCTTTAGCTCCAGCAGTGTCAGCTCTGGCAGGCAGCAGCTCACCAGGGCTCAGTAAGAGGTTTTTCCTCCACTACCTGCTACCTGAGTGTGGTGCAGTGGTTAAGAGCAGTTGACTCGTAATCTGGTGAACCAGGTTCGATTCCCTGCTCCTCCACATGCAGCTGCTGGGTGACCTTTGGCTAGTCACACTTCTCTGAAGTCTCTCAGCCTCACTCGCCTCACAGAGTGTTTGTTGTGGGGGAGGAAGGGAAAAGGAGATTGTTAGCTGCTTTGAGACTCCTTTGGGTAGTGATAAAGCGGGATATCAAATCCAAACTCTTCTTCTTCTTCTTCTTCTTTACACAACAAACAACACAAGCAACACGAAGACCGGTATACTAGATAGCACTGTAGTTCTTATTACATAATAATTTAGTACAACAAAAACAAAATGTGTACACTTGTAAATTCTCTCATATATCTGAAAACAAATGAACACACATCTGTCAATCTTTGAAAGTCCGTAGAAGTAGAATGATTCTATGGTTGAAACAAAGTAATAGATGCCATCCTGTGGGCTAAGCGGTAAAACTTTTTAGGCGTTCATGGTGCCGAAGTAGTAAGTGAATTATCCCGGATAATCTGACTTTTTCGCTGGAATCTTCTTCAGCACAACACAGAGATTAGAAAAATGCACAAGGAGCAGTAGTCATAAGGATATGTAACGACTAAAAAGTTTTACCGCTTAGCCCACAGGGTAGCATCTATTACTTTGTTTCAACCATAGACTCATTATACAGTGGTACCTCAGGTTACATACGCTTCAGGTTACAGACTCCGCTAACCCAGAAATAGTGCTTCAGGTTAAGAACTTTGCTTCAGGATGAGAACAGAAATCGGGCTCCGGCAGCGCGGCAGCAGCAGGAGGCCCCATTAGCTAAAGTGGTGCTTCAGGTTAAGAACAGTTTCAGGTTAAGAACGGACCTCCGGAACGAATTAAGTACTTAACCTGAGGTACCACTGTACTTCTACGGACTTTCAAAGATTGACAGACGTGTGTTCATTTGTTTTCAGATATATTAGAGAATTTACAAGTGTACACATTTTGTTTTTGTTGTACTAAATCATGTAATAAGAACTACAGTGCTGTCTAGTATATTGGTCTTCGTGTTGCTTGTGTTGTTTGTTGCGTTAAGTTTGCAACACAGGGTTTTGTTGTTCTGTATACCTGAGATGCTTTAAGCTGGAGATGTTGGGGGATTGGACCTGGGACTTTCTGGGGGTTTAACCCTAAGCTACGGACTTTTCCCTGCCCCATACATTAAGCTGCCTGGTCCCACTGACTCCCCTGACTGGCAGCATCTCCCCAAAAGGGACTCCTCCAGCCCTGCTTGGATATGCCAAGGATTTAACCCAAGAACATCTCAAAGTGCTCTGCCAATAACATTATGGGCATAGCCAAGGGAGCAGCTGCACCCCTAAATCAAGTAAATAATAATAAAAAAAATATAATTAAAAATAGAAATAATCAGAATATTTGAAAATGAAATCGCAGGCCTAGTAAAATAGGCAGAAATCTTTTACCCTACCATGAAAAGGGCTCTGCCCCTCTCTCTTGCTCAGCAATGCACCCCTTGTACCTAGAGCCCTCATTCGGTCCCTTTCAGAGAGTAAACACCTGCCCAAGGTCCAAGATGTGAGACGCGGGTGGTGATGTGGTCTAAACCACAGAGCCTAGGACTTGCTGATCAGAAGGTCGGCGGTTTGAATCCCCGCGATGGGGTGAGCTCCCGTTGCTTGGTCCCTGCTCTCGCCAACCTAGCAGTTCGAAAGCACAAAGTGCAAGTAGATAAATAGGTACCGCTTCGGCAGGAAGGTAAACGGCATTTCCGTGCGCTGCTCTGGTTCTCCAGAAGTGGCTTAGTCATGCTGGCCACATCACCCGGAAGTTGTACATCGGCTCCCTCGGCCAATAAAGCGAGATGAGCGCCGCAACCCCAGAGTCAGCCACGACTGGACCTAATGGTCAGGGGTCCCTTTACCTTTACCTTTAAGGTCCAAGATGACAGGGGATCGTCTCCATGGGCTACGCTTACTGAGTGTGCACAGAAAAAGTGCCTTGGGGAAAAGGAGGAATTTGAGAAGGAAGTGCTGGAAAGGTTTTCTGCAAACCCAATAAAACTTGTTTTAGTTTGGATTTTTTTAAAGAAAACGAGATTTAAAAAAGGCGTGTCCTTTGTAATTTTGCAAAATATAACCGCATGAAAGGTACTCCCCATGTTTTTTATTATTATAATTTAACTTCCTAGTTTCCAAATGACTGAAGATTTTGACAGATTTTTTTCCCCCTGAGCCCTTGGGGGTCAAGAGAAAGTAATTTGAAACAAAAACTGTGGTGGAGACAGTTTGACAAGGACAGTTTGAGAAGGAAGTTTTGGAAAGGTGTTCAGCAAACCCAATAAAACTTGTTTTAGTTTGGTTTTTTTTAAGAAAACGAGATTTAAAGAAGGTGTGCTCTTTGTCATTTTGCAAAATATAACCGCATGAAAGGTACTCCCCATGTTTTTTATTATTATAATTTAACTTCCTAGTTTCCAAATGACTGAAGATTTTGACAGATTTTTTCCCCCCTGAGCCCTTGGGGGTCAAGAGAAAGTAATTTGAAACAACAACTGTGGTGGAGACATTTCATTCCAAATCTGCTGGGCGGAGCCAGACAGAGGATGGTGACAGGTGAGTGTCAAGATCCCAGGTCTTAGTTCTGAATTAAACGGGGAGAGTGGGAGCTGCCATCTAGCAGATAAGGGCGTCGGTGCGTCAAGCCCCGTCTTACGCACACCGAAAGGCAGCTGCTCTCCGGGGCTCCAGACCGGGTGGGGGGTGGCTCCCTATACCCAAGATTGCACCAAGGACCTATTCCGACCGAGAGCCGGGCTGCATCGCCCTGGGAGCCGACGGGGCGCCCGAGAGCGCCTCTGCAAAGCCTGGAGGCTTTGCTTGCGCGCCTTCAGCCAAGGCGCTCAGCGCATCTGCCGGCGCCCGAGGCGGGCATATGCCCAGGGGGCACCGGAGCCCGTCGGTTTTCCTGCCCACTCACCCGTCCGCAGCAGGAGCAGCAGGCACAGCAGCAGCAGCGCCGGGCGTCGCCCCGCCGGGCCCATCAAGCAGCGATCTCGGGGAAGGCGTCGAGGCAGGTGGCTGGCGCGCTCCGCCGTGCGTCCCGTCGAGGCGCTGCTGCAGCTCCTGCTGGCCGCGAGCGACGTGGCTGGCACTGCCGCCTCCTCCCGCCGCCGGCTCGGCCTGGACCCATATCCTCTCCCCGCCCGCCCACAGCCAGCCCTGCACGTGTCCGACGGGGCGGTCCGCGAGGCGGAGCCGGAGGGCGGCGGGAATGTCCCAAGTTGCTGGGCATTGTTATTCAAATGGGGTGTGTGCACCGCATCATGCGATCGATTACGCGAGCCGGGGCTTACCTGCCCCCCCCCCCAATATTTTATTCAAGTTGGCACCCCTGTCCAAGACAGAGGACCATCCAACCTCTGCTTAAAAACCTCCAAGGATGGAGAACCCACCACACTCCGAGGGAGACCGTTCTACTGCTGAACAGCTTATTGTCAGAAAGTTCTTGATGTTTATATGGAATCTCCTTTCTTATAACTTGAAGCCATTGTTTCCAGTCCTACCCTCCAGAGCAGGATAAAGCAAACTTGCTCCCTCTTCCACGTGACAGCCCTTGAGATATTTGAAGATGGCTATTATGGGAGGGACACGAGTTGCGCTGTGGGTTAAACAAGAGAGCCTAGGACTTGCCGATCAGAAGGTCGGCGGTTTGAATCCCCGTGATGGGGTGAGCTCCCGCTGCTCGGTCCCTGCTCCTGCCAACCTAGCAGTTCAAAAGCACGTCAAAGTGCAAGTAGATAAATAGGTACCGCTCTGGCGGGAAGGTAAATGGCATTTCCGTGCGCTGCTCTGGTTCGCCAGAAGCGGCTTAGTCATGCTGGCTACTTGACTCGGAAGCTGTATGCCGGCTCCCTTGGCCAGTAAAGCGAGATGAGCGCCGCAACCCCAGAGTCGGTCACGACTGGACCTAATGGTCAGGGGTCCTATCATCTCTCCTCTCTGTCTCTTTCCCAGGCGAAACATACTCCTTCAACCATTCCTCATATGGCTTGGTTTCCTCTGCGTAAGTTCCAGCTTGTCAACATCTTCCTTAAACTGTGGTGCCCAGAGAAGTGGACACAGTGTTCCAGGTGTGGGCTGACCAAGCCAGAATAGAGCCGCCCTCTTCTTCTCATTTCATCAAGTACATCAATGGCTGTACGTATTACAAGACATTTGGACGTGTTCCATGATTTTGGCAAGTGAAACCGTAGGAGGCACATGCAACAGGCAGGGCTCCTAGTCTGGATGGCTGAGTGTAGACAACCTCCAGGGTCAAAGACCTTAAGGGTCCACAGGACTCAGTGGGTTTTGTTGTTAGTTTATTTCACTCCCCCCACCCCGCAAACAAAAATCTAAAGAGGCAGCTTCCCACTGCCCAATTCTGCATTCTACATCTTGCCCTCCAGATGTTGTCAGACTCCAGGTAAGACTGATGCTTGCAGTCCAGGAACATCTGGAGTGCCACAGACTCCTTCCCTCCTGGTGTGTTTTTTTTTAAATAACATTTTATTTTTTACCAACCACCAAAACACAAACAGTCAAATCCCCCAGGTGGCTGATACATTGGGTATACATAATCAATAATATACATATTCAATAATATTCAATAATAACATAGTCAAATCAACCCTCCCTCCTGGTGTAGGACAACTATGCTTCTCCTTTTTATTGTTTATCCCTCATTTATTCCTCTTCCCTTTTCTCTCTCCTCCTTCTCCCCATCCCCACCAAATGCAGGATTCTACCATCATCAATCAGGCACGGGGGTGAGGGAGGGAGAGGCAGGTTGGTGAGTTCTGGCACCTCTTTTTCTAGAAAAATAGCACTGGGTATTGTCCCAGATTCCATCTTCAGCTAGGGCTGGGACAGGATCCCTGCCTAACAGTAAGGAAGCATAGGATACAGCTCTGGGGTTTACTGAATTAGTAACGAAACACACTGGGAGGAAAAGGGTGTCTGCTCCATGGTTGCAAAGGGTTCTGTGGTCTGAATTAAAACACCTACGAAAAGAAGAATGGAAACTTTCATCTTCCTTTTCACAGAAAAGAAGTTGAAAACTAATGTTGAACTGTACTGAATTCAGACTCTCAGCTAGACCTTTGGGGTGTGATGCTGCTGAGCTGCTGGGCTAGAGGCACAGCAAATAAGTACTGGACACTTTTAGGTTATGGGATATCTATTTTTTTCAAGAAGGGCAATTTGCCAAGTCTTGGAATCCCCATAGAGATCAGAGGTCTTCCGAAACTTGGAGATTGCAGCTCACGCTGCTGCCCAGTCACTTGAGGATGACATAATCGGCTTCTGTTTGCATCATTAAATATATGCTGTGGCAGACATGCAAATTAGAAAGATTAAAACCACTTTGTGAAAGCCACTACAGCAGTACCTCGGTTTAAGAACAGCCCCGTTTACGAACTATTCGGTTTACGAACTCCACAAAACTGGAAATAGTGTCCCGGTTTGAGAACTTTGCCTCGGTCTAAGAACGGAATCTGAACGGGGGAAGGGCACCGGCGGTGGGAGGCCTCATTAGGGAAAGTGTGCCTCAGTTTAAGAACGGTTTCGGTTTAAGAACAGACTTCCGGAACGGATTAAGTTCGTAAACCGAGGTACCACTGTGCTAGTTTCACATATGGCAAGTGGGGGGGGAGCTTTGGCTGTCCAGGTGTCGCTGAACTACAACTCCCATCATCCCTGGCCATTGGTCATGCTTTCTGGGTTTCACACCTCCGGTGGGTGGTATCCGTGGTGTCACCTGCAGTATGAATATCTTCAGCAGTGTGCTTTCAGACATACAGTGGTACCTCGGGTTACATATGCTTCAGGTTACAAATGCTTCAAGTTACAGACTCCGCTAACCCAGAAATAGTACCTTGGATTAAGAACTTTGCTTCAGGATGAGAACAGAAATTGTGCTCTGGTGGAGCGGCAGCAGCGGGAGATCCCATTAGCTAAAGTGGTGCTTCAGGTTAAGTACAGTTTCAGGTTAAGAATGGACCTCCAGAACGAATTAAGTACTTAACCCGAGGTACCACTGTACTAGAATAAGAAATGCTTGAGGGAGAAACTTTTGGAATAACATTGGGATATCAGCTCCGCGCAAGGCATGACGGATAGCAGCAACAGCTGGTAAAGATAGATATAATATTTTACAAGGACAGGAAGAAACGACGTGGACAGAATAAATGTCACAGAACAGGCAGAACAAGGATGTACGAGATCTTCACTTGTGGACTAACAAATCATTAAATGTGTCAATATGAATAGAAGTTATAAATATTGCAGCTGTTGTATAAGGGATTGCTATTAGGACTGGAATGTAAGTGAAATCAATATGATTTTGGAACGCAGAAATAAAGTAAATCATCAAACCATCAATTCTAGCACGCGGGGGTAGTACCTAAATTATGTGATTTCGTACTTGAATGGTTGATATTGGGAATTGTATTGTAATTTGGCATTGATATAATGAGGCTATTATTGGATTATTGTAATTGAAAACTAATAAAAATTATTATAGGGAAAAAATAAAGCTCAAAAATCACCCGCAGGACTACAGGCAGATTCAGAAAACAAATCACACTTTAACTGAATGCCTGTGATGCTGTTTGATAAATGGGAGGATACCTGAAAATCTTGATACCGATAGAAAAATGTGCAGCTTCTTTATGAGAACCCTGAATCAGGGAAAGCTATCGATGCATCATATTTTTGAAGGATAACGAGAGGAACGCCTCTCAGGACGTAAACCAGACTTGGATGGCTGTTCTCTTTAAAAATTTTTATTTCCCCTCACAGACTCACCAGGAGAACGCCCTAGAGAAGTCTCAGAAGAGGGAGGCTCTGAGCCAAGGGAGTGGTGTTGGGACACAGAAGAGAGAGCAGATTGGCTGGATGCTGAACAAGCAACAGGCTTGAGTGAGAGAGAGGAAGAACAGGCAGAAAGCACTACAGACGTAAGACAGGCAGCTGAGGCTGTAGCAGATTCACAGGAGCCTGCCAGTCCTCCCTTGTCTCCAAGGGCACGGAGGGCTTTGCATGAGGCAGAGCAAAGAGCGCAGAGGGTACAGGGGACCCCTTCCCTACCAAGTTTAAGAATGCTGAGAAAACAGCCGGACGGGGAGGAGACTTGGGGGGAAGTGGGAGGACCAGATCATCAGTTCTGACAGCTGCTTTACCGGGTCCAGTCTTGCTTTGTTTGTATTCTGTTTCCGTGAATAAAGAATCAACTTTACTGCTCGTCTCTGAGTCTCCGTGCTGACCTGTAGCTGAACCAGCCCTGACATCATGCTTGCCTTCCAAGCTTGTAAAGGCAGGGACAGGGCGGGGAGTTTCTGATCGTATAAAACATACAGCAATAGCAGCCTGAAGGATTTATTTCCAATAAAGGCCAGTATCCTTCACTCAACAACCCGCAGTCCTGGAGGAGACAGGGTGTGTGCCTAATACTCCCATCAAGGGGCAGAGGGGATAAGTTTGGAGCCTTGATCCCCCTCCTGTGCAACAGGGGTAGCAAACTGCTGGTCTTCCGGATGTTGCTGGACTACAAATCCCATCATCCCTGACTGTGGCTGGAGCTGATGGGAACTGGAGTCTGGCAACTTTTGGAGCGTTGCAGATTCTCCACCTTACCCAGCTTCACCGCAGAGCATTGCCAAAACACCCGTGAGAGTCTATTGCCACTCCCATTTCACAGATGAGGAAATGGAGCACCAAAAAGAGTGGAAAACCCGTGGATGAGCGGGGAATTTGAACCCAGGCCCAGTGCTCCGCCCACTGGGCTATATGAGCAGCAGCAGAGACACCGAAACTTTCTCCAGGTTTTCACCACGTAGGTATTTATCCAGAGTTTCCACAGGCGGTAGCCTGAGCAGCCACATAATTACAGCTTTGGGCAAACAGAACTTGTACCTTGCTTTGTAAAGATACCGGACTCTGCATCCCTTGCATAAGAGGGATGCTAATGGGCGCTCTAATGTATACGTAAAGAGAGTTTTGGCCATCAGCTGGTTCAAAGCATTTATACCTGTATCCTCATTCCCGGGTCCCACTGCTGCTATTTCCTCCCCACCCTTAACATTTATTAATATTTATTCAGGTCTAGAATAGAGTAGGTCGATTATTTTCATTTCCAGGTGACCTATTTGTCGAGCATTCACAGGAACACAGGAAGTTGCCGTACTTTAGGCCATTGTGCATCCAGCTCAGTGTTGTTGTCGTCATCATACCACCCTTCATCCACAGATCTCAGGGCAGTTCACAACATAAAAATACAATATAAAACCACAACATACATGATAAAACAAGAACAACAAAGCAATAAACCCCTCCCTCCTCCCACAATCACTGTTAAAAGATGTACAGTGATACCTCGGGTTACAGACACTTCAGGTTACAGACACTTCAGGTTACAGACTCCGCTAACCCAGAAATAGTACCTCAGGTTAAGAACTTTGCTTCAGGTTGAGAACAGAAATCGCACAACGGTGGCACAGCAACAGTGGGAAGCCCCATTAGCTAAAGTGGTGCTTCAGGTTAAGAACAGTTGCAGGTTAAGAATGGACCTCTGGAACGAATTAAGTACGTAACCAGAGGTACCACTATATAAGATGTTAATGGCCAAAGGCCTGAGGAACCCTACACTGAAGGCTCCACAGGGCTGAATAGCACACCCCAAGCATCACCCTCTGGAAATGCCCATCCAAGTACGACTGGAACCACCGCAAAGCAGTGCCACCCGCCACCCCTAACTCAAGATAGCCACTAGTGACTGACAGCCCATCTCCAGCATTTCTGACAAGTGTATCTTCCAGCCCCAACCGGAGACACCAGGGGTCAAACCTGGGACATTCTGCATGCAAAGAAGATGCTCTGCCACTGAGCTACCGCACTTCCAAATCTGTCCTGCACAAAGTTTCAAGGAAGGTTATACAACTGAGCATTCATTCTGCCTTGTTTGCGGGGAGGTTATGCAAAGTCGCACCCAGGACTATTCCACACTTTTCAGTACATTTTGTTCTGGCAGGTGGCTGTTGCACAAGACGGCTACATTCACGTTAATTGTGCAAGCAGAATTTGATGATACACGTGCCTGAATCCCACCCCTAAAATAGGCAATGTCCTAAGGTAAGGTTACCAGGTGTCCCCGTTTCCCCGGATTTAAAAATCAGTCCCCATACAAAATCCATTGAAGTTGAAAAGTGTCCCTGGATTCATTGAAAAAAATCTGGTAACCTTACCCTAAGGGATCATGGGCACTGTGGCAAATCTCCAGGACAGGGGAGACCAGCTACTCACACAAGACCTGCCACATTCTCAATATTGCATTGAGCACATTCTGACAGCTGTGGTTGAGACGTCACACAAAAGCATCAGCCACGGCCACAGTGCGCTGGGTGCTGCCCTCTCTCCTTCCTGTAGGGACACAGCATGATGCAAGTGCCTCCGTGTGCGCTTAGGCAGAGGCCCCGAGGGACTTGGCTGCCGGCCAGAGCAATCGTCAGCTGGAACCTGAGGTTGTTTTGCTAACGCTTCTTTCTTGCTCGGCTGTCCTGGTTAGGAATGTGGTGCCCGGTTGCCAAAATCTGGGGCATAAACGCAATGTGGAGAGGTCATGCAAGTGCCAGCGTAGAAATGCACCTTGCACTGGAATGCCACCAAAGCTGATGTGGGAGGAACCCTGAGTTGCAATGCGCAGGCGCAGTCTCCGATTGTTTGGGGAAAACCCTGGAAAGATGGGGACTTAGGCATCTGTGGGGAGGCAGGGGCCTTCTCTCTCTGCAAGTGCTTCAAGACTGAATGGGGCAAGACTGAACAGGGATGAGTTGCTGTGCTCGTTAGGCCTGACACTCCATGTTTTTGTTAATAAAGTGTTAACTTCAACTTGCGCAGTGTGATTTACTGCAGGCTCACCTCTGGTACACATAAAGATCTCTCAATTCTTCACCAAGGCTAGCAAGAGTCATGGTCCCATTTCGAGGGAGGACACATCCCAAAGCACCCAAGAGGAGTGTAGAGGGAGGCTGCTGAAGAAGCAGCCCCAGAAGCAGTGGTGTGGCCTAGAGGAAGCATAGCCAAATTTAAGGCTTGGGTTTGAGCCCTGGAATTGCGATTCCCTATCTCTGATCTAACCCTCCCTTCTGCTGACACAATTCCCTAGTTTGATGCCACAATCCTGCACACCCTAAACCGACAGCGGGCACTGCTGAAATCAGCGGGACACAATGGAGAGTAAACACAGTGAGGAATCTGCGTCATTAAAACTTTATCTTGAAAATCTGTAAGGTGTTAATGGGGGCTGAAACTCATTTGAATTAATTTCGAGTAGAAAGACAGGGCGGTTAAAAGATCTGGCGCACCATTTCTGAGCTGTCATGCTATTCTTCTTAGCCAAACCACAGGAGTTTTATGAACAGACACAAACTTGTGGATACATACATAAATGTTCATATGGCTAGAACTATTGTTTTGAAAATGGAACATCCAGCTTTCCCTCCCTTGGTTTTTAAATAGGGCATGTAAACATCACAGCAGGCACTGTCTTAGAAGCAGTGTTCCCTTCCTAGGTGTAATAAAATGGAGGCTTATTGATTTACTTATGCTGAGAGACAGTCTTTCTTCCATCGTGGAACCCAAGGAAGCACATATGCCATTCCCTGATGGTCAGCCATCCAGGCACTGACCAAACTCAGACCTGCTTAGCTTCAGCATCATGGTGGATTCATATACTTCTCAACCATATGCTACAATGCCTCTTAGGGGTTTTTTTGTTTGTAATCATAAGTACTTAAAAAAAACCTGCAGAGGGCAAGCACCCTCTTGGTTACATAAAAAAATTGATTACCCAGTAAACTGGTGATGCCTCTTCACTTGATTGGAAAGGCTTTTAATCAATTAACCTAAATGATTTAATCAATTGAAGGGTTGCAGCCTTACACCTTACACTTCAGAACATTACAAGCAATAGGAGAAGTGAGTCATAGCTCAGTTGGTTGAAGTGTGGTGCTAATAACACCAAGGTTGCAGGTTTGATCCCCATAAGGGGCAGCTGCATATTGCATATTACAGGGGTTTGGACTAGATGATATTCAGGGTACCTTCCAAGTCTATGATTCTACAGTGCAACTCTGTGCAAGTCAACGGAGAAGTACTGGTAACTCCCAGCTAAAGTGTGCCTCGGACCACAGCCTTAAAAGGTTTTAGTTCAGGAGTATCTAATCTGGCCACATGACCTGGAAGCTGTCTGCGGACAAACGCCGGCTCCCTCAGCCAGTAAAGTGAGATGAGTGCCGCAACCCCAGAGTCGTCCGTGACTGGACTTAACGGTCAGGGGTCCCTTTACCTAATCTGTAACGTTCCAGATGTGAGACTCTTGACTCTCACCAGTCCCAGCCAGCACGGTCAATAGGCTTTGTACACACCATACATTTAAATCACACCCTGCCACACATACAAAGAATTCTGGGAACTGTAGCTCACCCACCACAGAGCTACAACTCCCAGCACCCTTCCTTATTTAGGCACTTTCATAACAACGCAGCAAGGCATTGTACGTCATACAAAATTACAGTAAGAGGAAGAAGAACTACTAAATACTAGTTGGTTAAAAACAAAGCAAGCCACATCGCCAAAGCCTGTCAGAATAGGACTGTTTTTAGGAGGCGTGTAAAAGAAGGCAAGGATGATGCCTGCTGCACCTCAGCTGGCAGGGAGTTCCTCAGGGCAGGGCTTATCGCACCACAGGCTCCTTCTCCATTAAAGGCTGACCAAACCTTGGGGTTGTGGAGAACCACCAGAAGTGCCCCATCAGCATAGCTGTCAACGTTTCCCTTTTTTAAAGGGAAATTCCCTTATTCCGAATAGGATTCCTCGCAAGAAAAGGGAAAAGTTGACAGCTATGCCCATCAGAGGATCTCAAGGATCAAGGTGAAGCATAAGGGATCAGAGGCTCCTTAAGGTACCCTAAACAAACTACAGTTCCCAGGATTCTTTTCGGGGGCAGGAGGGGTTCAAATGCTTTAAATGTATGGTGCGTGCAGAGCCAAAAGTCAAGGCTGATGAGCTTTGTGGTTCTGCAAAAGCAGGAGGAAGACGACAGGTGTGTTTCTCGCCGCCCCCCCCCCAGCCTGTGCTCTAGATGGCCTTTTGTTTATATTTACATTCATGTATGTCGCATGTATGAGGGACACGGGTGGCGCTGTGGGTTAAACCACAGAGCCTAGGACCTGCCAATCAGAAGGTTGGCGGTTCGAATCCCCGCGACGGGGTGAGCTCCCGTTGCTCAGTCCCAGCTCCTGCCAACCTAGCAGTTCGAAATCACGTCAAAGAGCCAGTGTGGTGTAGTGGTTAAGAGCGGTAGTCTCGTAATCTGGGGAACCGGGTTCGCGTCTCCGCTCCTCCACATGCAGCTGCTGGGTGACCTTGGGCTAGTCACACTTCTCTGAAGTCTCTCAGCCCCACTCACCTCACAGAGTGTTTGTTGTGGGGGAGGAAGGGAAAGGAGAATGTTAGCCGCTTTGAGACTCCTTCGGGTAGTGATAAAGCGGGATATCAAATCCAAACTCTTCTTCTTCTCTTCTTCAAAGTGCAAGTAGATAAATAGGTACCGCTCTGGCGGGAAGGTAAACGGCGTTTCCGTGCGCTGCTCTGGTTCACCAGAAGCAGCTTAGTCCTGCTGGCCACATGACCCGGAAACTGTACGCCGGCTCCCTTGGCCAATAAAGCGAGATGAGCGCCGCAACCCCAGAGTCGGCCATGACTGGACCTAACGGTCAGGGGTCCATGTCGCATGTATAAGTTCAGGAGACTTGCTACTTCTTGCAATTCTCTCATTTCAAAATATAGCTAATTTCATTATCATAGCCACATACCTGTCCTTGGTTAATAATGCACTCCGAGCCGCTAAGGTATTCCCCTTGGTGTTTTTGCAATTACATCTATCTGGATATTATCAAAGATATGTGTCATCATTTCTGACTCCAAGAGATCTACGTAACTTCTCGCTCTGAGCATAATTGCTGAATGAATATCTGTCTGGATTGGCTGAGTGGGGACAAACCTATAATTTGGCATAGTCTTAAACCTTTCACAATTAACCAGAAGATCTCAATAAGGAAGACAGCCTTGTTGCTGAATTCGCCCATTCCTACTTCACTGCAAGCTTTCTGACATGCGGGAGATTCTCTTTGAAGCAGGGGTTTCCACACTGACACCGTTCACCAGCTGCGGAATCCTCTGGGCATCTCCCAAGGAATCCTTGTGTGCTGCAAAGGATTCTGGGACATGCTCGGTCTGAACGAGGCACTGGTCAGACCTGCTTTGCATCATGTGACTCTTTGCCCTGGAACACACTCAGTGCTCCTCCACAATGTTGAAAACTGCAGCCAACCTTTGCCATGGCGAATTATTTGACTCTCATCAGCTCCAGCCAACATAATCAATAGGCTGCTCCATACATTTAAAGCACTCCCCACCTGCCAAAAACAGAATCCTGGGATCTATACTTTAACCACCACTGCCACCCCCCACTTCCTAGCCCTGACCTGGTAGCAGATGCAGAGAGAATGAACCAGATGCACAATCTGTTGCGTGTTGACACACCTGCTCAAAAACTCTGGGCAATGTCAGAGGAGGGGGAGTCAGTCCCCCCAAATATTTATGCTAAAAGGTCTGGACTGTAAAATGAAAACACATTATGCAATCCCTGAGACACCTTCTCTATCAGGAGCTGGGATGTGGCTTAGGCGGCCAGAGGATATAGGATCTCTCTCCTCAGCCTTCCGCTTGCCAGAAACAAAACAAGATGTTTAGGGAAGTTTTTAATATTTAGTGCTGTATTGTTTTTAACACGCGATTGGGAGCCGCCCAGAGTGGCTGAGGAAACTCAGCCAGATGGGCGGGGTATAAATAATAAATTATTATTATTATTATCTCTTTCCTGATTTTCACTCCCCTCTCCTCCTTTCTGTGTTTTATCTTGCATAACTTGAACTTGGGTTTGTTTGGACTGAATTGCACCTGCAACCTTGCCCTTCTGTGTGACTTTTGCTAAGATGCACTGTTTTGCTAAGGGCACCCACAGGACACTTTCAGAGAAGCTGGTCTGCCACTACTGGTCTTCACACTGATAAGCCCTTGATAAGCTTCTCAGTCTCTTTCCTTTATTTGTGCTTCCTGCAGCAAGCAAGGAAGGAGCCATGCAACTATGGCTCCCAACTTCAAGAAAAGCCAAGTGATTTGAATCTCTCCAAAATGGAGATTCTAAAGCCTACATCTTTGCTAACCCAAAGATTGCATGATAGCTTTGTAAGGAAACCATTTTTTTCTTTTTTAAAAGTTGCTTGGAACCCTTTTCATCTTTGCTTTACTGCCAGCAGATGGAGACTCTGTGAGTAAAATATTCACCTATGATTTATTCTAGCCTAAATATTTTCATGGGAACATTTGTTTAAAGGTGGATGAGGGCAGGTGTAAATCGAACCGAGTTTTGATGTGCTTGGAGCCATCACTACTGTGCTAACTCTGCTATGAGAGAGTAAGAAATCTCTCTTCCAAACATCTCTCTCCAATACTTAACCACTATCAGGTGACACATTTACACCATGAAGTAGACACTTATCCAGTAAAATGGCAGCACATGTGAAACTTGGGACTGGGAGATCTTACAAGTTTATTTGTGGGGGTTTTTTAAATGTCTATGCTGTCGTTTCTCTCACTAGGGAACCAAAAGCAGCAAATACCACTGAAATACAAAACTATCAAAAGAATATCAAAACGCAACACTGAAATAAGGCAATCAGCAGTTGGAACAAAAAAGGCAAAAAAAAAAAAAAGAAGTCCTTGCTTCAGCTTCCCCCAAAGGACACTTAAAGAGCAAAGTATTCCACCAGGAGCCAGAAGGCATACAGGGCTCCAAACAGTGCAAATTCCAATTGATACCGCAACCAAAATGTCCCTGCTCCATCTAGTCAAACCTCAGTGGGTTGGGAAACCCAGAGTAGAGCCTCAGACACTGGTGCGTACAACAGGTCACACCTGGGAGAAGGTGGCCCATAGAGGTTAGAATTGATATCAACAACTATAAAAAAGTGGCATATTATCTGTGTAGTCCTGCTTAAGTTTCAGGGAGTACAGTATGTTGAAGTCAAGCACTCTGTGAAGAAGCTTTATTAGCAGGGCAGCGGTACTTCCTGGCAATGTTAATTGCTCCTGTGCAACTATTATAAACCTATGTTTTACTGCAGGTTAATTGCTGCGGCTTTAGGGACAGCCATAAAGCATACAGGAAGGAATGCAACGGACAGGCGAGTCTGCCTCACTTGAACTGGACCCTAGGGGTTCATTATCCGTTATATCCACAGCAGCCGAATCAGCTGCCTCTTTCCAGCTGCCTCAACACAGGGTCACAGCTCCCTGCGAAGTTCTCCTCCACAAGCCCCAATGAAAGAAATGGGAGTGTGCCCCCAGAGAGGTCAGGTCTGTCTGTCTCAAGCCCTTCAGGGCACCCAAAATCTGGGCTGTGTCTGATGATCACACACAGCCCTGTGGCCACATTTGTTTAGATGTGAACCTGCATTCTGCACAACTCCTGTTACTTCCTCTGGGACTCATGAAGGAGAAGACTGCATTGCAGATCCACCTCCCAGACTCTTAGGTTTTCACCCGCTCCATACATTTCAATGCAGAATAACATGCTCCGTGTACAACAAACTAAAATGCTATGTTGGTTGCAGTTCTTAAACGGGGAACTGTTTGCTTCTGAAATTATAAAGGCACAAACCTCTGTCACTGAAGAACACTCTCTTTTTTTTGGTTCTATGGATCGCGTAAATTAATTCCCCTACTACTGACTGCCTGAAGTTAGGTGGAAAGATAGTTAAAACTGACTGAAGGGGCTTTTCGGTGATGGGACGTTGCTGTGAAAGAGGCTCTTCTTCCAGATTAAGGCTGCAAATGCCCAATACATTTAAAGCACACAGCTTTCCCCAACGAATCCTGGGGGAACTGTCATTTGTTAAGGGTACTGGGAACTGTAGCTCTGTAGGGGATAAACTACAGTTCCCAGGATTCTTTGTTTGCGTGTGGAGGGGGGGAGAAATGTGTTTTAAATATATGGTGCATATGCAGACCATATCAAACCAGCAGATACCAGAAAGCATTCCTTTACTTACCTAGGACAGCTACTTTCAAGTGTCAAGATATAGTTAAGAAACCCCTTTTCCCCTGCACAGAGAAGAGCAGACATGTTTAGCTGCAGAATTCCATGCGCAGCACAGTGTGAGTTGGGCTGTCTTGCAGTAAGGGAGACAAAGAGGGTTTGTAAGCAAGAGAAGCTGTGCTCCTGCAGCCCAGGAGACGGGGGAACCCCTTCTCTCAGAACGGAAAGAAATGGAAAGAGAGCCAGGCCACCTGAGGACACAACCATACCATTAAAACCAGTACGACTTCATTGATTTGGGAGAGGGACTGGAGACCTGAGCGACAAAGGATAGGGCACTTCCATGATTTTCCAGGTAATCCAGGTAATAAGGATGGAGGGAAGGATATGCGCTTAGCTTCCAAACTGCCCCTGGTTCCCGCTACCTTCAAGGGCTGAGCCACACACAACACTCTTGCAGCAGTTGTTTTTCTGCATGGCTGAAGGTGCCAATGGACGGATCTGGGCCATTCTGCGCCATGCACATAAGCTTTGTGAAGCAGTGGGAATTGCACCATCCCTCTTGTGCAGTTTTGTGAGGCTAATCCAGAAAAGGTAGTTTTCATGGAGGCAGCTCCTTTGGGGTTCTGCAACTCTCTTCCATACAGGTAGGTACATACTTCTCAGGAGAGTTTCTAAATATCCCCAAAACACCCAGAGAAATTGGGTGGAGGGTCTAGCTTTTCCATGGTTCTGTTTATCCCCTGTGCTCATTGCCAAAGCCCTTCACAAGGAGGAAGAAGAAGCTTTCATGCCTTGGCTGCTGATTTCCTTAGCTGCCGGCTTCCCTTGTGACATCTGAAGCACACTGAGTCCTTGCTGAAAGGGAAGATCAGCACAAAGGCCTGAGGAAGAACAGGACCACGCCGGTAGGAGGGACCTTGGTGCGAATGGGGTCATTGAGCTTGTAGGTCCCCATGAACAACTTTTCCAGCACTTCATAGACCTTGTAGCCTGCCTTGCAGTCCAAGATGCCCAGAAGTCCCAGAGTCGTCACAATTGGCTTTGGTGCCCCATCGGTGCCGTTGTTCATCACCGCTACCGCGAACTGGCCATTGACGAGGGGCCTCTTCCATACTTCCAAGTGTTGGCTCTGTCAGGCAGAGATGGGGAGAGGCTTGGTTACTGACATTTAGCTTTATGCTGGGAAACTACTGGGTAACTCACTTAACGATCTAAAAGAACGCCTCACCCGTTACAAACGCAATCAAAGACCTCCTGCAGGCACCACCTTATCAGAAGGTCAAATGTGTCTGTCATGGACTGGCCGACTGGATACAGAGGAATGGTGGGAGACGCAGGCTGGGGAACCCCCAGGGGAAGAAGGCTCAGAGCCCGGGGATTGGTGGTGGGATGACGGTGAGCGGTCAGAGAGAGAAAAGAGAGCAGACTGGGAGGAGCAGGTGTCGGAAGCAGAAGAGGCAACAGGGTTTAGTGAGAAGGGAGAGTCTGTGCCAGAGAGCAGTCCAGAGGCAAAAGCAGAAGCGTGTGTGTGTGTGTGTGTGTGTGTGTGTGAGTGAAGAGGCAGAGTTGAGACAGGCTGCTGAAGAAGCCAGGGAGTCTCCCCCTCCTGCTGCCACCAGCTCCCCTCCCTCCTGGTCTCCTAGAACATGCAGAGAAAGGAAAAGAGCAGAGCAGTTATGACTGCTTTGGGAAAGACCCCTGAAGAGGAGTAGTCTTACAGAGTGGTGTCAAGGCGGGGACCTTCAGCCCTTGCAACTGCCTCATTGAGGGCACGACCTACTGGGATGAGTTGCTGTGATCACTAGGCCTGCACTGTTTTGGTTTCTTTGAATAAAGAGCTAACTGAGCTGACAGCGTGTTTTCTTTATTGGTGACCTACGCTCAACTCCGGGTCCTGACATGTATGATGTAGGAATCCAGCCTACTCTTTTGAATTCCCTCCCTTTACACCAGATGTGAGGGAGCTTTGGCCCTCCAGGCGTTGACGAAGAATAACTCCCAATGTCCCTGGTCACTTTGTTTGCTGGGGCTGATGGGAGTTGATGTTCGGCAACATCTGGCGGGCCAAAGGTTCCTCACCCCTACGTTGCATACTAGTCAGGCGCCATCTTTGTCATCTTTTCGGCACCTGCTGAATACTTTTCTCTTTCAACAAACCTTTCAAGTGGAGATCTTTCTGCCACTCAGCATCAGAGCTGTTTTTGAACACAGAATTGTTTTTAAATGTTTGCATTGTGTTTATTTATGTAACTAGTTTTAGATGTGTTTATGCTTTTCTTTTTTATGGTTGCAGCTCAGAATCTGCATTACAATTGACTTCTGTACAGCGCCCAGTCATTTGGACATTGGATAAATATTTATCACTGGGCATTGCCATCACCACAATTACCATTCATTCATAAGCTGCTGCCTTGACACTGTGTACAGGAAATGGCAGCGATTCCGCCCAAGCCATCTGGCACCGGTCTGCTTTCTCAAAGGGTCGGGTGACCTACAATGCACACAATCTCTGCGCTGTGCTTACGAACAAAATTCGTTGTTGCCTTATACTGGGTCAGACTCACTGACTGGCAAAGGCTCTTCAGGGTTTCAGGCAAGAAGTCTACCTGGAGATGGCGGGAATGGAACCTGAGACTATTTGCATGCGAGGCAGAGCTATGCAGACTTCCGCTCCTTCTTGAGGTCACTGTCCATGCAACTCTGCAGGGATGGGACATGTACAGAAGTAGAGGAGTGTGGGGGAGACAGTGATGGTGTTACTCCTGATGGTCAGCATTTGCTGGCCTGCCTCCGATAGGAAAATGACTGTGGCCAGTGCTGTAGCACAGAAGTGACAATAAACTCTTTATTAGCAAAACAGCATCTGCACAGGAGTCAGGCCTAATGAGCAACTCAGGCCTTGCCCCCATGAAACAGTTGCCGAGACTAAACATCCCTGCCTTCCCAGAGCTGTCTAAGTCCCCCTCCTCTCCAGGGATTTCCCCCCAAGCAACTGTGTCTGCAGGCCTGTCTTTTATGCCTCTCCTGCTTCTGGGAGACAAGCGGGGAGTGGAGCTCGTCACAGCAGGCGGGGAAGACACTCATGACTCTTCATCTCTGCTTCTTGGCCTCCCTCCTCTCCTGCTTCAGCTTCTGCCTCTGATTCTGAACTTCTCTCTGCTACAGACTCTCCCCGCTCACTAAGCCCTGTTACTACTTCAGCTTCCGACACGTCCTCTTCCCAGTCTTCTCCCTCTGACCGCTCATCATCATTCCACCACCATTCCCCGGGCTCTGTGTCTTCTTCCCAGCTGGTTCCTCCGACCATTCCTCTGCACCCAGCCAGTGCTTGACATCACAAGACTGCAGTGAATGGTTATGACATGGGCTTCTTTCAAGTTGGGGACAGGAAACCTGTAGCTCTCCAGAAGCTGCTGGACTACAACTCCCATCATCCCCAAACACTGCTCCCGCTGGCTGGGGCTGATGGTTGCTGGGAGTCTGACAACATCTGGAGGCCCGCAGGCCACCCAAACCTGCTCAAGCAGAGTTCTGGCTATGGCCACCAAATTCCCAGTATTGGCACAACCTAATCTGGGGTGTGACAAAGAGAGTGCACAGAGCTATTATTAGGTTCGATACTCTGCTTAATTATTACCCTGCTGTGCCTATCAATCCTAGGAATTGGTGATGTGTGTGGGGAAAACCTGCAGGCCGCGACTATCAGCAGGTATCACACTCACAGCTGGAGCCTCATTACGAAATGAGGTGTGGCTCCTATTGATTTGGGATCAGGTGGAAGGGAGGCCCGTGTGTGGGAGGGACAGATATCCGGGGGAGGAGGGTGTCGCCGGAGTAATATTAATGACTAAGAAGGTAAGAAAACAAATCGCCTGCTGGTTGCAGGAAGGAGCGGGATGGCAAAGCGCTAAGTCCCGATGCTGATCGAGTTCACATGCCACAAGGGATGAGTGCGTGCGAGGACAATTACGGAAAGAAGGAGCTGGGAGCCTGATGCTGGCCAAGGTGGCCCCAGGAGACTCAAAAGCCCAAGCTGGATCCTGCCACAAAGCCAGCTGCTGCTGTGTCATCCAGTACTTCAGTGGCCATGTAGGAACTGCTCCTAACTGCTCCTACTCATTTGTGGCTCTTTCTTCCCCTCTGTTTACCTTGAATAGAAAAATGGTTACGCAGGACATCCCGTTTCTGGTTCCCTGGTTTCTGAACTTCTGCCCAACTTGGAAAATGCCACATGTTGTTTTTCTTACAAACTGGCATTGCTGAACCTCTCCAGCCCCTCCCATGTCCCTCAGCTGTTTATGGCGATGTCCAGCGTTCAAGGAAGAGCTGTGCCTCAGCGGTAGAACATTTGCTTTGCCAAGAGAAGGCCTAAGGTTTGAGGAACAACCCCTGCCTGAAACCCCTACCAGTCTTGAGCTGCCAGTCAGGGCAGACAATACTGACTTAGATGCACATTGGCACAAAGCTGCTTTCTATGGATTACCGTATTTTTCGCTCTATAAGACGCACCAGACCACAAGACGCACCTAGTTTTTGGAGGAGGAAAACAAGAAAAAAAATATTCTGAATCTCAGAAGCCAGAACAGCAAGAGGGATCGCTGCGCAGCGGAAGCAGCAATCCCTCTTGCTGTTCTGGCTTCTGGGATAGCTGCGCAGCCTGCATTCGCTCCATAAGACGCACAAACATTTCCCCTTACTTTTTAGGAGGGAAAAAGTGAGTCTTATAGAGCAAAAAATACGGTACTCCGCAGTGGTGAAGTACAGTGTTCGACATGAGAGAGAAGGCTAAGAAGCAATCTGTGTAGGTAAGCAAAGAAACATCAACAAAGGCTTCATTGTATTATTATATTAATCACCTTCTAAATCACTGTCTCAAGGCCATTTACACATAAAACAGAAAAAATATTCCTGGGACTCTAGGAATCCTACTGCAACCCCATCTTAGTGTCAGAGCACCTGCTTTGCAGGCAGGCCCCAGGTTTTATCCCTGCCACCTCCAATTAAAGCAAGGGTGGGGAACCTAAAGCCCAGAACCCAAATGAGTCCTTCCAGGCCACTCTAGCTGGTGTTCAAGACTCTCCCCAGGCCACACCCGGGAGGGCTGCCTGGTTGGCACTGACCCGTGACACAGCCTTTTCAGTGGTAGCTCCCCAGTTGTGGAATGCCCTCCCTAGTGAGGCTGCCTCGCTACATGATTGCTAACTTTCAGGAGGGAATGGAAAACACTCCGGCTTTTGCTGGCTGAAGAACACTGTTCCTGGCAACCCTGAGATCAGTGGATGAAAGTACTGTATTGGTCCAAATATAAGCCACACCCGAATACAAGCCGCACGTTTAAAATTGGAGGGGGGGGAGAAAAAAAAAGAAAAAATACCTGAATATAAGCCACTCCATTCCTCGCTGCTCCTGGCTGCATATTGGATATGGGGGGGGGGGACTGCGCTGCATTGCTGTTGGCCTTTCCCCTTCTTCACCCTCTCTCCCTTCCTGGCCGTGGGGGAGAGGACGGGGGACTACGCACAGGGTGGGCGCTGCTTTGCCGCGTTCCTGGCTGCATACCATAAGGTTGAGAATATAAGCTACACTTTAACTTTTCATGGTTGGAATTTGGTGGGGGGAAAGTGAGACTTATATTCAGGCCAATACGGTATGCTTTTTATTGCGGTTGCCATTTAGAATGTTTTCATCTGTTTTGGAATGTTTTTGCTTTGATTTTTAACTGTTTATCTTTTTGCAGCCCTGGGGTGCATGGGAAGAAGGCAGGGATATAATTTTAATTAAATGATGAGAATAATAATAATAATAATAATAATAATAATACTCCCCTCAAGAGATTCTGCCCAGTTGGAATGCCTTCCTGAACTAGGAGAACACCTCACGCTCACCTGGCTGGAGAGGTGTGTGTACAGTAACCTCAGACTCCTACACAGCTGACTTTGTCAGATAACTTGCTTCACTCACTTCCCCTTGGCTCCACCCACTTTCCCATTGGCCACACCCATTTTGCCTTTGGCTCCACCCACCACAGGCACACAGCTTTCAGACTGCAAAGAGGTTCCCTGGACCTGAGTTGAAGGATCTTGGGGGACAGGGAATTGTGAACGGGGGAGTTAAGACTTTGGAGAGCTGCTGCCAATCAGAATAGGGGATGCTGAGGTAGATGGACGAAATCTGGCCCTGGCACAAGGTGGCCTTGTATGTCCATATGCAGCTTAGCTGCATGGACGACCCATTCCATGGATGACATGTTTTTAGGCTCTTGCAACCACCCTAAGGATAAAGAACGCTACTGCTCAGGTCCCCATCTCAGTGACTCAGTAACCATACCTTTGCAATACGCTTCCCTTGAATCCCCAGATTGTCTTGGTTGATGTAGATGAGCAGTGGGTTCTGCAAGATGTTCTTGGCCTCGGTTGAGATAGTCCGCAAGTTACAGGACATGAAGAAAGGGGCCGCCAGCACTGCCCACAGGGCCACCTGCACTTTCGACTGCTCGTAGCTCAGGCCAAAGTTACCAAGGATCAGCTGGGGGGGAAAACACAAGACAAGAGAAAGAACATTTTATTCAGCAGTGTGTCATCTTCTAGAGGAAGAGCAACACAAAAGGAAAGGGAAAAATGATTTACAGCTTTGAAACCAGATCCTGAATGTAAAGACAAATTGGGACGAGTTTATCCCTGATTAGGTTTGCCATGGCCTGATGGTTATTACCCTGTGGTAACACAGAGGCAGGTTTTGGTGCCAGTGTTGTGGAATGCCCTCCCTGCTGAAACATCACAGCCCTCCATATGTGCTGGCATTCCTCCAGCCCTTGAAGACACACCTGTTTAGGGGGTAAGTGTTCCCCAGAACGGAACGTGCGGTTTTATTGCTCTAACTGTTCAATGGTACTAATTATCACACTTTTTAATGGTTGATTGTATGTTTTAATGCCTTAATGGATTTGTCAATTGTGTATTTTAATTATGTACCAATTTTAATCATTGTAAAACACTTGGAAGCCATTCTGGCAAACAAGCGGTATATAAATCAATAATAACCAAAACATCTTGTTTTAAATATTCATAGGACACCTTTCCAAGCGAGTTATTACAACTACTAGCTGCCAAGGACTTGCAGAATGAGGTATTCTTATTTTGGCATTTGTAATAATAATAATTAGAAGACTGCCATTTTCTACAATGAATTACTGGCTTGCAAAGCCCTTTGTTTATACACATGCCAGTAAACCATGCAGTAACCTTGAAGGTGGGCCACTATCCCTGGGGACTGCTGAGCACGGGCACCACTAAAAGTGGAGGGCAGCCCTGACTCATGGGGGGCACAATTCATGGGGGACTTCTGCTGATCAGCTCCCATCATCCCTGACTGCTGGCTTGGGAGCCCTGCCACAATTGCAGAGGCACGCATTGCCCATCCCTGCTTAAGACAGCATCTTCCAGCAATGCAGACCACTTTCTTAGGTTCTGTGTCAATGTCCCCTTTGGATAGGTAGATTCTTATCAAATTCATGTTGATTCTTTCTATACAACTTAGAAGTTTTTCTTGCAATCAAGTAGTAAATAAAAATAGTGTCAAATAAATCAATAAATTTCCACCTGTGGGCAGAAAAACTTGAAAGGCAGTACAGACATACCTTGGTTTTTGAACAGCTTAGTTCTCAAATGTTTTGGCTTCCGAATGCCGCAAACCCGGAAATGAGTGTTCCGGTTTGCGAAATATTTTTGGAAGCCGAACGTCCGATGGGGCTTCTGTGGCTTCCGTTGGCTGCAGAAAGCTGGCTGCAGCCAATCAGAAGCTGTGCTTTGGTTTTCAAACGTTTGGAAGTTGAATAGACTTCCGGAACGGATTCCGTTCAACTTCCAAGGCACGACTGTATAGGAATTAAAAGCGCTGGAAATTAAAAGGAAGCTCTGCAGAACAGAGGAAGGAAAACGCCCTCTAGTGGTTACTTGGAGTGTGAAGGTTGTCAGGCTTGGTTTAGGGATTTCCCTGCCTCTCTTATCATTTGCAGTCCAAATGTCCTCCTAAATCAGACCTACAGTCTTCTTTTCTCAGATTGCCTTGGAGCTATTATAAGAAGTGCAGTTTCTGGATCAGACTGAAGCCCTTCTCACCGACCATCCTGTCTCCAGAGCAACCACTGAAGATATCTCTGGGAAATTCGTGACTGCAGCACGCAAGGTGACAGCCATTCCTTGGGGTTTGTTCCCAACAGCCAGAATTCAGAAGCGTCCTGTTTCTGTGCATGAAGGTTCTGCAGGGCAACATTCTGTCCTAGATGTTATTTAGCATCTAAAGGAAGCCACTGGGAGCAGACTTTAGGAGCATGGTGCCATCAGCATGCTGATGACATGCAGCTCTAGTTCTCTGAATAGGAGAGGTCATGCAAGACCTGGACTTGTGCCTTAATGCTGTGGGCACCTGTGGACTGGATGAGGGGCAGTAAAGTGAGTTTGGATCATGGCAAGGCAGATGCTCTGTGGGTAAATGGTGCTCAAATTCGAGTTGCCTATTCTGGACAGGGCCGTGCTCCCTCTAAAGGTGCATAGCTTCCCCATCCTCAAAGGACAAAGGATATGGACTCCAAGGCTATCTTTGCTTGGGAGGAGCTCCTTTGCAAGTCCCAGCACCAGAGGAGTCCACAATGACAGCACCTCTCTAGCGTTGCCTTCCAAAGACACCAGTTCGGAGGAGCTAGTAGAAACTTGGCCTTCCTACACCACTGGCTGCTGAAACTATCAGGGACCCTTTAAGAGTAGAGGCTCCACTTACTATGGGAAGGGAAAGCTGCTCAAAGGAGACTGCAGGCTGATTTAAGGCTCAGTCTGGGTTTGAAGGATGTTGGAGCAACATTCAGGCCTTCCTTATCAGACTGGCAGACTATGGGAGCTATCCAGGGTGCTACCTGGCTTGCCTTCTGACCTCTGCTTTGACTGACCTTATTTACCTAGACTTGCCCCCTGCCTTGTCTGGCCTGGCCTTGCTGGGGGCTTGATCCTGGTTTGACCTGACTTTCTGGAAGTGGTGCTGGCAATCTGTAACCTGGCTATCCCTGGCCTCTGTGCCTGGAACATGCCCCCCACTGGGGTTAGAACCCTGCCCCCACACCTCCTGGTAAGTCCAAACAGAAAAAAGGCCGTATTTTTCGCTCTATAAGACGCACCAGACCACAAGACGCACCTAGTTTTTGGAGGAGGAAAACAAGAAAAAAAATATTCTGAATCTCAGAAGCCACAACAGCAAGAGGGATTGCTGCTCAGTGAAAGCAGCAATCCCTCTTGCTGTTCTGGCTTCTGTAATAGCTGTGCAGCCTGCATTCACTCCATAAGACGCACACACATTTCCCCTTACTTTTTAGGAGGGAAAAAGTGAGTCTTATAGAGCAAAAAATACGGTATTTTCCCATGTCAAATATTTTCTGCCCCAGGACAGAAATTTTTCCAGAACACCTTTGGATGTCTGCCTTCTGCAGTCTCTTCTGTGCATCGATGCTGCTATCATGTTTCTGTCTTCTCCCTAAAAGCAACGGTCTACAATCCTAGTACTGCCCTTAGTGTTTCTCTTAGAGTCTACAAGAATTCTAAGCGGAAGGGACAGCGGTATGGGAAGAGTTGGCTTTACCGTATCGGGATCATTCCACCTTCCCGGTCCTGCAACAGGCTGAATTATGTCCTGATGATTTCCGTACCACTCAATGATGTGGAAGAGGCTGTCCCAAGAGTCTTCGATATCACCAAAATTTCTCCACAGGTTGCATATTTTGCCAAGTAAAGTATAATTCACCTGGATAAAAACAACAGGGACACAAAGGCACAGACGTTGCTAGGAATCTGGTGCTGCCTGTGCGCTTGCTGCTGCACTCAAGCAGTTCAAGTTCACAGGCTGAGCAAATAAAGAGATACAAATCTTATAACTAACAGCTGTTGGGTCAAGTACAGCCTCTTGTCCCGACCACACCTGGACCAATGACGACAAGCAACTGGTGAAGCACATACAAGTGATATACAATAACACTCCTCGCTAACTAGCTGTCTAGGCAAACTATGACTGCAGACCTCTGCTCTGTCTCAGATGCTTGGAGCAACAGTGTAATTCACCCTGTCCCTTCTTAAACCCCACCCCCTGGCTGATGCAGTCCAGTTGCCTTAAGCCTTTCCTTTAATGGGGGAAACAACAGAAGAGGGAATGCCCAGGGGTTTTCCAAAGACATGACCCCCTCTAGGAGCTCTCCAGGCCCTCTTGCAGCTCATCCCACACCTTAGGCTCCTGCCCGTCACTGACACCCCTTGAAGGTAGTCATCCATCTCCAGGCACAGCCTGAAGGTGAAGAGAGGAAAATGCCAGGCTGGTTGGTGGGAAGCGATGGAGTGGTGTTTGCCATCACCCCGTACCCCTTCCCCCAGACTGGCAAAAGCACTTGCTGACCCAGGTTCTATCCAGACACAGAAACCCCATTTATGAAACATGTCTTGTCTCCCATCTCTACCCGTGGAATAAATGGTCCCATGGTCTTGAGAATGTTGCCTGTCCCAGGGCAAAGGCAGAGACACAGAAACAGGTGCAGAAATTACCTTCGGCGGAAGGCCCCCCTCGTAGGCAGGCCAGCTGCAAGAAAAGGCAATGGGCCGTCCCGTTTTGTTCAATGCCGCACTCATCTTTGGGTAGCCTGGGCAAGAAAGAAAGAAAGAAAGAAAGGGCTGGCAGCGGGCTGCTTTTAATATTGACAAAAGCAGTGACAGCTGGTTTGCTGGAACTGGTGGGGTGGAAAGCAGGGAGGTCAACAGCAGGTGGCACCAGAGCAAATGGTATCCTTCTCATCCTCTTCCCTGCTAAGTTCTACAAACATAACAGGAAACCTAAGGAGGAGGAGGAAGGTGACAGGCAGTGCCCCTCCCCACTGGCTGGAAGTAAGGAGGGAGGGAAGTGGGGGTTGGCTGAGGTCAGACAGAGCTTGATGGGCCCATGCCCCATTTGCCCAAATGAACCAGCCTCCACTGTTACAATGGCACAATGTCTATGCAGGCATGTTGAAGCCCACTGATTTCCACAAACATTGGTACATCTAACTCAACACTAGCATCTAACTCTATTTTTGTAAACCGCTTTGAGTTTTGTTTCATTTTTGAATCAGGCAGTGTATAAATCTTATGCAATGAACAACTAAGCAGGACTGCTAGTGCTCAAAAGGACTAAAAGCAAAACCATTTAATGTATCCACTGCCTTTGTGGATTACTCCATTTTAAAAAAAGACAATCTGGGATTTGCCGGCTTCAACTGAAAATCCCCTCCTTCCTGCGATCCTCCCTGTTTATTGCCAGGCACAAACCTGCTGCCTTGATGGAAGAATTGGAGAAGCAGCCATCCAGCTTCAGCATGTCAACCCCCCACTCGGCAAAGGTCTTCGCATCTGTCTCAATAGTATCCAGGGTCGTCCCAGGGTAGCCTGAGCAGGTCTTGCTGCCCAGGTCACTGTAGATGCCAAACTTCAGGCCTTTGGAGTGAACCTGGGTGAGAAGAGGCAAGAGGGAGCGCCATGACCCCAGAGTCCAGTGGGGACCATGACACAGAGTCAGAGGTTACAGTGATACCAGCTCAAGAAAGGGGCCATGTCCCCAACTCTGAGCATGATGCTGGGGATCCTGAGGCTGGCAGGCTCAGCAATCTCCTACAGTTAATGAACCTTTTTCAGCCCGAGGTCCGCATTTTCTTCTGGGCAGACTTCCAAAGGCCATGTGCCACTGGTTGGTGGAGCCAGAGGCAAAACTGGGTGGAGCAAAGAATATAAATTTTAACTTTTTTTTGTCAACTCTCTTATTTGCTTTTGCCGTATCAGCTTACTTTGCACACAGGTACTGAATCAGCACAACAGACTACAAAACAAAAATTCGTAGAAGCGCTAATTTCCCGGAGAGCAAACACAACTGTTCAGGCTTCATTGCATTTCAAATAATGCAAAGGAGACAGAATCATTTAGTTTGCTAAATATAAAGGTAAAGGGACTCCTGGCCGTTAGGTCCAGTCGCGGACGACTCTGGGGTTGTGGCACTCATCTCGCTTCATTGGCCGAGGGAGCCGGTGTACAGCTTCCGGGTCATGTGGCCAGCATGACTAAGCCGTTTCTGGTGAACCAGAGCAGTGTACGGAAACGCCGTTAACCTTCCCGCCAGAGCAGTACCTATTTATCTACTTGCACTTTGACGTGCTTTCGAACTGCTAGGTTGGCAGGAGCAGGGACCGAGCAACGGGAGCTCACTCTGTCGCGGGGATTCGAACCGCCAACCTTCTGATCTGCAAGCCCTAGGCTCTGTGGTTTAGACCACAGCACCAACCGTGTCCCAGTTGCTAAATATGCTGCATCTGAATTAAGGGTCATCTTGCAAAAATCTGTTTTGAGGCGAGTTCAGTTTTGACCTTTATACAGTTTCTATACATATTCACACACCCCTCTCTATCCTCCATCCAGACAAGAGGTGTTCCCAGAGTTCAAGGACCCACTCCGGTGCACCCGCTGGAGCACGCTGCTCTCTGGCAGCTCTTCTTGGTGCCGAGACAACTAATTGTGCCTTGCGGGCTCCTCCTCAAGGGCAGAAAAAGACTTACAGGAGGGTCCAAAGTTCAATATGTGGCGTGTATGCTTTCCATTTGGCTCTGGTTAAAATGTTTTGGTTAAAATCAAGTGAAAATTGTATTTCTTTATGGCCCAATTTGCACAGCACAGAAAGTTGTGCAATCCCATTCAGGACATGCCAGAGTCAGTAGGCGTCTGGTGCCTGTTGAAGAATCTTACTCTAGCAGGCATTGTAACTGAATACTGATTTTGTCATTTTAACTCATTTTCATTGTATTGACTTTCTTGTACACTGCAATTAAGTGGCGTATATACTGCTGAAATAAATAAAAACCAATACACAAGAGGGCTCTTTCACTCCTTCTTGTTTGTGCCAAAAGGAAACAAATCATGATCCTGGCTTGCTGTGTCTGAATTAGGCATCGTGGCTTGTTTTGCTCCATTAAAGCACAACTAGCAAGCCAAGAAGAAACCATGACTACATTAATACTAATTAAATTGGTTAACCAATTGTCACACAAAAATAGCATATGTAGAAGCACTTTTACACAAAAACACATACAAAGTCCGTAAGAAATACACAAAGCTACCTCCTCTGTATACTACAGCAGAAGCTTAATCTCAAGTAGCTTTTTTCTTGCAGCTTTTAGAGAAATCTGAAAGCTTTCAGAACAAATGCATTTCATTGAACTTACGTAATCGGCAAGGGCTTTAATGCCACTGGGGAACCTTTCGGGGTTTGGCTGCAACCTGCCTTGCGCATCTCGTTTATTTGCTGCCCAGCAGTCATCCAGGTTGACATACTTGTAGCCGAGCCGCAACCATCCGTCGCCAGCCAGCCTGTCTGCCATAGCCTTGATCAAGTGTTCACTGTTAATGAACAAGAGTTAGAAAGCTAGTGTGAACAGGGCCTTGCTATGTTAGATGGCCGGTTTGAAAAGCCACCCTTTATCAACTCTTTCTGGAGCCGCTCTCCCTAATGTGATTGAACTTGACAAACATCAGCCTAGACTAATACATAATATGTTGAAAACAAAAAAGAAAAAAACCAAAATTTTCAGAGATGATCTATATGATGCTGGAGCTTAGCTGCGCAGAGAGGAACACATAATTGTCATGCAAGCCCTTTAAAAGAGCTGGTTATAAAAAGCATTTTTGATAAAATGGAATCTTCAGGAGACATTACTAACATTGGGACAACCAAGGCACTGATTAAACAGGCTGCAAATTGCAACAGTACACTTGAAGCCTAGGTTTGTTTAGGTATGACAATGGAAGAGTCTCACAATCTCTATTTAAAAGAGTGGAAACAACTTGTTTAAAGTTAGCTTCAGCAAAGCAATGCTCACCATCTGAAAAATGTTTTGTTGCCTCATTGTGGGATGAGACATGGCCAGTCCAATACTTTACTTTTCCTGTCTTTGTGGCTACACTGATGTGATCTAAGAGGTGTGGTATGGGACTTCCCTGAAGCATCACTGAAGGTATGGGGGGGGGACCTCTTAGGCAGGGGAAAAGAGAAGACTGTGCCAGATCTCATTGCTGTGATCTTGGTTTCAAAGGGATATAAGTGTGGGGAACTGAAATAAGCCTGCAGGTGCATCTGTTCAAGTAAGCTAAAATTTCCTTATGATACTGGTGCAGTTTTCCTCATTAGAATGATAGGTTCCAAAAAACTTAAGGTTCAAGCCACAAACAGTAGCATGTGTGATTCATGCACCTTTTAGTTGATGCAGACTTCAGGTAAAAACCACAGGCAGACAACCCCTACCATTGCATTAATGGTTCGCTAGGATGTAAAGAACAAACCAAACCAGTGGAATTCCTCACTTTATGACCATTCCCCCCTCCCCGAAATCCCCCCCCAAAAAACTATTGTTCTAATAACAGCATACAAGTCAACAGCTTCAGTACAACTTGCAGCGCATTTCCCCCACCTGATGCAGTTGTCAGGATCATTTTTGCAGTCTGTGTTACATCTAAAACGTTCCCAAGGCACCCAGCCCATTGGCGGAGTCTTCAGCAGTCCGTTATCCAGGGAAGCACAGCAGGCTGCAAGGCCCAGCAATATCCCCAGGGAAAAGTGCAACATGATTCAGACACCACCCCCTGTAAAAATCAGAAGAGGGCACATCTGATCATGGGAGGTGGAGCAAGGTTGTTTTCTTCTGCTCTGGAGGGTAGAACCTGAACCAATGGCTTCAAGTTAGATTGAAGAAGATTCTGACAAAACACCAGGAAGAACGTTCTGATAGCAAGAGCTGTTTGATGGTGGAACAGACTCCCTCGGAAGGTGGAACCTTCATTGAAGGCTTTTAAGCAGAGGTTGGATGGTCATCTGTCATGGATGCTTTATATGAGATTATTGCATTGTAGGGAGTTGGACTAGAAGACGCTTGGAGTTCCTTCCAACTGTACGATTCTATGATTCTATAATAATCCAACATATTACTTCATTTCAGTGGTTTCAAATAATTTCTGATGTTTGAGGCACCTTATATGCATCTTTGGTCACCACAGGAAAGACAATAAGCAAATGGGAAGCAAAAGAAGAGGTACCATGCTGCCTTTTCTAATTCCAGTTGTTTTACTAAGCAATAAGCACCTCTAGGACAACATTTATTTATTATTCCATTTATGACTCACTTCCCAGGAGGCATCATGGAGCAATTAACAGTAGAATAAAAATACATGTCAAGCAATTGCATGCATAAAAACCAATTAATATAGTTTCTTATATACATACATACATACATATACTGTACATACAAACACATATCCATATCCATATACACACGAAAGCACATATAAAATAAATTCAAATTCAGAACACATACCTACTGAGATAATTACGATTGTTATTATTATTACCCACCCTTCACCAGCAGGTCCCAGGGCAGGTTACAATGATTTAAAATTAGAATTAGAAACAGCTAAAACAGATTACATTCACAAGAGATGAATATATATATGAACACTATATATTGAAGATGCCACACCCACCTCTGCAAGGAGGGATTTCTGCAACTTAGGGGCAACCACAGAGAATGCCCTCTCCTGGGCCACCCCCACCCCCACCCTTCCAAGGTTGGTGGAACAATCAAGATGGCTCCCTCTGTTTATCTTAACACCCAAGAAGGAAGGAAGTGGTCTCTCAGATCCTTGAGGCCTAAGTCATTTAGTGCTTTAAACACAAGGGTGAGAACCTTGAATTGGGACTGGCAAGCAATGAAGCTGTTTTAGAACTGGAGTTACCATACGGGTTCTAATCTGGCCACTGCATTTTGGACCAATTGAAGTTTCTAAGTTGTTTTCAATGACAGTTCCGGGTACAGTGTATCACAATAATCCACTCTGGAAGTGTCTGTAGCTGGTGAATCAGGTATAGCAGGACACAGGCAATCTTAACCACTGAGGCCATCAGGGCCTCAAGTAACAATGTTGGTTGGACCCAGAAGGACCCCCAAGCTATGAACCAACTCCTTGCAGGGAAGTGCTACTCTGTCTAGAACCCTGTCTTACTATTTTTTGGACTCAGTGAATAACACTACTGTCTCTTGGAGAGTCAGATCTCCATTTAGGAGAGACTTTTAGAACATATTCAATAGGCACCAAAATAACAGAAGGCACCTGTCTGATATAAAACGAGTGAGAGTTAAGGACACAAGAACCTGCTGGATCTGGTCAATAGCCCATTTAGTACAGCAATCCTGTTCTCATGGTGGGCACCCAGATGGCGTTGGAAAACCCAAATATTTCCAACATTGTGCTGAATGGACCCCCTGATAGGATGGTTATCTGCTGAATGCCTTCCCACACAGAACACAATGATGGGGTTGGGAACATAAATGATGAGACAATCTCATCCCCTGTATATCCCCCCCAAAAACTTCTGCTGATCACTCCTTTATGCTTGTGGCATGAATTACTGCTTAGATCCCTGCTGAATTAAGTTTTCTGCAGGAATTCCTCCACCTCCCTGCCATCAGGTTAGGCAATCCTAGTCACCATTCACACGCTTATGGGATCTCATAAGCCTGCCGCAAAAACCAGTATGCAACAAAACACCATTTTCAGCTGATGGCACTGCACACTGGGAAGTCTCTCAGTGATGGCTCCCCTGCTGCTGTGCCCTTGTCTGGATAAGGCCACCCACTACATTTGGCTGCAAAAGTGAGCAAGTCTGAAGACTAAAACAGGTTTCAAAGGTGCCAGAATCTCTAAGGAGTTTTTGAATTTCCGTATTGTGTTTTATTATTATTATTATTATTAATAGGTAGGGAATCATTTTACCCCTTCTCTGTGCGATTCCCCCTCACTGCATTTAGGGTTTTGAATGGCCTTTTCGAGCGTCATCAGAGTGACGTCACAAGGGCTGACTGTGACGTCAGCCGGAGAAAGAAAACGCCTCCACTTATCATCGAGGGCCCTTTAAAACACGCCCCCTTGGGAAAGCTCCTCCCATGTTCCAGGAGGGCCATGCGCAGGCGCACTGTCCCTGGTGGTTTGAAAGCAAGAGGGTACGCGAGGCCACCACAGCCCGCATGCGCGGTACAGCCGGCTCGCTTTTCTCCTCAGCCTGACAGCCGGTCACGTTCCCTTCCAGAGACAAATGCCGGTGACTAACCCTTCGGGTAAAAAAAGATGGCAGGCAACGCCCGCATCCTATCTACCAGCGGCGCCCCCTGGAAAGCCTCCCGCACCTTCGCCTCATTTACCCGCCTTTCCTCACGAACACAGAACAACTCTAATTCCCGGTCAGGGGAAGGGCGGGACTCGCAGAGATCGGCGGTTGGCCGGGCGCACGCGCCCTATCAGCGGTGCCGACGCATAGCACGGCAGCCAACGGCGGGAGGGCTCCTGTTGGTTCGACCAATGAGAAGGCAGCGAACTAGGCAGCGGAGGCGTGCCCTGGGAAAATCAAACGACAGCCAATGGGAAGGGGCGGCATCTCTGTGAGGGGAAAGCGAGAGCTACGTCCGAGGCCCCGCCTCCCATAGAGGCTCACGTCGCTCCCCGCCTCGTCCAATCAGCCAAAGCCGCGCTTGGAGGAGGCTCCCTCATTGTGGCGCCGCCAGGCGGCCTCCGAGCGGTAGAGGGCGCTGCGGGCGAGAGGAGCCGGGGGCCTTAGGCCGGAAAGGCATACCAGAGGAAGGAAGCGCGGAGAGGGAGAGAGAGACGGAGAGGCTGAGAAAGGGGCCTGGCTCGTCGTGCCTCCGCCGCGCTGTCTTCGCCTCCTCAGCAGCAGCAGGAGCAGCTACACGGCCTCCTGGCCTGAGGGAGCAGGTGAGGCCCGCGCCCCGAGGCAAGGAGAGGCCTTCACCGCCCGGCAAGGCCTGCGAGGGAGCGGGATGGTGGCGCGGCTCCGCCTCCCGCCTCAGGCCGGGGCTGGGGGCGGGGAGGTGGACGAGGCTCATGAGGAGCCCCCTTGTTGCTCTTTGGGAAGGGAAAGGGGTGCCTGTGGCCCCAAGGAAAGGGGGGCGGAGGAGGAGGAGACAGGCCTTTAATAATGTCCGGATTTAGGGGGACACACGCTAAGGGCGGTCTAGAAATATAATAATAAATAATAATAATAAATAGCGGCGCAAGCCTTCCTGAGCCTGGATCTTGCCCTTCCGGAGGCGCGCGCGACGTGGTGCTCCTTGGTCTGACGGGTCAAGAAGAGGCTACGTCGCGGGAGGTGGTTTGGGGCAGGGAGCCGGGATGGTGCTCGGCATTCCCGCGCGGAAGCTCAAATGCGGGCGAGGCCGAAGAACCTCCCCGAAGTCCCGTTGGCACCTTGGAGGCGAGGGCAGATTGGTTTCCCGGGCGCGCGCCCTTAGTAGGTGTAGCGGGAGCTGTGGTTGCCGCCGATCCTCCTCTCCGCCTGCCTTGAAGGTGCCAGGAGGGCGTCTGGTTGAATGGGATGGATGCACGCGCCTTGCCCTCAAAGTTCTTCTGGTGGCTGGCGATGCCGAAAGGAAATGTATTAAAAGGGATGTACACGCGTGTGGAAGAACACTAGTGGGAGTTTGCACGGCTGTTTGGCAGAAAGAGATATGCTAGCCTACAGGCGCTTGTATGTTACTACTCCCATATGGAAGTGGTGTGAATAACAGCCCATGAGGCTCTGGATCTTCAAGGAGGATGAACTTTTAGGTTGCCGAAACTTCTACCTAAGCGACTGGCATCAAAGAGAGCAACGTAATAGTATTTGGTTGAATGCTTGAGTTTTCATCAGTAGCGCAAAACTGTTAGATTTAATAACAGGCACAGAGACTTTTGAAGTTTCTGTATGGCTGCTCTCTCTTGTTGTGGCTTCCATCCCACCCCTCTGTTTCTCCCACCAGTTCAGTTGTTATGATTTCATGGCCTAGAAAGGTAGCTGTGGCTTAAATTGTGGGCAGATCTGAGACGTCTTGAGTCCCTTCCGTGGCATGGCCATATCTGCATTCCCCATTAGAAAGAAAGGTGTTAGCTGATGACCCAATTCTTCTCATTTGTACTGTGCCTTTACTACTTGCTTGTTATTCTTTTGTCCTTGCTGATCCCATTTTCATTACCTTGTTACTGGAACCAATTCCCTCCTGTAAGATTAAATTGGAGAGAGATCTGTGTTCATGAGGACGCTTTGGGTTGTGGCACCCAAGTTTGAGCTCCGTGTCCTGTGAGATGCGTCTGCCTCTCCACCCCACCTCCATTTGTTGTCATTTTGACAGTCAGTTAAAACCCAGCTCCATTGTTTGGAATCATTTAATTCCCTCTTAACTGGTTGTTACTTTGCTGGTGTAGGCTTACTTTTGCTTCTCAGGTTCTGTTTATTTTTAGCATGTGTGTAAACTTAAATATCTTGTAATTGTAATTTTTTTATTGCGACACTTCATGTACTGTTTGGCCTTCCTCTAAGGTTGATTAGGTTTCATTGGTGACACATGGACTTCCATCCCCAAGTACTTCATTTTGCTGCCTTTCTCATAGGCTTTAAGCAGACCATAAATACTATTTTATTCCACCAAGCTTTTTTATCTGTTTTATTGCTGGCCTCTTCCATATAATTTTGCCCGACATGTTTTCTTATTCCATTGTTGCATTGCCTTAAATATGAGGTAGAAGTGAAATAAGTGTATTTATACTGCTATGTGGGCACCTTTTGGCAGCAAGGCAACTTATGAACGCCAGTAAATTAAGTAAAATGAGGCCAGCATACTTCATGTGCTCTGGATTGTCCATATGTTGACAACAAAAGCATACTGAATTGTATAGGAAGCAAAACTGAAATAGAAACTGCTTTAGAAATTGCCACACAATAAACTGAAGCTGTAAAAAATACTTTGCCCATCTGTCAGGCTTCTCCTTTAGCTCATTTTTTGATGCTGTTCTCCATTAAAACTGAATATATGCAGAGGCAGACCTTTCATTGGATTATTAGATTATTTTCCTATCTCAAAATGAGTGCAGTATCTTGAATCTTCCTACTGTACCCCGAGGCAGGTTTGCTGTCTAGAACCCTCCAGTCAATTTTAAAATGAATATAATATATAAGAGAGACTTCTGTGTACCTCAAGCAGCTTATTCTGTCCTCGTGGGCTGAACAGTGGTGGTTTCAGCATTAAACAGTATAAAATAATGTCATATGTCTGAACCACATGACAATACAAAAGCGTTTCTGCACTTTAAAAAAGAGCAGTATAAAATAGTGACTCTGAAGAAGTTTTTTGTGCTCTCACATTTTTCTCATAAGTTTCAGTTTTATGTTGCAGCAATTGGAATTATTATTATTATTTGGTTTCTAGCCAAAAAAAAATCCTAGAGTCTAGTGGCATTTTAGCAACTAACACATTTACTGTAATAATAAGTTTCTGTGGGCCAGAACTCGCTTCCACTGATGCATGAAGTGGTTTGCCTAACTGATTTCATACACTACAGCAGGGATGAGAAACCTGTTGGACTCCACCTCCCATCAGCCCCAGCCAGCAAAAGGCATTGTAGTCCTGTGTTGGGAGGAACGCAGGTTTCCTGCCCCATGCACAACCAAAGCTACCTTTATCGGGACCTTGGAAATGTGAGAGGTTAGTTTCTGATTGCCACGAAGAGTGACATTTTAGAAGGTTGCCTAATTCAGTGTTGACACCAATTTACTGAGGGATAAAACGCAAAATTGGTACCTTCTGGTGCACCATTCTAACTTCTTTGCCCCTGCTCGTCTCTTGTGCTAATTTGGTAACAGGTTGCTTGCATCAAAACAGTCCCTTTGTCAGGCATAGTTCCTCTCTCTTGATAGTTAACAGGGTTATGCAGCCCCCCCAATGTTTTTGCAATAATGGAATAAAAAGTGACTTTTCTCAATGTGCTGGTTTCTGATACTCTTACTTTTCTTAGTGCTACTCTTTGTTGTGATTGTTTGCTTAGGAATTGTCAATGATTTTATAATTACAAGCACAATAATTCTATACAGGGGATTGTAGCAGCCGATCTAGTGGCTGAGGGTCTGGTGTTTACTGTTGCCTGCCTTTCCATGAAGTCTCTCAGCATGAGGAATTGCAGTGCAATTCTAAGAAACAGCTCAGAATTCTTGTGATGTGTGCAGAAGAGCAGGTGTGGGATTTCTGAGTATTTACTAATCATTGCTAACTCAATCAGTTGACAATGATGGCTCCATTTGGTAGAGACTGCTTTGGAAGTTAATTTGGAACTGAGACTGCTGTCAATTCCTGACAAGTCAGTTCTTACCCTAAGCTTGAAAGTCAGAATTTCTATCCAAACCAGATATGTATAATTGCAGATAATTCTTTCTCTCTAAAATCAGTGTTTCTACCCGTTGCCCCCCTTTAGCTACCATAACCCACCCCCACACACTTTTAAACCTGGCTCACCTTTTTATTTTATTTTATGAAATGGATTTAAATTTTGTGACTTTTATTTTTTTACTTATATTGTACATATTTTTAGAAACACATACATCCTCCTCCCTAAGATCTTCATACACTGACCGATTTAGAAACACTGCTTTATAATGATTCATTCCGTTATGCTACTACTTATGGCTGCATTTCAGAAATATTTCGTTGGCCCAGTTTTTATGTACACCAAATTTAATGGTTTGTTCTTTCCTTACTAATGGGGAGAGTGAGTCTGCTGGGGACAGTTTACTGTTTCTACCTGTAGCTCCTCACTGAGATGTCTTTTTCCTTCCCCACCCCTCCAGCTACTACTGAAGAGCATGCTTGGGTAGAGGCAGTTGGGGTGCATTCTGAGTGCTTACTAATGTAGTTTGTTTAGAATGAAACAAATCATGATCCCTGGTTTGATATAATGATAAGCCATGGATTGTGGGTTGTTTCTCTTGTGTACTTGTAAGGAGGAACAAAGAGACCAAAGTTGTCATTAACTTGGTTGTATTGTGATGTGCAAGGAGACCATACCAATCTCTTGTTGATCATTCTGGAACTGTCTGCTATGTTGTTGCTTTCGTGCATTGGGGGAAAAATAATTACATGAAATTTAATTGATTTTTGTCCAATAGACAGTTCTGGAGTCTTTTTTTTAACCAGTTTGGTGTATCTGTATCTATGTGCTGTTGGGTGGTGTCATGTGTTAAGCCGAATTCCTTTTAAAAGTTATCTACTTAGATTTTGTGAACACATAGGCTGTATTCAGATGTAAAGGTAAACCATGATTTAGTGTCACAACAAGCCTAGGCTTTCTGCATGGAGGAGATTAACTGCAGTTGAACATATCTTCTGACCACAAACTATGGTTAATGGATTTTATTAACAATGGTTTGAAGTTGCTTTTTTTCTTTTACTAATTGCAGTTAAACTAACCACAGGTCTTCGGAATTTGAGCAACATGGCAAACTGTGGTCACTCAGAAATTGCAGTGAAAGCTTCCACATTCCTTCTTGCAGCTGTGCCTGAAGAGGAAGGGTGTGGGGTAAGCTCAGGAGAGAGGCTAGGCTAATTCCTGTAACACCAAACTTTGGTTTAGTGAACTAACCTATAGCCTGTATTTTTCAGAGATTAAAATTGTTCTTCTCGTCCATAAATTACTCCCAACAGCTTGATATACAAGCCAACGACCCGCTGTCATTTCTGTTGCAGAAGCTGCACGCTGAAGAATTGGGTGTTCATGATAACATGTCCAATGTTTCCGTGGATAGAAGCATCAGACTGCAGGAGATTAAGAAAGGGCTGCAGTTTATACAGTAAGACCATGGTGACTGGAAACCTGTGTGGTGGATGGGTTATGTTTGGTTGGTAGCATTGGTTTAAATTAACATGATGCTTTAGAAAAGGGGGGTTGTCATATCAAACAATTAGCGAGCTTTGCCCTTTCAGAATAAACACATGAGCAGCGCAATGCTTGAAACTGGCTGTGTCCCATGTGCCTTTGAGAAGAATGTTCCTTAGGTTGCAATCACGTGCTCACTTACTTGGGAATAAACCTGTCGGACCCAGTGCGACTGAACTTCTGAGTGAAGATGCAGAGGATTGTGCTGTCTGTCTTGGTTTGTCCAGGCTCAGCAGTAGCATTGTAGGCAGTATCATGTTTTCATCTCCTTTTCATTTTTTTTTGGGGGGGGGGAGAGGATTTGGGTGTAAAGAAATTAAAATTCTCAAGTACAAAGGTAGTTTTCCTCTGCACATGCAGAGGGATGCGGAAAAGCCTTCTCCACAGGCTCAAGGGGGCCCTCCCAGCTTGTATTAAATTGTGTGCCCCTCTCAGAGAGACATGCTCCCCCTTCAGCCAGAGCAGCAGCTAATGCACTGGAGCATGTTACTAAAGAGCGTCTCTGCTTTGAGGAAAGCTCCCTTTCAGTCTTTTTCAATGTTATCCGTATGATCAGGGTTATTGAAGCCATATGCTGTTCTCAAGCAGCCACTGAGGTCAGTTCCTGATGCTTCAGTCAATATATGACAGGGATGAAAATCCACAGTTGAGGTCTTGAAATTTGGCAACTCAGGCCTCTGAGTTTTGCTGCTTTTGTCCTCTTTCTTCTCTTTTTCTCTTAAACACATTCTAAAATAGCTTGATTGTCTAACATAGGTGTGACCCTTCAGATGTTGCTTAACTACATTTTCCATCATCCCTAGGCATTGGCCATGCTTGTGGGGACTGATGAGAGTTGTAGTTCAGCAGTATCTGAACCTACCTGGACCCTGCAATCATCATTCAAAGTCCTTCTTCATATGCCTCCTCCATAAGAGGTCCGGAGGGTGGCAACATGAGAACGGGCCTTTTCTGCAGTGGCTTCCCATTTGTGGAATGCTCTTCCCAAGGGGGCTTACCTGACCGTTACTGTATATTTTGCTCTATAAGACGCACCAGACCATAAAACGCACCTAGTTTTTGGAGGAGGAAAACAAGAAAAAAAATATTCTGAATTCCAGAAGCCAGAACAGCGCAGCGCTCCCTCTCGCTGTTCTGGCTTCTGGGATAGCTGCGCAGCCTGCATTCGCTCCATAAGACGCACACACATCTCCCCTTACTTTTTAGGAGGGAAAAAGTGAGTCTTATAGAACGAAAAATACGGTACATATCTTTAGGCACCAGGCAAAGACATCCATGTTCCCCCAGGCCTTTGGCTAATTAAACAATCTATGGCCTTTTCAACTCTGTGTGTGTGTGTGTGTGTGTGTGAGGATATTGTTTTTGGTTGTTATTGTGGTATGTATTTTTGTGTTTTTACATTGTAAACTGCCTTGTGATCTTCAGATGAAGGGCAGTATAGAATTTTACTTAATTATTAATGATATTCTGTAGGGCCACAGGTTCTCCACATCTGATTTAACGTAAAATACTTGTGTGTGTATGTAAATATTTTATTTTCAAGTGTCAAGAACACTTCATGTACATTATCTTAGTACCCCTTTCCACAATAGTGTCCATAGGCAGGACACTATTATTGGGTGTAAGCCCTCAGGCCAAGAGGATAGTGTTTTGCTTAAGAGTGCATGGGTGAGATGAGATCTGCAATGGGTATTTCCTCACTTGGTCACACTCTTAGCCAGTAGTCTTAACTCTGGGCTCAATGATTTCTACAGCATTTTTGAGCTATGCAGAGCTTTCCAGACCCTGTCGTCGAAAGCAGATTCTGCACTTAAAGGTACTTTTAAAAAATAGTCCGCTGCTCTTCAGGACCCAGTTTGCCACTGGCAAGAACTTATGTGACTATTGCGGTGGATTCCAGAGTGTAGCTATGATAATTGGTTGCATTTTAAAAGCTCCACAGTCTTCTGATCCATTAGCCTAACTGATCAATTGAGGGATAAACTCTGGACTCTGCAGATTGCCGAAAACTGAGCCCAGAAGTTGCAGAGACTAGAAAGTCAGTTGATGAGACATACATTACCTTTAAGAATGGAAACATTTATGTATTACCATTCCTATATCTGACTGGCAAGTTTTTTGGATGTGTAAACCTCTCTTTGAACAAGACCTGGGTAAGATCTGACTCTCTGTTTGTGTTTTACTCTTCCCTCCCCCCCAGGTCTACTTTACCTTACCCAGGGACTCAAGAACAATATGAGGTAATGGTGTTCGTTTATGAACTTCTCTCCCAGAGACATTGGGGACTCTGCAGTGGGTGGGAGTCATTACTTTCTTTGAACTTGTAAAACGTGATTTAAATTCTTCCTTTATTGTTTGGTTATGCTTGGTGAAAAACATCACTATTCCAGTTTGATGTGAGGCAGCTCACTGAGAGAGATGTAATCCAGAACACGACGGTGAGGATAGCAATATACCTCTTGCTGTGATGTAGAAAATAGGCAACAAATGTCAAAGGTTTGGTGTATTGCTCTGCTCACCACTGCAGGGAATTTGGCCTTGTTCTGCAAAAGGTTCCCTTCCTGTAGTGTATTGCCTTTCTTCTGTCCTAGAACCTGATGTCACTTCTCCTTTTTTTTTAAAAAAAGATATTTATTAAAGTTTCAACATATTACAAAAATAAGCGGGAAAAAGGGGGGAAAAAGAAAAAAATAGAAAATGAAAATACAAGATAAAAACAGTTAAAAAACAGATTAGTCTTTCCATATCTTGTTTCCCCGACCTCCTCACACCTCCCTTTTTTGTATTCAAGTTCAAATTAGTTAATTCAGCAAATCCTTTCTCTCTTTGATTTTATCTTAATCTTTTATCTTAATATATTATAACTTTAGATTATCACCTGTTAACAATCCATTTTTACATATTCCTTTATAACATTGCTGCTAAAAACCACTTAACTTCAATCCAGCATCATTCTAACATTCATTAATTTTGCAGTATTTCTGCCTGATGTCACTTCTCCTAAACCAGGGGTAGGCAACCTAAGGCCCATGGGCCACAGGCGGCCCGCGGGGGTCGTTTAACCGGCCCCCGAGCCGCCCCCAAACTGAGCTGCCTGCTCGGCAAGTCCCTGTGCTCTGCATTAAACCGGTGCAGCTCGGTGTGGGGACTTGCTTCCGCGGTGCCGGAAACCATGTCTGTGCATGCGCAGACGCCAGAAATCGTGGCCGTGTGTGCTCATGCGCATGCGCGATCCGGCCCATGGAGGGATCTCCGCTGGAGTGAACTGGCCCAGGCAAGGTAAACCTTGCCGACCCCTGTCCTAAACCATGGAAGAGGCCCTGAGCCGGAGCCTGTGCGGTTGTTTTTTACCTTTTTAATCTCCTGTTTTTTCTGCTCGACTGCTTTGTCAGCAGTTCCTGCTAAGGGACTTCAGTCGTAATTGCATCAGGAGGGGCTGGTAAACAGCTGGTGCTGCTTGCAAAAAAAGACAGCTAGTCCCACTTTAGAAGGTGACTATTGCATTGTCGAACGTATGAATCTGCCTAGGAGCACATAACGCAAAATTGTGAAATGTTCTCTTTGCAGAGGCGTGTCTAGCATCTACAGCTTATGATGAAGACACACCTCTTTACCCTCTCCTTTGATAGTTAAGGTGTTTTGTTTTGGGGAACCAACCTCCCTTGTATAATCTATATAATTTTGTCTTGTTTTTGTTTGGAATTGTCTTGCTTATTTTTTTTATAATTGTATTATTGTACTGTTGTAACCTGCCCTTGGGACCTCACAGTGCAGGGCAGGTAAGAAATCTAATAAATTCATTTTCTTTTTAAAAATGTGTTTCAGATATTTATACGAGAGCTTGTTAAAAATCTGTTTAACGAAGGGAATGATGAATACCGTGAAGGCAAGTGGGAAGGATCGCTGAACCACTACTCAGAAGCCTTAAACATAGCAGATTATGCCAATTCTGAAGGGATTCACATTTCTGACGAAATATTAGAGAAGCTGCATGTTAATCGCATAGCATGTTATTCAAAGAAGGTGAGTGGTGTGTGGACACCAGAAGGGTGGAAAAGATTTTTTTTTTTAATTAATAAGTGCTGTATTAAGAAACTGGGCAGATATTTCCAAGCCTGATCAAGAGCTGAATTTCCTTTCTGAAAAGCTATTGAGGGATGGTTCGTCAGCAGCTTAAGGAACCCCTTGAAGGGTAGGCTGGCCAGCTATGTTGTCACAGAGGCTTTAAAAGATTTTTTTTAGTTTAACCTCTTGGGGACCACATGGTACCTCTCAGGGAACTGAATTTTAATTTATGATCCAGCCCAGGAATATAGCTTTGATACTGAAAGCTGTCAGATTCTTGCTTCATACTTAGCTGCTAAGTGATGGAGGTGGAAAGCTTAGCTGGGGTTTCACAACATGAAATACCATGTATCTTTTTGTGATCAGAAGAACTCAGAGATCCAGCATTTCTGTGGTTCATTTCCCTCCCTGGTCTTCCACATGTTGCCACCCTATGCACCACCTAAAACAGGTTTGGGGAATCATTGGTCCTCCAGATGTTCTCAAACTACAACTCCCATCACTCTTGGCCATTGGCTGATGAGAGTTGTAGTTCAGCATCACCCAGAGAGCCAGAGGTTCCCCAGCCCTGGTCTAGAAAATAGTATGTGGTATATTAAGTGTGTTTTTCTCTCCTGCCCACCCCCACCCCCCGCAACGCCGCCCCAGACGCAATTGCATTCCTTTAGCCCTCAATTCTAGTAGTGAATCTAAGCCTGTTTGTTTGTTGCAGGGCTTGCATGATAAAGTTTTGGAAGATTGTGGGATAGTTTTAAAACTGAACGAAAACAATTTCAGAGCTCTCTACCGGAAATCTAAAGCCTTAAAAGAACTGGGAAGATACAAGGAGGCCTATGATGCAGTTGCTAAGTGCTCTCTCGCAGTGCCGCAAGTAAGCAGATCACGTACTGTGTTGGCAAATGAAATGGCATTCAATGGTCATTGCCTGTGTTTGTGGGAACAATGCGCAGTGGAATATTTTTCCTGGGTGTTGCCCTACTAGGGAAGCTTGGGAGTTTGATTCCCTCCCTCCCTTTCTTTCTTTTTTCCTTTCCTTCTCCTCCTGCGATGAGGCTACATTTTAATGTTTCCATATTTTAATGTTGTATTTTAATTTTGTTTTTAAGTTGTAATCATTCAATTTGTTTTTATTACTGCTTGTAAGCCGCTCTGAGCCCGGCCTTGGCTGGGGAGGGCGGGGTATAAATAAAAATTATTATTATTATTATAGATTTGTAGCATAGCAGTAATCCAGTAAGTACGGCCGGCCATCAAGCTCCTCACACTTAGCCTTTGGCAAGTGTATGATATCATGTGGCACCTTCCCCCACCCACCCCGTAGAGTCCTGAGACAGAGGTTGCAGGCAAAATTTTGTTCACGTGCTAGTGAGTAAGGGTGGGGGTATTTATGGGTTACACTGCTGCTTGAAAAACTTGAGAACCTTTCTATGCAGAAGTTCCTTAGATTGGATTATCTTTTTTCTAAAAACAGGACGAAAGTGTAATAAAATTAACCCAAGAACTTGCTCAGAAACTTGGATTAAAAATAAGAAAAGCCTACGTTAGAGCAAAAGTAAGTAGAAGCATTTTTTACATACTGGTTTTGTAAGCTTTCTCTTCTGTGTTGGTTATTTATGATGGTTTGCTTAATTGCAGCCTCCCCCAAACCCTGTTTCTGGAGAAGTATCAAGTAAGGTAAGGTATTGTGCCTTCCATGTGTGAAGTGAGTTCTTTTGCTGGAATTCATTTTCCTGTCCGTACATTGAAAATGCGACTCTTAAAAAGAGATATATGATTCCCCTTAATCTTACAAGTATTTGGGTTCGAGCCAACGCTGTTGAACAGTGCAAAAATGATTTTGATGTAAACTTTGATTGGGTGTAAGCATGCAGAGTAAGTGGCCTTTGGGTTCCTAGTAGCCTGTGTGCTTGCGTTGTTAAAAGAAAAATGCCTGCCCGAGGCATTTGCTGTGCAAACATCCTGATGACAGATATTTTGCTTACTTGCAGAGTTCAAATACTTCTATAGAAGATATTGAATCAGGTGAGGCTTCCTGGATTTAAAGGGGAATGTTATATAAAAGTTCTGCTTTCAACGTGGTCAGATTTCATTTCAGACAGCTCTTGGGAACTGTGTCCTGCCTGCTTTTTCTTCATTTGGGGAATCTCCATGGCAGTTGCCTTGCGTTTTCCATTGTGAGGGAGAAATCCTTGCATCCTCCCAGCTTGGTAGATTGTCTTCCAGATAGGCAAGCAGATTGCTGCCGATCCCCTGATGATTGGCTGAAACATACGAGATGTTATCTGTCTCTGAATGCACCTGCCAAATGCATAGGCTCCCTGTGGATGTGTTCCTTGGGATGTTCCCCCTTGCAGTTCAACATGTGTTGCTCAAATGTCTGCGTTCTCTTAAGCGCTCGCTAAGCTTGCCCTGGGAGCCTGGCCACCTAAACAATGTGGGCCTTTGCCTCTGTTCTGGGGGAAGACATTCACATGCTGCACTTCTTTCCCATTCATAAAAAGTCACCGTCTTTCCCTCTTTTAGGACCTTGGAAATTACTCCCTAGCTGAGGCAGAGGGGTTCAGAAGAGTTTTGCAATTTAAGCTCTCTGCATGCTTGATGATTGCCAGTGTTTTCCATGAATGGTTGAAAATTGGCATGACAAGTGGGGTGGGACACTTTGACTGTTGCTGGGGGCAGAGAGAGAAGCAGCCTGGGGTCAGGCTGGCCTTTAGTCTACAGGTCAGGGCCATGTCATGAGGGTTCAGGAAGGAGGCGGTAGCAATGGTGTCTTGTGTCCATTGGCTGTGGCAGAAGGCAGGGAGGAAAACGTTAGGTGGAGCCAGAGTTAATGACAGGCAGAGCTAGTTAATTTTAGCTTTGCCCTTCCCCCTTAGTACTACCGGGGCAACACTGAGACTAATGAGGAGGAAGCTGAAAGTCAGCACCCCCCATGGATTCTTCATCGAAGGCATACAGGAGAGGGCAGGTTGAGGTTGGTGGGACAGTGACCCATTTGCTCTCATGGACCAGCTTCCATTGGTAGACAGCTTCCAAAGCTTTTTTTTTCTTTCTGTGCCTCCTTTGGGAGGTTTGCCTCCATCCCTGAGAATCCCTGTTCTAAGATGCCTCTCTTCCCCGATCGAAATCTGTTTCAGATTTTTCCAATTGGAAGGAAAAGATTCTTTCTTCCTCCTCCTCCCCTTCCAGTTTTACACCTGAAGTTTCAAGCGATCTGTCTCCATTGCCAATGGCGTCTCTGATCACCCTTCCAGCCGAGAAGAGTTCACTCGCTGCCACCTCTCTGGCAAATGGAGGATCTTTCATTGTACCTGAAGTCTGTTTAGACTGCATGGATGGAGATGATATAATTGGAGATGAGCTAGATGAGTTGCTTGATTCTGTTTCTGATTCTGGGGAAAGTGTCATGGTGAGTCGGCTTCCATTTATTCTTATAAAAACAATGGAAGAAACACGGTGCTATACTCATGTGTTGCTGTTTCCAGGACTGCAGCCTTAAATTGTGATACCTTCAGACTGATGTGCCTCTAAGTGTGTCAGTAGAGCAAGAGGTTTGGTATTAAAAATTACTTAAGCTTAAGTACCGTAGATTCCGGCGTATTAGGCAACTGGGCGTATTAGACGACCCCCCAAATTGGCAGCTGCAATTTGGGGGTTTGTCTTATAAGCCTAGTTGCCCAATACGCTGGGCAGCAACAGGGGCGGGCTCAGCTCTGCGTCGGGAGAAAGCCGCCTGGCATGCAGCTGAGCCCGCCGCCCGCTGCTGCTGCTTCGGAGCCGCCGCCGCAGTGGGGGGTGGGCTCAGCTCCATTCCGCCCATAGCCGGAGTATAAGGCGACCCCCGACTTTGGAGAAGATTTTCCGGGGTTCAAAAGTCGCCTTATACGCCGGAATCTACGGTATTAATCTCGCTGTATTTTGAGGCTGCTTTGTACAAAGATAGTGTTTTACAGCATGTTTTAAAGAAGTGCTGCTGACTCCACCTAGTCCTATTGCTGCTGTTGCCATTTATTGAAGCATGAATTCATAAATATTTGCAAGTTTAGGACTTTGGGTAGCAATATTAGTCTTGCAAGAGTTCTGGACTTGAATGTCTCCATTGGTCTGTTGGAGCCAGTCTGCATTTCAATTTTGCCACAGGGCACTTCCTCCTTGACATGACCTTAAATGTAATCGTACTGCTGGATGATCTAGCCCAGAATTGTCTGCTCTAACTGGCAGCAGCTCTCTGGAGTCACAGATCTTTTATGGAATATGCTATTTGGAATCTTCTAAGCAGATGATTTCAGGGACGGGTCCTTTGTCACTGTGGGGAAGGGAAGAGTTCTACCACCTCCCCTGGAACATGGGTGTAAGGATCTGGTTTATACAGAGTCAGGGCTTTGATGTTTTCAGCCCAAAGCTTTCTGCTGATTGGCAGCTGTTCTCCTAGGCCTCTGGCAGAGGAGGGTCTTCTACAAATCCTGCTACCTGTCTTTTTTCAAATCAGAGTATGCTAGAGATTGAGCCTTGGACTCTCTGCATTCGAAGCAAATGCTCTGCCCAGTGATATCATGAACAGGAACTCAAGTTGCTGCCACTCCTGTTGTGAACTTCCTCACTCCCAGCCATGGCAGCCAGCAAATGCCAATTCCCACGATGAAAATAATTCCATGTATAGACTAGCTCTAGCATTACTTCAACAGAGAAGGCTTAAAACAAAAACCAGATCACTAAAAGTGAAAGATCGGCTACCTGCATTTAGTAGCAAATAACTTTCTTCTCTCTTCCTAGCCCAGCACGGTTGTCCGAGGAGCCATCCCAACAGCCACCATGGCTCCCAGCATACCTTTCTCTACCCCTTTGCTCGGGACATTGTCAGTCGGGCCTGGATTTGTTCCTGCCGCCTCTTTTTCAGAAATGTATTCCCAGCCTTTGGTTTCTGGCCTGGACAGCTTTTGTTCCTCTTTAACTACTTTCTCAATCAGTGATTCCAAAAGAGGTAAGGCTAGGCTTAATTCACCAAACCCTGTTAGCTGAAGCCTGTATAATCTAAGCAGCCTTTGTCTTACTAAGAAATAGTAGAACATAGTGCCGTGGGGCTCATTGGACCCAGTGTCCATAATTTCTGATATAGCAGAATGCTTTGCAATCTCTACTTCCTAACAGAATTGTGAAGTAGTTCACTGTTGTTGCCATTTTGGCTTGGGAGCAGAGGAATCTGCCTTTTACTAAGTTAGACTATTGGCCCATCTAGCTCTGTATTCTCTACCCTGACTGGCAGCAGCTCAGGTTGAGGTCTCTCCCAGCCCTCCCTGGAGATGCCAGGGATTGAACCCCAGGACCTTCTGCATGCTAGGTAGATGCTTCACCACTGAGTGCAGTTTTTCCCATTAAAGAAACTAAAGTTGAAAGATGGTGGCTTCCATGTAAGGGGCCTCATACTTTTGCATGGAGGTAGCTGCTGACTTCAGTGCTTCTTAAACTTCTGATAGCCTCTGTGGACTTGGAAGGTAAAGTAGAGTAACTCACCTCACAGGATACCCTTTCATCTCCAAGGAGAAGGAATGCTTGCAGTAATTTCTGTTTCTCTTCCCACTCTCAATGTTATTGTTGGATTCAACGACAGGGACACACACACACACATCCCCTCAGTTTACTTACCCAGAACAATGAGTGGGCATCTTAGTTGCAACTGCAGGAAAGCCTAATGAATATGTCTCCCATTATCCGGCCTTCCTCTGTACCTAATCATGCAGTGGCAAGTCTTCCATACTCCTCTCATTCCTGTTTGCTGCAGCACAATATACTATCCCTGTATACTACAATATACTATTCCTGTATACTACAATATACTATCCTTGCAGTCCAATATACTATCCCTGTATCGGCTGAGTGGTGGGGCTCATCTTCTCTGTAATGGTTTGGAGCAGAGTGGCCTAATTCTCCAAGGCACAATTCGCCCCCTTGTATCACACTAATTTGGGGGTCTCCTTGCCAAGACAATTGGTTGAGTTGGCGGGGTTCTGTGCAAGGATGAAGCATGTCTGCTTCACCTGACCGATTGGCATTGCCCTTTGTACTTCCCCTAGCTGTGAAATGTGTGCCCAAACTGTGACTTTCTTGATCCCAACAGATATACCCAATTCTGTTCCTAGAGATGTCACGTCAGCGTTAAACAGTAATTCTCCGCTTCGACTTGTAAGTACCTTTACAAACTTTCTAAATGCTTTGCAGTTCCAACATTCATCCATTTGAGTCGCTGGTTTGTTCGTCCTCCTTTTAGCAAATGAGCTTGAGACCATGGGGACCTGGGTTCAAATTCCCACTTAGACACAAAACTCCCTGGGTGGCCTTGAGCCAACTGCTTTGTCTCTCAGCGGGGAGAGCCATGTACACTGCCCTGAGCTTCTTGGAGGGTCGTTGGGATAAAAATGCAGTGACAATGAGGATGATGGAATGCTTTTTTAAAAAACCAGTTTTGTTCCTTCTGGCAGATGAATGGGCCTACAAGTTTGTTTGGGTCCGAGAACTACATTGGGATTTCCAGCCCAGGTCGAAATGACTATTCTAGCGTGTTTGGCAGTGGACCCCCTAGTATACCTGTGTCGACAACGCCCTCCCTAGTTGCAAGAAATCCCCTGGAAAACACACATGAGCTAAGACAGGCCTGCCAGTCATGCTTTATCAAAAAGGGTAAGGAGCAAAAGCAGTTGATGACTTAACTTGGGGGGGGGGGGCAGAAGCTGAAGCGACCATAGCAGGAGTCTGTGTCAATGCTTTTCTGCTTCTCTTGACTAGGATGACTAAAATACTTGATAGATGGACGAGGGCTTGCAACTGTTTCCATTACCTTAGCTTACCTTTTTATTGCTTGTTCGGATCCTAAAAGCACCCTTAAAGTACTTGCTGTGAACGGACAATATAATTTAACCACTTCTGTGCAATGGCAACCCTGAAGAGCATCACTTTTTACTTTTAAAATTTATACCAGCCTTCTCCAACCTGGTGCCCTTCAGATGTTGTTGGGATACAGCTCCCATTACAGTGCTGACTTGAGCTGATGGGAGTTGTAGTCCAACAAAATCTGCAGGGAGTTGTAGTCCAACAACATCTGTAGTCCAACAACATCTGCAGGTGAAAGCCAATTTATACTGTGCACCTTCGTCATAAGTTTATGTTCTCAGGGTGACTAACAGAGTAGCCCCAAACAAAAAAAGTACAAATTTAAAATTTTCTTCAGTCAGACTAGGCTACTTGGGTCAGAGTGAATTAAATTAGCTTTATGATACTTGCCCTCCCTATGAATAATAATCATTCTTTGGTTTACAATAATTTATGTTATTCTTATAACCATTCTGCAAAAAGCTCTAGTCTAGAAATTTTCAAGATGCTGATGGTGCCTAAGAACTTTGCCTTCTCCTATGAATCAGTAGTGCAACATGTTCTTTTTTATGCTTATTTATGTTGTTTTTTTATATCTCAGTCTGATGGATAGTAGTCAAGATCCTCAGGATCTGACACTTCCTCCCTTTGGACACAGCAGTTCCTTCCCTCCTGTCCTAGTGTTGGGCGAACTGTAGGTTGCTGCCATCAGTCTATTGTTCAAAATAGGGATTTCTGTGCCAAAGAGGGAAATTTTTGAGCCGAGGAGGATGAGATCCCAAAGCTCTTGACAGCTCATGCATGTTTAATGCTAAACCCTGGCTTGACATGGTGTCCAAGCTACCCTTTGTGGGTTGGGGAAAATCCGAAAGCAGGAGCCGTGCAAAAGCACATCTATTGATCTAGCTTTCTAGGATGCAAGTTAAAAGCTGAGCTGAGGTTGGTCACCTTCCTGTTTGGCCTCCTTCAGTTCTACAGTTAATGGCTGTGAATAATAATAACCCCTCCCTGTTGTTTTCTTCTAGGTCCAAAAGTATTGGATTATACTTACCTTCCCAGTCTAGAGCACATGTGTAAGAAGGATATCTTAGTAGGTAGAATAAAGAACTCTGAAGATAAATCATGGAAGAAAATTAGGCCAAGGCCAACAAAAACACAGTATGTGGGACCGTATTATATATGTAAAGGTGAGGATTTTCACTTGTGGGTATATGCATTTTAATCTCATTCATTTGTAGCCCATTCTTTCCTGAAGACTCAATGTGGGTAGCAGTATTTCCACCATTATTTCTGTGACAACCCCTGCAAATTGATGTGGTTATTTCCACTTCTCAAAAGAAAAACTGAAGCTAGAAGCCAGCCAATTGCCTGCATAAGAAAAGCCTGCTGGATCAGGCCAATGGCCCCATCCAGTCCAGCATCCTGTTCTCACGGTAGCCAACCAGATCTTTATGGGAAATGCACAAGCGGGACTTGAGCACGAGAGTCCTCTCCCCTCCAGCGGCTTCCAGCAACGTATTCAGAAACATTACTGGAGGCAGAGCATAGCCACTCTCATATCCGTTTCTTTGGGTGGCTAAAGAAAAGCTGGCTTATCACTGTCTGGCTGCTTCTGAAATTAGGTGTGTGGTTAGGTGTGGTGCGACATCCAGCCGTCTGGTAATAATAATAATAATTTTTTATTTATACCCCGCCCTTCCTGAAACCGGGCTCAGGGTGGCTAACAACAAATTTGAAACACTTAATTGTAAAAGCAGCATAAAATACAGTATAAAAACATGGATAACAATAAAATTCAAAATTCAGAAATCAATTTAGGGAAAATAAGCATTAGATAATCCCCAGGGCTAGCTGGCTGAATTGGTCCTACTTGGGCCAGCGAGGAGGCCAGGGGAGAATTAGCTGTGGGGTCTCAGAGTGGGTAATCTTCATAAAAGGGGAGGGGGAGGGAAGAGAAGGGAAATAAAAGATCAGGAGAACATAACCACTTTCTGTAACTCTGGCCTAAAACAAAATGTGGGGCTGGGGCTGTATCGCTGGGCAGATGCAGGATGTTTCCATCCAGTGGTCCAGAATGAAGCAGAGGCTGTACAGCCATGAGTGAGGGTGAAAGGAGGGTCAATGCCGCGTAAAGGCTTTCCAAGCTCACTTTAATGTCCCGTTGTTTTCCAGATGTTGCTGCTGAAGAAGAGTGCAGATATCCTGGCCATTGCACCTTTGCTTACTGCCAAGAAGAAATAGATGTGTGGACTCTGGAACGCAAAGGGGCCTTCAGTCGCGAAGCTCTCTTTGAAGGCAGTGGAGAGATTAGGTTGACCGTGTCCCGACTCCTGCAGGAACATCACGGGCAGTTCATGTTTCTTTGTGAGGTGCGTATCAACAAACGCTAAGCAGAACCAGGCAAAGGAATTTCGTGCAGCACAGTTGTGCTGTGTCAGGACTGAGGGACCTAATTAGAATCTGCAGGGGTCCTAATTTGGCCTCTGAGGCCATCCCCCCCCCCAAACCCATGTCCACCTGCCCCATATCATTTGTGAGGCCAGGCATAGTCCAGGTAAAGACGAAGCAGCAAAGGGGCTCTCGTTGTGAGTCTTTTTAACCTGGGGATTAATTCAAGCCCCACTGAGCTTGGCTGCAGGAATCTACCTTTTGCACCTCTGCTTAAACTTAGGCCCAGGCTGCAAAAGAAGAAATTGAAAAATCTGGAGCATACTTCGAATGTGCCTCCTATTCTTTCTTTTCAAGGTGGGCAGCCTCAGGTGATTAAGAGTTAGATTGCCCCACCTGCCTATCAAAATTTCCCCCAGTGGGTCCTCTTCCGCAGCCCCGTGCTAGGTGAACTTCCAGGAATACAGTGGTACCTCGGGTTAAGTACTTAATTCGTTCCGGAGGTCCGTTCTTAACCTGAAAGTCTTCTTAACCTGAAGCGCCACTTTAGCTAATGGGGCCTCCCACTGCTGCCGCACCGCTGGAGCACGATTTCTGTTCTCATCCTGAAGCAAAGTTCTTAACCCGAGGTACTATTTCTGGGTTAGCGAAGTCTGTAACCTGAAGCATCTGTAACCTGAAGCGTATGGAACCCGAGGTACCACTGTAATTAACTTTTTGAAGTGGAATGTCCTGACTTACACCTCTAGTCCCCACTTTTAGTAGTTACGACTTCCTTGTTAGGCTTTGTACAAGTTGGAGCTGCAATGCAGTGTAGTTTGGGTCTCCTTAGGTGGTTGGGTTTTTAAAAGGTGCTTTTTTACTTCTGCAAGCTTCCAGGGTTCTCTAGAGCCTGCTCATTCCTCCCTCCAGTTCTTGAATGGCTTCAGTCCTGCTGGCACTCAGTACTGAGTTTGCTGATAGCAGGCAGGTGCCTTTCCCCCTCTTCTTGTTATAAAGCGCTTTGTTTTTGTTTTTCAGAAATGTTTTGAGCATAAACCAAGAATAATAAGCAAAAACAAGGACAACGCCTCTTACTGCTCTCACCCTGCTAAGCACGAATTTGAAGACAACAAGTACGTCGATAATCCCTATATCTTGTCTTTCCTGAATTTTAAAATACCCCTCTGCGTGTATTATAGATGCATGTGTGTGTTCTAGTTTCCCTTAACTGTAAAATAAATTGTGTGGACTGTAGCTCGGCTTTGCATCCAAAAGCTCCTTGTTCAAATCCCCAGTGATATCTCTCGCCCGGTTTGGGCTGGGAGAGAGCCCTGCCTGAAACCCTGGATAGCTGCTGCCAGTCAGTGTACACAGTACTGAGCAAGATGGGCGAGTGGTCTGACTATAAGGCAGCTTCCTATGTTCCTATCTGGGTCTTCCTCCATGTATAACTAGATTGTTTCAGCCATAGCAACAGCACAACTATGAAAACATTTCTTTATACGTGGCAGTCAGGTTGAATTCAGGAGCCATTGTGGGTCTGCTGCATTTCGTCATTGTGCTGTTGAAAAACGACTGCATTTGGGTTCCAAATCCTACTCATTTTTATTTCGAGGCCTGTTTAGTTCCCCCAGTGGTTGGCTCGTGGCTCTCCTCTAACATTTTGTGTTGATTCGAGCTTTCCTTCGATTCAGTGGGAACAGGGGTGATTTCTGTCAGCTGTACAGGTGGATTGTAGTGTTACAGACTTGGAACACGTTTTAGATGTTTCCCCAATCAGGTCAGCCTGAAGCAGGAGTCACGGGGAGGGGGCTGTGGCTCAGTGGTAGAGCAGCTGCTCTGCATGCCAGGCTCAATCCCTGGCATCCCCAGCTAAAATAAAGGCTCGTGGTAGCTGGTGATGGGGAGGGCCTCTCCTGAGAGAGCATCTGCCCATCTGGGACTGGGCTTGGCGGACCAAATACTCTGGTCTGCTTCCTAGAATCCTGAATCAAATGATACAACAGGACCAGGAGTAGTATAGTGACTAGGCTACAGATCAGGAAGCCCCCATCTGAAAAGTCTCCTTTGCCATAAATGCACTAGGTGTCCTTAAGGAAGCTGCCCCCAGGCCCAAGGATCTTGTCTTGCTATGCAAAGCCCTTGAACAATGTGGGTTTAGGGTCCCTTGAGGACTGCCTGAGCCACTGTGTCCCATCTCAGTCACGGAGATCATCTGGAGGGGTGCTGTTGGTCGCCCTCAGTGATACAGAGGCCCAGCTGGCCTCGGTCGGGCACCAGACATTTAGCATAGCCAGTTCCACGCTGTAGAAGACTCTTCCACAAGAAATTTGGCTGAGATATCCTTGCTTTTGACCAGGGGTCAGCAAACTTTTTCAGCAGGGGACCGGTACACTGCCCCTCAGACCTTGTGAGGGGCTGGACTACATTTTAGGGGGGGGGGAATGAATTCCTATGTTTCACAGATAACCCAGAGATGCATTTTAAATAAAAGGACACATTCTACTCACGTAAAAACATGCTGATTCCCGGACCATCCGCGGGCCGGATTTAGAAGGTGATTGGGCCAGATCTGGCCCCTGGGCCTTAGTTTGCCTAACCATGCTTTTGACTATCATGTGTCTCCTGGAGATTATTTTTTATGCTGGCAGGCCCATGCAGTTGTCTCAAATTCTCTTGAGTAGCTAGTTATTTTAGTGATTGTTTCTTGCTGCCTTAATGTGTCCCCCTCCCCCGTATTGTGCCCTAATATTTTATGTGTGGGTGGTATATAATTATTCCTATGAATGAGTAAATAAATCACCTTCTCAGTCTCAACACCCCATCTCTGTAATAAACAAATGCTAAGTAGGATTAATTGTTCTAAAGTAGGTGTGGGGAACCTTTAACTCTCCAGATGTTGCTCTAGCAAGCATGACTGATAGCCAGGGATGATGGGAGCCGTAGCACAGCAACCTCTGGAGGGCCAAAGGCTCCCACACCTGGTGTGTATTATTGATTAAAGCAAATTTAATCAAGTTCAGCTTGGTTAAGGTGATGGGTTTTGCAGGTTCTGCAACATTGCAAGAGGAAACCGTGGTAGACCGCAGTGAATGTTGACAGGAGTCTCCTGTTTATTTAAATTGGAGCATATAAACCTCTTTCTGGTGTTGGTGGCTTAAATATTCATTGCCTAAACCAAAAATCTTTTGAAGCAGCTTTTCCGAAACTTTCTTCTACTGACACTCACCTTTTTTAAAACAACAACTAGGTGCCTTGTCCACATTCTGCAGGAAACGACAGTAAAGTATTCTAAGATACGACCTTTTCACGCTCAGTGTCAGCTAGATTTGTGCCGGCATGAAGTTCGTTATGGCTGTTCACGGGATGATGAGTGTTTCTACGCTCACAGTCTTGTAGAGCTCCAAGTGTGGATAATGCAGAGTAAGACAGGTAGGTCTGGTGCAATAATGGGTGCTAAAAACATCTTTCTGCATGGCCAGAGTTCATTTTTACAGACTGCTTAACCCCTCTGGAACTTGAGAGAGGTCTTCCCACTCCAACTCCCGGGTGATGTAAAACACGACACACCTTCCTGACAGTGAGGACGGGTGCATTGCAGCTACATCCCTTAAATATGTGTCTGTGAAGTATAACTGCATTTCAGCAAGAAGTAGGCAAGAGCAAAGTCTTGCTGCGTGTTTTTAGTGGTTTTGCTTTTGTGTTTTTAAACTGCAGTCATGTGCACAATTACTTGGGAGTTAGCCCTGCTGAACATAGTGTGGCATATTTCTATTCTGAATACACATGCATAGGCTTGTGTTATTAGTCAGTAAGGTTTTCTGATTAATGAACATTCCAGAGCACATTTCCTTGCTAAGACTCAACTAATGCCAGTGCCTTCTGCAGACATCCTTGCCAGATTTCAGGTGTGCCCTGATACCTGTAAACTTTCTCCAAACCGATTGTGCTCAAGCAGAAGAGCTTTCTTAAAATGATTCAGTCTCTTATAAGGTTAATGTCTATTCAAAATCGACTGCTTGTGGAAAGCTACGCTTAACCTGGGAGTAAAACAATGCATGCAGGTTGTTCTGCACATCGGATACTGTTTTAAACCTTTTTTTAAAAAAAAAAAAGTCAATCGCTAATACTGAAATGTTCATAAAATATCAGCCTTGGAGGTCTCGGTAGTGCTTGTGCAATGATTAGCAACATCAAAATTGCCTAAAACGCATGTCTCCCTCACCACAGGTATTTCTCATGAGGCTATTGTTCAAGAATCAAAAAAATATTGGCAGGCTATGGAGTCTAATGCACATGGAACACAGGTATTTTTCTCAGATTGCCCCAAGCAGCACACTGGCTCACGAAAATCAAGGGATTGGAGTCAGGGATTGGGATGCAAAGGTTTGGGTTCAATTCTTTACATTTCTAGTTGAAAAAGAACCAGATAGCAGGAACTGGAGAACTATCCTTCTCTGCCTGAAATCCTGGAAAGTCCATACTGGGATAGATGGACAAATGTCACAGACTATTAGGCCAGGCTTCCTCAGCCTTGGCCCTCTGGATGTTTTGAGACTACAATTCCCAGCATCCCTGACCACTGGCCCTGCTAGCTAGGGGTCATGGGAGTTGTAGGCCAAAAAAACATCTGGAGGGCTGAGGTTGAGGAAGCCTGACTTAGGCAGCTTCCTGGGTACAGAGTTTCCCTCGTCACCCCTTTCCTAATCTTCCCTGGTGCAGAAGAGCCACTCTGAAGTAGATGTTAATTTTCCAGGCAGCGTTGGTACAGGAAAAGACAGTCTTACAGTTATCTCCTTTCTTCTTGGATGCTTACGGGGTGTTGGACTGTTTTTGCAAACCTAAACGGTCTTGCTTTTCGTTTCGTTTCCAGGTTCTCAGCAGCCAAGTGAAGCACGGATCTCTGAATCTGAAAATGAAGTTTGTGTGTGCACAGTGCTGGAGAAATGGCCAAGTTAGTGAGCCAGACAAAAACAAGAAATACTGTAGCGCAAAGGCAAGGCATCCGTAAGTCACATGTTTCCCCCTCTGCCCCACAAAGTTGCTGAGGTTGGATGCTTGTTGGAATGCCCTTGGGGTAGTTGCGGGCCGGGAATCACTAGGTTGGGACTTAGGTAGGATTTCGGGATACATTTTGCCTTGTAGCAGAACATAAGAGTGATGCTGTCCTTACCAGATAAAAGCTTCCACTCACCAGCTAAGCTGGAGAGTTGCCAGTATTAAAACTGTAACATACTGACCCAGTTCACATGTAACATCAAGCCCAAACAGTGGCTTAGCATGAACATGCAGTTCCTGGAGTCTAGATTATGGCTGTTTTGCGTCTCCTCTGGTGCCTGCTGGTTCAGTGTGTTGTGTGAACCCTGGGCTAATGGTTTGTCTTAGTGCAGATAAAGCATGAGCTAAACCAAGGTATCCTTGTTTTATTTAAAAAAAATAAAGCTTTTATGAAGAACAGCAGCCTTTTGTTTGAGTTCCTGGACCTGTTAACCTTGACTGCGCCCTAAAAGCAGGCCAGGCATCACAATCTGCTCAAGAGTCTCAAGGTGGCATCTGGGGGAAGACCTTTAAATGAATCTTTGTTAGGTGTAACCTGCATAGAACTCAGCTAGGTCTGTCTCAATCCTTTTGCCCTAAACACAGGTTCTTTGGTTTGTGCCAGTTCCACTTTGCAGAGGCATGAGCGTAGAAATTTCTTTAGCAGGAGGCTGGGCCTCTGGACACACTTTGTTCACTCACCAAAAGGGAACTTGAAGCTGTTTGATCCTATGATGTTTGCAGTGCTTGATGTAAACCGGGGTTGAGAACCTTTGTCCCTGCAGATGTTGCTGGTTACAACTCTCATCATCCCAGACAATTGACTATGCTGTCTGGGGCTGATGGGAATTGAACAATGTCTGGGAAACCAATTCCTCATCCCTTGTGTAAACAAAAGCATGTATTATAGAGCTGGTCTTCAGCTGGTGGGTTGCAGCCTGATCCACGGTGGGTCACGATAGCAGCACCTTGCAAATATATGATAACATATTAGGAAATGGGTCCCCCAATGAATGTTTGGTTTAAAAGTGGGTCCTGGGTCTGCAAAGGTTGAAGATAGCTGTATTGTAGGAACTGTTTGGGTCTAAAGTCCTGGTGTGAGCTTCCTTCTGCCACAGCCATGCTGTGCAATTTCAGTTTTCCCCCTGATTAGCCTTGTCCTTTTACAGATGGACCAAAGATCGCCGGGTGATGCTGGTGATGTCGAACGAGCGTAAGAAGTGGAATACGATTCGCCCGCTTCCTACAAAGAAGCAAGTGCCTTTGCAGTTTGATGTGAGCATGTCTTTAAAATCTGGGCTTGGCTTTTTTGTTTTCCTCATAGTGCTAGCATTACTCGTTTGGAGACAGAAAATCCAGAGTTGGTTCTTTTACGCAATCTGTGGGAAGAAGTTGATCTTGTACTTTTGTGTCAAAATGTTCCATGGCTGTAAGCATTAAGAATATAATAAAATGCTGGACCATGAAGGTCATGCCAATAATTTTCATCCTCCCTTTCCTCCCAAGAAGCTCAGGGTGATATACAAGGGGGTGAGGTGTGTCCCATTTTATCTTTACAACAACGCTGTGTCTGGTGTCAGGTCATTCCAACCAGCTTTATGGCTAAGTGGGTGGTTGAACCCAGGTTTTCCCAAATCTTTTTTTTTAACCCCTTCACCGCACTTGCTGTCTGCAGAAAGTGAACTGGAAGATTCCAGACATTACTTTATGTTACGGTTGCTCTGTTGATTTTCTAAAAATCAGTAAAAAAACAACAACACACCATCAAACTCAGGTGTTCCTCCAGTACCAATTTATGCAATTAGGTGTTGCACCTAGTATCATCTTCTGCAAAGTGTAAGTGTGTGTGTGTGAGAGAGAGAGAATGAGAGAGACTTCAAATTGTTCCTCATGCAGAATGCAGCTTCTCTGAGAGCAGCTTATTTCTTCCTTATCTAGCTGTGCAATCATATTGCATCGGGCAAGAAATGTCAGTATGTCGGAAACTGCTCCTTTGCTCACAGTCATGAAGAGCGAGAAATGTGGACTTATATGAAGGAGAACGGCAGTAAGTAAACTTAAACAATGCAGGAAAGCACACTGTACACCTGTTAGCATTTTGATCCCCTTTGCCTGCTCTCAGGTATGGGTTTTCCTTGTTATCTCCCTTGATTTTATTATGTCTGTGTCCAGATCCATAGGATCAGGACAGTCTGTGAGTATGGCTGTCCCATTTCAATGCCACGTAAACCCAGTTTCCAAACTCTGCTTTAGGTTATTCGCCTTATACACCTTCTGTGCAAGTTAATTGGCCTGCTGCGTTAATGTTGTTGGTATTTCGACTTTATAAAATACTAGAACGTTTCAGCAAGCAATGCAAAACTGAGGCATGCAGATTTAGGGGTTGAGGCAAGCTAGTGGAGGAAAAAAATGACAGGGAATAGATGTCATCTGCCATTTTATCTGAGTGGGACTGCATTAGACTTTTACATAGTAGCGATGCTCTGCAATCTCTGTGTGAACCCTTCCACAAATCTCTTAGATAACTCTGCAGACCGTCTCTGGGTATGCCGTTGGGTGCACTCAGCACCCATTTTACACCCATGAGAACTAAAATCTTTTATTTTAAAAAAACAAAGTTGGTGAAAACTGATTTTCAAGAGCGTTGGTTGCAGTTTCTTGCATAACCCCTCGCTTTTTCCATGTGAAGATAAGTCACATCTTGTGTGCATGTGTTTTAACTATGCAAAGAGCAGAGCATGTCAAACCCTGCACATACGACATTCTTGCTCGGATCCCAGAAGATTGTGTCTTGTAAGACGGTTTCGGAAGGTGGTTTTTCTTTTTTTGTTTTGCATTGGGTCAGTTCACTTGGAAGTAAAATTAAAACGCCTCTGTATGAATGGGCTCCTCTGTGCCTACCAGTGTGAGCCATGTTTGGTGGGAGCAAAGTGGGCTGAAAGAGAGACAGTGTAGCTGGAAGTTCCTCAGTTCCTTCCATTCCAAGATGGCCATGCCAGGAATTCCCTGTTTCTTCCTACCTCCTCCAGTAGGTGACCTAGATAACGTCTGAGTCCCTGTGACTTGTTTTCCAAACAAAAGTTTGCCCTTAAGATGAATCTTGAAACACAGGAAGCTGTCTTGAGTCAGAACATTGGTCCATCTAGCTCTGACTGGCAGCAGCTCTCTGGGATTTCAGGCTGGAGTCTCTCCCAGTCCTATCTGGAGACCCCAGGGATTAGACCTGGGATCTTCTGCCTTCAGGGCAGATGCTGTACCACTGAGCTACGTCTGCTCCTCTGAGAAGTATGCCACCATAATAAAAGATCTGGACTTTGTTCCTTTTCAGTGAGTCTATGACATATTCATAGCATTGGCCTGTTCAGTTTACTTAGGTAAAGGTAAAGGGACCCCTGACCATTAGGTCCAGTCGTGGCCGACTCTAGGGTTGCGGCGCTCATCTCGCTTTATTGGCCGAGGGAGCCGGCGTACAGCTTCCGGGTCATGTGGCCAGCATGACTAAGCCGCTTCTGGCAAACCAGAGCAGTGCACGAAAACACCGTTTACCTTCTCGCCAGAGCGGTACCTATTGACCATATTTTTCACTCTATAAGACGCACCAGACCACAAGATGCACCTAGTTTTTGGAGGAGGAAAACGAGAAAAAAAATGTTCTGAATCTCAGAAGCCAGAACAGCAAGAGGAATCGCTGCGCAGTGAAAGCAGCAATCCCTCTTGCTGTTCTGGCTTCTGTGATAGCTGTGCAGCCTGCATTCGCTCCATAAGACGCACACACATTTCCCATTACTTTTTAGGAGGGAAAAAGTGAGTCTTATAGAGCAAAAAATACGGTATCTACTTGCACTTTGACGTGCTTTCAAACTGCTAGGTTGGCAGGAGCAGGGACCGAGCAACGGGAGCTCACCCCGTTGCGGGGATTCGAACCGCTGACCTTCTGATCGGCAAGTCCTAGACTCTGTGGTTTAACCCACAGCGCCACCCGCGTCCCTTCAGTTTACTTACTCTTAACTTAATTGCTGCAAACTTATTTTAGCTCTGTTCTCACTTAGTTCAAGACATGGAGCAGTTGTATGAAATGTGGCTGAAGAGCCAAAAGCCGGAAAAAGGGGAGGACCCAGCTGCTCAAGCGAACAAGGAAAATGGGAAGCAAATTCACATGCCAACAGATTATGCTGAAGTTACGGTAAGAGATGAGTAACCTTAGGTGACAGTAGGCCCATCATATATTTAATTTCGGGTTGAGGGAAGTCACACACACATAACCTCAGGTGTCACTGCAAGCTTAAAGCAGTGGACACCTTTGTTACGTGTGTACTGCTAAGCTTGTTCAGACAGTGTGCTCCGTTTCCCCTGTCCCGCCACCAGCCCCACCTTGACTGGAGCTGGCAAAGAACAGTCAGGGGGACAATAATTGTTCCTTTCCTGCTACAGTCTCACTTTCAAAGCTCCACGGGTCATGCCCAGAGAAATGCCATCAGTTTTTCAGGTTAACCAGATTTGCATACCGTGCCTTGTCCTCCTGCGGTGGCTCATCCTTGCATTTTTGAACCAGGTGGACTTCCATTGCTGGATGTGTGGGAAGAACTGTAACAGTGAGAAACAATGGCAAGGCCACATCTCCTCAGAAAAGCATAAAGAGAAAGTATTCCACACAGAAGATGACCAAAACTGCTGGCAGCATCGCTTTCCAACTGGCTATTTCAGCATTTGTGATAGGTAGGTGCATGTTGACTCCTTGGTATTCATCTTGACACAAAGCCAGTTGTTGAGTTGGGGTTCCACCCCATCGTTCAACGGAGGTCCAGCTCTGAGGGCCTTCTGGCAGTTCCCTCCCTGTGAGAAGCGAGGTTGCAGGGAACCAGGCAGAGGGCCTTCTCGGTAGTGGCACCCGCCCTGTGGAACGTCCTCCCATCAGATGTTGAGGAAATAGACAACTATCTGATTTTAGAAGACATCTGAAGGCAACCCTATTTAGGGAAGTTTTTAATGTTTGATGTTTTATCATGCTTTTAATATTCTGTTGGGAGCCACCCAGAGTGGCTGGGGCAACCCAGCCAGATGGGCAGGGTATAAATAATAAATTATTATTATTATTAATTACTAATTGGGGCAGAGAAGCTGCAGCCCTCCAGATGTTGCTGGGTGTCAACTCCCGTTTGATCCAACCAGCTTGGCCAATAGTTGTCGATGATGGAAGTTGGTATCTTAGGAGCGTCCTCACCTCTGCAGTAGAGTCAAAGTTTCCAGTTTTGTACACAATAGATGTCCAGTTGTTGATTCATTTTGTTACACGGTTATAAGCACCTTCCCTACAACCAAAGAGGAGGGAAGCGGCCATTTCTCATTGTGATGTTTTGTACCTGACATAAGGCTTTTATTGCTGCTCTTTTCATATGGAATGAAGCTGAGCAGCTTGCACTGTTGGGTATTTCATGTGAGATGGGTGACACCTTCTCTGTGACACGAGCACTTCCTGCCTTAACACTGAAGCATTCAAAAATCTGTACCTAGCGGGGCTCTCATAGAATCATAGAATCATAGAGTTGGAAGAGACCACAAGGGCCATCGAGTCCAACCCCCCTCTCTCTCCTCTGTTCATCAGCACTCCTACCAGTTTGTACACTGGGTTACATTGTTTTGGGAATCTGATTGCTCGAGCAACTCTGACTCACTTCTCAAGACCGACTCTGACACAGACACAGAGCACAAGACCCTGGCACTTATTTGCTGGTGTGCTTTCATCACTTATGTAGTCAGTGCTGGGCCGCTGCCATGGCAAGTGGCTACGCTGACCTTGCATCTGTTTATCTATCTCATACTTTGGGTGATTTCTGCTCATGAAAGAAATTAATCCCTTTCTCTGCATGTCCAGTTTCTCCAACAATTTTTTTGGTAGCAGGAATACTCTTAGTCTTGGATTCCTTTCCCCCCCTTTTTTAATGGACAAAATGCAAGGCAGTTGTCCTCCCCCCCACCCCCCTTTAGTTATTGGCAGAGACCAAAAAGTGCCTGTGGCCACATAGGTTATCTGGATTAGTTTGGAGTTTGGTGGGGGGGCTGACACCTGCAGATAGTGCTGGGAGAACAGGGGCTTTATATGCTGTTGGAAGCTGAGATTCTCATAATCCAAGGCCCATTCAGCAGGGATTGGGGAACCCGTGGCTCTGCAGGTAGATATTGGCTGAATTATAGCTTCTGACATCCCTGACATGCTGGCTGGGGCTGGTGGGATCTGGAGTCCCAACATTTTCTGGAAGGCTGCAGGCTCCCCATCACTGCCATCCAGGTCAAGTATGCAACCCCACCCAGTCTTTTAAATTGCATGTTTGCACAGGACTGGCTGTGCCGTGAAGTAGGGTGCTTCACGTGACAGGATTTAGGGGGCTGGGTGACGACAGGAATGGATGGTAACACCAAGACTTCTTGAGGGGTTGGATCTCGCCTGCTGGTGAGGAGGGACATCCAGTGCTCTACTTTATGCTGCAAAATGTATTGAGCCAGCATTGTGGGTGTAGTACGTTTTGCTCATTGCCTTTTGCACTTCTTTCTTTTAAACAGGTATATGGCTGGTACTTGTGTGGAGGGAAACAACTGTAAATTTGCACATGGACCTGCTGAGCTCCGTGAATGGGAAGAACGGAGACACGTTCTAAGAATGAAGCTGAGCAAAGCCAGAAAAGATCACTTGATTGCTCCAAATGATAATGACTTTGGAAAATATAGTTTTTTGTTTAAAGATTTAAACTAACACTATAACAATGCATTTGTGTTGCCAGAAGGAAGCATAAAATCAGAATTTGACAATAATCAAAAGCATGTGACAGAAGCTGCAGATTTTTTCTGCTTTTATTGGCCTGTATTGTTCCTCCTGAAGAACAAAATGTAGTAGATGTGTAGGGGGGGAGTCGGCAGGTCTGTCTGTGCTCTCATGAAACAGAATGGTGAAGTTATAATAAAAACACAACCTGAAGTCTTACGTGCTTATTCGCCTTCTGTTGGACAGAAGAAAGTTGGAAAATAACGGGAAGGGTGGTATTGTAATGCCTAGCAAGCCCCTAGTGTTGGTCCTTCAGCTGAAAACTTTTTAAGGTAAGCTTCTAAAAACAGATGTTTTGGGCTCAGAAGAAAATGATGGATAAAATTCTTCAGATGTTTTAATGGAGAGGATTTGTTTAAAACAAGTTTGCTATTTATCTCTATGTAGGTTGCTATAATAAAAGGATTTTCTTATTAAAAGATTTAAAGCAAAATAACCATTTAACTACAATATATGTTGAATGGGGTATTTTTCTCTATTTGTATGTTTCAATATAACTTGCTGAAAAGGATCTTGGAAGAGAGACACGTATTACTTTTTTTTGAAAATCAAGTAGTTAAAAATTCTGTTTCTTGGTCTTTGCTGTTTAAATGATGATTTTGAAAGATTCCACTTGTATGTCAGTATTGTGTATTGTATGGACCAATATTGCCTGTAATAAAGATAACTTTACATAAAGCCTCTTCCTAAACATATCTTTAGACTCCCGAAGGATCGTTAATATTAGCCCTATAGCAAAAGGGGTAAGAGAGGCCATTCTGGACACACAGACAAACTTCCTGGTTTTATGTTAACAGAGTAGAATATGTGCATATGTGCATTTGTGCATATGCGGGAGTAAGTGTCTTTCAGGCAGAGCGGAATTAAAACTCGCTCCCCACAGATGACAGAGACGGCCACCAACTTGGAATGGCTTTAAAGGAGGATTACGCAGATTCATGGAGGAGAGGGCTACTAATGGCTACCACTAGCTGTGATGGATAGCTATGCTGTGCCTCCAACAGCTGGAGGCCATAAATGTTTCCAAAACCGCAGGAGAGGGAAGGAGCTCTTATGCTGGAATCCTGGCTTCCCACAGACATCTTGGTGGTCCCGCGTTGGAGGGACCTGATCCAGCAAGGCTGCTCTTACACCCTTAGATACCAGGGTTGGGCGTGCCCAAATGTACCTGCCCTGCGCCCCCTAACTTAACCCGGGGTCAGCGTTGAAGGGCCAGCCATGTTCGGCTGCCTTCTGCGCTGAACAAGAGTGGCGCCATCTTGTCCTTCCACCCTCAGGCAGCGAGGCCTTTGCGGGCCAGAGCCGGCGTGCCAAAAACGGAACATAACGATCGATATATTTATTTTTATTCGAAGTGGAAGCGAATTCCCACACGGGGGTAGCCCTGCGCCGTGTGAGGGAACAGCCGCCGGCGCCGGCAGTCCTTCCTGGAAGAGCCCGAGGCCTAGGAAAGGAGCCAGGCCTCCTCGCCATGGCCCGCCTCGGGAGACCCCCGCCGCGCCGCAGCCGCCCTCGCTTCGAACCCGGCCGACCGAGCCCGCGCTCTCCCCGCGGCTCATGGCGGGCCTGCGCGAGGAGCTCCGCCGCCTGAGGGGGAGGCCGGAGCGTAGGCCTCGCGCGCCTCCTCCCCGTCCCCACCTCCGCGGCCGGCTGGCTGGCTGGTTGGCGGGGCGGGGAGACGTGGCGGCGGCGGAGGCGCCTCTCGCTCCGGCCGCCGAGCGACGTGTGCGAGCGTGAGGGGCTCCGCTGGGCCCCGCCTAGGCCGGGCGGGCGGGCAGGCCAGGCCCCGGCCGGGAGGGACGGCGCGGAAGGGAGGAGGGCATGTCGGCATGCGGAGGACCCGGACTTGACTCCGGCCTTCCCTCAGCGCCTCCCGAGGCTCCGCAACACCAGCAGCAGGAGGAGGAGAAGAAGGAGGAGGAAGAGAAGGAGAAGAAGCCGCAGCCCCCGTGGCTCGGCGCTTCCCGCATGGCCCGGCGGCCCGAGGTCCTGTGCGGCGCCGCGGTGGTGCTGAGCTGCGCTCTCCTGGTCGCCCTCAAAGTCACCTGCAGGTAAGCCAAGGCGCACCTGAGGAGGGGGGGCTCAGGTTGGGCCTTTCTGCCCATGCCCAGGTGTGGGGGGCACCTGGAAACGCGTGGGGGTGCAAAATGCAAAGCCTCCCCTTGCACAAAGGAGCCCCATCAACCCGTGCAGGAGTCCAAGCAGGTTTAATCCGAATCAGTTGCCCCAGCAAGCTAATGAGGTGTGGGGGTGGAAGGGAGTGGCAGCTTCTCCCGAGCGGCTTCACCTGGGAAAGAGAGAGGTGGTATATTATTATTATTATTATTATTATTATTGAAGTACAGTAGGGTCGTGTGGGGAAGAGGAAGAAGAGGCTGTCTGTGGACCTGGTCTCTCTTCTCTCTCCCGCCCATCCAAGCAGCAACTGCCAGAGCATCCCTGGGCATAAGCAGAGCGCTGGGTGTTGGGGCCATTCAGAGCACCATCAATGCTGCAGCTTGGTGGGTAGGGCATCTGTTTCGCAGGCAGAAGGTCCTGGGTCCTGGCCCAAGCAGGTCTGAAATGCTGGAGAGCTGCTGCCAGTCCGTGTGGACATTACTGAGCTAGATGGGGCCAATGGTCTGACTCTGTATAAGGCACTTCCTGCATAATATTCTAGGTAGAGCTTAAGGCATAGCCCTTTTCCTGTTGTTTGTCATTGTGGTCGTTGCCCCCCCCCAAAAAAAAATCCCCTTGAGCGCCCCCCCCCCCCAGGATAGATTGCCTTCTTTAGGGATCATGGTTAACAGCTGCTGATTGACCTGGCCACCAGGATTGTATTCTAATCTTTTTTTTTAAAAAAAGACCCCTAATGAAATCTAATTGCATCTAATTCAGTACCCCGTTTGCAACAACAGTCAGTCAGATGCCTTTGGAAGGCCCCTCCCCCCAGAAAGCATGGCAGTAAAGTGATGGTCTTCCCTCACTGATTGGTCCCAGGATCTGACATTGAGAGGTATACTGCCTGAGTACATGGGGCTCCATTTAGCTGTCATGGCTAGCAGCTGTTGATAGGTTTGTCCTGCATTCATTTGTCACCTGTTTGGAAAAAAACCGCTGTCCTGTTGGTTCCATCAAGCCAGTGCCTTTGACATGGATGAGCTACCGTGTAATTTGTCTACAAAAAAGGGATGTGGGTGGCGTTGTGGGTTAAACCACAGAGCCTAGGACTTGCCGATCAGAAGGTCGGCGGTTCAAATCCCCGCGACGGGGTGAGCTCCCGTTGCTCGGTCCCAGCTCCTGCCAACCTAGCAGTTCGAAAGCACCTCAAAGTACAAGTAGATAAATAGGTACCGCTCCGGCGGGAAGGTAAACGGTGTTTCCGTCTGCTGCTCTGGTTCGCTAGAAGCGGCTTAGTCATGCTGGCCACATGACCTGGAAGCTGTACGCCGGCTCCCTCGGCCAATAAAGCGAGATGAACGCCGCAACCCCAGAGTCGGCCACGACTGGACCTAATGGTCAGGGGTCCCTTTACCTTTAATTTGTCTACAATGAATTAGTTACTACTGCTACCTGCCTTTTTTTACTCTTCGTTGGGTCTTTCCTTCCCTCCTCCAACCGTTCTGTGACTCATAGATGCATTTACATTGCACATTGTGCCATCTTTTGACATTCGGCCACATGCTACATGAAATTTCTCCTATTGCATTTGAAGTGCCATGGAACTTGCAGTGTGTGATCTGTGGTATCTGGTTCACGTATTAAAAGCTATTGCTTGGGGTTTGGAAGTTTGGTAATGTTATTCAAGGCTGTTTCAGTCCTTACGTTTTTAAGATGTGCTTGCGAATTGATCTTCATGTGCATGTAAAAATCTAACATCTGAATGTGGCAAAAGAATGTTTACAAGCAAGTTCGTGGTGCAGAAACCTTGAACAGGAAGCCACAAGGAGTGTACATATAAGCGGCAAGTCCGGGTTTGTGTCCATGAAACACTTGACGTGTCCCTAGTTTTGATTTTGACTAGTGTACAAGGCATCAGGCAAGAGGGTTTCAGGTAGCCAAGGCTGCACAAAAATGTTGGCAGCTCTTGTTTCAGGTCCTGCATCTTTTTCCGTAATCATGTTTGCAGCCATGAGAACTGTACACATGTACTTTGCGCAGAAAAGGGTTTCAGTAGGATTAAAAAACCCCACAATGCATTTTGAAAGGTCTTATTTGATGCCAGTGAACAGCAAGAAATGGGACTGGATAAAAACGTGATCCATAGAAACATAATACAGTTCTCTAGAACAGAGGACTTAAAAGAGCAACAACAACAATTAGGTGCTATGATTATGCGTTTCTAATTGTTGTAATGCAGCAGGAGCCTCAGGGTTGAGAAACACAGCTGAACTTTTCTCTGAAAGCTAATGGCAGCTGCTGTGAGGCCATGCTGTGGGGTTGTGTATGCATCTCCCACTCAGCCCTTCACCCTCAGAAGAGCCTGTGAGTGATTTGCAAGGGCAGCCTTTTCCCATCAAACTGCAGTGTGCAGAAGAACTGGAAGGCAACCCCTTTCCCACAGCTTATAACATCAAAACTCAGTTAAATTCAAATTCCCACTGAGTAAAGTAGAACTACAGTAAACATAAAGAGAATGCTGCCGAATCAGACCAAAGGCCTATTTGGCCCAGTATCCTGCTTTCCAAAGTGGCCATTCCCATATGCTGGGCCTGAGGGCAATCCAGTATGAAGAAGTACTCTTCTTCTTTTTGTCTGACCCTCCTAAATTTGTTTGTTTGCTTACAAACATTTTATGCCGCTTAATATAGTAAAAATCTCTACGCAGTTTACGTAAACGCAAAAAAACATATCGGTAACAGTATCCAATAAGATTTCCTAGAAACAAGATAAAAGCAAAACTCAGCTATATCTCACAAATAAAACTGAGCAGTGTACAAAATGAACAATAATTTACAAAGAGTCCAGAATGTAAGTTTTTAAAAGGCATTTAAAGGTCCTTACGGTCTCCACGAATCACCTGAGAGAGGGCATTCCGAAGTCTGGGTGCTATCACTGAGAGGCCTGCCTGAATGGGAGGGACAGGGGAAAGAAAGTACTTTTTCATGTGGCACATAATGGAATTCACTGGCACAAGCTGAGGTGATGGTGGTTTTAAGAGTGCTGTAAAGTCACAGAGGATAGGGCTACGAATGGCTGCTGTTCACAGTGGCTCCATACATCCTTCAGAATCATAGAGTTGGAAGAGGCCACAAGGGCCATCGAGTCCAACCCCCTGCCAAGCAGGAAACACCATCAGAGCACTCCTGACATATGGTTGTCAAGCCTCTGCTTAAAGACCTCCAAAGAAGGAGACTCCACCACACTCCTTGGCAGCAAATTCCACTGTCGAACAGCTCTTACTGTCAGGAAGTTCTTCCTAATGTTTAGGTGGAATCTTCTTTCTTGTAGTTTGGATCCATTGCTCCGTGTCCGCCTCTCTGGAGCAGCAGAAAACAACCTTTCTCCCTCCTCTATGTGACATCCTTTTATATATTTGAACATGGCTATCATACCACCCCTTAACCTCCTCTTCTCCAGGCTAAACATGCCCAGCTCCCTTAGCCGTTCCTCATAAGGCATCGTTTCCAGGCCTTTGACCATTTTGGTTGCCCTCCTCTGGACACGTTCCAGTTTGTCAGTGTCCTTCTTGAACTGTGGTGCCCAGAACTGGACACAGTACTCCAGGTGAGGTCTGACCAGAGCAGAATACAGTGGCACTATTACTTCCCTTGATCTAGATGCTATACTCCTATTGATGCAGCCCATAATTGCATTGGCTTTTTAGCTGCCGCGTCACACTGTTGGCTCATGTCAAGTTTGTGGTCAACCAAGACTCCTAGATCCTTTTCACATGTACTGCTCTCAAGCCAGGTGTCACCCATCTTGTATTTGTGCCTCTCATTTTTTTTGCCCAAGTGCAATACTTTACATTTCTCCCTGTTAAAATTCATCTTGTTTGTTTTTGCCCAGTTCTCTAATCTGTCAAGGTCATTTTAAAGTGTGATCCTGTCCTCTGGGGTGTTAGCCACCCCTCCCAGGGTGCAACCGCAGAAGAAGGCAACTGCTGATCCAGAGTAACTGGTTTATGCTCTGCAGTTCTGGAAGCATGCCCCTAAGCTGCTTTTTAGCTTTTGCCAACTGACCAAGCGAGAGAGTGTGAAGTTCTGTTGATCTTAACATTCGCACGCCCATGATACCTGACATATGCTCATGCATCTCTCTTCCTCCCCCAAATAGCCGCGCAAAAGATGTGACAATGCCAGCAAAGCTTCCAGTCAGCTTCTTCTCTTCAACATCTCCAGTCTGTGATCTTTTCCTTGGGCAGCTGGATCGTGCAGAGGACATCCGCCAAGATTCGGAAATCACCCTCTTTTTTTTCTACGCTCCGTGGTGCGGACAGTCTGTTGCAGTGAGGGAAGAGATTGAGAAAGTGGCAAGCAGTTTGGCAGACCAGGTAAGGCAGATTGGGCAGGAAGGGATGCAGCTGTTGCTTTAAGTTACTTTTCTTGTTCATCAGTGTTGTTTGGAGAGAGGCACCCTGATGTCCTGCTAATTTCAAACTGAGCATGCGGTCCCTGAAAATGGCAGGGCTGTGCATGCTAGCAATGGCTCCTCTACTCTGCAAAAACCCTGTCAATTTGGAATTGCCCTCGACAGAAATTTATAGCAAAGTGGTTGGGGGAGAAAAGAGACTGACACAACTAGGGCTCTATTTGTGGTTTCATTTATTAAGAAGGAATGGGCTGAATTCCCATAGGACTGTTTGCCAGCATGATTTAGATGTGTTTATTTAATATCATTTATATGCTGCTTAATTACTCCATCTCTTAAGTGGTGCACATGGAGCACAATATAACGACAATAAAAAAATCAGTTAAAGCTGTAAAATCAGGATTCAGTTAAAATCTGTTGGGCTAGCAGGTAAATGAAGAAGATCAGTACATGGATCAGACCAAAGACAGGAGATTGTTGACCTAGTTAAAGCGCTGAGTTGAATTGTGAACGAGTATGATCCTTTTTTTGTAGTGAGTGCCCTAGTTAATAGTGTTACAGTTTTTCATTTTATCGTTGTAAAAGACATTAGATACACCAGTGGATTCGATACCACAGCAGATTATGCTATCAGTTTCTTTTAATTAAATTTTGAGAGGAGTACCATTTTTATTGTATGATTTGGAGAAAGCGCTTGGCTAAGCAATCGATATTTGATTTGACCTACATAATGATCTGCAGGATCTGCACTTTTTGTACCAAGCACCTGCACTTTTCCGTGTACTAATTTAAGAACCTATGAAGAGCTCTGCTTGATCAGACAAAAATTCATTCTAGTCTAGCATTCTGTTCTCACCGTGGCCAACTAGATGCCCACAAGCAGAACCTAAGTGCAGCGGCACTCTCGTCACTTGTGAGTAACTGGGATTCACAGACAAGTTGCCCCTGTCAGGGATTTGGTTGAATATGCCAAAGGGAGTGGAGAGATGACGGTCTCTTTTATGACAATAAAAATGGAAGTAAATATCCCAAATCCATCCTTGGGTAGATTTTGGGAATTGTAGTTTGCTTTAAATTCACATGGCTATCCACCCTTAAATCACATCTGCAGCTCCCCAGTACAGCTATAACCCCTCCTAGTAAAGGTATAGCCAGCAGCTAGGGAAAAACTTCGGCCACTTGTGATCGGGCTGCGTTCTCCATGGTTGCACTTGTCCTCCTTGCAGTGTATCAACCAAGCCTCTGGCATTGAAGTTTGCTGACTTCTGTGCTTGCCTCAAGAAGTGATTTACGGGTTGTGCCAAACATTTGTATTTACTCTCTCCATCCCCCCACCCCGGCCCTTTTGCAGGTGCTGTTTGTGGCTATCAACTGCTGGTGGAACCAAGGGAAATGCAGGAAACAGAAACATTTCTTTTACTTTCCAGTTATATATTTGTACCATCGGAGGTAAGGCTTTTAAGTGCTCTTTGAAAGTCAGAACTTGTTAACTGTGGCAAGCCTTTATCAGCTGAACAAGGCTATCCACCCACCCAAACAGTGTGCCTTGTCGGATAAATTCCTCTGAGAACCAATTTTCAAACTTACATTGCTCATAGGATTCACTGGGGCGGGGCAGCAGGTTCTGCTCAGAGCAGATCTCTGTCTCCTGCTAAGCGTAGTTAGCACCCCTGACCAAATCCTGTCTGCTCCTTCTTCTTGCCTCATGAAAATCAGCTACTGAGATTCAAGGAATCTTGTTTTGCTTCATGAGTTAAAGGACATAACCTCCTGCACCTTGGTGTGAATGTTCTTGTTTGTCAGGTTTGCCGGAGGTATGGAACTGGGGTGTGTCCTTTTTCCATCAAGTCAGGAAAGTTCCCTTCTGTATATGTGTTCTAAGTTAAGGTTATACAGTCCTTTCCTTTGGTAATTCAGTTTTATGCGAAATAGAATGTGATGTTCTGCTCTGAGGCATATAATCAGGCATCCATGGTGATGGAATTGTGGTTTCTAATTCATAATCTGAAGCCTTTCCAATATCTAAGCACTAATTTAAAAAGACAGTGTGCCATTAGGCCTTATGAGTACAGTGGGAAACTTGGGAAATGATACGGAGATTGTTTCTGTTGATCAGAAGACAGACTATTGGAAGGGGAGAGCAGCAGGAAATAGGATCTCTGCACAGATCCGAGTTCCTTATCACCATCAGTTCCCTATCCCTCTGCTCTTTGGCATTTATTGCCTCCAAGCATCCAGTTTGGTTAGCTAAGCTTAGAGGAGCAGTGAGCTAGAACTGCAACTGAACGGTTCTGTTTGCAAAATGGAAGCTTTGAGAGGTTATCGAGAGAGCAATTGCATGCTCAGAGATCCACGGTCTTTCTAAACGTTTTGCAATTGCCATTGCCTGCGTTGTCATGGAGGCTAAGGCTATCGCTGTCTACCAGCCAGAATGGCTGTATTCTACCTCCACGGCTGGAGGAAGACTGCCTCTGAATACCAGTTGCTGTGGAACACAAGGTCGGAGTTCCTGCTTTGAGGCTTCCCAAGGGCAACTGTCTGGCCACTGTGAGAACAGGATGCGGGACTAGATGGACCATTGGCCAGGTTTCCAGATCTGGTGAACTTGCTGCTCGGTGAGGCAGCTTGCATTGCATTTAGGTTCAAATGGTTGCCTGATTAGCTATAGTGGAAGCTGGCACAAGGACAGTGAAGGCTTCTGGATCTGATGAGACAATCAGAAGGCTGGTGACGGCTGTTTTGTCCATGCTGCTTACAATTTGCTGTTTCTCCTTCTCGCTCTCCAAAGTGCCACAATACACAGTAGAGCTGGGGGTGCCTCACTATAACTATTTGCTCCATATGCATTGTCAGTCAAAAACTGTAGCAGAATGCCCCAGAGCAGCGGGTTAGAACTCCTTGCATTTATCTTTATGTCTGCATGTGCTGAGTCACTTTGCACAAACGTTGAATAAAACCGCCATTTGAGATTAGGATGACAAAGCCACAGGGTGAGCGGAATGTGTTTTGTTCCAGTTTAAAGAGTCTTTTGAGTTGCCTTATCTGGTTTTGCCCAGCGTGTACATATTCTTGGCTGGTAACGGCCGTCTCTTTTGCCATAATCAAAGACCTAGTATGATACTATTGTGCATTATGGTTCATGTTCAGCTCCTTCCGCCTTCCCTCTCCACCTTCTAGAATCAGGGTGTGGGGAGTAGCGGTGCCACTTTTGAGAGGTAGGCAGGAATGTAGACCTAACTCTGGATTCAGCCAGATCTAGAGGCCCCCGTACTCCTGTTCAGGCAAGGCAGAGAGAACTTCTGTCCATGCCACAGTGTTGACGACCCACATTTCAGGCAGTAATTGCTGCATTTCACATTTATTGTTAAAACTTCTACCTCAGACCTTTCAGCTCTTAAATCGACCTTTGCCAGCCTGGTGCCCTTGGACTACAACTCCCATCAGCTCCAGCTGTGCTGGCTGGGGCAAACAGTAGGCCAAAACATCTGGAAGGCACCTGGTTGGCAAAGGCTTGTCTTAAATGCTCACTCTTAGCCTTGACCAGCCCTAGGTCTTTCTCTATTAGCTTAGGAATTGCAATTTTAACTTTTCAAACTTTTAACAGTATTTGGTTTCTTTTCTTTTCGATGCCAGCTTTGGGCCCATCGAATACAAAGGCCCGATGAATGCTGTTTACATTGAAAAATTTGTCCGCCGAGTGATGACTCCCCTGCTTTACATCTCATCCCGATCAAAACTTCAGCAGTTTCTCTCCAATTATGAGGTAACTTGCCTCTGCTCTTTGATCTAGCCATTGATGACTCCTGGAAGGTTTGTGTTTCTTTCAAGGATGATCTTGCTTCTGGTTACTTTCTGAGGTTACTGGAAGCCAGTATTCTCTGCCACCGTATTTTTGACATGCTGGTTCAAGTGCTTCCTGTTTGACCTGATCCCTGGGTAAAATTCTGAATATGATTGGCAGTGACTGCAGCAGTGTTGAGAAGTCTCATCTGCAGTATGTGTGTGTCTGCTTGTGCTAGCATGTTGTCAGAGAGGACCCATAACTTTAGATCCTTTCATTCCAAAGATATCAAATGAATTTCATCAACTGATTAAATTGGGGGGGGCAATCATTTTGAAGGGGGAAAACATTATTTTCCTTGATGTTAGGTGGCTACATGTATGCCTCTTTTGCAGCATCTTCCCATCTTAAAATAAGCCTTCCCTTCTCCAAAGTGAGAGCAAAGGGGGAATGATATGGTGCCTCATACCTTCAGCTTTCATAGACAATTTCAAAATAGGTTTAAAATATAGTTACCCAGTTAACCAGGATGCATTTGGGGGGGGGGGCGTCAAATCTGCCCTCAAGTCAATTAATCTAAGCGGAGCGGGGGACCTTTGGTCCTCCAGATGTTGTTGGACTACAGCTGCTGTCATTGCTGATCGGGGCTATGTTGCAGTTTGACAACACCTGGAAGCCCATGGCCACCCCTGATCTTACTACCTGGTCAATTCATAGCTACAGCTCTGATGCTGATGCTTCTTCATCTTGTCAGGTGTGGGGAGGGGTGTCGAACCTGCAGTGAGTGTTGTCAAAAGGTTCTGCTTTCCTTTCTGATAGCCCCAGGGAAGCCTTTCCCTATGGGAGCACAGCCTTGTCTAAAAGCATTTTTGGCCCATTAGAATTGAGGCCTGATGGGTCAGCTCCTTGGCTCTTGGCTTCCTGCACGCTGCCTTTTCAGGGATCAGGGTGTGAACAGCCGTGCAGGCTCAGGCCTTTCTATAAGCATAGGGAGGGATAGATCCACAGTGTCCCAGAGGACAGAATGGGAAGCAGGACTAGAGATGGGGCTGCTGCATCAGAGGAAGAGCAGGGAACTACAGGCAGCTCAAGGAGTCCCTTGTTAGAGCAAACCTTCGCTCTGCTTCACAGGGCCTCAGTAGGTGCAGTAGTGTTTACTTATCTCTGTCCCTGTCTGTGATTCCAGCTTTGCCTCTTCCCCCAAAGCCTTTCCAGCGTCTGAAAAGCACAGAACTCTGTGCTGCTTCATTTGGGCATACCAGCTGAAGTTGCACACAAGCTACTAGTCCATAGACCTTTTTTAATGTCAGTTTTCAAAAATGAGCTGATTTAAGATTGATGCACCACCTACACAGATGGCCCAATATATCTGCACAGAGTTCCACATCACTTTGAAATCCAAGTCACTGTTTTCAAGTTTGCCCGTGATGATGTCGTTGGACATAAAGTTTAGAGCCACAAGGGGGAACCAGCAGGAAATATTTGAAGGCCTCTATGTTGATCTTGGATCACAGCGAGTATTAAAGCCTTTCCCAGCAGCAAATAATTGTGAACTAGTAAAGCTCATTCCTGTTGTCTTTTCATTCCCATTTTATCCCTCTGATCCTAGTCTCTAACTCGGGTTAAAAATATGTAAACATCCTATACATGTTTAAACAGACAAAACTCTCATGCACAAAATCTGGTGCCACCTTTTTGGAAAGTGGCTTCAGCATGGAATTTCCTGTCGGTTGTGGTTGTGTCACCTGGTGGTTTCTTATCACCTGAGCAGGATTTGTGTTGCTTTGAGTACCTGTACTTTGTCCTGGAGCATGTGATAATATTATTTGTTTGCCTTTGGAGCAAATTCTTCTCAACACTGTGCATATGCAACCAGCCTGCTTGGCTTGCAGTAGGAAGGGGGACTACAGGCTTTCGGTGCTGAGCGTGTGTTTTCATGAGCCGCAGAACTGCTCTGTTCTTAGAAACATTTGTGGCTTCACTTTCTGGGATGAGGTTTCTTTCCTTGCCTGTTCTGAGTGCTTTGAATCTCAACATACATGGTGGCACTGTTCTTTATCCTTTCGCAGATAGAACGTCTGCATTCTTTTTGAAATACCATTCTTAGGCTGCGTTCAAATACAATGCTAAGCCATAAGCCACATGTAGTGAGCAAGTCTTCTTCCAAGAACCTCCTGCTTTCCTCCTCCTCTCTTCCAGTAGGGAGTCAAGCCACAGAGTGGCTGGCTGAGCATTGTGTCCAAACCAGCAAACACACCACAGCTGGGAAGCCAAGAAAAAAAACCTTGGCTTCAGATTGTGGCTGTCTGGAGAGAAACAGACAACAAGTGCCAGTTCCGTCACTCTAAGCCAGCTGATCCATAGTTGTTTCTCTGCTGGAGGAAGAGAGGAACAAAACAGGAGCAGTCAAGTTGTGTGTTGTGGCATGCATCTCACCCACAGATTGAACTCTGGTTTAAGGCAGCCGGACACAGCTTCAGTTTGTAAGCCACCCTGCAAAGTGTTTTGCTTGGAAGGTGGAGTTACAAATCTATTCAGGGAATGTGATTTATGAACATGGGAAAGTATCATATACCAAGTCACACTACTGATCAGTCTAGCTCAGTGTAGTCTACAGTGACTGGCAGTGACTGTCCATCATCTCAGTTAGGTCCATTGACCAGTTCTACCTGGAAATTCCAGGACTTGAAACTGGAAGCTGTGGTATGCAGTGTTCATGCTTTCCTTCTGACCTATGGCCTTTCTCCTTGGAAGTGGTGCAATAATAATAATAATTTATTATTCGTACCCCGCCCATCTGGTTGAGTTTCCCCAGCCACTCTGGGCAGCTCCAAACAGAATATTAAAAACACAATAAAACATCAAACATTAAAAATTTCCATAAACAGGGCTGCCTTCAGATGTCTTCTAAAAGTCAGCTAGTTGCTTATTTCCTTGACATCTGATAGGAGGGTGTTCCACAGGGTGGGTGCCACTACCAAGAAGGCCCTCTTCTTGGTTCCCTGTAACCTCACTTCTCGCAGTGATTGAATCTCCAGAAGGCCCTTGGAGCTGGACCTCAGTGTCTGGGTTGAACGATGGGGGTGAAGACGCTCCTTCAGGTATACTGGACCGAGGCCGTTTAGGGCTTTAAAGGTCAGCACCAACACTTTGAATTGTGCTCGGAAACGTACTGGGAGCTAAACCCAGTGAAAGCTCAAAGGTGTGATACCATTGAGTGAAATCAAGTGGAATTTAGATATTATCTTAGAGGTGGGATCCAGCTGGGATGAAGTTCTGTCTGTGTGTGCCAATGTTTGTGTTGGTTAGAAACCAGTCAGGATTTCCCCACCACAACGTTTTGAATGGACTTGGAGTTTGCAGCTACTCTGGTCAGAACAACCCTCTGTGTCTCCATCTAGGAATATGTACTCAATGGGAAATATTAACAATCCTTCCAAACTACAGGATTGCATTGACAATGGAGGAGCAATGCCCAAGGATTAAATATTTACATAATTAAACCAAAGCCCATTGTGTTGTTTTCCCCTGTAATGGTAAATAAGTGCAGCAACTCTCATGTGTTCTCTTGTGTTTTTGTTTCGTTTTTGCAGCCAGGAGTTTTGGGATATTTTGAGTTCAACGCTTCGCCCCAACCACCTGGTTATCTGACATTCTTCACTTCAGCTCTGCATTCATTAAATAAAGGTAAATTCGTTACCCGTATAAACCACTGTTTAATGTTACATTTGATTGAATTTCACCATGCCTAATTTGTGGGTGGGAATGATGGGATGCCGTTGGTTTTCTTTCCATTGTCTGCAGAATGCATTTGACTTTATATTTAGCGCTGTTTTCAAAACAATCACCATCATCACATTTATTAATCCCATACCCAATGTTATCAGGCCGACTTTGACAGGCTGCACAGTCCTGGCCATGATAAAACTTCCTGAGCAGGAGCATGTTGAAAATATATTTTGGCTTCTTGCACACAATGGACTAAATATATCACAAGACATCTTGGTGGGGGCTCTCAGCCAGAAACGCTGACAAAATTTCCTGTCACATTTTGTTCTCTGTCGAAAGCCAGCAAGCTTCAGTTGCAAAACATGGAAGTTAAAAAGAACGGTTGCCCACGTCATTTAGGCACCTGAGGTGGAAAATCTAAATGGCGCCCCCTCCCGCTAATTAACATGGGGCAGAGTCCCCTGAGGGAAGTTCTCTTGCGAAAGCCCCTTTGAAATGGTGCAGTTGTTGCATGGCTCCTGTTCATTTCAGTCTGGGTAGTGGGGACGTTTTAAGGCCAGGGGATACTGCCGCTTGGATGATGCATGACCTGTAATAACACCAGCAACTTTACCACATGAAGCAGTAACCTTCATGGTGGAGATGCTTCTTCTAAAATGCGCTGTAAAAGCAAAACATGGCACTGGGGTGAGAGGAGAGAGGGAAGATTTGGGCTGGGTTTGTTCATTGTCGTCTGTGCTACATGTTGGATTACTACACTCTCCGTGCGCATCAGCAGTTTCTCAAAAACGAGCCACGCAACGCACCCTGCTGTGAATATAAGAACATCAGTAGATTCCTGCGGGATCAGATCACGGACTTATCTAGTCAAGCATCCTGTTTCCCACGGTTGTTAACCCGATGCCCCTGGGAAGCCCACAAGCATGGCCTGAGCGCTACAGCCCTCTCCTGCTCTTATTTATTTTTATTTTATTTATTGAATTTATATACCGCCCTGCATCAAAAGATCTCGGGGCGGTTCTTAAGGTGAAAATACAGGATAGAGTGTTTGAGGTTTATAGCACTGGACACACGGACACAAGCTGCAAATCTTCATCTCAAGGCTTCTCTTTCTGCAACGGGGAGAGTTTAGCAACTGATGTGGAGGAGTTGAACTGCTGTTCCAAAGGAGACGTCTTTTTGTTGTTTCCATGACAACAGAAACAGCCACCTTGCATCCTCCTGAGAAGAGGGCAGGACTGCAAAAAAATAATAATAATAAATCGGCTGGTGGCTTATTTTGGGGGCATAGCGTTCTTTATATACTCCCAATTAGCTCAGTCAGACCTTGGCAGGAATTTTTTGGTGCAGGGTAAAAGTGTACGTTGTGGTGAAACTACAAGGATGGGGGAGAACTAAAATCGGTATTGACCGTCGTTTGCCAAGCCTTCTGCATTAGATGAAACACTCTAGTAATGGAAGAACTATCTCACTAATAAAGTACGTATTGATCGCGCTGCCTGGAGTAGATTTGCCAGCTGACCATATTACTACTAATTCCACCCAGCTCTTGGCCTTTTATTCTCAACTCTCCACTTACAAACACCGTATTTTTCAGTGTATAAGACAATGTTTTTTGCTAAAAAAATTAGGCAAAAATTGGGGGTTCTCTTATACATGGATAGTGAATGCAGAGTGGGGACAGGAGATTGGTGGCAGCAGTGAACAGGAGATTGGCTGCAGTGATTGGGTGGGTGATTGGTGGCTGCGGCAAGGCCTTCTGGTGATTGGCTGTGGCTGCGGCAATTAGGTGGGTGGTTGGCGGCTGTGGCGAGGCATGTGGGCAATCAGCTGTGGTGTGGGTGGGTGGGCTGTTGGCAGCGAGTGGGCAGACAATTGGCAACTGCGGCAAGGTGTGTGATCGGCACTGGCTGTGACGAGTGATGGGCGGGTGAGCGATTGGTGGTGGTGACCCCCCCCAAAGCTAAACAACTTAATTTCTTAATTTTGGGTTAAAAAAAAATAGGGGATGTCTTATACATTGCGGGGGGTCTTATACATGGGAAAATACTGTAACTGCCTTATAAGTCAAAGAATTGTAGGGCAGGAAAGTTCATGAAAACCATGGGATCTGGTGACTTTCGGCTATTTTACTCACGCATGTTACCTGTTTGCTGCTGTGTGCATCAAAATGATCCATCGAGGAACAGGGATTGGGCTAAAGTTATCTGCTGAGTTGTGGAAAACCCAGGTCCACTGCCCTGTAATGTGTGAAATGGCCTTTCGGTTTACACCATTCCTCAAAATTCTGCTCCTTGCAGCCATGTCATTTGGCTTTGAACGATGTAGCTGCAGTATTTCTAAGCATACGTAGTAGAAAGCCGGTCCTGTGGAATTCAGTGCCTGCCCAGATGGAGACCCAGCCCGCCCCAGTCTATACCACTTTGGGGACGTTTTCAGGAGACAGCCACACATCAGTATGACTGCATTACTGGTAGTCTAGTCCTAAATGCTCTTCACTTGGAAGCAAGCCCTCCTGAATTCATTGCTTGCTCTGTGCATTCACATCGACTGCGAAAGTCCACTCATCTTGCATATGCAAAGAAAGCAGTTTGCACGTTGCTTTTATGCCTCGCCCTCTTTCCTGACAAAGACCAGTTGTGGGCAGGGCATGCCCTCTATGTCCAGGCACCACAAAGCATTAAAGATCCCACCGTCTTGGTGCTCTTAAAACCTAAAGTTCTGCAGTGATACTGCAGGAGTCTTACGAAAGGAAGCACTTTCCCAACCTCATCCAGATTCTGAAAGGGCCACTTGCTTTTTAAATGACAATCTGGGGCATCCAAACCTTTTGTCCTGGCACTCTGCCCTCCTACTCAGTGCTGAAATGTATGTTCTAAGTGCAGAGCAGAGGTCGCGCTTGCAACATGCCATTTCCGTCGTTTTGTATCCTGTCAACAAGTTGCTTTATCTGCGTTTGCTGTTTATCTTGGACCAAGTTCGGCTTGGTTTCTTTTGCCATTTCTTTGGCCAACAAACTAAAACCCAATGAACTCCTTTCTGCAGTCTTATTACTCCTATTATTTCTGTCCCAAGGAGGGTGAAATCAGCCTGGATACTATACATTTCCTTCCCCTCCCCCCTTACGTATTCTCCTTATTTATTTTTGTGGCAAAGAGTTGGGAGAGGAGGGCCCACTCTCTTAAGTCAGTGCTGCACAGAGATTATGTGCCAGTTTAAAAAAAATGTACACTTGATTAATTAAACCCTTGATGACTTGCAAAGAAAAGGGGAGAACTGGCTTCGCTGAAAAGCACAGTGTATTCGAGAGGATGCAAAGGCACTGCCCATCTTGGTGGGGGTCCATCCATATTTTTAAAAAATATTTTATTAAAGTTTTCTTGGTTTACAAAGGTATGCGCAATGTCTCTTTTTTCAAGTTACATTTTCCATGGGTCAGTTTCATTTGTTGAGACATTAGGGTTACATTAGGAAGAAAAATGGGGAGAAGAGGTGGAAGGGGCCATGGTGGGTGGGGGTGGGTCAGGAGGCGATATTTCTATTTTGCTTAATGTATGTGTGGGTTTTTGTGCTAGCGTCGTTTGTGCAGGTTCTTTTTGCTGTTTGCTTGTGTTCCTTTGGTGGTGAGAGAAATTGTGGTTGGCCTAGGATGCGGTTGCTTGTTTGTGATTGGCTGTGTTGAACTTTGTTTTCGTGTGTGAGTGGGGTGGGTGTTTTTGAATCAGGTTGGGTCCATCCACTTTTACTTTTATCTCCGCAAACACAGGGTCAAGACATTTGCTCTTGAAAAGGAGAGTGTGAAAGAAGGATGCATCAGATACTGTGCCAAAAGCCATACCCCACCAACTCGTCCCTGGCGGCCATAGCCTTGGGTTTGACTCCTGCCTTGACCTGTGTGCTAAGAGATGGAGCCCATGCCTGCAGCTCTCCAAAGCAGCTGTGCCAAATTGCCTTGAAAGAGAGAAGAGTCATTAATATAGGGTTGCAGTGCACTTAAAATAAACTCTAAATTACATATTTTGGACAAGTGAGGAACTGAATTCCTTTAATCTAAGGAACTGGCCTCGAATAACTCTGCATTTCCTAGGGCTGCATCCTGACTCAACATGCAACAGAGTTAGTGGAACACTTGCTTCCTGGGTAATCAGATTCTCCAGATAATAGCCATGATGACTGTGTTCCACTATCTGAGGCAGTAATGCCTCTGAATATCAGTTGCTGGGAATCACAGGTGGGGAGAGGGCTCCTGTGCTCAGGTCCTGCTTTCAGGCTTACCACAGGCATCCGGTTGACCACTGTAAGAACAGGATACTAGACTAGATGGGCTCTTCTTAGATTCTTACATTGTTTAGGGGGTTTTCAACTCTGCAGGGTGAAGTAGTGAATATTCAGAACCCAATGAATGGATAACGTTCTCCATGCCTTTCCTTCGGCTGGAAGTAGCGCGTCTCCAGGGGCGGTAGTGGCTAGTATCTGTAGCATCAAGACGGACCCTTGCTCTGATCAAGCAAGGCTCTTTTGACTTTGAAAGCATCAAAGGAGCCTTTGCTCAGGCGCAAAGACCCAGGCTAGATTTCAAAACATTTACAGCCAGCCAAGCCAGAGGCAGCCCACAAGATTGCCAGGCTGGCTTGGTGGCAGGCTGGAACCTGGGCAGATAAGACAACCTGTGGGGCCTTCTCTCAGTGGCTGGCCACAAGGGGCAGCAGAATGCCATTCGAGAGAGACCTGGTTGCCCTTGAGAGATGGATTGCTGCCTCGCTGCCAATATCCTCTTTGGGGGAAACGTCCCAGGTCAGTTGGCCACGCTTGTTCCTTGGTAGCAGAGCAGATCCATGGGCAGCTGTCTCTGCTCAGATTCCTCAGGTGTAGACTTTCCCCAAAGGGATGTCACTATCACCCTTGAGTGTGTGTGAGATTGTGCATCCTTCCTTCCGCACCGCCCCCCCCAGGTAATCTTCTGGAAAGCAAATAACTTCTTCGATTCCTCCTTTGTTGCCAAAACTCTCTCTGATTGCTTCATTAATTATAGAGTCCCACACTGGTTAGGGAGAGTGAAATGTGAGCCTGCCAGCTTTGTAATGTGTGCTTGTAGCAGGTTAAAGCCTCTTGCTCTTGGCAGGTTAAGCAACCGTAAACATATACAGAAGCAGGGCTGGCTGCAGCAGGGCTTCTGAATTTCAAACAAGACAGGATTCCTGGGGGTTTCCCAGTTGTCTGCTTGCACATAGTTTGCTTCCTATAGTCCTCATCTCACCCTCCCCCCCCACTGTAGGAATGGTTTTCAAAGGAGAGTAAGGAGGACATGAGACAGTTCCAAGCCAGTTCCCATAATTATGATTTCAAAACCACCCTGCTGCTTTCTTTTGTTTGTTTTTTTAAATGCAAGTTATGATTCTCAGAATGTAGGGTCCATTTCCATGCTGGAAAGTGAGTCTCTCTGTGCATAGGTTAGTGTGGACCAAATATAGCTCTGAATTTGTTTCCCATACACTGTGCATTAGTATAGAGACAACTGAAACCACAAGTCATTCCCTCCAGCTGCTTCCTCCTTGTAGTTTCCTGCCCTGTAGCAGGCTTCTGGAGCACCCCCTCAGTTTCATGTGCATCAGTGAAGCTATTATCCCCAGTACCAGGTGTTCCCCTGTCATCTGTACTATTGTCTCCCTCCCCCTCAGGATTTAGTTTAAAGCTCTCCTAATCAACTTCGCAGGACTCTTAGCAAATCCATGCTTGCCAACTTCTTATTAAGTGCAACCCATCTCTTGCCAGAAGTCCTTCCTCTAGGAAGTGGAGACCAAGGTTGGTATTGCCTACTGACCCACCTTGCAATTTGTGGTTCCTTACTCACCTTAGCCCAGCCCTGACAGCCCAACCAAAAGGAAGGATCCATGACACTTGTGGGGCACAGCCCCATTTCTGCTTAAATGTTTGGTTGCAGGCCTATAAAGAATGTGAATGGATAGAGTCTTGCCCTCTCTGGGACTGAGTGCAACAGATAATTAGACACATTTCATGCTGAGTTTGCAGCTCTATGTGCATTTTTATGAATGTAGAAAAATCCTCAAGATCACCTGGAGCAGCACTCTTTGAAAGATGCTCACTGGTGGCAGAAAATGTGATTGTAATGCATGATCTGACTTGTAGCCATTTGGAATTTCTAAAGGCTGCTGGCGTTCTTGTGTTTTTTAAAAAGCAGAGATGTATTTGTGCTCTCCTCCATCCCCCGAGCTCCAAAGTGACCTGATTTTTTTTGCACGTTGAGGAATATGAGAGGATTTCTTGCGGGGGTGGGTGGGACTGCTTCAAAGGAGAGGCGGTTCCTGTGGGGCAGGCCTCCCATTTATTGTCTGGCTCGATGTGGAATTGCTGCAATGTTTCATCAGCCACATGGTGAAAAACATTAAAAGGCTTGCATTTCCCCCCCTCCCCTGAGCCAAGATGCATCTAATTGCTTAGAAAGCTTCTATCATTTAAAGTCCAGCAGCCTCCTTTTAAAAGGAGCTGCCCACCAAAATTACCCACCAAGAAAACCCTGGAGATTACAGATCAGGGATCCTTTTCCAACCTGGGCAATCTTCCGAGGGCCACATGCCAGGGAAAGGCGGGGCCAGAGGCAAAAGTGGGTGGAGCAATTGATGTAAATCTTCCCTTTGTACAGCAGGCTTGTTTCTATACACTCTTATCTTCCATTCGGACCAGAAGGGGTTCAAGGGAACTTTCCAGGCAGGCAAAGATATTTGGTGAGAGAGGAGAGGAAGAGCGTTGAGGAATGAATGTGATGCTATTAAGCAGGGGTCAGCAAACTTTTTCAGCAGGGGGCCGGTCCACTGTCCCTCACACCTTGTGGGGGGCCGGACTATATTTTGGAGAGAGAAAAAATGAACGCATTCCTATCCCCCACAAATAACCCAGAGCTGCATTTTAAATAAAAGGACACATTCTACTCATGTCAAAACACGCTGATTCCCGGACCGTCCATGGGCCAGATTTAGAAGGGGATTGGGCCAGATCCAGCCCCCAGGCCTTAGTTTGTCTACCCATGCTCTTAAGCATCATTTTGTTTGAGGGCAATTGCTCACGCATCAACTTCTAAATGATGGGCCAGGGCAGAACTGTGGGTGGCAGGGACCAATTTGGTGGCACGTGGAAAGGGACTGGGTTGCGCTTGCTTTTCTTTACTGCCTCTGGAACAGCAGAGCTGGTGGGCTGCTTGCCATATTGGCACCTTTTAATTTCGCCCACAATATTTCCACTCATTGAAACTCATTGAGCACATGACTCATTTGAAACAAGATCACCACCACAAAGGACACAGCCGTGCACTTTGTCTTATATCGCCTGCGTCAGTCCCTCCTGTTAACACCTTATTTTTATTAATTCTGAGTGAGGAGGGCTTTACTCTGCAATGCTGCCACAGACCCCTTTCTCCTCCTTCAGGTCCTGGATGTGAAGAACGAAGGAGGAAAACTCCAGCTCTGGGAGGGTTTTTTCCCCCTCCTTAAGGCCTAAAGAATCCAAAAGTGCTGCTCCAACTCCTCTCTTGTTTTCTCATATGGAGGATCTTTTATTTCATTATTTTGTGTGTATTGCAGAGTGTTTTTCAGCCGAAATCCTGTTGTATAATCACCCTTTTTCTTAAAACCCAAGTTGAGGTAGAATTTTAACCCTGAAGCATTATGCCCACAGGTGGAAAGTGCGGATTAATGAGAGGATATTGCTTGTATTTCCTGTGTAAAACGACAGGAAAGCTGAGCTCTGTGTGTGTGTGTGTGTGTGTGTGTGTGTGTACGCTTGTTTTTCAGAGCCTTTTCTTCCAGCAGCATGCCTTGGCTTAGCTTCTGGAGAAAGGAGGCTGTGTAGTTATGTCAGCTGGGCCTCTTTCCTTTCTTTCCTCAAGGCTTGTAACATGTGCTTTCAGATTACCTTGGAACGATCCACTTCGGAGTGATCACAGATAAGCTGATAGCGAAGGAAGTCCCACTGACCAGCTCAGGCAGCGTCTACTTGCACAGACACGTGAACGCTTCTCTTGTGAGTAGTGCATTTTCACGTTTGCACACCTGCGTCGCCTGCACCAGGGCTGGGAAGCCCATTTTAGCCCACGTTTACTAGTGTGCAACCTTCTGGGGGCCACATTTCGATGGTGGGTGGGGCCAGTTGCAAAAGTGGGTGGAGCAGTGGATGTAACTCTTACCTTTGTACACTAGGCTCCATTGCAGCCAAGCAAAAGTTAGAAGAATCTATGTCTAAAATGCAGCAGCTGGATTTCTGGCCGGGGCTCCCTTCAGCTCTCATATAACCCCTGTTTTAAAACAGCTGCACCAGTTGCCAGTTCGTTTCGGGGCCCAATTTAAAGTGCTCACATTAGTGTTTAAAGCCCTAAATAACTCAGCCCCCAAATTCCTGAACGACCGCCTCCCTCCCTACATACCCTCTCAGGGGCAAAGATGGCAGAGGGGTCCCTCTTGGTTGTTCCACGGCCTTCAGACGCTTGGGGGGGGGGGGTTGGAGGCTTGGGAGAGGGCCTTCTCTGTGTCGGCCCCCAAGTTGTGGAACTCCCTTCCCACAGAGGTGCGCCTGGCTCCTTCCTTAGACAGCTCTTGGCAAATGCTGAGGACCCAGTCCTTTACTCTGGCTTTTGACATCTGAGATGTATATTTTTCAGACCCACCTTATTTCTGTAAAAAAAAAAAAATGTCAAATCTTTTTTTATTGAGTTTTACAGCGCAAATTTAAATTCAAACATTAAACATCACCATCATCATTTAGAATTCCCTGAATCCTTTGACTCCCCTCTGCCCTTCCATGGTTACCATTACCAATCTTTTTTCAATTGCTTCATTTTTCCTCTCTCTGTTTTTAATAATAATCCGTTTTTACCATAGTTTTTAGTACATTACAAGCATTATTCAAATTCTGCCAAAGTTTTTAGTTGTTTACATTGTTCTCTTAAATACATTGTAAAATTTTTCCCATGACTTCTTAAAGTTCCTCTGTTCCTGGTTTCTGTTTTTCCCGGTCAATTTCACCAGGTTTCAGCATAGTTTATTTCTGTAATTTTAACATGTTTATTTTACTTCTTGTAACCTGCTTAAGACCTTAGGGTGAAAGGCAGGTTGTTGTTGTTGTTGTTACTGTTAACGATGGTGACGATGCGTGCATACACATCTCTCCATCCTACATCCAGGCAAGTAGGAGACATTATCACCATTCAAGAATCCATTCCAACCAAGCCAAGCCACTCAAGGAGGTTGCAGAGCAGGGCCATCTTATAAAGCAGAGGTGCGGCAGTCAGGCACACAGGCAGTTGCCTTGGCAGACCGATGCTCCAGGGCACAGAACAATGGGTAATCCAAAAACCTAGTGTGTGGAGGGGGAGGAGAGGTAGAGTCTAATAAAGGAAATTAGCTTTCTTATGTAACAGTGGCCAAGGTCAGCATTTGTTTCGTGTTTGGAGCTACTGAGACAGTTTTCTCCTTTTATGCCAAATAATTTAATGAACCATCTGGAAGATGGTACAGCATTGTATGCGTGTGTGTGTAGTTTTCTCCCGCCCCCCTCCCCCGCCTTTAATTTCAGGTAAGCAAAATCCCATGTTGCTGAAATGTTTATGTGTCATGAGCAAACTCCTTGAGTGCATTTTGCTCCCCAGCCTTTCGTCCTCTCTCCTTTATCTCCAGGCTTGCTCAAGCTGGGCTGGGTGGGAAGGAAGATCCACGCTAACATAAACTTTATAAAACAGAGGGATGCTTGCTGACTCCAAGGATGTGGGCTCTTAAATCCAACTTCTCAGAAGGTAGCCCATCCAAGTTCATCCAAGGCACCTTTTTTAGTGAAGCAACACTGAAGCATCACATGCAGTTTTAGGAAACGAAATTTACCGTGTCTTCGGGATCACATTAACAACATGCAGAGGCATTTCAGTGTCATGCGAAAATGGTCCCTTCATATAGATATATAGATTCATACACAGACGGCGGAATATCCAAATGCACAGCCCCTGTCATTCCCCCCCCCCCAAAAAAAAACATTAAAACATTTCTATACATTTATTAAATCAATAGAATAAAACACGAGCAATGGTAAAAGGAGCAGATAAAAGAATCGTGTAACAGATTGACATTTGCTGAAACTAAAATCTGCTAAAATCCCTGGATGGGTAAACATGTTTTTGCCGAGCAGCTAAAAGATTGCAGTGTTGGCACAAGATTTACCCTCCCTTCCAATCTTAGGGGACATGGGTGGCACTGTGGGTTAAACCACAGAGCCTAGGACTTGCCAATCAGAAGGTTGGCAGTTCGAATCCCCACAATGGGGTGAGCTCCTGTTTCTCAGTCCCTGCTCCTGCCAACCTGGCAGTTTGAAAGCACGTCAAAGTGCAAGTAGAGAAATACCTTCTCCGGTGGGAAGGTAAAGGGTGTTTCCGTGCGCTGCTCTGGTTCGCCAGAAGCGGCTTAGTCATGCTGGCCACATGACCCGGAATCTGTACGCCGGCTTCCTCAGCCAATGAAGCAAGATGAGTGCCGCAACCCCAGAGTCAGCCACGACTGGACCTAATGGTCAGGGGTCCCTTTACCTTTACCTTATCAATCTTAGGAATGAATTTTTGGTCAGACTTGAGCAAAACCAAAAATTTATCTCTGAGTGGAGGGAACAGTTCTGCCCGCTCTTACCACTCTGCAGCTGTGCATCAGACATCAGCAGCTTTACTTCAACAGCTTTACTTCCTACCAATTCCTTGAGCTATACGAGGAATGAGGAACCTCAGGCCCAGGGGCTGAATGCAGCCCTCCCTGTACGGCCCTTGGTCACACCTCTCACCGAACCTTCTTTGCACTCTCCCTGAGGATTTCTGCCCAGCTAGAGTGTGCTTTTGAATCCTGGTAATGCTCCTTGCTTGCCAAGATAGAGAGCAGTGTGTGAGTGAACCAATATTTATTGTCCTAACCGCTTTTGCTCCCGGCCCCACACACCACTGACATGTTGCCCTCAGAAGATTGCCTAGCAGGGTATGTGGCCAGTAGGGGGAAGAACGTTCTCCCAAGGGCTGCTTCCTACGTGATGACTTGGCTCAGCTTGTTTTGCGTCCGTTGCCGGAGCTTTCCCAGTGTCTCTTCAGCCAAAGACCAAACAGTTAAGCAGCAAAGAATGTGGGAACGGGCACCGTCCATAACTGCCTCGTTTTCCCACCATATTGTGCGATGGGTCCCTGTCAGTCTGCCAATCCTAAAGGGATGACCCAAGTTTTAACTTGCCCTAATTGATAACAAACGCTGAGAGTGCTCTTCTCCCTCTTTCCAGCTCTATCCACACGAAGCGATGAACTACACAGCGGAAAATGTTTGGAAGTGGGCCTTGGAGAATCGCGAGACCTTCATCCGCTGGCTGAGACCCCATGGGGGGAAAAGTCTTTTGCTGAACAACGAGCTGAAGAAGGGACCGGCACTCTTCCTGTTTCTTCCTTTCGACCCCTTAGCGGAAAGTCATCCCCTTGTAGATGAGGTGAGCGTAAGGAGGACCCTGCTGGATCAGTGTCCAGCCAGATAGCTATGGAAGACTTAAAAGCAGGACCTGGGGGTCAGAGCACCCAGCATTCAGAGAACATAGCTATCGTGGCTAGTAGCCATTCAGAGGTTTTTCTGTGAATTTGCTTATTCTATTTTAAATTGATGACCATCACTACCTCTTGTGGGAGCAAATTCCATCATTTACTGTATTTTTCGCTCTATAAGATGCACCAGACCACAAGACTGGTGGAGGAAAACAAGAAAAAAAATATTCTGAATCTCAGAAGCCAGAACAGCAAGAGGGATTGCTGCGCAGCGAAAGCAGCAATCCCTCTTGCTGTTCTGGCTTCTGGGATAGCTGCGCAGCCTGCATTCGCTCCATAAGATGCACACACATTTCCCCTTACTTTTTAGGAGGGGAAAAGTGAGTCTTATAGAGTGAAAAATACGGTAATTGTGTGAAGCAGTGCTTTCTTTTTTGTCAGTCCACAAAGCTTTGAAGATCTGGCATGCCAGCTTGGAACTGCCCCCCCCCCCCATAAGGTTATGATAGATAGAATGGAGTGGGGAGGGAGCCTGCATTTAAGATGCACCTCCTGTTTAAAAGGGTGAAGCGATGGGAGTGATGCTTAGCTGTGTATAGTGCCAAGGTGCTACTGTGCATCAGAAGAGGCAAGACTGGGCTCGAGAAATGCCTCACCTGACTCAGCACAAGGCAGCTCTGAATGTTCATGTGCAATGAAAGAGTCACTGGGGTATCATTTGCTCCTATGTAGGCAGGCTTTCTCAGGCAGAAAATGGGACTCGGTGCGAGCTTCAGGCCCCTAGTTCCAGGGAGTTCAGATGGTGCTCTGAACCAGTCCTTGCTCTGATAGGTGATCTCTCTTTCTAAATGTAGCTGGAAGAAAAGTTGTGTCTTTCTCAGTGGGGCCAACCTGCAAAGGAAGGCATTGGTGTGTGTTTGCGGGGAGGGTATCCCTATGAAACAGGTGTAGGAGATTCTGGGCAAAGCTTTATCTGGAGGCAAGAGACTGTTCTCATTTAGCAGGAGGAAACCAAGGCAGATACACTTAGGGTATTGGTGAACTTCAACACAGACACAAGTTTTTCTTTGCTTTGCTGTGGTCGAAGGTAAGCCACTGCTTATCACCTTCAGAGGAGTCAAGCGATTTTGGCCACAAGCATTTAATAACGTTGGCTGTCCCCAAAGCAAATTCCTTCGCGTTGCCCTCTTGCAGGGCAAAGGAAGAGCAATAAGCATGTTGTTTTGGGAGGCAGGGATGGAAAGGTTAACGGATTTGCAAATAACTCACAGCAGGTCATCCTCGGAATCGGAACAAGGTCTCCTGCATTCCTTGCTTCCATTTCCACCCTCTGCTCGCTCCTGTGCTGCCTTAAGCGTTGCTGACGCTGAAGCTGGTTTAATTGGCTTTCTGAACTAAGGAAGAGAGGACTGAAGCTGTCAGGGCAGGTTAGAGATAATGGCCTGCCTATCTTCTGGAGGTCCTTATGCAGCCTCTGCATAAGCAGGGCAAAGAGAGGGCGGTTGTGTGTTCTTCTCTCTGTGTGTGCTTTTTAATCGAGGCACCTTGAGCTCCTTGGAGGAAAGGTGAGGTGTAAGCAGAATAGTTATTAGCCAGCCTGCCCTCAGACACCTCCGGAAATCAATTCTGGCACATCAACAGCCTGGAACGAACAAGCAAAGGAACAGACTGCCTTCCTGGGTTGCTTGGAGGCAGACGTAGCTCCCTCCAGGTGAGAAGCGATTGACAAGCCAAGCAGAAAATGTGCATCTTTGCCTGTCTGCCTCAGATGCACAGCAAGCTTACATAATTTCTTAGGACGTTTCGCCCTGTTTCCCCAGGATGGTGACCCTCCAGACAGTTGTTAGCCTACATTTCCCATCATCCCTTAGCTTGGGCCACGCTGACTGATGGGACCAGGAGTCCCTCAGCTTCTGGAGGGCCACAAGCTCCTCTTCCCTGCCACGTGCTAGTGTGGGGAGTAACGTATGCATCTGCAAACTAAAAAAAACCACTTTAAAAAACAAAACCTGCCCCAGCCTCATCCTGTTCTTGAAAATCCCAAGTGCTTCTCCTGGCCAGAGATGACTCCAGCTGCCTTGCACGGCTTCCTTTCGCTTTCAGGGGGCCTCTTATGTAATTTGTTTACAGTAAGGGTTGCTTTGTGATTTTCCTTCCCGCTTGGGGAGAGCTTTGCTTCCCGGGCGGCCGCATGGCAAGAAACTCTCCGTTCCAGCATCTCTGCCAGCGCAGCTCAGAAGGTCCTGCACATCCCTCTCCCGTCTTGGAATTGTTGCTCTGCCATCCCTCCTTGTTTCACAGCACCGGCTTCATCTGGGCCAAACTAAATGCTGTAAGAGACGCCACCCAATATCTTCCTTTTGCTTTCTCGTTCTCAAATCGAGCGGCATGTGGCAACATGCTGCTTGCGCATCACCCAGCCCTTGGCCCGTGGCACAGCAGCAGCACCTCTTGCATGGGATTGAGAGTGAGCAAAGAGACGGGCATCACATCGTCATTCGTTGGGGCTTGCATTTTGCCAGCAGCCCTCCTCCCAGGTAGCACCCGCTCAGAATGGAAAGGGTGGTCTGATATTCAGGTATACAGGGCAGACACCCCATTGGGTATGCCTGAAGGTGCTATTTGGGTCTTTGCCTGTATTTTTTATTTTTAACAACAAACCTTTAAATACGAGTAGGATCGAACAGCTTTGGAACTGACAAGCTCAGAGAAATAGACAGAAATTACTATGCATTGTAACCTAAAGGGTAGAGAGATTTTTGTGGTCTCTGTGTGACAGTTCTTCAGCTCAGCCCTGGAATTCAGTATTCCCTTCTTTCTTTAAAAAAACACACACAAACACTTGAATGGGGAGGGGGCTAATTATTTAAGTAGCTCAAACTACTTTTGGAGCGGGCAAGACTGGAACTTTGCCTGTACAGTGGTACCTTGGGTTACATACGCTTCAGGTTACAGACTCTGCTAACCCAGAAACAGTACCTCGGGTTAAGAACTTTGCTTCAGGATGAGAACAGAAATCAGGCAGCAGCGGCGCGGCAGCAGCAGGAGGCCCCATTAGCTAAAGTGGTGCTTCAGGTTAAGAACAGTTTCATGTTAAGAACAGACCTCTGGAACAAATTAAGTACGTAGCCAGAGGTACCACTGTAATATACACATTAGCTCACTTGCCTGGGTCACCTGATGCTAATTTACTTTTCCCAAAGTGTGTCCTGCCTTCTGCTTCTGGGTTGAGGTGTTGCTCAAAATTTGAAGCAGAGCAGCCTTTGAGCGAACAACCGTACATTGTTGCAGAGATTGTTCAAAGTCATAGAATCATAGAATCATAGAGTTGGAAGAGACCACAAGGGCCATCGGTAGTTTTCAAATACTGAGATTCCTTGGAAGCTTCCCAAGGATTTGTAAATATTGATATTGAAGGCACAACCACGGGGAGAATAATGGGGTGTTTTCTAGGTTGCGATGTTTGTAACATAGAACCGTGGGGAAGTTTGAGTGTATTCTAGAATATGGCAACACAGAGTTTTTTCCAGGGACAAACTGAGAGGGAAAGGGTGATAACTTTGCCAATTTGGTTTCCTCCCTGCTCCTGATATTATAACGGTGGCCTGGTAAGACGAGGAGAAATGTCCATCCGGCTTTCTTTTCTCCTCCTAGATCTCGGAATTGGCTTTGGAATACAAGAGCTGCAACAGAAGCCATGCAGGGGAAGCGGTTGCCGGGCATTTGCAAGGAGGAGCATCCTCAGCGTCTGGCATCCGCCTCCCTCTGGCCGAAGCCATCTCCATATCCAAGTCACCTTGCTGCAACACAGTGGTGCTGCCTCCCCAGTGGCACTCGATCACCCGGACCCACAACGTCTGCGAGCTGTGCATCAACCAGACCGTCGGGGTCCGGCCCAGCCGCCTGGGAGGCCTGCACTGCAACTTCTTGGAGATAGAAGCAGCCTTGGACTCGTTCTACCTCAAGGAGAGGACCTTTTTCCAAGTGATGTCCAAGACGGATTCCTTGTGCAGCAACTTCCTCAGCTTTTACAGCCCTTTCAGCTACTACACCGCGTGCTGTAGGACAGTGAGCGGGACCCCGCTGGGCTTCTCCGGCTCCGAGGAATTGGCTCTTGCTTCCCATGGGAAGAGATGGAAAGACGATCCCCAAAGCTCTATTCCTCACATTGAGGACAGGAGTGGTCTTATCCCGGAAAATGCCCTCTGCGACACTTACGTGACCGGCCTGAGTTGTAGGACTAACAAGACCTTGAACCTATACCTGCTGGATTCAAATCTCTTCTGGTTGTACGCCGAGAGGCTGGGAGCATCAAGGTCTACTCCGGTGAAGGAGTTTGCTGCCATTGTGGACCTCAAGGAAGAGACACACTATATCCTGGATCAGGACCAGGCCCTGCTGAAATCTAATCTAGGTACAGTACGACCACTTCATTAGTTCAGAGTTTGGGTGGAGATGTCACTGTTACCAAAAGCACGACCCAAGTTTGCAGGGAAATTAGACTACTGATTTAAAATGGTTTCTTTTTGGCCTCTCCTACTTCGTTTTTAACACCACTGCTCATCAAGATTTGATTCCAGGATGCTTATAACGGTTTTTAAAAGGCATCAGATATATAAAACCATGAGTAAAAGATGAAATCAGCGATTCTTAGAAGTATGTTAAAAGTACCATAAAAGACCTCTATTTTTTTGTTTTTTGGTCTAGCACAGAAAAGCAAGTACCGTATATTTCCGTGTATAAGTTAAGGTTTTTTTCTTTTAAAATTATGTTAAAAATTGGGGGTCGTCTTATACACGGATAGGGCAGAGGGTGGACGCGATTGGTTGCAGCCACGAGCAGGAGATTGTCAGCAGCTCTTGGGTGTTTGATTGGTGGCCGGGGCAATGGCTGTTGTTGATTGGCTGCCCTTAAGGCAATTGGGCGTGCGGTTGGCGGCTTTTCTCCAACTGTCGGCACCCCCCCCCAAAAAAAAAAAAAAAAAAAAAGAAGCTCAACAAGTCTGGGCAATCCTCCCCAAAAAATCTTAACTCTACAACTCTTGACTATCTCCCCACATTTTCTTAATTTGGAGTCCCCCCAAACAGGGGGCGTCTTATACATGGAAATATATGGTAACATTGGCACCTGACATCTAGTCCAACCCCCTGCAATGCAGGAATCTCGACACATGGAGGTCCTCCCTTCCTGCTGGAGGATATTCTTTTCTTGCTCTTCAAACTTTTCTTTGGCCAGCATCACTGCCGAGGCTGTTCTGATTTCTCAGAACAGCCAGGCATATGAAGCAGACCCTGTGAAGGCTGCCTTAATAGCCAGAGAGGCATACAGTTATAGAATCATAGATTTGAAAGGGATCATGAGGATCCAGCAACATCTGGAGGCCAGCAGGTTGTCCACCCTACTCTGAATCTCACTTCCTGATGGGTGGACATACAAGGGAGGGCCTTCCTGGTGGTGGTGCTGAGGCTCTGGAACTCATTCCTTCAGGAGGGTCCACTTAGTTCTTTCCTCATTGGTGCAATACATCAGTTACTGTCTTTTGTGCTTTTATTTTGGCTCAGTGATGGCAAAACTTGGCCCTCCAGCTGTTTTGGGATTACAATTCCTACCATCCCTGACCACTGGTCCTGTTAGCTAGGGATGATGGGAGTTGTAGTCCCAAAACAGCTGGAGGGCCAAGTTTGGCCATCACTGTTTTGGCAGCTCTTAACATTGCATGAAATATTGCCTTTCAGAAAATCTGTTTCGTTGCACCACTTCCTTTTATTGTACTAGATGCCTCATAGGGGTGGGGTGTGGAGTTCCCAACCCTGGACAGGAAGGCGGGATAGAAATCTGTCCCTAAATTACAGCTTACGTCGCCAACGGCATGCTTGACTTTTAGGAGCCCCTGCTCTTACCGTGTGCCGTGCAATACATCCGTGGGCATGCTCAGACACGATGAGAGATTTCCCTATCAAATGCAGTTCTATGCTCACTTTAGAGACTCGCACACACTTAATGCTCCCACCCCCTTGAAACTGCTTGATAATAGTAGAAGACACACTATTGGGGGTTTTTTTGGAGGCAGCAGCGAAATTTTGACAAAAAGAAGCCGAACCCTGCGTGTTGAGTAAGATAGTTCAGCAGAATTCTAGCTTGATTTGAACAATCCATGCAAATGGATTCAGGGAGGTGCTGTGCAGCGCTCAGTACCTTTCTAACCTCTTTAGGTTTTTCTATGCGTTGGACATGTTTTGCTTGACAACCTAAGGACTAGATACTTAGATTTGTTGTTATTGTTAAACTGAGATTCTGAGGGTACTCACCCTAATGCCATATTCCATGCATGTGGAAACCCAAAATATAACACCACCCTAACAACAGTTGAGGGGGATATTTCTGTTTTTTGCTGCAACCTCCTGAAACAGCCCACAGACATAATCCTGCCAAGATGCTTCTCAGACCTAAAACTTGCTTCCATGTTACGTTGTCAAGCCTAGAAGCTCAAAATAATCTCCTTAACGTAGACGCTTTTCTTTTATTTTTTAGAAATATTCATTCAAAACTACAGCGTTTTGTACAGTCCTTTAAAAAGACACCTTGTTGGCGACACGAGGCCCAGCCGCATTCGATCTCAACATGTCATTAGAGAAATTTTCACCGATACTTTCCATGAGGTCACGTTGAGGAGCGAAAAGGTAAGGCTCTCTAGGCTCCAGCGGTCGGTTGCCTCTGCCTGCCTCCGTGGCTGATTCTTGGTTTTGCATCTGAATGGCATAGCCACGTCCTGTGGAATAACAGCCACACCTTGACGATGTCCTAAAATGCAATTGGAAAACGATTCCCATCTCATCTGACCTGGCATGGTGAAAAGAAAGGCTTACTTAGCACAGCTTAGCTGCCCCAGACCCCCGCTCTAGGTCCACAACAGAGGTAGCCCGAGAGCCCTAAAAGGTTAATTTTGAATTTCCCCTCTATCCAACTTAACAACTTTTGTTGTGAGTTGGAGTGGGGAGTTCCCTTCTGCGTTTGTGTCCGCAAGTGGAAAACCAGAAAGGGGCCCTTGTAAACATAACTCAATGGCGTTAACAAAAATGTGGGGAGGTGGGGTGCCACGGTGAAAGAAAACGACAACATCTAATCTTCCCTTCATCAAACTCAGGACATTTTGCTGGTCTACTATGCTCCTTGGTGCGGCTTCTGCATGTCTCTCAATCACATCTTCATTCAGCTCGCCCGGATCCTGCCTGCTGATAACTTCCTTGTGGCGAGGTGAGTTTTTCTCCCTTCTTTCCATTACATTAAGTTACTCTTGGGACTGTTGCCCTCCAGATGTTTAAGGCTGCAATTCCCATCAGCTCTAGCCTGGGGGTAATGGGAGCTTGAGTCCAAAACATCTGGAGGGCACCAGCTTGGGAAAGGCTGGCATGTGCTCTTAATCAAAGTGTAAGCCAGACTTTCCATGTCTTGATCAGCTGCCCAAATTAGGGGATTGTGTTTTATTCTGTGAGTCTTTAGTGGGTATGTGGAGCCAGGCAGAGCCACAAAGCCCCATTTCCAGGTTTGGGGAAGTCCTCCATCAGCCCCATCTGCTTTTGGGGGTCTACCAAGCCACTGCCTGTACAAAAAAATGGAACTGCAGAATGAAACACATCCATGAGAAGAAAGAGAATTCTACAGCTGTCCTCTAGCTTTTTATCTGGAAGCCCAACATAACACACAAGACCCCAGTTAGCTGAGTAATATCCCTAGTTTTTGATAAAGGGAAGAACTGAACAATTTTTACTGGGCACATGCAAGTGGGGGCAAGAGGCTTAAGCTCAAATGCTGATGCTGAACTAGAGGAAACTGCCCCACAAATAACAATAGTTTAATGAGAAAAGCTGGTGCTTGGATTGATTCACACATAATACTAAGTCATGATGTGCTTAGACAGATGTGGTCTGTTTGAACATGCAAATGCAGCCCACCAGACTTACCATGGCTGGCTTGTTTTTTGTCAGCAAACCTCGATTCATTGGCTTAGAAACCACAGTTTGTTGTAACTACGGATTGGCATTATGCCTGAACCCAGCAGCCTTGCTTAGCCTGGTTTCTTTGGTCACCCTGACCCAGATGCTTCCTAAGTTACAGAGCCAAGAGCAGTGGAAAACAAACCAAGCTTTGGAGAAATGTGCCCAAGGCCTTGAACAAATCACTAAGTGAGGGTTGGAAGAAGAGTAGTTTCTGGTGCAAAAAGTCCAGACTGCCTGGGTACCTTGAGCTGTGTTTGGTCAGTTTCCGTCAGCCATTGTGAAGCTTGGCCTATTCCATGTGCAGCCTGCACACATTTCCTTCCCTTCTATACATCCTGCCCTATGAAATCACTGATATTTAAAAGGTTATTGGTAATTCACTCTTAGTTGGTTCAATTTTCTCCATGTACGAGAACGAGAGCTTGCATTTAGGATGGCCCTGGGATTCTTCTGTGTCAAGCCCTGAGTAGCTCTCAGGGCTTGACACTCTCTTCAGTGTGGTGTAGTGGTTCAGAGCGGTGGACTCATAATCTGGTGAACCGGGTTCGCTTCCCCGCTCCTCCACATGCAGCTGCTGGGTGACCTTGGGCTAGTCACACTTCTCTGAAGTCTCTCAGCCCCACTCACCTCACAGAGTGTTTGTTGTGGGGGAGGAAGGGAAAGGAGATTGTGAGCCGCTTTGAGACTCCCTAGGGTAGTGATAAAGCGGGATATCAAATCCAAACTCCTCCTCCTCCTCCTCCTCTCTCTCTCTCTCTCTCATCAGCATGACTCAAGGACAATTGCTGGGCAGATTATACAGATGTATATTTTAAGCTCTGCCCTTTGAAGAAACTGCTCAACAGTTAATTAAATGCATGATCTGCAAACCCCCACCCCACCCGGCAAGTTTTGCTTGTTCACCCACCTTATTTCCAAGATAAATAACAAGTCCATCTCTCTCTCCTCTTATTTTATTCATTTATTTCTTCTTTCTCAAACTTTCCATCTGCGTCCAGGCCTCCTCTTTTGCTTGCCCTTGAAGGAAGCATATTCCATCTTTTCGTAGCTTGAAGTTTAATTTCTTCCCATAGTTTCCACAGTATCTTTAAGAATATCTTTCTGACTCTGCTGGTGATGATTGTTGGCCGTGTGTACCATATTCGTTATTTTAGACTAGTAATGTGTGTCAGGAGAACTGAATCCATGTTTGTTTGTTGATTTATTAACTGCTTATAGAAAACCCATAATTAAACAAGAAAAGAAACAACAAAAAAGAGAAACTTCAATGTCACCATAGTGCAGTGTAGTATTACACCCTATTCTGTCAATGAAGTTGCAGGAATGCCCCTCCAGAAAGTTGTGTCCGGGGTGGGGGTGGGGGGTTCCCCACCCCTTGAGTTGTGTAACAGATGAGCAGGTACCAAGTTTGAACAAAAATATCCATCAGAGCCACTCCCCTGGCTTCCCTGCATTCTTGAGTAAGCTTATCATCAAGTGCTAATTGCCAGACTGTCTCATACCAAGTTTTAACAGAAAGATTGCCCACTTCCTTCCAATTTCCAGTCTGACCACTACTAAGCATATCATTACTAATGGTTTGCAGTATCTGGGGAATAATGTCTCCTGAGAAAAGGTGGAGAGGAACGTCAGGCAGAATCGTTTGTCTAATTAGCCAAGTATAGAAAAAAATGTGGAGCCAAATGTGGAGTTCCAAACACACCCACCATTGATAAAACCCATGTGTTTCATATACCCTCCAGTGAAGTGGGGACTTAGAGTTAATGTAAATGAGCTTGCCTGGTGTCCCATGCCAGGGGTGGCTCAGTTTGAGCATAGCCCCTTTATTGAGTGCTGAGGTAGCTGACAGAGAAACCCGAGACCACATGCCAGACTATTGAGTTTCTGGAACTGGGCGGCCAGGATCGGATTCCCATGCCAGTAGCCATCCCCATACTTAATATTCAGCAAAAGTGTATACACCTTAGAGACCATCGCCTTAAGGCACTTAGCAGCTGGCCTAAGATCTTCAAAGGCTTCTCAGGGTGCATGGAGCACCGTTTATCCTTAATAACCAGTTGGCAAGGGAGTAAATTTGGAACCAATTAACACACAGATGCCTTAGGGCAGGCACCCCCAAACTTCAGCCCTCCAGATGTTTTGGACTACAATTCCCATCATCCCTGACCACTGGTCCTGTTAGCTAGGGATCATGGGAGTTGTAGGCCAAAACATCTGGAGGGCCGCAGGTTGGGGGTGCCTGCCTTAGGGCATCTTGACGTTTTCCAATAGAGAGGGGCTTCCCGTCAAAACAAAGGTCACGTACCACGGTTGACTTCTCTGTTTCCAAGAATAGAATCAATGACAAGAGGTTCCGGTGAGCCCCGAAGCCCCCACTCATAGGGGGCAACGCCTGCTGCATCTCTGTACGAGTCACTGCTCTGAGAGCACCTCCTTCCAGCCTTCCCCTTCTCTTCACTGCAGAAATACTTGCAATTGGATGGCCTTGCAGGAGCAGAACGTTAAAATGGTAATGCAGGAAGTCAATGTGATAAACATGATACTCATGCTTAAGTATGTGCTCGGCCACTGAGTTTATGCTCCTCTATAATCAGTGTGTTCGTATTTGTTTTGCTCTCATAACAGGATCGATGTTTCTCAGAACGACCTTCCCTGGGAATTCATGACCGACCGCCTACCCAGCATTCTGTTTTTCCCTCATGATCGGTAAATTTCCCCTTTTCTGGTTCTTTCTTCTGTGTTTTGAGGTTAAAATGGATCATCTATACAGGGTACCTTGGGTTACAGACGCTTCAGGTTACAGACTCTGCTAACCCAGAAATAGTACCTCGGGTTAAGAACTTTGCTTCAGGATAAGAACAGAAATCGCATGGCGGCAGTGGGAGGCCCCATTAGCTAAAGCGGTGCTTCAGGTTAAGAACAGTTTCAGGTTCAGAACGGACCTCCGGAACGAATTAAGTTCTTAACCCAAGGTACCACTGTATTGACAGTTGCCTTAAAGCAGGGACACACTCCTCTCTCCTCCTCCTCTCCCCACCCTGACCAGTGGCTTGCCAGTGGAGGCTGCCTAGGGGCTGCCATTGCCTGCCAGCTTCCTCTTCCTCTTTTGAGTTCCCTTTGTAGAACTCAGCAGGGAGGTAGCTGAGCGGACAACAAGAATTAGTTGACTCTGCCTTTCATTGGCTCCACCTGTTGTCAATCTCTCTGCCTTCTGCCCAGCGGGCACCAGCCACCACTGGTCTGAACCAATCACTTGCAAAGGGCTTTCAAAAATTAGGCCTGCATGCAGCCCATGAGGCACAGATTGCATCCCCCGCCCCAAACCACCCCGGCTGTAAAAAGAATAGAGTGGTCAAGGCTTCTCTTGGCTTTCCACAGGCACGCTGTGTTAGCTTTCCATTCAGGGAGGCGGGCCTCATGCCAGTTCTCAGCAGATCCTGCTTAGAAGTCCTTGCTGAATGGAAAAACAAAACACCAAGCTCAGTCCATGTAGGCCTCTACCAGAAAGCAATCATTTGCGAAGCCTGGGTTTAAATTCCTGCGATACATAACCTGAAACAGGCAACAAACCAGTCTAATCGAGGTGGCTCCATTTCCATTATCACTGCCGCTTTCCTCCTGGCGCTCAGCCACGAAGATTTCAGAAAGCTCTGTTGACCTTATTCCAGACAGCCTTATCACCACCACCACCCTTGCAAAGTAGGTCAGTATTATCTTCTTGTCGCTCTGCCCAGGAGGTGGAGCCGAGTTAAGAGACTCAGCAGCTGCCTGAGGGTACCTTGTCATAGCAGAGGGAAGGTCTGAAGCAGGGACCTCTCAGCCTTTTAGCCGCTATTTTTATTTTCCCCGGAGGAATTCTGAGCAAAGGCTGCAGAGTTTCAGCGGCAGGATCAAAACCCCGCTGCTATCCCCTTGTTCCGCGTGCAAAAATAGACATGCTGCTCATGTAATCTGGAGTGCGCGAGGGGGGCTGGGAATGCTGACTCTAGTTCAATGACGAGTTAATTAATCTAATTTTTTTGCTTTTATTGCCTTGAAAGAGAAAGAATGCAGTTAGCCACAGGTCCCCTTGCCTGTGCCTGCAGTTGTTTTGGATTCCCCCACCCCCAGCTTCTTAGTGGTAGTTCGTGTCTTGCATCTAAGGTGCAGCTGACAATGTCATTTGCTATTGCTCATATACAGCCCCAGAGGTCCATTCTGTGTTGTCTGTAGTAATGGAGTCAGTGTGCGCTTCTGCAAACCTAGCATTGTGCCGATTAGGAACATTTCATTTAATTTCATTTCCATTGGGAAGTTTGATGTTGCCAGAGGGATATATAATGTATACATGGGATTCAACAGATGAGCAGTTTGGACTGTGCTTGTCCAAAGTTCACGCAGCTGCTTTCGTGAGCGTGTTTTATGTTCTTGCCCCTGCGTTGTTTTTCTCTCTCTTCCCGCTCTGGTTGCAGAGTCAGGGGAAGTTCAATCCTGTAGGAAAAACAAAGCTCACAGTAGGTGACCCATAAAGTTGCAACTGGGACGTCTTCAAGCAAGGGCAAAAGCCGCTGGCTGGGCTTGTCAGGGCCAAGATCCTCAGCTTGCCAGCCTCTCACTCCATGGGAGCAGAGCAGGGCAAGGCAAGAGGGGAGTAGCAGCCTGCAGCAGCTTTTCGCAAGCGAGATTTCGCAAGCCAGCCTGCTGCCACTGAGCACAGCCAGTATTTCTTGCCCTTCTTGCTTCTGGGATGGAAACTGCCTGGGCAGATGCTGCAGGCAATTTGATTAAGCTGTCTTAAGTTTAGTATCTATCACTGAGTTCTAAAGGAAATGCCAGTTTATTGCACTGCCAAGCTGATCCCCTTTGGACTACAGCTCCCCTCAGCCAGCACAGCTGATGGGAACTGTAGTCCAGAACACCCAGAGGAACCAGCTTGGCGTGATTGCACAAGAGACGGCACGCCAGGTTGCCGGCCATGTGAAACACCTCAAAGCAATCAAGCAGGGGCTTCTCAGCACATCTAAAACAGGCGTCTGTGGATACGTGAGCCATCTAGAAAAATGTTTTTGTGTATGTGGACTTCTTGGTAAGGCGATTCCAGCTCTGTTTTCCAGAGGCTCCAGTTGTGTCATGTTTGAGCCACACAACTTTTATCTCCCTCCTGGATCCCAGTGCTTAGAAGCATGCACAAGACCGCGCTAGGAACACCTCTTCCAAAATCGTATCCTAGGATGCGGCTTCCGTAGCAGGGCAGGCAGTTTCCGTCCAACACATTCCTGCCCGACTGGAAGCACTGAGAGCTTCTTATGTATTTTATCTGGTTGCAGTCCCTCCAGCAACTCTGCTGTTAGTGTTATACCCTCCTCCCCGGTATGTGGATATCTCAGAGACTTGTAACTCACTGTTACATCTGAACTAAAATGGCCCTTCCACACTGGAAGAACCATTTTGAGGGCAAAGGGGAGGATGAGCTTGTGGTTGTTTTTTTAAAGCAACCCTTGTTTTGCAACCTCTCCCTTTGGGAGGTGGACTGTTGCCATCAACAATTCCACCACCCCAAAGCCAACCACAGCAACACACGAGTTCCCAGAGCCTAATTTTTAAACTGGAAGTGCCACAGATGGAACCTGGTGTTCATACCACGTGCCCCTTTCCTCGTAGCAGATCTCACCCATTTCTCTATCAACTTTTCCCAGGAAGGAGCAAAGTGTGAAGTTCCCTGCGGAATTCCCGGTCACCCTTCCCAACCTCCTCAAATTCATCCTCTGCCACTCCAGCCAGCCCTCCCCTGCGTCCGGCCCGGAGCCCTGCCTCAAAGGTTGCCTTCGGCAGGAGGCGATGCTGCAGCAAGGCCACATCTCCCACTTGCAGAGGGAGGTGGAGAAGCTGAGAGCAGAGATCCAGGCCCTCCACCGGGCGCAGGCTCAGCTCCAAAGCCAGCTCTCCGAAGCCAGGAGGGAGGGGCAGAGGCTCCAGCAGGAGACACGCATCCTGAGGAAGCAGCAGGGGGCCTTGCAGAGCCAGCGCGAACATTTGCAGGGGCTGTACGAGCAGAAGACCCGGGAGCTGGAAGACATGGCCGAGAAGCTGCAAGAGCTGGCCGACGCCTCCGAAAACCTCCTCACGGAGAACACGCTACTCAAAGTGCTGGTGGCTTCGGTGGAGAGAGAACTGGGGACCAAAACCGAGCCAGAGTTCAGCCTTCCCAAGGAGGAGGAGGTAGAAGAAGCTGGCTTGGCTGCCGAACCAGCTCCGGACACTTTCCACGAAGCAGAGCAGAACGCCAACACGATCGAGGGCAGAATAGCTCCTGAGCACAGCAAAGAAAACTGGACAGAATAGCTTTTGTAAAGCAAGACACACACACAGAGGGAACCCCACGCAAATCAAGTTTAGTCTCAACTGAGAACATCTTTATGGAAACTTTATTGAAATTTCATTGTAAAGACTTTTGCGGGGGGTGGGGGGGCTGGACTAAATAAAAATCAAAGGATATTTTTATAATGAGTCACTGAACCAGATAGACGAAGCCTGCGATGTTGACAACAGTCTGGGGACTGACTCTTTGCACTTTACAATTGCACTAATTTGATAGCTTTTGTATCAATTTAACCTAAATTAAAACGATTTGGTTGGAGGACGGCAGTGTAAAAGCTCCTCTTCTTCTCCCTGCTGTGCTTAGTTACAAGCCAGAGCTCCTTTTGGCTGCATCAGGTTTACCTCCACAGTTCAAATTAATTTTGATTTATGCTTCCTGGGTAATTTCCAAATTGGTCGCCTTCGCTACTTTCGTTTGTAGAATCGACAGGATTTAAAAAGTGCGTGCAATTCCCCCATCCCCTTCAACTTTACAAAAGGCGGGGGGGGCATCCCACAGTCCCTTTTCTGAGCTTTTGGATTTTATAACTTTACCGACGTTTAAAACAAAAACACAATTGCCCTTAATACACAGTCCATTGAGATCTTGAAAAATAAAAGGCAGAAAAGAAAACTAGCTTAAACTCCTCCTCAAAACTTGTTTTCTGGTTTGGAGATGTTAGCAACTTCCAGATCATTTGGGGAGGAGGGTTCTTACAACTTGTGCTGTTCTAAATTTCCTGTTGCTTGACTCACAGATCTGGTATAAAAGCAGTGGTTTTCTGGGCAACCCTGGGTTTCGGGAACTTAGCTGCAAAGCTCCAAAGCATGCATACGATCTCAAAGTTGATGGAGCCTTCTTTCTCCCTGCTTACCAGGACCTGTACATATGTTAATGCTCCCTTGCACAAGACCCTAAGTCACATTTGCAGCCTGAAGGAGTGGTGATGGCCACAGCCTTATACAGTCATACCTTCGAAGTCGAACAGAATCTGTTCCAGAAGTCTGTTCAACTTACAAAACATTCAAAAACCAAAGCACGGCTTCCGATTGGCTGCCGGAAGCTCCTGCAGCCGATCGGAATTCCCATCCGATGTTTGGCTTCCAAAAATAGTTCACAAACCGGAAGTGTCACCTCTGGGTTTGCAACATTTGGGAGCCAAAACGTTCGGGAACTAACCTGTTCGACTTCCAAGGTACGACTGTGGCTTTAAAGGGGGAACAAGACAAATGCATGGAGAAAAGGCAGTGCTAGTCATGGCTGCTAAATGGCACCAGTTGTGGGGGGGCAAGGAGGGGAAAGGGGTGTCTGCGCTCTGCTTGTGAGATTTCTTGCAGACACCCGGTGGGGCCATTCTTGGGGACAGGAATCTGGATTAAATGGACCTTTAGCGTCTTGAAGCGGGGCTGCCTTTGCACTTTCTTTGGCATTTTTCTGTATTGGGGGGGGTATTAACTTCCTCCAGCTGTTCACAAAAATGTTAAAATAAAAGTATAAATAAAAAGGAGGCAACAAAGCAGATGGGATGCCAGCAGCAGGGACCAAAAGCCAGCTTAAAATAATCAGCCCCAGGACAAACACATACCTAAAACATCTGGGCAAATAATTCTGAGAAGTTCTCAGGTACAGGACTGAAGAGGGTGCAAGCCAGTGGTGGTACAGTGGTTAGAGTGTTGGACTGTGATCTGGGAGACCAGGGTTCGAATCCCCACTCGGCCAGGAAACTCGCTGGGTGAAACCTTGGGCCACTCCCTCTCAGCCTAACCTACCTCCCTGGGTGGTTGTGGGGAATTAAATGAGGAGCAGAAGAGCTATGGGGGACCACCCTGAGCTCCGTGGAGAAAAAGGGATATAAATGCAACAAATAAGAACCAAAACAGAAATGTCCAGCCATGCCCCCAGTTGACAGAGGGGCCTGCATTTTAGGGTCTCTGCTGCCAATCTCAATGGGCGTGACTGCCCCATGGCTCCAAGATGACTTAGGAAAAAGACACTGTCGAAAGCATCTTCCAGCAGCCTACTGCTCTACTGGTCTGTCTAGCTTGACTTCCCAAGGCTTCGGGTACAGAAAGTCCCAACTCCCTTACGCAAGGTCCTCCTTCATTAAAAGCAGAGGTGTGTGAATCAGGAACTCCTCCCTGCAAGGCTTCCCACAGACCCACCAGGTCTGCATTAAATAGTCAAAACTGAATTTCTGTTGCATTTTTAAAAAATATTTCTCGCATTGTATTTTATTGCACCGCAGTTTTAATTCAATGGAACGTCAACTGTAATGCGATAAAATACGGTGCAAGAAATAAAAGCACTAATGCAATTAGGAAAACATCTAGTGCAGCGCACTGCAATTGCTGCAACAGGTAGAAAATCATTAAGTGATCCACCAAAACCATCAGTTTTCAAGTGGTCTGGGGTGTGGAGTTTTGGAAACCCTGTGCTAGTGAGCACAAAATGCCACCAGAGCTGGGTCCTGCCTCTTCTACATAGAATTGTGGTGTTTGAAAGGACATGGGGCTCAACCCACAACCCAGATATTAAGAGTCTCATGCTCTACCACATTTGCAGTGTCAGCTGAGCAGCGCTCGCTTCCACTAATCCTACAGTGTGGCATCAGCTGTGCATTGGAGTCACAGAATACGCACCTGTTGAGCAATCATTGATCTGGACAGGGAGCACAAGGGAGAGTCGCGTTCAAGAACAGCGCCCTGATTCTACACATTTGCTTAAATGTTCAGAAGGGCAGCTGGCACGCTTAGCAGAAACTGGGAGGGGATCTGGGAGGGCACTTGAGAGGTTAAGAAGAAGAGTAGTTTGGATTTGATATCCCGCTTTATCACTACCCTAAGGAGTCTCAAAGCGGCTAACAATCTCCTTTCCCTTCCTCTCCCACAACAAACACTCTGTGAGGTGAGTGGGGCTGAGAGACTTCAGAGAAGTGTGACTAGCCCAAGGTCACCCAGCAGCTGCATGTGGAGGAGCGGAGACGCGAACCCGGTTCACCAGATTACGAGTCTACCGCTCTTAACCACACTGGCTCAAGAACACAAGAAGAGCCTGCTGGATCAGGCCAATGGCCCAAATAAGTCCAAGCAGATGCCCACAAGGAAGACATGAGCGCAAGAGCACTCTTTTCTCCTGTGGTTCCCAGCAGCTGGCATTCAGAAGCATTACAGTCATACCTCGGGTTACAGACGCTTCAGGTTGCGTTTTTTTCAGGTTATGGACCCGCCGAAACCCGGAAGTACCGGAACGGGTTACTTCTGGGTTTTGGCGATCGCACATGCGCAGAAGCACTAAATCGCACTTTGCGCATGCGTAGAATCGCAACCCGCGCGTGAGCAGATGTGCTGCTGTGGGTTGCAAACGTGCATTCCGCATGGATCACGTTCACAACCCGAGTGTCCACTGTACTACTCTCTCAGTTAGCTTGTCCCAGGCAAGAAGCAGCTAAGAGTCCTAGGAGTGAGGGAATAGTGCAGGCCTGCTGAAAATGAGACTGTTGGCCTCTGCTCGAGCCACTTTTGATCACACCCCGGGCTGCCCAAGCACCTGTTGCTTAAAATCAGAGCTGCTGTTCCAGGAAGCGCCGTCCCCCACCCTTGCTTGCCTATTCTTCTCCCAAAAATGCCTGCAGCAGCCCTTTCCTACTGCTAAGCAACACAGCTGGCAACAAATTCTAGAAGGGGGACAAAAGCAGGTGGAGTCAACTGGACCAAAGGGACAGAGGACTATATAACTCAAGATGGCATCCTGGGAGCTCCAGGAAGGGCTGGTAAGAGTGGAGAGCCGCTGCCAGTCTCTCTGTAGACCAGAAACCAGGAGCCCCGTGGGGAAAAGGGTGGCACTATTGGCTGGAAGCTGATAGCACGATTATTTGGGTGCAGCAGCAGTAGTCAAAAGACTGTAGTGAGCACCGCAACAGGCCTTTGCAGCTAGCTCCCCTTCTGCAGCTTGCTCCAGCCTTGCGTTTTCCTCCCTGGTGAGCAACAAGTCACCTTCGTTTCCAAGGAAGTTTAAGCGGGGAGGTAACAAGAGGCCTGCAAATCTCCCTCTGCTATCAAGTGTGGGATGCCAGCTGCCACTCCTCTTGGGGACCTGCCGTCTGCTGTCTACGACACACACAAGTTTCCCAGCAGGTAAACAGAGCTGCAAATCCGTCCCGGGTCCATAGGATGGTGGGGAAGAGCTCTGTGCTGGGTCCTCAGAAACGGCTCCTCCTAACCCCATGGGGCAACAGCCTTCGTCTGCCACCTTGGGCGTTGTGCAATACTGCTCGTCCTCCTCAGCTTCCAAGAGAACTACAGGCAGGGGAACAGCAGCGCCCTGGCAAGAGCAAGGTGAACGGGCCATGCCCCTGTTCCTCTTTCGGCCTGGCTAGGCGATTTGAGTTACAGCAAAATGGCTTGAGAGGGGAAGTTTCCGAAAAGTAGGGGGTTAGCCGATTTTGCAGAGAGCCTCACTGGTGATGAGGGGGCTTTCCCAGAAAAATAAATCAGTTCAATTTTTCTGTGCAAATAAGTCTAAATTTACACACAGTCATTTGCATTTTGAGAATTCAGAGAAGTTTCTGGTGCCCTCAAACAACAGTAGCCAACATGGTGCCCTTAATATGTTGCTAGACTCCAGCTCCCTTCGTCCCAGCCGATCGACCATGGGAGCTGGGGATGGTTGGAGCCAAAGTCCAAAACTCAAGGGAACCACTTTGTCCACCTCTGCCTTTTAATTGCTTAATGAGCTTTTGAAGAAAAATACCGGATGGTTTACAGGGAAATGTTCTGCCCCACTCCAGTCTTGCTTGAAAAAATAAAATAAGGGAGGGGGAGAAAGAGACTGTCTTCTACCACGAAACCTTACCAAAGAAACACAACTGGGGTCTTATGGAAACCGGCAAAGATGAAAGAAACATAAACGAAGGACGGGACGTCTGCTCTGTCAAGTTATTTACAGGAGCCCTGTCATTTTAAGAAAGCAAACGGCATTTTATTTACAAAATACACAGATCCCGAGCTCTATACAGCTGAGCGAAAAGTCATGTGGATCTTGATAAAACAAGAGGTTGTCTACAAGTGTCCTGGCAGCCAGGAGTGCATGTAAACCATCAGTGCACCAGGAGATAAATTAGGGACTAGTTACATGAGAACAGCTTTTAAAAGTGGGAGCCACAGCAGGGCGGGAAAAGCATTTCTTTACTCACATGCTTACTACCAAAGCAGGCCTGCTCAGCCACCAACCACCAAGTCCACCAGCAGCCTTCCGACTATGTACCCATATTTTTGGGGGTGGGGAGGAGAAAACACAGCTGTCATTAGCTGCTTGCTTCGGACTTGGTTCGATGTGGCAGCTTCCTCACAGCCACTACGCTTGCAGAGCACTCGACATCACTACGATCGGTCACAGCGTCACCAAAAAGCACATTTCTTTCCTTGCGCCTTTTTGCTTCGGCCCCCTACTTTAAAACACATTTTTTTAAAAACCACAATCAACCTGCATTCCAGGAGTTTTTGAGCAGCCCCCAAGTCCAGAGAAAATCCGCTCCCTGCTTCAACAACAGCTGCAACAAGCTACTATGACTCGGAAGGGTTGCTCGCCAATGGACAAGCGGGCGATTCAGAGGACAGCCTCTTCGACCCTCAATCTAGTAACCTTCCTATCACACCTACCCGAAAAGGCCTTGAAGGAAATAATTGAGCAAGAGATCCTTGCCTGCCATAGAGAACAACACTTCCTTATTAGTGCTGGGGAAAAACATGGCATCTAGCAAGATCCCACCAGGAGCCAGGAAGGAGACGATGAAGCAGCTTTGCATCACCAGAAGCAGCTTCCGATCAAGGAAGACTGTTGAGAGCGGAAGGTGGGCTGGGGGGCAGGAAGCAGGCTTGGAAAGGGAAAATTGTGCCTTAATGGATTGTTGATTTTCTAGAATATAGGTGGGGGGTTTTTTTGAAGGAAATTGAAGCATTAAAAAAAACTAAAAACACAGCTGCAACACCCCCCTCCCCAAAAAACGAAGCAAGTGTAAAAGAACCCCCTCCCCGCTTCCCAAACCCCCCACCCCCCCACCCCCCGTTTGGCTTTGGAGAAATCCCATCGGTGGCCATGCGTCTTCCCGGAATCCAGGAGTGCTGCTCTTCTCCCTGCCACCCCGGAAAAAGCGCATCCGTCCCGCGCACAGGCTGCCTATGTACACGGCCAGTTCACAGTTGAAGTTCACATTATGTCAGTAGCTCCGTTCCGAAGAGGCTCAGTGGAATAATTCAAGTAACAGGCCGAGTGTTGCCATTCTCCTTCCGCACCCCCCCCCGTGTCCCCCAACTGTCCATTGCCGGCAATGGACCTTGTGCCAAAAAAGGAGGCGATGCTCAAGGGGCGGAGAGGAAACCGTCCTCAGTGCATACATAGCCACAGGACAAACCTCTCGTTCCGGGAGGGCGAGGTTTGCTTCACAGTACCGGTTCTCCAAACCCGGCCACGCGGACCCCCCCTTTCCCCAGACAGCCAGTTAGCTGTGAGCCTCGGTGCCGTTGGGGGTCAGCTTGGTTTTCCTCTCCATGCCCGGCCCGCGGGCAGAATACTGCACCAGGAGGAAGGGCTCTTTGGTCTCTCCCTCGCCCACGATGCTCTCCTCGTCCTCCGACTGGCTGATTCTCTGCAGGCGCAGGTAACACCAGCAGCCCAGAATCAGGGCGCCCAGAGCGGCAATAGCGATCAGGATGACGATGACCGTCACCACCCCGGTGGTCGGGCTGTGGTCCATGATCGACATGGCTGCCTCCTGGCGAAGACCGGCCACAGGCTGCCGGTTTATCCGTTTGGAGCCGGTCAGTCGGAAGAGGCGTTCAGCTGCTCCTTAGCTCCTGGAATATAAGGAGAACAGATTTCAATTCTTGTTTTCCAATTAATTCCTTACTTGCTACACACAAGAGGGTCCCAAGCAGTGCTAGAAACTCAAGATGTATAAGCTAGGCGCTAATTACCGTAAGTTGGAGGTGTTAAAACACACTATAATTGGGGTCCTGGCCCGGGAGGCCTTGGGCTAAGGGCTGCGGCTTGGTGATAAGCGCTGCTGCTTTTGTGGCAGAAGGCGACAGCTGTAATTCCCGATATCTCCTGGCAGGGCTACAAAGGAGCTATTTGGAGCCCAGCTTTTGGCAAACTAGTTTCTACCACTGCGTCCAACCTCCAGCAATGAAGGACTCTTTCACCCAATGTGAGGCTTGAACCCACGACTCTAAGAGTCTCGTGCTTTATCGGCTGACGTTTTGGAATCCCCATCAGCCCCCAACAGAACGGCCCATCATGGGGGATGATGGGAGTTGTCGTCCAACCTAAGAGGTAAAGGACCCCTGGACGGTTAGGTCCAGTCAAAGGCAACTATGGGGTTGCGGCGCTCATCTCGCTTTCAGGCCGAGGGAACCGGCGTTTGTCTACAGACAGCTTTCCAGGTCCTGTGGCCAGCATGGCTAAACCGCTACTTGTGCACAGAGGACCGTGACGAGTGCCAGAGCGCACATTAACGCCGTTTACCTTCCCGCCAGAGCGGTACCTATTTATCTACTTGCACTTTGACGTGCTTTCGAACTGCAAGGTTGGCAGGATCTGGGACAGAGCAACGGGAGCTCACCCCGTCGCGCGGATTCGAACCGCTGACCTTCCGATCGGCAAGCCTAAGAGGCTCAGTGGTTTAGACCACAGCACCACCTGCGTCCCTGTTGTCCAACGTACCCTCTGTCCAAGCAAGCATCATCATAGCTGAACGACAAATTCCGGTCAGGCAGAAACGCTCAAGGATGCAAAGCAGGGATGGTGAGGGGCTGTGGCCTGGGGAAAGGGTGTGGCCTGGGAAGAGTGCTCTCAGCTCGGCAGAGGGCCTTGGGGCAGAACCTGAATTTGGTCCACCATTGCCCTACTGGGGGGGAGGGAACCATCCAACCCAGACCAATGTGCTTTATACCTAAAAGTCTCTACAAGGAGATGTAGACCTTAGCGGAGCTAAGATGCTTCCCATTCATTTGCTAAGGCGCAGGTGGGTCCCAAGGGGCTTATCCTGACTCAACCGCAGTATCGCTGTCAGCTCACCACCCAGCCCCGTTCCTGCTGATCTTTTGTCAGTCGTTCCAAAATCTCGGGTTTGCTTTTTATAGCTATTCCAAGCAATTACCAGAGGATGCTTGAAACCTTGCCAGCATCCTCCACGCTCTCTGAGCATCGGGTGTCAAAACTGTGGAGTTCAGATGCTCAAGATGGTCCTATGGAGACCCACAAGTTTCCGGAGGCATAAACCAAACTCCATCCATGCACTTGCCTGTGTCCGAAGCGCCCTGCCTCTCTTACACCCTTTTCAACCCGAGGGCCACATCCCATCCGGGCAGCCTCCCAAGGGCCACATACCAAGTTCTTATGAAAATTCACCAGAGTTTTGAGTGTGAATTTCTTACGCATTCACACCTGCATTTTATTTTCACTACCACATACATATTTTTTTTTTAGCAACATGTTACTGCGGTATACGCACTTTGCACATTACTTGGCTAGAGAACGGCATTGCAAAACTCTTGAGAAGCGCAAATCTGGAAGGGCAGCGGGTGATTTGGCTCCCGTACCGTTTCAGAAAATTCAAGTTATAAAATTAAACATGAAATTGAGAAAGTGAGTAAGAGGAAACTGGATGGATTCAGGACAGATAAGTAAGTCGTTCTTCGCACAGCACATAGTTAAACTATGCAATTCACTCCCTTGGGGAAGGCCACCAACTTAAAATCATAGAATTATAGCGCTGGAAGGGACCACAAGGGTCATCTAGTCCAACCCCCTGCAATACTTTAAAATGACTCTAAAAGAGGATGGGAGAAAGTCATGGAGAGAAGGCTGGAATCCATCTTGGCTTTGCTCCACAGGCAGCAAAGCATTTGAGTATCAGCTGGACTCCCCACTGTTGGCCACTGTGAGAACAGAATGCTGGACAGGATGTGGGTCACTGATCCAGCAAGTCTGTGACCTCATGAATTAGGGAGAAGCACATTAAATGCAAACCAAGCCCAATTCCTCCCTCACCCTGACTCACAGGACTCTCAAGGTTCTCTTCCTCACACCACAGCCAGGGAGAAAGAGAGTAGTAGTTATCCTCTGCTTCAAAGAACACAAAACCCTCAAAGCTGGCGCAACGGGTTCGGCGTCTTCACAAGCGCATGGCACTGAGAAGGCGCCGCCGGTTGGCAGCATCCATGCCAACAAATTGAAGGGAGCCCCTGAATGCATCACCTGCTCTTGCCATACGAGGGGAGATGGTACCAGTCTGGCCTGCAGGGAGCAACCGCCTGAGGGTGCAGAGGCTGCTGGATGAGGCCCAAAGCGCCCAACTCCATCACCGGCTTCTCACAGCAGCCAGCCAGATGCCAACAGGCAGCCAAAAATCAGGACCGGCGGGCAACGGTGCTCTCCCCATTTGTTTTTGTTTTTTTTAAATAATATTTATTAAAGTTTCAAAGGAAAAAAAAATCACATTAATAAAAAAAATTAACAATAAAAAGGAAAAATACAAAGTAGAAAAGATAGCAAGATAGCACTCACTATCTTGAAGCTCTCCCCATTTGCAATTCCCAGCCACTGCTGTGCAGACACAAAACCTTTAAAATGTGCTTCCAGTGTTTGCAAGCTGTAATTCTGCCCTAAAAAGTATTTTAAGCCACCGACATCTCAGCTTTGCTTGAAGGAGCTTCTTATTTCAGACTTTGTCAACCTGGTGCCCCTTGGGACGGGGGAGGGGGGAAGGGGCTGTAGGTCCCCTTTGGCCAGTGATCAAAATTAGCCAGGCACATTTTGCACCAAAATGGCCACTTGTGACCAAGTCTATTGCTAATTGACCAATAGTCTATTGCGACTATTGGCCATTTGCAACCAAGCAAAGATGACTGGGTACTAGGATGGTGCCCCAAATCTCCACCAACTGGGGATCATTGGATCTGGACTGTTTTCATGCACTAATCCCCCAACCGGTAGAATTCTGTCAGCTGTATTTTATCTGGGCAATCAGAATGAATTTCAGGAACCAAAATGCGTTTTTCTGTGCAGCCCAAGCAGGAGCAGTGAACAATATTAAGTTCATTGCCATCGCTTGTCTTCACTTACCTGCCCTGCTCACAGTTGTGAAGAATACTCTTATGTTATGAATGGTCCTTGTCACCATTAAGAAAAAGAGGAATAGGCCAATATATACAGTGGTACCTTGGTTTACGAACTTAATCCGTTTCAGATGTCCGTTCTTAAACCAAGGTGTGCTTTCCCATAGCAGCGGGGGACTCAATTTACAAATGGAACACACTCAACAGGAAGCGAAACATGTTCTTATTCCAAGGCAATGTTCACAAACCAAAACACTTACTTCCAGGGTTGCAGCGTTCTTAATCCAAGTTGTTCATAAACTAAGCTGTTCTTAAACCAAGGTACCACTGTACGTGGACGAGTGACTTTTATTCTTTTAAGTTCTCAACGCTCTTAATCTAGCTCAAGTCTGTCCTCTTGAACAAGCTAGATATTTAACTGAGAATCAATCAGTCAGTCCATCATTTGAAAAATAAGACTTTAGAGCCGTCCCACACCCAAATGGCAACTGGATGACAGAAACCTTGGTTTAAGGAGCCGTTTGGCTTCTAACACTGCCTTTGGCCTGAGTCAGTTGGGCGCTTATTGTGTCCTTACTAGCTAAATAAGGTTGTTTAGATGGGAGTTTTCAGCTGCTTAGATGGAATAACAGATGGGATCTGGGGTGGGGTGGGGTGTGGGGCTTGGAACGAGATCCCAACAAGTGCTGGAGGCAGGGCTGTGGTAGATAACAGGTGGTAGAGAAAGGATAGCAAACATTCTGGATTAACCATTCCGGGCTTCATTCCACAGCAGTGAGACACAAGTTAGGAGAAATCTATGGCATGGCCACACTGAAGATGGCATTAATAGTAGCCTTATCTAAAAAAAAAGGGGGGGGGATCTGGCAAGTCCCCTATGAGACTTACAACATTTGGGCTTTTTGATCTAGAAAAAAATGTGACTAAAGTTATGGAAATGCCAGAGGTTTATACATTTTTTAAGACCATTGTGGTTTTGACAGGGTTTAAAGTGGGATCCCTTAATCAGATCTGTCATTATCGACGCTAGCTGCTTGCCAGCTCGATTTTCCGGTGCTCCGTTTTAACGTTTCCAGAATGGCTGTTGCGCTTCACAGCCGCTGGGTGCCAGCCATTGGGGGGGGGGGGGCCTCTCTGACCCAAACTGCAGTTTCTGAACTTGAATGTGAGCACGGTTAAAAGGTGACGTCGTCGCCCTGTACAGGACTAGAACTCAAAGCCATCTGGTAGCCGAGTCAGAACAGAGAAAAGAGCTCTTTACACAGCAGTATAAGAAACTCAAGATGTATAAGCTAGGTGCCAAATGACACCTTATATCTAAGCTATGGGCACCATAATGGAATGTTTGTTCGCCGGGGGTTGGACTACACTCTACAGTTCTATGATCTCAATAGGGATGCAGGTGGTGCTGTGGTCTAAACCACTGAGCCTAGGGCTTGCCGATCAGAAGGTCGGCGGTTCGAATCCCCGCGATGGGGTGAGCTCCCGTTGCTCGGTCCCTGCTCCTGCCAACCTAGCAGTTTGAAAGTACGCCAGTGCAAGTAGATAAACAGGTACCGCTCCGGCGGGAAGGTAAACGGCGTTTCTGTGCGCTGCTCTGGTTTCGGTGTTCTGTTGTGCCAGAAGCGGCTTAGTCATGCTGGCCACATGACCCGGAAAAACTGTCTGCGGACAAACGTCGGCTCCATCAGCCAGTAAAGCAAGATGAGCGCAGCAAACCCAGAGCCGTTCGCGACTGGACTTAACTGTCAGGGGTCCTTTACCTTTATGATCTCAACTACACTGCTTGACTGTAGATTGCTCTTGAAACAATTCGCTTGCCCCAGTTTTAAGGAGGAGAAACACACACCGTGGAAAAGGAATTAACTATGGGCTAAGGCAGAGTTTTTTAAACTGTGGCTGTCAACCTGGTGCCCAGAAATCTCCACGTAGTTGCAATGGGAACCATGGCAGTAGCAAAAAGGCACGTGGTGAAATTCAAACAGTGTGCAGCACGTAATTGGTGGGGTTCAGCAACAGAAGATGGCAGTCTATCAACAGCCCTACAACAGCCCTGTGAGGGAGGTTAAGAGGCTGTGACTGGCTCACAGTCACCCAGTGAACTTCATGCCCGAGTGGGGACTTGAACCCTGATCTCCCAAGTCCTGGTCCAACGCTCTAACCACTGTACCACACTGGCTCCCTAGAGACCTTCTGCTATGGGGCAGCTCTATAAATTAAGTAGGTAAATAAATATGGGGGAAACAAAATGTCACTTAGAGAAGGATCTGAAGTATTTTCCTGGAAGCTTGAATTTGTTTTACTCCAGATCGGTTCCTTTGATGTTTTAACGTGTTGTAAACCTCTTTGGGATTTTTTTTCTTTGAAATATAAAGCGGTATAGAAATGAAATTGATAGCAGCAGCAATAAAGTTCGTAAAGGTGCCTAGACATTCTGTTGTGGTGACCGTAACCTAGGTTTATGGTGCCATTTGGCGGTTAGCTTAAAAATCTGAGTTTCTAACACTGCAGCCAGGTGGTTCCAGAAGCTCAATAAGCTGGGCTTGAGTACAAGAGCATCTCTCCTGCTATTGTTCCCAAGAGACTAAGAACCACGACACAAAGGTGGCTGGACTCACACAACCATTAACTCCATTTTCCTGATGTTTCCCTACCTGCTAATTGCGGCATTATATCTCAGCTTGGGCAACACAGACAAAAAAACCCCAAACACTTCCAGATATACAGTGAAATATAGCACAAGTGCAGAGCTCATTTCGGTGTTAGTTGCTTCCAGAAAAAAATAAATAAGCAAACGACACAGAAATGAGTGCCGTATTCCACTATATTTCCAAAGCCGTGTGAAGGAAACTCAGATATAACGAGGAAATTAACAGTTGGGGAAACGAAACGGCATGTGTATGCAGGTAGTGTCAAAGTCATCTCTCTGCAATGTCGAAGTAGATTTTGCCGTCCTCTGAAGAAATCACTGCAAAAAAGAGGGAAAGAACCCCATAGCGGGTCTAGACGAAGTGCTTTTTATCCTGAGCATGTTTTGAACACCAGACTCTCCCAGGGGGAAAGCGGTTTCCCCCCATAAAAGCCAGGTAGCTGGATCTGCTCAGTCTCTGCTGGCACGGACCATAAATCTCTCCGAACCTCACCAAGTCAGGGCAGGAGAACGACTCACACAAATCACAGCGCTAGTCATCAACCCAGACAGCGGTGACACAAAGTCACAAGGATTCTGCAAGCATGTTTTTTTTTTTGAAAAAGAGATGGAAAAGATAAGAGGCTGCAGGCCGCTCTTACTCCCAGTCGGAGGCCAGTTCATTAGGTCCACAGTGAGAGGGGTGGAAGTGGGGGTTATCCCAACACCTTCTATCAGGTGGAGGGACAACCACAGTTTAAGTCACTGCGCAACCTTTCCTCTAGATTAAGAACACAGGGATGCTGCAACTCTGCCCCAGACAACTGGTATGTGGAGGCGCACTGTCCCTAAACAATCGTAGTAAAAAAAGCCACCAATAGGAGATTGGGGACTTGGCATCTGGAAGAATTGTAGAGTTTGAAGGGACCCCTGAGGTTCATCGAGTCCAGCCCAGGAGCTGTTCGAGAGCAGAACAGGCCGTCTCAGAAACTGGCAGTCTCTTGTTCATCGAGACAATTATGCAGCGGCGCTGGATGCCAACCCACCAGGGATGCTGTAGCAGTGGAAATCCTCAGCACCTCAAAAGGGTTGGACTACAGGACCTTTGAGGTTGCTTTAATCACTTATGAGCATGGATCTAGTCCCATGCTAATTCCCTGGCTCGGAAGAGAGGGGTGGGCCGCTATTACGGGCAGAAAAAACCCACATTCACTTAAAAAGGCCTGCTTTTACATCACAGCACTTCACCTCCAAGGCAGTAGAAGCTCAAGGGACTGCTCTAGAAGTCTCCTGGTCTACAGCTCAGCTCTGCTTGGCTGTCACCATGTGCGCAGGCAGCTGCTCTATGCATTGGGCGGCACTGCCAATATTCAGTGCCCAGGATTCTCAGGCAGGGAATCTTTCCGAGCTGTGCCTGGAGACGCCTGAGACTCAAGGTGGGACCTTCTACATGCCCCACCGCTCAGCCACAACTCCTCCCAGAAGGGTCCTAGCTGTGTTTACAATCCAGTGTCCATTCCAGTCTGCGGGCAAAGAGGATTGCATAATCCCATTTGTGCCAAAAGCCCTTGATGGTGGAGGAGAAACCTGGCTATCTCGAGCCACACAGCAGCTCTGCGGCAAAGCAGTCCCCGGCGTCCGAAAAGCCGCCACCATAAACGATTCACGCAAACCCCATTGGCCAGAACGGAATCAAGAGGGCAGGTCATTTATCGACGCCAAGGGGATCGTCCGGCACACCAACAGCGACGGGTAGCACCAAGCAACACACAGACCTCCCCTGCTGCCAGGGCAAGCGCTCAATGGCTCATTATGCTCGCCAACCGACAGTTAACCAAGGCTGCAAAAATTGAGCATCTCTCCCCAGCCAATGATGTTCCGCTGGCTGGAGGCATCAAAAGCTCTCTCCCCTCCCTCTGGGAAGCCCCTTTGCAAGCAAACCCTGGAGTATTCAGTTCAGTTTCCCCACTGCCTCCTTCAGATTCTGCAAATTCTCTAGATCCCCAGGGAAATGCAACACACAGCCCCCTTGGCCAGAAATAAACACAACCAGCTGCCCCCAACTCCCAGTGTCTGCAGTTGTCTGCTTAAGGCATCCTGCCACTCGCTTCCTGTCCACTCCACCCCCTGCACAAATGCAACCACAGCTGTGGGGCAATGCGAACCTTTGGTGCGTGACATTTTTTTGGGGGGGGCAAAACGTGCATATGCAGCGAGTCGGACAGAGCAGCCTGTCCTTTGACAGGTTCCTCATCACTGTACAAACAGAGGGTCTGTTTGATTTGGGGCGAGGGGAGCAGGGCTGTTGGAGGAAAAGGAAATATTCGGGCGCAATTGTATTTTTTCCCCGGGGGAGCAGGACGCAACTGAGTCAGAGACGCGAGGAGAGTGCGCTGCCCTGGCCCCGCATGTCTTTGACTGCGCTGGGATGGCGACGTGAGCAGGGGGTGGGCTCTGCGCTCGGAGGCACATGGCGCAGAATGTGGTGTGGGGGGGTGTGCGTGCGTGCATGCATGCGCTGCCATGGGCAGGGACCTCCCCTCCACCAAATCTTCGCCTAAAAGACCGATTTTACGAGGAGGGAGAAGAGAGAAGGATGCCTGAACCACGCAAGTCTGGAGGGGCTGGGATCGGGGGGGGGGGTTGCAATTCAACCTCAGCCAACTATACCAGGCCTCTCAATTGGGTGGGGAACACAGAAGACGAGGACCCTTCCCCCAAAACACCAGGCGGCCCGAACCGCGCCCCATGCACTGGAGCTTTGCATGCATATATTTTTGGGGGTCGGGGGTCGGGTTTGCTACGCATGCATGCAACGCAGGCGCGGCTTTTGCAACCTCAGCAGCCACCCCTCCAGCCCCTCTTTCCTTCCCCCCCACCAACCAGGCTGCAGCCGCCGCAGCTCGGCTGTGCGCAGAGCCGGCCTCTTCCTTTGTTCGCGGCGGCGGAGGAGGGGCGCGGGTGGGGGAAGGGGAAAGAGGGAGAAAAAACGGGCAACCGCCCCCGCCGGATCGAGGGGTCTTGGCGCCGCACTTTCCTCCTCTGCACCCTCCGCAACTTTTCTGCAACCGCCAAGGCTCGTCTAGAGAGAGGTGGCGGCGGGTGGCGAAGGGGCTTCCCACGCCCCCTCCCCTTTAAACTGCGCCTCTCCTTTTATTTTTGCAAAAGGATCTGGGGTGCGGGCCTAGTTCCCCGCCGAGGCCCCTATCCCCCACCCCCCCGTATGCAAACATGCACGCACCCACACATGCAAGCAAGCAAGCAAGCAAGCACCCATACATTGCCTTCCCCCCCCCTCCCACCGCCGCGATTCCTTGCAAGCGCCCGCCTCCCCCCGCGGGGAAGCTCACCGGGAAGGCGCCCCGCGACGCCCGCCTGGCGCTGCTGCCCCTCGCTCGCTGGCGTTGTTGTTGCTGCTGCAGCCCCCCCGCCGGCGCAGCCACCATCCCGGAGCCGCCGCCGAGCGCCCCGAACTGCTGCCACCCGCGCCGGCGCCCGCCTTATATACCGCGGCTCAGCGGCCAATCCGCGGGCAGAGCTCCTGCCCGCTTAGCAACAGCTGACGGCCGAGGGGCGGGGACGGAGCAGGCCACGCCCACTTACAGCCCCCACCTACCTGCCTGCCCCGCCCCCAGCGGCTCCCCAGCCAGGAGGGGCTCGGAGGTCTTTGGCGTTAAGGATGCAGAAATATACTCTTTGGGCTCCTCCAGTTCTCCACATTTCCAAATCGGTTTGGCGGATAACACTCTTTTTAAAGCCCCCAGGAAAAATAAATAAATCAGCATTTCAGTGGGAATTTCACTTAATACAACGCGTTTTGTTTCTATTCTTTTGGCAGGCAGTATTGCTAGCCACGTAAAGCGATTTCCCCTGGTATTATTAACTGTCATTATTTATATCATGGCTTTTCTCACGCAAATTAAAGCAACCGATACACAGGAAGCTAAATAAAACATATAAACGATAATAGTTAAAAAGCAATTAAGCCTTAATAGTATTAAAACAATATACAGTGGCATCTTGGTTCTCAAACTTAATCCGTTCCGGAAGTCCGTTCCAAAACCAAGGCGTGCTTTCCCATAGAAAGTAATGCAAAACGGATCAATCCGTTCCAGACTTTTAAAAACAACCCCTAAAATGGCAATTTAACATGGATTTTACTGTCTAACGAGACCATTGATCCATAAAATGAAAGCAATAATCAATGTACTGTACTATAAAATAAATACGATAGCATTGTAGATGATAAAAATGAAAAAAAAAATCTTACCTAAACTGATGATAGTCATTGCTTTTATCCATTTCTGCAGTCACACAATCAGTCAGAAGCGGAACTGGGTTCCACAGAGTCACAAAAACAAATTAACCGAAAAAGCCTCAAAAACAAAAATGCAAAATAAATAGCAAAAACAAAAGCGACACACTTAATCCATTCCGGAAGTTCTTTTTACTTCCGAAATGTTCAAAAACCAAGGTGCAGCTTCTGATTGGTGCAGGCGCCCCAGAAACAATAGCTGACAGCCGCATTGGATGTTCAGCTTCCGAAAAAC